AACCGAGAGAGACTCACAGTGCATTGAGAATCCAAATAATAATTATTTGCATTGACACACGTCTATGATTATACATTTCAGTGGATGATTACTGCTGCTGTTAATAACATCTCTCTCTGAGAGTAGTCCTATTTCATAATTTCAAATCATCCAACATACCTCGAGAGAGTTATTGACCGCAGTCCTTGTTCCCTTTATATTCATTAATTGAAAGAGAGAAAGAAATTGAATCTCGGCTCGAGTCAATCACAACAGCAACAACAATTCTTTCAGATTTTCAAAAAGAGCTAAAGGCTCAACAATTAACGACCCGTCCGTTTCCATAATTGATCAACAACCAACAATTTTTGTAAGTATCAACATCTCTCAACATCATGGAATCCAACCACTTTTACAATCCACTCACACATGTACGCATACCTCAAATGTTGTTTTCTGAAATTTTCTACAAACACGTCAATGGTTGCCAAATGTTGCATACTTGCATGTTGAGGATTTTTGTTGAATTTCTTGTTAAAAAGAAGAACCTCAATACAAGACAACAACAACCCATACTATCATTGTAACGATATCATTTTGATACTTGGAGTTGGTGTTTCATTCTTAGTGTCCAATTAGAAGAATCCACCCAAACCAATTTGTGTTTATATAATTCAATAACAACTACAACATCTCCAAACATTATCTATAATGAGGTCAAACAATCCTTATAACAACACTTATGGATCATTAATTGATTCATTCCAAGTGAATCATAATGACAAGACATTGAGGAATAGTCCTTCTGATCATACTATTCAGAAGAGAGTATTCTCTACTACATTCGAAGATGATGAGGCTGCAGATTCCATGATGAATGAAGTCGTGAATGGTTCATCTTGTTCTACCATGATGATGGAATTCAATAGTAATTACCCTCAAAGAGATGAGACCGTGATGATGGAAAGTCAAGAGATGAATTGTTTTGATCTCTCTTCCTTACAACCACGTCATACAGGATCCTCTTTTCCATTGACTTGCTCAAATCATCATGATGAACTCAATGGTTCCATCATGACATCTCTTCATCGCCCTGAATATACTTTTTTGGATGAACCCATGGATGCTCTGATTCATCATCATCCCTTCAATCCAGTCAGTACTACTACTACTTCTACCACTACTACAACCAATTCTTTTTCCTCAACTTCATTTGGTAGTAACAACTCAAGTGCCAATACATTGAATTCTTTCAACCCTCTCCTTCTCATGGTTCCCAGCTCAAGTGTTGATTCCTCTCTATCCTCTTCCTCAACAACCACGACAGATTCCTCTCCTCTCTTTCCTTTGAATTTATCGTTTGATGAAGCTGAATTGAATGTCATTGAAAAAGCCTTCTTCTTTCAGCCTCAAATATCCTCTCCATTGATTCAGCCTCAACAACAACAACAAGCACCATTCATGAATGAGGAAGAAGGAATCATGATGATTGGTTCTACATCCACAGCTGCTGTGATACATTCCATTACAGATGTTGATGTGGATCCACAGCCTCAACAACCACCATTCAGGAATGATCCACAACAACAGCAACAACAACAGAACCACACTCAATGTTTGTATGAAGAATCTCCAACAATGATCGGTTCTCAGCAATCAGTAAGGACCACCTGTTACAACCAATCAAGTCATGCGACCACTACTCCACAAGATGCTCACCATTACAATAACCATTCCTCCTCTCAATACTTACAACAATCACTCAATTATAACAACCTCCAAAATCTCAATTATAACAACAATAACAATCACAAACAACAACAACAACAACGAACGCGTACCTCAGTAGCCAATCCATCCTCTCATCGGAGAAGAAGTCAAAGTTGTAGTTCCTTTTCATCCTTCTCAAACAAAAATCCTCAACCCACCAATGCGAGCCTCTATATGAATTTCATTCCTTCCTCGTCTTCTTCCTTGTATTCTCAACCATCCTCTTCCTTAACTTTGATAACCTCAGAGCATTCGGAAGAACCACCCATCATGACCTTAAACAATAGCAACACTTTTACGGTACCTTCTCATCATCATCAACGAACCTTTTCATCTTCTCCCAATTCCTTTTCAACCTCCCCTCCTTTCATGTTTCATAGTTTTCATCCCAATAGTGGTGGAATGAATTCCCCAAGTGAGCTGAATACCATGATGAATCAGGCTTCTCTCAATAGTCCAAGTAGTTCTACCAGTAGTAGCATGAATATCTTGAATGGAAACAAAATCAATTCTCCTTCATCTTCTTCTGTTTCAGCGAGTGCTTCACCGACGTTGGACAATGCAGCTGTGAAGAAGAAGAGAAAATCCAAGTTGTTTAGAGGTCATTTTCAAAGTACGAGTACATTCCGAAAAGATGACAAGTGGCAATTTCATGGACAAGATGATTCCAATGATTTAGTGTTTTATCACTTCTTGCCTTCATCTGCCAAGCAGAAAAAGAAAGAAAAGAATTTGCAGCAATAAAGTTTTAACTCCAATTAGAGAAGTTACCAATATATTGATGTCTTTCGTTCTGTCTGTTGTCAATCTCAACAAAAAATAAAACAACATGCTACAAACTACCACCCATCAGCACCATGAAAATACATCAATGAACACCACATCGGAATTCAACTCTCATCGATCTCTCTTCTACGCCATTCATTCACACAACACTTCTCTTCTTCGAGAAATTTTAACTCAAACTTGTTCCTCTTCATCCTTACATCTGTCAAGAGATGAATCAAGAAGAGCACTGCCACTCCATTGGGCCTGCTACTATGGATACAATGACATGATTGAATTATTACTACAAACCTCTTCTTCCGATTCTGAAATCTTTCAACAATTAATGGCCACCACACAAGACGATGCATTACAAACTCCATTCATGTGGGCCATTCAGGGAGGAAATTTAAAAACTGTTCAATTACTTGTACATTTATATTCGAAATATATTTATGTGAATACAACAATCTTGAACACTACAAAATCACAAATTCGGAATGAATGGAGACGAGATCATGATGTATTAAAACAATTATTTATCAATCATGTGCAACAGGATTCCAAATACAATATATTAATCATGGCCATTCAAGATCATCATACATGTCTCGTTCAATATTTAATGCATCATTTATTGTTACGAGATGAAGAGCAACAGAACAATGAAGACCAACAGTCATCACTGTTAGACATGACAGAAATCATTTTCATGATGGATGACACGACCATGAAACATTTATATTCAAATCCACAATATTTAGATAAGGAAAATCATACGATTTTACACTGGGCATGCTATCAAGGACATTTATCTCATGTGAAATTTATCATTCAATTTTTGAAATTTTATTATGTGAATGGATCCAAAATGGATGCAAACAATGTTCATCCATGTAGGACTATGGAAAAGGATTTACAATTTTATGAACACATGTTTCAATTGTTGACAGCAAAAGACTCGTCTCATCGAACAATCTTTCATTGGGTCGCTCGAAAAGGTTATTTCAATATTATGAAATATATTTTACTAGAATTACTCGAAACACAGAAAATGATCCAACATTTTCAAGCTTTTTCAAATCAACCTTCTCAAATGACAGAGATTGCCTCAGTGACAGAAGTTCTCATGAATGAGAAAGATCACATGAATTCAACCGTCATGGATTATTTACATCAATCACTTGTGGATGATCCCAACAATGAAGATCTTCATTCTTATTGGAATCGATTGAAAATGAAAGAAACAGTTGAAGAATTACTGCATTTATATCAACATGGGAGAGTATACAACGAATTGGAACAAACTACTCTTAATCATCCACAACAATCATTTGAAGATGAAGCAGTAACGAATCATTATTCTTCAGAACAATCTCTCCTCATGCATTCCTCTATGTCGTCACCATTTGAAAAATCAACTGCTCATCTTTTTCACAATCCCGAACGATTACTCACTTCACATGTCAATTCATTATTGAGTCCAGTAGAGACTGGTTCGAGTTCAGAATCGACCAAGAATCTTTCAATTCTAAAATCACTCCTTTCATCTCAAAATAATGAATACAGCACTAGTTCAGTGATGAGAAAAGCTAGAAAAAGATTATGGCTGACTTTTGGAATATTTCCTATCATATTTGTGATCCTTAATGTGTTTTCTCCAATATGGATCTTTTTATTGAGCTTAATTATTGGAATTGGTTATTTATTCATGTCACAACCAAACAATCTTAGGAGCTTGATTTTCAACTCTCCGATAATCAACACACCGACCTCTTCATTGTCAGGAAATCATCAGCATCACTCATCTCACACGAAAAAGGATGTGTTTTATATTGGACTATTTTTGGGATCAACTTTATTTTATTGTTTAACATGGTTATTTTCTATTTATCCGAGATTTGTGAATCCAAATCAAACATGGATATCTCAATTCCTAATTCTTGTATTATTTTTATCATTTATAATCTATGCCACTTATTTGTGGTATCAATTAACATTTAAGGCAAATCCAGGTTATTATCAACCATTACTGATCAACAACAACAACAACAACACTATGAATTCGCATAGTGCCATAGATTCTATATTTTTTAGAAGAGATGGTTTCCATGTACTAGAATCAACATCCAATGACTCTTCAAATAATCATGAAGAAGAAAATATTTCATTACCTTCTCTGTCAGGTTCCAATTTTTGTAAAGAATTACTCATTAGAAAACCATTGAGATCTAAATATGATCGAATGAGTGACCAAATTATTTGTCGATTCGATCATTATTGTGCCTATACGTTAAATTCGATTGGAGAGAAGAATCATGTCATGTTCATGAAATTTGTGACATGTGTTTTGGTGGCAACATTTATTTATTGCTATTGTGGATGGAGCGTGTTACTGACATTTTCATCACATCCTGTGGGAACTGCTAAGGGAAACGTGGAGCAAGAGAATGATGGAATGTTTTCATGGATTTCAACATTTTTGAGAGAGAACATTCACGTGTTGATACCCACGTGCTATTTTGCATTATTCTTGATCTTCTCGTTCGTTTTGTGGACACAACAAGTATTCTTAATTTTATTTAACAATACGGCGTTTGAGATGATGAGACCTGACAAGCATGTTTACATAATTCCAACGAAACAATATTTGAAGTATTTAATGGCCAAAGTGGAAATTTACACAAATAATCCCAATCTCATCATGGTTGCTAAATTCTTTTTCAAAGCTTTTAACCCAAGAACCTATCAGCTCAATTTATTTGATCGAGGAATTTTGGAAAATATTCGAGAATTCATTCAGTCGGATCAAGACAACAACATGCCTTCACGATACGCCAGCATATTCCAACTTGAATTGAATCCGTTTGTGAGCGACTTTTGCCAAAAGCATGAAATTTCCATTCCCTCCGCTATGCGAGGCGAAAATGTCTAGCCAAACCAAGTGAATGTGAAATTTGTTGAAAATTAGAAATGAGTGTTTATTTCTGCACCGAGTTTAAACCCTTATTGAAGGTATGATAATAAATAATTTCAATTCTTCTCACGATATCTTTGGCATCTGGTCTTTGATTTGGATCTAATTGCAAGCAATCCACAACAACCTGAGCCATACATTGCTGATGTAATTGTTGACTCGTGAGTGAAGAACTAATTGTTACATTTTCAGGATAATAAGGATCATTGTTGTCACTGGTGCCTGTTGATGTTGCAGATCCCTGAATGACTGTGATCGGATGATCTTCCATTAAATAATCTTTCAGTAAATTTCGAACATAATTTGGATTTTTAGCCAATTCATCTCTAAAATTTGGTAAATGATTCAATTTTAAAGGTGACACTAATAATTGATAAACAACCACACCATACGACCATATATCTACCTTATTTGTGTAATAATAATAATTTGAGGTCGTGTTAGTTGTAGGAGTGTTGTTATTGGTAGTTAGAGACAATCCTCCAGTTGATGATGATTGCTTCAGACTTGTTGAGGTTACATGATTGTGTAACTTCTTTTTCTGTTGTACAACATGATGATTGTAATATCCATACTTGAATATTTCAGGTGCAATATATTCTTGAGAGCCACAAAATGTTTTGGCATTACTGACATCAATTTGTTTGGCATAATCAAAATCAGCTAATTTGATAATTAATTTCGATTGTTGCTGTTGTTGTGACGGTAATGAAGGCGATGTCGATCCTTCCTTATTCGTAGATGATTGAGGCGTTAAATGAGAATGAGGTGTTGTAGCATTCGTAGGAGTTCCACCATTCGTCAACGTATTATTTAACACAACTTTTTTCAATAATATATTATCAGGTTTCACATCACGGTGTATAATGTGACATTCATCATGAATATATTTCAATGCTTGTGCTATATGAAGAGACCACTGAATTTGATAATTCAAAGGAATGTCCTGTTTCAATTGGAATAATTTTTGTAACGATGTTGTACAAAATTCTTGTAAAATATTTAAAAATTTTCCTCCAATGTTTTGCGAAATAAATGTATCGATATAGGTCACGATATTTAAATGTTGCAAGTCCATTAATGTAATGTTGGTATTTTGATGAGAGTTTTTGAGGGAATTGGTTGTTGTTGAAGAGGATGGAACGGAACCAGCACTACCCGGAGAGATGTTCATGGTGGTAGATGTGGAAGGAGGAGTAACGGTTTCTGTATTTCCGTGATCATCCTCATCGATAGAAGTAGTAGTAACAACAGCAGCAGCATGAGGGGTTAAGCTGCTCAGGGACGTTGTTGAAGTACTATTCGTAGTAGTAGTAGTAACATTGTTTGATCCTGTGCTTACCGACGTCGAGTTGGGAACGGAGGTAAACAAGGAAACAACACAATGGTTCGTGGTTGAATGTCCATTCTCAGCCTCTGCACTCGTTGTGCTGCTGCTATTACTACTGGCTCGGTTATTTCTGATGGTACTCGATGATGACGATGAGGAGGACGAAGCACTGCTATTTCTATTGTTGTTGTTGTTGTTTTGCTTTTGAATAGATCTCATCAACAACAAATTAGATCCATAACTTGTGGTATCATCATCTCCACCATGATCATGGTCGTCCACTAATTTAATTCTCTTGAGAGCATAAATTCCACGAAGCTCACTCGGTTCAATCAATTCAATTTGCCAAACATCACTACTATTGGATGAAAGTACACCACCATCGTGATGAGGATGGCTACTATCGCTTAACTTTTTCAAAGGCTTATAAATGTAGTGTTTGTTATTAGTGCCAATGAGTGAGAAACTGTTACCGGAAGTGGGTGTGCTCTTTGTACCATTCTTCTTGCTGCTTTTCTTCTTGTAGGACCCGAAAATAGATTTAGTATTGGACGATGATGAATGAGGAGAGGTTGTTTTGGATCGTTTGTGATGATATGGTGATGATGATGAAGAAGAATTACCCTGTTGAGAGGATTGAAGTAGTGGAGTGGTACTACTGGAAGGATGTTGTTGTAGCGAGTTGTTGTTGTTGTTGTTGGTTGTACCAGACGAATTCGTTGGAGGATAGGAGAGAATGCGTTGATGGGTGCTTGAGGAAGTGTGGGAAGAAGGATTGTTGTGGTCACCGAGACAAGAGGACCACTTGAATTTCATTGTAGATATAGGTAGGGAATCCTGCTATGGTTGTTGTGATGGTTGGCTTTTGTTGATGGAAACTGTTGAATAATTTCGTTCGTTTTTGGATTGGTCAGCAAGCTCAACCAACGCAAGTTGCTGAGCCAAAGGTGTTTTGATGTGTTGTTGTTGTCGATTAGTGAGGGTAATGAATGACTCAATTTTTTTGCATGCTGGAGAGGTGGTTGTGTCAAACGTCCACTCGAGATTAAGGGCGTGATCACTCTCAGTCCATTTCGATTTTAATGAATTTCAATAATATTTAAATTTTGGAATATCTAAATAAAAAATGTTTGAACAGAGCCCGTTACCCAATCCTGATAACCACATCTCTTCTCCTCCAACAATGGCATCAAAACCCTGTTCATCGTGCAGAAATTTACATCGGAAATGTGATAAATTACGTCCATCATGCTCGCACTGCCTCAAGAGAGGATATGAATGTGTGTATGGACCTTCGTCTGCTGAAAAACGACGTCTGGCCAACAAACAAACGCAGCAACCAGCTACTACTAACAATGCTAAGAACGCAAAAAACAAGACCTGTACCAATGAAATAGTTTTTTCTTTCTCGGAATATCAACATGATGATTCTAGTAGGAATTACCATAATGGCAATAGACTTAATTATCATCACTATCATCCATACTCACAATCATGCGGGTTTTCAACCTCATCCAATTCAACGCACAGTAATTGTATTTCTACCCATCCGCAACCTAATTATCGACCTCATCCATCGCTTTATGCTAATCCGAATGAAACTCAAATTCAGCATGCCATTAATTATCGATTGTCAACTACACAAACAATGGATATTTATTTCAACTTTACATGTTTGGGCATACCACTGATAGACAGAAAGAAATTAGAATTTATTATTGAAAGTCAATTAACAAGTGGTTATAATGGCATTGCAAATTATACTCACTCTCAACAACCTCCTCTGTACAGCCAAAATGACCTTGAAAAAGATCTAGCTGTATTCTACTTGTTGCAAGCAGTGAGTTTACAACAAGCAGGAAGTTTTCATGACACGTTCAATAGCATGAATGCTGAGCGAAACACTTTACTGCCACAACATTTATTTCAGCACGGAAAACAATTAATTTCAAAGTATTGTGACGATTTTGACTCAATGAATTTAATCATAGCCACAAAGTTTATGGCTGACTACTTGCTAGGGGAGGGAGAAAAGAGCAAAGCAAGAGCATTAATGGTGCATGTCAGAGCTAAATTACAACCTCATCTTTCTAACTGTACATCTAATACAACCCAATACCAACAGGAGTTTTCGTCAATGAATTTCTCACCGTTCAGTAACAGCGCTCATGCCAATAGAAATGATTTTTTTGAACTCAGCATTCCCCAAATTTTTTCCTCTCAAAATTTTGTAACTGCAATGTTAATTGAAACTCAATTACGATACGCAGACATTTTCTTCTATGAAGAAGAACGACCTACAACTTTTATATTTGATGAATTTGAAGCGTTGTCTAATCACAAAATCAAATTTTCGAGACAAAAACTTTTTGGAGAGGCAGCAAGCTCCTGTACAGATATAAGCGAAGAACTCTCTCAAAAACTTATTCAAGCCATTCACGTTGGCATGAGGTGCTTTGACAGCATTTTCACGAGCACATTTGCAAAAAGAAACACGACATTATTTTTATTAGCTCATTTGTATGGACGCCAGATTTATTTGGAAATTCTAGTCAATTCCAAAGTTAGAAATTTAACAGAAATTATGAAAGTATGCTCTGATATTATGATACTCGCTACCACTCACACATGTTTTCAATTCTTACCAGTTGTTGCTACCAAGGCTGTTTTAATGGCTATTTCTCTGAGGTTCTCTTATGTTGTTGAATATCATGCAAGTACCTGTGGCATGAAATTGAACGAGGAGAAAAATTGTAGTACACAAATTAATTTGAATGATGATTTGAAAATTTTGAAAAGTCTTTGTCATAGATTCAAGCTTATTAGGGACGAGAAACGAGACCTTGTCAAGGCATTAGAATCGCTTGTTTACTTGCAACAAGAGCAGACGCAAAATGCTCGAAAAGAATCCACTCTTCTTGGTAGTGTGCTTCCATTGATTGACGTGAATAGAGAGGCGCCACTTCTCGTGCCGTCTTTGTCAAAGCATGACAACTCGGTCATTTCTAAAGATGAGCGACCACTATGGTCACTATCTCAAGAAAAATTCGCTCCTCACTCATTCAAACAAGCTGTTCGTGAAGTATTGGAAAATCCAGAGCTAATGGAGATTTTTATTGATGGACTTGCGGAACAGAATATGATTAACGAAGGTTGTTCTACTACTTTGACAGAGGATTCAAATTCACTCAAAACTCAACAACTCTTGCTCGAAAAGAGATTGGAGATTGCGAACAAAATCATTGCCCTATCCAAGAATAATCATGATCTGACAGGAATATTGGAAGGTGAAAGTTTCAAGAAATTCATATGTGCTGAGTTTGAAAATGCCTGTGCAAACAATAATTAAGCTAAATCGAACATGGCTTTAAGATCTTTTCAAAATGAAGATGCTTCATGATTTATCATCATTTAAAAAAAAATAAAAAACACACTCAAAATGCTCCGTCGTTGTGTTCAGAAGAATGCCGCGCACATCAAAAACATGATGATGAGCTCTCAAATCATCACGGCTCAACGAGCGAACTACAGCACTGCTCAATCTCAACATTCACTTCCAAAAACCTTTGGCGTTATTGGTGCCGGTCAGATGGTACGTTTCCGTTCATCATCATTTCCCGATTAATATTGATATTAATAATCCTGAACATTTATTGCTTTTCAACGAAACTATATTCACTGTGCCGATGAATATTACACAACATGGTTTTATGATTGATATTACGAAAGGGAGGAGGTATTGCTTTGGTTGCAGCCATGAACGCTAAAATCCCTTCCGTTCGTGTTCATGACGTTTCTCCTCAATCCATTGACAAGTGTAAAAAGTTGATCCAGACCTTGTTGGATAAGTATGTTCAAAAAGGAACATTGACTGCTGAGGAGAGACAAATTATTCTTTCCGAAAGACTCTCCTTCTCATCGGGAACTGATTTGAGTAAATTAGCTTCGGGATGTGAGTTTATTGTGGAGGCTGCCACTGAACAAACGGAATTGAAATTGGGCTTGTTCAAGGACTTGTCTCAATTGGTTCATTCCAATAACAGTGCTGAAACTAGCAAGACCATTCTTGCTACGAACACATCCTCTATTTCAATTACCAAGATTGCTTCTCAAACATTGGATCCATCCACAGTGATCGGAATGCACTTTATGAATCCAGTACCAGTCATGACACTTGTTGAAATTATTAGAGGACTTCAAACATCAGATCAAACCTATGAGAGAACAACTCAATTAGCCCATGCCATGAACAAGACTTGTACTCTCTCCATTAAGGATTCTCCAGGATTTATTGCCAATCGTATTTTGATGCCATATATTAATGAAGCTGTCAATGTTTTGCATGAAGGTATTGCAACTGTTGAAGATATTGACAAGACAATGAAATTGGGAACCAATGTTCCAATGGGTCCATTAACATTGGCTGATTTTATTGGTTTGGATACATGTTTGGCAATCATGAGAGTCTTGTATACTGAATTTGCGGACAGTAAATACAGACCATCTCCATTGTTGGTAAAGATGGTGGAAGCTGGATGGTTGGGAAAGAAGACTGGAAGAGGTTTTTACAAGTATTAACTTGTCTCTCAATAAGACAAGTATTAACTTTTCTCTCAAAAAGACAAGACATTGAGGAATAATATATTATTTATTAGATCATTGAGCTCTGTACCTACAGATAAATTTGACTGAAGTTTCAACTATGAACTAGTATTGTTTACACACAAATATTGATCTTGTTTTATCTTAAGTCTCTTACTTTTTAATTTTTGTTAACAACTCATTTCTTTGTTGAATAATGGATTCTTTCACAGTTTGTGATGTTTCCAATTCAATTGCCTTTTCATAATTCTTTACTGCCTCATCAAATTTGTTCAAAGTTTCCTTCACTTTTGCCAATCGTGAATAGGCCTTTCCATATTGTGGATCTAACATGATTGCCAATTCACATGCACGCTCGCTTTCTTGATATCTTTTACAAAAATATAAGGCTGCAGCTAAATTACTATAATATATGGGCTGATCTGGAGCAATTAAACATGATGCAATATATAGGTCAACGCTAGTAGCATATCTCTTTTTCTTCAAATATAAATTTCCTTCCTCTTTATACATGTTTGCCAATTTCTTGTTAAAGACTTGAATGAGATGTTCTTGTTCCTTCTCGGAAATGGTTGTTGCCAAAGTACCATATTTTGATTTTCGTTTCTCATCAAAATCAGACAAAAATTGTAAAACATGGTGTTGAATTTCTTGTTGAGTTAGTAATACGGAATGGCCCGATAGCTTGGCATGAGATTCATGAAGCGAATGAATAAAGTAGGAAGCTTGTGAGAGGAGAAGAGGAGAAGGTGGTGGTGCTTGTTTTTGTGAAGATGATGATGATATTGGAGAAAACGGAACGGGTGATTCGCTGTTTGTGTTGTTATAATTGGTTGTATCCTGTGATTTGTTTGCCGAGGTATCAATGCGAAGGAGTTCTTGAGACATTTTTTGTTGAATATCCAATCAGTGTCGACACTCTTACTGTTTTCCAAGTTATCAATGTTAATTTCGAAATGATTCTGTTCACGCATGAGCCAAGAACACTGAAAATGAAACATTAATTTTGCATTGTGCTACCAGGTTTAGTTCAAAGCAACAGTTTTTAGTTACCAATGACTCGACAAGCAGGGTTCGTGTGTTTCGTTTATAACAAGATCCTGTTTTATTATGAATGTGAAGCAGGGGTTCCCGAGCGGTCAAAGGGGGTAGACTCAAGTTCTACTGCGCAAGCTTCGTGGGTTCAAATCCCACCTCCTGCAATTTTTTGATTTTTACTCTGCAGCAGTTTGAAAAATGAGAGCAATGGATTTTGTGCGCTGCGTGAGGATTTGTCAAGGCACTCGGTTCAACAACTGGCATCATTGAACAACAAAACTTTTCCACAACGCATCATCAAACTATTTATTATTATTATTTAAAAACTTCTGCTTGATCAAAGAAACCAAGTTGAGATGATGCAAACAAGCTCCTACGGCTTGAAACAAATTTTCAATGACCGTGCCACACAATTGACACTCTGGAAGGCAGCCAACCTCATCTTCGCATTCGAACAAGGGATTCTTGACCTGCACATTTTGCGCTAAGCATTTGAGAGAGGAATATAGTTGTGTCATGTGAACAATTCCACATTTGAAACATGCACCCTTGGAATTTTCACATTCTTCCAATGTAACAGATACATGTCTAGGACATAATTTCCCTTCCTGACGCAGCTCAGTATACGTTTTGAGTTTGTAAGATGCATGTCTTTGTAGGCATTTCTTGCATCTGAGATGAAACCTTCCCTTCATCCTCAAACAAGGTGGCTGCATCAAACTGTGAAAAGTCTATCATTGCAGGTTCTTCACACAACATGTTTACCTTATGGATGACTTGGACAGGTTTTTCCATCTGTCTAGCAACTGTCCCCAAATTTTGATTTTTATTGCATGATGATAGTAGGAGGCTCATAATTGAGATAACTGGTTGAGAATATGAGAAAACCCAAGTAGATTCTTCTGAATTCTCAACTATCTTTTAAATTAATAAAAATAAATGAAAACAATGTCTCGAATCACGCTTATTGATTTACTTCCAAGCGACATCCAAGAAAGCTCACGACACCTTCTTCGTTTGCTGACACACAAATTTCAAAACAAGACAGAATTCTCTTTGAATTTCCGAAAAGTAGACACTCCTGCTACGGAAAAGGGAGATTATTTGTCCGGCGAAATACACCTATCATACGGATGCAATTGCCTGTTAATTTTAAACAATGATCATTTATTCATTTTCGATCTCACTCGCAAAAATTTATTGGCAAAATATGACACAAAACATAATTGGGATTGTATAGATGTTGAAGAAGATGTCACCTTTGGAAGAGAACCAGGCGGAAGAGATTCCATCATTGTTTCGTTTACCATGAATCGTCAATATATTTTGCAGAAATTCGATTTACATCAATTCATCGATGCTATTTTGAAGAATACAGATCCATTAGAGTTATCTGCATTTCATTGGACGTCCACTCTCACCACACAGGTGAGGGGAATGTGTATTGAGAACTCGAATTCCTCTCCTGCCTACATTTATATTCATGATACTGAATGTATTTCCATTGTGAACTCTACCAATGGTCAGTTCTTGGGACAGCTTCCATTTTACAATGCTACCAGTAGTATACCATTTACATTTCCTTCCATAGCAAGATGTGCTTTTCATAATCAATATTTATACGTTTCTGACAACAGTAATCACAAGATTTATATTCTGAAAAAAGAACAGAAAGCCAACATGGATGAGCAACAACATTCAAGCGCGTTTCGCTTACAAGGAACAATTAAAAGGCAAACAAATAAGGGAATTAATTATTGCTCACCTACCGATGTGTGTATTGAGGAGAGTAATGGACGGATATTTGTATGTACTGTTGTCAGTGAAAAGGACGACTATGGTAAAGTCATGGTGTTTTCACAGGAAGGAAAAACATTGTTGAGAGAAGAATATATTGAAAAATTGAGACATATATGCTTGAACCGTGTTACGAATGAGCTGATTGCTTGTTGTGGCAGAAAGATTGAAGTTTTCAAATAGATAAATTTGACAATTATTATTTTAAATTTGGCATTTAAAGCGAAACTCCATTGTTGAAAGTCTTAGGAGTGCAACAAAAGCTCAGGCAATCCAAATAAAAATTTTGCAAGAGGGTGGATGACTTGGACAGGATTGGAATTACAATGATGAAGATGCAGACGCTTGCAGTACACTATTGTTAATGAAATCATTCGACCCAAAAGAGCTGCGGAGCATGTTTCAGCTGTCAATGGACCAAGATTGTCGTGATGATGAATGTGTCACGTTACTAGCCTTTGACAAAGGTGGTGCCGATGACGTATTTTCCAACTCTGTACCATTTGTGAGATTAATAGTCTTCTTCTTCTTCTTATTCGTTTGTTTACTGAGAGTGTCTGAGCCTGGCGACCATGATGAGGCTTGTTTGGCTCTCTTTTGAGTCATGACAATGTGGTGGTGCCTTAATTGCGTTGTTTTTTTCTTGCCAAATGCAGCGACTCCAGACAAAAATACAACGCCAGTTATTTCATAAAGGCTTTTGTCGCATTAGGCTTGGTTGGAAGCAAAGCATGTTTTAAAAGGTGAAAGCCTTCGTACATTGTGTTTGAAATTTAAGAATCAATTTCATAAAATTAACATTTATGGTGAACACTAAGAAAGAAAGTCTTTTAAAAAAATTGCAGGAGGTGAAAAATCCAAGGGGGAGGAAAGTGATTGTGGCTTGGTGGTCCGGATTTTTTTCAAAAAAAATACAAGTCGAGGCGATAGCGATGCAATAGCAACACGGAAGCAAAATCATCATGTATTATCAAACTAACGTCAAAACTCCATTCTGTACCAAATCCTTAGAGTCTAATTTGTGTGTGCGTTTTTGTGAAGCGCGTATGTTGGGCATTTTTTTGATGACAATTAATAGTAGTCGTTTGTTTGAAATATGTCAACATTTCATGTGCACGCATGCAATACAACTCGCCTCTATGCTTGGGTAATCCTTAAAAAATCGTTTCGTTTTCAAAGACAAGATGAACTTTTTGAAAAAAATTTTGATGAACATCATTAAGAGAAGAGGACACATTCTATTCTAATCAACAACAGCAATTCAGGTCATGGAGATTAAACCATCAATCGACTCTAACGTGTGTGTTTGGAAAATGAAAAGTTGAATCTCCACGGAATTGTATTGTTTGAGAAAATCAAGAAAGGTTTTACTCTTCGCAAAAGATGATGAAAAAAAATATCCTTAAACAACAACATCTGATTTTCTCGTAAACTAAAGAAGTTCAAAACAATGCAATCAACGCTATTACCAAAATCATCATCCTGATCTTAGAACTGACGAGATGAATCTCCACGGAGTTTTCGTTATACGAATTCTGGGTACTCCGTATACTATATATCTTTTAGCAACTGCTTATTTGGCGAAAACAACAAATAACCAGCTTCCATCAGAGTCAACCAACTGTGACATGAATATTTATTTCTTAATATTGGTTATATGTTGTAAAAGAACTCTCTGATTTCATGCTCTCAACGAAAAAATCCGGACCACCAGCTCTCAGGGCATTTTAAATCACTCCCTGGAAAAATCAAAAAATCACTCTCAAAAAAATCAAAAAATTGCAGGAGGTGAAAAATCAAAAAATTGCAGGAGGTGAAAATCAAAAAATTGCAGGAGGTGGGATTTGAACCCACGAAGCTTGCGCAGTAGAACTTGAGTCTACCCCCTTTGACCGCTCGGGAACCCCTGCTTCACATTAATTATAAAACAAGATCTTGTTATAAACGAGTCACACACGATCCAATAAGCAACGACGTACCTAACAAATAACAAGTTGGTAAACAACAGTGTTGACGCGAATGTTTGTCAATTTTCATTCTCATCATATTCTTTATAATGAATTCCGTTCAATCAAAATTAACAAAATTCAAAAAAAAATACTCTTCATCAAATTCTATCCATACATCATGCAAGATTTTGATCCACAGAAAATTGCCAAACAAATTGCGGGAATGTTAGGCTCGGGCCGTGGTGGCTCTTACAGAAGCGGAGGCAGTGCTGGAAAAGGTTTAGGGCTGGCCACAGCCGCTCTTGCAATGTTTGGCTTGGGTGGTTTTGCTCTATACAATTCCATTTACGTTGTTGAAGGAGGTTTCAAAGCCATTAAATTTAATCGATTCACAGGTGTTGGTGATAAAGTGTTCGGAGAAGGATATCACTTGCTGATTCCCGGAATTGAAAGACCTATCATTTATGACCAAAGAGCAACGCCAAAAGTAATATCATCAAATACCGGTTCTAAAGATTTACAAGTTGTAAATTTGAGTGTTCGTGTGTTATACAAGCCTGATGTTACTCGATTGGATGAAATTTATAGAAATTTGGGATTGAATTATGCGGATAGAGTTTTACCTAGTATTGTGAATGAAGTGTTGAAAAGTGTGGTTGCTCAATTTACAGCTGCCGAGTTGCTTACAAAACGTCCTGATGTGAGCGCTAGAATCAGAGATTCACTTGTTGCTCGTGCAAGAGATTTTAATGTTGTGATTGATGATGTTGCAATTACTCACTTGAGATTTGGAGACGAATACAGTGCTGCTGTTGAAAGAAAACAGGTTGCACAACAGGAGGCCGAAAGAGCCAAATTCATTGTGGAGAAGGCAAAGGAGGAGAAAAAGTCAATGATTCTTAAAGCTGAAGGAGAAAGCGAAGCCATTCGATTGGTTGGAGATGCCACACGAAATAATAATGCCTTTTTAGATTTGCGAAGAATTGAAGCAGCTCAACAAATTGCTGAAACCCTTAGTGCTTCACAAAACAGAATATTCCTCAATAGCGATACTTTATTATTGAACTTGAATTCTAATTTCAAACCAGTGGATACTTCCATTACTGTTGATACCAACGACAGCCAAACCAAACAATCTCCAGAGATATAATTGTTTTTCAACAACAAGAGAATAAACTGCATGACATTGAGAAATGGCATTCCAGTTGGATTTCAAAAAAATTGGAAAATTGTTTATTGAATAAAACTACATTTAACTTCATAGATATCTTTTAAGTTGTATTCGATGTTCATTCACGCTTTATTTGCTCGAACAAGGGCACGAATTAATAATCGTTGAGAAATTGAAAAAAGAAAATGATAGTTACAGAATCCATGACCCTGAAGCAAAGGAGGACATTAAAGATTGGATTAGAGTCTTGTTGTTGCTTTCCGACTTTTCGGAGGAGACGGAATCTCTCGAATATGCAATTGTTATATGCAGTTGGTACATTGCCTGGAGATGAGATCAAACTCCAAAAATTTTCAATCCAGCTTAAAAGACTGCGCAAATTACTACGAAGAAGCCTCGAATTACTGTATGAAAGCTTCTTTGTTTGATCAACAATTCGAATCTCGGTGGTGTTTAATTCAAGAACGGAAAATGGAAACATGTTCTTTGGAAGAAATGAAAGTGACAATACGGAAAGGGGTCGTTTTTGGTGTTAGACCTTCTCATAGAATGATCAAGCATTTACATAAAGCATTACAAGAACGAAACAGGCCATACCTGTCAGAGATGGAGAAAATGCAAGTAAGAGAAGAATTACGACAGTGCCAATTACTCGTTCCACAAACGACGATCCCGTAAGAACCTTTTTATTTGGTGGAGGAGTTTATTCTGGAAGGTGTAAAAATTCTTTGAAATTCGAAAGCACGTTTCTTGTATTTCCCTTTTGAACAGACTTCTCTCAGAATTCAGGACTCTTGAAGATATCCAATGGGATTTTACTGAAGAAAGGAACTTGGAAGAAACAAAACAGCTACAGTATCACGTTGGTTTGGCTTTTCATTTCTCCAAAAAAGTATTTGAATTCTATCACACGTTTCATGATGAAAAGCAATCGGTAGCCAAGGATTTTCCTCAACCAGCGTTAGAAAATGACCTAATATTGTACGTTGATGCAGTTATGATACTTATTGACTATTATTTAAAATCAAGTGATAACTTGATGGCCGTGTCATTATTGTTACACTTTGTGACAATTACAACCTTCTTTCTCAATCACCTTAACTTTGAAAGCATTTCACAAACGGCAACTTGGTATCACTACTACATACGTTCTATGGAAAGGTGTGCACAACTGTATCCAAATCACAAACGGATGAGTGATTGGTATCAAAAAACAAATCAATTGAGGAAAATTAAGAAAAAATATGATGAGCTGATAGAATTAGCTGAATTGTCAGATGAGAGTGTTGGAGCTGAATAGGCAGAGCGACAAGTATAACACTATCAGTACATGTTAACTGGCATAGGTTTGATATCATTCGGTTAGTTGCTGACAACAGAAAAGTTTTCAATATTTCAAAAAAATAGATTGAACTTTATTTAGTCCCAGTGGGACAGGTATCAGATTATTGGTTTTTAGTGTTTATCGTGTCCTTATAGTAAATAGTGAGGAGGATTTGGATTTCTGTCCAGTTTTTGTAAACTAATGGGTGCTGGATCTTATTTGTGGTTTGTGTATCATTAGTCATATGTCCGTCATGGTGGATATAGAATGCTCTGTCTCTGGGGTTAAAATTTGATATTTGTCTATCATGGAGGACGCATTTTGTTTTTGTAAGCTCATAGAAATATTTCAAAAAAATGTCAAAACAACCATGCCATTGACAATATTCCTCTCTCGGAATGGGATCCTCTGTTGTTCTTCAATTCTTGACCAATCAAAAAATTACAGACAAACAAGTTCATGAAAGTATGTTCTTGTATTTACATCAAAAATTTGCCAAATTAATTATTTCATGCGATGAATAAAATAGTATTGAAAACGCATCTAATCAATGGGGCATTACTCGGTCCAATGACTCTCGACGACTTAAAACGTTTGGGTGTACCAGTGGGTTTTACTAATTCTATTGTCAAAAAAGTTTCTGCTCTGAAAGAATTTCAAGCCAAATGTCTCGACACCAATTTTCATGAAATGGATGACCTGGCTATTGATATAATGAATGAATCAATGAAAAGCGAAGATTCAGTAGTTTTTCCATGCCCTTCATGGGATGAGAATCAATTCAGTGTCAAACAAAAGCAGGCTTTTGAATTTTGTATGCACAAGTTGGATTTCATTTCAAAAGCATCTATACACAACAACTCAAAATCCAAGTCAACCATTCCCTAACAGATTCATGTATGAATATTTGAATCCACGTATAGAGAGCTACAAGACGGAAACAAGGCAAGGAATAGACCACGAGTCCAAGATGAAAGTAACACTTGTTATCACTGAATTGAGCAAAGCTACACAACATAGATTCGTTAGAAAATTTGGATTGACCAATGGAATGGTAAGTGGAAGTGGTTTAATATACGAGATCAAATCTCTTGCTACCGTTAGACAGCGATCTTCTGCTAAGGCTGTGTTTGGTGCTACTATTAGTGAAATTAAGGGAACTGAGAGGCAATCAAAAACTTAAAGCTCTTTGCAGCTTTGTGCTGAATGGAATGGAACAAAAATGTATGACAAAACGAAATGTAATTGTCAACATTTCACTGAAGCTGCCATTGAAGCATTGAATACGATAATTGAATTTGAACACAACATTGATGCCAAAACTAAAAAGTATTTGGGGAAAATGAAACAACGTGGAGCTGGTGAGCGCGTTTACAAAGTTGACAAGGAATTGAAGAAAGTGTTATTGGATTCAAATGTCATAACCACAGACAATGACACACTTCAATTAATTCAACACATGAGAAAGAAAATTGAAATCAATTCCAAATTTTATTTCAAAACTCACAAGGAATTGGATGAATTTGTGAAATTTGGCATAACTGTTCATCCTATTTTCACATCTTCACAAGATTATGCTTTTTTGAAAGGATTTGATAGGGCTTTTTGGTTGAAATATCAAAGAAAAGTAGAAACGACATGGCATATCGCGAAACATGTAAACCATTAATGGAATCGGAAAGCATTTGTTTATGCCCATTCAACCCAACTCAGGACCATATGGACAATGTTAACATGACTGTTGTGAGACAAGATTTTGTTTTGGAAGCTCAATGTGGTTGGCAACATCCAAGGTTGAATGATACTTTATCCAAAGTTTCTCAAAGAAACAAGTCCTCCAGCTCCAACAGCGTATCAAGAGCAAGCCACCAATCTATTAAGGAGAATTTTGTAACTACGTACGATACATTTCTATGTCCTGTATTAGTGGGAGATGTACGTAATGCAACAAAGTTGGATCTAAATGAAAAGTCTTGTCAACCATATTCGACATCCACCACTGCTGATACATGTTGTTATATTCTCACTTTGGAAGACTCTGGAACTATCATGTACAAACCAATCATTCAAATTTTGAAACTTCTTCAAACCACTGAGGTCAATGAGAAGAATTGTTCGTTTGGTGAATTCAATATGATGTCTTGAAATACTTTCTAAAGAGAAGTCTAATTGTGTGATTTTGAATGTTCAATCAAACTATGAAATTGCATATAATGAGGAAAAATTATTAATCACTTGTCATGTTCCAAGAAAACAAGTTCAAGATAGCATAGCGTTAGATGTTGTTTCCTCCATTAAAGACAATGACCGATATGAATATGAAACGTATTTAGATGAAAGTATCCAAACCAATATTCATTTATAGCTCGAGGAGGATTTGGTCATGTCTATAAAGTTTATGACAATTCGATTGGAAAGGACATTGCTGTGAACTTTATGAAATATGGAGAAAATGAGTACTTTAATGAAACATTGAGATTGAATCAATGATCCCATCCACATATTCTTTCGATATATGAAGGAATTATCATCAACAATCCTCCTTCGTTTATGGGAATTAAAATGGAATTGATGAAAGGAAATTTATGGACAGAATTTATTGAAAAGAAAGTGATGACTCTTGATGTTCACGCAATGCTTGCCATGTCTTCCATTCGAGCGACAAATATAATTTTGGATTTTTGACAAGTCAATTACAGAACTATCATTCTATTGATTTGTATTCGAAAGAGTTTGTGAAATTGGTCTCTATGATGCTCTGTGAAAAGCCCTCGGAGAGAATTACTTTTGAGCAAGTCCTTTCAAGCGTGTAATGCAAAATATTTATCTTTCAATTTTTCAAAATCGAGTACCTTGTTTTGGGTTGAATCGGATCGCCGCGATCAGGAGCCAATTGAAAAATGAGAGAGGTTGGATTTGATGCCACTACGTGGGCTCTGCCTGTAGATTTGTTCAGTCCCTCAGGTATAATGGCAAACTGTTGTTTCTCCTTATTATTTCTTTTCCAAATTATTCTTCTTATTGTTGCTGTTCACTCGTTCGGCCACTGTGGTTAAAAAGCTCCTTAAATATGTCTCCCATTCTTTATCGAAGAGTAAGTCATAATTGCTCATGTCAATAAAGGAGCACAAATAGTTTTGCTGGTATTTCTTTACAATCTTGTTTGAGAATGTTTCAGTTGTATGAAATCCAATACACACTTGCATCATTTTTGATGATTTAAATACTTGTAAAATATCATTTCTTTTGCCACTGTACCATTTTGCACTTGAACTAACTTTCATGCCTTTACCATTCGCATCATCTATTATCTTTTTTGATTTATCCATCACAACGAAACGATATTGTTTTTGATCCTTAATCTTGGTTTCTTCAACATGATTACAATTTAAATTGTAGAGGGTGTCAGATTTCAATTTTCCATAATTATCGAGATAAAATAGTTCAGGAATAGTGGAGCTAAAATATGAATGTGGGTCAAATTTAGCTCCAGATTGAACTTTACACTGGAAACCTATTGGAATAATCATGTCTGTAGAATCGTTAACTCTGTTAATACCAAACAAATCGTTATGGTGTTCATTAGATGGAGTTATAAAAACTCCATCTAATAAATCCCACTTCTTCTTGGAAAAGTGTGTCCAGAACAATTCTTCTCCATTCATATCCTTCTTATTCTCTGGTGCTATAACTTGTTTGGAAATACAGTACTCTACATATCCATTTGCATCTAAACAATGTTTACACTTGAATATGTGGCCTTTTAAAATTGGATTGTTGGTGATTAGTGGTTTGAAACAACCAATTTTTGACAACCGTGTACCATCTAACTCTGCGAGTCTAAGCATAACAATGGATTCCAAATCGATGTTGTGGTCTGAAGATTGCAAGAGCAATTTGATCCTTTCTTGAATAATCTGTTTCATCAATTTTGATTTATCTTCAATCTTAAGTATCTTCTTTAGAATTTCTAGTCCAATTTCATATCCAATAAAATCCTTTGCAGAAAATACAAAATTAGGTCTGGTTTGATTATTTTCAGAACTTTCTGGTCCACAAAATCCAGAATATAATAAAGCGTCAGCAACACCATCTATGTGAACCTTAAACTCAGAACCTAAAAATGGAAAATGATAATGAGTAACATATTTAACAATGGCTTGTTGAATTCCTTCTTGAATTGCTTGTTGTGTGTCCAATCGAGGAGCCTGTGTTGAGTTATAGGTATCAAGATAAGGCTCTACACGCTTTTTTGCTCCCAATACAAACTCATCTACGGACAATTTAATAGCATCTATCAAGCTGTTGTGTGTAGAAAAATTTTCTAATGCCAATGTGATTAATCTTCTTCTAAAGTACTTGTAGCCCCGTTCATGTAAATAGAATAAAATCTCTTGCCTCTCGTTGTTTGGTATTTTGATATGTTTTTCTAAAAATGAAATGATATCATCTCTTGCAACCAAACCAAAGTCATATATTCTCCCTACATCAATCTTTGCTTCAGTTTTACCAAGAGCTGATTGTATAATACTTCCTACATCAACATAAAAATTAGTTCCAGAAAATATGGACAGATGAAAATTTTCTATGACACCAATGGATTGTGCAAACTTGGTTAACAGTCCTCTCTTCTCGCCACTCAAACTTATTAACTCTGAAAGGTTATTAGAGCCAGAATTGTTGCTAATGAAATCATGTTATGAATCACGTAAGAAAAATTAATCAATACAAACCCTTCATAAACGTTTGCTTCGTCAATAACAACTATAAAATATTCAATTTTCTTAACTATTCCAAATAGAGCAGAATTGTCATTAAGTGAATGAATTATCTTGTTCACCAAAATTGCAACAAATGACTTCAATATTTCGGGATCAGAATAAACAAATTTCAATGCGTAGGTTAGAGCTTCACGGCTTGCGCTGGTTTTGCCATTGGATTGCATATATGCAAGATAGGGAAGTATTCCGCCTTTAACAATATTTTCATTCCTATCTCTCTGAGCAAAGTATTTAAATACATTTGGATTTTGTTTTGCTTCATCAATTAGCTTTGAAATATAAATCAATCTACATATGAATACCATTAGCACTACTTGTTCTACTGAGCCAAAAAGTTCAAAAATATCTTGTCCCTTTAAGTAGCCAAATGCTTGACGCATCAACGAATCAGTGGTCAATCCACTAGATACCTCTGATGATGAAGTACATGTTAAAACCATTCCAGGATTACGACATAACAAACGCACGCAAGCTGATGTCTTGCCAGCACCAGATGGTCCCATAAACATTAATGTGCTGCGTTTGGTTTTAGGAGCTAGTCTTTTCAATACCTCATCATCTTGTGCCATAGTGTACTGGAATTGTGTAAAATATGGTAGCTCATGTTTGGCAAGTGAGCTAGTCATTAAAGGCAATTTAGCTGACCTATATTGTTCACCAAAGTTGGGATAGCCAAATTTAGTTTTCACAGAAGGAATATCAGTCTTTGCGCGCAATGTTTGCTCAAAATCATCAAAATTTTCAGCTTTCAATACCATTTTTGGGTACATGGTCGCCAATTCTCCCCGTGTTTTAGAATAAAAACGTTCGAAATTTGTTTCCATATTATGGCGTGCTTGTTCTATTTCTTTAAGAAGGTTCTGTGATTTTTGGCGAGGCAAAACAATTCTATCATTAGCCCAAGAAACAATAATTTGACAAGTGTCGGAGAGTTGAGGAACGTTATTCTTGTTATAAGTACTTTTAAGTTGATCAAGAGCAAAATATTCATCCTTCTTCATGATATTCTCAACAATGTTGTGGAGAGATGAGCCTTTAAAACCAGCATCACACAAAGGCTTCACATCATCAAACGACAAACCAGCACCACCCAAAGATTTACGAGAAGTCAGCACTGATGTAACTTGTTGCGCATTCCAACTCTCGTAATCAGTCAAATCGAGAGAGTTTTGTTGGGAGGATGAATGTCCTTGTTCTATTGCTTTCAGAAGGTTCTGTGATTTTTGGCGAGGCAAAACAATTCTATCATTAGCCCAAGAAACAACAGTTTGACAAGTGTTGGAGAGTTGAAAAGTCATTCGAAAACCACTGTCTTTTAAAGTGTTCTTGAATTGATCAAGAGCATAATGTTTGTCCTTGTCTTGGATATTCTCAACAATGTTGTGGAGAGATGAGCCATCAAAACCAGCCTCATACAAAGGCTTCAGCTTTTCAACCGACAAACCATCACCACCCAAAGATTTACGAGAAATCAGCACTGATGTAACTTGTTGCGCATTCCAACTCTCGTAATCAGTCAAATCGAAAGAGTTTTCGGGAGGAGTTGTTGAAGATGGCAGTGTTGTATAGTATTTGTTTGATGTATGATCACGGCTAACAATTGATGTTTCTTCTACTTCATCCATCATCATGGCTCTTGTGCGCGTTGGTAAATCATCTGATGCAGAATCAGTTATGTGCGAGCTTGAAGAAGATGAAACATTGGTTGCTTTGGCGTGAAATTTTTTCTTCTTCGTTTTTGGTTCGGTTGTGATGATTGTACCTTTTTGTTGCTCGGAATGTTGTTCCAAAGTATTCTTCTTTCTTTTACGTTCTTTTTCCTTTGAGCTCGTAGGTACTCTCGAAAGCTTGGTTTCTTTTTCTTTCTTTGTCTTTCGTTCGGCTGCAGGTGCAGAGGCTTGATGCTTCGGCATTTTATTATCTAAATTTTTATTTTAGGTTGTTCTCACGTTATGAAGATATTTATAGAATTACAAATAACTTTTTCTTAATATTCACCTGAATTAAAAAATTGCAATTTTTTTGTCACAAAGAACAAACGTTGATGAAATCCTGTATCATTCGCGTTCATCGTTATTTAGATCCAAATCAATCACAGTCTTCAACCATTCACTGTTCGCAATATATTTAACACCTTCATTGTCAATTCTATAGCTACACAAATTCAAATAAGTCATATTCTTCAAATATTGACTCTTAGTAATATATTTGACACTTTCGTTGTCAATTCTAATGAAAGACAGTTTCAAAGAAGTCAACTTGTTCAACCAAATATATTTGACACCTTCATTATCAATTCCGTTGTAACTGAGATCCAAACAAGTCAAATTTTTCTAGCATTCGCTTGTACCAATATATTGGATTCCTTCACTGCTAATTTCATTGCCAGATAGATTTAAATTAGTCAAATTCTTCAAACAATCATTCATAGCAATATATTTAGCGCCTTCATTGCCAATTCTATTCCAATACAAGTTTAAACAGGTCAAATTCTTTAAACATTCGCTTGTAGATTTTTTTTCGAAAACGAACGAAAAACGAGTTTTGCAAACGAGTTTCAACGACTTTGAACGAGTTCCAACGAGAATTAAACATTATTTTCATCCCACCTGAAAGGTGTTTCAGCTTATTTTTCAACCCCGACGTTTTTCGAAAGTTGGATGTAGTTGTAAAAATGCGCTTGAGTTGCACATCCGTGATTTCAACAACAAAAAAAAATGGTCTACGCGCTCACTCACACTCCCGAAGCAAACATCCTTCATTTCTTGGCTCGCTATGATAAATTATGGTTCTCTTCCTTTGATAAATTTATTGATAATTTGGATTGGATGAAGGTTAACTTCCATTATTGCTACATGCATAATTTGCCTGAAGATGTGCGACCTCCATTTCCATATCTGGTTTCGGTTTTGTCATTGTTATCTTGCTTTTTGTTGTTCTTTTTATCAAAATTGCTCTCTCCTTTCATCTTTAAAGCCTATAATGCGTTAAAAGAATCCGATAAAGAGAAGTGGGATGTAAAATTCGTGAGTGCTCTCCACGCTGCATTTGTATTCCAAGGAGCAGTCCGTTGTTTGATTGCTGGTGGAGGATTGTTTTTCAATTCAAATGATAGTTTACTCGGATATCAAAATCTTGTGTGCGGATACTACACTGACTTGAGTAGATTCTACATGGCAATCACCTTCGGATATATGTTTTATGATTTTTGGGTGTGCATCAGAGCGTATGGATTTACTCTTGAAGGAATTTTCCCATCACTTGTAATCCATCACTTTAATATCATCATTTCATTCTTGTTGGCTCTCAAGTTTGGAATGGGTCATTATTATACATTGAGTTTCATGACCAACGAAATTTCACAACCATTTTTGCATTTGAGTTGGTTTTTGATTAAGAGTAAGGTGCCACAAATGCACCCCATTTCAATACTCAACGGACTTTGCTTGGTATTGACATTCTTGGGTAGCAGATTTGTGTTCAACCTTTTCGTTTTTGTACACTTTGTTGCGAACACTTTGTCATTTGATCCAACCATTTGTTTGGGTGTGGGAACTTGGACTTGCTTTATTCATGTAGCATGTAATTGGCATTGGTGTTGGCTAATGATTTTGCAAATTCGCGACATGGTGGTCAAAAAGAAGAAGACAGAAACAAACCCTCCAGCTGTATCTCAAGAGGAAAAGAAAAATCAATAATTTATTCAACTAAATCATAACAATTTTGGAATTGTTTTGAATGAACATATTTCCTTTTTGCAATTATTATTGTTGTTGCAATTTATGAACAATATTATGAATACATGTTTGTTTACTCGTTCAAAACTCGATATGCAAGTTTGGGGAACAACACAGTCTCCAAAAACCATGAACCCAACACAACCTCAATGAATAGAACGCTGCACAATGAGAATGACAATGTAATCAAAATTCCACACCACAACGTTCCAACCATACCAAAAATGTCTGAACCTCTAATGACAACAGACTTGAAAACACTTCTTGGACACAACATGACTGCATTGTTCACGCCTTGTGAAGGTCGATCCAGAATGGGTATTACAAATTTAGGTACTAAATTCGTTGGATGTCTCTCGTGTAGCAAGGTCGTTCTTTGATTTTGTGTACTTTGCACTTGTGAAATGTCAGAATAAATCGATGAAATGAAGCATTTGGTGGAGGCGGTTCCAAGCGTGTACAGTCCAAATTTTGTTTGCTCGTTCTTGTACTCCTCAGAACTTGGGTCATACCCTTGCTTATTAAATTGATAAATGACATCACCAGCTTGTGAGCAACAAACCACATGATCACTATAACTTAGAGCAAGCGCAAGAAATACCACTACCGAAACAAGTCCAATCACAAATATGAACATGGCTGGTACAAATATTTGCAATTGTCGAGCACGACGACTTCTTGCCTTAGCTCCAAATAAATTAAACCAAATAGAACATGCAAAACAAAGTGGATCATTATCTCTCAACGTCTCAAAGGTTGTAGTCTTTCTCTTTTGATATTTTTCAAGTAATTTACATGAAAATCCAAACATAAATACGGCAGCAACTACAAACACCAACGCTGTAATTGCAATCAATGCATTTGTAGTGTAAGGTAAAAATGTTAACTCGTTTGAAATTTTTCCATCTCCAACAATGAATGAAATAATTTCATGATGGTAAACTCTTGTTTGATTCCAAATGGAGACATAAAACGAGCTGTTTGGTTGCAGCGCATTGTATCCAAATTGTGTAATATTATGATACGATGAGTAATTATACAGAGATTGAAGACTGATGGAGAGAGAATATTTGGCCATATAATAGTACGAAGGTGATGTCACATCCTTTTCTACCTTCTTATATTTGTAAATTTCTTTCTCTAATGTAGCATCTGGTGGAATATTTTTTGATCCGACTTGAGGTACAACCAGTTTTTGAAAACCTCCAACTATGGAGCAAGAGAATTCATTCAAATCCACAATATCCCAGAATGTTATTTCAATACGAAATAGTGTTAATGCTAAATAGTCATTTGGGTTGACTGGGTTGATGTTGATGGGAAGTAACTCATTCTGAGTTGTTTTTTGTTCAAAATTCTTGTAATATTTCGTCATTATCTCATTAATGTCAAAGGAAAATACGAATGGAGCGTAGGATGTAATGGTTGATACTGGTGTGAGGTTGGTATTGGTTCCGTTCGTTTGTTCCAAAGATAAGGAGCTTGCACTTGTTGTGACATTCTGATATCCATTAAGAGAGATCATAGGATTGTATCCATCATATCTTGTTGTGAGTGCCACTGCTCGAGGAAAGGAGCTATACGACAAAACCGTCACAGTGGAAGTAGTAGCATTGGTCCCATTATTCATGTCGCCAGCACATACAGCGTTTGACGTGTTTTGGAATAGGCTCTGATAGATGGTTCTACTGAAATCCGACACGCCGTACGACGCAAAGTCTCTTCGAGCAAATAGTAAATTTGAACTTGAAAGTTGAAGATATCCGTCTTCTTTAAGCTCTGAAAATTCCCATGTTGAAATGTTGTACCCTCCAAGAGTGACAGTGTTATTAATGGGTGGTGTTAGTAAGATGGGTTGTTTTGTGAAAAATATAAAAGAGCCACCGTTAGAGCTGAGTACATAATTAATGGTTAACATGACATCTGAAACAACCTCAACAGTTGAATTCAATGTAAACGAGTTACGGAAGCTAATATCACAATCATCACTGTATGGAACTTCTCCAATCTTTGAGTAAAACGAGATTGGAAATACAGCGCCTTGAATAACTACAATGGATGTATAAATTACATTAAATGGAACGTTAGAAAGTTGTTTGCCTGGATCGTACTGAGAATTGTTAATATAACCTCCAATACTGATAACATCAAAGTGTGCATCTTGAATTGTTTGTTGAATTTTGTCTACAAATATTGTGGGTTCATCGATCCAGAACGAGGCCTTTACCGTGGCAGTCATAGTGTCTCCGCCAGTATTGTCGTGTGTAAAAATATATCCAAAGTACCATTCATGATCATAAATGGTATCAGATAGTTCAATATGACCATTAATTTGCAATCCACAGGCTACATCTTTGAAATCATAGAGCTGTGTATTCGGAAATAAATCTTTCCTTATATAAACACCAATGTTGGGGTTTTTGAGAGTACGTGTGGGATTTGAAATAGTAAAGGAATATCTGAGCATATTTCCCAATAGCTTGGTATTATTGCTATATCTCAATATCTTCATCTTGGTTGTGTAATGCAATAAAAATGGTTCCCTCTTCTGGTAGACAGTTGTCACAGAGGAGGAAGCAGCTGACAGCAAAATTCTTTCATCATCAGTTAAATAAGCTCTTGTTTTGTAGTAGCATTTGAAGGGACAAGATTTTCCATAAACAGCCAACAAGTAGACTTGTTTTGTGCTTGACACATCCTTGTAAGACCACGATTCTTTGGTATCGGTATTCGGTTTGATTATCGATGGAATCAAGTATGCTGGAGTAGGAGAAGGTAATTTGTGCATTTGCCAATCAAATGGAAATGCAGGATACTTTCCTGTGGTAGTTTGGGAGGCAACTGATATGAAAATACTGAGCGAGTCCGAATACGTTGCCGTTGTCTCAAACAGAATGTTCAAAATGGCGCTGTCGGAATATGAAGTGACATAGTAGAATTTCCAAGACCTTAAAAAAAGGGATGTATCTGTGATTGGATCGCTATTGATTGCTGGATGTACCATATTAATAATTTTAGGACTGACTACAAATTGCACCAACTCGGGGTCTGTGAGAGTGGTATCATTGGAAATAGATGTCATTGCAATTGTGAATGTTGTAGCATCCAGAATGGTGTTATCGTATCTAAAGAATGGAATTGATATGCTGTATTGATACTCAGTAGTAGACAGCACAAATAATTCGTCAGAGTATACTCTCCTCTCAAACAGTAAAGAATCTGTGTCTGAAATCCTGATATTAAAATCAATTTTGTCTGAAAATATAAAGTCAAGCAGCACAATAGGTTTTGAAAAACTGGTCACATCGCTAGGCAATACTTTAAGTACGAATGTGGCAAATCTATTTGAAGAAGAGAAAGAAATCCTATCCTTCAATTTTGTTCCCAATGTCAACAATCTCTTGATATCATTGGAAAATAAATTTACAGCTAGCACACCCTTATTGTCGTTTGGATTGGAATCCAACACTGGAGTAACACTTTTAGAAGGATTCAAAGAATAGGTGATGGTAGTAGTGTTTACACCTTGTTGTTGAGCTTGTATACTTGTGTGCAATACTAGAGAAAAATTGTTACCAAAAGAAGGAACTATGCTCTCAATGATAGTTGTGTTGTTGGTTCCAGTCACATTGACCAAAACAATAGCATCAATGACACAATTCAGTACAAGACTGTTCCATGTGCAGTACCTATCGAGAATGGGACATGCGTAGGTACTGTTGGTATAATTGCATAAATTTGAAGGCGTTGAAGGAATATAGCTGCTTGGAATTACAATGGATAGACCATTGACGGATAAAGTGGCCAAAGAGGAAAATTGGAACGTGATATCCAGAGACCTGGATGCATCTGGTCCACTGTTGCTGACATTAAAAATCAAATCTTGACTCAAAGGAGAAGTAATATTGGAAATGTCAACATCCAAATTATTTCCGTTTGATGAAGTAACTGCATAGCTTGTAATGTTTCCTTCATGCACGTAACAATAGGTTAAATCTATTCTGTTTACACAAATATTTGTATCGTAAGTACGGTCAATCCTAAATTGCGTAGTAGGTGATTGTATTACATTTTTTAAAATGTCATAATTAGTGTATGAAAATGCAAATTGTGAACATCCAAAACATGAGCATCCTCCACTGACTAACGTTGAGCTCACAAAGGGCTGATTATTAAATGATATAGTCAAAATGTTGGATTGATTCATAAGTAGAGTATTGGTGTCACATGTGTCATATTGAAACAATAAATTTCCGCTTATTGCCACAAGCTTATCAGTAGACAGTAAAGGGTTTGAAAATGAAATAGCTCCTCCGTTCCAATCTGTGTTATCTGAGCATGTAAATGATCCGTCACAAATTTGGCACGTAGAAATGATACTGTTTGCATATGCAATCGATGTTGAGTATTGCAAAAATCCGTTTGGGCATTGATACAATTGTAAATTAGATGCAGTTGTTGGGCCCACTGCCATTACCAGAATTGTCAAGATGAACATAGTAGTATAGGATGTACGTTTTGATGAGAATTTTGTAAGATAAATTTGACAAATCATGATTAATCGTGAAATATAATCCATGACCATTCCTATTAAACGATCCATAGTTTGAAATTTTACCAAATCAGATTCATCATGTCCGAATAAAACTAATTCTGAACAAACAGAAGAACGATCAGTATTATTGTTAAGTCTCATGAACAGAATGTTGTTGTAGTGTTGATCTAAAAAATAGCCCTCCGTATTGTTGTTCTCATTTTCCGAGTGGGCCAATGATGTGATCGTACTATTGCTTCCACGATGATCGTGCCCCGAGTAGCACCGGCGTTCCCGATAGGCATCATCGGTGAATGAGTTTCGCATTTTTTGTTAGCACAATAAAACAAAATGGAATGCTGTGGGGTGACTTGTTTAAAAGTGAAGTTAACTCGAAACGAATCGTGCATCATGAAAAGAAATTTAATGGAGAAGAAAACATGTTTCAACAAATAGTGTCATCATTGTGGTCAATTTCCGACTCGGTCATTTACTCTTCCATTTGCGTAATTTTAATATATTTGTTCATTGTGAAATTGTTGGTGAAAATGGAAGCAGTACCGAGATTTCCCACACGAAAAAACGAGTAATTGGATTAACAACGCAAGAATGGTCAACATGTACTTGGGTGGTATCATCGATCTATGTTCGAGCTCTCCATCTCTTGTTTCATTCTTCTAAATGTATTCATCCATTTCATTTCTGCGAACATGTATCCAATCGTCCTACTGGATAATCCCAACGTGTTATTAGTAAGACTAGCTATGAGCGCCACTGTGCTGCTGTTGTGAGGACTATTGGCTTCCTTTGCTTCAGCATCCCGATACCTTCTCTTCCACATTTCTTTGCTTGAACCTGGATCCAATTCTAACATGAGGGTCACAAAATCATCAATTTGGAGTCTGTCTTTTTCAAACCTGACAAGGACTTTACTTTCTCCAAGCTCAGACCAATATTCTGTAACATCACGAAAAGCAATAATGAAGAAAGTATTGAGCTTGGAAAGGAAGTATTGATTGCTCTCCAGACAAACGGGATCAGCCACCAAGATGTCATTCAGTAGACATTCACGTTCTTCCATGGGAACCTCTTGATACATGAAATCTAAAATTTCAAAAACACTTTCTTTTTTGAGAGGGGTCTTTGAGTCTTTTGCATAACTATTCCACTTATTTCTGAGAACAAATAATGCCAACGAGACACTGCAGCCAAAGGCAACATCATTGAGACCTTCCAATGCTTTACAAAACTCCAAAATATCCTTCAGATTGAATTTGATAGAAAATATTATTGAAAATAAGAATTTCAAACTTACAGCATGCTTTGTCCTGTACTCGTCACACGCCGTTAAAAACTCAAAACTGATTTTGTGTACAAGCTCTTGAAGAACAAATACTTGTTCCAGGGTTACAAAGAGCAATTCTTGGAGAGATTTAGGTTCCTTATTTACAAGTCTATATTCTTTGAAATATAATACATAGGTATCAAGGATAATTTCTCGTGCTTCCTTCAAACTCATCTTCCTAGCAATAGTTTCAGGAAGCACCTTGTTACTATACCTAGATTTGTATGTTGTCCATATTTTACCGTTACCGCTATTGGGAGAGGCTGAATGGTGATCATTACCAGCAGGTGGTTTTTTCAGAACTGGTTTTAAGAAGGTATGCTTTTCGTCATCCTCTTCTGCATGCTGGTGGAACAGTATTTGCTTAGTTTCAAAATTCGTGGCCGATTTTAAGGTTTCAATCACATTGGGATGTGTCTTGTGGTAATGAAGATGTGAATGCACAATTTTCATATGCGTTGTATTGGGTGGTACCTCTACAACCTTTTGGGTGTGAGCGTTTGTGTTGACAAGTTTCAACAACTTACCTCAGGAGAATAATTGGGCATGATGGTACTTCTATGGCCCATTTTAAACGTCTTTCCGTCCTTGGAATAATATATCTCAATGGAGTGCCTTAAACTGAGAGCGTCCAATCCCATCATTGGAGATGTAAGATCATTCGTGAGGCAATACGAAAGTTTTTTAGATTTCTTTTTGTTTTCGTCTGATTTTCTTCGTTTGATCCGCATGCTATTTTCATCAAGTCTGTTCACCTTCTCTTGTAATAACAGCATTTCTCGAGTTAAAAGTTGAGCATCCGCAACAAAGTCTGATTTTATCTTGTGTTTCTGTTTGGAAAGGTGAGTTTTTGAAAGGCATACCGCAAACACTTACCTCCACTTCTTTCGCTTGATGTATGTCAAAGTTGTACTCGTCTATTCTTCTATTCTCCAGCATTTCTAATTGTTCATGCAACTTGGATAGAACATTAACATCTTCTTCTAAAGAGTGCATTTCTTTAACGTCTTTCATCTTGTCTCTCTTTAACAGGAAATAAGTTTTCTTCTTATTTTCATTCTCTTCCCTGTACGATCTTAAAAACCGAAGATCTGCTCTCAATTTGGCGTTCTTTTTCTCAGAGTCTTCAAATTTCTGTTTCAATTCCTTATACGCTTGATCTGAACTTTCTTTTAACTTGGCATATTCATCTTTGAGTGAGTCTATTGTTTGTCGCAACGTTTTTATCTCTTCTCTTAAGAAGGCTGTTGTCAATCGTTCTTCTTGTAGCTCCTTTCTATTCAAGTTATGGTCTCAACTACAATTATTTTGATTTACAAGTACTTACTGTAATCTGTTCTTTTCAGCCTCACTCTCAGAAAAAATGTCATAGTCCTGAACAGCTTTTTTCATGCCCATAATTAATCTGTTTGAAATGGTAATTATTTGCATTGACCCATCCTCACTTGCCAATACTTACTCCTCTTCTTTTTCTTTAATTCTTAACGTGTAATAAGGGATTTTTAAAGAATATATTGAATGATTTTCCTCGCTTAAGGTATTAAGAAATAAACAATCCTCAAAAACTAATCTCATAGTTCCGTAAATATATGATTCATCGGAATTTTGGCATGTATTTTCAAATTCTTGCAAAATTGTCAAGCAGTAGTTCAAGAGGCCGAGTTTTTATATTTTGCAGGACTCTCAAGCGCTTTCTCAACTAATTCTTTCAATTTAACTTCCATCAACAGCACAGAAGACTTCCACTTTTTTGCATTGCTAAACATTTCGTGATCTTGCTCCATGATGGATGCCTTGGAGTATTTCGGAGAACGTTCTGCATGCAAAGAAGAGAATCGTGTTCGTCCCTTATTCGAAAAATTGTCCCTGTTGTGTCGTTTTTGTTGATTCAATCCCGATCCATTCAAAAGAGTCGGTGTCAATGTTCCCTCATAACGATCATCCACAGCATGATGATCCGTAAAATTGAGTGCGGAAATTGCTTTCCTCCCTCCATACATTTTTTTGAGATGAGGGAACATGGCTGTGATTCCTCAAGATCAGAGATAACACGATGGAGGTTGAAATTTACAGCTCGTTTTCAAACGTTCTCATGATCTTATCTGACATGAATGCCATCGAATATATTTCATCAACTTGGGCTGAGAGAAACAATTCAATTAGAAAACAAAACAGAAAAAATTCACGCATTGCCCACACCCAACCACTCTACTCGCACACGTTCCAGCGATCACTAGGATTTTACATTCTCTTCTTGATTTATTATTGTTGAACTGTTATCTTTCAAGTTGTTTGTCATCAATACCGAATCATCATCATAACGGCTAGGCTATTAATTTGGGAATTATTAGGAATTTTACAAACAACCACAGGGCACATCGTCGTAACTCAAAGCAACACAATCATCATCATGACCAGCAGCACCAACAGTAACGAACACGCATTATCACATGATGATGACTCTGCAAAGAAGAAAAAATCATCACCAAACATGAACAAGCGAGCAAAGAAGGTGAAAAAGCCAACATCAAAACCAGCTACCACAAGTTCCGGAACCACTACTACTACTACTACCGTTTCTACAACATCCTCATCTCCATCCAACAGTGGAAATAGCAAGTCCACGAAATGCCAAGTATGCAACTCATCGGCAGAAACCAACAAAAACTTCATGCTCACTTGTAAGACTTGTGGAATGAAAATTCATCTCAACTGTTACGATAATGATCATCTTTCTAAGAAATTTGCAAAGAATTGGGAGTGTGTGGAATGCAAAAGTTGTGAAGTTTGTAAAAAGTCAACCTATGCTGCAGATAATCAAATATTAATTTGCAATAGATGCGATCGTGGGTATCATCAAAATTGTTGCACAGGCAAGTTCCGAACCATTCCAACGGGAGACAAACCTTGGTTTTGTGAAGAATGTTGGACATATTTATCGGAAAAGAAGAAGAAGAAGAAGAGAAAAACCGAGGAACCTGCTCAACAGGAGCCACCTCAACAAAGTGAAGAAGGATCTCTCTTCGAGTTAAAACCAATCGAAGAACAGCAACAGGATGTTACCAAAGTGCCAACATTGATTGCAACCAATGATTCTACAATGCACAATGGAACTTCTCATCATCAATCTCCATCAACTACAACACCAACTCTTGAAGTAGCAACCACTGCAGCAATTATTCAACCCGAAACTACAGCACCAAACGTGGCCTCTCTTCGTTCTACAATTTTAGAATCCAAGATTAATGTCTTTGTGGTTTATATATTTGGAGACAAGGAAATTTATTCGTCACAAATGATGATTGACAATATTTCACAGAGCGACCTCCATAGGTCTCCAATTAATTATTTCCAAAATCTTAAACACTTGTTAATAGAGCGTTTAAGATTAAAACTTGAGGAGGTTTTGATGGATGAGGATTGCGACGATGAAATTAAGGCTCTATTTTTGGTCCAAAAATTTGGAATTAAACGGCTGGCGATCAAAGAACGTGATCGATTTGGAAGTGAAATCAGGGTTGAAATTGATAGATGGTATTTCGAGCAATACAAATTGAAAGATGGAGACACAATTTTTGTTGAGCTAACCCTCAAATCAGCACAAGCATCTTCAAGCACACAAGACGAGGAAAATGGAACCACCACAGATGAATGAATATACGATTAAAGATCCTATTCCAATTCCACATATCCAGAAATCACTTCCATTATTTGAAGTGACGTTTATAATAGTTTGACAGTTCCGTCATACTACTTACGCGAGATGAAAGAGAATCAAAAAAATGTCGACTTTATCCATCTCCCACACATCAGACGGCTATCTCAACGTTACGGCTGAATACTTCACTCCCTTATGGGCAACTTCCACATCAATCTCTATTTCTTCCATTTTTATTATATGCTTTGTTTTATATTTTATCTTCTATTTCATCTTTTTGATAAGAATGCGAAATCGAAAAGAATTCAAACGAAATCATAAAATTTTGTTTGTACTGGTTGGGGTTTGTGTCACGTTTCAGTTCATGTGTTTGGTCATGAGCATTGTGTATAATATTCTCAACAAGAATGCCCGATTCCAATTAGAAAATGGTGCAAATGTCACTTGGGCATTCTTCATTGGACTACAAACTGCATTGGGTTTGAATAACTTTTTTAGATTCACCAACGTTGTGATTCTCTTTGTCATTATTTACTTTGTACAAATGATTTTGTAAGTGATTTTCATTCTAATCATAGCTATTCAGTGGTATCATTGCTAAAACATTAACCAAGTTGGAAAACAGCTCGTTTGACACGAACCATCTCATCTTTATCCTTTCGATATATCAAAATACTGATGAATATAGTGAATCTTGCATTTGTCGTTACTGGTATGCTGTTCGTTATGGTTGTGGTTGTTTCTGACGTGTTACTGCGACTCGGTTACATTTCCAATCTCATCACCACTGGTGTTTATGTTGGTTGTTTTTTCTGCATTGTGTTCATGATTGTTTTTGATTCTATTATGGCTCTTACTTCCGGAATTTTGGTGATCAATACCATTAAGCGAACCGCACAGAATGCAGAACGCATGACCAATAGGTTCACAGAATCAGCGCCTGCAGCCACGAAGAAAGAAGATGTTTCATTGTATCAGGAATCAACAACAGAACAGAATAAGGGATTTCCCAAGTCCAATGAAACAGGAGTGCGATTTCAAAAACGAGTTCAAAATCCTTTCAAAATGACCTTTGGTTTATTGTTTGCGTTGGTCATGTGTGTGGTGATGGAGGTTGTAGCTGGTGCTACTGGTAGTACCTCATCCGTGCATTTGAGTTTGGGTTTGATTTGGCACTTTTGTAATTCGTCAGGGATCTTTTGCTTTGCAGCTGCAGTATTGATCTTATTTTATCCTTCGATTTTGGTCACCAATGATGCTATTCAAGAGCTCGAAAAACAAAGTTTGGGAACAGCTCAACAGGCAATTTGAGCAACCTCTAAAATAAATGGTATATTTGCGTTTCTCTATGTCAAAGACACTTTCGCTGCAAAGGTCGATGGTACGCAAATCCATCTAGAAATCGAAAACGGAAGAAAAGATTTATTACATGAGATGTCCAAGTACAAACCACAATAATATTATTTCTATTCATTATTACTGTTGTTGGCAAGGAAGGACCGTTTTTGCACTGAGGTTGGACTTGTTTGTTGAGCTCCACTCACGTCAAATGTTAGAGTGATAATTTCGCCTCGTGCTGTCAAAACATTCACTGAAACCGTTTGGTCATCTTCAGCTTTTCTAGGAGCAAACGAAACAAGGGTTGGAATGTTGGCAAGTCCATCTTCACCTCCACGATATTCACCAAAGCTCCATTCACTGTTGAAAATGTTGGCAATATAACCTCCAACAAATGAAAAACTTGAGGTTCTATTATGAGTCTTTTCAACAAGAGAAAATACGTGAATTGTTCCAGTATCAGATGAACATGCTAAAAAGTTAGAATCATCAGAAAAAGCGATAGAATAGATTCGAGCTTGCTTTGATCCTCTTCTTACTTCCTTAACCATTTCCTTAGATTTTGTGTCAAAAACTCTAATTAAGGTTCCTTTTTCTGAGGCTGTTGCCAATCGAGTTCCATCTCTATTGAGAGCAATTTGTGCAATTTTTGAATTGTGTGCTAATATATGAACCTTCTGTTCTGGGAATGAGCTCAAGTGATTCACCGCCACCATTCCAATTTGCACAGAAGGCTAGTTTTGACAATCGACGTCGTCAGTAAATAATCAATATCCAGTAAATACCAATTTCTCACTCATACTTACATATGCAAGAACGATATGTTCGGTATCAGGAGAAATTGCGACAAGGCCATTTGGATTTTCAGTGGTGTGATCCCGCCCTCGTTCTTTGATGTCATGATCATACACAATGACTTGATCCTCCAAAACAACAACCAATAAATTCTTTTGTAATTTTACAGCCTTGATTGGCTTGTTGCCAGTCAATATTTCTGTTGTTGACAATTAATCGTTCAATGATAAAAGTTGACACGCATTAATATCAGAAAACAGTAGCTATTTAAAACCATACCTGAAATACACTTCTTTTGACTGTCTTCCCACAAAATAACACGATCAGGGTTGAAAGCAGGTCTAGGTCCGCCGCCGACCAATGCGAAAATGCTAATCATTCATATTGATGTTGATTCGGAAGACTGTAAGCACAAAGAAAGCTGCTACTTACTTTGATTTGAAGAGCATCTCAACAATACCAATTCCTCCATTGAATACTGGTATTATGAAAATTTTGTGTGATCGTGTATGATGAAAATATGAACAAAACAACAAATTGATCGGAAATAAAAACCGATGAAACTTTGAATACGTGATGGAGAGAGCCTAAACTTACACATCTTGGTTCTTTCCTTTAAGTTCTGAGTGGAATATACATAAAAGCCTTGTTCTGTACCAACAGCAAAAAGACTGTTCAACTGATTAAATCCGAAGAACAAAATGTTCTTTTCCTTGTCCTCCACAACTTCATGCTTTGCTCCGCTGTCTTGCATTGATGTCGATTGCTGAACAACTTCATCAAGATCAACAGATAAACCTCGGGATGGAGACGGTTGATTGTCTGTTGTGTTGTTTGCACCGAGTTGCTTGTAATAGTAAACGTTCATGTTGGTGCTGATTTTTTATGTTGGTTTGACTGTTGTTCGAAGAGGGACTAATTTTAGGCTTTCGTAACGTCAATATTAAACCCCTTGTTTTGCAACCCTAAATGCAATCTTGACGAAATCGTGGATGTCCAACTCAAGTTTTTTGTTGTTGGAAGGAATCGTTTCGTTTCAATTCTAACGATTAAGGAGAGGGCATTGCATTAAAAATGAGTTCATCATCACCCGCTTATTACGATGAAGAAATTGAAGAGATTTGCAAGGAAATATCAAAGAAAATAGTAAAGGTGAATAAGGGAGCAGTGGATGGCAAGAAGCAGGCATTCTTTGATGAAATAGATAAAGATATGGAGAGGGCGAAGAAGGCTTTCAAAAACATGTATAGGCTTGTAAGGAAAGAAGGAGTTGATCAAACATGGAAGAAGAAACTCTCTCAACACCAAAACGAAATCCGAAAACTTGAACAAAATCTTGCCACAGCGAAGGATAAATCTACTAAGGATGAGCTTCTGGGAACATCCTCTTCTGCTGGTAATGAAAAGAAGAAAGATCCTTCCAAAAAGAAACGTCGGGAGGAAGATGATGAGGTCGTGGAAGTTGTAGCCTCCGAGAAGGTTCAACAAAACAAATCCCGTAATGATCAACTTGCAGATGAGTTATTCAAAGAAATTTATGAAACACAAGGTGATTCTTTGGATATAGTGAAGAGGCTGATTGATAAGGCAGACGAAACGAAAACAATTGCTGCAGAGTCCATGGAAATATTAAAGAGACAACGAGAACAGTTAGAAAAGATTGATAAGGAAATGGATGAGCTGGGAAGTAACATCAAGAGAGGATCCAATGAAATTAAAAGCTTTATGAGAAGACTGGCCACAGACAAGCTCATCATGATTTTGATTTTACTGGTTGTGCTTGCAGTATTAGGCATAATTATTTGGCGAATTGTAGACTATGTCATTAAGAAGGTATCCCCTCCATCGAACGACAATAATAACAACAATGGAAAGGTAACACCTTCCCAGAGTCCAAAACCTGCAAGTTATTAAACTCAACTCCTTGTATTTCTTTGCTCGAATCCCCTCGACACATCACACCAAAAAAACGACAGCATGGTACGAACGCCCACAACCCCACAACGCAGGGCGAGCACAGCCAAACAGACTCCCACTACCGAATCATCTGCGGCAGCCACGCTCGGAAGTATGTCTTCGTATGAGTCCATGGGAGATTTGTTCAAAAAGCATGCTATAAAACAGATCCGAAGGTACAAAGAAAATATCGAGTAAGTACACATGATGCTTATATTTCCGAATTTATATAAATCATTATCAAAATTTTGCTACAGTGAGGACATTTCTCTTAAACAAAATCAACTTCGTGATCTCGTAGGAGAGAGGTACAAAGATATCATCGAAGCAGCTGGTATGTGGACTGATGACAATTTTTAAATATCGGATGATTCATTTATTCATTTAATAATTATTTCAATTAATTATTATAAAATATCATTTGCAACAATTATTGGATCGATATTCTTTCCTATCATCATCATTTAGATTGTATGGAATCGATTCAGCAACTGTGCATGGCCTCAACCAACCAGTTTGTTGAAATGACAACACTTATCGATGAATATAAAAACAAATCCTTTGAAACTCCATCGTCACAACCGATGGACAACTCTGCTGAGAACATTAATCCAAAATTGCAATACAAACATTTATCACAAGTAATCGATTGGGTGAGTAGAGTATATTTCTTGATACTTTGTTACAATATTATGTTTTATAGATGTTGATTTGTGTGGAAAGTAACATGTTCTTTTATGCCTCCATTTGTTGTATCGTAATTGAAAAAATTTTGAATTCCAATATTGCACGACCAATTAAATCATCTGTAAAGATTCGAGAATTTCAGAGGCTTAAGAAAAAATTGATTGTTAATTGTAAAAAAGCCGTAAGATCTCAAGCTACTGACATGGTATGTACTTTTGGCACAAATTGCAATTCTAAAAAGTTTTGAAGAATTACATTCAATGCTTACTCTCTCTAATGCTGTGTGAAAAACAAACCGATGGAGAAGTACTCCGCTCTTTTCTACATGAAAGAGACTTATTTATACATGAAGCTGCAAGACGTAACGATGATATTCCAATAAGGCAAAAAATTCAAGTGATAGAAACTGTTTTTGACATCTTTTTCGATACAATTTTCATTTCGAATAACTTGTTTAAATGTAATGGAGAACTTTTATTTTTAAAGCAATTTTTAAGGAAAATAATGGATGTGAATTTTCTATCAATTGCTACAAGAATGAGCCTTCATGGAAAACAAGATCATCAATTTGATTTACTCAGCGGCGAAAAAACCATTTCAACCATATATAAGGGCGCCTTTCCTAAAATTTTCAAACAGTACGCCATCTCTTCTGTTGAGAGCGTGATGCATAATTCATTTTGTTCTTCAGATCACGGGATTACTATCCAGAACTGGATAAAGGAAAAGGTCGGACATGTTCACGAGTTTTTCACCAACATGATATACCACACTCAAAATATTCATGATCTTGTGACCATCAAAAACAAATTGAGAGAAAAGATTGTCGATAGTGCCACCAATGAAGCTGAACAGAGATTTCCAGTTATTTTAAAGAGCTGTTGTGGATTTTCTCCTGATTTTGATAACGAAAGGGCTGTAAGAAAACTATGGAAAGATGTAAGTACTCTCAATATTGCGAGTTAGGCATGTTAATGCTTCTCTTTCAGATGGTCATTAATCAAATTGAACCTACATCTCTTTGGGGCCTTTTAAACAGCTCTTACACCAAAAAGAAGCACTCACTCATCACTTCTCAATTCCATTCTCTCATTTTCAATGTAGACACTACAGAAAGTATTAGTTATACCAACATTGGTGAAGAAATATGGAAAACGCCTATCATAGAAAACGATTTATTATTTGACAGATTCATCAATAATAGCAGGAAAAATTATTTCTCATCAAATCCTGAAGACAAGACGACTTTTAAAAGCATAATTACTGTTCATGGGACTACTAAGGAAGTTAGAAGAAAAGTAAGAAATGAATTATTTGAAGATCAGCTTTTGCCTCTTTGCAAAGATATCTTCGAGCTCATTGACGATGTTCAATCAACAGAAGAGCACACCGAACTACAAAACTTAATTCTCAACGAATATTTCCAATTTTTTAACAATTTAGCCATGTCCATACAAGAGGCAATACGGAATCCAAACACAATTCTACGCGAGTCATCCGCCTCATTGATAGAAAAGCAGCTATACTGTGCCAGAGTTCTCCAATCGCTTAGAAAGCTGTATATTGATCTCTTTTTGGAAATTTTTACAAGACTGTCATTATTTGGAAATAGTGAAGACTCTTTCGTTTCATTAATGAGAAAAACCAAAACACAAATAGCAAACCTAAAACCAAAATCCAAAAAAGCACCTTTAAAGGATGATATGGCAACAAATCACATAATGAAATTCCTTGAGATTGAAAACAGATTTGGTTCTGTTTATTTGGAAGCTTTTGAGGATTGGATTACAAAACAATCCGAACACGTTGTAAAACAAATACAGTATGAATTGGAGAATGATCAACAATGGAACAGGCCCACCCGAAAAGAACTGTGGCAAACATTTTCCAACGAGAAAGATGGAGAAACATTCAGTTTACCTTTCAGAACGTCGTATTCTGTTTTCAATGCCTTACATGAATTGGCTATTTCTATTTACTCAATAGGAGATTTCAACATTGACAAGACCGTAACAGACAAGCTGTCAGAGGTAACAGCGAACCGTGTGTTCACAACTTACATTCATTGGCTTGAGAGTAAAATAGAAGACGCCAAGACACTTTTGAATCAGCAAATAGAAGAATTGAACACTAGTAAGACAACGCTCGAAAATTCTACCACCGACAAAACACAAGAGTCATATCTTAACAAAATTGCAGAGATTGACAAACAAATCGAAGTTCTAAAAGAAGGTCCTATTCCAATGGAAAAGATTGTTTGTGAAGAAGGTTTTTTGCAAATTCTCTTCGATGTACGATATTTGGCACATGTATTTTTTGGATCTCAACTCACTTATGAAAAGCTTGTTCTCAAATCACCTTCATCATTGGACAACAATGAGAAATTATTTGTCAAGTTGGGCTCACTGATTTTGGACCATATTGATCCTATCAATTGGGAAACGTTTGAAAAATCCTTTAATATTTCGGTGCTGCAATGTGTGAACAGAAATGTGTTATTCACACCCAATTTGTGTAAAACAGCATTGTTACCACTTGCAAAGGATCAAGCCTTGTTTGTGGGTGAAGCTCCATCATCACCACTTGCAAGTACCTCGCCTCCAATTGGCAACACTCCGATTTACAGCAGCAGCGAAAATGACCCTAGTAATGCCTTCTTCAAGTTATGTAAGCCAGAAGCTATCACGATTCACATGTTACCCATACCCAAACGAGAATTAAGGATGAATTACAGCCATACATCCTCACATCACATGATGGATCATTTGCAAGATTCTACTTCATACTCTCACACCACTGCTACCTCCCATCATGCTTCTGATCATCACTTTCCACAAGAAGGTGGTAAAACTAGTGTTGACACATCATCCGAACCATCTGCAGCTACAACCGTATTTGGCAGCTTTTTCAGTTCTCTCATTTCAGCACAAAACCAACCTCAACAAAAATCAGAGACTGAAAAAGAGACACCTTCAAGAGGTTTTGCTTTCACATGGTTCTAGAACATGCTATAAAACACCCATGATGCAACTTCAATTACAAATTTGTAGTCTGTAAAGTAGCCGTTATCTTGTTGCCATTAATTCTCATTCCATGACATTTGTGACCCATGATTGATGATGGTTACTCTGCTGAACTATTCATTTTGAAGTGCACAGCACAAAAGGCTTCGATTTTTCAATTTGAAAAAATGACAGAACCCACCCAAGCCTTGGCACTCTCATCATCATCACAACAAGAAAAGACCACACAAAATGCCGAATCGATGGATGTTGCTTCGGACAACAACAAGTCCACTACGCTACAAAAAAGCAAAAAGGTGAAGAAGGAGAAAACCACTGCCGTTGCAACCGAGAATACTCAAAACGGTGGTACCGATGAGAAGAAGGAAGGGAAAAGAAAGCAAAAAACCAAGAAGACTTCCAAGAAAGATGAAGGTGCTGAAAATGGACAAGTCGTAAATGGAGATGAAGCTCAAACGACATCTGATGAAGCTCAGCAACAACCCCAAGAGAAGAAGAAGTTTGCAACTAGCGAAGAGTTATCCACCAGAATTTCCGAAATCAAGGCTAAGCTATCGGAACAGCCAAAAGAGCAAGAAGTGCAAGAGAAAATTAAAAAAATACAAAAGAGTATTGAGGACAAGCAGGACCATATTGAAAAGATTCATCAAAAACTTTCGAAAGTGATTGACAATTTAAAGCGTTTAGATGAACAAAAGAAGGCTACATTTGATGAGGTAAACAAATACAAGGACATTATGAATCAAAATCGTAATGACAAGGACCGTATCCAAATTCAAATCAACCAAATTGAACAGGAAATTGTAGAATTAAACGAGACCATTGATGAATCTGGTAGTGATATCAAGGAAACCAAATTTAGAAACGCTAGAGAAATTGAGGCTGAAATCAAGTATCTCGATGAAAAACAACAAACAGAAACTCTGTCCATGAAGGAGGAGAAGGCATTAATTGCCAAGATTAAGAAACTTAACACCCTCATGAACAATTTTGAAAAGATTTCAGAACTGAAAAAACAAGTCAAGGAGAAAATTGAGGCTAAGAGACTCCTCTCTCAACAATTAAGAGAACTCAACGAGTCAGTCAAAGAAAAAGTTGATGAGCGTCAACAACATTTCAACCAGCTTGATGAAATTTCCAAAAAGAAAGCAATTGCGTTAGAAGAAAAGAAACATTTAGAATCACAGCTCAAAGCTCTCAAGAAGGAGGTCAAGACTCTTTTCGATGAGAATTATCAACATCAATCCTCTTTAAGAAAATCGTCATCTTCACAAAAGAAGCTCACAGAAACCCTTCACAAATTGCAAGACCAATTAACCAGACAAAAACAATTTGAGCAAAAGAAAAAACAGCATCAAAAACGAATGGAGGAGAAGCAAGCTCGTGAAAAAGAGTTGAAAGAATCTACCCAACAATGGGAACAAGTACAAGAGAAGGAGCCAGAAAATCCATATGAAGAGGAAATCAAAGTTTGTGATGCTCTCCTTGACTACTTACAAAAGTTGAGAACCAACAAAAAGCTCCGTACTCACAAGATTGATTTGTCGTCACTCCAAAATACCAAACAAAAACAACCAGCCATTTCTCTCCAAACCCTCAACCATCCAGTTGACAAATTCAACCAATTCAGCGCATTGCGTGTCACTGTACCTCGAACTATTGAAGATGTTCCTCAAACCATCGAAGCAATTGAGAAATTACGTCGTTTCTACAAGCCCAAACCAGCCCAAACCTCAGAAAAGATTGATGTAGTTTCCATTTTTGCAAACTTTGCCCCAATTACAACTGTAGAGACTAGTGCAACCGCAAACATTGTAGATATTTTGGATGAATGATCATTCGAAAGTAAAATAGGAAGAATAAGTTTACACAGGTTCGAACTTAAGTTTGTTATTGCTGCTCACAACAATTTAATTTTACTCACTTTCACAAATTGCCAATCTCTCTGGCAGCATTTTTCAAACAATTTGTACGCTTCGCCATCAATATAAAACCTTGGAAATTCCACTTCCAAATTCTGGAAGCGCAAGAATTGGCATTTTTAGGTCCTAAATTGTTGTGATCACGAACGTTCTGTCGTCATGAAGGATTCAAAAATCAATTCAATGAATTCAAATTCGTCGAATTTCCCATTTTAATCTTAAACAAATATCCTACCAACAGCACTCAAAAAACGCGAATTTTCCATGATGTATTTCGAAAGTGGGTAACAATCGCATCAGAGGCATGAGAATGCACAAATCTCCTACTGCTGAATAACCATCATCAAAAGAAAAGCACGCACCTAAATAGTTTTCCACATTGTCATCCTCTCCGAAACGAAACAACCATGACCTCCTTCCCAAAAAACAAGATCAAAGTCTTGCTGTTAGAGAACATTTCTCAAACAGCCGTTGATCTCTTCTCCCGAGAAACCTTCACTGTAGAAAGCCTCTCAAAATCTCTCTCCGAAGAAGAACTCATCCAAAAACTGAGCACAGACAATATCCATCTTCTCGGAATTCGTTCCAAAACCAAACTCACTGAGAAAGTCATTGAGGCTGGAGCCAAAAACAAGTTAAAAGCAGTAGGATGTTTCTGCATTGGAACGGACCAAGTGGATTTAGAAGCGTGCGAGAAGAGAGGAATTGTTGTGTTCAATTCTCCCTATGCCAACACTAGATCCGTGGCTGAATTGGCCATGGCAGAAATTGTCATGTTGGCTCGTAAAGTTCCCGAACATATTCAATCCATGCATAAAGGAAATTGGTACAAAATTGCCAAAGATTGCTATGAAGTGAGAGGCAAGACACTCGGTATTGTGGGATATGGTCATGTCGGAAGCCAATTAGGTTTATTAGCAGAAGGTTTCGGAATGAGTGTCATTTACTATGATATTGAACACAAATTGCCGTTGGGAAATGCCAAGCCCGTGGAAAGCTTGGAACAATTGTTGAAATCATCCAATGTTGTCTCGTTGCACGTTCCGAAAACTGAACAAACCAACATGATGATTAAGGAAGAGCAAATTCGAATGATTCCGCCCAAGAGTTTCTTTTTGAATTTGTCTCGAGGAAGTGTCGTGGATGTGGAAGCAGTGGCTCGTGCCCTCAAAGATGGTCACTTGATTGGAGCTGCCATTGATGTCTTTCCTACTGAACCCAGTAAAGATGGAGAGGGAGTCTTTGTTTCTCCACTGCAGAATTGTCCAAATACCATTCTCACTCCACATATTGGTGGAAGTACAATTGAGGCACAAGATGCCATCGGAAAAGAAGTTGCTCAGAAATTAATCACATACATGAATGAAGGAAGTACAGTAGGATCAGTGAATTTCCCACAAATTAATCCAGTGCATTATGATGGTTGCCATCGATTGCTGCACATTCATGTGAATCGACATGGTGTATTGAAATCTATTAATGCCTTGTTGCAAGATTACAATGTGGTCAGTCAATTGTTGGGGACCACTAAACATATAGGTTATATGGTCATTGAGGTGGATAAGAATGTGGCTGATGAAGTTTTTACTCAAATTAATGAGTTAGATTGTACCATTAAGGCAAGAGTATTGTTTTAAATTCTTGTCATGTATTTTTCATTGATCATTATTATGGAGAACAGAGCTCTTGTGCAGAATTGTGTAAATATATTGAGTTTTTGTGCATAAATGACATTGAGAGAAAAGATTGGAAATAAATCTTTTTCAATGCGTTTCTAATAGCGATCATTCATCACTGCTTGCTGTTCTAACATGACACTTTGATCTTCATCGTTGACAGTTGCATTTTCTAAAAGTCTTTACGTCACTCACTTCCAAATCGAATGCCATCATTCAAACGCAGAAGTGAACGCTAATTTGAGTTCATGGGATTTCTCGTACAAGCACGAGTGTACCATTAACAAATTCATTCATCTGTCTTTTTTGGTGCTTCATAGGGCAAGCCAGTTCTCTTTTTCAATTTGTCCACAGCCAACAACACGGATGTGGCATCCGATGATGATAATTTCAAAAACTTTGTCAAATAGTACCAACTGCATCCCTTCTCCAACAAATCCGCTCCATTCCACTCCTCTTGTTTCACTCCTACAAGATTCATAGATGATTGAATTCATTAAAATTCATAATTTTCATACCAATAATTATAATGTATTTAAAAACCGAATGGTAAATCCGAATAATTGTCATTCCATCAAACATCATCATCATTCGTCCACTCTCTCTCTAATATCTCTTTATATTCACTTACGTTTCAATACTTTTTGTGGAACGAGTTCTGGTTCCGAGCATAGAAAAATATGCACTTGTTGATAGGTCCAATTCGACACATTGGGCTCATTATTTAAAATGTTTGTCAATTCATCCGTGGCCCACTGTGAATTGTTTGTTTTCGATGAAAACATTTTTTATGTTACTTTATCACAAATTGTTGTTGACAAGTGACGGTTAATATGGTAAAAACACTACGAAAAAACAAAATCAATGAAATTATTACGTACAACATCAACATACGACTCTCACGAAAACATGTTACATCACACGAGACACACAAATTTATTGTTCATCAAGATCTTTGATGACAAATTCACACACTCCATTGTTTCCGACGATTCATGCAACAAACATCTAAATAATAGCAGCAATTTTCCGATGATGAAGAAGATGGATCTAAATAGCAATTCCTTGAGCTTGTGAAGTCCACTGTCTCACTACATTCTTCACACTCGTCTTTGTAATGGTTGGCCACACCTGATTATCCAATTCCTTCAATCGTCCCTGATTCATCAAAATCACTTTCATGTATTGCAAATAATAATACAGAGTCATGTCTGTATTCTTGACTTCGCGCAATCTCTTATTTAAATCATCCAATGATCCCAAATTAGTAATCTTTAAATCATGACCCCAAATATCTCGTAACCAACTTCCCAATTCTCTAAATGTAATCTTTTCCGTGTAAATGCACAAGAATTGATTTTTGAATTTTTCAAATTCTCTTCTTGCAATCAATTCGCTCACAAATTTGGCAACATCATCATAGGAACACACTTCAAACTCTTCATTGCCAGTACCATAGAAATTCATTTCATTCTTTTCACGATTAATGAGTTTGCAATCTTCAAAGAGTAACTTTTCAATGAAAATTCCACACAGAATGCTCACCCAATTCAATGAACTTTGATTCAAGAGTTGATGGACTTGTTGACGAACTTGAATTCGAGGTAAATCATTCACGTCAGTAATGTTTCTAAAATCAATGGAAAAGTCAGATGGAATGTAGAATCGAACACCTGCTTTCACACAACAATTAATCAAATTCTTTTCAGCAGTCAACTCTTCATTGGGATCAAAGAAATTCATGCAATTCAAGACCAATGTGAAATCTTTGAGCATTTGACACAAATCATCCATATTGCCATTCAATACATCGAATGTGAGAATGTCACCAGAGAGTTTCTTTTCCCACAATGAAATCTTGTTTCGACTTTCTTCAGGACACAATAAAGAGAGTTTGACATCATTTTGATGATTCTCACACAAGAATTTGGTAATGCAAGAACCTAAATGACCAGAGGCACCAACAATGAGAACTTTCAAGTCGTTGTAACCATATTGTTCCTTGACGTTGGTCAAATCCTTTCTTTCTGTGGAGGAACCGAATTGAGTCTTTTCCATTTTGTTGATGGTTTTTGTTCAACGTATATTGAAGAGTTGGTTATTTGTAATTTTTTGTGTGGTGTGAAAATTTGTGTTGATCATGATTTAAATCAAAGTGGCAGCACCTTATACGTGTGAATTTTCAAAGATGATCATTTATCGAAATGGGTATTTGCTAAAAATGACCAAGTACTTTTGGACGAATTTGGAAATCTGTTAAGATTTGGCATTTCACTGAAAATGCACTTCATTGGTGGATGCGTTCTTATTGTTGTAGTCGTGGTCGTGGTCGTGGTTGTTGTCACTGGGAAATTAAGGTTTGAAATTACATGAATCTTTCCTCTTTACCGTAGATTTGAAAACATTTATAGCTTTGGTCCCACTTTTTCGTTCGCTCGGGCTAAGGTTGAGATCAACAACACGTTATTTGAAAACAGAACATGGCAACCACAGAGACATGTATGAAATATTTGTTCGAGATGGAAATGTTCAACAAGTTTTGATTTTCAAGTTTCATAAGGTCAGACCGATGACGACAACACGTGACGACTCTTTTATAACACAACACACCATTTCGGTTGGAATGGTAATGTTTGAGTTTTTTAAGAATTGTTGAGAACTCATCGTGTTGAATGTTAACACTTGTACCTTTTATATCCATCTGTCAGTTTGAAAATATTTAAAATACAACTATTGCAACACGAATTGTTGTTTAAATATCCGTTACAATATAAGATTCTAAGATCAATACCTTCTTCAATCTTAAAAAAACCCTCGAAATGCAATCCACCAATTATCCGCTTACTTTCGAAGATTTTCTCAAGACAAATGTCACTCCTCATTTTGCATCTTTTGAACTCGATGGTAATAATCGTGTTGATGATGATGATCAGGATAGCGCTCTCCATCACATCTCACCATTGGTTTCATTCGCATCACAAGATGCCACTTGTCAAACAACATCCAATCTCTCACACTTTGATCAGCTTTGCGAAATGATTTTAAGCCAACAACACTCTTGTAACAACCTTCATCAAAACCAACCTCTGCATCAACCCTCTCTTTCATCTAATACTCCATTCGTCGTTGATCATTTAGAACGACAACCATCTCATTCAAATCATTCGTCATCATCATTCTCCCATATTTCCCAACACCATGATCATTCTCCTTCATTATTGAACTCTATCGTTCATAACCAAGAACGTATGGGAAAACAACCATCTCCTCCTACTCATTCATTAGTTGTTGGAGACTCCTTTCCTCATTTACAATTATCCTTTAGTGAAGGAATTACAAGATATTGAAAATCGATTTTTCAAATATTTCAATTCCAACCATTTAGGATGCAACGCAAGCGTCCATGAACACGTTGTTTCTCATCCATATGTGGTGCGTTCCTATGATCGCTCCCAAACAACATCTGTTATTTCTCATCCAGTATTGCATCATGATCAGGTTGTTAGAAATTCAAACGCAACACCAACGAGTTCACAGCCGGGAATAACGAAAAGCGTTACATGTCTAAAAAAGGAAAGAGACAGCTTGAACTGTACCGACAAGGTGCACGCGACAAGTTCTTCGAATCATCCTCAACATGCCATGAACAACACCAACATCAACCTGCATCCTGTCCAAAAGATTTGTAAGAAGAAAAAGGCAAGGACCAATTCCATGACCTCAATGAATCCTTCCAAAAAGATTCCACCCACCCACACACAGAAAGAAAAGAACAGAACGAGTGTTTCTTCTACAACTTCTTCAACGAGTTCCAATGTCTATTACAGAGGTCATATTTCAAATTCCAATGCATTTTCCAAAGAATCATTTTGGCAATTTCATACCTATAGTGAAGGAAAACGAAATCAATGCAACAATCTCATCTTTTATTATTTTAAACCACCATTGAGTTCTCATCGGGCAAGATCTCGCTCTGCACCTTGTACCATTTCAAAAGTAAGCAGCACACATACCTGTAGCACTCCATCTGCAATGGATGTTACAACCACTCCATGATCATCTTGAGTTTGTTGTAAATAAATACTCGGATTGGTTATGAAAATCTGATTTGATTTTTTTTTTCGAGATGGATTTTAAAAAAAATTGAAAAAAATGATTGGTGTGGTGAGGAGAGAAAGTTGTTTAACCTTTCAATTATTGTTATTACTTTGGCTCTCCCTTGTGTGTTCAATCATTTGTGGTCATTGGATCGGAATATCACATGTTGTGAACGGAAAATATTTGAGAACAAGAAAATTTGTAAATAGGAATATGGAACATAAATATCGAACAAGTACGCCAAGGCTTCCAACATTGGCTTATGGAGTGGAATGGAAATTAATCAATATGCAACAAGAAATTCCTTCTCCGAGATTTGATTTTGCGTATGCATCAACTCCGGATTATTCATTGTCGTTTCTTTTCGGTGGAGTGAATTCTAGTTGGAGTATCATGAATGATTTTTGGATTTTAGAGCATCAACATTTGAAATGGACAAAAATTGTAAAAGAAAATAATGATGATTTGTGGCCACCGGCATTAAGGGATGCTGCTGCAGTGTTTTGTTTGGGAGATTTTTATGTGTTTGGAGGAAAGAGCACTGGTGGAAGCGTGAGTGGTGATGTGTGGAAATTTAACTTGTCTTTAAGAAAGTGGAGTATTGTAAATAGAGGAAAAGATGAAGATCAAGCAAAAATTGCATCAAGATTTGGTCACTCGGCTATCTGTATTGGAAATAGTTTCATTGTTATCTTTGGTGGTAGTGACAAGAACAATAATTTCTATAACCAGCTCCATTTATTTAACAATGGTACATTCACTGAAATTGAACCAAATGGACCAGTAACAATTCCACCAAGAATGTACACCCCAATTATTTTCAATCCGACCGATTCATCTCTCTTTGCGTTTGGTGGTTATGTAAAAATCTCAGCAAATGAAAGTGCAAACAACGATGAATTGTGGCAATTTGATTTACTACGAAAGCAGTGGAAGCAGATTGAAAAACAAAACTCTGCCATTTGGCCACCTTCAAGAAGTGGACATAATTTATTCAAGACAACCCAATTTTCTAACAATTTTTATGTATTCGGTGGTGAATTGCTGAATGGTCTTGGTACTAATGACATGTATTCGTTCAATGTTATCACTTCTCAATGGACAGTAATCCCAACTCAAGGAAATTCATCTCCACCAGGAAGATTGGGGGCTGCTTTCATTCAGAAATCTTATTCCAGTGGAGAATATATTTTGTTTGGAGGTGTTTCTGGTTGGACCAATACAAAGGTATTAGGAGATGAATGGCTCGCCTCACTTCGCTAACCTCTCACGCGTGCTCCAAATGTTTCTTTCTTGATTGCATGACAAGTTTGTGTCGGCTGGCTTTGTTTCACGTAAAAAAAATGTGCACTATTATTCTCCAGGATCACTGTTGATCTTCCTCTATTTCCTGTAAATCTTCAAGAAATCCCTTGTGACACTTTTCTAAGGTTTCTAAACTGAGAGCATTCACAAAACATTCTTCAATAGCTTTTTTGTCGTGTGGAGACCCATTTTCATAATGATATCTAAGAACGTTCATCATGAGATACATGTCAATAGAAGGATTTTTCTTACTCTGAAGACCAACTTGCTGAAGTGAATGTTTTGGCCGCTCAATATCATCTTGTGTGATGGTAATATATTCCTCAAGAATGTGTTTTTTACCATTGACTGATTCATATGGTATGCAAATAAATCTAAATTTTGATGGAAATTTCTCCCATCGCTCACTGTTAATGGCAAAGCCGGTCTCTTCGCCGTTTCGCATTTTGACATGAAAGTCTCCATAATATGGAAATTTTGAGAGGCAATCCAATTTGCTACATTGTTGAAAAAACAATCGTTCATCTCTACCCAACAATTCTAAACATTCTGCATTTCTAAACCACGAACGGCTTTTCGTTGGGTCCACGTTTGTTTTAGAAGACACATAAATCATAAATTTGATTTTTCTTTTTACATTATGAGAAAAGGAAATTTGTAATATCATGATATTGGACTCCGGTGTATTCAATGTATTATCATCTGATCGAATTAATTTAGATGGATGAGCAACATATTCTTTCCAGTCATCTTTCAGAGGTGGTGGTTCGTGAATGGATGTCCAAACCAGTTTTTTCATTTTTTTTTTGATTTTTTTTTGATTTTTTTTTGATTTTTTTTTTGTTTTTACCAAGACGAAGGAAGAAACCTTCAAATGACGATCAACCTGTTCAAAAATACTCATCAACGAATATTCTTATGCAGAGCTATACGAATGCCATGTTTCAATGTGGAGTATGAGCGATACCAAGAGGATGCACGAGCAGATTTCAAATATGTGGTCAATGAGTTGAAGACACGTTGAGAACGAGCTTGATCTTGGCTCCAATGCTCCATTTTGAGTTTTAAGGAGAAGAGATGATTCAATGGACTAGAAATGCTCTCAAACAAATGATAACCTGTCAATACGTCAAGAGCTGCATATTCTAAACGCTTATTTCCTTTTGGAGTCCATGGTAACAAATCTTGTGCACTCCACTTATAGTCGGGATATTTGAGGTTGCTGTTAAAGACGGATGAGCGAGAACTATGTCCACAAAATAAGGTGAGCTTGTGAAGACCCATACTGAAAGGATCTCCCTCAATAAATCCATTTGTTGTTTCATGAATATCTGTTCGAAAATTAGTGTCTAGAGGTGTAATATCATGACGGATTAGCCAATTATTCAATTTAACCATATCAGTGCATAAACCAAATCCTATTTTCTTGAAAGAATTGTCAAACAAAAAGTTTGTAAGAAATTCTGGTGGTTTTTCGTCAAAGTCCACAAGTATCACCATGCATACTTTGGACGTGGCAATTTGCAAAACCCGACATCCCATATCATTCTTGTCATTGCCATTCCATTCAGTATCAATGATGAATGGAACAATCTTGTGCTCTTTGTCCATGAATAATTGCCATAACTTCTCATCCAAATCTCGTAAATGGCATGTTATACATAAACAGTCACTATAGCTCACGTGATTGAAATGATTTAAAAGATCTCCATTTTGCATGCTTGTCATAGGAACGTTATTTTCATCGATTATCACATCATGTACCTTCTTATTCCAAACTGAAATAATTTTCCCTTCGTCATTAGTTTCTACAATAAATTTAGATGAATAATCTTCTTGAAGTAGTTTGTGGACATGCTTTGTAAATTCGGACTTTGACTTTTTGAAAAAGTTCATACATGAAATAGCTTGTCCAATGGACCTGCAAGCCTTTCCAGTGTACAGATTAATCATTCCAATATAGGACAGTAAATTGGTTACAATTAATTCATTCATATAACTTTCAAGTTTGGAATTATTACTAATTTCTTTTGTTTTTTCATGTTGAAGGAAGAATGTTGGTAACCGAGTTTTGCATTTCAATATAGATCTATTATCGTCAGTTTGCTCAATTACAGCTCCAAACAATATTTCGGAATGGGTGCGGATGAAATCTTTGGTTAAAAGATTTGATAATCTTGGAATCAATGCAGAGAGTTTATCTTGAATGATATCCATATCCAGACAAATCGTGCATTCACCTGTTTCTAAATCACGTGTATCTTCTCCCAAATATTTGACACAATTGTTGATGAAAATAATTAATTGAGTCTCATCATCCCCATCCAATGTATCAATGAGTCTATTAATCTTTGTATGAAAAGATTTAATTCCGTACGTTTTTATCTTCTTTGCTTTTGGAGATTCATCATCGTTCCGAAAAGGTTTGAATTGCGCAGAAGATGCTTTCGACTTTTCAACGAATTTTCGCTTCATTTTTTTGAGAAACGCACGTCCCAGCTGTTGAAAGGAATTGGCCTGAAATCCAAGTACTGTTAGCCCTCTTCGTTGGCAGATGTCACAAATACTACTACTCTGACAAGATTGAAGACTAAGGACCTTGTGTCCTTAGTTAGAATCCCAACTGGATTCGGTGTACATATACCTCAATAAATTTTTTTGAGCAATGTTAAGCGAACTGCTGCAACCACATATTTATTTGACAACTTGGTTACTTGAAAATCATGACAGTTTGGTCATGATCATCCGCCACAAAGAGTTCACCCGTTACTTGATGTAAACAGCAGGCCATGGGAGAGGTCACCGCATGTTTCGTTACGGCCTCTCCAAATTCATTAAAAACCATGATGGATCTGGGACTGTAACAACAAACAATGGTATTGTGTGTGATTTCATCATAAACAAAATCTACAATGGACGAAATAGAGCAATTTTGACCAAACTCATGAATTGAAATCCATGATCCATTGGCTTGCTCTTTTAAGGTAAAAAATCTATCTTTGCAAAATACAATAATATTTCTATTTGGCAGCAATTCCAAGCAATACAACTCGCTTGAGAATGTACAATTACGGACATTAATGGGTGATAATTCTTCTCCAGTCAATGAGTTCACCTTAACAATATAGCAGTCTTTACAAGTGAAAATTATATTTTTAGAAGAGTCTGTTTGATGATAATCTACAGCTGCAGAGCTGATGTAAGCAATTTCTGTATCCCACAAATATTTAGGAGTACTTTGAGATGAGTGTTGGTTATCAACAATGTCGCGCAATTTGTATTTCGTTATATGTGAGTAGTGTACGCAAATTAAATATTCTTCTTCATTATTGAGCTTTTCAATTTTCAAATAATACGGAGTGACGTGTACTTCACATGATTTAATGTGTTGTTTAGTCTCCAAATCAAATACTTCAACAGAAGGCGAATCATAATTCCGATTTCCAACAAGAATACAATTATATTGATATGATAACACCATAGAATAAGGTATCACTGATTCTTTTTTGATGGTACCGATTAATTCAAATTGAGAAGAAAATCCCTTCCGTTTTTTACTTCTCATCTTTATACATAATTTTTGGAATAGACCTGTCCCATGACTACTTCCAAAATGACGATCATCCTCAACATTATTTTGATGCTTGATTTTGGGATCCCTACCATGATCGTGTATTCCAAGATCCATTAAAATAACAAGTGTTTGTCCTCCTTCGGAATCAGCAGCAACATTACGGGAGGGAAGCATCATTTTTTTACAATACTTTTTGCAAAAAATGATTTCATCAATGGTTTGAAAATGAATCAAGCGGATCCTACTCATTTAAACAACGCAACTGATGCCATGAGTATCGGGACAAGCTCATTCATTGATCCCGAATGGAAAAAAGCTATTGATGAAATTCCTCTTGAATTATTCTATCTAGTGAGAGGGCATGAAGATGAGAGGAAAGAGCAAGAAATTAAAAAGCAAGTTGAGCAACAGGCACAACTATTGGCCGATCAACAAATCCGACGCCTCGTAGATACTATAGAGGAAATTAAACTTGATGCTGTTCGCAAATATTACAAAGAAAAGCCTTTACTTGAGAAGAAGGCACGAATGGAGGAAGCTTCCCGTCTCGAAAGGGAATTTCAACAGAAAGAACGTGAACGAGTTCTGAAAGAGTCAGAAGAATTGGAACAAAGAAAACAAGAAGAAGCCAAAAAGCAAAAAGAAAATGAATTTTTGGAATATAAGAACGCAATCGATACAGTTCACTCATTAATGGCTGAGTTGACAAGGAATTTACTCGACAGTCCACCTAGTACATTATTGGACAATATCGATATTTATGAATCAAAGAATGATCATCCTGTTACTGCTCAGATTATTCGTCAATTTGAATCCAGTGGTAACCTTGAAAATCCCAAGCTCAAACAAGAACAAGAAGACGAAAACTTAATTAATACAAGATTTGTCGAGCAACGTAGAAGAGAGATGATAACGTCAGAGCCTTCAAAACAACAAGCAGAGCAAATACCAAAGGAAGAAAATACATCGTCTACCTTATCTGTGAAAAAGCTTGGCGAAATATTGTAAGTTTATTTCACTTGAGAACTAGTACAAAAATTTATGTCTACACCACGAAAGATACGAAAAAGGTTTCAAAGAGCTTGACGCATACTTGGAAACCTCCCTACAAGATAAGCAAGAAATCGAAGCCAGAATTGTCAAAGACATCAGAAATAAGGAGCTACAATTCATATTGGAATTGTTGTACAATCGCAAGGCCAAGAACTTTTCTCGACTGAATAATACCATGCGAGCGGAGTTGTTATATTTTGGCACCTTACACCTTACACTTAGTGTCAGTGCTGTTTGCATTTGACACTTGAGTGCCAAATGAATGAAGTGTGATTTGTATTTGACACTTGAGTGTAAGGTGCTATTTGTATTTGACACTTGAGTGTAAGGTGCGAAATGGATGTTGATTGAAATGGAGGTACTAGTTTGTGAACCTAACCATTCTACTTCGTGTTCATATAAAAAGGTCAATAACGAATCTATCAAACAAAAAAAAAAGCATGATTTAATCTCATGCATCTACTTTCCTTACGTATGTTAGCTTGGACCTTCGTATGAAAGGAGTTAGGAGGCACAAAAGATGATATGTTCCTTTCATTCACGATGATAGACTCAGCCGTTAAGAAGTATGACTACGAAACAAAAAGTGATTCCAGTTCCCTTAATTGTACCCTTCTGATTGCTTCAGCTTGACTTTTGCTGTTACCGTCATTCCCAAATCACTCAAATTCGATTACATCAGCCAACAACAGTGTTGAGCACCATTCTCTTGTTCTTCTCACCGTTTTTGTAACAATTGAACAAAAGTACATGTCACTATGAAGAAAAGCTGGCAAGTTTCACTCCCCTGTTGAACCAAATGAAAATGTTTTCCTGTACTGCAAGTGTTTTTCCTCAACATAAATCGTCTCTCAAGTTCATTCAGCAAGCTCTGACATCCTGTTCGACAACTTCATCTCAATCTCTTTCAACGCCGTGTTGTATGGCGCAACATCAACTCAGAAAACAGGTGCTGAACGGTGGAACATTATTTGAACCACTGCCTCACAACGCTTCACCTTAGAAAATGAGCGTGAGTCTATTCTTCCCTCCATAAACTAAATTTCGTAGATGATCATTTGGTATTGTCGTTGTCAGACGAATTGTCCAAAAATTGCGTTCGTGATACTCGATGATGATTGTGTAGTGAAGAGAATTTTGAGGCCCGTTGCTCACAACCGTGAAGACGGAGGTTTGTAATTTCAAAATAATATTTAAATAAATTAAAAAATATACAGGTGCTGATGACACTCGGCACTCAAGTGTCAGGTGCTGTTTGCATTTGGCACTCCAGTGTTAAGTGCTATTTGTATCTCCTTTTTGGGACTACGTGCCATTGCAAACGGCACTAAAGTGTAAGGTGTAAGGTGCTAAAAGGTATGTCCTCATGCGAGCGCAGCTTACCAACAACTCGGAGCCATGGATTGACTTTTTCATGAAAAACTTTGACATACAAAAACAAGAAGAGGCTCTCTTGAAACAAGCAAAACCTCTCCCTCAAGACCCACTACTCATATCAGCTGAAGGAGATACCTCTAATGAGAAAGAACGGCAAATTTATCAAATGCAACACCCACTGTTTGAAAGAGAGGATTCCTTAACGTACTTACAAACTGGTCGGAGCAGGTTATCAAAATTATAACAGGAATGGCTGATCAGCTTTCTGGCAAGGATATTAATCTTATTGGAAACATTCTTTTTCTAACAATCAACAACAAGAATAAGGATGACAGCATCAGTAATTTATGTGGATGGACAGAATAGTTCTGAAATCGCTTAAATTTGTTGCGACAAAATTGTCTAGTTGAACCCTTACTTGTCCAAGATGGTTTTATTTTCTGATACGAGCAAAAAATGGGGCAACGAACATCCACCGCCAGCCACCAACAACCAGCAAAGAATACCACCAATCACAGTAACAATAATAATCATGAAACCCGAACCAAACTCTCGCCCTCTGATATTCAAAAATGTTTGTCTCTCTCCGAGGGAACCACTTTTATTTCTCAACAAGCCCGTAATTTTCTTCCGAACTCGATGAATCAATATTCCATTTTGAATCTTGATCATAATGAAAAATTAAGTAAAATTTTGGAAATGAAAATTCTTCAAGAAATGAACAATCCACAAGACCATACAGAAATAACACGCTCAATACTAGAACAAAAATTGGAGCAATGTAAAAAGCAGGCAAAGGAACGCGTGTTTGCGCTTTTCGAGCCTCAAGAGAATGGTTCTAGAATCGAAGAAAGTCGTGCATTTGCGTGCTTTTTAGGATTAATGATTGGTGATGCAATGGGATCTCCGTTTGAATTTTCAGCCTGTCGATTTCCTCGACATGTACTTCACGAAAACGACATGCTTGTTGACAAAGCTTGGAAAAACGATCCAGAGTTTTTTGAATTGACTTCCATGAGTGATGTGAAGGTTTGGACAAATCCAAACTACAATCGATTTGGATTGAAACCAGGACAATACACGGATGATTCTTCAATGGCATTGTGTGTTTTGGACACATTTGTGACTAAAGTTCTTGATGAAATTTATGAACGAGCGTGTCAAAAAGATGAATCATTGCTGGAGTTTGATTTTGATTTTAAGGGCCAAGACATGAGACTTCGATTTTTAAATTGGTGGTACTTTGGTTATAATAATGCATTTGGAAAAGATGAAACCAATCCTGGTGCTGGTAGTTCATGTGGTCTTGGTGGAAATATCAAACAAAGTTTGCTTGAGTTTATGAAAAATTCAAACAATGAAGTGACTCTTGCTGGAGATTCAAATACTTCAGGAAATGGTAGCCTTATGAGGAATTCACCCGTTGCAGTGGTTTGTTTTAAATACATTTCCAGTCACTCCACAGAGCCTTTGGAAAAAGTCATGAAAATGGCTTACAAGCACAGCAAAACAACGCATCAGGGAGAAGAAGCAGCAGAACTCTGTCGATTATTAACTTTTATTGTTGTGAAAGCAGTTAAGGCTGAGGTCACACACAGCCCACAGCAGGTCAAGCAACAAATTTTCGACTCTTTACGCGACGGAGAGTTTGTCAGCACACTTCCAAGTGTGAATTGTTTAGTCAAAAGTCAGGTTGAAAACAATGACGCTACTGGTCGCAATTGGAATTGGTTGGATGTCAATTACAAATTTTGTGAGGACCGAGTTCAAAAAGATCCTGGTTATTGTGGATCCTACGCGATGGATGCTATGGCGATGGCTCTTCATAACATTTATTACACAGATAACTTTACAGATGCCATTTTGTTGACGGCAAATATGAGAGGTGACAGCGACAGTGTTGCCGCTGTGGTAGGTCAAATTGCTGGAGCCATCTATGGCTTACAACAAATTCCAAGAGAATGGATTGAAACCATTCTGCAATGGGACTACAACAATGACATTCTGCTGAGATTGTCCATGATTTATTTCCATGATATTTAAGTTTTGAAATGGGTGTACAATAAAATTTTCAATATTTCTTGGATACATGTTGATTTGCTTTCTCACGTAAAACATTTCTTCTGATTTTACCTGCTTCTGTGGCTGGTAATTGTTCCTCAAAATAAATTTCTCTTGGATATTGATGAGCCGAGAGCTTCTTTTTAACAAATTCACACAATTCAGCTTCTAATTCTTTGCTAGGAGAGTATCCAGGTCTCAGTACTACAAACGCAACAACCATTTCACCTCTCAATTCATCCTGTTTTCCAACCACTCCACTCTCACGAACAGCAGGATGTTCAATAAGGCAATCTTCGACTTCTTTAGGACCAATTCTATAACCACATGATGTGATAATGTCATCACTTCTTCCACTAAAGAAGTAGTGTCCATTGTTGTCTCTGTAAGCAGTGTCACCTGTCATTTCAAAATATCGTCCATCTGGATAGGATGGAGATTGAACCATCTTTTCTCGTGTTTTTTCAGGTTGATTCCAATAACCAGTGAAAAATCTCGAAGGTGAATTATTAATGTCAATCACTAAATGACCGGTGACGTATGGCTCAGTAATTTCCTTAAACGAATCGTCTAATAGAGTCAAAGTAAATCCTGGCATTGGAGTTCCAATAGTCGTAGTTTCAGATACATTCGTAGTGGCATACTCTGGATGATGATGATTATTAATTAACATTCCATGTTCGGTCTGTCCATAGTGACTTTGAATACGAGTATTCCAAATTTCTTCGAAAAATCGTACAACTTCAGGATTCAAAGGTTCTCCAGCAGAGCTATTGTCATTTGAAAATGTTTTACAAAATGTGTTTCACAGGTTAATTTGAGAACATTGAATTTCAAAATCTTACCTTGCCTTCTTAATATAAAATTTATAGTTACGAGCAAGTTCAAGTCCTTCTGCCTTCATGGCTCGATACGCAGTAGGTGCAGCTGCAAAATTAGTAATCTTTTCATTTTGTAAAATTTCATAGACCGTACTTGGTTTGAAAGGTCGATTCACAAAGTAAGTGGGTTTTCCTATTGTTGTGAGAAGATCATGGAGAAGTATTATAGAAATTGATTGTTGTGAAAATTTGTGATGATTAATTTGTGATGATGATTTAAAAAATTCAATCATACCAATGGATGGATTCTAACATAGAATGTTAAACATACCAAGTAATTGAAGACCAAGGACATTGTAATATAAACCATAGGCCCATCCACTGTCTGCTAAATTTAAAAAGACGTCATTCTCTTCCACATGAAGACCATATTTCATATAAGTTTCAAAGGCAGCTAAACTCTTGGTTGTTACAGGAACTCCCTATCATTGCAAGTATATATATGGTTAACATGTTACTTTTTAACAACATTTCACACAGAGTATGAATCTTACCTTACCTTCAAAACATGAGAAAACACTCAATGTCATCATCATAAAGGTGATGTAATAATACTACTTACTCTTTCCAGTCGTTCCTGAAGTATACAATAAAACCATGACATCATCAACTCTCATTCCTTCTCCACTTTTCACACGATACGATTCATCATGTCTTGAAATGATATCAAAACTACTTGAAAGTATGGCATCTTTCCAAAATTTAATCTCCTCAGGATTTGCTCGATTCAATGAAGTTGGCAATGAATATTCTCCTTCATGTCGAAACGAATGAACTTCAGAAACTCCTCTCTCAGCCACAATCACCTTAATTCCCAATTCTCTCAATTCCTTCCAAATAGGTTCCAATTTCACAACATGATTTTCATCAGTAATAATGACACGTGCTTGCGAATCAAACACTCGATGTTTCACAGCATCAGGTCCAAAAGCAGTAAATAATGGAACATAGGTGAATGCATTTCTCCAAATAGCGAGGCCAGCAATCATTTGTTCTGGACATTTGGGAAGAAAGACTGCGACTCGTTCTTGTCGTTGCAATTTCAAGGATTTTAAAAATTCACCAAATTTCAAACTCCAATCGCTGAGTTGTTGATAGGTGTATTGGAATTTACCATGTTCTGTGAAATAATTGAGAGCAATGGAATGTTCATTGGCCTACGTATGTTTTTTGTTAGATTCGAAGGAGGATAATTGTATTTAGATCGATTCGTGAATGATCATATTAAAAAGTTATTTAATCATTAAATAATTAAATTAAAAATTGAAATTAAATTGATACATACCTTAATATGTTGATCACACAAGAGATGACCCAAATGAAAATATTCTTCCATCGAGTGTTGATGTTGTTGAAGCGATGAAGTAGTACGAGAAGAAGATGATTTCGAGTGATAATTTCGTGTAGAGATTGGGCCACTATTCACAGCCGATAGAATCATCCGATTCGAGTTCCATGATGATGACGAGAAATAATGAAAAAGACAAGCAACGAGGGAATGTTTATGGTTCGGAATGGTTTTGATCATCATGTCGATCGTAATTTTAATATTTTACAAAAAAAGAAATAGTGATGAAATGTAAAGGAAAAGAACGAGATTTGTGGTGATCCGAATGGGGCTACACTGTTCTATGATCGCAAAGGGAATGTTATTGCTATTTTTTTGAAGTTTGACAATCAATCTTCCTAATTTCCTGCCTCACTCTTTTTTGATAACAACAAATACATGTAATGACTGCAATCATGGAAAGGACCAACAAAATTAACAGTCCTCCTCCACCAATTCCAACAGCAAGTCCAATAATGGTTGCAGTATCAGTGGGTAATTCAACCTTCTTGTCATTGCCAGATGATGCTTTTTTGTAATTGAAATCAATGACCGCAAAAGATGTTAAATGTGAAGTTCTGCAAATAATTGAAAAACTAATCCTGATAGAATCATTGCGTTGTGAAAGAATGACACTTTCAATTCCATCAGATTTCCAAGTTAAACTCGTTTCTTCCAAGTACATGCATGAAAAGTTGAACAATGAAATGTCATTCGATTGCAGCGTTAAATTGTAAAAGTAAATGTCAATCGGAGTGCTTAATTTTTGAACATATATTTGAGAACCATCTGTCTTATCATAGAGTGAAAGTGTGACAGCATGGCCAACATTTCCAACTTCTGAATTTGGTGTAAACACTGAGGAAACCACTTCGACTTGTTCCGTGGTATTTTTCAATGAGGAAGAGAGCTGTGACACAAAGTTGGAAGGAAAACTAACTTGAACGTTTGGAGCTGTACTGAAAGAAACGTTCTTTGAGTTGAGATTTGTGACAGGAATGGTTTCCGTTCGTGTTTCTACTGGAGTTGTGATTTGACAAGTGGTTTTAAAAGGTATGGGAACTCCTTGACACAATTTCAATTCACATTTCTGACCAAAGAATCCATTGTTGCAAGAACATACATTATCTGCAATACACTGTCCATTTCCACTGCAAACATTGGCTGTATCCGTTGCAAACAAATTTTGACACACCAAAGGTCGACAAAATGTTCCTGTCAAATCTAGACCATAATACGTTGGACATGTGATGTCAAGCTTGTAAACAGTATTCTCATCCAAATAGAATATCTTTCCATTGAAATACTTCACTGCTTTCAGATTATTCAGTTTAGGAGAGGAAACACTGCAATTTGCTCCACAAGTAGGACACTGACCGAAAACGTCGTACACAGTTTGGAATGACGAAATTCTTCTGATCAATCCATTTCCCTGATCAGCCACTAAAATATCGTCGTTGGAAGCAACAGCAACATCAACGGGAGTATCGAATAACGCAACAGCAGCATCTACTCCCTTAATAGAACTTCCCTCACCAACATATCCAGCAGTTCCATTTCCAGCCACAATGCTAACAAGGCCTGCTTTAGTCACACGCTTAATTCTATGGTTTAAAGTGTCTGCAATAATGAGATCATCGTTGGAAGTGACGGCAAGACCTTTTGGTCCATCAAGAGCAGCATCGATGGTTGTAATAATTCCACGTTCATCAATTTTTCTCACACGATTATTACCATAATCAGAAATGAATGTTTCACTCTTTGAATTCACTGCAACTGCTATTGGAAAAGCAAGTCTGCAATTTGTAGAATTAGCCAATCCTCCATCTCCAGCAAACCCTGCTTGTCCGCTTACTCCTGCTATCGTAGTGATGACACCTGACACTTTGGATACTGGACGAATTCTGTGATTTAAGGAATCTGCAACAATCAAATCTCCATTATTAGGATCAACCGCTACATATCTTGGTCCGTTCAAGTTCGCATTCATTGCAAGAATGGAATCTCCATTATAGCCTGCAGTTGATGTTCCAGCCACAGTGAGTGTCGTCATTGGATTTCCACTCATTCCATATTTTCTAATTCGTTGATTGAACGTGTCTGAAATGATTATTTCACCATTGTTTGAAGTGGATGAGATGGCAATTCCTTGAGGTTGATTGAATTGAATATTGAGTGGTGATAATCCTTCTCCGTAGTGTCTTCCAAGACCATTTCCAGCAATCGTAGAAATCATTCGTGTGGAATCCATGACTTTTCTCACTCGATAATTACCTTGGTCGACCATGTACAACACTCCATTCACTCCATCGTAGTGTATGGTCGTTGGGTAATTCAGGGAAGCACTTGTTGCTGGGCCATCATCTCCATTGAATCCAGCAATTCCATTTCCTGCATAGGTTGAAATAACTCCATTGGTAGCAATGACTCGAATTCGATGATTCTCTCGATCTGCAATAAAAATTCTTCCACATGGACAAACTGTTACCGAAGATGGATTTCTAAAGAGAGCATTCACAGCTAATCCACCATCTCCACCAAATCCGTAGGTGCCATTACCAGCAACGGTGGTAATATTTCCACTACTGAGGTTAATTTTACGTAAACGATGATTTCCTGAATCTGCCACAAGAAGATCCGTCAGTGAATAGGTCACAGCGACACTTTGCGGTGAATGGAGTAAGGAATTTAACGCTGGACCAAAATCTCCATTGAATCCAAATACCATGGCTGATCCTGCAATTCTTGTTAACACCAATGTGGAAAGATCAAACCTCCAAATGACATGAGCCTTCTGATCTGCAATGATTAAACCTCCACTCAAATAAGCGATACCCATAGGGGCTTTCAATCCATGAACTTCAGAGGCCAAAACAATGGATGAACCACCTTTCGATGAATATCTTCTAATTTCTTTGGTATCAGGATCTGATCGATAAATGTAAGAAGCGTCCGTAGGCATGCAATACATTCCATACTGAAGATAGGATGAAACTTCACTGGATACAGTTTCGTAGGAGGTTGTAAAGGGTTGTACCAGTCCATTGACAATCGCTCGAACGCCTTGTAAATCCTTGTTGATATCTGTCAAAAGGAGAGTGTTATTGTGAACGCATAACGCGGTGACATTCATTCCAATCATTGTTGCTGGTAAATTGGTCAAGTAAAGAGGTGTTGAGCCAGAAGAAGTTGACGCGGTTTTGATGAGAGGTAGTTGTCGTTGTTGAGCATGGATCTCTTGAGTAGGATTGAACCATGCGAAAACAAGTATCAACAACATGAAGAATAGATAAAACTTGATGGTCTCATGCTTTGAAACACACGACGAGATCAAGCGAGAGAAAAACATATTTTTTGTGCGCTCATTGATCTCATAGTTTGCCTCAGCGTCTTCCTCGCGTTTTGAAATCGTGGGTGTGTTATCATGTAAATTTCACTTATACCCAAGTAAGGCCGGGTTGACGCCTCACAGATAGGAGAAATATGGAAATGAAATAGATTTTTTAACCCATCGATTCCTACGACTCTTTTTGAAAGCACAATGAATATGAGCTTTGTTTATATTTGCATGGATTGTTACCACGAAATCATACATTTAAGTCTTGCTGCTTACCTTGTTGAAGATAGTCAATAAGGAGAAAATAGATTAAATAAAAATACAATTCAAGATTTTACAGCAATGAATGAACACTAATCCCTTTGGAAAGGTGCATTGACATTCATAATTTGTGAAAATAATCCAGACCTTGATTTTGAACAGCAATTCTATGGTTGACATGAATCCACATGATCATGATTGTGCAATAAATATGTCCTTTGTGCCTGAATTGGATTATTTCATATTCATCACTCGCCTTAATAATTCATCATCATCCTCAATTTCGTCCAGGTCCTTATCCTTGCTCTTAGCTTTCAAACTAGAAGTTCCAGTTTTCGCTGACGAGAGTTTTCCGCTCATATCCAATCCAATTTCGTCATAAATTTGTTGCGTTGCTTCATCAACCTCTTGTTTATTTAATATTTGATTTCACGGTTGGTGATGAGCCAAAAAATATCAGAATGGCTCCAACAAGCAACCCGAAAATTGAACATGCTCGTGAAGGAATAGATGATTCATCAGCCCAAGGAAAGAGAAAGATGTATGTTACAAACCGCATTTCCGTACAGCATGATGAAGAAACCCCAATCAACACAATTGAGCCTAACACGAAGAAGCAAAAGCAAACTCTATCTACCAACACAACCAATGTTTCAAGCTCTCCTATTAATTCCGGTTGAAGAACTTCATCATACACCCTCAGGAAAAAATGTCGTTAAAAATAATGTAAAACTTCGTGATGATACCAATCAACAACCGTCCATGGTCATTCTCTCGTTCCACAATTACAAGAAATGGAACTCTGAAGAGGTTGCTTCTACATTGATTTTGGATGATGTGGTTGGTGGAGCATCATTGTCCGTTGTTGATGTTAAACCTTTATGTGATGCCGGTTTCAAAGGGACCTCTCTTGCCAATATTGTACAGGATATCAATAGACACAACGTAGACTCGGCTATTAAAATCATGACCGAAAGCAAAGATTTTACTCAAGTCTCCGAAAGTACTTGCAAGTCCGTTGTAAATTGGGTGAACAATACATTAATGCCCAAGCTTTTTGGGTTATGGGACAAAGATCAAACAAAGTCGGCACTATGCAAACAAAAATTAATAGGAGGTGCTGGATTACATGAGATTCAAGTACAGCCTTTGTATGAGGCAGGGTTTAATGGAACAGTACTATCAAGGATTGTTTATGAATTGGAGAAGAATGAAAGGGATGGTAGTGATTTGGCTGATGTTGATATAGCGAACAAAGTTCTCCCAACGGAAATTGATTCATCTACACTCACACCTTTAGTGGAGTGGGTAAAATATGAGCTGATAGCAAAAAACAAGATACAGGTACCATTGGCTAAGCCAAGCATTTCAAATGGTAGTAACAAAAGATATACTGACCGCAATGAAACAGTCCAATCAACACAAAAGAAGATACAACAATTCATTCAACAATTCACAACAACATCACCAAAAGATATCTCTAATATTGAATCTATTCCGAATATTTTACTCAGCAGTTTTGGATCAACTTTTACTTTTGTGGACAGAGAAGATAGCAAAAACACCATTTTACACACCTTTAAACATTATTCATCAATAGCTGACGAAAACAAGAATTTAGATAAAGATCATGTAATACTTCCATTCATTGCGGCAGCTCCAGGAGTGGGTAAATCAAGATTACTGCAGGAGATTGGATGGGATCTGCGTCTAAAACATTTTAGAGACAGTGTTACTTGTTATCCTTTATTTGTGTCATTTGGGAACGTCACTTCAATTACAGACGCAGAACAAAAAGAAAAATTAGATATCTTTCAATCATTGATTATCAGAATTGTTTTCTCATTTATATGCCATATAAATGGAACAAGAGCAGATTTTGACACCTTAACAAAAGACTGGATCACTCACTTTGGAAACGAGTTAATTGGCCTTAAAGAGGTGCTGCAAGTAATTGCTAATATGTTGGAGAAGCCTAATATTGATTTCTTTATTGCAATTGATGAGGCTCATGAAATTGATAATAATAACACTGGAACAAATCCTTTGAAAACCCTCATGAAGAAAATTGGATGCTATTTGCAATTTCAAAAGGAAACAACTTTACGAGTATTTCCTTTATTTGCCGGCACTTTTCATACGGTCCTACTTGACAACTTGATTGGCAGTACCTATACTCCGCGTTTTGTTCCAGTTACGGCATTATTATCTCCTCCAAATGTTGCCAAGATTATTGATAACTTAGAGGTCAAGTATTCAAAACTTGACAACTGGAGGATTGATGTTGAATTTAGACATTACTTGAGACTCTTTGCTGGGTTTCCTAGAGGTTTAGAATACTATCTTGACGACTATGTAAAACAATCCATAACAGCAAGGGAAGCATATGAAAGCTCGTCATACAGGTTGAGATCAAAATACTCATTCACACAAAGAACTGAAATGGAAAATGTTTTAGCGGCGAAAGTTGTTACTCGAGCCCGTGTCTCCCTATTTGATAATATTCTCACAACTGTTAACTTTACTTTCTCAGAGGCAGAAAATAGGGGTTTTATTATGTTGAATTTGGAAGAAGATTCAAAATTTACATGTACCTATCCTCCTGTTCTGCTGAGCCGTATGATTAGCCATAATATGCAACCTATTGTCCACAAGTTGGTTTTTTCAACTGAAAAAAACGTTTATGGATTACCTTGGGAAGACTGTGTGCACGATTATCTTTACTTATTTTTTTCTTTAGTCGCAAACAAATTAGATTTGACTTTGAATGACTTATTTCCATTCGCTACTATGTCTGCAGAAACTTCTAAACTCTCATTAGAACAAATATCTAATTGTACTCAATTTCATGCAGCACACAAAGTTCAAAGCATATTGAAAGAAATTGATACTCAAACTGGCAAATTGAATATAGTGACACTTACTGATTGTGCCATCATCAAAAACGCACCTACTGCCGAAGCTAGTGATATTCTAATATTTGGTGTACAATTGAAAACAAAAGACGAAATTCTGGTTTTTCATATTCAATGTAAATGGGCTGACAATGCAAAATCCAGTGAAACCTTCAAACAAGTTATTGAGGAAATGAACAAGAATAAGAAATTATCAGTAGAAACTGAATCAAAAACGACGAGAAATATAACAGTAATAATGACTGGAAAACCTATTTCAGATCTTCCAAATTCAGATTTTCCTGATGATCTGGTGATCATTAACAAAACAAACTTCGCAAAATATTTTGGAATTTTTACGGATAGCATGAAATTTCTTTGTGCCAAACAAATTCTTAACATCAACAATCAATCAGAATTACAAAGCTTTCATGGCTTAGGTGACGTAATGGCAAAATATGTCATAAAAGCACGATCATCAACTGGATTTAAAGACATGGAGGACTTGAAGAAGAGGGTGCTAGAAACAGTCACAGACAAGACATCAACAACAAAATTGATCAACATACTATCCGACGTTGAAATAATTTTCTAACGAAGATCAGATTGCAGGGTGGCATTGGCTGTCTCTTCTGGAAATGAATGGTCTAGCAAATGTTGTTTGAGAGCTTGCAAGGACCGATATTGGGAGGTTTCTTCTGCCCCTCGAACTGTGTTAGGTGTGATATGTTTCGTTATGAGACAATATATGATCCAAAAGGTACCTGAAGAAGATAATGTCTTCTTAAACAAATTGACGCCTACAGACCTGATTAAGGTAACATAGTGTCGAATAACTTTGACCACCAGACAAGTTGTCTTAACCAGTTCACTACTGGGTCCTGCTTGCCCCAGGCAAAGTGTGTCAAGGTTGGATTTAGAGATGACTCTAAACAACTTCACAACTGGTGTGAAGTAAGAAGGAGATGTTCACGAATGTCGTGAATGAGGGGTGAAAGGAAATAAGGAATGTCAAGAAGAGGAAACATCGTTGGGTGTATGAGGTGATTAATTTCACCGGGCAGTATTTTTGGTGGCTCGATTATGATGGGATCTTTATCGAGGTTCATTTTGTGCGGTTTTGTGACCTGAATTAATAATTTGAATCCAACCCTTCTTTGGTTAGTCCCAGGTAATGTCACACCATTTAATAGAAGCAATGTCTGAGGGACGGAAGAGTGTGCGCAATCCAATGATCATAGTCGTTAGAGATTGTTTGTATTGTAAATTCGTTGACCACCCTTAATAACGAGTTTTGAAAGAACCAGGATCATGATTGTGCAATAAATATGTCATCCAAAAACAGTGAACCATCCTTTGTGCCTGAATTGGATTATTTCATATTCATCACTCGCCTTAATAATTCATCATCATCCTCAATTTCGTCCAGGTCCTTATCCTTGCTCTTAGCTTTCAAACTAGAAGTTCCAGTTTTCGCTGACGAGAGTTTTCCGCTCATATCCAATCCAATTTCGTCATAAATTTGTTCCATTGCTTCATCAACCTCTTGTTCGTCGTCTTCAAACAAATCCTCAAGAGCATCGTCCATCATTTCTTCGCTCATTCCCATCTTTTCATTTGCTTTTTCAAATTCCATAATGGTCTTTTGCATTTCTTGTGGATTCATTTGTTCATTAATTTTCTTCATCACCGTTCCTGTACTTTTAATTGCATTCATCATCTTTTCTTGAGTGTGCATGGATGAAGCTTTATGTTGTACGGTAGACATTGTTCCTTTCATTTTGGACATTCGTTCTTGTTGCTTCCGAAGCTGAACAATTTGTTTGGCCAAAACTTTCGCCGTTGCTTGATCTCCTTTCTGCAGAGCATTCTTGACTTGTGTTTGTAACTTTTGTTCTTCCAATTTCAATTTATAGGTTTCACGATCCATATTTCGTGTACCCGATCGGAGTTCTTTCTTTTGCTCTTTCATAATTTCTTCGGTTGTTTTTTTCTTTTCAAATAACGGCATGATGAATTTAGTATTTAAATAAGTACTGTGAAAGTGTTGTGATGATACTTGTTAGGAGGCAATTGTTTGTTCTATTTTTTTGAAATTTTTAAAATTGAATCCTCCCCGTTTCTAATTAGAACGATTAAATTTTCAAACTCGAAAGGAGAAGGATTGCAAGTTGAGCGATTCAATTTATTCAACTACTCCAATTTCTTCAAGGTACCTATTTCAATTTCCATTTTGGCTCACCTTCTCGAGTTGAAGGTCGAGGAATAATTTTTCTTATTTTCAAATATAAAAAATGATAAAATCAAAACTTCTGGCAGCACAAAGACAAGCTCATCATCATTCCGTTGCTTCAACCAATTTTTTATTTCATCTCGCTCCATTACGATTTTCTTCCATTCATTCCTCATGGAGAAAACAGTACTCTTGCTATCATCAATTATGCTATTTATTTTCGGAACAACAACGAGAATTTCATCATCATGGTGTCTCCAAAATGGCCGCTGCAGGAACCATTTCTGTTGACCCTAACAAATTTAAACTTATTGAATCTGTTTTTAATCAGTTAGTGAATGTGGATATTGTTCAATTGTTTGATAGGGTCTCTAAATATCGAGAAGAATCAACAAGAATAGCAATGGAAAGAATCCAGAACAGATTTTCGGGAAAAGAAAATAATTCCTCAGAGGTGAAAATTGACCCACTTCCACAAGATGTGAAAGCAAGAATATTGAAAAGCTTGGAAATTTTAGTTTCACTCCCAACTCCAGAAGAACCATCAGAAACCAACCAAAGAATTAAATATTTCAAGAGTCAAGCTCTGAAAGCATTCGGAGTCATCTACTCGGAATTTTATCCATGGTTTGGAATCGATAGAGATGCACATTTGGGATTTTATTACATGACTGCTGCTGCCAAGTTGGACGATGCAGAAGCATGTTATCACGTTGGCACATGTTTCATAAATGCACTGAACTACCTGGCTGGAGAAGAATTAGAGCCTGAAAAGTATAATTTTATCAAATCATCCAGTTTTCTCTTTGGTTCTGAGTATGATAAGGATACCAATACATTCATTTTTTTAGATGAAAAAGCAAGAAAGAAGAAAAAACTACAATTAGAAGGAAAAGAACATATTCTCAAGCCAAAGCTCTCATCTGAAGAATATTTAAAATATCCAGGAATAACTCAAGATTTACTTTATATTAAGCTTAAAGAGAACGAAAAACTTGCAGTGGAATATTTGAAGAAGGCAGCAGATTTGGGAGATATGGAATCTCAAGTTATCATGGCAAAATTTTATTTGGAAGGTAAAGCTGGATTAGCAACCAATTTGAAACTATCAATGCATTATGGAGAAATGGCTTCTAAACAAAATAGCCCTCATGCTTTGTTTAATATTGCTAGTATTTATTTATTGGGAGCGAAGTCACAAGTTGCAAAACCAGGCTTTGAAGAATTAACTGCTTATCAGTTACATCATACTCCGAACGCTACTGAAACATTTGAAGTTAAAAAAGATGTAAATAAGGCAATGGAATATTACACAAAAGCAGCCTCATTGGGCTTACCAGAAGCAGCCTATATGGTAGGTCATGCCTATCATCATGGTCTCTACAACTTGACACAAAATACTGAAAAAGCAGTTCAATTCCTCAACCAAGCTGTTAACAACTCACATGCAGAAGCTGCTTATTATTTGTATCTGATGTATGCCACAGGAGAAAACTGCGAAAAAGATACCAAAAAAGCCGAACAATACTTCACTACCGCTATCAAGTTACATAGCCCTAATGCTCTTTATGAGCTTGGTGACAGGTATTTCCATGGAAAGAATGGATGTTCAGTTGATTATGCAAAAGCATTTGAATTCTTTACCAGGGCTGGAGAACTCAAGAACAAGAACGCGTTATATTGTCTTGGAGTCATGTATTATCATGGTATTCATGTTAAAAAGAGTCTAAAAACAGCTTTTGAAAGATATTCACAAGCAGTTCAAACAGGCTCCAAAGAAGCATGTCTTGCTCTCTCCGATATGGTGAGTAAGGGTGAAGGAGGAGTGCCACGAGACGAACACTATGCCAAGCAGCTGAAAAAGATGTACGATCAAATGGTTGCAAGCGAGGAAGGAAGATCTTTGGACAACCAGCATCAAGACAGTGATTCTGAAGTCGATATTAGGTCAGCCAGTAATCATTCAGGTGGTTGTGGTAAATCCTCGTGTCAATGTGCTGCACAACCAGAAGAAAAGACCACAATTACAGCTTAATGTTTCGTTCGATACAAAAAAAAATACAAATCGAATCTCATTGTGATCTCTCCTTTCAAATTTTGGTGGCCACAAGCATTCATCATCAACCACACACCAATCGGCATCAAATTGTAAATTATTATTACTCAACACTTTCAGACATCAATATTTCAAAATGGTTGTACTAATTAATGTCGCATGTGAATGTCTTCTCATTGCAAGTTGTCTCTTTTCAATTCGAAAAATCGTTAATTCCGATCATCGAAGCGTCTTTTCCACGAATTACACACCAAAAAATCCTCTCGCTTTCATCATTCTTTTTGCTTCCATTGCCTTTGCAGCTTGCTTGGGAATTATTAATTATGCTTCTTTGAATTCACAATTGGCATCTTACCACCCCATTGTTTCTAGATATGTTGGATCTCTAATCATGCCACTTCTTCTTCCATTTGGTGTTGTTCAATCGATTGGATATGGCCCGATTAGAATTACTCCTTCAGTGGGACAAGTAATTTTGACAGCATTGATCGCATTTATTGGAGCTGTCATTTACAATGAACAGGTCGCTGGATTAAGAAGTGGATTGTTTTCAATTCCACATTCTGCTGAGGAGTTGTTGAGTGTTGGATCAGTTGTATTTTGCTTGCTTTATGCAATTTATGGATATTTGACAGCTGGCAGCAGTGCTTCCACTATTCGTTTCAAATGCTTACACATGATTTATGCAGTAGTGACTATGATTGTTGCTGACTCGATCTTGAAGAATAAGTTATTGGGTGGAATGGATGTAAGCCCTTTTGAAAAAGTTGACTTGTTTCACATCATCTTTTCCTTTTCCATGATTTTCTTAGGAAATGTGGCTGTTGGAGGTTTTTAAATTTATGGTCTTTGATGAAATTGATAAAATATATTCAGTTACTGTTTTTTTGAATTTAAATGAAAAATCAAATAATCTCAATGGAAACGTCAATGATCAAAAAATTTATTTTACAAGTTCACAGCTAAATGAACAACAACATCTTGAGCATCAATATTTTACCAAGTGCATCAATAATTGTGAATAAATTAATAAGCTTCTCCTTCATTAACGTCTTCATCATCTTCTCCAAAATCTTCCATCATGTCTTCATCCACATTTTCAAAATTAGCACTTTCATCGGTTGGAAGAGAATCCAATGTGTCCAACACTTCTCCTTCGTCACTCAATGTTTCAGCTGCAATTTCTTCTTCATCCTCTTCCGATTCTTGTTGTTCGGTTGTTGCTGCTGATTCGGTGGATGATGAACTCTCGTCAACACTCGAAAGAGAATCTAAATTCATTTCTTCGGTAGATCCTTCAAAGAGAGTTTCTACAGATTCGGCATTGACGACGGAGTGTGATGTGGTCGACAAGAAACCTGTGATGAAGAGAAGTGCCAAGAGAGCGAGGGTCAGTAAGAGAAATTTGTTGTTGGGCATTTTTTTTGAATTATGGTCTGACAGGTGACGCATGTAAATCGGGTCATACACTAAACTTAAGGCTCGATGAGTCCAAAATCCTTACTTGATAAAGTCACAAAATAAAGGTTTACTTCTTTTCACTATTGCCTGGAAAAACAATCCATCAGTTGACGACTGACGTTCATCACTCGTCCTTGAAACAGCAGTGTAAATCCTCTTCTTAACCACTTGTAAACCTCTTGCCAACAAATGCATAGGACGGAGAGCAACAAAATAATGGTCCAACCTAATAATCCCAAATTTTGAATCTTGAGAGCTGTTGATAGAGGTGTAAAAAGTTGTAAAATAAAAACAGAGATTCCTACAACTGCAATCCAAATGTTCATCATTACATTTGTGAACAACCCATGAATGAATAGGGGAGATGTAGTAGTTCTCATGTTGAATGCAAGTGTGACATGTCCAATGAGCCACGCCATCATTGCCATTGATTGAGAATATTGTTCATGAGCTTTTGAATCTAAATTGTACATTGGTCCTAATAAAAATGCTCCAATCAAATAGGATAGTAACACTGAAATAAATAATGATGCTGAGCCTGTAGCTATGTGACATAGAAAAGTGGCATCCACAAATTGTTTGTCTTTTTTGGGAGGTTTTTTCATAATGTCTTCTTCCTCGCTTTCAATAACAAACGCAGTGGCTGCTCCAATATCACTAAATAATTCCAGTAGAATGATCTGAATGGGATCCATAGGAATGAATGGAACGTATTTCGAGCCTCCAATGATGATATTTACAATAAATAATGAAACAAGAGTCATCTTGCAAGAGAGATAGAATTGAATGGATTTTCTAAGATTTTCATAGAGCTTTCGTCCTTCTATAATTCCTGTCACAATGGTTGAGAAATTATCATCGGTGAGAATAACATCAGCTGATTCCTTTGCCAGATCTACTCCGCTTTTACCCATAGCTACTCCAACTGTCGCATTGGCTAGAGCAGCGGCATCGTTAATTCCATCTCCACTGACAATTACATTATAGTTATACTTGTTTCTCAATAAGTCAACAATATCGTACTTGTTTTTTGGTGTAGCTCTTGAAACTACACAAACCTCATTGTCAAAATCTACATTTTCATCCACATCTTTGCCTTCAATACATTGTTTCTTCTTTTCAGAAGCAGATTCCCCAAGCTCAATTTCTTCTTCTTCGTCAGCACCTTTTTTTGGATGGAATTGTAAGAGACCACATTCATCAGCAACTGCTACTGCTGTGTTTGTGTGGTCGCCACTGATCATAACAACCCTGATTCCAGCTTCTTTACATTGCTTAATAGCTTGCTTCACTCCAGGCCGGATTGGATCGATGAATGACAACAAGCATGTGAAAATTCGTTCAGAGTTGTCATTTTCTCTACAAAGTCCAATTACCCGCATTCCTCGTGCTGTTGCTTTTTCTAAATAGTTGGTAAGGCTTTGTTTACTATCCTCTGATAGCTCCAAAACGAGATTTCTGTCAGAAGATGCTTGAAAGCGATTACAGATATCTAAAATTTTTTCTGGAATTCCTTTGGAATAGATCATTTTGGATGACATGTCCGAGGATAGGACAATCGAAGAGAAACCTTTTTGATGATCGAAACAAATTTCTTCCATGAGTTTGACATGACTTTGATTCCGTCTTTCGAGGATTTTTGTGAAAGTGTCTCCTAATGTCGAAAGTTCTTCCACTACAGATTTTTCGAATGGATCGTCGAGCTCGTCAACGCCAGAACTAAAAGAGCTTCCAGCTAGAAGCCAATCCAAAATCCAATCTGATAAAAATTTTGTGTTTTCACGTTTTGTCTTGTGTCTGTATACACAAGACAGATTTCCATTTTCGTCTAGTTGATGGACCTCAGTCAATTGAAGACAATTTTTGGTCATGGTTCCTGTCTTGTCTGTTAAAATATGGGTAGTTGTGGCCATCGATTCAGGTACATGAAGTTTTTTGATGAGAAGATTCTTCTTACTTAATTGCAAAGATCCCAGCGCAAGTACACTCTTAATAATGATAGGTAACTCTTCTGGTATCGTTGCGAACATTACGGAAAGGCCTGCTAACAGCATTCTCCTCCATTCGAAGCCTCTTATCCAGCCCACAATTACAATAATAGCCGTTATAGATATTGAAGCAATTGTTAAATATTTTGCCAATTCTTTCATGGTTTTTTGAAGTTCGGTTTTCTTTTCTTTCTCGTTGGCTTTTTCAAGCAAATTCAAAACGGACCCAAGTTGAGTATTGTCACACCCTGTGCTGATCACAACTCCGAATGCCTTCCCTTTCACAACGTACGTCCCTGCAAACACAATATTATTGCATTCTATCGTGGAAATTTCATTTGTTGTGTTAATAACATCTCCGTGTTTGTTGCACAATAGAGATTCTCCAGTGAGAGCCGATTGATCAACCTGGATATTAATTTTTTTGCTTTCTGTGTTAAATAATCTCACATCTGCGGGTAAAACTTGACCCACGTTTAGACGTATGACATCTCCTGGCACAAGCTCTGTCACATTAATAATTTTTAACTCTCTGTTTCTTCTTACTGTACATTTCTTGGACATTTCAAAAGTAGATTTCAGCTGCTGAACCCCTTTCTTTGACCTATATTCATTTATCACCTCTACAATTACCATCAATATAATACAAATAAATATGACCAATCCATTCCAAATAGAATCATCCCAAATAACGTATAAAATTCCCACGATGAATAACAGTAAAATCATTGGCTCTCGCACCTCGCTAATAAATACTCTCCAAAATGATAATTTAGAGTTTGATTTTTCCACTAATTTTGTGAAAAGATTATTTTCGCCATACTTCTCTCGCTGGCGTCTTACTTGTTCGTCAATTAGTCCTGTTTCTTCGAAAATATGTGACCCAAAATTCGACCTATGAGTTGTACCATTAATGTGACCTTGACTTGATCTTAACGAGTTTTCTTCTTGGTGTGACGTTGCTTCGGGATGATCTGTGACGTCACTCGTATTTTGTAAAATTGGCTCTGACTGAAAATCTGCTGATAATAGAGTAGAATACAATTCTTCAATGTCCATTCGGTAATATGGCACTCCTTTAAATTTTGATGGAACATGAGCTTCCTTCTCATGATCTTCTGTAATTATTTCGGATGGTGAAGCATTGATAGATGTTTCTTGAACATCAACAATTTCTGAACCAATAGGAATTGCTTCCTCTTCCTGAACCACTGATGGTGTGTTTGAAGGCTCCTCTTTTCCGTTTTGATCATTGACGAGCGGTTGGTCATTCAATGAATGTTTCGGTTGCAAAGCCATTTTTTGGTGTTTTGCTTCATCCCGATAACAATTGAAGCAAGGAAGAAAAAGAAGAACAACAAAAATATGAAATCACAAATCCTCCCACTACTACGACCACGCCTCGCAAATAACTGTAAAGGCTGTTGCCGTTGTTGTTGGATCTTATGATCAGAATTGAAATAATAGGAGTAATGAAAATTGATGTTCCCGAGTTGAGTTTTTTAATTGATCAACAAGCTGTGTGGTGGAAATTGCCTCTGACATTCCATGTAGTATGACGCGTGATGGAGAGTCGTGCGAGTTGATGTTGGCACTTTTAAAAAACAATATCATCATGATGAACTCTCATGAGATGGAGAGATTGGATTCCAAGAGCTCCGTTACGATGATGATGGAATCTCCTTCCACTTCTACCATCGTTCATATGGGTATTCCAAATAGCAACGTCAGCTCACCAACAATGATGCCAACAGCAAATGTTGATGAATCGGAAGAGCTCTCATCATCCCAATACATTTGTAGCATCAATGATTGGGACGCAAACAAGAGGAAGAAAAAGAAAGGCTGGTTCGGCGTTTCTGTTCCCAAATTTCCAAGAAGCAATTATTTGAAAACAACCAAGGTGAGTGGTCATAATCTCTGTCATGTCACCCAATGCCAATCACTATTTCCAATTATAGTATACATGGTGGAACTTTCTTTTTGTTTGTTTTTTCAATCAAATGAAAAAGATCGGTAACATTTATTTTACATTCATCATGATTATTGCCTTAGCGATCCCAGGCGTTTGGATATCTGGCTCACCGCTTTTGTCTATTGTGCCAATTGCTATCATTTTGGGTAAGTTAAAATTATCATGCTGAAACGTCACTCACCCCCTTTCGACTTGGGAATGTGCAAACAGGTGTTAATTTTATACGAGAGGGAGGTGAAGATTTTTTCAGGTATCTCAATGACAGGAAAGTTAATAATGCCAAAACAAAAGTACTACGAGACAATGAATTTCGAACAGTTGCCACCAAGGATGTTCGTGTGGGTGACATTGTAAAAGTAGAGGAAAATGAAGAATTTCCTGCTGACTTGGTATTGATTTCATCCAACTTTGAAGACGGAAGTTGTTCCATTGAAACGTCAAACCTTGATGGAGAATCAGCCTTAAAATCAAGATATTCTCCAAGTAATTTGTCAACCTATAATACGTCACAAAGATTGTCAACCTTAAAAGGTGTGATCAAATGTCAAGAGCCCAATCAACATTTACACAAATTCAGAGGCTCTATAACCGTGGATGGAGTTGACTCTCCAATTTCACATCAAAACCTACTACTCAAAGGGTCTGTGTTAAAAAGTGGTTTTATTCATGGTGTAGTGGTGTATACTGGAAAAGACACAAAAGTTGCCAAAAATATGCAACAAACCACTCTCAAGTTTAGTTTTATTAATACCATGACGAACTTTTTCATTTCCGTCATGTTTGGAGTTATGGCCATTTTTGTGGTGTTATTTGTTATTTTAGAAGCATATTACGAATTTACGTATGCTAGAAAAGCTACATACACAGGAAAGCTAAAACCAATTGGTATATCTGATGGTCTTTGGGTTGTTCACTCTATTCTAGTGTTCGTTGTGCTATTTAACTTATTCGTTCCTGCCTCTTTATTTGTTACCTTGGAGTTTGTAAAAGCTGTGCAGGCAAGATTTATATCCATAGACAACAAACTTTGCTACTCTGAAATCGATTCCCATACTGGAAAGAAAAACGAGACAAAAGGAGCAGCAATTTCGAGCGACCTTCATTCTGATTTATCTCAAGTGGATGTTATTGTGACCGACAAGACTGGTACTCTCACTGAAAACTCAATGAATTTTAACAAGCTATGGTTATTGGATGGTCCCACTTTTGACGATACCATGGGCGCAGGTGACATTCAACTGGCTTATTCAGATGAAGCAAGATCTGAGTCAAATTCAACACAATCAGTAGTGCTGAACAAAACCAAAACAGTGTTGTCAGATGAGCAATATTTCACAGTTATGGTTTCATTATTGACTCTTTCATTGTGTCACAATGTAACTGTTAGAATTGGCGACAATGACAAAATTACCTATGACGGAGAAAGCCCTGACGAAATAGCTTTGGTTAAAGGAGCGTCAAATAATGGATTTGTGCTGAAATACTTTACCGAAAAGAAGACAATATTGTCAATTTTCAATAAGGAATATACATTCGAACGGTTAGCCGAAATTGCTTTCACACCGGAGAGAAAGAGAATGTCAACGTTGTTTAACATACCAACAGATTTCTTGCAAGATTATCCGATATTTTCAAAGATGGCATTAAAACACAATGTGCCAGAAGAGGACATTCAAAACGGAAGTGGTCTTAATTTATGCCTTATCAAAGGGGCAGATACTTTCGTATACCCTTGCATTTCTAAAGATTGTCTCGACAATTCAAAACAGAAAGTGGAATCTCAACTTTTAGATTTTTCAAAAGAAGGACTTAGATCTTTAGTTCTGGCATACAAGTTTGTGCCCAATTCTGCAGTTAATAACTGGCTTGAAACCTATTACCAGTCAAAGAAAGAAATTGTTGATTCAAAACAATTGGAACTTCTTCACAAAGCAGAGTCAGAAATGGAAAATCAAATGACCATTTGTGGTGCCACAGGAATTGAGGATAGGTAAGTTATTTAGCCACTCAATAATTTTCATAATGGTCTTGTGCTAGATTACAAGTTCAAGTTCCAGAAACGTTAAAGTTTTTCTTCGATGCAGGGCTCAAAATATGGATGGCAACTGGCGATGCACGAGATTCAGCTATACATATTGCAAAAATTTCCAAGCTTGTCAGCGAAGATACTCCAATACTTTACATGGAATATAATCATAGCACCTATGAAGATGTATTGGCAGATGAGTTGTTACAGAAGATTTCCCAAATGCCCTCTCATCAACAAGAGAATCTGTCACTTGTGATGGACGGCCACGTTATGAACAAGACGGAAGTGTCTAAATCACTTGTTACTCTCTTGGAGAAGTGTAAAACCGTAATTTGTTACAGGTCTACTCCAAAACAAAAGGCCAGTCTCGTACAACTTCTAAGAAGCAAGTTGAAGAAAAATTGTCTGGCTATTGGTGATGGTGCCAATGATGGTATGTAACTTTTCAATATTTCCTTGCAATAACTATGTGGAATGTTTGAAATAACAGTTTCCATGATTCAAAAAGCCAAAGTTGGAGTTGCTATAATTGGTAAAGAAGGTCAGCAAGCCAAACTTGCGTCAGATTATGCCATTCCTAAATTTTTCATGTTAAAACGTTTGCTTGCAGTACATGGAAGATATTCCTTCAAGAGATCAGCACAGTTTGTCCAATATTCATTCTATAAGAACACAGTCATTGCCTTTGTTCTAGTGCTCTACAACTTTTACAATTTATATTCTGGTCAAACGTTGTTTGACGGATGGGTCATTACATTTCAAAATTATATATTCACTTTGTGGAATCCTTTCATCTTTGGCTTGATAGAAAAAGATATTACTGAGGACTTCTTAGAGGACCCAACCACAGGTCCAACACTTTTTAAGAATTTAAGAAAAGAGAATGTATTTAATTGGTTTTCATTTATTAAGTGGATTTTTGGCTCATTCATCCATGCGGTCATTATTTTCTTTTTCAACATGTATGGGACAGAGCCAACCATGCTTGCTAATGGGCAAAGTGATGATCTTTGGTTGAGATCGACACTTGTGTACACCTGTGTATTTGCAGTAGTCACATTGAAATGTTTTTTAGAGATGGAACATTATACTATTTTGCACGGCATTGCCATGCTTCTCTCAGTGTTGTGCTTCACTGGATATGTGATTGTATATACTATCATTCCATCTGCCTTAACGAATGTGTGGTTTATGGCAATGAGAACACCCACATTTTGGTTTATTCTTCTATTATGCGTGGCTACATGCTTGGGTATTGATTTAATTTTCGTTTCGGTGAAAGTCATTTGGTTTCCTGACATGTACCTTAAATTGAGGATGCAACACAAAAAGAATCACCATGTAAATGAAGAGAAGGACCAAGAATTGCAATACACACAGTAAAACTCGATGGTTCAGCAAAAGTACAATGAAATTATTGAATTATTGTTGGGAGTCAATGTCGTTTTCAAATGCACAACAATTGAGAATTTCAAAAACTTTTGGCATGTTTCGCTACCAAGAAGGACGAATTAGAATCTATTTAGTTTGTGAGATGGAAACGATGCATCAAAAATTGGCCAACAACAAAACAAAATGCCCAAGTTCTTGCTTTCTACCCTGCAAAATGTGTTACATCCCACAGCTTGGATTCAAGTATAAATTATGATGATAATTTTCGCTAGTCATTGGATTCAGCACAAAACAAAACGCAAATATATTTTTGAATGACCGCTGCGAGTAGTAATACTAAGAGTCTTCTCGGAAGGTGGGCCTCTCCACTCAAAGATTTGTTCTTTCTCGCGCCAGTGGTTTGTTTCTTCAAAGACGCCTTTTGCTTTACCCTCTACGATGATTTTGTGGTTCCAGTCAGGGAGGGTCTTTTTGATATCATCCAAAAGGCTCCATCCCTCGAGATGAGAAAGTTAACGGAAAATGAAAGAGAGATGATCAAGAAACAGTTACAACAGATCAAAGAACAGTATGGATCCACCGAAGGTACTCCTCTCGAAACAATCGAAGAGAAGAAAAATCATTGACCCTCACAGCCACAATTTGTGAATGGTTGAAAGCGTTAAAGTTTTTTCACGTCATCATGGGATCTGACATTGTGTGGTTGTCTCTCTTAATGTTGTTCTCCCTGAGCATGAGCAACATCAGGCTGATATTGAGAAGCTACATTTTCGACTTGTTGGAAGCTAATTTTTCTAATTTTTCAGAACCTCATAATGAAGAGGGTTCAACCTCCTTATTGGAGAATGCACTGCTACTGATTGTGAGCCATTGTTTCATGTCCATGCTGTCCCTACTTGTTTTCTATGCCAGTAGATTACGGGAGTATGTGGAAAAGGGAGCAATTTCAGAATGTATGAGAGAGTTAGTGTTACATAAGGTATCCAAGATTGTCATGAGTGAGAAACAAGAACGGTTCAACTTTGGAATAATTTCCACCATTCTATTTGAAGACGTTTCTACAATTAGTAGCTCTAAATATGTCTTGTCGGAGACACATTCTCACATTGGATATTTAATTATGAGCTTCTTTACAATGGTTTATACAGTAGGATTGTTTGCCTCATGCTGCTCATTTGTATTTCTATTGTTCACTGTTCCAGTTTATATTTATTTCATCAAAAAGCAAGATACTATGCGAAAAGAAAACCTTGAAATAGCAGATGAAAAGTCATCTGTACTTTCTCAATTTATTCATGCTATCAAGCTGATCAAAGTGTTTGCCATCGAAAATGTTTTTATTAACAAATTCGAAAATATTGAGGCAAAAGCCAGAAAGAACTTCAACTCGGATAGTTGGATTGCTTTTATCATTGAATCTCTCTATCACTTGCAATCATTCATGGTTTCTTTCATTTGCTTTTTTGTATATTCATATATTGAAGGCAAACCCATCACACTTGGATTAGCCCTCACTGTGAGCAGTTTGTCAGATTGTTTGAGGTGGCCTTTTTACAGCTTGTCTTCTGATTTGAGACAAATAAGCCAAATGAGAATAGCTTCCAAAAGAATAGCCAATCTACTCATGTGTAAGGAACATAAATATCACACTGAATTCACAACAGAGGTTGGGGTGTTAGTAGAAATGCAGAACGTCAGCGCAAAATGGAATTTTGAGCCTTGCAACAACAACACGTACGACAACTCAATCATTAGAAATATTTCATTGAAAATTCATGAAGGAGAACATGTGGCGCTAATCTCAAAGGTTGGAATGGGAAAGTCCACTTTGCTATATACCATTTTGAATGAGACAAACATCATTCATGGCAATGTTCGTATTAAGGAAGGACTTTCTATTGGTTTTGTTTCTCAAAATGTATGGATACGAAACGGTACCATTCGTGAAAACGTTGTGTTCTGTTCCAGCAATTTTGACCAGAAACGGTACGAGCTTGCGTTATGGGCTTCAGATTTCGCTATTGATGTTGAGCAGATGACCAAAAAAGATGATCAGATGATTGGAGAAAGAGGAATCAATCTCAGTGGTGGACAGAAAATTCGCTTGTCCTTAGCACGAGCTCTCTACCATGATTGTGATTTGTACTTGCTTGACGATATTTTCTCAGCCGTTGATATTCACACAGCAAGTAACATTGTGGATAGGCTTTTTCAGAGTGAGAATGCCTTGTTGAAAAATAAGAGTATTCTACTAGTCACACATCAATTACACCTGTTAAAGATGATCGATCGTACATTTGTGATGGATAAGGGTGAGATTATTCAGCAAGGATCTAACAGCGAAATCATTGATAGCGAGAATATGTCTGATACATTGAAGGATTTACTCTCTTCTACCCACAACGTTCAAGATGAGACCAAATCGATATTCCAAACATCTCAACATTTAATGGAACAAAGTGAAAGTGATGAGAGGGAAGATGGCAAGTCTTCGTTTGAATCTGTATTAGAAGAAGTCAGAGAAGACCCAAAAATTATACAAATCATTGAATTCATGATGTCTCTCGGCAGAAAGAGCTCCATCTTTTTGTTAAGCATTGTTACTCTTGGATTAATAGAACAATTTGCTCCAGTCTTTAAGGACTATATACTTTCATGCTGGATTATGGATGAACACTATGAACAACATCCATTAGTTTATTATTTTAGCCTATACAATGTGGGAGCGTTTTGCGAAATGATATCCTACACGCTGAATAGTGTAGTTGTTGGATACTTTTTATATCTTGTTGGAGATGTGTATCAGTCGTTGATTTTGGAAAAATTAGCTCAATCCAAGTTGAAGTTATTCGAGACAGTCCCTTCTGGAAAAATTATTGAGAGAGTTTATGACACTAGTGAGATTCGAAACAACATCAGATACATGTTTCAATACTTTATTTCGACTGCTTTTAAAGCGTTAGTTACCATTGTCATTATACTCTTCACAGTACCTATATCTATTGTATTATTTGCCATTGTTGCTCCTATCACCAATTATTATAGAAATACCTACTCCACTACGGAGCAACAAGTTTTAGATTATCAAACTTCAAATCTTTATGATCCCACATACACCATCTCAAGTGAAATTCTTGAGGGAATTGACACAATTCGAGCTTTTGACAGAGAGAAAAAGATGACGGCTCTCATTTCAGAAATAAGAGAACGGAACCATTTTATCAACAAGTTAACTTATTGTAATGAGTTACTTTGGAATTGGTTTTCGGTTAGATGCGGTTTTGCTAAAGACGTAACAATTTCTCTAATTCTTTTAGTAATTTTTTTATATTATTACAAGTACTATCATGAGCAAAATGTCCATCTCTCCAATGACACGATGTCAACTGAAAAGATGGTACCCATACAAGTTGTTATTGCTCTCTTCTATCAGAGAGTTCAAGATCTTATTGACTCTTCAGAGACACTGTTTTATACATTTACAAAAACAGCTACTTCTTTTAGGCCAGTTCAAAGAATTCTCGATTTTGTGAAACAACTTCCATTAGATGGAACGCAGTCAGTTTTGGAAAAGCCAAAAGACTTACATTTTGAAGGAACTGTTATATTTGACCGAGTGAGTATGAAGTATTCTCCAGAGTGTAATTACGCCCTTAACAATATATCATTTAGCGTAAAACAAGGCGCTAAATGTGGAATTGTTGGAAGAACAGGAAGTGGGAAGAGTAGTATCTTTAATTGCATTCTTCGATTACAAGAAATTGAGAAGAATGAAGGAGCTATTTATATGGATGGAATTGACATTCGAGAATTACCTATTAGGGATTTACGAAAGAGTATTACTTTTATTCCACAACAACCTATTTTATTTATGGGAACTTTGCGAGAAAACATGGACTTTGAAGGAGCGTTTAGTGACCAAGAAATTATAACAGCACTCGAACAGGTTGGATTGCTACACACCTTAAAAGAAAAGTCTGCTATTGTGAAGGGAGAGGAACAATCCATTCTTGATATCAAAATCACTGAGAATGGAACCAACTTCTCGAGTGGAGAGAAACAGCTCATTTGTTTGGCTCGAGCTCTATTGAGAAAAACAAAGATATTGCTGATGGATGAAGGAACTAGTAATTTAGACAATTTCACAGATTCAATTATTCAAAATACTTTACGTGGGCCACTTTTTTCCAACACCACTGTTTTGGTCATTGCCCACCGAATTGAAACAGTCAAGGATTACGAAAAGATCATTCTCATGAGCGATGGTATCATTGCAAAACAAGGCTCAGCAGATCAAGTGTTAATGTCGTCAGATGAGTTCATCATCGAGTAGTTGATAAAAATAACTCGGAATTTCTTTCGAATTCGAACGAGAAGTGGTTGTTGTTTGTGACCGATCGAATATTCGATCAACAGCATAACAGAAAAAAGGCACCTATATCACTGTAATTTATTCAGCTCCTCCTCATCATCTCTTAGTTTGGACACCATCAGCTCATCAACACCGTGTAAGAAACCAGAAGAACCTCATGTACTCACTCAACACTTTCAATCTCGGTCATTGCAAAAGCTATTGACCAAGATTTGTGGCATCAGTTATGATGGTGGAAATTTAATGATGGAGTTACATCGTATTGATGATTCTTTTGAAATCAAACCATGTTGGTTGAATAATGAAGTCATTGGTCATATCATTGTCTATTCCAAGTTCAAGACGGTAATTGTGAATTGTATTGGAAGTAAGAGTATTTTGGACTGGGTTTCCAACTTTTTAGAATTTCAAAGCACCACTAAGATGGATTCAAAAAGCAACGTGGAATATCAAGTGTGTACATGGACACACAGCGGTGCCAATCTCATGCTCTCAGAATTCCAAAAGGTTTTCATCTCCCTGTTGCAAAACCATGATGAAAACTCGTACCAAGTGTTTTGTTGTGGTCATAGTAGAGGTGCAGCTATTACTTCTTACACGGCATTTCTCATTGCAAGAGAGTTTCAAGAAGAATTAGCAGGCAGTGTTTATGTCAAAACTTTGGCTTGTCCTGCCTATGCATGTTCTGAATTTCAGACTCTTTATTTGTCGACCATTCATGAGATGAATATTTGTAATGTCCTTTCAATATTTGATCCCATTGGATTGTTGCTGATGGCTCGTTCCATTCCTGGAGAAGTCTCGTTCATAGAGTTTCAAAATCCATTGGGCTTTTTCAATGTCTTGGTGCAACCGGCAGTCAACCTGTTACAATGTGCTTCCGAGTTTTTGAGAAATATCTTGACAGCGCCATCATTGATATCTTGTTTGAAAAATGTTGCATGCGTTGGATTCCAGATAGTACTTGAACCAGGTGTGTTAGGTTCTATTGTGAAAAGTCCATTAATGTTGTTCATGAAAGCATTCATGAATGTAGTTGGTTATGTGATTCGAGGAAATGGACATGGAGTCAAGCATTACGAGGCTTTTGAGCGAGGCGTTTTTGAACAATTAAGTTCCACCATGGGAGAGTTTTTGAGCAACATTCAAGATGTAAGCATGTCAATTTGGAGACTATTGTGGAAGTTTTTGGTCCATTTAAAGAATATAGCCCTTGATTGGATGAAAAAATTGTGTGACGAGCTTTGGAATGGGCTTGCAAAGTTTTTTGACACAATTGGTTCCTTCTTTAATAAGCTTTCCATTCAACAATAAGCACTGCTTAAGGGTAAGAATAAAGAATCGGTCCACCTTAACCTGATCGACGATAAAACTGAAAGAGGCCTTGTATTTTCAGTCTTTGTGTTGAGACCATAAACCGCAGTTGAAGTCTAGCAGAAGCCAGTAATTCCCTGGCATTTGGTATTGTGAGAATAATAAATACAGACAGCGTTTAATGCAGTTGGGACAAAGTGTTCTTGTACTGTGAGTTCAAAAATAACATGTGTGACTTTCGAATATTGTCTTTTCGAAACACGTTATTTTTGAAATCGTCAAATCTATAAATTCGATTCAATTACGAACATCAACGAAACCAGGGTATTATTTCATAGAACCACTAAAAACATTGTCATTATGCTGCTCACAACGCTCTTCATTTCAGGATCTATTCCTCTGGCATATAAATTCATTTGCTCCAATAATAATCAAACAGAAGAACATGAATTGAAAGAACATCCCATCCAGGGAAAGAGACTATCTGCTCGCATACGTTTGTTTTCGGTAGGAAAATCTGTCGATCTCCCATCCCCTTCTGCTGAGGCTTCTAATTGTTATGTTGAAGACATAATGGTTGCAAAAATTGTCAGCTGTAAGGAATACAAGACTTTATTTGTGATTGGACAACAAATTCCTCTTCAAGGATCCATGAGTGAGTTTGAGGACCATCAGTTTCAAATGAAAATGCTTCCAAGTAACCCGACAGTCACCTTTCAAGTTCCTCAGTACGTAAAGAAGAGTGCAGAAAGTGTTTCAAACAAAATCGCAAGCATTTTACAATCGAATCAAAATCCAAACGAAATTCGCATCATTTTCTGTGGCCACAGGAACGGAGGTGCCATTGCTAACTATTCTGCCTTTGTTTTTGCTGTCACCAATTCAAGAAAGGAAAATATCTTTGTTGATACCATTGATTGTGAATCCTATGTTCCCAATAACAATCAAAACGCACCCACTATTCAATCACTGGATGAATATTACAGAAAGGTCATTCCTTCAGAGGCGGTACGAAACTCTCTGTCCTTGTTTGGATTATTTCGTGATGCATTTGGAACAATTCCAGGAGGGACAGTGTTTCATTGGGGAGGATTATGGAATTTGGCCAACTCACCAATAAGAGCCATCTTGGATAAATTGTCAAACCTTTTCAACGCCATTTTGAATTTTCCTTCGTTTGAGGAATTCATGAAGCGTTTGCTCGCACCTGACCGTTTCTGCTATGAGGTTAACAACTTGTTTGATGCTCTTGTTAAAGCGGTGGTTCCAGAAGACCATTCGAATGTGCAGAAGACAAAGTCGATTTGTCCCATGTGAAAGATGAGCTCACCACCGACACATCATCCTTAATGAAATCTCTCCATCAATTTTTAAAAAGTGTTGGGGACATGGAATGGACAGTGTTAAAAGCCATGTGGATGGTTTTGCAGTTTGTGTTGACCAAGGTGTGGAAAATTTTAGAGAAGGAATTATTGGATCCACTAAAGAAACGTTGGTCTGAATATGTTTCTTATTTGCAATCATGGTTCAATACGGCCCTTAATCATGTTAAAAAAGAGTAGACTCTTTTGAACTTCCAGCGTTCCAAGTAGAAAAATGATGGACATTAAAACTCCAAAGCATCGTCACAAGTTTAATCCGTTTGTGTTATTATCCCTTGCGAGATGATTTTTTCAAGAGTTAAATGTAAGTGAAAAAATCAGTCATGCTATCTCGTCGTGCGAACTACCAAAGATGAGCCTTCATTCATTTCGAACACTGACAACATTGTTCAACGTCAAAGATTCAAAACTGACGGACCTGGAAGCAGAATCAAAAGCTCCTGACCACACTTTCGTATGAAATCATTCAAGAGTTGAACCAAGACGAGTATTGAGCACAAGATACCTGCTTCTTCTGTTGATCCTGTTAGCATCTCAAGTGAAAGCTGTGTGTCAATAATAATTTTGTGAATACACAAATTTTGTAACTATGGGATTTATTGAACATCCTCAACAATACCTTTCATCGAATTCATGCTTTCCTTGCAATAATTGAAAGCATCCATGGCACTAATTCTGTCGTTTTGAGAAAATTTCAACATGGATCGCAAAAGATTCTGCAGTTGGGGAAGAGGGGATTGAGACGATGATGGTAGAGTTTTGTATCTTTCCTGAATACGTTCTTCAAGGCTATTCAAAACAGTTTCTTCTCCTCGTTGTATCATTTCTAAAAAGATATTTGTTCTTTCATCGTTGGATAGCAATTGGTACAATACAACTCCTGAAGACCAAATATCTGTCTTGACTCCATATCCTTGATTTAATTGAGCCTCTGGTGACATGTAATTTATGGTTCCCGATACACTAAAGGCCTTACTTTCGATTAATGATTTTGAGAGGCCAAAGTCACACAACAATACCTTAACGCGTGTTATGTTTCCCTTGTTGTCCTTCTCTATTTTTTCTATCAGAATGTTCTGTGGCTTGACGTCTCTGTGAATGACGTTTCTATTATGAAGTTCACACAGAGCGTCCATCACTTGAAGCATAATAGACAAAATGATACGAGGAGAGAGTTGTTGTTGAGGCGACCTAATTAGTGTTGTCAAATCTCCTTCATCATAATACGGCATAACAATACATAACATTTGAGGTGAGTAGAGATCGGTTGGTGAAGACATTGGGTTCAACCGTTGTTGAAATACATCTAACACCTTAATAATGTTTGGATGGTTGAACATCATCATTTGGAATGCCTCTCTCATGGCTTCATTGATAGACAAAAAGGTTTTGTCTCCAGAGTTGTCAACTGAACAAACTTTGAGAGCTACTCTTTTTTGGGTTGAAGAGGGTGACTTGGCACAATCTTCACACAAGTACACTGATGAAAAACCTCCACTTTGAATTTTCTTTAAAGGTAAATATCTGCCATTCCAAAGCAAAACACCAGTGTCGTTGGGTGAAAGACTTTCTTCTGATGTGGCTGATATGGAATCAGTCTTGTAGGAAAAGCTATCAGATTTGAATGTAAAGCTACTGCTCGTTGGAGACGGAACATATCTCGATGTTTGTATGGATTTAAACGGATCAATCTTTGGAGTTGATGGCAATGAAATGCAAGAAACACGTAGTTGATTGACGGATGGAGCCTCCTCAAGGAGACTCAAGTCATCAAACTCTACAAATTCGTTGCATTCCTTATCAAAAATTTCAATAACCACCAATTGACTGGTAGTTTTCTTTCGTTTCAAGCTGGCAATTAGATTATCACATTTAGTGTGAATAAAGGTCTCGAATGATTGGATATCTTTAAACGTTTCAGATGTAGAAAGCTTTTTCTTTCTACTACCAACATGAACCATAAAAAGATACTTGGCAGAAACACCACCGACATTGTGTTCGACAGGAGCATGTTGTGTCGTTGGTCCTTTGTACTTGAGAATCCAAGGGTGATGCGTTAGAGATTTGATGTAAGATCTTGAATAATCATGTTGGTAAAAACAGCATCGTAGGAAATCCAAAGCCAACTCTGAACAGTTAGGAGGAAAATATTTTTCAATGAGCTCCACTGGAAAGTGCTCTTCTTGAAATAAGGCAAATAAATCTTCCCATGAGTATTCGTTAAAGGGAGGCTTGCCTGTAAACAGTTCAATGACCAAGCATCCAATGCTCCAAATATCTGCAAGTGCTTGTTTTTCCCATTCATCTTCGTGCATGTGAAACATTAACGGTGAGCAATATTTCAGACAGGGCTTGTTCTTGATGTATTCTTCCTTGGTCATGATAAATCCAATGTCGGCCAACTTGACTTGGCCATATTTTGACAACATGACGTTTTTTGAAGATAGGTTCAAGTGTGCAATCTTTAAGGTATTGTGTAAATACAAGATTCCTTGAAGAACTTGATCAATGTACATGACAATGACCTTTTCACTTGGTCTATATCCCTTATTTCGAAGCATGAACAGGGAGCCATTTTCCAAGAATTCTTCAACGACGGCATAAAACTCTTCACCTTCTTTCACATTACCCTTGCTATCTTTAACAGGTAAAGTAACACTTGCAAACATGTGAGCAATGTAAGGATGTTCATTTCTAGTCTCTGCAATTTTTTCTCTCAAGTCTTCAATTCTATTCCGCAATTTTGGAATTATGTCTTGATTGTAAATGTGCTTCATGACGACGAAATTTCCAGTTTGAATATGGTACCCTTTGTAGATTTTATAATACCAATTTTGTCCCAAGCAATCAGAGTCTCTGTTCACTTGCTATCATTGGTGTGGACGGTGGATATGAGATTGGATGTACAATATCGTTTGTTTTTACAAGGTGTAAGATGAATCAAAACACACTTACATAATTTCCAATCACTAACAACGGAGAGTCAAGATCAATGGCTTGACTTTCAGAAGTGATGCTACATCGTCGAAAGTTTTGGCTGAAAAATGTAGGGGGAAACCATGGCACAGGTGAGTCACCTGAATCTTGCTTTTCCTCCTCCTCATTACTAATCTCAGCCTCCTCATGCTCTTCGTCATGATCTTCCTCGTTATTCTTTGCGGGTAACAACACAGCTTGTTCTCTCTTTTGTGCATTTGCGGCAATTTGGACAGCGAGATACTTGTTTTGTGGTTGCTGTTGAGGTTGTTGTTTGGAAGGTGGTTTAAGCACAGTGTTGGCTCTGGGTGGCGAGTGTAACATTTTTTTCAAAATGTTCATCCTTCGCTAATATTGATAATATGGTAATGATGCTAGGAATAAGGATATCAAAATAAATTTGGAAATATCCCAAAATTAATCATGGGTGTTTGCAACCTCATGTTGAACATTTGTGGTGCATTGAAAGCAACAATTCACGTCTAAAACAAGTACTTTTCAATATCATTCACACTAGTAATAGCTACTCCTTCAATGGCTACATTTCCAACACTTGCCATTGATGCATAACACTTGCTTATCATGGGCTCGAGCTTTTTCTGGGGACCAAACTCTATAAATTTAAGCTTTGTCGTTCCTTTGTGATTGGTCGTCACATGTTTAACAATGTTTTGAATGGACATGTTCCAAAGAACAGGGCTGTACACTTGATCGATTGAACTCAACACCATTTCTCCCAAGTTTTGGACGAACTTGGCATTGAGATTGCATACTATTGGACATGCAAGTTCTCTGTTTTTCAAATTGATTTGCTCATAAGCCAGCTTTAGGTCATTCGCTACAGGCTTTAAATATTTCGAATGAAATGGTAGATGCACATTAAGTGGCACCGTTCTCAATTTACATTTGTAATTTTCTTGCCATACTTGTATTTGTTTGTCAATATCAGCCACTCTACCACTCAGGACCACTTGTTGAGGAGTATTAATATTTGCCATATCACAACACAGAGCAAGTGCTTCAGAGCCAGTTGCACCATACTGCAAATAATTCTCAATGTCCTTCATGAGTTGTTCTGGCACATTAATAATGGCTTTCATTGCCATTTCCTTCTCTTGTTCCTTGGTAATATTTCTTTCCATGGATAAACCTCTTTCGTGGACAAGCCTTGTAGCCTCCTCTATTGTGAGGCCTTGCGCGGCAGTCATTGCAGTGAACTCTCCCAGTGAATGGCCCAACATACATAGAGTTTGTTCTTCCTGATGAAGATTCTTTTCGTTTTTCATCTTGTTGTATCTTTCAAACAGCATGTAGGACTGCATTAAGATTAATGGCTGAGCCAAACTTGTTGGAGGATTTTCAACGTTCTTTATATCCAAGTGTTGAAAGACTGGAAAATTAAATTCTTTAAAAGCATTCAATATTGTTGAATCATCCAAATTTTCCATGCTGTTTGGATGAAAGAAGATCTTTTTGCAAGCATCCGATTTCATCACGGGATGAATTTCATGAAAATCTTGAAACATTTTTGAGTGTTGAGAGCCTTGTCCGGTAAACATGTACACACAAAGTTGATGATGTTTGTTACGAAATAGAGCTCCATTGTTCTCGTTGAAATGATGACATAATATTGAGTGAATACTTGTCTTGTGATGAAGCAAAAATTGACGTTTGTCAAGCAATTTCATTTTTTTCTTTATTGTGTATGACTGCAGCTTGTTGAATCATGAATCCATTTCAAATAATCTTCATTTCCGTCAGTAATGTCCATGAAAATCACTTCAGGGACTGAATATTCGTGATTCTTTTTAACACATTCGATCACTTGATTTTGCAAATCTTTTTTCGTTTTGATGATTAGCAACGCTTCTTCGTCCGAGCAAATTTGCCCTTCCCACCAATACATGGACTTGACTTGCGGAACGATATTCACACAAGCTACTAGTTTTTGTGTCAATAGAGCTTTTGCAATACTTTCTGCCTTTCCGATTGGGGAGGTTACGTAAGCCACACAATACTTGGCGATCGACGACATTTTTTCTTCCTATCATAGCATCAACATGGCCATTTCCTTTCACTGCTAATGTTCATTAAGATTAAGATTACAACAAGGTTCATTGAATCGTGACATCCGCGAGTTGTGCATTGTTAGAGGTTTCCAACATTCGTGTAAAGAAATAACTGAGGGAAACACTTGACATGTCATCATAAGCAATGAAAGAATTGGGTCCTGTTCTATACTTCATTGGTCGTTTTCCAAACTCTTTTTCAAAATCAATACATAAATCATTAACCGATCCAGTAGAATCGTAAGCAGATCCCTTAAATACGATAAAGGATGATTTTTTAAATCTATAGCATAAATAATTCCGGTTGAGTTCAATATCCTGGATCTCAAGTTTAAAAGGATTAATGATTGGTTTCACAATTGCATCTGTCTCATCGGATACTGGTAATCCATATTTTCTTTCAATCTCAAAGGCTGCATATTGGTTAGTGGCTGGGAAAAAATCACTAATTCCATACAAATGATAAAATCCAAAAACAGATTTCAACAGTAAATTGTCCGAACCAGCAAAAGCTTGTGTTGAGCAAAATGCAAGATGATTGCAGCCAATCAAGGCATGATCCTTGAGACATTGACCATCATAGCATGAACCTCCAGTCCATACTCTATTATCTTGTGTGAGAATGCACACGTGGAAATTACCACACACTAGTTGTTTCACAGGACAATTTGTTGTGATGACCGTGTCGTTCCAGTTATGTTCAAAGCCCTCTCTGAGCCAATTTTGGCCGCTCATGTGAACATGAATATTGTTTATCACACACACGGAAAATGAGAAGGCACAGCCGACATGTGTGATCGTGTAATGACTCTCATTACCATTATGAATTTCTTTCGATGGATCAAAAACCATGAGTGGATAATTAGCATGCTTTCCCTCATCTCCAACAATCGGTGTCAAAAGAGATCTATCACAAAGTTGACGGTACTGATTAGTCCCTTGGCCGAAAAGAACTGTTTGGTTTCTCTCTGTGTCTTTTACAATGAATAATGCATGTTCTGTATAGGAAGCAAGTCCCATCACTTTCCTATTCACACCGTCAAACATGGGATACGTCTTCAATACGTGCTGTCTTACTTGCTTTGATTGTTGAATTCTTTGTAAAATAGTTTGATGATCATCGCTCTCAGGATCCACTAAAGAGTTAATATTTTCAATCACAAACAATCTGCCATCTTCATCAACAATCCGGATGTTGTTCGGATTGGCATCTACACATTTAATTTTGGTTATTTGGGGAATTTCCATCGTTTCTAATACTAGCTCTCTAAACAATTGATGAGATTCAGCTCCCAAGACCTCATGCAAAGCCTTCACAGGCAAAGAATCGGGATCCCGAGGAGGAAAGAAGGTGTAGTGTATTTTCATTTTTTTTTGTAAAATCTATTCAGAAAGTTCACTGTCCTTCATAGACTGTCATAACAAATTAAATCGATCATGATTTGACAACTATTCAATCTGGTTTGTCAGCATACGTTTTTTCGCTGTTGTTCATGTGTTGGTTAAGGTAAGGAAAAGTACGACATGCTATGTTTCAAGAATCTTATGACAAAAGTGGGTTCAGTGTTTTGAAAAGAAGCTTGACCGGGTCAACTACAGTTTTCGAACATGATTGGTGACCGAACTCTTTAGTGCGAGGACACGTGTTTGATTCCTCCTTATCATTACAACCATGTGAAACGCACGCATGATCTTGCGCAAGAATCAAAGTTTGTCCTCAATACTATCTCACTATTTGAACTGCAAAGTCACCCAATCAAAGAGTTACAAAATCAAAAAACAAAATTCAAATTCTTTCACAAACCAAGATGGTCTATGAAATTCGTTACTTTCCAAATCCTGGTAGAGCTGTAAGTTCAATGACAATATAAAATTTTCACCATTAAATTTCACATGTTTGTTTCAATCTGAACATGTATATAGGACGTTCTACTATTAATTGCAGAGACAGGAGGTGTACCCTACAAATTTGTTGGTGTGAATCGTGAAACTGAATGGCCCACTTTAAAACCATCCACTCGATACGGTCAATTACCTTCCCTCAAACTCAATGACAACTTTACACTGTATCAAACAGTTGCCATTGCACGTTTCTTGGCAAACGAAGGTGGTTTATATCCTTCTGACGAATTCCAAGCTCTTCAAACTGAGGAATACATCAATGCCCTTGAAGACGTATTGAACCAATTGATTCGCGTTCTTTTCTTCACAGCAGAGGATAAAAAAGAAGAAGCCACCAAAATATTCATTGAGGGAACTTTGAAAAATGTTTTTGGAGCTTTGAACTCTGCATTGGAAAAGAATGGAGGATATTTGACTGGAACATTGAGTTGGGCTGATTTGGACCTGTATGAAATTGCTGCTCTCGTGGAAGGAAGAACTAAAATTGATGTCGTGTCCTTGTGTCCTCAATTACCAAAATTGAGAGAAAATATTTGGAGCAATGAGAGAGCAAAAGCATTCTTGGAAAGTGAAAGAAATTTAAAGAATAAGAAGCAACAATAAATTCATAATGAGAGCTCTCTCTTCCGAGTTCACAAAATCTACTAATACCAATTTGACACTTGTCGACTTGCAAAAATATCTTTACACAATGTACATGTCCAAAATCGAATGAATTTATAAGACTTATAAGATCGACTACAGAATGACACAACATTGTGGAGACAAATGAGACGACGATGGAAACGGCGTTCCAAAAAACTGAACCTTCCAACAATGATTTCTACTTTCTCGTGTCACCCATAGTGTCTCTTCTTCTTCGAATCGATTGGAGTTGCTTGAACTATAATTCTGCTGAGCCGAACGAGTAGCAGCAGAAGCACCTTCCATTTGCTTCACTTGATAAATATAATTAAAAACATAAATCACTTCCAACTCGCTCACAATAAATTCTCGTCGGAATTCAAAATCGACCAAATCATTGTATTTTCCTCGATTCGTACTTTTCATCAATCTCGGAATAAAAACGCTCACGTAATCCATTCGAGTGATTTGTTTATCATATTTTTGTTGTAATTCAGAAATTCCTTTATCGACTTCTGAATTCGACAATAAATTTCCAAATTGTTTCCAATCTCGTCGTTTGCAACATTCATTGAGAGCAAGAGCACATTGAAAGGATTCTAAATGTTCGGTTTCGGAGAGTATAGGTCGTGGTGGTGGGTTTGTTGAAGTTGTTATAGAGGTGGTGGTGGTGGTTGTGGCATTAGAAGAAGACGGCAGTAATAAATGATAGGAAATGTTTGAAAACGTTTGTTGTTGTTTGGAATAAAGACAAGACGATGATGGTTGAAAAGAATGTCTACCACCTCCGAATGATTCAGGAGAAATGCTGATGGTATTATTACTTGAAGTAATGGGAATACTCGATATATCGTAATACATATTGTTGTTGAATGAGTTGTTAAAATTTGGTGGTGGGCTTGTGTTTATGGTAGAATTTGTTGGATGGTTTTGTGGTCAAAAAAGAGGAGGTTGTGAGGAAATATGTACAAGAAAGTCTCGGAATGGATGAAGGAACAGAAAGGAAAGTATGGAGTCACCGAGGAGAGTGCTCTCTCTGCAAAATGGAGACCTGTTGGGAAGAGAAGGAGAATGCTCAAAGAAGGGTATGATGTTTTTTTCTGGTTTGATTTTGAGAGAATCTTGACCCGAGTCATTCATTTGACACGTGATGTTTGTAAACACAGCACGGCGAAAGAAACAACAACCTGATAAATTTGTACTCCTTCACTTTAAATCAAACATTTGCTCTTAAAAGTACTTTGATTACTCATCTTTTAAGCATAGACAGTTCGTTAAAATGAAAGTATACATTCTTTATTGACTCGTCTTTATGAAAAAGAACACAGTAATCTTTTTCTTGATGCAATTGGTTTGATTCAATCTTTGAATTACAAAGCATCGGACAAAGTCTTTCCTTCATCAACTGAAAGTACAGACAATTCACCCTTAGTATTTTCATGAATTTTAGCATGAATGTACACATTCTTTCCCACTTGAATCTTGTACTTGTGGTTGATGCCTGATACCACTTGAGTGGTATGCTGAACGGGTTTGAATTCGGGATAGCCCTTGTTTACAAAGTTCTCAACCAATTTTTCAAGAGTTTGAGTCTTGATAGTTTCGTCCATTTGGCGATGGTTGTGTTCTCCTGCGCTCATTTTGGTGTATAGTTACAATAAATATAAGTTTGTTTGAATTCTTTTGTTGTTGAAAATCCAATGCCGCTTCGATTCATGCTTTTTAACATCTTTTCAATCTGCTAGAAAGAACAAAAAAAGGTCATGTCACCATGCAAGCCAAAATTTTGCATACATCAACAACAAATGATTGATGCTGATTGGACAATGAATGATAAATTAAATGATTTTAGTTAGTTTGAGTAAGCATACTTTTGAAGAAGTCCCTCTACAGTATTGTCGAACCAATCTCTTCCGTACTGCAAATCAGGACAACCTGAAAGGAACATGAAAATCAGAGGAACCATGGAAAGAGTCAAAGTAGCATTCAATGCAAACTTGAGCAGTGGGTTTCTCTTGCGCATTTCTCTATTGGTGACAAAGAAGAAAACTATAAACCATGGAATAATAATCATGAAAAATAGGACCCAATTCACCCAAATGTGATGTGGGAATGGAATGAGGTAATAGCCTTCACTGAATTTAAAGTAAACTAAAATTTCTGTGAAAATAATGCCAATAGCAATCCATGTGTTGGCTCCAATCCTCTTTGTATTTGGATCACTAATGTATTGATAATATTCCCTAATGGCTGGCATTCCTAGACAGAACCAAATGAGCAAACGATAGATATTCAACTTGTTTGGAGGAGGAACCCATAACACATACTTTAAAAAGAAAGCATTAAGGTCAACAATATTCATGGCCAATACAATGGCACAAAAATATAAAAAGTGTTTGGCATCGTCGAATATGTGCCAATCATAGGAGGTCCAGTTGAATGGAGTAAATTGTTGGAAAATTCGTTTGATTTTCTTTGGAGTTGTGTCCATCTTTGTAACGCCAATCCACAATGGATATTTTCGCATTTTCAAATAGTCACAAATCCACAAGCCAATAATAATACCAATATTATTGCAAATCAAAACGTCAATGATAATATGATCCCACCAACACTCCTTAAAGTTTGGTAACCAATGTTGGAATGTAATTTCCATAATCTCAAAAAAGAGTGACAAGCACCAACAAAGCTTCATGTCACGAAAGAGTAGAGCTTTGGCAATATATCCCAATACGTGGGCAAGAATGAATTCATCATAAATGGTATCATAAACATTCTTGAAATACGAAACAGGATTATTAGGGGTGTAAACATCGCAATTATTTGCGTAATCTCTTTCTGGCAAAGGAACACCCAACGATGGATCTAGATACTTCATGAATTGCCTAGCATCTTCCTTGGTTTGGAACATTAAAAAGACAAGGAATAGCAAATATACAAGACCAATTCCTGTGATGAATCTCCATATTCCAGGATGAGGCCTCATCAAAATACCATCTCGCAATTGTACCACACAATAGACAAGAAACAATCCAATCATGGCCATAATTCCTCGCTTTACATTTTGTTCTGTTGTTACAGCATCATGCCGGATGAAAGAATAATAAAACAATACAGCAAAGGATGCCACCAGTATGGTGATGGTATGAGGCTTATTCAAGGCATCAATAAATTCATCTTTCGGTGTTCTACATTCGGACTGTTGTTGTTTTGCTGAATCTGCTTCTGAAGGAGAAGTATTACTAGATGACGACGATGAAGATAATTGTTGTGTATTGATGGGAGGAACAATTAATTGTTTGTTTTTCCTATTCCTCAAATCTTGTTGTGGTACTGATGGAGAGGACATAATATGCTTGTATCTATAGATGAAGGAAAGGCCTGTTGTTTGCAGCAGTATATGTACAAAACTGGGTTACTCGTGATAATAATTGTTGGAACTCAAATTGCCAATGATGATGATGTTGTGTCCAGCTGAAACAACTTCCGAATGCGCTTTTCTATAAAATAGCTCTCTAGATGTAAAACTCTCCTCCGAACACACACGCTTTTACAATGTCCTGAGATGAGTAACAAGGAAGATGATGATGATGACGAAAGAAAAAGGCGAGGTTATGGCAATATACTGATGACAAACTTTTTTCTTTGGTACGGAAATTTTAATTCGTTTGAACGTTAAAAAACCTTCAAATGTGAATATTCACAAAATTAGAAATTGGATGCTCTCTCACTGCAGCAGGAACATCAAGTTAGAAGCATGTCGATCTCTCGAGTTCTCAATTCATCATACAGAGCGTGCTGTTGATCAACAGACCAATTTAGAACCATGGAGGTGTTTCAACGAAACAAGTTCATGATCCTCTACCGAATTGTCTTTGGCTTTCAAAATTTGTAAATGTTTGAGACGTTTGCTTTGTATCATGAGACTGAGACCTTGAATTCCAATATCGTTTCGTTTAAGGCTTAAAAAGGTCAGGTTTTTAAGGAAACGACCTTTAGAAATGTATTTGGCTCCAGTGTTGGTAATACCATTGTTGTTTAGCCGAAGTCTCTTTAGATGGGAGAACGCTTGACATTTGGCAATTAATTTGACGCCTTCATCAGCAATGTTGCTATTGTCAAATCGCAGACTTGTCAAATGACATTTCGTGTAATGGATTGAAAAAATCAGAGCCTTAATACAATCGTGTCCATACATACTCCAATAGATATTCAATTTGAGGAGTCTGGGAAGAATTTTCAATGCAAGTAAATGGGCCACTTGTTCCGAATTGAAGCCATAAACGTCCAATGTTTTTAAATGTTCAAATTGTTCAATCTTTTGAACGCTTTCAGAATCGATTGTAACTCCATCGAGTGATAATTTCCATAAATTGTTAAATGTCTCTCTGGGGTTGAGAAACACTGCATTTAACCCTTCCGAGTTCATGTCATTATAATCAAGGTAGAGCTTTTTCAAGCGAGTGAAATTCTTACTCGTTGCAAGTGGTTGTACATCTTCATTGGAAAGAGAATTGTGAAAGATATTGAGAGATTCTAAATTCTTGAGAAATGAACTACTCGAAATGGATTCAACGCCTCGTTTTCCAATGTAACAGTTATGTAAATTCAATTCGATGAGCTGTTGTAAATGTTGGCATTCACACAACAGTTTGGTTCCCATTGGTCCAATATCACAATTACCTCCCAAATTGAGATGTGTTAAATTCTTTAAATGTTCATTCATGGAAATTGCCCTCGCAACATCAACGCCAATGCTATTTTGTGCAAGCGAGAGAGTTTTTAGGTGTTTTACAGCATGTACACTCGTTCCTAGAGAGTTTGCAATCTCGTCATTCAAATGATTCATGGATAAATCGAGATAGGTTAAACTCTGTAACGTTTGACTGGTGAATATCAATTTAGCTCCATTATTTCCTATTGAATTGGATTTCAAATCTAAATATTGAAGATGGAGAAAGTGTTCGCTTGCTGTGATGAATTGAATATCTTTGCAATTATTGTTGCAGAGTAATAATTTCCGTAACTTTTTAATATTTGGAGAACAAGTTATGAATTGAATTTGAGAACATGTTAGATTGGTTCGGGAGAAATCAAGCTCGACCACTTGTTTCATTCGTTCATGGTTTGTAAAGTTGAAGATTCCTTGCTTGTTGTTCACTGTTGTTGCCGTTGATAATGATGATGACAAGTGTGGCAAGTGAAGAGGTGTTGGCTGTTGATTCAAGAACTCTGTGGATGGTGTCAATCGTGGCATGACGCTGCAGGTTGAGAGAGAAGAGCGATGAATTTTGAGCGACAAGTCAACATGTTGCACCGCATGCTGAAAACGTGTTGAGACTCTTTCGCAACATGTTAGTATTTGTTTCGAGTCGAGAAAACTCATAATGTGCGAGAGTATTTCGATGGGGAGCAATTCAAACTGTCGAAGACGAAGGGCACGAAGATTGGATTGCCCCATTTTTTGCTTGAAGCTGCAATTATGTCGTTTTAAAATGACAAGTTTAGAGAGAGACAAAATGTGTGATGATGGAGGAACTACTTGGAAAAGAATATTTCGCCATTTTTGTGGTTCTCGTTGAATGAAATTGAAAATATTTTTGAATTACTACTTTGTGATATTTATGTTTAAATATGTTGGATCAATTCTACAATTTCATAGGAGGTTATTCGTTCGTGGCCATTGAATTGCAACATTCTCAAAACTAAATCAATGAGCTGATCGCTGTATTCGACAGGTTGATGTTTTTTGATTTGACTTCTAATTTGTTGCATGACTTTTTCTTCTGACCCATACTTGATGAGTAATCCATTGATCATTGTGACATTGTCGTGAGTCATCATTTGATAACATGTGATACCAAATGCGTAAATATCTGCTGCAGTAAATAGTGCCGTGTCTTCAAGCTCTTCTGAAATGTCCAATAATTCAGGAGGCAAATATTGCAAGGAACCAGCTTGTTGAAGGTCATTATCAGAGTCTGTGAGCATGCAGTATGATTTTCAACTCATGATGATAAACACACCAACTTGTTACTTACCTGTCGATTTCGACAAACGAAAACCAATGAGACATGGAACAATAATGTCACTTTCTGGGTCCCATTCTTTAAGGAGAATATTATGTGGTTTGATATTGCGGTGAACAAGCTTGTTATCAGAAAGATAACAAAGAGCTGAAGCAATTTGAAAGATAAACTTTTTCAGTACTGTCTCAGATATGGTACACCTCTGTTTGATCAATATATCCATGGTTCCTTTTTCGTAATAGTCCATTTCAATGCACAGTGTGCTCTTATCGGTTAAGGCGTTATTATGTGTTGGGTCAGATTTACATTTGAGAATGCAAACTTCGGTCACTCGGATGATATTTTCATTCCTCAATTTCATGAGATTCATTGCAGTTTTGATGGATCTATTCAGTTCTTTGGTACTGAAAAAATCAATTAATTTAACAGCAATATATACTGGGGAGGTTTCTTTAGGCTTAATTCTTTTCTTGGCCTTGTAGACATAACCATTACTTCCTCTTCCAATGAGTGTCATTTTAGAATATCTTTCTTTAAGAACCATTTCTAATGACTTGGGTTCTTCCTTATCAAAGTCTTTTGATCTATCTTCATCTCCTGCATAATTAACCTCAACAGAATCAATTGCTTCAGTAGTATCGTTGTTGCTTTGTTCCATTTCTACTGCTGGAGGTGTTGGACTACTGTATTTCAAAATGGGTGGCACTGTATTAACCATTGCATTGTTTGTTGAATGAGCTTCTGGATAAATTGGAACGTAAGTAAATGTTTGTACAACTTGTTCATGATTTGGAGGAGAAGTTGGAGGAATATAATTTGGATTATAGGAAGAATTGAATGAAATATTTGGGTTGTACGTAGAATTCATTGCAAAATTCGGAATCACATTCGAATTTGGTTGTTGCTGCTGTTGAACATAAGAAGGAGGTGAAATATTAGGCCCTCCATAGCTTGGAACGTGTGATTGATATGGCGGAGGAGGCTGCTGTTGTTGAATGGAATATGGAGGTGGAGCTGTAGAAGTGTCTGTCATCACTGGTTGAAAATTCACCTTGTTGTTAACTACTCCTGTAACATTGGTGCTATAAGGTGGTAAAGCCATGCCATGCTGTTGATGTGATGATGGGCTCAGGTTGGAAGTGTTTGGTGAGGCCACCTGAGTTGATACTGGTGAACCAATCATATTTGGAGAGTTGTAAGGGATGCTATTCATGACTTCAGAATACGATGGAGGAGAGTCTTTTTTAAGAGTAGGAACCACTTGTGACAGGTCAAACCCAGCATTTCTAGCTTTTTCTTCACACGTCATACCAAAACCATCTTTTGAATAAATATTAGCTCCATATTGTACAAGAGTACGAATAGCATCAAAACATTTCAGCTGAATTGCTACTTGAAGCGGAGTTAATTTTGTCTCCAATACCATTAAATCAATGGTTGCTCCATGTTGAATGAGCCATTCAATGGCTGCTGTGTTATTATATTTGGCAGCATCATAAAGTGGAGTCTCTCTTATAAAATTTAAACAATCAATGATGAGAATATTACTCTTGTAATTCTTCTTCAATAGATATTCAGCTCTTTTAAAATCATGATTCTTTAGAGCTCTATTAAATTTTTCTACTTGAGCAACAATGACATCATTCACAATGGTTGCAATGTTAGAATTCTGAAGTGTCACTGTTTTTGGATTTGCACCCTTTCTGATAAGATATCGGGCAAAATCGACATGGTTTCGTTCCAATGCATAATTCAATAAACTTCTACCATAAACTTGGCCATTCACATTGGCACCTCTTCTCACAAGAAATTTCATCATTTTCATATTTGCAAGCTCAATACAAATCCCAAGAGCCGTCTATTATGATCATTCAAAAAGTACATTTAATACAATAATAAATAGATAAAGAAAATCACATCTACTTACATTCTGTAGTGGGCAACAATAGTCAAAATATTAAATTATTAATTTTTGAAAATCAATGTAAACAATCACTTACTCCACTCAAATCATGGCTATTGGCATCAACTCTTCCACTCATGATCATACTCTCGACCATTTCATTATTTCCATTTCGTATATATTGAAAAAACTCAGTTAACATGTTATGGTTTGGAGTACTTGTTGGGTGGATCTGATCCTCATGTGGTTGTTGATGAGCATCATGTTTAGACTCGTGATGATGTTGATTTTCAGAAGAAGGGGACGTTGCTACAATTCCTTCTATCAAATTGTTATTATTGTTTTCCTCTCGTTCCGATTTGGAAGAGAGCCCTCCAAATATTCTGACCATTATTAATAGAGATTTGTTGTTATTCAATACACTAAATTGAACAAATGAGCAGAAGCACCAATTCACTCACTGATCGTCTTTCAACCTTCTCCGATGACACTTGGATGATGGTAGCCTCTTATTTTATTATCGGTGTTACGGGTATTTTTGTTTTGAGAAAAGAATTTCAATCTCTCGTTCATAAGGTTTTGGTGTGTGAACTTTTTAAAACCTCCAAGGGGCGTGTCACCTTAAAAACAACTACGAACTTCACACGTTGATGAAGGTTCCAAACGGTCTAGAAGATAAAAACACCAAGCAGAGGTGACGTTTGCTGTAGGGCTTGCCAATGATGGTCATGAAAAGTGTCACTGCACACAGAATATGAATGCAACAGAGCCACCACCCAAAACATAGGAACCACAACCTATTGGCACACTTGATTAATGTACTTGTCTTGTCTCGTGAAAATAATAATTGAATTAATTTTGGATCGTAATATCTTTGAAAGAAAAATCGTGGAATATGAGTGTCTGTGGATGAGGAAGAAAATTCGGAAAGAGAGAAGGGAAATTGCATGAATTTGAAAATTCGATAAATTTGCAACCCGAATGGAAGAAATGGAATGGATAGAAATAGAAACCAAAATAAACTCACAAAACCATAGATCAGTGTCGGTATCCAACCCAACCCTAAAGTTAACCAAATTAATTTCTTTCTTTTTAAATAATTATTAGTATCCGTGTTGTCAATCCAATTCTCGGAAGTGTAATCTGTTGTTTTTTGTGAGATAGTGTCATGTATTGTTGATTGACGTGCATGTTTTGGTTGTTGAGCCATTTTTTATTTTGGGATTTTCATCTGTGAAATTTTGCAACTATTGATTTAATTGGAGCTGAGGATTCTTTGCTTTGAAACTTTGTAAGGTATTTCTAAGCAACATGGTGATGGTCATGGGTCCTACACCTCCAGGAACTTTAGTTGCTGCCGAGGCTCGTTGTTTAAGAGTGTCATCAAATTTAACATCACCAACCATCTTATATCCACGCTCACTAGTGGGATCTTCCATGGGTGATTGACCAACGTCGATAACTATAGCACCAGGTTTGATCCATTCGGGTTGAATCATTTCTGCACATCCAGTAGAGACAATTAATAAATCTGCCTTTTTTACCTTTTCTGGAATATCTTGTGATTTGATGTGAGCCATTTGAACAGTTGTTTGTAAATGGTTAAGGAGTAAGAGTGCAGTAGGAATTCCAACAATATTACTCGTTCCAATAACTAATGCATCAATGCCTTGCAAGTTTCTATTAAGTTTGAATGCAGTTCTTCGGATTAATTCGAGCACTCCTAAACTTGTACAAGGAACAAAATTAACTCCATCGACCAATAGTCGATCTTTCATGGACAGTTTTCCCATCGAATATGATGTGAGTCCATCAACATCTTTTGATATGCAGATATTTTCTAAAATTGTTTCTTCGTTCAAATGTGAAGGCAATGGTAATTGAATTAAAATTCCGTGAACTCGTGGGTCTTGATTAAGATTATGCACTGTTCGAATCAGCTCTTCTTCGGTTACATCTTCTGGAAAATGCAATTTAAAACTGTTGATTCCAACATCCATACAAGCTTGCTCTTTCATGTCAACATAACTCTTGGAGTCTTTTCTGTTGCCGGCCATAACAACAGCCAATCCTGGTTTCAAAATTTCTTTTGACTGGCCATGTACTCGTTTTTGAATTTCGACCAGCTCCTCAATTTCTCTTTTAATTTCCTCTCTCAATTCTGCTGCAATTTCAGCTCCATTAATTAAAATAAATTTCTTTTTCGAATTCACATCGTCAGGATTATTATAAAATTCTTCTTGTAGCCCTCTTTCACTGTAAACGATATTACGAGGTGGATCAATTGTGTTATTCAAATAGTTTGAATTTTCCAAGTGAGCAAATCCCGAAAATGTGTTTGAACGATTTTTAGCTTCGGTCTGATGATAAAAATTACGCATAGAATTATTTAATCCACTGATCCTGCTTCCATTATTTCCAAACAAGTAGTTGTACAAAAAGATTGGAGTTGTCAAAGAAATTCGGCTCTCTCTGAGAATACAAATTCGTTTTATCATTTTTTTATGTGGTTATTCTGCAAAGACGCAAGTGAGCGGACTTTAGATAAAGAAACATGAAAAATAGTGGCAGAAAGCAAGACTTTGAGGTCATGAACCATAAATTTTAATAAATAGGACGTGAAGCAATTCTCATTGTGGAAGTATCTGTACAGACTGAATAGAATTTTCCATTCATTGCTGTAACAATCTTGCATGAAGAATTAGCAACGTTGGATTGTTTGGTAGTGATCATCTTTCCACTTGCCATGTCCATTACCATATAACCATGATCCGTAGCAAGGAGGAAATGACCTTCAATATTGGTTGCTGAAATTGGTAAATCGAGCGCCCGAAATTTTTTCAAATGCCATTGGACAGAAAAGTTTGGTTTCTGTGGATTTGTTGCATCCCATGAGAGGCCAATAACATTCCTTTCACCAATGCCTCCAGTATACTCGGAACAAACGAGAACTGAATATGTGACAAATGGATTGTTAGGAGCTTGATAATTCATTGAATTGGAGCATCGTAGAAGTGGACCAAGTTCTGGTTCAGCTGCAACTGGTAACCTCGTTGAAATTCCACTCACAACATTGACAGAAAAAATTCTATCAGCCAAAACACTATTATCATTGACAACCACCAAAAGATTTCCATTTCCTAAATAAGAAACGCTCTTAACTGAGTAATCCACAGGAAATTGATATCTCAATAAAGTAAAACTCAAAGGATCCATACGAAAAACAATATTCTGAGCAGCATAATACAACAATTTTCTACCCTTCTCTTCAGTGGTTATCAAATTTGAGGCTTGGCCATATGTGAATCCTGTTGCGTATGTCCATTTTAAGGTCATGTCAAGATTGTAAGCATTCAAAGCTTCTACATTGTACACAAAAAGTGTATTATCGACAATGGTAAGTCCGTCCACTTGAACGCCATTTGGAATTGAATAGTAATTGGAGTAACCCATATGACCAGCTGTCAAGTTATAAGTGAATACAAAGTTCAATCCAACTTGTTGTCTTGAAAGAGCAAAGTAATACACTCCTTGCGGGCTCATTACAGCATGTGAGATGGAGCTAGAGCGAAATGCTGGTCTAGAAGTGTCAAAATTCAATTTTGTTAAAGTGCCAGTTGTCAAATCAACACTACACAACACAAAATCGTCTAATTGTGGAAACTTTTCGCCGTCATATAAGGCATAATTTGTGATCAATACATTTCGAGAGGCATCCACCAACACCAAATTTCGGTCAAAATAAATGTTAGGAGTTCCTTGAATGCTGACATTGAAATCTGGAAATGGTTGAAAAACATTAACTCGGTTGGTTTGGAATTCATCATGATTTCCTTGTAGCCAATAATTGGTTTTTATATCCATTGGCTTGGCTGTCACTTGCATGACAATGGATACCAAAATAACAACAAACACAGTTATCAATTCTTTCATTATTTCTCACTTTGATTGTCCAAGCAGTTCGCCTGAGGTTTAGAGTCTGTTGGAATTCAAACTCCGTGGAGGAAAAAACTCCTGTTGCGGAGGTATTGCATGCAAGTTCCCTTAAATAATGTGGCATTCCAATAAATGTTCTCGGTTGTTCGTTGAGCTAATGGTTGTATCGCAATACGTAAACACGTCGATAATATTATTGATCAAACCTATTGTGCGCAATCATTTTCTGATCAAGGATTCTTTGTTAATAAATTCGAATTCGCCGAGCTTCAAATTGATTGTTTCAACACCACACTGGCGCTCTAATCTTTTCATAACCACCACGTGTCGGCAGTTTCGAAGGAGATTTACCAAAAGATTTCATTGCGCGATTTAAAATGGCGCCATTCAGCAACGGACAATAGTAAAATTCAAACGTTAAAAAAAAATGATTGCAAAAAATTTGAATCAAGTGTTCGTGTTTCAACCACACCTCCTCCACTTCCACCACCATCAGCATTACTACCACACGTCGAGTCTCATTCGGAAAGCATCAGGCATGCTCCTGCAATATCCTTCATTATTGCCATCTAAATTCTCGTCGTCCATGAAATTTCTTGAGAATGGTCATCATCCCTCATCCCTCATTCATGTGATGGACATTCTACAACTCTCGAGCTCTCTATTCAAACACAATCCATTCCATTCAGCAGCTACCCTCTTTCAAAAACAATACTTTTCATTGAGCTCGAATTCCATGCTCGATGCATTCCATGAATCAAAAATTTCAATCCGCAATCCAAAGAAGCAACTACAATGGAAATTCATACTCATGCTATGTGCTTTTCCTGGATTGATTTATGTATTGTATTCTGGCATGAAAATGATGAATATTTGGAAATACAACAACATGACGAGTGTGTCAGGATCATTCATGGAACACTCTGTACAGAAACAACATTGGAATGATCATTCTACTTTGACGTCGCAGCAGCATCATCATGAATTATCTTTGGCGTCAGAAGACGAAAATTATTCTATCGTGAAAGGACTGCTTTATGATGTATTGAAATTTCCAGTGACATGCTGTTTAGTGGGCTTAAATATTTTCATCCTATTGATCTTTCGATAGTGAATTCAATAATGAAACACTTCATTCTCTCAATAACATTGAAAGAATTGTGACTCATTTACTCGATGAGGTGTCAGTTGTCAAACACATCAAATGCATGAACGAAATTTATTTACTCTCAGCTGAGACGCGTGTTACTTGTCGACCTCAATATTACTCATCATCTCCATTTGATGAAGGCCTTAAATGATGCAGTGTATTTACTCCCAACAACCCACTGCTTCTACGGTGATCTACTGACGATAAATGTTTCATTGTAGTCAACGATACCTTTCCAAGTCTATTTTGTTTTCGCATTTGAATCAATTCATCAGCAGAACATGAATATTTCGATTGAGCACTATTTGGTTTTTGAGAAGAGGGAGGAGGAGTGACGAGAACCACTCGATCCGAATTTGAATCGACCTGTTGATCAAAGATGGATCCTCTCCTCTTCTTTTCCTTCTTATCTTCAATTAATTCCTTAGTAAGATTGAGTTGAGCCTCCAAATCTTGAGTGGATTTCGAAGGCTGTTCTCGTAATTGGTCGACTTTTTGGCATAACTCTTCATGACTCTGAGCGTGTCGTTGTTGTACGGAGTAACGTCGTCCTTGATGATGTGCGAAAGCCTTTGAGATCAATTGAGACTGATCTCCCAAAGACGTCGACGATGAATAGGTTCTTGACTCCATGTTCAAAGATATGAATGGTGCAGAGTGAGTGTACAGTTTTTTTTAATTGGTTGTTTGGAACTGTCAGGCAAGTGCCACTTTTAAATTTACAGTGATTGGACAGTTGGAGGTCTTTTCGACCATAGTCCATCACTCCAAATCAAAAGAGCGAACCGTTCATTAATGAATTGTACTATTAAACGGTTACAACCAACAGCAATAAATTATCAGCTTTTATAGATTTTCGAGGAAACGAACAGAAATTATATTGGCCATGGTTCACCTAATAAGGAATTGGAGATACTAAGGCAAGTTTTGCTCCATAATTCACATTACCAACAAGATAATAATTTTGAGGATTACTTTCATCAGCTTCTGCGAGTTGAAGAGGCCACTCACCAGAATCAGAAGCAACCAATTGAACTTCCACCATTTCACTGATCCAATGATAATGATTTCCAGTAGCATCATACATTACTTTGGTGACTTCCTTCTTGTCAAAGAGATCCATTTGAATGGCAATTCCAATTTTCTTTCTCACAATTTGGAATATTTGTTCCACAAGATATTCAAATTTGGATAATTGAATAGTTACGGATGGATGAGTATACAAAAATTTCAATGTTGGAATTCTTGGTCCTGCACATCCAATCCAAACCAACGGTTTTCCATTCTTTTTCACAACTGATAAATTATCTGGAACACACATTAAATTATCGACGTGAATGGTCTTTTCTCGAGTGGCCAAATCAATTCGTGAGATACGAAAACGATCCGTTTCAGCAACATAAATCGAGTGATTGTACAAAACCATTCCATTAGCAAAGTGTAAATCGGTGGCAATCATTTCAGATTGTTTGGTTTGCATGTGATATTTGAAAAGTCCTCCATTGGCACCTCCGTCCAAAATTTCTAAAATGTGTTTGTTTCTTGAAAATTTAGTGGAAGTCATGGAGACATAAATGTAAGGTTCTGAAATGATGAGAGCGTTGGCAAATGGAATTTCAAGAACTCTTTCAACAACAATGTCAGAAGCTAATGCACCATTGTCAAGTTCAATTTTCTGATGTTTTTGAGAACTAATTTTGAGTAAACCAAACACAGCGTCTATGTATCAAATCATCAGAGATCAACATGTATGATCATGTATATATTGCTACATACCTGTCACGTATAAAATTCCTTTACGATCAAATTTTGCTTGCAATGGTCGACCACATTCCTTTTCCAATTGCGCGTCACGAGGCTTACCAACATGTTGAGGATTTGAACATTTTTCTGGAGTTGGTATGTTGTGACCTTTCCACATGAAAGAATAAGCTACAATTTCAGGAGTTCCATAATTAAATTCAACTTGATGATCACTCGAAGTGTTTCTTCGTGCCAACACCTTCACTCTTCGAATACTTCCATCATACAATCCGCTATAAATGTAACCATTTCGAACAGTGAGTGATTCAGGTGAGTAGAAATTTCCATTTTTGTAAATAGCATCTACATTTTCTGATTTTTGAACGTAATAAATAGGTGCAGAAAGTTGTTCAAATGTTTTTGCTTGTGGTTCCAACCAATACCGAGTGTCCACTCCAGTAGGAAGATAATATAAAAGTCCAGCAATAACTGATAAAAAAAAGCAAACATATAAAAGGAATGTGAAACAAATACCGAGTGGAGCACTTCTTGTTTCTTCTTTGGATCTCTCCAATGATTACGATCAACCTTATCTTTAGGTCCAATTTTGTGTGTTAAAGCTCCAAATGGTTGCATGGATAAGGTGACTGAATCTCCTTCCCTTAATTGAGTACCATTTTCAATTCCAGCCATATTGGGAATGGTTCCAGAACCTACAAGCTCTCCGGGATAAATAGTTTCAGAAGATGACATGTACGCAATGGTCTCTCCCATAGAATAGAAAGGTGGTTCTCCTATGGACTTGCCACTTGTGTTTAAAGAGAATTTTTTGCTTTCCACAACTTTCTTTCCATTAATTAATACCTTTCCTTGCAATCCTTGGTTACTCAATTCTTTCATTTCGTCTGGTGTCACTACAACACTTCCCATACCAGTTCCAAAAGATTTGCACTTGTTTGGGCCGAATCTGTCCTTCGTCTGTGTGAAAAGTCGTGTTTAGTTTTCAAGCTCAGTAACATAACAAAATAGATGAGTACTTACCATCTCATTAAATTGGTTACTTCGATCAGAAAAGTCATTTAGCAACACATATCCTCCAATAGCATTTTCAGCCTCTTCACATGTTGCGTTCCTAATCTCTTTCGTTACAATGGCTCCAATTTCCAATTCATAGTCCAAATATTTAGTGTAAAATGGATATGAAATTTCAGAGCCATTTCCATAAAATGTCATTGCATTTCCGACATAAAACAAAGGATGATCAAAGAATGATTTAGATGGTGTGAACATGGGAAAGGTGGTTCTTGGAAATATGTTTTCAAATGGGAAAATAATTCCATAATAAGCAAGTGGAAGAGAAATCTTGGCAATTCCTCTTGCTGCTTTGATGTTGTGGCTCAACCACAAGGAAGCATCTCTGAACGTTTTAGGAGTAAAAGGTAAACTTTCTGAATAGTAGTAGTAACTATTTTGTTTCGTATTCTTATTATCTTCCATATTGGTTGAAGATTCGGAAAATTCAAATGCTTGGATCAAGACTTGTTTTTCATCTTCGGATTTCATTTGACTACTCGTTAGATGTGAATCCAACTCGGAACAATTTAATAATAATTTTCTAACAGCTTCTCCATTGCTCTTTTCATTATAGAAATTGAGAAATGACACGAGATCATTGCCGATCGTGCCAACAGCTCTTGATAACAGGTCCAACTGGTTCTCTTGACTGTTCAACCATGGCAATGAAGACTTGTTGTTGATGAGATATTGAATGAGGGAGCAAGAACAAGCCATTGATCGAGTTTGGCATGGTACAAGCACACAAAATGTTTCTTGTTGTTATTATTCACAACAAGCTTGACTCGAACCATTTTTTTAGTGTTTGAAATTCCACAGAGCAGAACAATGAAAAACCTCCGTAGCCAATTTTCTGCGGACGCAACATTTTTACAACAGCTATGTTGCAAGTGAAAATATCCTTGTGTACGTAGAGTTGGGTTACCAAGAAAACAAAAATGGAAGGTATGAATATTGAAGGGCAGGTTATGTATTTTGAAAGTTGCAATGAACAAGCTTCAAATGCAGACTAATTAGTCTGTACCATCTTGAACGGTTGTGGTTTCCTTTGCTTCTTTGATATCCTTAATGGAAATGGTCGAGTCAAAAGATTTCATAACTTCTACAGAAAAATCAAATTCAGCAGTTCCGTGGAATTCTTTCAAAAGTCGTCCCTCATCGAAAAAGTGATGGAGAGCATCTCTTAATTTTTTGTTGTCTTTTGTGAATACGTGATATCTTTCCACTGTTTGTTTGGCTAAAAATTGTGATACAAATTTCCAAATTAAATTAATTGACATGGTGACATTCAAAACAAAAGCCAAAGATAATCGCTCACAATAATAAACACCTAAATCCAGGAATGTATCTTTCATCTGTTTCACAAGACTGAGGCTAACATCGGCTCCGGTGACGTCGAGAATCCATGTGATTTGATAGACATTCTTGGGCATTCTTTTTGTGAGATGTTCTGTGAAATAAACAAACGACAAATATTTGAGATGAATGTTTTCTTTGGTCATGGGTGTTTTGTCTTTCTTCATATCTATCATAGTGTCAATATTCGGATGACCACAATAATTGGCATGGTGTAAACAATTGTGGTCACATTGTGTGTTATGTAATCCTGTCACACTCACAATAATTTGAAGTATGAAACATACCAATATACACAACAGGTCTATTCCACTTATCAAAACCATAGTGATACATGAATGAACTCTTTCCAACCTCCCCCAAATCTTCAATCGTTAAATTTTGAGGTTTAATCTTTGCTCTCCATTCACAAGTCTTCTTCAAACCATCCTCTGCATCTTTCATCTTATCCCATCCATATCCTGTCAGATATCTGTAATACAAAAACAAGCCTTCAGAGGTCATGAACGTTTGTTCATCTGGTCCGAGGTTTGGAATCCAAGCCTCACACTTCTTCTTCAATTCCTGAACCAATTCCAATTGTTTGGGTGTACATAATTCTTCAACCGATGGGGCATGAAAGTTCTCGTTGGGTTCACCGAAAATCTTGTGAATTTCATCGTGGTTGGTGCTACTGGTTGAGCCTCTAGCTCCTACAGCGGCAGTGAAGGTGGTTGCAAGTTGAGTGGCCATGACGATTGTACGAAGAGTATTTGATGTTACTTTGATGTTAATGAGATTGAACGTTTGTGATGATTCGTTGAGAGTCTCTCCCTGTTATGATTCGTGCGCGTGTTGGTGAGCGGAGTAGTGCAAAATTGTTGTTGAAATATTTCTCTAGGTATGAGCAAGGATATGATGATTATGGTCGCCTGGTTGTTGTTCAATAGCTGTTCTTCTCGGGACAACAAAACAGATTACAACAATTACAAAATCGGAGGTGGGATCTTCAAAGCCTTCTGTAACCAACGGTGGTGTTTTTTTTGAAGTGTTGATTTAAAAAAACTGAAACGTGATGTGAGACGATTTCAATTGGGGTAGTAGCCAAATTAAAAAGAGAAGCGCTCTTACTTGCAAAATAACCAGAGCCAAAGCCAGACCCTTTCCTTGCAGCTAACCAGTCTGGAATTGTAATACTGTGTCAACAGTGGAAAGATTTTAGGTTTTTTTTGGGAGGGAAGAAATGACACCGTTACAAATTCCAACAACTACTGAATTTTAATCTTCCCTCAATTTGTGAGCCGTTGACGGCTCAATTTCTATTGTTTTCAAATTTTTTCAATCAAAAAATTCCTGGTTATCCAATGCCTCGAATCACCAAATTCAAGAAACCCAAGCTCAACCACTCACGCTACTCTGAATTCCAAGACAACACAACAACAGAGGATGACCAACAAACCATTGCCTCCGCTGCCGTTCAAATTTATCCCAAACATGTCGATCTCATTGTTTCTCAAGTAGTTAAAAAATATGAATGGAAACACAAACTGCAATATTGGCAAGAGAAGTGGGAATCGGAGTGTACAAGTCAAGGAATTTCAAAAGCGAGCGTGGATGTTGCTTTTGAAATTTTGAATGATATCGTTCATCAAGGTTTGGATTTTATATTTGCTTTTTCCTGTAATCGTAACAATTATTACACTGTAATTCATGAATTATTTTAAATATTGAAATAATCATTGAAATTTAGGAAGAGGAGGAAAACCTTGTTGTGGGCATTGCGCAGCTGATCCTCAACCCATCCCCAATAACAACAAGGAGGATGAGGATGATGATGAGACTTTTTTCCTCTCCGATGAAGAAAGAGAAGAAGAAGATTTGAAAGTGAACACTGAGAAGAAACGTTCCTACTTGTACGACTCGTCTGATGATGAGGATAAACCAAAATATGATGACTATGCACGATTTTGTGAATGTCCATGTGCGCAATGTGCCAATAGGAAGCCAAATGAATTTAAGGGCTCTCATAAAAAAAAGGATAACCTTATTCCATTGGAGTTGAAAGAGAGACTCAAGTCTCAAATAGCTGCTTTGGAAAACGTTCCAGATGAAATGAAAGATTGGCATCCAGGTTCCAATCGTCAGGTATTGGATTTGATTCATCCTTCACTGTACTGTTTTGTTGAAAATGTTAGTGTTAGTGACAAGAAAATGAAACCTATGAAACACTCAACATGGGGACAGGAACATTATTCAAATCGATGTCAATGGCTGCCTGCAGAATTCGAAATTGATGCGAAGAAAAACCAAGTGAAGAGAATTGCATCATACATTAATAATTTGGATGAAGTAACACACAAAGATTTATATCAAACCATTCAGGAAATATTCTCCAAGTTTCTTCCAATGTTGAAAGCCTATGTGACTTTCAAAGATAGACTTCAAGTGATTGTTAAGGCTGCAAATATCATTGTCACACCTGACAAACCATATTATAGGCAAGTTGTTCTGATTTAAGTATAGTGACTAAGTAACACCAATATTAATAACATCGACATGAATTATAAAAAAAATAGTGGAGGAACTTTTCACACTGAAGGTAGGTGAAGAGAATTGAAATAATTAATGCGTTCTTTACAACTTTCTTGTAGGAATGGATTATGAGCACATTGCTGCGACATGTATCTATTATTACCACTCAGAGAATGTTAAAGATAGTTACTTGGAATTTAGAAAGAGTGTTTCTCCGTATTATAGTGACGATGAGGAATTTGATTCCAAGGATTGTTATAATTCATATGGCATTCACAAGGGAGATTTACAATTTTACAACATGGGAGCCATTGAAACCAAAGAAGACAGATGTATTGTGTTCCCTAATAGTCACCAACACAGAGTAAGGCATTTCTTTCCCAAAGATCCGTCTCTTCCTGCGATTCGTAAAATTTTAGGTACGTTATTTCACATTATTGCTCACTTCCACCTTACTTCGTTGATTTAGTTTTCTTTGTGGTGGACCCAGATCATCCAATTATCTCAACCCAAAACGTTGACATTCAACGAATGGATTTCCTTATGAACAAGTATTTCGTTCTCAACAAAATTTTGCCCTTCCACATTGTACACAAGGTAAGTCTACTTTTGCCTTAAAGACTATATTCTTTATCTACAACACGATTAGATTATCAAGTTCTTCCCATTTTTTACAAAATCTATGGCATTGAAATACCGTGAAGATTTAATGAACCAACGCAAGTTTTACCTCAATGAGCAAAACGAAGAAATTGAAAGAGAGTTCTCTCTTTGCGAGCATTAGGCGAAACAATTCACTAAATGTAAAAAGGTAAAAGGATTCTCATTTTCTTGTATGAGATGTATGGTTATTCAAATAAAGATGAGGGTCCACTAAACATAGTTTGGATATCCTCTTCACTCAGAAAAGGATCAAAATCGTTTGAATCACGTTCTTCGCTTGTTGGCAAGCTACTTCCCAACTCCATAGATGATCCTAGCAAGCTCATAAAACTCTCTCCTGCAAATTCGTGAAGTGGGTGCTCTGGTAAGGTGTTTGAGGAGCTGGAAGAGTTGTTGTTCACAGATTGTGGTCTTTGAGAATTTGCGGCATCCGTGAGCATTTCATCAGTGACCTTTGGGTTGAAAAAAGGAATGTCCGTGTTTGTTGCTTGTGACGTTGAATCAAAGCTGTTTAACAAACCCATAATTTTCTTTCTCTCAATTATTTCTGTCATTTCTTGTATTAGCACCGAGTAACATAGAAATACCTTCTTGTATCGTTTTGCCAAAACGGTCAAAGCTCGCAAATCTTTGGCTAAAATTTCATAATAATCAATCATACCCATCGTTGGAGGCTTTCCATTGACTATGGACGGTATGAGGCCCATTTGAGGGTTTTCTCGTTCTCCATTCTCTATTGTTTTCACAATATGAAGATGGACTTTAGAAGCAAAGACTACATGTGTAATTATTGGTGGTGGTAACATGACAAATATCTCAGATTCCGTTCCTATAGTAATCTTCAATGCACTTTCTTCAATAATTTCCTTTCCTCTGTTCACTTTGCTTAAGACAGCAATTTTAAATCCATTGAATGCAAATAAATGAGCAAGTAGAAGCAGTTTGGCATATTTCTCACCAGGAAGAACTTTTGAAAGAAGTACATTGATCAGAGTTTCCATAATTTTCATAATCATTGCATAATTGTAAACAGTGACATCCTGCTGAAGCAAAGAGGCCCATTCATACGGCACCTTAATTCCAGCAATTTTCTCAAAATATGTTGGAAGGTGTTTTAATAGATAATCTATTCCATTATCCATCACGCTCCAAATATTAACGATCGATCTTACTTTTTTCAAATTTTGTTGATATGGCGTAAATTTTTGTTCTTCCTCCTTAGAAAGTTCATCAAAGTAAAAGTTCACACAATTGCAGTAAAATCGAGCCGTCTTGCTTTTTCCACATCCTGTTTCATGAACAGCTAGATATGCATATGCGCAAGCTGTATAAAAGTTCGAATGTTCGTCGAATATTGTCGAAAGGGCAGTACGGGCCTTTTGAGCTGTCTCTTCTGCGAGGTCCTTGAGCCCTAGTCTAGTGTTGCAAAGTTTTAGAGAATGAACATACATTGCCACCATATTCTTAACAGCCACTCAATGGTTGTTATCACTTACCTCTGTTCACAATTTGCCTTGATGGCTAAATACATGGCATGTACTTCCTTAAGGTTAGGAATATCTGCTAATTCAGTGTTATTTGTTTCATCAATGTATGCTAAATAATTTTCAAACTCGGATCTTTCAATCACAGGCACATTTGAGCTAAAAGCATTAAAATATAGATCAAGTACTTTTCTCTTATCAATATGTTGTGGTATATTTAAGGAGCTACTCGTGTAATATGGTGTGTTATTCTCTGTGTGTGACATGCTATTTGTAAGCCCGGATTTGTGTGAAGCTAAATGACTGCTTGTAGACCTAGTGTCAAAAACGAAAGGTTGCTGGCGTAAAGTGCCATGATGTTCTGTCATGTTGTTGTGGTGACCACTTGGTGAAACATCATGGATATCACTACTTTGTACATCCTTTGCAACTCTTCCCTTCTTTTTTGGAGTTTTATATTCACACACGATTCCTCGCGAAATACATTTGGAGCAAGCAGGGTACTAGGCAAAAAACGAAATTTTAACTACATTGCAAACAATGACATACCTTTTTGTCACACCGTTTGTGAAGACGCCTGCACTGCACACATGATATAGGATGAAAACCAGAAATCTCGGGATCAGTAGATTCGGAAGGCAGTGATGATGTTTGCTGTGGTGGTTGATGTTGCAATTGGTGGTTTGGAATCTCTCCCGATGATGAAGAGGAAGAAGAAGAGGAAGAGGATGATGAGGCTGTATCCCGCGAGGATATCCGTGCCGATGGAAATAATTGATTCTGATAGAATTGATTGGGCAGACCTGCTGTTCCGCCTCTGACATTAATAATCCCTCTAGTATCAAAGTAAAACAGTGGTTGTAGCTGAGAAGAAAGATGTGGTGATTCTCCACTACTACTATTCGGCATGCCGATTTGATTTGTGGAGGTTGAGTGCGGGTTGATGCCAGTAGAATTGTTCGGGAGCATTTTCTTTTGAAAGGACAGAAGAAAATAAAAAGCGCCATTTATTCAAGCAATCCAATTGCGCACATACCTTTAAAATCGTTAGATTGAGGAACGAGAAATTAAGGTCTTCTATAAGCAGCGTATTACTTACTGATTCATTGCATAAAACAGAAGGTCTAACCTAACACTTTTTTGAATTGCACTCGCTTTTGAAAGTATCTTTTCAAAAAGGATGATTATAATCAAACAAGGAAGAATATCTGCACAAAAAATACATTGACAGTCTCTTCACAGGTCCACAAAGGTAAGAGTTGTTTGTTGTTGGAGTAACAGTGCGCTCTGAAACTCGGGTGTGTTGTTTGATGAATTTCAATAATTGACCTATTCACTCAACCCTTGAATTTCAATATCGCAAATGGTTAATAGATGATAACGAGGAGCCTTGTTTTCATAGCCATCATCATGATGAGCTTTGCTGTAATGATGATTTCCGCAACCACTCCAACCACACAATCATCATCAACATCTACCAATGGTTCTACTCCATCCACAAACACCATCGCTATTACATGCCCAACAGACAATGAAATGGTCTATAACTTTAAATCATCCACATTATTGGGAACTCAACCACATCTCCAAAACGTTGCTTCCATCAAGAAGGGTTCCGCTCAAGAAAACACATTGATGGGTCAAATGACATTTACCTGTGCTGGAACAACAACAACAAATGATAATAAGAAGAAGACCCTCGTTCTTGTTCAATTCCCTTCTGCTCAATTTTTGCAATTCCAAGGTATGAAGAAGTATGGAAATATGGACAAGAAGGACGTTGCTTTTTGGTTTGGTAAGAAGAACCACCATAAATTGACTTCTGGCACAAGTAGTACTTTGAAAAATGAAAAGCATGTTTCAAATGGATTTGGTAAACCAGAGGTTAGAAAGTACCGAGTTTTGAATAAGAGACAAAATTTGGCTACCGCTATGAACAAGTTCCCCACAGCTGTTGTCAGAAATTCGAACGGACAAATCACTCAAATGATTTTCCACAAGGAAGAACCAAAATGGGTTAAGAGTGTGAAAAAGGGTATTTTGAGAATGCTTACTACTGAAACTAACAAGGCTGCCAGAAATCAAACTGATGGTTTTGGTGGAAAGTACGCTCAAAAGTACAACAAGAAGGTCAAGAAGAATGACAAAGTTGCTATTTCTCAATCATTCTCTCACAAGGACTTTAAGAAGATTCCACTCCAAAAGAAGCACTTAAATTATGAAGGTTCTCACATTGTGACTGTTAACAAGAAGGGTTTGATTACTAAGGCTTTGTTCGGCACAAGAATTTCATTGGGTAAGAGAGAATTGGCTCCAATCTTCCAAACTTTCGAAAAGAAGTATGGCAAGAAGCAAAAGTTTACCAACAAATCTGGAAAGGAACAAATTCAAGCTCTCCATGTTGGTAAAGTTGTGTTGAAACATATCAAGAAGCAAAATAAGGTGAACGTACCAAAGATTGTTTCCACCTTCTTTGAAGTTAAAAATGGTTCTGTTGCCATCAAGCCTGCTTTTATTATTGAAAAGACATTTGGTATCACAAAGGCTGATAAGAAAGAAATTAGAAAGTTGGTCAAGAAGCAATTCAAGCCAGTCAAGCTTATCAAGATGTTGAAGTACATTGAGAAGAAGTACAAGCCAACTCCTGAAATGAACAAAAAGCTCACCAAGGTTGCTGAAATGGTCAGAAAGAATCCAATCAAGGCTGCCAAGATCTTGATTAAGAATTTGGAAAAGGGTGTTGAAAAGTTGAACAAGTTGCTTTCATCAGATGAGAAGGCCAAGTCTTTGATTCCATTCCTTGAAAGTATTCAAACTTTGATTGCCACTATTAACAGTACCAAGATTCAAGATAAGCTTGTTGAAGTCTCCAAGACTCATCCTGTCCTCACCAAGAATTATATTTATTCTTCTGTGTTCGTCAAGAACCCAACCAAGCAAGTTCACAACTTTGTCAAGTCCTTGGCTGACTCTGATGAAAACGCATTCCTTGCCTATGCTGATCTTGCTGACAGACTCAAAGACAAGTCACTCATTGATGAAATTGTTTCTGAAATTTTGAACAAGATGAAGAGCGCTTCCAGTGCTGACCAACTCGTCTCTGCTTGCCATGCTTTGAACAATGCTGGTCGTGGAGTTCCTCTTTCTATCATTAAGCATTTGATCCTTTCTGAATCCATCCCATCAACCATCAAGAGTTTGGTTGCTGACAATTTGAAGAAGAGAGGTAATGATACTCGAGTTGATGATTTGATTCACTTCCTTGTCAACCACAAGAAATTGGATGCCAACGTTATTGCTTCACTCATTTCTTGTCAAACTACTAGAGAAGGTCTCCATAAGAATGGTACTAGTGTTTGCCCCTTCACCAAGTTGTTGAAGCACACTAAGAATGATCTCATTAAGCAAGCCATTCACACCTACTTGTATACTGTTGGTAACAAGGAAGCTGCTGATGCCATGGAAATGTCCTTCCAAGAAGAAATTAATGCATTCACTACTCACTCACTTGCTCAATCTGCTCCAGAGTCACAACCTGCCTACGAAGAGCCACCAGCAACCTGGGAACCAGTAAGCGTTGACGCTGATGAAGAAACCAAAGCTAGAAATAGAGTCGAAGAAGTTGCATACAAGATCAAATCCATCTTTTCTGCAGCTAACTGGAATGGAGCTCAAGCTTCATGTGTTCCTGCTTCCAGAAGTGAGCAAATTTGTGTCTACAATACTGAAATGATGAATTTCATTAACAAACAAGGTGATTTGAGCAACATGGCCAAGGCCAAATACTACAGTTATGAAAACAAGTTCGGTACACAAGGAGTCAATTTGTACACTGGTATTCTTGTTTATGGTGGTGCTAACTTCCAATGTACTAAGGAATCTGCATTTGATGTTGTCTTCTTTGGTAGAGCTGCTGCAGAGGCAAACATTTTTGATTCGACTTATCCAGTTGCTAGTGCCTATGTTGAATTGAACAATAGATCTCCAAGCAGTATTAACAATCGAGTTTATGTGAAGATTTTCACCACTACTTTTGTTGACAAGCCATTCTTACCTTCATTCTCAACATGTAACAGTGAAACTAAGAATATTTTGACGAAGGCCATTCCATCTCTTTTCAAGACTAGTTACACAATGGCTATTGGTCCTGTTCCAATTACCTTCTCGATCGGTGCTGGTCTTACTTATGGCGTTGATTTCAAGTATGGATATTGTTTGAACTCATTCTCTGCCAGTACAAGTTTGGAACCAACTGTCACTATTGACATTACTGGTTCAGCAGATATTGGAATTCCATTGGCTAAGGCATCTATTCAATTGAGAGCATCATCAACCTCAAGAGGTATTCCAGAATTGTCATTTGAATCATGCAATTTGTGTGCTAGAATGAAATTCAACCAAGAGGCTGCTAGCTTCACTGCTCTCCTCCATGGTAAGGTAGCATTGTGGGAAAAGAGCTGGAATCTCTATCAATACAATTTGCCACAAACCTATTCCAAGACTTTGTACGAGCAATGTGTTTCAACAAAGTTGCAAAGTTGGTAATTTATTAAAATGAAAATGATTTTCAATAGTGATCTTATGGCATCCCAAAAGTACAATCAATGATCGATGCGATAAATCGATAACAAGAAGTCGTACTTAATTTTACATGCCTCGTTGTGAAATTCAGCAAGTGAAGTTCAGCAAAAGCAATTAGAAAAGTTTTTACAAGTTGTTGGGATCGTATTGTTGTGGGTCAGAATAGAAGTTTTCCTTACTCAAAGGGCTAATTGTTACTTGGCTAATGTCAAAATTTGGACCAAGAAACATTACAAATGGATTCTCATGACCCATAGAGTCAGGCACCGTATGAATGTTGAGAGAGGATCGAGCGACATCTGTGTACGAATTAACATTCATGTTGAGTTCAACATCTTTGGCACCAATAATATCGTGTAGTTGAGAAATGGCTTGGATGTCCTCAGGAATAATAGCCAATAATTGATTCTGTAGTTGGTCTGCTGGATTAGTACCAATCATTGTGTGAATTTGTTGTTCAATTTGTTGATCTCGTTTCATGAGTTCCTCATTAATCATTGGAAGAATATACTTGAATCTTTTCTCAGCAATTGTAAATCGTTCTGCCATGAGATTTAGAGCCCTTTGATCCTTTTTTAAATATTCATAATAATCAACTCCATTGTTTGCACGTTCTCCTCGTTGAATTTGCTTAATCAATGAGAGGTGAATACGAGCAGCATTTAGGATAGTTACAGAGACATGTGGTGGCATATACGAAAAGTAGGAAAGGGTTGTGAAATCAGAAATTCGATTAGCTGTTTCAATAACAATATCATCTGATTGTGCTTGTGATTTTGTTAATATTCCCAATCGAACACCATCAATCATGAGCAAGTACATGAGCTTGGTGACTTGTCGTATGGTGCTTGACGCTTCTGAACGACTTCTGTTGAACTGAGTTGGAATACCATAAATCAATTGCCAATGGCTCTGCATCATTTGTTCGTCCTCTGCAGAAGAAAATTGAGGAGGTGGAATCGTATTATTGGAACTTGATCCACACTGACCATCGCTAATATTCTGTGTAATGAACATGAAAAAATCGATCATTTTCTTGAAATGGAACACTTGTAATGTGAGTTTCTCAGTCGTGACCACATTTGCATGTAATTGGTCAGAATTTTTCATGTCCTCATTGAGCATATCCAATGCTTCTTCTTCTTCTAATATCAATTGGAGATACATGAATATCTTGCACAGATGAATAAAGTGTAAGTTATCTTTCAATCTTTGCTTGTTCTGTGTTACAAAAAATTGAACACTACCCAAATAATATCTAGATTGATTAAATTCTGCTTCTCCCATGCAAAAGGATGCCAAATACATGAACGTTCCTGCAATTGCAAAATTATCCAAAATATCAAACACTTGTGCCAAATATTTTCGAGAGGTATTAAAGGCAGTTCTTCCTTCAATCTTTCTTCCTAGTCGTTGATAGCAATTGGCTTGAATTGCGTACATGAGAGCAACTTCTTCTGGAGCATTGTTGTTACCGAGAGGATTTTTTGAAACAATGTCCATCATGACGGATCGTTGAAGAATTGGACATCCCAAACTGATGATATCAAAATACATGTCCACAATTTGAAAGTTAATGGGTTGTTCTTCTTGAACACTTGCCAGAGAATTCTCTCCTCCCGATGGTGCTATTTTTCCATTTACGGGTGAAGAAGAATCACTCGTAGTAGTAGTAGTCGTGGAAGGATAGGGTTGCATGGCAGTTTTAGGAGGTCCTCGTTTCATGGGTTCTGGATAACGGCATTCTTTCCCTTTGAGTTTGCATTGCATGCATCCAGGAAGTGCTCGATCACATTTTCTATTGAATTTTCGTAATAATGATGATATGGAAAGTAACAATGGTTTGGTTTTTCAATTCCGAACAGCAGTGAATCATCATCAAATGCATGAATCAAGATTTTACAACAACAAAAAACTATACCTATGTCCTTTACGGCAAACCAAACATGCTATAGGATGAAGCATAGATTCTTCCCCTCCTCCACTCACTCGATCCGAAAGTTCGGTTGGTGATTGAGAATGTGTAGAACTGGAAGAAGACATTTTTTGATGGTTCTGTTTGAGAGCGGAAGGACCATTGAGTTTGAAATTAAGATGTCACATACCATGTTGCAACTCCTGGCAAATGTACGCTCGAGTTAAAGCACTGCGTGTCCCTCTTAAATTTTGAAGCCTTCCAAGATCTTGATGCTCATTATTGGAAGGTAAGCACGCACAAATAGTTGATAAGTTAGACACGGATTCCAGTGCAACAAGTTAGTTTCAAACGGAACAATGTTATTGTGCATTGGAACATGTAAACAAGATCTCCTCAATTTCAAAATGGAAATTTATCTGGTACAACTCCATACAATTGGTGTTGGGTCCTTGCCCTGCATCCACATTGGTTCATTGAGGCAGCTTCAAAACTTTTTGTGCAAATTTCTACTGAACCTAATAGTTTCCAAAAAGAACGTCAATAAAGTTTCGACAGAAATGAGCAATCATGCAAAGCTCAATTCTTTCTTGCACAAAGAACATGTAAGAGAAGGCAAAAGATCCAACAAGCTTGTCAAAGAAAAAGCTGTCACTGGTGAAAACGTGTTGACTCGGAGAATCATTGATGGAGAACATAGTTGAAATGATGGCTGAAAGAATTACGCTTTGATAATCTGGGAGACCCATTCTATGTGAAGTATTGGGTTTAGGAGTATCTGAAATTTTGTTTTTCTCTAAAAAGTCATTCATAGACTTGTAAAGCTCTTTGTGATTTGGATTCGTGACTCTGTCTATGAGATAGAACATTCTTTGCTTCAAATTAAATTCCTTAAATAAAAATATAGTGAATAGAAAGCAAAATAGTCGTTCGAATAATTCATCCGCTACGGCACGATAAACACACTTATATAGAACTCCCGATTTGAAAAATGTCATAATAGACGTTTCTCCATTGGTCGTGTCACTTCTCTCTAAAAACAAAAATTTGAGGATGACTGTGAGCAAACCTAAAAGTAATCCCCAGGATGCAGAACGAAATACGTCGTCCAAAAATCTCACATCTTCCAAACTGAATAGTTTTTGAAGATAATTTCCTAATGCTTGCTTTTTGGTAATCGGTTCACTACGGTTAAAGAACTTGGCTTCTTTGAGGTAGTTTACAATATGAGTTCCATAATTGTAGTACTTTAAAGATCTAGTAAGTTGTACTCCAAAATATACAATAATGGTATAGAAAGCACAGACAAGTATAGGATTAATTGTAGATGCTTCTTTCTGTGAAATGGAGTATAGAAGGGAGCAAATCAATCCCCAAATTAAAGATATAACCATGGGATGAAATGAATTGGAATAATGCTCAAGATCCAGAATTTTCTGATTTTGAGTTGAAATTTGTTCCACCAATTCAGAGTTTTTCTTTCTCAATTCCTCCAGCTCTTCGACTTGCTTTTCTTCCTTAATACAGCTTTTAACAATTTTGGAGGTCAAACTTTCGTTTGGTTTGGGCTCAGTAAACGAATGTGCTTGTGAATACTCTACAGTTGATGTATGTAAAGGAGAAAACATTTCCTCATCATCATTGTCTACATGAGCTTCATCATGACCAAAGTAAGTTACATTTTGGGGTGAGAGTTTCTCCACATCTTCCAACGATGAAAAAGAAGATGAATTGTCATTGACCAAAGCAGGCTTACTTTGAGAAGACATATTAAGGTTATTTTCGGCCAATAAATTCGTGCTCGTCTCGCTACTTGATTGATGTGACGCTTCGTTCAATGGAGCAACAATATTAACACTTGTTTGACTTTCTGTTTCAATAGATGGCAGATTTTCGAGCAACATGTCTGGAATCTTTTCATCTTTTTCTTCAATCGAACTGTTTCCACTTAGAATAGTTGGGTGTGATGACGAAAGAATAATGTCAAAGTCGTCCTCTTCCTTATTATTTTGGTTACTATCCCCGTTCATGGTAGCAGTAGTGAGTTTGGATGAATCGGCTTCATTCTGTATTTTGGATGTTTCAACTGTTTCTGTCATTGGCTCAATTTCAGAAACCATATTGACTCCTACTTCATGATCTTCCCGTGGCTCGTTTTGGATGGGATCTACGTGTTCAGTGGCGCTAGAAATTGTTGGTTTCGTACTTGTTGCTACAACGGCATTAGCTGTATCTTCTTCTTCATCTAACAAGAAGAAATTACTACCCTCCTCTGTATCACCATTAGATGTGTTCAACTCTTGAGTAAGTGGGCTCTTATCAATGTTAGGTTGGGAGAGAGAGGTGAGTTCTTCGTTCCTTTCCGTCTTTACTTCCTGTTCTTTGTGATCTAAAGAAGAATCTTGATTTTGTACATTGTCAGCATTTTGTTCTATTGCTGGGCTTGTTGGTTGCTGATTGGTTGTCTGTTGAGCTGTGGCGTCGTTACTGGCTGTGGGCAAGTTTAACTCGAGAGAAGTGTTGCTATCCAATAACGACTCCTTTGTTAGCAACGACAGGTTTGTTCTTGGTTTTTCAGATGTTAATGGTTTTTCAGAGAATGAAATGTTATTCTGATCTTTTTCCGTGATAGTTTTGTTTCCATTATTTTCGCTAGTGCTCTTTGAAAATGACGAACTAAACGAACGTGGACTTTTAAAGCCGTTCGATTCGTCAAAGACTTCTTCATCATCGCTATCAGACGCCTCTTGTTCAGTCATGCTCACTTCGGTATCGTCAGTAATATCATTGGAAATAAAAGGGGTAGATATGCTGGTAGCAGTTGGGTTTTGCTGAGGTACGTCACTACTGGAACAAACTATGGTGTATCTTAAAACAAGATATGCAACAATTTCTTGATCTTGGGAGTTATCACCAAGTTTTAAAGAAAATAATCCAGTCTTTTTCTTGGACTTATTTGCTGTTATTATTGATGAGTCAACATTCGAAAGTGCACTTTGCGATATCTCCATCAATATTAGATTTCTCTCTACACCATTATATTGAATACATTCTGCTAAATTAAGTTCTTCCTCACAAATTCTCTTTTTTGATGCAAATAATTTGGAAGGAGGTGATGAAGCAAAGGCATCGTCTTGCAATTGGTCCAACGAAATTCGTAAAAACTTGTCTCTATATCCTGATGAAGAGGGGGCTGCTATTAATTATTGATATTGGAACAACATAATATTTTCGGAATTCTTGATCGGAGTGAGATCATCGAATACATACCCAAAGTGAGTCTAGTATAAAATTCGAAACTCTTCTCATCTCTCGTATAGAAAACATAATAATCGGGTTTGTTTTGATCGATACTCTTTTGATATCTACAAACTGGTAATTTTCCTCTTTTTCTAGAGTTTCTCTTCCATTCTAATTGTGCTGTGCGAGGAATTTTAGGTCCATCAGAAAATTGTTTGAAAAAAGAATTAATTGTTGTTGATTTCTTATTGCTCAGTGATGAATACGTTTGATTCGAGTAATACGTTGGCTTCTCGGGTAAAATTTCTAGAGCATTTACAATGAATTTAAAGTAATATTTATGTTTATCGGAAGGCACACCCAACACATTTCCCATTACATTTGTTGTGGAGGATGTATGAGCTGTTGATGCCGATGAGGAACTCATCTCACTCAGCCTGTGAGCACTGTGCCCTTTCTTCATGTGTAGCCGTTTTTTTCTGTTTTTTTATTTGGAAATGAAACCGAACGTTTCGGAAATGACGGGGAGGGGGATCGAGAGCCACCAGCGAAGCAATCAGCAAGTTACCTTCCATATTGGGCCTAACTATATTCGTCGATATAAGCCAAATAGTTCTCGGTATTTGAGGTCATGGATGTCGAGACTTTAATTATACACAATTATAGGGCGTTATGCTTGCATTGAGGAAAGTTTGACAAGTCACATTAGTTAGGCCCAAAATGGAAGGCAAAAGTCTGATTGCCTACGCTCTCGATCCCCCTCCCCGGGAAATGAGAAAATTAAAGACAAATTTCGAAGAAAAATAAACAGACATGGAGTTGGTGATTGCTACTGTCATGGAAAATGGCTTGCTAGTTTTCATGAACAATTGCTGCTCTGAATGTCATCATCATTCCGATCATTACCATCACTCATCGGAATATTATTATTTTAAATTATTAATGAAAGAAAAACGTGATGAGTTTATGAAACTATTGGATGATCTTGAGAATTTTGGTTCTTCATCAATGCTATTAACAAAAAGAAAACAAAATTCTTCATTAATTGTTGATCATCATGATGCGAGGATAGATAACTCTGATTTTTATGAATTATTTACGATAGAAATTAATGACACAAAATCTCATATTGACGATGAATTGATTAATTCAATGACAAGTATTTCTCTCGAAGATTACAAACCAAATGAACATGTCAGAAAGAATTCCATCTCTGTAGTCAATATGAAAATTACTTTAAAAAAAGAATGGACAGACGAGAAAGTTGGGATATTGGCTCGTGATATTTTGAAACCTGTCAAGGTATATGGAATTGACACTTTATCCATTAGAGATTTTGCAGAATTTAGAGAATCTTCTATCAAATTTCTCATTAATTTTCAGACGAACCACTTTCTGTCCAATCATACATTGTTCTTAGATTTTCAAAATTCCACTAGTTCATTGAAAAGTGTGAGGGGGTCCAAAAAATCCATTTATTTCTCACCAGAAAAATCCCTCAATGTCGTTTCATGTGGTGAAGCATCTCCTGTATCACCTTCGAGTACAGAAGTAAAGTCTTCGAGTGCTCAAACTAACTCCTCTAAGAGTTCTCATGGATATGTGGACATTTCGATAGATTGTTTGAACATTATTATTGAAATCAAACATATTCATTTAGGATATGTTTCTTTTTCTAGGCATGGATTTATCGGAATTGGGAATGAGTTGCTTTCTGAGCGAGTGAGCTTTCAGAAAAGAGAAAGCAAAGAACCCCTAGGAGATCTGTTAGATATCATTGATGAAACACCAGCAGATGTCATGTGGGAAGAGTGGTCAGTGGCTCGACTTGCAAGTGTGTATAATCAACAACGAAACACTTTTCCAACTGAATCATTTAAATTTTCAAAGCAGTCCACTCCTCAAACGTACTATTTCGAACCTATTGAAACCATTATTCGAGAAGCACAAGAGCAAGCGTTGAAATATCAACCTTCCAACAATGAGTTGAACAGAATTTTGTTAGTTAGCATTGGCCGAAGATTGTTCTATCAAGTTGTGACAAGGAAAACGGATTGGAATAAATTAATAGAAATTAAATGATAATTAGTAGCAGCTTAATTCGACCTATCCTCTTTTATTGGATGGCTTCAAATGAATGTAAATTTACTTCCAGCAACCCTTAGTCATATCATTGTAATAATAAATTGGCTGACCTGGGGCTGGCATGAAAATAACCTCAATTTGAGGATGAACCTCCAAGTCAAAAGCCATCGCCACATCACACTCAACATCCAAGTGATATTTACAAGACACAAGTGAGCCCTGAGTACTTGGATAAATTTGTTGTGGCAATGAATAATTAAAAACCTTATCGAGCTTTGTCTTCTTTGGAACACCTTCAAATACATTTCTATTAACTTCCTCTGTGTAGTTGTGAGTTTGACCTTTTGCATGCATGGTCACATCTCTCATCAACTTAATTTTCAGGTGGTCCACATCCTTTTTGGATTGATTATCCACAATGCATCGAATAGGAATGACTTCACCTGGTACAAAAACATTTTTCAAAATTTCAACATCCATGTAGAGCTTTCCAGAGCCTCCAAATAGAAAACTCTTTTCATTGTGGCATTTGATGGGTTGAGGAATAGTCCATGAACGTGGAACAATGACCAAATATCGAGTATCCTTAATATCCTTTGCATACACGTTATCTAAATTGGATTTAACCTTATACACAATAGCACCACGATAACTATTTCCAAAAGTTGTGCGATTGTCATTGAAATTACCTGGCAAATTATCGGGAAGCTGGAATTGAAAAGGAAAGGAATAAGTACCAGCCATCGCAGTGCCTTTTGAATCATCATTCACAGAGAGATTCATTTCATCACAAAATTATTAAAAGTTGAATTGCTCTAACCATCGTAATACAAACCTCCATTGAAATTAGCAAGGGATAATTGAGTCTTGAAAAATGTCTTTTCCTGATCATACTTGTCATAGACAATTTCAGTTTTAGTCGTGTTGGTCGCTACATATATGAATGATTAAAGAAGAAACATTGGGTCAAAACGGAATTGAAAAATTAATTGTTGAATTTGTCATTGATGTTTGTGAAATTGAACGTACCAGGATCATGTCGTGTTACCGTTCGAGAAATGACAAATTTTGTTCTTTCCATTCCCTTTTGTTGAAAGATATAACACCATCATTTAAATTGTAGTGATGATGACATTGGATGGCGTTCAGCATCCGAGCAATGTTTGTTGTTATCAAAACTCACCTTCCACTTGATCGTGAGATCTTTTGTAATAACATTCTCAGTCAGAACTAACTGACAATTTCCTGTTACGACCTCTCCTGCCACATAGTATGGTTTGTCCAATACCAGTTGAATGGCAAGGTTACACAAAATTTATTTCCAATTCTTGTTCTTGAGATTGTCAGAAGCCTTTTTCATGACAAGCTTCTTTGGTTGTTGGGGTGCAGAGGTTTTTTGGTTGTCATTCACTGATGGTTCTGAAGGCTTGGTGGTGGCCTTGCTGTTCTGTCTTGGTTTACTTGAAGCTGGTTTCTTCCTATTGATCTTGTTATTTTTCTTTGGCTTTGCTTCTGCTTTTGGGTTCTCTTGCGAGGTACTTGCTTGTGCTTCTTGATTGTCAGAGCTAGCTTGTTTTTCCTTCTTCTCCTTTCTTCTCTTTTCCTTTGATTTCTTTCTCTCTTCGTTTGCGGGATAGAACAGGCTTTTATCACCAAGTCCAAGTGCGTTACCAAATTCAGATCGTTCTCGTTGGGTATCGAAGAAAACATGGAAGTAATAGGGCTTGCAAGAGATATCTGCAAAATTAATATTTGGGTAAGTTTGCTTTAAGGTATTAAGCATAAGCTTTGGTGTGAACGAAACCTTTTGGGAGTGTTGATACTTTTTCTTTTTAGACTCTTGTTCAGTGTCGACTGCATCCGTCACATCGCTAAGGGATCGTTTCTTTGAATTTTGTTCATTGTCTTCTTCTGTCAACTCCTTCATTGTTTCTTCTTCATCTTCTACTTTTTCTTCTTCATCCATTTCAAATGGAGTTGAGAGAGTCACAGGTGGTATGTGAGTTGGCTCAATTCTTTTCAAAGCCTTTCTAGGTTCATCTGTATGTGTCACTCTAACAGCTATTGGATCATCATTCTCGTCGTGCATTTCATTGTCAGAGTCTGAATCGCTCGAATCCTCAAATGGTATATTCTTTGGTTCTGAGATTGGTGTTCTCTTGCCAGATACTGATGCAGGAGAGGCCTTCTTTGGAGTAGTTGGTGCATTGTTATTCTCGGGCTTAACATCTTCTTCCTCCTCGCTTTCAGAATCGCTTTCCGAGTCGTCGCTTGAGTCGGCAAAAGGTACCCGTTTTGGTTCAGATATTGGTGTGCGTTTGCCAGATTTTTCTACCGATTGAACAAGGGTTGGTTCAATTCTCTTCTTTGGTGTTTCCGTGAGAGCCTTTCTTGGTGTTTCTCCGTGTTCAACTCTAACAGCTATTGGTTCATCATCTTCGTCATGCATTTCATTGTCAGAGTCTGAATCACTTGAATCCTCAAATGGAATAGTCTTTTGTTCAGAAACTGGTGTTCTCTTTCCGGATACTGATGCAGGAGAGGCCTTCTTTGTCACAACCTTAGTACTTTCATTGTTTTCGTGGTTCTCATCTTCAGAATCGGACGATTCGTCATCATCGCTCGAATCAGCATATGGAACACGCTTTGGAGTACCGACAGGAGTACGTTTTGAAGGTGTTGAAGAACTTTTCTTGGCTGGAGTGGAAATGTTGGCAGCTTGGGTTTGTTCATTTTCTTCTTCGTCACTGCTTGATTCGGTTGTGGTTGGAAGAACAAGATTTGCGACATGAGAAGTCTTTGAAGGGGTTTGTTGTGGTTTGGAAGCAATCATGTTATTGGAACCAGCAGCTTTGGAAGGTGTTTTTGGTTCTTCTGTTTTGGCTGGGGCCACTGCTTCTTGAATGGTAGCCTTTCTTGGTGTCTCGGTATGTTGAACTCTTACAGCGATTGGATCATCTTCACTGGAATCATCTGAATCATCTGAATCACTTGAATCTCCAAAAGGTATGTTCTTTGGTTCTGAGATTGGTGTTCTCTTGCCAGACACTGATGCAGGAGAAGCCTTCTTTGGAGTGATTGAAGCATTATTGCTTGAAACCTCTACAGCAACATCATGTTCGTCAGCAGATGAATCAGAAGAATCGTCATCACTTGAATCATCAAAAGGAATGTTTTTTGGTGTTCCGATTGGGGTTCTTTGCTTTGCCTTCTTTTCAGATTTTGGTGTGCGAGCTTGAGTATTATTTTCCTCCGAGTTGCTCTTTGCAGGAGTCTTTTTGAGAGCAGACTTGGGAGTAGTTAATTGTTGAGTTTGAGAGTGCTTCATTGGTGTTTTTTGTTGATTTTCAGAAGATGTACCTTGTTCATCGGCTACTGTGGTCTTCTTGGGAGTGTTGGGTGTTGGCTTTTTTGGTGTGGATGACATGTTGAAGGAGGATGAGATTTTGAGAATTTTTTTTCAAAATTGCCCATTCTATTTTTTTGTGGAGTTTTAAATAGGCGCCAAAAACGTGCCTCACGAAAAGCGCTAATTCTTGACCTTGGTGTCGAATTTATTTACAAGTGACATCATTCGTATTGGTGTTCACAGAAATGTGAAATGTTTTTGAAGTGTTTGCTCCTTGATGAGGAATGTCCAACTCAATAACAGTTTCAGCTTCCACTCCTTCCTTTGGCTGTAATCTAAAGGTCAGCAATACAGTCACTTTCCGAACATCGTTTGGCAAGTCCATTAATTGAGAAACATCATTATACTCCATAACCTTTCCGTTTTCAAGAGTGACACTCCACATTGTGGAAGAGAGCAAGTTTGCACCTGCTTGAGGAGAGGAAAGGACTACATTGATTTTTCTCGACTTTCCAGAGCTCTTCTCAACCGCTTGTAAAGTATATTCACAATTTAAAATATAGGGTGGAATTGTGTACCCTAATTTTTCCATGAGTTTGTTAATCACTGTATCAGTCTTGGCAAAAATCCGAATGTCTGCATACTTGTCTTTGGGTGTGTATTGTAAATTCACAATGACCAACTTGCCATGATTCTTCTTACATTTTTGAGGCTGTTCTATGTGAGAAAAAAAGACATGTCCAATGAATTGAAACTTACCAAATCACATGCAGGAGAAACACGAAGACTTGTACCCATGACAATGGCCAGATCTGCCTTTCGAGCATTAAGCTCTGCTCTCTCGAGTTGGTCGACAGGAAGGTTCTCTCCAAAATTGATAATGGAATCTTCCAGCATGTGCCCACATTTTCACATTTTCTTCCAGTTTTATGATCATGAACGTCGGAGGCGTTTCTGCATCGGAAGGGTCTCAAATATTCTGTATGACAATGATTACAAAGTTCAACATTCGTGTTACCATGGAGCTCGCTCATATCACTTCTCTTTGGATACGAATTGAATTAGAATATAATATTTAAATAATTTGTGAAAACACAGAAATTTAACGAACCTTAATACCACTCTTAACATGAAGTCCATCCGTGTTTTGTGATGTCACATATTGGATCTTTTTTTGATTGTACATGTAAGAAATGGCCATATGAGTTGGAGTAGGTACATTGAGGTATGATGCTGTTCGTGTAGTTTTAAGTCCTTTTTCTTTTAAGGTCCAAACTCCCTTGGGTCCTCTGAAATCACTAATTCCTAATTTTTGGAAGTCATCATTGTCTCATGAAATGGAATTTTGATTGTTGACTTACCTGCTGAAGTACTAATTCCAGCTCCCGTATAAAACACAATATGTTTCGATGAATGAATCAATTTCGCTAACTGCTCAATTTTAGCGTCCAATTCTTGAGGCGAATCATAATATTCGGTAATATCATTTCCGCTCTTATCATAAATAATTTCGGTGCTTGGTGTAGGCATTCTTGATGTACTCTATTCTTTCAATTTTTTGTTTGATTCATGCAAAGGCCATAGATCTCGTGCTAAAATGATCGAACACCTTCGGCAGAGTTCACCACAGTGTCCACTCAAACCGAAAATACCGAATGCCAAAACTCGGAACTTGCCTAAAACAGGGTTCATTATTGTCCAAGTTTATTGAGAGCAGATTCATGATACTCTTTGGATGTCGTTTTACACGTACTTCTCAATTGCATTTGGGACAATACGAAGGAACTACATAGTCAGCATCAGTATTGAAAGGTTTAAAGTTCCAACAGTGACTTGAAATGGTTTGCAACTCTTTCAAATTGCCGAAAAGATCTCTCGTTTCAACCTTTGTTTCTGAATATAAAATGGCACAATCATAATCTGCTGGATAGGGATCATACTTGTGAGGAAATGGTGGTTGTTTCGTATTCACCTGTTGTACAACCATTGTATCTTGTTGAGTATGTGTTCCGTTTAATTGTATGGTTCGAACAAATCGTTGACCTTTGACAAAATCCATCGTTTCAATGCCAACATCAATGACAGAGTCAAGAGTGTAGTCTGCGTCCACACAAGAAACCATCAAGTAAGGCGATTGTTTGGTTAATTGATGGCATGTGCATGAAGTGGCATTGAACACATACTCAATTCCAAAATTACTTGGATAGGGATCCATAAATCCCATGGTTGTTTGCCAATTGCTCACAATCTTGTCATTCATTTCAATCTTTAAATCTAATAGGTATCTTCTGTTATAAAAATCTTTACGGACGGAGGGACTTTGGAAGTGCGATCCTCTTCACAAAAACTTACCTGGCATGTGTTTTTCATGAATGATACGTTGTCCATTAAATGTACAACTATTTCCTTTGCAATCGGTGAGAGATATAGACCTGACAGATGCTTGTACTGTGTGATGGTGAGGCATGCAGCACGTATACTTTTTCTGCCCAAGAACAACCGACGATGATGACAAGAAACTCACAAGCAGAACTGACAAGAGAATGAATTTTGGGTGTGCAAACATTTTTTTTTTGCGGAGTGGAAAAACTGAGGGCCCGCAAAGCTTTCGATTGTAATAGAGTTAACTTGCTGTTACTTCGCTGATAGTTGAATACGTAAAGGTCAATACCATCTCTTTCAACTTGTTTCCGTTGACATCTTCAAGACGACCACTTTCTTTTAATTAAGGGAAAGTTATACAAAACGTTAGGGTAATTTTATTTAATAATCAGCTGGTTGCTCTTCAGCATTGGCTTCACCTTCAGCATTTTCATCGAATTCTCCATCCTCTTCAGCAGTAGCATCTTGGTATTGTTGGTATTCAGAGACCAAGTCATTCATGTTGGATTCAGCTTCAGTGAATTCCATTTCATCCATTCCTTCACCAGTGTACCAGTGCAAGAAAGCCTTTCTTCTGAACATGGCAGTGAATTGTTCAGACACTCTCTTGAACATTTCTTGAATGGCAGTCGAGTTACCAATGAAAGTAGCAGCCATCTTCAAACCTCTTGGTGGAATATCACAGACAGAGGACTTGATATTGTTTGGAATCCATTCAACAAAGTATGAGCTGTTCTTATTTTGGACGTTGAGCATTTGTTCGTCGACTTCCTTAGTACTCATTCTACCTCTGAACATGGCAGAAGCAGTCAAATATCTACCGTGTCTTGGATCAGAAGCAGCCATCATATTCTTAGCATCGAACATTTGTTGAGTCAATTCTGGAACAGTCAAAGCTCTGTATTGTTGTGAACCTCTAGATGTCAATGGAGCAAAACCAATAAGGAAGAAGTGAAGACGTGGGAATGGAATCAAGTTCACTGCCAACTTTCTCAAGTCAGAGTTCAATTGACCTGGGAAACGTAAGCAACAGGTAACACCTGACATGACAATAGAAACCAAGTGGTTCAAATCACCAAATGTTGGAGTTGTGAGCTTCAAAGTTCTAAAGCAAATATCGTACAAAGCCTCGTTGTCAATACACATGACTTCATCAGCATTTTCTACAAGTTGGTGAACAGAGAGAGTAGCATTGTATGGTTCGACGACGGTATCGGAGACCTTTGGAGATGGGAAAACAGAGAAGGTCATCATCATTCTGTCTGGATATTCTTCTCTAATCTTGGAAATCAACAATGTACCCATTCCTGAACCAGTACCACCTCCCAATGAGTGAGCAATTTGGAATCCTTGCAAACAATCGCAACTTTCAGCTTCCTTTCTCACAACATCCAAAACTGAATCAATCAATTCAGCTCCTTCAGTATAGTGACCCTTAGCCCAGTTATTACCTGCTCCTGTTTGACCAAACACAAAGTTATCTGGTCTAAAGATTTGTCCGTATGGACCAGCTCTTACAGAGTCCATTGTACCTGGTTCCAAGTCCATCAAGATGGCACGAGGGACATATCTTCCACCGGTGGCTTCATTGTAGTAAACGTTGATTCTTTCCAATTGCAAATCGGAATCACCATTGTATGCACCAGTTGGGTCAACACCGTGTTCATCAGAAATGACTTCCCAGAACTTGGCACCAATTTGGTTACCGCATTGACCTGCTTGAATATGTACAATTTCTCTCATGATTGTATATGAGTGGTTGTATTAGGGGAATCTAGACTACAAGGACAATGCAAGTAGTGTTGTTATTTGTTTTTTTTGAGGTTGTTTCGGGTGGGTAACGATTGCCTGTACGCAGATAAAGCTTGGTTGTATTACAATGGAGTGGCGGGTGAATATTTACAACTCTGGCGCCACTATGTTGTATGTACTGCATCTTCTCCCATCATCACCTAATGTAACGATTTCGGTTTCACGTCATTGGGCCTCACAACGAAACATGTTGAACTATCTCTTCATTTTGTCCAATCTAGTATGACAGTGCTTCAAATATCTTTAAGCACTTTAAATGAAAGCGAAGCATGAAATCAAAGAACTATAGTTCAAGGCATTTCAAGAATTGCTTAAGCATAGAGTACTCTACAACTCACAAGTGTTTAAATATATTAAAAATATATTACTATTTTACATTCGTTTGTGCTCCAAGGTATTATATGGATGCATTGTGAATTCACATTCATTATTTTGTTGTTGGATGAAGAAGTGTATGATTGTTGCTCTGTGTGTTTCCACTAATATTACTATTCGAATTTGCTGATTGATTCATGGTCAAGCCATGCAATTCATGGTTTGGACCTAAACTATACCTGTTATGAGGGTTATTAGAAAAGTGTTGAGAATGTCGCTTATTGGGAGCCATGTTGTTGGGCAGTATTCCATTATTTCCAGATGTCTCGCTCGAAATGTTAATTTGAGGATTTCCAGATCCATAATTATTGCTCGTCGTGGTGGTGGTGGTGGATGGATTCGAATAGGCAGAACCATGAAATTGTGAATATGCAAATGAACCCAAGCTGTACCTATTTCCAGCATGATTTAAATATCCAGCAATACTCTTTCTCGTTCCAGAAACATTTAAAGCAGAATCGTAGGATAGTTGTTGATGATGGAATTGAGCTGAACTTCGTTGTCCTCTGTACCTTTGCGTGCCATTGCTGTTGTTGTTATTGGGTTGTGTGGACAGAGTGTTGAGTTGTGAATTCGTAACAGAAAACGGATTAAATGGTTGTTGTGACGCCTCCATATTTTCATTAATATTCATTCCACTCATGGAACCAATTAAACCTCTTGGTGTAGAAGAATTTGAATCTGTTCCGCCTGCACCGAATCGAGGACTGTTTGTAAGGGATGAAAAATCGCTCGAATAATCACTCCTTGGAGAATATAAATAATCGGAGCTCGCTCGAGGTGAATTGACTAAATCGTTAGCAGAACCATTATTTCCATAAAACATGAGTCCTCGAGGTGTCGCTGTAGTACTGCTTGTATTTGAAGAAGGAGTGGTATTGTTGTTGACATTACCTTGTTGTGATGACCATTGTTGAGGATAAGGAGAGAGTTGTGGATGAAGTTGTTGTGGTGAAGAGTGGTGACTATGATGAGCTTGATGTTGAATTTGTGTAGTATTAGGTTGCTGTTCATCTCCCAACAGTATGGGTGGAATGTGTAACCCAGTGCCATTATTATTCGAATGATTAAGATATCCGGAGGAAGTGATAGTACTTTCTGAAACGCCTCCAAATGGAGATGCTGTTGTTGTTGAATGAAGAGATGTGTTCGACAAGTGTGAAATGTTTGGTGAGGTCGATGTGGTCGTACTTCCACTATTATTATACAGCAACGACGATGGAGGAGGTAATAAATTTGAATCTGATAAAGATTTTCCGTGATGATAACCCAATGAAGAGGATGCAGCAGATGTGGCTGATAAGGACCTTGGATGTAAATGTTGTTGTTGTTGAGGATCCACTTGTTGTTGTTGTTGTGGATTTGACGTCGACGATGTCTGATTCATGTGGTTGTTAGTCGTCAGCGCTGAATTTGGAGATGGCTGATCTAATTTGTATGCTTCAAGTCCAGGGAAAGATGGATAGGAAGAAGAGCCAGCAGTACTAGACACAGTCGTATTGTTGAAGGCAGTTGAAGAGATGGGGACAGCTGTCATCGATGGTTGTTGTGATGGATACATGGATTGAGGTTGCAGTTGAGAATTGGTGAAAGGAGATGAAACATTCATGGTTGATGCATGGTGGCCACCTCTCGGAGAGGATGTTTGTGAGTGACCATGACGATTGGTGTTATCAAGGTGCATACTCTCTTGGTTTGTCGAATTCTGTTGTTGTTGTTGCAGCTGCTGCTCTGAAGGATTCATCATACGAGGACTCTTATAAGGATGATAGAATGGACCTTGCCGAGGAGAGCGATTATTGCTGTTGTTATCTGAAGAGTCCATCAACATGACGGTATTGCTGACATTATCATTCAATTCGGAATTACTTGTTAAACTTGTTGAACTGCCACCACTCAAACCAGCATTCAGTCTTCGAATGGAATTATACGAAGGAAGAGTAGCACTTGAATGTCGTTTGTAATTCATTGAAGATGATCTTGGATTGTTACTACTTGCACTATTCACAACATTTAGATTTAGATTTGGGAATGATTGATGCTGCTGTGACACGTTGGTGGCTGGTGACTGCACACTATTATCGTCCATCATGTCTGATGATGTCATCGTTGTGCTGTTCCCACCGCTCGTACCATTGGACATGAAATGAACCCAATATCTTTTGGTTAATATTCTCTTCTTACGGACAGAACTCTTGCATTTATCTTCCATTCCCAACTTTTTACATCGGTCACAAGGTCTATGGTGTGCGTGCGAGTGTGTTTATGTGATGAACCCCATCAACATAAGTTCAATGAATTTAAATGTGAAGAGAATGTTCGATCAACATGTTGTGTCAACAAATTCAATGTCGCACAATTTCCAAAGGATGATGATAGTTATCATAGTGATGCAACGTTCATGAATGTTAAAAAGAGTTGAGCATCAAATATTGTGTGTATGTGAATCATAAAACATACCGTTCTCCACTACAAGCTTTATGAGCTTTTCTACATTCTGTGCAAGCATAGTTCACTCTCCGAGATGAACCATTGGCAGCATTGGAAGATGAACCATTGGTCTGAGAGGTTGAACCTTCTTCATCATCGGAGAGAGAAGCCTCTTGTGTGGTTCCTTGTTGTTGTTGCTGTTGTTGCGTATTTGCAAGAGTAGTACTATTATTATTATTCATGTGAAAGAGTGGAGGTTGTGAAAACTGACGTGAAAATCGAGGTGAAAAGGCTGTTGTTGCTGAATGCGAGTCCTGATGATAATAATCGGAAGAGGAATGGGATACACCATTCTGTGCCTGTTGTTGAGAAGGTATCATGATATTATTAGCATTGTTTGAGGACGACACCATATGTGCTGTGGTTGCGTTGGCAAGAACACTTGGATCCAAAGACTTTCTTGCATTGCTAATGTGTGGCGATGCACAAATGGAAAAGGATCATCATGAGCTCAATAATCACCTTTTTATAAAACTCAATATACTTACATGCGTGAGGTGTGGGTATGGTGTGTTGTACTGTGTGATTGACTACTCAAAATATCCAAAATAGAACCACCTGTAGTATGATTCGTGTTTTGCTGTTGTTGTTGTGTAAAGAGAGACGAAGAAGGAGGTGGCATGGAATTCCTATTATTACTTTGAATTGCTGCAACATCACTCATGGGTATATCGTCATGATGCGTCATGTTTAATGTGGAGCTTGGTGTTTTATCAGAGCAAGTATTTGTGGAGTGATTCGTCAACAATATGGAATGATGGTGGTGGTTGGAAGGAGGGGGCAGCTGATTCGTCGTCGCATGATTATGATGCTGCTGTTGATGTTCACTTGTCATTGAATTTATCAACATTTTTTTAATCTTTTGAAAGTTGATTCCGTTTGGTTGCCAAGTTATGAAGAAGGAATGACAAATTCTTTCTTGGAAGAGAAGGAAAAGTGCTCGCCTCTTTGTTGATTATTGACAGAGAGATATCAAAATTGGAATATTAACATCAACAGTTCTTTGAAATTTAGAGCGGCACTGAAGGACTCTGCAGATAGGTAGTGCCAACGAACAGTGTTGCAAGTAATTGTCAAGTGATTTTATTTGAAAATCAATCGTCAAGTCAACTCTCACTGATGCGTGTTTTTTCAGCTGACATGTTTGCAAAAAAGTCAACTCAGTGTCTTCCTTCTTTGAAAGGGAATGATGAGTTTGATGTTAGTAAACAGGGTCATGGTCACTTTAGTTTTCATTAAGGTAACGTATCTGTGTGAAGTGTGTTCAAAGTCTAATCTCTGAATTCAGAGAAAGCAGTTGGAACGAAAGGAACATGGAACTTACACGGATTGCAGGATCAATTACAACAAAAAATGTCTAGAAAGAATCTTCTTGATGAGATTGTTCTAGCTGCCAACAAGCGAATTGGCAAATCGAACGACACCACTAGTGTTGCTGAAGACAGAAGTGGTATTGTACTTGAGACCAGCTGCACTACTCCGATAACAAAACATTTTGCAAGCCTATTCAACAATCCATGTTTGAGTGATTTCAAGTTTGTTTTGAAACGGTCCAACATGGATATGAATGAAGACCCACTTGGTCCTTTTGGACACGAAAGACTGAATGAAATACATGTGCATAAATTTGTAATTTATCAATCCGAAGTTTTTAAAGCATTGCTTGAGAGTAATTTGATCGAGCAACAGACCAATGAAATGGTAATCGAGGAGAATGAAGAGAATATCGACGCCTTCATTGCCATGATCGCCATACTGTATGGATCCTACATTCCATGTGTGAAACAAATGTCTATGGATCATGTTTTGGAACTTTTAGCATGCTTAGACAAGTATCAAGTGAAAAGTGTTGAAAAAGCAATCATTGATCTGTTCGTTCAAGAAATTGAACAAAATAACCCAAATTTCAAGCCATCACAAGCCTTGTGGTTATGGTATTACGCTCTTTGTGGCAAAGGGTACAATCAGGTATTGAAATCGAATATTTCAACGAAGTATATACGACCTCTTTGGTCTATTCAATATCACGGTGGAAAACGTCAAGAAGGCCAACAAGATTTCTATTTATTCATTTCCAGTCTTGATTTCGATGCATTTTCCATCTTTCTCAATGAATTTTGTGATTCCTCCTGCGAACTTAGAAAAGTATGCGAGTCCATCGACTATTGGTCTCAAAAGAGACCTCAGGAGAGCAGCAAAACATCAGAGCTCTTGAGGATTGCCTTGAAAAGAACCAAAAATTAATGATTATTTAGTTTAATTTCTTAATGAATACTTTGAATTGTTTTTTAAAAAAAATGTTAAATGCTTTATGGTCTCTATTCAGTAGTTCGGATTCATATGTTCATTCCTCGACATCGACGTTGGGTACAACCACAAAGGATGAAAATCCAAGTCATTTGAATGAAAATCTTAACTCAACCCGAAACTTCTCCGATCCATTCGATTATTATTACAACATTGATGATGATTTAATGTTCTACAAAAGACAGGGATGGTCAGATTATTACAATTCGAAATTAGGATTAATATTCAAATATCCTGCTTGGAAATTTTCTCACATAGAGGTGTTGCCGTATGGTGATTCTCTGGCTTCAGTCCAATTGAGAGGAGGAAATTCAGCAACAAACAAATCATCAGAGTCTACTACTCCGAACTCCATGATCAGTAGGTAACACGAACTTGATCTGTATTTTTGATATTTAATTTTTGAACATTTATATCCCTTTTAATATAAATTGTTATTATAATAATTCTAAATATTTCTAAAATACTATTACTACAGCAACCATGTTTAATATTGAGGACATTCAAACCGTGATTAATTCAGTAAACGTGACTAATAGTGAAAGATCTGTGACGAATGCAGGAAGGCCATCTCAAATACTAACAAGTGCGAGAACCAACGAAGAAGAGAAACAAGAGCAACTCATTGATCCATCAGCCTTTGGCCCTCGTGAATATATTTTAAATTCCATCAAAAAGTTGGAGCAAAACAAATGTTCATACAAGATTCTCTTTCAAAGATCTGTAAAGGTCAATTCAAGAAAGGCTTACGAATGTAAATTGGAGCTGGAAATGAGCCCTGGTGTTTTCCAACGACCGTCAAAAGCCATTGTTGAAAATTTAACTGAAAAAGTCAAAGTATTGCTTTACTGGATTGTCTTGAAGTGTGAAGACACAAACAAATTTTTTATTTTCCAACACATGTCTCCAGATCTTGATGTGGAAAATTTTGATTTAGAATTTGAAGAACAAATTTCTCATATTATCAGAAGTGTGAAAATTGTGAAATCTCAACAAACTGGGGGATTTACATTGCACAGAAAAGACAAGGGTGTTTCACTTAAATTATTAGACGAAAGTTGGCAAGTTTGGAATGTTTCTGGATTGGATCATAATTTTTCACAACCTAAGAAAAGTATTAAGAAAAAATTACCACAAACGGAACATGAAAAAATACTACCCCTCCATCTGAAAGATGAAAACGTTTTATTGTATCTCATTTCTTCGCTTACGAAAGAAAAGGTTGGAAAAGAAATTGCTCTAATTCAAGTTGAAACACACAACTCACAACAGAACAAAAAGGAAGCAGCAACAACTTTCGAAGAATACATTCAGCAAACAACACAAAACTTAAAAGAAAAATGCAATCATGTGATTGAAATTAAGGATCGAGTTAAATGGAGCGGTAGTGAATGTTCTGAAGGAGTGCTGTTTGCTTACGTTTCCGAAATGAACTCATTTCCAGTGCATCTTTCCAAGTTAATACCCACCCAGAAGAAACATTAGAAATTTATAATGTGATCGAATGTCACTTTAGAAGAGGGTCTACTTGGTACAAGATATTTTCTCGATCTCACCATTCCCTATCCTTGTCCTCGTTCAGACAATCCATGATCGAGCAAATCAAACTAATCACCTTCCATGATTCGATATCGACCACAGCCTCAACAGAAGAACAATTGACGTCTGAAGAAAATACTTTCTTAGAATTTGAAAGCATGGAACATGAATTTTCTCTTACTCTTCCTTTACTGTACCAAATATCTGCAAGACAATCACTTGGAAACACACCCATTTGTCAATACTTCTCCCGTTTCAGTATGGATAGTGCACTGTGTATGTTTGAAACTCAAGTTTACTTTGAGCGACTAGGTCCAAAATCCAAGCATGATTCCATACTTTCTAATGAGAAGGAAAAATTGAAAGTCCTTAAACAATCATTGTATGAACAAATGACTCGAAATATTGGAAAACCTGTTCCCCTTAGATTCGAGAAGAATATTGAAATTGTGACAGGAATTGGAAATGAGGCACTCCATGTTGCATTTTCAACACCCATTGGCTCACCTATTCATCAAAAGAATCTTGTTCATGTTCACACGAGTTTTCTATTAGAAAATCCATCTCCTCATCAGTTATTCATGACAAATACTACTACTCAACAGCATCCATCTCATGAAACGAAGCAAGTTGATGAAACAGAAAAGGAGAACATGTTGTATATTGTGACCATCAAAACAACGATCATGGATGCATTTTATACTGAGTTCATGCAACAACTTTTCGAAAATATTCATCGAGAATTTAAATACAAGAAGAATTGATAGTAGTGCCAGGTCATTCAGTAGCTACAACATTCTTGTGTGAAACTTACACGATTGAGGCATGAATTGGAACCATTCATCATATAAAGACGAAAATTGAAACACTCACACTGCTTAAGGTCAGTCAAAAGGCTATTAAGGTTATATATTATTTTCTTAAATTCGAACCATGTTCTTCGTATTGCACTTTCGAAACCCACTTGTCCTTATCCACGGATCGTTGCGACAATATTGCAGCTCCCGTCCACGACGAGTAAACTCGTTGAGAATTCGTTACCACATTCACTCGATATCCTGAAAGTGCAAAATGTTTCATATCATTTTCCATTCTCTCTGCGCTGCCATCAATCATGAAAGAACCCCCTGAAAGAACTACGTCTTTGAAGAGATCTTTTCTGTACTCATCCGAATTTTTCATGATGCAATTATAAGCAAGTTCTGAGAGGGAGGATATATTTGTATCATTTTCTTGACTCCCTGCAGAAGGAAATGGTGTAGGATCAAACAGCATTTCACAACACTCAAATCTCTCATTTCCAATTTTGAGTACAGAACCGTCTGGTAGTTCATATTCCGCTTCTTCTTCTTCTAGAATACCTTGACCAGCGTCAAAACATTCAGAGAGTTTGCGTTTTGAGACCTTACAAATGGAATGTTTCATATGTGATATAATTATTGAATCCCAATGTTGATGAAAATTCAATTTTCTTTTCACAAGCAAATGTTTCAAATTTTCATCAATGAATTTTCCTGCACACGCTTGCTGTGTTCTTGTTTGAAATTGTACTTGTCCATCCCAAACAGAGACAACACTGGTTCTTTCATGTCCAAAATCCGCAACCAATCCTCTTGATTTTCCATTGGAAACTAAAGAACACCAGGCTGAAGGTTCAAATCTTAAAGATGGCACTTGAAACTTTTAAAAGAAAATCTCAGACACTGTGGAATTGTTGGCGCTTGAGCTGATCTCGTCATCGGAAGTGATGAGAATGGGTGTGTCTGGTAACTCATCCACTGTGAGATTTAATTTAGAAAAACAATGCAACCACAGAGAGGCCATCAAATCTCTATCAACCAAAACGCCATTTTCTATCAAATGTTTAGGAGGATCGGAATGGAACATCAAGCGGGACTTGTCGGTTAATTTTGATTCAAAAAAAGATGAATAGGATGTGTTGGAATACATGTTCTTGTGACAACAGTGGGTTTCAGCAATGTAGTAGCTTGAGTCGTGGTGACATGACCTACTTTGGTTGAAAAGGATCCAAAGTCCACAATGAGCGACATTTTTCATGGTGAACTTTACTAACACTTTAAAATCTACTGGAATTAAAGATGTTCGATAAACTTTTATGTCACCATCTAAGAGAGCGCCAACCAGAGCCATGTCATCCGCTTCTCATTCAACTGAATAGCTAAATCGAATTGATTTACTCATTCCAGTACTTGTGGAGGGTGAATGTATTTTGATCTTATTAACAGTTTGACAAATACCAGTATCACTTCCACAACCTCAAAATTTGAATCATTCCATATCGTCTTTGGAGATTGAAGTTCGTTTCTTGGCGAAAATACCACAAAAAAAAATAATTGAAATTTAACAAGCTCAAATATTCACCAAAATGTCTCACAAACGAGATTTTGAAAGCAGTGGAATTGAAGCTGATGATGACTCAGTTTGCAACAACTCGGATTCAAAGAAAACGAAAAATGGATTAATCTGTCAAAATTTGGATCATGCATTTCGCATCTTTACAGCCAAATTAATGTCCTCTATTTTAAAACAACAAACACTAAATTTAGAGGATCATGATTACACACCATCTCAGGCTGTGATGATTTCACCTCTCTCCATTTATTTAGCATTGGGCATGACCATGGTTGGAGCGAGAAAGACAACACTGATGCAAATGTTGCAAGGAATGAGTTTGTTGGGAAGTGCAAATGAAATATCGGAAAATGAATTCATGGAATGGAGACTGGAGTATTTCAAAAAGTATATTCAATTATTAATGTCGTTAGTGAAGCAAGAAGAGATCAAGATTGCAAACAAGCTATTTGTGGATCAGAAAATGGAATTGACAGATGATTATGCAAACTTCACCAAAGAGACTTTTGACAGCTCTGTTGAGATATGCAATTTCAAAAAGGATTTCGAAACAGAAAGATGTAAAATCAACAAATGGATTGAAACCAACACCAACCACATGATTCGCGATTTGATTCCAGTTGGTGGAGTCAACCAGCTTACAGACTTGGTTATTGCCAATGCAATTTTCTTTTTGGGAACTTGGAACGAAGCATTTGATGTTGTCAATACGACCAAGGAAGTGTTTCACACATTACAACGCAACAAGAAAAAAGTGAGCATGATGAACAAGACTTCTGTCAATGTTCAATTTGGCCAAGACGAAGAGAAACAATATCGTTGGGTGAAACTGCCATACAAGAATGAAAACTTTTCCATGATTTTCATTGTACCTCATTCAGAGTTGACCACTGACAATGAAAAAGAGTTCCATGATTGGCTTGAACAACAACTATCCTCTCCGAACAAGGTATTTCAAACGCACTCTGAAAAACTCTCCAAGTTGTCCATTCCAAAATTCAAGCTTCAATTCAAGTTGGATCTTGCTTCGACATTACCACACACTCCTTTTAACATGTCTCATGCCTTCGATAAACGAAATGCCAATTTCGAAGGAATGACACGAGAGGCTCTTTCTTTAAAGAATCCACCCTATCTTCAGAACATTCTTCATGAATGTGTGGTCGAAGTGGATGAACAAGGGACGAAAGCAGCTGCAGCAACTGTTGTGGTCGGAATGAATTGTCTTATCGACAAAACATCTTTGAAGGAATTTGTGGTAAATCGTCCATTTGCTTTCCTGATCGTGCATGAAGAGACTATTGTGTTTTGTGGAAAAGTAAATTCCATTAGTTAAATGGATGTGTATTGCAAAACTGTGACAAATCTATATTAATAACATTTGAACATTGAAAATACGAGTACAATTATTTGGTAAATACAAAATGTCTGAAAATTGTGACATCACCCAATGACGGATCTCCAACCATGAGACCACTGTCTCATCACGAATTTTTACACCTGTGAAAGTGTGCCATCCATTGCCAAGTCTTCAGTTTCTCGAGAATTCTCATTCAACTTGATGGCTGAATCTTGTTCTGAACTTGCTACAGGAGTCATTGATTTACTCATTCCAGTACTTGTCGAAGGTGAATGTATTTCACTCGTAATAACGGTATGACTACTTCCTTCCACCACGAGAGTTGCATCACCATCCATCAACTCCCTACTGTTATTAAAGTTTTTTGTGTCCTTGAGCACTGGAGGATCATTACTAATTTGTGAATTTCTTCGAAACATTCGTTGCACTTCTTGCATGGGTGTGTTAATACTAATCATCAAGGCAATGAAAATCACAAGTCCAACATTGGTGCATGCAAAAAAGAAGTTTCCCAAGTACAACCAAACAGCACTGGCAGGAATAAACAAGAAACCACACGATTGCAATAATAAGGCGAGGGAGAGTCCTGCTTGCATCAATCGAGTTTTTCTCAATGCTGTTTGTTTCAATAAAAGAGTATTTTCTCTTTCTCTGCCTGCATAGAGAGGTTGATCGTTCATCTTTTCTTTCAATTTTCTCACACTTTCTTGTAAAGAAGAGTTTAATCTGAAACCAGTAATATTGAGATAGATACTGAAGAGAACGGTAAAGACAAAGAACATGATGGTTGCTGCAATGAAAATGGCTAATTGTTGTCCCAAAATGGAGGATGCATCTCTGAGAATTCCACCATTGACAAGACCACTCATAATGATGTTGGCAGTAGTTTGACTCAGAAAGAAGATGGCAGAACCAACAAGAGTGACCATGATCACCATTCTCATTCGAGTGAATTGGTTTTGGGTGATAGCTCCAGTTTCTTTACACGTCTTGTAGCTGACAATATAAATTTGGAAAGTCAATGAAGATGAGATTCATGACATCTTTGTATCTCAGCGATAACTTACAATACATTACACAGGAAGGCCATCATCAACAATTGATGCCAAACCCAATAGTTAATCACCACTCTTTGAATGGCTCCCATAATGGTATAATACAAGATGAAAGTTCTGTTGATACCAACTGAAGAGAACATGCCCCATTCTGAAACCATTCGACAAGTAAGATTGAGAGTCACATCCGCTGCTAAAATAATAGTCATAATAAACAAAATGTGTTGATTTCTCTTCATTTCCTTCCGTTTCATTGCATAAATGACAATGGAGACAATCAGTAGAGTCCAAAAGATAAAAAAGAATGGACCACTGGTGATTCCAATGGACAAGCTGTACTTGACTTGGTCAGACCAAAGCGATGCATTATTGATTGAAGGTATTGGAGGTGTGGTGTTGGATTGTTGTAGCAGAGATGTTAGCCCATGAACTGATGGCATCATGAAGGAGTCCACGAAGAAATTGTCAGATGATGACATTTTTATGAAACTTGCAAATAGAGGGGAAACACGACAGAGATACTAATTTGCTGCAGCTATCTCTCAACATTAACCACCTGTTCGCGTAAATATGTTGCCTTTCTTGTCAGTTTTGGCAAAGCCGACGCATCCAAGATAACCTACCAGCTCAAATGGAACTGACATCTATCAACGGCAGTTCTTGAGAACTGGTTCAAATGGCTTCACTTTCCAAATGCCACGCTTTATTTTCCGTGGATTGAGCTGTAAAGTCATGGTGGATTTCACAAAACGACTATAAAAAGTCTTACTTTTCTACGTTATGATAAACTCCATCCCATTCGCTGGGCTTATTCACAGCGAAGCGTTGCGACCGTGACAATAAGGTGGTTGTTGGCCCATCATTGGGAACCATATGGCGGCGCAATTGGTACTAGAAACCTGTCAGATATTCGTCAATCCCACGTCAGCTGATTTGAGTAAACTCCAAAGGAATCAAAAATAAAATGAGTGAGTCTCTTCCTGATTGGTTTGCAAGGGTTTGAAGAACCGAAGCAACTTGGGTTCTTACTGCAACAACAGACAAACTGAAACGAAATATAGAGGCCATAGGACGTTACACCATTATTCGCTTCAGCTGAAGCTTGTAAAACAACAGCGTGCCAACGAACAGCTCACGGAAGACAGATCCTTGCTAGCACCCTAAACCAGAACTATTACCAATTCTACTGCATGACATTCAACGAATAAATTTTTTTATGCTTTCATATTCATTTTTGACTTGACGAATATCTGACAGGTTTTTAGTGCGCTTCAACGTCGGATGCGCCGCCATAACTCATCAAACTGCAAAGCAGCATCAACAAAGTTGCCGTTGAAATAGTGATTCAAGGCTTCATCATAAAATGGGCGCATTTGCAATAACTCTTCATCTGCCAAAGGTAGGGGTCTTTGATCTCTTGTAATTTCGGCAGATTCTTCGCTCAATATCGTTGCAATAGGTGGCAGTTCTTTCTTCCTTCCAAGAAGCTCATAAATAATGCAACCTATGGATTTCCCTTTTACACTAATTTTATCAATTTTTCTAAACTCCAATTGCTCAGCAACATAAGGCCTCAGGTATGTATCTTCAGAAACAATAATTTGCGTGTTATAAAATTTGTTGGTACCTTCTAATCTCGAAGCAAGATTTACACTGTCACCTATTTTCATAGAATTTTCGAATTTAATTTACCAAATCATGAATACTTACCTATTATTGTATAGTTGAGTCTCCACCTTGATCCAAAATTTCCCTGTTAAAAATAATTGATATGCATAAAAAATTCTTGTATGGTAAACTGTAAAAACTTACAACAATACAAGACCCGCTATGTATTCCAATTCTACATCTCAGTAACGGTTTCCTCTCTTTCGCCCATTTTTTACGCAACTCGGCCATCCTCACTTGGCATCTTAATGCGGCCTTACATGCTCTAATTCCTGAGATAGTTGAAGGTTGAGGAGCACCCCAAAAGCTCATCACAGAATCTCCAATATATTTATCTAACGTTCCTTTTTCAAAAATTATTTCTTCTGTAAAAACATGAAAATACTCTGTTAGTTGCTTGATTAGAATCTGTGGTTCCAACTCCTCACTCCAGGTAGTAAAGTTTTCGATATCAGAAAAAAATATTGTTAAATTGTTCACTAATTTTCCACCCAAGCTGATTTCATTCCCTTTTTGCAGCATATCTCTAACCAATTCGCTTGGAACAAACTTTTTAAAGCATCTTAACGCCATCTTCATGTTTTCAAAAGCAGTAGACAGCTCTAAAAGTTCTTTGATGCTCGAATGAAACGGCTTTCCCTTATTAATCTCTAAATTAGAAATTGCTTTGCTTTCACTGGAGAAGTATGTAAGTGGTTTTGAAACAGCTCTAGAAAATATAAAACTGAAAAATAAACTTGCAATGAGACACAATATTGAGACACCCACGTTAATACCTGCTAACATAGAAACGTTACTAGTAAAATCCGTTTCAGGAGCTACAACCGCAACTAGCCATTGCTTTTTGAATAGTTTAAGAATGTCACCGTCACCACATGCACGAATCACCAACTTACAGTATTAAGGGCAGCTGTTCCATTAGCAACTCCATGAGATACTATATAATTCTCTCCTTCAAAAACGAATGTTTGGATATGTGCGTCCGAGTAGGAGACATCATGATAAGAAGCATAGCCTGATATGTTTGAAGGCAACACATTAATTACAACATATTTCAACAATGGATCTGCAATTTCTGACGCTTCAGCAATTCTGTATTCGAATTCCAAGCTTGAATCATATATGGCAATGGAAGAAGCATTTTTAAATCCCACTACTCTTTTGTGAATACCATCTTCACGACTAAACATTTCAATAATTGCGACAAACGACCTGGGTGAGACGTAAAAGGATCTTACAAAGTTTGCTAAATATTCAATATTCACGTTAATGCTTGTGACGCCAACGAATTGTGAGTCATATGGAGAATAAATATTAGCTTGAAAACAAGTGTACACTCTTTGTTCAATTGTTTCTCCTTGCCTAATGTTTGGTATAGTCAGTGTTTGATGTGCCGTAAATAAGATGCTTACCATTGAACATCTAAAGGAACCAAAGCTTCATCATATACTTGAGAAAGAGCATAGAATTCGTAGTCTCTAGGATCCCACTTTGAGGTTGGTTCTTCCCAAACAACCGTTCTCCTCTTTCCAAGTTGTGTAAAATAGAACGTAGACGACAAGGACGTTTCATTATCAGGTTGCAGCATTTGAAAAACCTCCTGTCGTGGTTCAAACATCGTCTCGGTTTCATTTTCAATAGGCTCCATCACTTGGTAACCTGTGTCAACGTAAATGTAATCTCCAGTAGAACGAGTGAAATCCACAAGATAAATCTTTCCAATATATTGCTTATGGCTAACAGCCAGAATCTTCTGCAAGTTCTCCACCCCTTGAGGGCTATAAATATTACTATTGTCGTTGTTAATATTAATACCACTCTCGTTCATGAAATACATTTTATAGATGGCATTCTACTTGCATAGCGTAAACAATCCATTAATTAATGTTTGAAATATAAAAAACGAAAACAATACCTTTTGTGCATAGGTGGCTTCCATGCAAACCCACAAAAAATCAGAAATATAGCTCTCTGCTCGCCTAAAGCTCTGGGTAATGACCTGCATCTTTACGTCATTGGCTGCGAGCAATGAAAATCCGATTGATAGTAACACCAAAGTTATGATGGGAACGATGATCATTATCAGCATGGTAGAAACAAGTAAACACCTAAAGCTGCAATGTATGCATATTGAATTGTTGTTGCTTAATTCTTCAAAATTGGATGTGGATGATGAGACTATACTACCACTGAAAGTCTTGGACCTTGCCACAAAATCATTTTCAATGGTAAAGTCGTCAATTAATTCATGAACGGTGTTTACACTTGTTGTTGAGCCTAATCCTTTCACAAGTTTTTGGGTCAAGGACTTGGCAAGCCATCCCACACGGGAATTTTCTCGACTTGTTGTTGCGGATGAAATCGGTTTCACCCGAGTCGATGTTGCTTTCGTAAATAAATAGTCATCATCATGACTGCGTTGATGGATTTCCCTCTCCGCACCTGGCGTTGTTGAAATCAGTACGGTATCGTCGTCATGTTGTTGTGGATCAGGGAGTACCTTATTACTAGCGTATGGTCTTGAACGGTCTGATGCTGAGATGGGCTGAGACATTTTTTAAAAAGCCTTAATTTTTTTTACAGCGTCCATGCGAACGTCTTGGTGTGCTTTTTTGGAGGGTTCAGTGTTTTGTAAAGCGGTATAATAGTACAAATACGAGTCAATTTGAAAATATACGAGCGGAAGCGATTCAAGCGAATTTTCCTGCAGAGTTTTTTTAGCCTAAAATGTCTTGACTGCACGTGTCACGTAATTTTTAGTTCGGATGTTTTTCAAATTTCAATCTTCTATTGGTAATTTTTGTTGATAACATGAGATTGAAAGGTAGAGTTGTCGGAATGAAAATATTCAATCCAAACATTTTTTTTGAAGTTGTGAATCTACTCTCGTCAGGTCACGTAAAAATGTCATTAAAAGCTGGAGATCATCTCTGTATCGGATTGGTGCGTTGTCACAATCTGCAGGCTGCTGATTTGAACGGTTTCAGTGATCCATATGTGATCATTTCTACTTCTTCACAACAACACCAACGTACAGAAATAATTAAAAAAACATTGAATCCGGTGTATGATGAACGATTTTCATTTCTTGTTGACAAGGTATGATGGTAACTTTCATAATTTGTATATTGAAATTTATTGTGCACATTTAAAACAATTAGGATATTCCCGAGATGGAAATTAATTTCAAAGTAATGGATTGGGATCGGTTAACAGCAGATGTACGTATTGAAAGTTTCATGAAATTACATTTATTGAAATACAATTAATTCTGTACCATCATCATTGAAATGAATCATCACTTTGAATGACTTGTAATATCCATTCAGGATTTTCTTGGAAGTGCAAAAATTAGCATCAATGATTCCAAATATCCCGTCGGTCACGTTCATACCGAAGAGCTCACTCTCGAAAAAACAAAATCAGGTACTCTCACTATCACTATTCATATTGTAAGAGGAACTCAATTGGAGAAGGTTGTACCAAGCGAGCATGTGGAATCATCAAAATTCAAATTATTAAGCGGTTATTTTGGTCCTACTTTTGCACCATGCATTCCTGAATGTTTCAAAATGATATCGAACAAAATTTCATCCACTCATGCGCTTGCGAACTTTACCAATGACGATCAAACTGAAAATATTACCATTAGCTATAATTATGATTTGAAAGAATTAGGATTTGATGAATCAAGAGAAGTTTTCATGTCAACCATGATGAAAATGCAAGAATCCATGTCTAATCGATTTGCTAAAGGTACCTACAAGGTTTTTGAAAATGGAAAACAAGTGAACTTGCTGGAAAAGTTTGGTATTGAGGGAGAAACTAAATTTCAGCAAGTCAATGAATATCATTGGCAATTCACCAATACTCAAATCAAGCTTGTGAAAGTATGGACATTTGTTTGTAAACCTTTGACTAATCCAGATGGCATGGTGACTTTTATTTATTATTCGGATGATCATAGCGAATCTTCTCATCCACTCAAAGAATGTGCCCTTAAAACAGTTGTAAAATAGACCCATCCATCGAGGCAAGTCATATCAACAGCTCTATGAATTTTTAAAATCATTCATTTCTTGTAGACTTTCATTTGTTGACGTTGACCCGTTTCCTTCAAACATTTTTAGAAACCAAATCAAGAAGGCATTCCAATTCCAGAATGGCAATAAAAAAAATGTTTTCATCGAGGCTTCATTCCGAGTCATGTCCAATGAATCAACACGGAAAGAGTGATGATGTGTTGAATATTAAATTACATCCTTCCTCCAATTCATCAACAACTACAACACTCAATAATAGTACATGTCAAAATAACTATGGCAGCAACAACAACAACACTTCTCCCAGTTCAAAAACAACAAGAAGATCATCAACCGATTATTCTTTATCACCATCCATGGTACTGCTGACGAATACACCAAAAAACCTTGATACCAAAACACAACGAAGGCAATCTTCCTCAGCGGCTTCTCTACTTTCCACAAGTAGTACACATTCCGATTCAATAATATCTCTTTTTAAAAACATGGGAAAGGGACTTTCATCGTCCAACACGAGTATAAAAAACAAGGAGGATCACAACACTGTGGCTCAAAGTAATGACTCACCAAATTCAGTCAAAAATCAATTGTCACCACCATCGTCATCAACCAGACCATTCTTTTCATCACAAACAAATATTATTAATTCTCCGTCACGTAAAAATTACTTCAACTTTGACGAAACAAAATATGAAAATTCTTGCAAGAAAGCCATCGAAGCTGGAGAACCTATTTTAAAGATAACTCTGAAGGACGCAAAGGACAAGAAACTTGCTACAGGTCAATTGTATTATTATGTAGAAATTGAAATATTGCAATCATCAAAAAGAGAATGTTTAAAAAGCTGTGTTAAACAAGGAGAAGAAACTGTGACATGGAACGAAGAGTTTTATGTCTCAATTTCTCCCTCGATAGAAGAGACATTTTCTATTTCTCTTTGGTCGTCTATTGATGCCACCACCACAGAAAATGGTATGTTACACCATAATTTGCCAAAATATTGAAATGATATTAATATTATGATACTATAGCTCAACGGATAGGTCAATCTCAATTCGACACTAAAACTCTTGTGAAAGGGGAAGAAAAATTAATAGCTATAACCTTGAGCAACAACAGTACTATTCTGGAAATTTCATTGACACCATTTAACTTTGGAGTTGTTGCTCCACATGAACCTCATTCGCCGCACGATGACATTCCAATCGCTGCTAAACCTGTTGATGGTGTTTATAATTCTAGATATAAAGTTTGTGGCCGAATAGGAAAAGGTAATTTTGGAACTGTGGTGAAAGTGAAAGACTTGCAAGATGGAAAAGAAAAAGCCATGAAAATTGTACCATGTTCCAATCTTAGCGAATCAAGTCAAGCGTATCGAGAAGCCACAACAACAAAACAAATTAAGCATGAAAATCTTGTTGAATATTTGGATATCTTCATCAGCAGGTCTGAAGTTCCAGGAACAAACATTACACAATTTGATATATGTCTAGTCATGCCAATTTATGTAAAGGGAGATTTATATGCAATGGTAGATGCTCGATCCTCCACGACGGGAAAGCGATATATTACCCCAAATATGCTTGTAGAGAAGATTTATGAATTTGCAAAGGGGTTGGAATGCTTACATTTGCATAATATTGTTCACAGAGATATGAAGTTGAAAAACACCTTTTTTGATGAAACATACAGAGTCAAGTAAGTAACCTGCTTTTTCATAGTTGAAATTAACAGTAGCATTTTTTTTGCTGTGACAGAATTGGAGATTTTGGATTTTCGAGATTTGTACATGATGGAGAGGTAAGTATTCACCAGTTGTTTGTAACAACTAATATTAAGGTAAAATTAGAAAGCTCATACTATTTGTGGCTCAGTAAGTAGTACACCGTTATTCGTAGGTCTTAAAACCATATTTTCATTAGCCCAATTACACAGCTCCAGAAATTGAAAATTCTGCTGGATATGGCAAAGAAGTTGATATTTGGAGCTTGGGGGTGATGATTTATGAAATGGCCACACTTAATATCAAGAGATCTCATCTTTCAGCCAGAACAGATTTCGAATCATACATTAGTACATTGTGTTCAGAAGTGATGCAGGCTTACAAAGACAAATCAATTCATGAACCTCTGATAGAACTGCTTAAAGGAACAATTGCTCTTAATCCTCAAGATAGATGGAGCGCATCTCAATGTGTGCTGTTTCTTAAAAAATTGAGAGAGCAAATAAACGTAACCAAGTAAGCCATCACATGAATCATTTATCTAGGACGTATTATTCATACTTTCATCCCCTTCCGCTTGTGGATTGTGATATTTTTCAAGTTCTTTGGTCAATTCGTCCACTTTAATCCTCAATTTAGCTGCCTCTTCTTTCTCCAGCTCGGCTTGCATTTTCCAATAATCAATATTGTTTGATTCAATTTCATACTCAGGTTGTTCTGTTGGGTGCTCTTGAGCGTATTTTCTTCTTGCCTGTTGAATCCTTTTTTCGGCAATATGTGTAAAGCGATCCTTACTCACCGGATAAAAACATTCAGTTCCCCGTTCTTTGCAATTGCTGCAAATTGGTCGTCCACGATCACAGACTTTTCTTCCTATCATGGAACAATGAAAACAAGCTGATGAAAGGTGAGGGCTGAGCATTGTGTACCATGTGTTTTAAACTTACGCGTACAATCTAATAATAAAGGATAGTTGCATCTCGTACCAGCCTCCAAACAATTGCCACATAAAGGTCTTTCCTTAGTACAAGCAACTCTCCGTTTATAGCACTCTCGGCATTGGGTCGGTTCAACGCCATCCTCATATTTTGTCGTCAGTAGCCTAAATAGATCTGGTGTAAATTCTGTCGAGAGTAAGCTATCCATGGTTGGCAGCCATGAAGGAGGCTTATACTCAGTTGAAAATCTTTGTTTTCGAGTCTTTTTTCTTTTCGTTGACTCTTCTTCTCTTTCTGATCCAGAGTCGTCTTGGTTCTTTTTCTTAGACCTTTCTTGATTGTTGACCTTCTTTTTTTTACTTTTTCCATTGCTATTGAGCTGCTGATCTGATTTGAGTGGCTTCTTTTTTTTCGTTGCAGGTTCAAAGGTTTCATCTTCGTTGTCCGTTTCATCACTTTCTTCAATCGCTTGAAGATATTCAGAGTCTTCTTCTACGTCCTCTTCTGAGTCTTCTTCATCATCTATTACGATCTTAAAATCCTCATAATCATCACTATCATAAGTTGAGACTTCGTCTGTAATGACTGGTCCGTTGTTAGCTCTGTCAAGCAATTCAGACATGAAAGGAGGTAACAATGCTGCGTTAGTGTCGTCCAGTGCAAATTCATTCTCGTCTTCATTAATTTTGTCTATAATGAAGCGTGCATTGTTGATGAGATCAGCCTCAGTAAAATTATTTTTCTTCAATTCTTCTATAACCTTGTCCAATGTTAAAGACTTTCTTTTCTGCTCAAATTCAGAGTCGGACTCTTTGAGTTCATCTAACTCATCTACCCAACCAGATAAATATTTTCTTAAAAAGAACCAGAGATTGCAACGTCGTTCAAAAGGGGCATACATTGGTTGATATTCTGTGGAAGGCTGAAGTAATTTATACCAATATTTGCTACTTTCAATCCAAAGTCCGTTACAATCCGACTCATAAGCAAAAGCCCATTGAGATATATTCACAACTTTAACAAAGAACCTCCCTAAATCTAATCCCGAGCTTGTTGTTCTAGAATTGGGCTCAACCAAATTTCCAAACAAGCACATTGAAGAAACTTTGTTAATATAATCGGGATCTTTCATTTCTTTAGTTTTAAGATCTACAAATTCAAAATTTGTGATATAACAACACAGACTATTATCTTTATCATCTTTGTAGATAAACCTCTCCGGTATTTCACTCTCTTGATTATATCCCGATTCTAGTCGCATGAACGATCAGGTAAAAGCCTATTTTTTTTTGGTGTTAGAGTTTTCTTTTTTCATTTACGAAATTTATCACTAGGCGAAACAAGCGAAAAATTGTTGTGTTGACTGCAAATTTCCAATTCATGCAATTATCATTAATGCACGATACCTATTTGTTCCTGGTTTCACAATTGTGTGACTTTCAGATATTCATCACTTTTCAAAATCTGCTCGGAGTCCTAGATGACTGTTGCAACCGAGAAAGAAAAACAATAATCAAACGGAGAGTCACGAATTTTGGCTCCACCTCTTTGCCGGCCCTCCGACCTTCTCCATATTCTCATAATTTTTCTCACGACAATCGTTCATTATTATTCAAAAACGTGAGATAATTCATTCCCTGCTCCATCAAAAGATCTTTTTTACTGGTCGACTTCTCTTGATCATCGTTTTTGAAATTGTTTAAATTATTTCAACTTGTTTCTCATCATCACCATGGTTGCTGTTGCAGTCAAGGATTCCAATCAACATGATTCCGAAAATCAAAACCATTCAACAAAAAAGCCTTGGTGGAAACCTTCGTTTCTATTCAAACAAACGACAAAGACTTCAAAGAATAACCTTCTTGAACCAACACTCTATAAGAAACGATGGCTCATATTATTTCTATTTTCCATGTCTAACTTTTTATGTTCCTTGTATCAAACCACATTCTCCCCGATCAGGTATGTTCAATTTTCTGCGGATTCAAAACCATTGAGCCCGATGTTCATGTTCTTACATGTAATTATTATGGCATCTTTGCTTGGATCATCATCACTCGAATAGTACTATTGCTTTGAAATATTGGGAAATGCCCGATCAAACCTGGAAAGTGAACATGATGACTTTGGTGTATTTAGTTGTCTACGTACCCATGTCTTCTGTGAGTACATTGGTCATGAAAAAGCGTGGTTTGAGAACCTCAATTTTGATCGCTTCCATTCTCAATTTTATTGGTGGTTGGGTCCGATGTTTGGGTTATAAGGTACGTTTGTGACAATTGGCACATGTAGTTATTGTTGTAATTTTTAATGATCTCACAGAAAGGAGAAGAATTGTACTTTTGGATTGCTTTTTTAGGTCAATCACTATGTGCTGTCGCTCAGCCCTTAGTTTCCAATGCCCCAACTCTTTTATCAAAGTAAGGATTTTTTAAAAATCAAGTCCTCTTTCTTATTCATGTTTTTTTAATATTTTGACATGTCACATCTTGAAGCAACTGGTTTGGTGAAAAAGAACGAACTCTCGCAACAACCATTGGAACATTGTGTGGAATTTTAGGAAGTGGAGTTGCCTTTGGTATTGGTCCAGCTCTGTTAGGAATCAATGAAGGTTCCACTGCCGAAGATGATTGGTCTGGATCAGAGTATGGCATGTTACTGTTGTTGATGGGGCAAGCCTTACTCGCTACATTATTGCTAACTGGATCGGTCGCCTTTTTCCAAGATAAACCTCCAACACCACCTGTGTTCAAAGCACCAAAGGAAGCTCTCACTCAATCTACATCCATTAATGAAACCAATCCAAACGATGGTGCAGAACATATCATTGATGATGACCACAACCGACATTCTTTCTGGCATGATCTAAAAGCAGTCATGTTGAATTGTAATTTTGTGACACTTGTGTGTGCATACTCGGTTGGATATTCAGTTCTTCAATCATTTGTGGCCCTTATTGATCAAATTATTGTACCCAAAGGATATACTCCATACGACGGAAGTGTTTTTGGGTTAACAGTGATCGTTTTTGGAATTGTTGGAGCTCTATTTATTGGTGTCATTGTTGACAGAACAAAACGATACAAATTAATTTGTGCCTGCTGTGGACTGTTAGCGACAATTGGTTTTGCTGGTTTTGCTGTAGTCATGTTGTGGAGGAGAACAACTCTATTGTTCTATATGGCTTGTTTATCACTTGCCGCTTTGGGTATGTTTTCTGTGCCGACTGTTCCTATTTGCTTGGAGATGAGTTGTGAAGGTAAGTGTATTGTCTGTTCATAGCGTGACAATTATACGTTGTCAATTGTGACATACATTTTAATGAAATAGTCACCTATCCTGTTCCATCCAGCACATCCACTTCTATTATTTATGGAGCTGGAACTATGACAGCTGGTGCCATTTTGGTAATTCTCGATATTATCCAACAATATCAATTACATTCAAACAACTCTAAAGTATCAAACAACACATCAATGCAATTGATTTTATGGATTGATCTTGGATTGTTGGGCCTCAGTTTTATATTCACTTGCCTCTTCAGAGGAAAATATAAAAGAATGATGAATGAAAAGCTCCACAAGGAAAGAAGTCAAGCTTACTTGGCAGGTCTGTCTCAAGAAAATGAAGTTGGAGAAACATCGGCTCTAATTCACTAATTTATCGTCCATAATAAACATTTTCAAAGTTTAAAACACAGCACTGATCCAAAGAGATAATTGTTATTAATCCACTAGTGCCTGTAATATGGTCATGCATTTTAACCTCTTTGTTGTGAACTAGACTAAACCAACGATCTAGTAGGGATACACACATGGTGTACTGGTAGGCGTAATAAAAGCACTTGTTGTAAACCGAATTACAGGAATGCCAGGCTTTTGAATGACATCAAATTCCATTTCCATTGTGAATGCTGTATATCCCTTCTTTGGATTATTGACAGAAACACTGAATACTCGTCCAGAATCATCACTTGGTGGTACAACACTTGATGTGTACGCTTTTCCAATAGTAGTAATTCTAAAATCTCTTGCATTTTCATTGGTGGCTTGCCATAACTTGACCACTCGTGGTTTGGTGCCGTTTAAAATTCTCAACTCGACATCAATACCATGACCTCGATCAATGTGATGAAAATCATAAACTGGTAAATCAATTCCATATAAATGAGCATAATATGAAACATGAACAGCATCCATCATATCACTGTCCTTCATATTATGTCCTGTGTTTGGTAAATATTTCAGTCTCTTGTTTTGTAATCCACCTGTGAGGAATGGAAATGAAAATAATGATAAATCCACCCAAAAGAATTCGTCACCAAGAGCATAGATGAGCAATTTTGGAATGTTTGCAAATCTGTCTCTGTAAATCAAAGGATCAATAATTCCAGCCAGTTGTGAAAACTCTGCAGTCTTTACTCTCGAAGTAATGCCTTGTTCAATGTAAGAATCCATGGCAATGGGAAAATCACAAAGACTGTCATAGGTGTGAATGAGACATTTTTGAAGATTTAAAGTCGCAATTACCATAGGAATGATATTTGTCACACGACTATCCACAGCTGCAAGAAGCCAAGTTGTCCATCCCTTCTTACTTCCTTGTTAAAATAAATAGAATGATTTGTGAACAAATTTGGTCGTTTAAGGAAATGTTGCAGAAAAAAGATAACAAGTCTTACCTCCCATCACTGTAAACGATTCAATATTCACATCAAGTTGTTTTCTTGCAAAGCTCTGAATAGTATCTAAACCTCTTTTTCCAGCTCGAGTCATTGGTAAATGTGCAATCCAATTCGGTTTACTCGTGTCATTAAGGAAATGTCTCCACGTCAATGCAACCATTCCATCCTCTGAACGTTGTTCATGCTTTTCAATTATTCGTTTCAATTCTTTTTAATACACATGTGTGAAAACAATGATCACAAACACTTACTTTAGGATCTATTGCAAACACAATGGGTTGGTTTGGAACTTGCAACAACTCGGTCACAATACTCCTTGTTGAAACTGCAATTCTTGTGAGATCTGATAAATCTCCCAGATATGGTTTTGAATCTGTATTGTGTTTGCCAATCATCCACATTGCTGCATGCTTTAAATCTCTATTCAAATTATTGGGAACAATGATTAAATGATAATGCCACCACACATCACGTCCATTCAAAATGTCCTGATTCGTAAGCCAAGTTTGACTGGTCATGTTGAGGACATAACAAGTGGCCACGGATGATGATGATTGTGGATGACGATTTGTTTGGCCAATCATCATGGGAATGCCATGGTCATCTACTGGAAAGGTGTCAATGACTTGATAATGATAATTAGGATCGGGTTGATCCATGAAATCATCAAGAGCTGTTCTCATCATTGGATTCATGCCCAAGTGAAGATGAGTACTTGAAAAGTCAGTACTCCTTTGTTTGTTCATGGGATTTGTCGAGCCTTGCAAGGCTAGACCACTTTGGCTGATCATTTTCATCAAAATCCAAAGCACAATCACAGCGCGAAGAGAAAAGAGATGCATTTTTTGACTGGAGAACTGTTCTCTTTGTTATTGCAAACAGGATACCAAATGTTGAATTTTTCGTAATATTGATTTTGGCTGTTGAAGGATACATGTCCAACTAGGATTCCGTTCAATTGTATCGCTGGAATTTTTAAGCTCAATTTATGATAACGTTTTACACTTGAATTTTCCATTCCTTGTTGAATAGAGTTTGTTGTTGAGCTGGTAATGACCAAGACCATAAAGTCTTAGTGTCATGTTGTCCCCAATGACAATCAAAGATCCAATATTTGCAATCTCTCCACATATAGTAGGCTTGTAAATCAGCAGACATTGGTTGAGTTTGTAATTGCACATCGATACCAACAGTGCACAAAGTTCCATGGACATAAGCTTGAGGTACAAGTGCAGCTTGGAATGAAGCATCCAATTCAACACCTCCTCTAATGATCAACAAGTCAATCTCTGCCTTTCCTGAGATGACCAAATCAGCAGATGGAATAAGTTCAACCATGGCACTCAATTGAGCGTCACACACTTGCCATCCCCATTGAGCATTTAACACTAAATCAGCACCAGCAGAAAATGTAATTGGGACAATTGAAACCCACACAGTGTAAGAGAAGCTAAATCCAGGTGAAGCATGATATAATTGATAAGTGTGCAAGTTGCAATCAATGAGTTGAGTAGGTAAAGTTTGTTGATAGACGACCTTATCAAAAACACTCAAAAAGATTTCGTTAGCAACAGCAACTGATCCCTGTTTACCATAAGCAGCCTTAGCGTCAAAGATAGAGGATTGTTTAACACCTAAGACGTTAACGTTAGCATAAGCCTCAGCCTTTCCCAAGTAGTTGAATTGTGGATGATTGCAATCAAAGTTAGTTCCAACAAATAAATCACCGTGAATGTCAACTGAGATGGTTTCACCTGTAATAATTCATACAAATATCAATAATGCATGGTTACCAAATGGTGAGTTACCAATAAAAAACGTACCTCCAACATTGTAATCCTGAGAAATGGATCTATTGTAAGGATATGGAGAATCATTGAGCATGAGCTTGCCAAATGGAATAGAGTGTTTCTTGGCAAAAGAGGTCAATACCATCTTGAGTGCAGAAACAATGCTTGGGTTGGTTTCAGTGGAGAGAAGTTTAAGAGCTCTCTTAATAATCTCTTCTGGTTGGAAAATAGAGTCTGCGTTGTAAATAGCTCCTAAAATGCTAACAACCAAGTGAGCATCGTTATTTCTGAGTTCTGAAGAAGCAGTAATACGATCCAACATTTCAAGCAAAGTGTTAGCAGCATCTCTTTTAACTGCAGGGCTAACAGAATCTCTAGAAACCAAAGAACCAAATGATAATATAGCTGCGTCTCTAATGTTTGAACTAGTTTGAGAGCTGTATTTCAAGAATAGAGCATGAATCTTACGAATGCTGATATTGGATGGTTGTCTCAATCCAGTGTTGATGGCAAGGATTGCATGGAACAAGAGCTCATTACTCAAAGCAGGTTGCTTCTCAGCAATAGCGTAATCAATAAACTCGTTGACAAGCAATTCTTCAAAGTGTTGTGATCCAGATAAAATATAAAACAACTTGCTTCTCATAATCTTGTCATTGTTTTGTCTCAACAAGCTGATGTGTTTGAGAAGAACGGACTTGACAGTGTCGAGAGAAGAAAGAACAACTGGAGCAGAGCTTGAGAAATACTTGACGAGCGCCTTCAAAGACTTGTGGTGCTTGACTAATGGTTCTCTGGATTCCAAAACTGATTGAATCATCACAGCAGGTTCTTGGCTTACTGTTGGTAAATGATAATTTTGCAACGACAAGCCTGCAATAACGTTCTTTCCAGCTTCAAACAATGTTGCCTTTGTAAAGTTAGCATTATTAATTGGTGAAATGTTGGCAAATGATTCTAATTTTTGTTGGTTTGCCAAAATAATAGTTAATGAGCCAGAGCTTCTCATATTCATGTCAAAACCAGTCGAGTTAGTGTAAGTTTGAGATCTTTTCAATGCAGCATTTCCTAGTTGCATGGAAATTGCGTTGGTGATTTGAGAGGTAGATGTTTGTATGATATAACCAGATGCATGAATGACTGTTTGAGAGGATGCAGAAATTTGCACATTGTTGGTAGTGACAGCAGAGTCTGAGAAAGAGCGGAAGTTGTTCTGGCTGAATTGCTTGTTCAAGGTCAACACGTTGCTGCTAACACCTTGATAGTTGCTTGTATGCACACCGACAGGATCTTGCTCTAATACTCCATTGGCTACGCTTTGAGTCACATAGGTTTGGAAAGCAGTGATGGCACTGAGCTTGACATTAACAAAATAAAGCGAATCATCGCTTTCGTACCACACATTGGTGATTTGTCCATTTGGTAATTGTTGGAAGTACATGTCATAACCCAATGGTTCAGCATCTCCCAATGAAACGAGGCTTGTGGTTGGTTTTTTCTTCAAGCCAGCAGCAGATGATGTCAAACGAGTCTTGCTTCTCACAGCTTCTGGTACGCTTTGTCCCACACCCACTTCTGTATTGAACATGTTCATCACGAAAATGAATGAACCGTCGTTATTAATTTGATTACATCGGTGCACATAGGTGGAATCTAGCGTGGAGGTTGTACCGTTAGTGGTCTGACCTTGTGATTGCACAAAACCACGGGCATCAACAGATCCATGTAAATTGAAAACAAATTCTTGGCCGGGTTGATAGGAGAGTGAGCTAGGAAGTGCTGTTGTTGTGGCCACAAGAGCCAAAGTCAGCAGGATCACCAGCACGACTTGAGAGTAGAGGGAAGCCATGATGACCCAAAATAAATTATTATTCGTTTTTTTGCGATATTTTTGTGTTTTGAAGATTGTAACGCAACCTTGTGCTCCGTTAGGTGGTCTTTTACAGGAGTAGTCTCGTTGATGCTTGGCGTGCTGTGTAGAGGTTCGAGATTCACCCCAACTCATCAAGCCTTAACCCCTGACGAACGGTTTTCATAACTTCATCTTTGAGAAGATAAGACAGTCAAGTTCATGTAACCCCTCAACAAACATTCTTCCAGAGTTCCAGATATGAAATTTCCATTTGTAAAAGCGGACACTTCTGTCTCACATCTTGTTAAAAAAATGGTGCAAACGAGAGTTTTCAATGCTGTCACACTCGTTGTACTTCTGGCTGTATCGTCCTTGTTATCAACTGTGCATGGTAGTAATGATCCACTCATCGTTTCCACTCAACAAGGAAAAGTGAGAGGTTTTTTCGCTAGTCCATCCATTCGAGCCTTCCTCGGAATTCGATTTGCAGAATCCACTGCTGGCTCAAATCGATTCAAGCCTCCTGTTGAACTACCTGCAGTTCCATCCTCTACAACATTCAATGCAACTTCCTTTGGAAATGTGTGTATTCAAATTCCAAGCGAAAACGTCTACTCTCAACCATTCTCTGAAGATTGTTTGTTTTTAAATATTTGGACACCCGTGAACATCTCCAAACCGTTGCCTGTGTTTTTCTGGATCCATGGAGGAGCATTCAAACAAGGGTCAGGAAACATCTACAGTGGTGATTACTGGGTTCAAATTGCACAAGATGCACAAGTACCCATCATTCTGGTCACTTTCAACTATCGCTTGGGAGTGTTAGGATTCTTGAATGACCAAATGTTTTTGGATGAAAATGGAAAAACATCGAGTAATTGGGGCATGTTGGATCAATTAGCTGCCTTTCGATGGGTGAAAAACAATATTGCAAGTTTTGGTAAGTACAATTCATGCACGAACGAACTCGAGTAGTTTCTGATCATTAACCATGACATCACAAGGTGGTGATGTGAGTAAAATTACCATTGGTGGAGAGAGTGCAGGTGGAGTATCGACTGCTCTTCATCTAGTCACTCCATTACTGAGCAAAACCGATTTCAAGAGTGCCATCATGCAAAGTGGTTTCACACTTCCATGGCAAATGCAAATCTCTAAACAACAGGCACAGACCAATGCTGCCAATCTCAAAGCCAAATTTAACTGCAACACACCTGCATGTTTACGAAATTTAAATGCCAGCTCAATCATTGAATATCAACTCAATACTACCGAAGAATTCAAACCTTCCATTGATGGTTATTATCTTCCTACGCCATTTTATGAAGCGATAAGTAATGGTACTTTTAAGAAGGAGGCCAATGTACTGATTGGTAGCACTCGTAATGAAATGACAGGATTTACTTGTGGTCTTCTCCCTACAAACATTGGAGTTACAGGTCAGAAGGCAGTACTTTCCCAATATTATGGTACATCTAAAATGCAACAAATCTATGCTCAATTACCAAATTATTACACAATGGCTCAATATCCTAACAATTTGGCTTACCTTAATGAGATTTTGAGTAATGGTATCATTCAATGCAATGCTCGATATTTGGCAGGAGTGTATTCATCTCTTGTTTACAATACCTATTTGTACATTTATGATTATCATTTTTCACACACTCCTGAATGTTATGGAACTGCTCATGCGGCAGAGTTGCCTATTCAGTTCCCTAGTGTATTACTTTCCAGGTATGTAGTATGACATCATATGATTGACCATGTTGAACAATGATCTTCTTCCAAAGATCCTCCTCTTACACTTTATCTTCTCTTGAAAAGGAATTTTCGAAACAAATGCTCATTTATTGGTCGAACTTTATTGTGAGTGGTAATCCAAACAAGAATGCCAATTATCAATTGAATTTATTACCTTCTCAAACTCAATGGCCAAGATATAGTGTGTGCAATGATACTCAATTAATTTTACAAATCACCAATGGTCAAGTGAATAACATGGTCAACGACACAATGTTTTCAAAAGTATGTCCATTTTGGAATGTCTTTGATGATGTCCCTGTATTGAAGTGCAATACTACAGAACCCATTCCAGAACCACCTTCTCCTTCGCCTGTACCTTCCCCATCTCCACATGTATCTCCAAAGCCATCAACAAAACCTGCGAACAGTACATTGCCAAACCATTCTCCCAAGACAAGCAGAGTAGCGACATCTATGGCAGCAAAGAGGAGTGAATTTTCTGTCATTTTTGGAGTCAGCAATGTGTTGACATTTATTGCAATGATGTTCTTAATGAAGCTTCTAATGTAAATGTTTATGCGGAATCTTCCAAATCAGGTTTATTAATAAAATACAAAAAATGTCTCAACAACAGGAACTGGAGGAAATTCATTCTTCAGACAAACTGAAAAAGAGGATGACCTATAAACTTCATCCAACGTACATGGTGATTCGAACACATACAATTAATCAATCGGATGATCCAGATCAACCTCTCATTCCAAAATGGAGTGTACCTTTTGAATATCGTACCCCTGATATGAAAACTGTGCATCTGGCCTCTCGGAATTGTTTCTTTGATAGAAGACATGCGTTGGACTCACAAGAAGGACAATCTGCTTTAGAAAGGCACATTCAAGTTGAGGAAGAAAGGAATCAAACTCTTTTTCAAAACCCATATTTATTGTTTAGAGTACCTGGAACAGATCGAGTGTTATTTATTACATGTATTGTGTTATTGTTATTGCAATTTGGATTAGCTTGTGGTTTGATGGTTTTTGATTTGTCTGGCCTTCTTTTCCCAGAGGGTTATGAATTTAGAATGTTCGGAATTTCAAGTAGAAAATTATTAGATTACGGAAATGTAGCTTTGAATGCTTCAGGATCTACAGCTGCCAGAGTTGTGTATTTTATTATGAATTTTGCAGTGACGTTTTTGGGAGTCTTGTGTTTCATTATTGTGATGTTATCCAACAAAAAGCTACAACAACAATCTAATTCTAACAATACCACTAACGACACTTCACGACAAAGATTTTTGATCAAGTATAGAGATTGGATATTACGATTATTTGCTTTCTATATCGTGTCTCTGACGTTATGCATATTGGTAACAGCTTTATTCTTTTTGAGCTCTGGATTGCATTCTTTTGTAGTATTGGCTGTTCAATACATAGCTTGGAGTTGTAGTCATAAGGCCAAAGAACGATCCATGATTACCTATTACACCACCAGTTCCTTTTAAAATTAACTTGGGTATATTAATTTGTATTTTAATTGTTGTTAGGTAAATTTCTATGTGAAAAATGTGCCACCAAATAGGAGGCCTGCTTTTCGAAATAAGCCAAATCTAGTTGTCTGTAAGGAACCAGCTTTCGATAGTTTTCGTCATCAGTTTTTGACAAGGCCTGAATGATTTTGTGAATATGATAATTTTGAAGTTGATTTCCCGAGGAAGGAAATTCATAATCTGACTTGAAAATAGTCGCTAGTCTTAATAGATTGTCGTCAGAAGTCATGCCATTGTTCATCTCTATTAATTTCTGTTTCCATTTTGGATACGGAACACATGCCATCTTTCCCATTGTGTGGTTGTGACTTGTTGATTCAACCTTTGCTGCACTCTCCAAAAGATCGCTGAATTTCATGACGTAACTTTCAGTGTTGGCCAGTTCAAATACTGGATATTTCATATTGTCGTTATCCCCAGGTTCAAAATATGTGTGTGAATATTGGCTCATGTAAACAATGACCTTCGAAACAATATTAACTGGGATAATGTTTAAGCTTCTACTTGTGCTTGGATAGCATCGCAAGGCAAAGCATCCAAGAACAAGTCTATTGACCCAATCCGTTAAATTTGAAATTCCATGATCAGAATCTGATCCAATCATTCCTGGTCTAAATACACAAGATGGATAACCAAGAAGTCGAGCTTGTTGAACATATTGCTCAGAAATAAACTTTGTGCTGTTATATCCGTTTGTATGCTCTAAATGAGGCTTTAGCTGTTTCAACACATGATCTGCATGAGCTGTTAAATCTTCAATGATCTCGTCTTTTCCCTTGGTTACTTTCATCTCGGTAGGAAATCCAAACGAAGAAAGGCCGCTCTGTAATACTCCAACAGTCGAAACTAGAATGATTGGAGTTAAGGATGAATGACCATTTGAAGAAAGTAAAGCAAGTTTAAGAATTTCCAAGGTCGACCCAGCATTCGATGGATACAACTGTGAATAACACATGACCGAGTTCACGTACGCTCCATTATGATAAATAAATTCAATTCTTGCAGCAAGATTAGTAAATTGAGTTTCTGAAAGACCCAATAGAGGCTTTGAAATATCACCTTGTAAGGTGATAATATGTTCTTCATAAATATCTTTCCATAGCATGAATTCTTGCATCGTCTTCTTCACTCTCTTAAATACTAGAGGATTGTTCTCAATAGAATCCAACCATGAGGTATTGACATCTTCTGCTGCTGTTTCACTGCTTCTCGCTTCTCTTCTCACAATGCAAAATATTTTCACCTTACTATTTTTCTTGGAATTTACAACTTGTTCCAATAAATCTCTCAAAATAAATGCACCTAAAAATCCAGTGCATCCTGTTAATAGAATGTCTCTATCCAAATCTTGAAAATGTTTGATTTGTACTGTCTTGGAATGTGTTAATTGAGAAATTTCTTTCATCATTGAAATGGGTAATAATAATTGCTGTTTCCAATCTAATCCTTCTTGTGTTAACATGTCATGATATCCATAGGGTGAGTTTTTTTCATTAATATATTTTGAAACTCTCTCAATCACAGCATTGACATCTTGATCTTTCTGTGAAAAGATGAGTGAAAGTGGAACTTCCATATGATACTTGTTTTTGAGAATTCCTGAAAATTTAACAGCATGCAAGCTGTCAATGGCTTTCAAAGTGTTGTTACTATTACTACTACTACCACTACTAGTTTGGTCATTCTTTGATTCGCTTCCAGTGCTGGTACCCAATAGCAGCTCACGAATTTCGTCAATGATTTTTGGTTTACCATTGTCTTCGGTAGGATCAATTTTCTCATAAAGTTCCTCTAATTGATTGAAATAATGTTTTTCACATTCATATCTTTTCACTTTCATGGAAGAAGTCAATAGTTTCTCAGGATGGAATGGTTCAAAATCAATCAAGATATCCTTTGGAATTTCATATGGTAGTAGCGATTCCTTCATTGAAACCTTTTCAATTTCCTCTAAAAGTAGTTTCTTAATCTTTTCATTGGATTTGAGAATATTCTTTTCGTCTTCAGTGAGAGGAGCAATATTGGTGTCAGTATTGGTTTCATCTTGCATTTCATGGTTGCTACTATTTTGAATTGGATCATTCGAGGCCATGGATGGTAAAATTCCTTCAGAGATGGCAAATTTCTTAATAAGTGTTGCATTGGGAACTATCACAGCAAGTAAGAAACTTCTCTTGATATTTCCATATACAAATGCTTGAAAAATGTACTTGGATGCAATGAGAACATCTTCGATTTTTGCCGGTGATACAAATTCACCTTGTGCCATTTTGAAAATGTTTTTGAGTCGATCAATAATTCTCAAATGTTTTGGACCTAGCTCTTCAACAATGTCACCCGTGTGAAGCCATCCATCTTCATCAAGTGCAAGATTGGTCAAATCTTCATTTTTGAAATATCCTGCGAACATGGTTTCTGTTTTCACACAGAGTTCTCCTCTCGGATAAGGTTTGTCTCTAATGGAATAATTCATATCAGGTACATCTACTAATTTGTAATTGACTGATTGATGCACTCGACCATCATTCATGATGCCTCCAGCTTCTGAAGATCCCATTCCATCACTGACAAAACATTTGAAGCACTCCGATAAAAACTCTCTCACTTCACGACTACTCGATGCTCCTCCAATAATAATAGTTTGTATTCTTCCTCCAAGCATTTTTCTGAAATCAGCCTTAATTTGTTCTCTCACTTGTGTTTCACTTTTTACAGAATCGTCACGAGTGAGATAGAGTTTTGAGGTTTCCAACTCGACACACTTTTTAAATTCGTCATACAGTACATTGTATATACGTGGTGTTGAGGCAATTACAGTTGGTCGACACAATTGAATATCTTCAAAGATGTGAGAAAATTCTCTGTTGAAGATTCCTATTCTTGCTCCATCACATAGTCCCATCATGACATGTTTGCGGTCAGACATGTGGGCTAAAGGACAAAAGGAAAATAAAACTCTTGGTACTTCTGTTCGAAAACCATCAAGTTCTCTTTTCAGTGATGAATCTTTGACCATGACTCCTTTTGGTTGACCTGTACTACCACTTGTAAAGACCAATGTCAATAAATCGTCGGGGCTATTCAAAGTATTTAAAATAAAATCCTCATGTTCTAGATCGATCCAAAGTTTGTTGATATTGTACTTGGTATTTGCTGGGCATGTCAAAATGGTTTCATGATCTGTAAAGTATTTAGGATATCTATTCTTTTTCACCTTATTCGTTTTGTTTAAATATTCACACAGAATTGTTTTACCCTTTTCAATGACATCAGAGAGTGGAATGACATGAACGTAGGAGAGGTTTCATCCTTCAAAGTTTGTCGAAATTGGTCAATCTCGTTTTCATGACTTGATTTTTCATCCATCACAATAATATATTTCACAGATTTGGTGTGTTTTTTTGCAATTTCAATAAATCGATCCACAAACTCTGGAGTACAAATGATAGCTTGGCTCTCTGTCAATTCTACAATATGTTTCATCTCATCAAAAGTTTGAGCAAAATGAATTGGAGCTAATACAATACATTTAAATAAACATGCATAGTCGCACAAGTACCAATCCAAATTGTTTTTTCCACAAATTGACACAAAACATCGTTCCGTCGTACTCAATGAGTTGCTGTATTTCTTTGGTACTTGTAGAACGTGTTCTAGTCCTAAAGCGATACAGCAAACCAAGTGAAACACTTGTTCATATCTCATCCAAATATACTTGTCAGTGGAAGAATTCAGTAAACCAAAACATGGTTTCAAACTATTTTCAATAAAGGATCTAAACATGGTCTTATTGACTCGATCGGATTCGGTTTTCTTTTTCATATCGAAATAATGGCCTGTCTCTGGGATGATGAATTCTAAATCTTGTTCAATGATTTGTTCAAATTCATTTTCATCATCCATTTGGGAATTGTGTTTCTTCTTCTTTTTCAAGACATGATCGTAGCACTTGTTAAAACATGCTTCACAAAGATCGAATTGTTTCTCATTGTAATTAACGTATCGGACCGTGTTTGATTCAATCACACCAACACACATGTTACAAATCCACCGATAGGTCACTTTATCCAAGCTCGATGATAATGGTGATGAATTATTGGTGTTTCCGTTATTATTGCCACTGAATAACGATTTGAACTTGGAAAACATTTTTTTGGTGTGCGTTTTTTGTTGAGTGGCGAGTGAGGTCATAGGATGTTTATTGATTGATGAAATCATTCTAAATGAAAATATCATCAACCGTTGAATCTGTTGAAAATCTTGAAAATTCCATCAGTGACTTGAATTGACGATCAAAGATGCCCACGTAGAGAGATTTTCCGCCATCTTTCTTGGAAAAGTCAAGGCCCACAATTTCACCGTAGAAATCTAATAATTGTTCCTTATCAAAATTACTATTTACATTGTAGATATGCACAAAATCAGCAGGTTCTGCAGAGGCAAGAAATTGACCGTCTTCTGAATATCTTACAGATCTTACTGCTCCAATAATTGCAGGAATGCTATACACTGGAGATGAAGGCCTTCGTATATCCCATACACATAGCAGTCGATCTTGACTTCCAGTTGCAAATTGATACTCATTCACAGGATTCCAAGAAAGAGCAAATGAATAATCCATATGTCCTTTTAGCTTCATCATCGAAGCCTTGGTGCCTTCTTGGTCACACACCACAACGTCATAGGTGTCACCAATAACTGCCATCAACTTTCCATTATGTGATTGCATGGCAGCATTGTTAATACAGTATTCAAAGGATACAGCTGAAAGGAGATCCATAGTAGGTAAATCAAATTTTCGAACAACTCCATCATTGCTAGAAACTAGAAGAGTGTTCCCTCGAATGTCCATATAATTAGTTATAGAATTGCTAGCAGAAGATATTCTTCCATTATAAATTATTTCTCCTTCGTTTTCCAAGCTAGCGATCACAATTTCGCCTTTAAATCCTCCAACAGCCAAGTATGGAAATGAAGCATTGAGTGTGGAAATGAGAATACCAGGAATTTGATCATTTCCCATGTACGTTAAATCTTTGATAATACCATGTCCTTTATGAAGATCTAAAAGTTTCCTTTCAATGGATGTTTTGCCGTTCGATTGCTCTGTTGTTTTTGCAATTGTGTTCCAATGATAAACACTGTAATCATTCATGTAAAATACATCCGTTGGAGATGTTGTTGCTAATAAATGTCGAAGTTGAAAGTGTGTAAACGAGCAATGTGTTTGTCGAGAGTTGGATCGGAACGAATAAAAACAAGATTTTTCTTCTCTTGGAAAATGAAGTTTGTGTTCAATATCACATAAATCTCCAACAGGCTTGCTCTCATCGGCATTCTTCTCCGTGCCATGTTTATCATAACCTTTTATTCTTTCAAGTCGATAGTGTGATCGCGAACGTTTAATCGTAACTTCCCATCCTATTCTCTGTATATCCAAGCCATATATTTGTGATTGATAAGAAGTAGTATCAATCTCCAAGCTTTGTTGATTGTTAAACTTGAGTTTCCTATCGAATTGATCAATAGGACCTGGTTCGATGTCGTAGTTCTCCGATCCAGAGGATGGTTGATTTGGCATTTTTTTTAATTAATTTAAAAATAAAATTCAAAATTGTTAAATAACAAATCGTGGTTTATTTGGGAGCAATCCAAATGTTTTATAGTCATTATTGTTTGACAAACGACTTTTAAGCGTTCTAGGTCAAATAACAATGACAATTACTACAAGTATTACAATCCAGTAATTTGCCAAACTTTATAGGCAAGATGAAGAAGAAAACTCTCACATTCAAAATCTTGAACCTGATTATTGAATTGATGTTGGTAATTTTTGACTTGGCCAATACGTTGCGTGGTCCATTCCTTAAATCTTGTCGTGTTTTGCTTTGTTTTGATCACGCTCAAAGAAAAAAGAAATGTGACCAGTTCACGCAACATGGCGGCTCGAGGTTGATCTGTCTCGGTGAGCTGCTTGTAATTCACTCTTGATATCACTTGATGAATTAAGGTATGTGGAATTATGCAATTGGTATGGCGAGTAAAGGCACTCATGAACTTCAGTTGACTTGCTTCGGGTACTTTCATTAGGTATTCTTGCAATAATGAGGAATCAGGATCCAATGCGTTCCAATCGATCGTAATGATACTAGCGTGTTTGTTGAACATGTCACAGATTTGGAAAAGATCAATGAAATACTGATAAATGTCCACATCTGAAAATGTATGCAGTATGTTTTTAAAAAGATTATTTCCATGGCTAGAGTTTTCATGTAGGATAATCGTTTTAGAATATTCAGCACATAACACATAAATATGCTGAGGTAATATAATACAATCATGTACATAGTCCTGTATGTTGTTTTGACATTGATGTTGAACTATCTTTAAAAAATTTGCTCCTACTACACCACACTTCCAATAACTATAACTATTATTATATGCTACTTTAAGGTGCCTGTCATAAAAGGATAGAACTGATTTGTTCTTGTTTTTAAATATCCGCGTAATAATATGCATGATTGGTTGATGAAATAAAAATCCTGCATAAAATTGGAATTGATAAGGCTAAGGATTATGGTCAAAATTACAACGACTTAGAAATTCTTCAAGCTGACTTTCTTTTCGTTCCATTGGTTCTAAGAGTAGTGAAGACCTCAATTCAATGTCATGGGTTGGGTATAAAAACTTGTAGAAATGCAATAAATTAAATTGTAAATATTTGAATGTGGAGCTGTCCAACAGCATGTCCCAAACTGTGTCGGAACAGCTTTTCAAAAGAAAATCCACAAAATAAAAGGAGTATTGTTTCATAATTTGACCAATTCTTGATTCATGAGAGTTCCAATACTGGATGCAATGTTTGAGACAGTATTTCAAAGTTGGAGAAATGTGTTTTGATTTTTCTATTTTCTGCAGCGATGATGTCAGGTCATTCATTGCAACAAATATTTCACAAATTTCACAAGATTCCACAGTTTTGGAGGAAGACAAGTGTTTCGTAATATACTGCATGATCGTTCGAGTTAGATACATCCATTCATATTCTACTACATGCTTCATTTCATTTCTTCCAAATGTGACAAGTCTGATGTTCTCAAGTTCCCGCTTTAACTTTTGTACCTTTGCTTGGTGTGTTAAAATTCTTTGATATAATCCCTTTCCGAACACGGCTTCCCCTCGATGCTTTTTTGTTCGTTCTTCAACCACTCGTGAATACTCATTAATTTTGTTCGTTAGATACATCAAATATTGCTCCTTCCAAATGTAAGAGGATTCATCAAAAGACAAAATAATATTGTACCATTCTGCACACACTAGAAAAAGATTGGGAAAGTGTTTCATTCCCAAAAACCTGGCCACGAGTGCCAATGAAATTCTGTCCAGCATCAACAATGTTTTAATATTTTTAATGATCGTTGATCTCACACAAGAGTTGGCTACCAACACCATAGACACAAGTGGGCTTATAAATTTCAATGTCAGAATAGAATCTGCCCTTATTCTGTCTTTCTACGGATTTACATATGGCTACAGCAGTTGGCTCCATTTCTTGAATTAATAACTTTTTCAAAAATATTGGCAAATTGCTTTGACGTATGGATTCAGGAATGGAATTAAGAATGAGTCGTCCATAGGTGGGGTTTGAGGGGAATGCATTTAGGAGAGCAGTATTGCAATACCTGTCAGCCTCTTCCAAAATATCACATTTGGCTAAGGCAGCTTCTGACTTGGCAACTATCGCAGGGTTCTCTTGCAATTCCCTTCCTGAGCGCTTATCTATCAATGTCTTGAGAGCCAGCTTGGTGGGAAAACAAAACGAAGAACCACTACACAGGACCACTTCTTCGGTTTTTAAGGAAGATCCTAGGGCTATTAGTTGTGCTGTGAAAGAAATAGGTTGTCCTTCATTTTCAAGGTTGTTATCTTGCAGCGTACAACCCGCTCTTAAGGGAAGTGTTACATCTTTCGTAAAAAGGTCAAAATGAACAGTCACAACTTTAAAGAAATGAGAAGGCGATGTAATGATGGAAGTATCATTGATCATGGGAATTCTTTCATCATCCATTGTTGGAAACACTTTCATAAATTGTCCTCTAATTTTGGAGCATGTTTCATGACTATTGGTGTACAAAACAAATCTTGCATTCTCGTTTAGTCTTCCCGTGGTGAGCGCTATCTGTGCTATTACTCGAAGTTTGTTTTCTCGTTTAGTAATACTATTCACATTTAGAACGGTTGCTGTAAAGTTAGAGCTACTGTTATACTGAGCTCGACAGTTTTCTATCACATGTTTAAGATATGTTTGACCAGTTCCTGTGATATCTTCAGTGTGTAACACTCCATCCAAAGTCTTGGAATTAATGATCAGAATGTGATCACCTTTCTGGTAGCCAATCCGCCTACATAAATTTTGCAGGAGTCGAGCTAAAATATTTTGGATATGTTTGATATGTGGTATCTGTGACTCGTCACAATTGCAAACATCTACTAAAAACGAAACACTTTTTATCCCCATTGTGAAACATTTTAGCAATGTTGATTTAAGTCTCACGAGGAGATCGATATTATTTTCATCTTGATTCTCGATGTCCGCACTCGAAAATTCAGAATAAATACTAGCATCGATATAAATAGCAGCACAGGATGCAAATCCAATGTTGGTATTTGTAGAGTCTTCACGAAGAAATATCACATTCTTATCATCGGAATATTTCACTTTGTAACAGTTTTTTCTTGCAACAATGTTCAAGTAATATTTCTTGCAATAATCGCCTTCAAGTAAAGAATACAACTGTTTGTCCCAGACACCTTTTTTCAAACCTTCATGTTGGCTTTTTTCCTTCCAAAATTGTGACGAGTTGGTAATATCGAAAAGTGTTTTGCATGAAATCATCACACTCAATAGTGTGGCGTTGTCAACAAATAAAAATATTTGATGAACTAGTTCATATGGAAGTTCGGAAAGAAAGTGAAATGTTGGAGAGGATAAAGTACTTTGAATTTTCACTTCCACGGAAGAGCCATACGATTGCAGAGAAAGATTTCTTAAAAACAAGTCCAATGATCCCGACCTAGAATGTAATCGGTCAATATACGATTTCAATACGGTAGCACTTGTATCAAAGCTTTGATTGATGTTGCTAATACACGTCGAAGGAGTGCAAATATAAACCACAGGGTTGTGTGTTGTAATGATCATTTTTTATCACTGAGAAATAATGCATGAAAAATTATGAGAAGAACTTGGCCATTCTACTTTCTTCTTCCAATTTTGCAAACTTCCTTTTAATTCCTTTAGGTCACAAGGAAATGAATCTGTTGAAATTGGAAAGGCCCATCCAGGCTTTTCGAAAATTTCGGTTTGTACTGTGAGAGAAGAATCAACCAAAAACAAATGCTTCCCGAGGGATCTTTGAGCATTGCTGAGAGAAGAAAGCAACTGCTTGAGAAGGGTCTTGTCATTGGTACCAACGATCATAGTACTATTGCCACCAACAAAACTTCTTCACTTGATAACGCTGCCAGATGTAATCACAAAAAGGAGCCAAACATTTCAGTGAAGCCTCGAGCACCAAAGGAGCCACCCAAACCAATCGTTGATTTCCAACAGTTGGAACCAGGAAGTATTCCTCCACCTCCTCCGATCGTAGGATCGTCCAATCCGAATAACCATGATGATACTAAAGCTGCAGAGCCATCCCTTTCTTCGGTTGCTCTACAAACGAAGCAACCATTACAAATATCGGAATCAACCAGTCAAAGAGTGGTGAATGTGCCAACGACTTCTCCAAGGAGTCATAAAACCGATTCAGCTCTTCCAAACAACGCAGTTGTATTGAATGTTTTGTCCTCGATTCCTGTTAGGCCATCCAGCCATATTGAATCCCCTCTTCAGAGTTCACCCACCCACAGCTCTTCCTCCGATTTACAACCACTGGCACAACTGAGCCTAGCCACTGTGCCTCCTAAGGATGATCTTACCAAGCAATCATCCCCAAGAAGTAACACTGTTTCATTCATTGGTGACCAAAAGGAATTGCCTTCATCTTCGCCTCCAAAAAAATCACCAGCCTCAACACCTTCTGCCTCTCAGCTGCCGTTACCAAATGGTAACAGAGCCGACAGCAACAATTTCACGGAAAAGAAAGATCCACCCATCGTGATACATTCCAACAATAGAAGCAACATTATCAACACTGCTGCCACTCCTCCAACAAGTTCAGCAAAAAACAACAATTTGTCAGTGCAAGCAACAACAACTACTCCAACACATAGCCCATCACAACGGCTTTCTAATTTAGTTGTTGAAGATAAACTTTCGAACACAATTTCGAATCCAAATTACATTTATCCTCAGTTAAATAATAGCAAAATGATTCCTAACACCAATAATTACGGAAATAATTCGATTCAGTATCCATCTGCTCCTTCATTTGAAGAAATAGAACACCATTTTCCAGAGTATCAACCTACCATGACGAAAACTACATCGGATGTTGTTGTGGAAGCTCAAATGCAAACCATGTCACAAAACATGTCGTTTACTCCCATTTCCGACACAGTGTCGTCGTCATCTTCAGATAACTCTGACGACTACAAAATGTTCACTCAATTCAAGGAGTTTCTTCAAATCCAACAGCCTCAAAGCGTGCACACGAGTGAGGAGCAGTTGTACGAATTATTTTTGTCATTTAAAGAACGGTATGAAGCACAAAATAATGTCTATTTAAATAGACAACAAGCAACAGCTGTTATGAACCCAGGTGGTCCCCCTGTCAATAATCAACAACCTATTTTACTGAATAAGAGCAGAGTTCCTGTTAGCAGCAGCAGAAGCTCGTCAATGGGTTCTGCAAGATCAACTCCCACCAACCCAAACGTTTCCGAAAAGAAGAGAGACGGGTTTAAAGATGTAAGACGAAAATATGAAGAGCAATATTTAGAACAAATAAGGCTTCAACAAATTAATAGGGATCATTTTGCTCAGCAATTTCAAGCACCTGTCATGGACTACAATGCCTTAATGCAGAGAGAAAATGGTGCCACCAATAATATCGGAAATTCTAACAATTATCCAGTTGTAAATCCAAATGTCAACTCAGGTGATGTAATAGCCAATGGCAATTATATACCTTTCAGAACAAACTCTTCAAACAACACCTCGACAACAGGCCCAACATGGTCCGAATATCTCACTTTTGGATATTGGAAGTGAAAACTGAATATTACTCGAGAAGTTGCAATGGCTCTCATTGATGATAACAGGATTATGTGATTGGGTATTAAGCATGGTCGTCTTAAAGACGTTACTTGAAATCAAGTTGTTTTACTAATTTATATTTTTCTTATTTTAAGATAAATTTGCTTTACTCCATTATGTGGCATACAATGTTCAAGTAAGCATTCCAATTGAAAGTAGAATTGGGAGCATTTCTCTCTACATAGCAAGACAAGCCAATAGACCCAGTTGCAGGATGGATTTGGCAATCCGGAATTGAAAAAAAATAAAATGTTTGGGACGCTACCATGTCGCTTGCAAGAACAATCGAAACAAAACAAATATAAACTGTTACCCTGATCAACCATCATCAGCACTTCTTGATCAGCATCATTCACAACCTCATCTACTTACCATCAACTTCATTGCTTCAACACCGATCACTGATCGCATCATCATTAACAGCAACAACACTCTCCAGCACAATGCCAAAAGAGCAATCAAAGAAGATCACACCTTCCCAACCTTCAAAGATATCAAGTACACCAAAAAGGCAGCGTCGTCGTTACAAATATCATCCATTGGAGGCCTTTGTTAAAGTGGATAAGATACCAATCACCATGCATCCAAGCCCCCTCAATTTAATCCATTTTACTCACAACTCCCATCGGAAACAAGCTGCTCGTATGGAACTCAAGCTTTTCAACTTTTTGTGGGACATGAATTCTCCTTGCAACGGCCCAGCACGGACTCGATTGCCAATAGGTGAGTGTAAAGAATCCGTTTTTGATATGTATATGTGTAAGACTATGGGGCCCGAGAAGTATGTTCGTGTGGAGCAATATTCTCCTTGGATCAACCGAGAAGGTGACATTGAACGGACTCGTCACATCATTTACGAATTCAATTATCCAAACTTTCCTTCTTTCGGGGATGGGACTTGGGCAAAGAATTATATGAGTGTCGACCAAAAGCATGTAATTGACAGCCTTAGAAAGAGATTCAACAGGCCCATTCGCTCAGAACTTGAAACTGTTCAATATCGTTGCATTGCATCCAAGTTGATCATTTCCTACGACACCTCATTCGAATTATATTATGCACACCTCAGTCATTGGGTACAGTCAAAGAATGGAGATTGTTGGATTGAAAGTTTTTGATTTCATTCATCATTGCTAGGACATCCTTTCCGTTTCTTGTGTGACATTGTTGCAGTTACTCTCCCAGCGAAGGCATTGGTGTCTGTATCTTTGGAAGTTTGCTTCTTCCTGTTCTCCTTGTCATTTTCTTGGATCTTTTGAATCATCATGTTCAAATTATCACGATCCGTAATTATGGTTGGGTCCACTAAAGAAGCATCATACCATTGATACAATTCCTTTTGTGGTTTGACATGACTTGCATCCCAAGAATAAAGCTTTTTTAAACGTTTTTCATGCCAATATGTTTCTCCTGTTTTTTCCTTCAAGTCAATTGCGACTAATACCTTTCGACATTGCCACAATAGCAATTGTTTGGTTGGGTGTATTTGAGTACGACCTCCTCCATTGTTAATAATTCGATTAAACACTGCATGGTGAAATAAATGAGACCGTTCGAATCCCTGATTACTCAAAATCGAGAGTGATAATTTTTCTTTGAAAAGAGAGCTCATTATTGAGGGTACATGAATTATAAAATGGAAATAATGAGCTTTAATTCCTTGAGTCCATATTGAAAAACACGCAACTAAGAATTGCATTATCAGTTTGTCCAATTCCACAATCTTATTTGCTGTCAATACATTGTCATTATTTTCGTTATCTTGATGCATTTCAATAATAATGATAATATTTCGCAACAATTTCAGAATTTGTAAATATTTTTGTTTGGTGCTTGGTTCAATATTATCAACAACTTTCTCAATATTTTGTAAAATAGTGTTACAATGATCTCCCGACAGCATACATGACTTGATTGATGATCGTGCTGAGGTTTGAGAAATTCCATAATTCGATACTCGTTCGTGGAACTCTTTCCAATTAAATGTTTCCAATCCATGTAATGTTTGTATATTTTTCTGAATCTCATATTTGTAAGTTGTTGATGCCATATAACCAATAACATTTTCTACTAGCCTCTGTTTGATATGAAGAGCACATAGTATTGTTTGTGATGGAGAAAAAGGTAACTGGCCGTCAAGAGAGTCGCGTGGAGTTGATGCAAAATCTACAATAGTTTGAGCCATACAATAGGGACATAAATCAAATGAGAACGTCATGCCTACATTATGCATGTCTGAAACATAAAAAAGGCAAACTTGATGCTTCCCAAAATATTGTTTTTGCAAAACACGCTCAATCTCATCGTGAAGCGTTCCAATTGTTTCTTTGATACTTTCTTTTGTTTCCTTCATCTGAAATAACCCAATATAAAACACAGAATAAACAGCCTGCGATGGAAATACATCTCTTAAATTGAGTGGAACCAATGCAACTGCAACTTGTTTAACTCCATTAATTTCTCTACCATCTACCCCAATTTTAAAAAATATTTTCTTGGGTAATTTTTTCCCTAATGACATACATAGCTTCAGAATATAAAATATGGCTTGATCTAAGTCTATAATATATCCAATGTAGTTTGAACTTGGACATCGTAATTTGAAAGTTTTCTCAACTTGTTCATTTAGTGATTGTTTCGATGTTGTCATCTCTTTCCTTGTCGGGAGTAATGTCATTAAATTGACTTCTTTTCGTAAGTTATGATATGTAACATCAGAAATCAAGTTATTATCTCGCCAATATTGCACAATAGTTACATCTTTCTTTTCAATTAGATATTCTTTCAGTTTTTGATAACGATGGCTGTATCTAATATTTTGCTCTAATTCTTGGATTACTGTTTTAATACCTTCATCAGTTTGAAGATAACATTCCAGCCATGCATGTACATCATGTCCTAAATTACCTAACATTTTCTCAAATATAGACACTATTTCTTTTGCTCGATCTTTCGCTCCACGGTTGTAATTGTCTTGATTTGATTGAATACCAGGGTATTTGTGAGGACATGCTTGGACTTTTTGGTGTTTACAACAAGCACATTCCCAATATTTCAATTCTACTTGTTGATCATTATCAGATTGTGCTTGAGAATGGTTGAATGAGTCACATGTATTGGATTGTAAAGCGGTATCAGTTGTATAACAATTTTTCCATTGTTCAATATTATATTGTTGAGAGCAAATTGGTTGTGTTGGGAATTGTTGAGGCTGTGATTGCTGTTGAGGCTTGAAATAGTTCCAAAGTGCAAATTGGGACAAATATGTCTCACAAGTCTGGTCTGCCAAAATGAATGGTTCGACATACTTAAGCCCAGAATATTGTATACAATTTTGAGAAGCGTTCCATTGATCGTTCCACTGTTGAGAAAGGTTAGGATTAGTGTTTGCTTTTTCCATGCTATCTATTGTTTGAGAGTAATCTTGTGAGGTTGTATTAAGTTCATGTTGCTGACTTGCATCATTAATTATATCAGAAGCTTCTACTATAATATTATTTTCATAAATATCATCATCATTTTCATTAGAGTTCTCGTCAACAAAATAGGATGCAGCATCAGCAACCAATTGATTGAAAGCTTCATCTTGGTCCTCGACTTGAGGCTGGTTGAAAATTTCTTCCATTGAATTATCAAATAATTCATCGTCATCCATACGTGTATCATAGTGATCACTGTTGTGATTGGGATGCGTTTGGAACAGGTGTTGAATTAATAAATCATGATGATCTTTCTTCGACAACTTTAACAGAGTTCCAATAACGGCTGCCAAGCTTAACAAAATTGCGGACTTTTTTACCTTTGGAAACCCAATCTCTTGCTGTTGGCAATTATTGATCGTGATGTGTTTGCCATAGCTTCTTTCGATAATATTGCAGATTTTTTGATTTTTCTCCTTTTTAAAGAACGATCCAACAATTTCATCGGCAGAATAATATTGATCGCCTTCGTATTGATAGGTATGTAAAGAATGAAGTGCAGGAAGGTGTTCTTGAATCTCTAAAGTTTTACCCATCGCGATGAATTTTAATAATTTTTAATATATAAATGATGATGAACTCTACACGAATTCTAGGAAGCCAATTTTTGTAATATTGTCAACAACATGGCTGTAATATAACAATTCCGAAGTGTGATTCAAAAAGGAAATTACATGACGTGTTTTCGTTTTAGTTGAAGCATAAACTACAGTTTGATCAGGTAGTTAACATTACCCATTTTTTTGTCGAGTATGAAATCTTAATACTCGAAGCCCGGAAGTTTGTTTCGCTGGCAGTTTTGCTATGCTTGAACATTTGTTTGCCGTATAAGCTTAATTAGGAGGCCAAATCCTATTTCAGCAGAATGACAAATTAAAGTATTTACCAATTGTTCACTCTGTTAAAAACTTCCTGTTCACCTTGAACAATTCGCAAAACAATTAAAAAAACAAACCAATCATACCACCTTATTCAAAATGGACAACCGAAACACTTTGCAAAGAGGTTACGACGAAATGAAGGACCAAGTCAGCACCAGAAAGGATGCCATCTCTGAATCAACCAAGTATTCAAGCCAAAAAGATGACACTGGTGAAAAAATTGCTGACGCCATTGTTCGTCCAAAGGAGGACGTTAAGGAGCAAACATGGAGTGAGTCTGCCAAGAATCTTGGTATCTCAGCTTACAACACTGTCTCTGACACTGTCAATAAGGCTTACGAATCATTGACAGGATCTGGTGGTTCATCATCTGAGAGAAAGTAAGAAATGGCTTCATGCTTCATTTTTATGAATCGTTGAATGGTAGAATGAATGAGAGAAATGATATCTTTCTAATCTTAAGTAAATCAATAAACAGTTCCATTTAACAAGTTCAAATACAGGTATTCACAGAGGTGGAACTCGATGCCTCTGTGGTAGGAGTGGGTGAGTCAATCTGCTTTGAAATTTCAATGCTTTGCTTTACAGTGCTGCTCATTCTCCTGAAACTTGAAGATTCTCGACTATTCGTTGCCAGATTTTGTGGAGCCATGAATTCTCTTGATTTTTCATTCGTGCTGTTGTTGGAAAATAATTCCCAAAAACAAAGAACATAAAACGCTTTTTTTCCATAACTTTTCACAAATGCTTCCTTATTGAAAGTAATGTAGGAAGAAAGAATGGTCACCAAGATTAAACTGGAGTCTAAAAAAATATTTCTAGTCATTCCAAAAAACAATGACAACACGTCAAATCCAAATATATAAGTAATCATACTTAACATTGTGCAAATCCAACCATAGAAAAACCATATTGAAAGTCCTAACATGAATTTTGTAAATCGGTATTCAAAGAGTCCACCCTTATTATTGGCTTTCCTCAATCGAAAATAAATTCGAATGCCATAAAATAAAAACCCAAATCCATAAGTGAAAATGTAAATCATCACAGAGAGGGCCAGTATGGACCAAGCGTATCCGTAATCAGACACCACAGCAAATACAATTCCAGAAGTAATTAGAACCAACACGACTGCCGCATAAAATATTGAGAGAATTGTTTTGTTAAAAATCGAGAGAGCATTCGATTTATCTTGGCGCATGTGATTAGAGACATCGATGGCATGAGACCTTTTAGTAAAATTGAATGTCATGCAAGATATAAACCAAATCATATAACACATACCATGATATCACCAATGAAGAGAATCCACAAACTACCAATACCCCACTCAAAGCTCTAAATAACCCTGCCAAATATCCCTGATAGAAATCAAACATGAAAGAAAAATTGAATAAAAATCGAAACATATTTTCTAGAAATCCACTCAGCAAGGAAAGTGAAAAACACACTGGTGCCTGAACGACGATATCGAGAAAATGTTGAATGGTGATGTTCATTTTCATGAATATAGACTTGTCTACCACTTCTCTAATGATCTTGTGCTTGAAAGTATAAATTCTTTCATAAAATCTTGGAATTTGAATTGTGAATAAATGGATAAAGAATATCAATATGAAAACAACAGCTGAAATGAGGGGAGAGTATCTAAAGGAATAAGGAATTAGGAAATTATGATAAAAATCATTGCATTGAAAGCCAAAAGAATGAGAAGAAGGATCGTTGTAGTGACACCAGCATGTGACAGGAATATCGAAAGGAATATTCGTTGAAGAGATATTTTCTTGCGTCATGACAGATCCAAAGTAAAAATTGAGTAATGATTGCAAGGTTGTTCTTTTCAAAGGACTTGCTGTTTCGAATTCGTTGGTTGAATGGGATTGCAATTGATATTTCGAGAATTGTCTTTTAAAGTATTCTGTTTTGAAGAAAGTGACATCAAAAATCGGTAAATGTTGTGATGGAACTGTCAATTGAGTATTACGATCCCCATTACAATGTAAATTCATCATGTTGACAAATTGAGGACCAAAATTTCCATTCTGCAAGGAGTGAAGCGACGTGAACGTTTGACACTGACCATTCCATAACAAGTTCCTAAATGCATCTGAAGAGGAATGGTTGCAATACAAGCAAAAGTTCATGACTTGTCCTAATGATTCAACTTGAGTCGTGTTGGTGAGATCGAGAATTATAGTTGAATTGGAACACAACAGATCCGAACATGTAGTGAATGGTTGATCGGATTGCTTGTTATTTTGGAAATTGGAAATAATGTGTTCACTCAACGATAGGTTCGAACAAAAATCCATGTAAGAAGTATCGAGTGTAAACAGTAAAGGATAATAAAAATAATTGACAGGAGGTAATGTTAAACATTCTTCGGCAGGATACAGCACTGAATTCAAAATGGGTATGGAGGACATACCTTTTAGCACCTTACACCTTACACTTTAGTGCCGTTTGCAATGGCACGTAGTCCCAAAAAGGAGATACAAATAGCACTTAACACTGGAGTGCCAAATGCAAACAGCACCTGACACTTGAGTGCCGAGTGTCATCAGCACCTGTATATTTTTTAATTTATTTAAATATTATTTTGAAATTACAAACCTCCGTCTTCACGGTTGTGAGCAACGGGCCTCAAAATTCTCTTCACTACACAATCATCATCGAGTATCACGAACGCAATTTTTGGACAATTCGTCTGACAACGACAATACCAAATGATCATCTACGAAATTTAGTTTATGGAGGGAAGAATAGACTCACGCTCATTTTCTAAGGTGAAGCGTTGTGAGGCAGTGGTTCAAATAATGTTCCACCGTTCAGCACCTGTTTTCTGAGTTGATGTTGCGCCATACAACACGGCGTTGAAAGAGATTGAGATGAAGTTGTCGAACAGGATGTCAGAGCTTGCTGAATGAACTTGAGAGACGATTTATGTTGAGGAAAAACACTTGCAGTACAGGAAAACATTTTCATTTGGTTCAACAGGGGAGTGAAACTTGCCAGCTTTTCTTCATAGTGACATGTACTTTTGTTCAATTGTTACAAAAACGGTGAGAAGAACAAGAGAATGGTGCTCAACACTGTTGTTGGCTGATGTAATCGAATTTGAGTGATTTGGGAATGACGGTAACAGCAAAAGTCAAGCTGAAGCAATCAGAAGGGTACAATTAAGGGAACTGGAATCACTTTTTGTTTCGTAGTCATACTTCTTAACGGCTGAGTCTATCATCGTGAATGAAAGGAACATATCATCTTTTGTGCCTCCTAACTCCTTTCATACGAAGGTCCAAGCTAACATACGTAAGGAAAGTAGATGCATGAGATTAAATCATGCCTTTTTTTTTGTTTGATAGATTCGTTATTGACCTTTTTATATGAACACGAAGTAGAATGGTTAGGTTCACAAACTAGTACCTCCATTTCAATCAACATCCATTTCGCACCTTACACTCAAGTGTCAAATACAAATAGCACCTTACACTCAAGTGTCAAATACAAATCACACTTCATTCATTTGGCACTCAAGTGTCAAATGAAAACAGCACTGACACTAAGTGTAAGGTGTAAGGTGCCAAAATATAACAACTCATGGGTATGGAGGATGTGGTTGTGTTGAGAGAGAATGGTTGGATGGTTTGTGGTGTGGTTGCGTTTGTTGAAAATCTCATGTGAAGATCAACTGTCATGAACACTAGCAAGATACCAATAAGGGTCAAAGATTTCATTTGCTTGTGTTTTTTTTGTGTGAGATTGAGATTCGTTTCAGACAGTTCCTGAAAAACTGGCCATGCTCTAAGAACATGTGGTTTAACTCCGGATCTCTGAAAAGGCCATCAAGTTGCAACTCAACGTTCTGCTGCAGTAGGAGCCACGGTGAAGTTGAATCAGGAGATGTTCCATTCAACAATAGGAAGCAACTTGTATCATGCTCAATATTGAACTTGAGGCCAAACTTTAAATGCAAAACAATACACGTTTAAAAATATCAAACAACAAGCAAACAAAAAAACATCATGACAAGATCACACTGTAAAAGTAACATCAAGACTCAAAGCTGCCGAGGTATGAAATCAGATCAATGTACATTCGGAACAGATATTGCTCCAACAACAGCCTCCTTTAATTTGAAAGGCTTTGAAGATAAAAAGAAAGTTCACCGAAAAACGAATCAAAAATCATTCCGAACAGAAGTGAGAAATGTTTTTAATGATTTTAGTCGAATTGATGATTTAGTATCGAATGGCATGGATCAATGTCTATCAAAGAAGAAGTCAAAGAGTCTGTCTTTAAAAGAAAAACATGAAGAATATTATGGAGCGATGGATTTAATGAAAATGAAAGATCTAGTTTCAAGTAGAGAATTGTCACTCACTCATAATATTGAAATGAAGAGGGAACTGCGAGACACTATCGAAAAAGATTTGGAAGAATTGAAGAAATCTTTGAAGGAAAAGAAGAGACAAGAAATGATTGAACATCTTTTAGAGAAACGATCTAAAAAATCAGTAGATAAAATCAAGAAACAAATAGAACGAGAGGGTGAGGATGAGTTTTTAAAGAACATTTCGAATGATGTAGAGTTAGACAGTTGGGATGAAACCGATAGTGAGACAGAGAAATTATACCAAAAATTGAAAACTAGCTATTTGAGAAGTTTTACTCCTGATCAAATTGAATCTCTGAAAGAATTGGAACGATATGAGGCTACTGAAAGTCCAATGGTCTTCAAGCACTTCAGAAAGACGAAACTCAAGTAAAGTGAGTGATGCATCTTCTGTTCTTAATTATGCCTTTTTGGGTTCCAATCCAGATTTAAAAAATGGCAGCGAGCGACAACATGAGAGGAATACCGATCATTCTTTGTGCTCTTGTAGTTGTCATGGTTGTTGTTCAATCATCATCATCATTAATATATGTTTCTTCTCTCTCGGTGTCTACGAACAGTAAAGTGCAAATTGCAATTAACAATGAACGATCGGAACGATTAGTTCAACCAACAAAGATGAATCAACCATACAATGAGGGATATGCTGGATTGAAAGGAGAGTTAGTACCTTTAAATTTCTATCAGCATCCAATGATAGGAGTTGAATGTTTTTATGGGTTTATATTTCCAAACTGTTCATGTACGCAGCATTTTCCAGTGAGAAACGGAGGATTGAACAGAAATTCAGATGATTGTTTTGGACCTAAATGTCTAATGATAAGCAGCAACACACATGTGCAAAGAGAAATTGTTGGAAATTATTCATGTGTATTGAGAGAGCGAGAGGGTCAAGCGGTTGTAGATTGCAGTCACAACAGCAACCCCTATACTGATAATTTATTTTACTTTTCAGAATGCAATCCTTATGTACCAAAGCCACATTTAAATAGATTTTTAAACGTAACGACTGTATTGAATTTGATTGATCATGAATTTAGATTTGAAAGTATTGATGAGCACCGACAAAAATCAATTGTTAAATGTCCACTCAAAAGAACCCCAGGAACATTTCTTAGAGGCTATTCACTTCAAGTTGATGTGCATGTACATGAAGTATCAGATGGGTTTCATGACACTACCTGGGTCACCAAAGTATTCAGCTGTAATTCAACCTCTATCGAACAATCATCACCACTTACAATAGGTGATAGATTTTTGCAATTGCTTTTAGTGAAGAATAAATAATGGAATTATGATCAGGCACTGTGTACTTGGTCCTTTCAAAGAAAAGGAATTGTGGAGAGTTCAAAAGCAAGCCAACCAGAATTTTACTCTCACAAAAAAATACAGGGATGGGTTTATTGAAGAATAAACAAATTATAGGTACTCAATTGTCCGACGAGAGTGTGTCTAATGGGTGTGTATGTGTGGGGTTTAAATGTTGTCGGAGTTGAGTTCGCCAAGCTGATTGCTACATGTTTCCCAAGCAGTTGCAAATTTTGCAGTTTTGGGTTTAATTATATATCCTCTAGCCTTCTTGAGTACAGTAGAACTGTTCCAAGTGGCGTTTTTGTAACAACTGCCAACATAAGCAGCGAATGAGAGATATATTTCATTTAGCCAATCAGTCAAGGCTGGGGGAGATAGGTCTAGTTGTTGGAGAGATTCGTCTTTGATACTACCATTCCACTCCATTGGAATACAAGAGAGAGAATGGTTAGAGGGAAGTCTGACAAGCGGGGCGTTGAATTTGAGGGAACTATTGTCCCATTTTGTGTATAATGATTTGATTTCTGGGCTACACATGGCGCATGAGGTGAATACATGTTCCCAGTTGGCTTTGGTGTTGCAAATGTGGCAATTAGGGTAATCTTTTCCGAAATTTCTAAGGATTTCTGCTTTGTGCAGGTGAGCAAATAACAGTCGTTGCTGGAATGGTTTGAGTGAATAATTGTTCCAAAAGGAGATGGTACATGGATGCCAGATTCTATTATGGTCTAAGGTTCCAAGGCCAGAAATGCTCATGGTTGATCTATCACTGTTTAGCAATTCAGTTCTAGGGTCGACAGGGGTTTCGTATTCATTGACAAATGAATATCGTTCATCAATGTATTGGAGAGACCAATTATTTTGAGCAGCAATATTTTTCACGTGGTTCCAAAATGGTTCGTTAAAAGTAGTATCTTTCCAAGCAGCCAAAGCTATATTTTTGGTGATGGAGGATGAGGAATTGAATAATCTAACTGCTGTGCAAATAGGTTCAATAGAGAATAAAATAGAGGGGCGAGTAATACCAAGACCCCCAATTTGTTTGCAATTAAAAACGACTGATTTTGATAATGTGTAATCTAATCCAATAGCCTTTCTGATAAAATTAGCAACCATAATATCTGCTTTGTCTAGAGAATTCTTACTGATTCCATTGAAGCTACAGGCATATCTAGGCAATGATATAATTTTAGACATAATTGTAGTGGTGATACTGTTGAGATATAGATTAGAAGTTTTAGCTGATGCAAGTCGATTCGAGATTTTGTTGACTGGGTTATCAGAGGACCAAGAAAGATTATCCTTAAAGGTACATATACCCCAAGGTATTCAATAGAAGTAGACGAGGCAATTGTATCCTGTCCAATAGTGACTAGGGCTTTAGATAGTTTAGATTTAGCTGTAATAGCTAAGAGCTTGCATTTCTTGGGAGCTAAAGCGAGTCCTATTTTCTTTAACTCTCGGCCGAGGCTTTTAAGAGAGGAATTCATTTCAATCTTAGTATTAGCTATCAATAAAATATCATCGGCATATAATAATAAAAGGATAGTAATATCAAATATTTGGACTCCTTTTAGTTTTTCTTGTATATTAGTTGAGGAGTTAATATAGAGATTAAACCATGCTGGACTTGAAGGGTCGCCTTGTGGGACTCCAACATTCGCATCGAAAGGGGAGGATAGGAATCCGTTAACTAGTACTTTCATAACGCTATTGGAAATCATGGATGTCAAGAGATTAATGACAGAGCTACGGAAACCATGTTTTTTGAGAATGCTGATAAATCTTTTATGGATTACTGATCCATAAGCATTTTTGATATCTAAAGCCATAGCGAATACTTCTTGTTTGTGCTGACATTTGTATGCTAGGGCAGTCCGAAGATTGATAAGGTGCTCTAATGTTGAGCCTTTTTTCATGAATCCTCGCTGAGCAGTATGGATTAAATTAGCCTCTTCAAGGATATTCATGAATTGTTTGTTGATAATAGAAGAAAATAGGCGATAGATCACAGATAATACTACTATAGGTCTAAAGTCTGATAATTTTGTAGGCATATTGACTTTGGGTAATGGGAGTAGAATACCAATACCCAATTCTTTAGGAACCATTTCACTGTCAATTGTGTGATTGATACATTTTGCAAGTACTTGGAGCGAATTGTTGTCTAGAATTTTCAACAACGGCACCGAGATATTATCATAGCCAGCCATGGAATTTTTTGTTTTAGAAATAACTTTACCCAACTCTTTGGCAGTGATATGTTGGAATTTCCATTGGGCTACAGTATTATTTTTCTTGATTTCCGGAAGGGTTTTAGTCACTTCTTGTTCTGTGTTAAACATGGCTGAAAAATGATCTACAATTATCGAGTTATGGTTACTTTGGACTACATTGAGTATAGAAGAACTGACTAATTCTTTTCTGAAGGCATAGGAGTACGGTTGTTTAGAGCTAAGATTGTTAATTCTATTCACGAAGACCCGTTTACGGTCAGCCAATAGAGATCCAATAAGCTTGTTAAGCGAGGCTTTAGCTTCCTCTAATTTAGCCTTAATATTGTTGAGGCTAAAATTATTATTCAAGAACTGGCTGGTGACAGTAGAGACATATTTACGCTTATAAAGATACTGTTTCAAATCAAAAATGATCGTCTGAAATTGTCTAACATTACGATTATCAGTAATCAATGAAGGCTTGTCGGTGCTAGGAGAGCCATATTTCTTCACAATTTTAGCAAGGGTATTTTGGGCTTCTAAGAGAGTGCTAGGGTTGTCCATAGCAAAATCGTTATTAATTTCCTTCATCTTGGATTGCAGAGTTTTAGGATGAATAATATATTTGTTGAACTTTTCTGGGAAGTCTAAAATAGGGTTACTGGGAAAGGAGATAGTTAAAAGTTTGTGAGAATAAGCAGTAGAAACATCATCTACATTAGAATAATCATTGTGGGAAGTAATAATATGGTCCGGGCGAGAAAAACCATGAGAGTATTTGTTGCGTTGAGAGAACGAAGGTGTGTTTGGAATGGGAACAACATCAAAGAGCTTCAATTTGTCACATTGGTCAATTAATAGTCGCTCATGGGCAGCATAGGATACCTTATTGAATGTTTTAGTATTGGCATTCAAGTCTCCCAATATGACAATACGTTCACCATGCAAGACCGCTGTTTGAGCAGCAATGTTGATAATATTGAGAGCCTTATTCATGAATTCTAATTTGTTTTTGTTAGCCGGGCCATACCAATTGAAAATACGGACCACACCTAGGCATTTATGTTCCAAAATGACTTCTGATAGTCTGCCTTGAATATGCTCGATGAATTGGAGTACCTTAATAAAAGGTGACGGTTTGACAATAGTAGCAATTCCTGCTCCATTATCTCCCTCGGTGGCGTTGGAAGTATAGACTAAGTAGCCACGAAAGAAGGACCTGAAATACCATACATTCCAATAGTCTTCCGTACTGGATTTTAAATGAGTTTCCTGGATATTAAGGATATCCAGTTCATATTTTCGGGCTAGGGTAAGTAATTGAGATTGTTTTACCCAGCCAACTCCTCCGAAATTAGCAGTACCTAAATTGAAGGAGTTTCTTATAGAATGAGAGGCCATTAAAGGGAATGTCGGCCCTTCTTATGCCCACTTTTACTCTTGCGAGTAGTAGTGCCTAAGAGAGCGTTGACTTTTTGGTTAATTTCTTCAATAGCTTTGTTGATCTTATTAAAGCCTTCAGTGACCTTTTTTCCAGACCAGACAGCCATTTCCTTTGTCAATTTTTGGAGAGCTGATGACATTTCAGACATTTGTTTTTCAACAGCTTCCATTCTGTGACTGATGGAGTTGGCAACTCTAGTAGAGAATGAGAGGTTTCTGAAACTATGATTTCCAACTTGGACGAACTTGGTAATGTTATTGGTGATTTGATCCTTTTTGACACCAACAACAGCCACCTTATTAGCCAACTCGATACTCTCAATCTTGACTTTCCATTGGGAACTAATGGCACCCTTGAGTTTAGGAAGATCTTTTTCTTTACCGTTAAAGGCGATACGGAAACGAGAGATATCTGTTCTCATTTTGGAAAGCTTAAATTTCTTCAAATGATTGGCTGGTAATTCAATATTAGTACCAATAGCCCAAAACTCTTGATCATCTATCTTGCTAAAATTGATGTTGTTGATAGAAGTACCAAGAGTTGAGATAATAGAGTGCATATTAGTCTTATCTAAGTCTTTGTCGACCTTATAACGGAATGACGTTTTGACGGTTTGAGGAATCATGGTTAGCTTGGACTTAGCACCAGAAGATATTGCTTGGTTTGCCAATTTGCGCGACTTGAAGAAGAGAATAATGCACTCCAATTCACTGACAACTCTACTACCGTACAACGCATCGGCATTCATTGCGACGGTTGCAAGGACTTCTTCGACAGAGTTGGTAGTAAAGGCCACCACTCTGAAGAGTTTATGATGTCGCTTCAGTTTGGTAGAATGGTCGTCGGTCATGGCCGAGGTACTAAAAACTGAGACGCCAGAGGTTGTAGTAATATTAGAGACCTCCGGTTGCGACAACATAGGAGAGTTGCATACAGTGCTGGGTTGTATTACCGACAAATTGGCTATATTGACGGAGGACGGAGTTTCTAAAATTTCGTTTTCCATCTCCTCTCTCAATTTATCATGTGCCGATTTTTGAGCAGAGAGAGATTTGTTTGCAGTATGCGGGCGATCAGCGACCTCTTTGATAGAGGCGTGATGATTTACTCTCACAAAAAAATGAAGAAAATTTCAACACGAAGACCACCAATGTCCAACCCAGGCTTGTTGCAGCCATTATTACCTGGCAACTCTACGGAAAGCATCAAGCTTACGGTACGAGAACCTTTGCCAGAAGATACAAAAGGAGCCTTGCTCATGAATCAAGAAAATTTGGCAAATGATCAACTCGCGACAGAAAGCAAGAACAACTCCACCACCATCAGAGCTGAAGTGACATCTCTTGGAGAAGCTGAAATTGATTCATTGTTGAAGAGAATTCCAGAGATCAAACATGATCCAACTTCTTCGGATGTCAAGGATTTTTTCATGAGGTATGTTTTGATCATCATGATGACCTTTTGGTTTCATCGAATTCATATTTTTAAATTTATTAATTTTATTGATCGTTGTTATTGTGTCACGCAATGAATCACGAATGGATGATCAAATTGATTGTTGTGATGATTCTTGTTTTGTGGTTGTTGTCATATATCTCTGTTGGATCAGAGAAAAATCACTCAAAGCACCAATCACTGCAGAAATCATTGCTCAAGAATTTCCACCTCCTGTGAGTTTGGAAAAACCAGCTGAACTCATTCAAGAAGAGAAGGAATTGATGGGATCCGAATTAATGGTGATTCGATATTTACCTGAAGGTGAAATTTCTGATGCTTCAGTTCCATATTTGAGTATTACGTTTTCACAACCAATGGTTTCAGTATCAAGTGTTGAACATGTCGAGTTGAATGAAAACATTCCTGTGAATATTGAACCATTACCAAAGAATGGAGGAAAATTCAAATGGTTGGGAACGAAAACACTCATCTATGAACCACTCTATCGTTTTGACATGTCTACGAAATATAATGTGACTATTAAGGCAGGAACTCAATCAAAAATTGGTGGAATATTGAAACATGATGTGAAATTTTCTTTTGAGACACCAAAACTTTATTTGAGAGATTATTTACCAAAACATCAAGATTCATTTCCTCTCAATGAATTTCCAATTTTCTATTTGGAATTTGATCAAGAAATTAACCCTGAGAATGTTTTACCTTTTGTGAATGTCGATACCTCTCTCCCCATGTTGAAACTTGTCTCGAATGATGGAAGATCTGAAACACCTTCAGTGAAGGAATATATCATTGGACTCATGAAAGAATTGAATCTCGAAAAGAAAGCTTCAAATATTTATTATTCTTACAAATCAAAATTAGAAAATTCTCCAAAAGGAAGACATTTATGGTTCACTTTTTCAACAAGTTTGAATCATAGGATTGAAAGTTTGAATGTGACTGTTAAAGCAGGTGTGAAAGGACTCGAAGGACCATTACCCACTGAAAAACCATCCTCTTTCATTGTAAAGAATTATCCTGCATTTACAATTACTCCATCTTATGAAGCATCACTACTTCCCATGCAACCATTAACGATCAGTTTTTCAAATAATATTGATCTTGAAAAATTCGATGAAAATACAGTGAGAGTTGAACCTGAAATTGAAAGAATGGAATTGAATCCAAATGGTAATTATCTCACCATTAGTGGAAAAATTAAGGGAAAAACAAACTATAAGGTCACCTTTAATGAGAATACTTTCCAAGATGTTTGGGGACAACATCTTTCAGGTGACAAGTCCAAAACATTCCACATTGGAAATGCCGCCCAATCACTTCAAGCTTTGCAAAGTGGTGTCATGGTTTTAGATCCAACTGTGAATACGAAACCAAGTTTCTCTGTGGTTACAATGAATTTACAAGCTATTCATTGTCGTGTTTTTCAAGTGGAACCCAATGAATACAATTCAAATGTATTCAATTATAATGCATACAGTAACACGAATTATACATTTCCTGGAAAACAAGTTCTGGATGCAACCATCAATACAAATGGTCAAGAAGATGAACCATGTGATACAGATATTGATTTATCACTTTTACTTCAATATCCAAAAGAAAATATTGGACAGTTATTTATTGTTGTGGAACCAGAGAAATCGAGTTGGAAAGGAGAATGGAATTATAGACCTATTCATCAAGCATGGATACAAGTGACAAAACTTGCTGTTGATGCCATTTATGATAGTTCTGATTGTACATTGTATTATTGGGTCAATTCATTGATGGATGGATCGATCATGAAAGAAAATATCAGTGTGAAAAGTGGTTCAATTTCAAGCACACCTGATAGAGAGAGTGGTATTGGAGTCATGAAGAGGAATAGTAATTTGAATAGTAATTGTTCAGTGATTGCATACCATGGAAATGACAAGTGTTTCATTCCAGATGTTTATTTAAGTCGTCATTATCCACACACTGGAATTAATTATCAAATATTCAATGACAGAGGTTTATATAAACCTGGAGAAACAGTTTCAATTAAGGGAATTGTTAGAACCATTTTGAGAGATCCAGTCAAGAAGAATTATAGTGTTGGAATACCAAAAGATAGCAACACGACCTCTGAATTCACAATATTCGATTCTCGTTCCAGCAAGTATCATTCTGGAAGCATCACTCTCACATCCAATGGAACGTTTGATTTCACATTCAAAATTCCTGATAATGCAAATTTAGGAAATCATACCATCAATTTCAGTCCATTATCCATGTCTCATTCATTCCAAGTTCAAGAATTTAGAACTCCTGAATTCAATTCAAGTTGCAGTGTTCAACCTGGAAATTATGTTGTGAATGGTCCTGCTGCTTTGTGTACCACTCGTGCGCAATACTACAGTGGTGGTGGAATCTCTGGAGGCACATGTTCATATATCATTAGACAAATAAGACCAGTTATATTCCACCCAATAGAAGTGGTTATTCATTTGGAAAGAGTACGGCTTCACCATTTGGAAACTTCTTTGTAAGAAGAACTTTTCCGTTACATTCAAGTAACCTTTCCAGTACCACTTTCCAAGGCATGACCGACATGAATGGAGAACATCAAATTGCATTGCTATTTGAAGAAAGTAATCGAATTGAGAAAGTACCTATTTCCATTTCTATTGAATCCACAGTTCAAGATATTAACAGACAAACCATTTCTTCAAGCACATCGTTTGTGGTACATCCATGCAAATATTATTGTGGATTGAAATTGGGAAAACAATTCACAAAGCCAAACACACCTGTCATGGTATCATTGTTGACCACAAATATCAATGGTAAATTAATTCCAAATATTGATATGGATCTCACTGTAACCACACATGTGGATGTGAAAAAAGGATTTAAATATGTTCAAGAAAAAGTTGAAATTCTCAAGAAAACATTCAAATCCAATTCAGATTCAGCCATAGAATTTCCAGTTCAGTTTGAAAATGGTGGAGCCTATGATTTTCATGTTTCAATTCGAGATCCTGAAAGTGGATTACAAAACTCTTGCTCAAGTTCACTTTATGTGACAGGTGGAAAGAATGCAAAAGAAGAACGTGTTGGAAAAGTATTACAACAAAAACCTCTCTTACTCATCCCAGATAAGAATGAATATAGTGTTGGAGATAAGGCAACCATTCTCATACAATCACAATTAGATGGTCATTTATATGGTGTATTGAGCATGTGTATGGATGGAATTTTCGAAAAACCAATTCCAATTGAAATTGATCCTTCGAATGGTTGTACTGAATTTTCATTCATCATTACAAAACATCACATTCCAAATGTTAAAATTATGGTTGAAATGAGTGGATCTGAATCGAGAGTAGATCACGTTGGAAATGTCTTGAACAATGAACCAAAACAACCTGCATTTGCCTCTGGAAATTGTACTATTAATGTCTCAAAATTGAGTCATGAATTACAAGTGGATGTGAAACCTGAAAAACAATTTCTCACTCCAGGATCATCCACATTTATTCAAGTCACTGTGAAAGATGCTCTCACTCAACAATTAGTACGCAATAGTGAAGTGTGTATTGTTGCTGTGGATGAAGCAGTGCTTTCATTAACTGGTTATCGAATTTCCAATCCACTTGATACATTTGTTGTTTCAAGAAATAGTAATTGCACTTCAAGATGGTCTCTTAGAAGCAATGTATTTGTCAAGAGATTTGATGACATTAGATTTAACGAACCGCCTAGAATGATTGAAAAAGAATGTGCGAAACGGTGTTGCTGTAAGAAGAGTTGTGCTGTCCCATGCTGTAGTTGTTGTGGTGCATGCAAACAGAGGTTAGCAGATTGTACAGAGGGAGAAATGGATGCCCCTCAAGAAGATTCCTCGATTTCAGTCCGAAGTAATTTCAATCCACTTGCAATATTTAGTCCAAAAGCAATGACCGATGAAAATGGTGTTGCAACGGTGAATTTAACACTTCCAGATAATTTAACCAAGTATCGAATTACTGCAGTTGCTTTGAAAGATGAAAGTCATTTTGGAATTTCTGAAAGTTCAATGACTGCACAATTACCATTGAATATTAGACCTTCACTTCCAAGATTTTTGAATTTTGGAGATTGTGCTGAATTTACATGTGTGTTACAAAATCAAACTCTTATGGATTTAAATGTGAATGTTGCCATTCGATTCACAAATTTGACATTACTGGATGAATCAAAGAGAGGATTAAATGTTAAAATTCCAGCCATGAGTAGATATGAATTGAGATTTCCAATGATGACAGAAAAAGTTGGAATTGCTCGTTTTCAAGTTGGAGTTTCCATAGCAAATAGAGGAATTAATTTTGGTGATGCTGTTGAAAAAGAAATTCGAATTTTTACACCTGCAACCACAGAAGGATTTGCCACTTATGGTGAAGTTGATAACAATGGAAATGTATTTCAACCCATTCGTGCACCTGAGAATGTTTTTCCTCAATTTGGTGGTATCAATGTCACCACAAGTTCTACTGCTTTATCTTCATTGACTGATGCATTCATTTATTTATATTCTTATCCATTTGAATGTTGTGAACAATTGGCAAGCAAAATATTAACAATTGTGGCATTGAAAGATGTTTTACAAGCATTCAACGTTCCTGATCTTCCAAGTGAAACACAAATTAATGATTTGGTTCAAAAGAGTATTCAATTATTGGAGAGTCGACAACATCCCTCTGGTGCTTATTCCTATTGGAGTTATTATAATCATTCATTAGCTTCACCATATGTGACATGTCATGTCGCACATTCATTGGCAAGAGCAAAGAAAGCAGGATATTCAGTGAATTCTAATACTATTTCAAAATTATTGAATGTTCTCAAAAGTATTGAAAATTACTGTCAAAATTATTCTGAAGAGAGTATTCGTTCTATTAAGGCCTATGCTTACTATTGTGCTGCATTATTAGATGATCGAGAAGTGAAAGATTTAGCTGAAAAATTATACAAACAAGTGAGAAATGGAAATTTAGAATATTTAGCATGGATTGCTACCACATTGTATTTGTGTTATGCAAAAACAGCAAATTCAACAGTGAAAGAAATTATTGAAACTCTATGCAAGAGAGTGAATGAAACAGCACAAACAGCAAACTTTATAACAAGTTATGGAGATGTTCAAACTTCAAAATTGATCATGCTTCATTCAGATCGAAGAACAGATGGAATTTGTTTAGAAGCTCTTATTACCATTACTCCTGAAAATACAATCATTCCAAAAATTGTGAAAGGATTATTAGCACACAAAAAGAAGGGAAGATGGGGAAATACTCAAGAGAATTCATTCATTTTACTTGCTTTAAATACTTATTTTAGAGTATTTGAAGGTGTAACACCAAATTTTGTAACAAAATTATGGCTTGGTGATGATTATTGTGGTGAACAAGAATTTATTGGACGTTCCAAAGATGAAAAGTTGATCAAAATTCCAATGTCTTATTTAATTGAGAAGGATACTCATACAAATACTCATACCAATTTGTTATCATCATCTTCATCAACAAGCAATAACTCTCAAAACAAGACACTGATCATTTCTAAACAAGGTGAAGGAAGATTATATTATAGAATTGGAATGGATTATTCACCAAAGAATCTTTTAATGGATGCACTTGAATATGGATTTCAAGTTGAAAGAAGTTATGAACATGTCACCAATGCAGAACATGTTAAATATGATCCTGAAAGAAATTGTTGGAGATTTAAGGCAGGTGAATTGGTTCGAGTGAAACTTCGTCTCACCAATACAAGTCGAAGATATCATGTAGCATTGGTCGACATGTTACCTGCTGGATTGGAACCCATTAATCCTGAATTGAAAGGAACGCCTTCGACTGCTGAAATTGGTTCTGACAATGATCATTCCAACAGGAACCATCGAAGAAGATTTTATTGTTGGTGGCGTCAACCGTGGTATGAACATCACAATATTCGTGATGAAAGAGTGGAAGCATTTTCATCATTGTTGTGGGAAGGAATTCATGAATTTAATTATGTGGCAAGAGCAACAAGTATTGGAAGTTTTGTGATTCCACCTGCAAAAGCAGAAGAAATGTACACTCCTGAAATATTTGGAAGATCTTCCACTGCATTCGCTGAGGTTTATGAGTAAAAGTGTCGACAAAAGAATAAAAGTTAAGATTAAGCCAAGATTGCAAGTCAAGTTTTATTGAAGGGTTCGTGGTTTATTTGCAAACAATTTACAACTTGGCCAATTCATCAACCAAGTCCTTGATCAACAATCCTTCTTCAACTTTTGTGGTTGCCGATTTCATCACCACTCTTGCAGCATACAGCTTGTATTCAGAAGCAGGATCAAATCTGAAATAAACATGACGATTATCGCTACCAATATCAGTCAATTCAACTTCTTCCTTGGCATTCTTCTTGGCATCGCTTACAAACGATTGCAAATCGTCAAAGGTGTAAGCATAACTGGTTCCGGATGATTTCACATACAACACACGGTCCTTCTCATGCAAGTAAACAGCAACATAGGTTCTATCCAATGTGTCAACATCGTCACAGGTGACAAATCTCACCTTGCTAACATCTACAGAGTTGTTGGAAGCAAATTCTTTGACATCGGTCAAATAGAGTGGTTTGTTCGTTTGTTCAACAAAGATTTCTCTTGTCTTGTTATCAGAATCATGAACAGTGGTTCTAATAACCAATGGTTGAGGAAGAGAATGGTGAGCTCTATTTCTAGCATTGAAATCAATTCCTGGCTTTCCTACAACTTCAATGGAACCACAAAAGACAAGGTTATCAGCAGCTCCTGCCTTAAAGTTCATCACTGGGCTATCAAAGAAGGAATAATCAAAACCACCAGACCATCTTGGATATCTTGCGCCCAACTTGACATTTTGCATTGGGACCCATTCACCACTTGCGTTCTTGTATGCCATTTCAATTTTAACAAATGACAACATGTCACTTCCCTTATTCAAAACAGTCAACGGGAATTTGAAATAATTGTTGAACTTTCCATCACGTTCCCATGAATCTTGGGTGGCTTCAACAAGATTGTTCAAAGTGTTTTGATCATCTTCAGCAACTAACAAATTGAAACTAGACTCTCCACAATCTTGATACTTTTGACAGTTAAGTCTTGGAGCTCCAGTGTTCAATTCTCCTCCTTCTTTTGAGTTTGTAACAGTATTGCTCAACAAGGTCTTGTAATAGTCCAATGGTTTTCCTGCAGGAACTTGTGGAATTGGATCTTCACTTGGAACACCCAAGAATTTCAAATGACCAATACTCAAATATCCTTGTCCTTCTTTTCTAATTCTCCAGTAAGGAGCAGCAATGTTTGGAACAACAAACGTAGTTGAATTATCTGTAATTCCATTCAATTGCAAAACTTTCTTCCATTCAATTTCATCGTGCGAATATAATAAATAAGCACCAGTCAAATATTCAGCTCCCCATCCACTTTGAAGCAATGGTTTCACAACACAAGCACAAACAGTATGTGGATGATCAAACGTTGCTTGGAAGTATGGTTTGTTGTCGTTATTAGTAGCAGCTCCATTCTCTCCCTTTTCATCTTGCAATGCTTCATAGGTGTGAGCAATTGAATCTGAGGAATATTTGGAGGATTGACGAAGCTTGTATGGGAGGGCAACTGCATCCTTTGGAGGTTCAACTTCTACAAAGGCAGTAGAAATGGCATCAACATTGGCAATTTCAACAGCTGCACCCTTTCTCAACACTCTAAACTCGGTCCATTTCAATGGAACAAGGAGAAGAGCAGGAGTTTCTTCATTGGAAACCTTAATACTTAACAAGATGTTCATGGTATTGGCTTCGTTCTTTTTGGTCAATACAAATTTAGCATCAGCATACCAATCCAGACCAGAGAATGTCTTTGATGAGGCAACTTTGCAATCAAAGTTAGCATGATATTCATCGAGAGAGGTGTGAGTAAGGATTGGAAGAGAAGCATGTTCAACCTCACTGCTTAATTGTTTCTTCAATTGAGTGAAAATAGAACTCAATTGTGAAGGAGAGTACAAGACCAGTCTTGAAACAGTACCACCATTCAACACTCTCAAGAAGAGCTTTCCATATTGTTGCAAACCAACTTGAATCGATCTCTTAGTGTTGTCTCCTGTATCTGCCTTCTCGAACAATGCCAATGGTTCATTGATGTCCAGTGTTGGTAGTAACTTGCGTGACAATAACTTGGGTTCGTAGACCATAATGATGTCATCCAATCGTTCGTTCAAAGTGTTTGATTGTAAAACTTGATTCAATACCAATTGATCACATTCTGCATCAATTTCAACTTCATCCTGTCCAGTCAAATAGGAAACGAAATCAGCATTTGGTCTTCCCAATCTAGTGGCCAATTCCTTTTTCAATTCTTGCTTCAATTCACCAAAGGTTAATTCAGCAGGAGACTTGGCAACATTGATGTAATTGAAACGGAGAGAAGTTACTTCTTGTGGCTCTTGATTTCGGTTATTTGGATTGCTGTAGAGAGATCGGTAATGAATTCTGAGTTTAGTGATAGCTTTGGAGGTGGTCATCTTGGTCGTAGTTGTATTTTGATTTTGGTGATGATGATCAAAAGGATATCACTCGGATCACAAGTGAGTTCAGTCAGAAATGCTTTTGAATTTTTTTGAGATCTTGAAACTTTTCGAGATGGAAATCCAAAGAACTCGTAGCGTCCGAGTGAATTGATTGGAATTACAATGCTGTTCGTATCAAGATCTCCCAGAACATTGAACTGATTGCAATTTCTCATTTAATTTGAGTCTTCAACAAAATGATTGTATTGGAAGGAGTTTTCGAAGAGATGATTTCTATCACGAATCGTTGCATTCCGATCAACACTTGGTAGTCTCACGGTCAGCGTTTACAGTTTTGAATTCATGCACCCATTTCAACGATTTTTAATTTCGCAAGACGTCTTGGTTTTACACAAAATAATCTCTCAATTTCGCCATTTTGATTGAGAAACACACTCTGGGGCATCCGACCCAATTCAATCAATTTACTTGTTTTTTTCAAAAAAGAAAAGGAGGCACTTCAGAACACCCAAACACGACTTGCAATAGTCCTTCTTCAAAATTCAAAACACGATTGAAATTTCGGAAAGGCTCTCAAGAGAAAGCATCTAGTCCTTAAATTGAATCAAACATCTTTTATTATTGAGAAGATTAAGGCAAACAGCCTGAACTAAACAGCTTTCATTTGGTAACACAAAATCATCATCAACACAATTTAAACTATACAGAATGAAGAACATGTTCAGAACCGTTCCTACGAAACAAGTAAATCGTTTGGCAAAATATCAAAACATGACCACCAAGAAGAACCCACAATCCTATAAGGTACTTCCGACCGGTGTGTTTGATGCCAAAGTTTCTTCCTTCGTGAATCAAACAACTACATCAGCAGAATTGAAATGTTACTTTTCAACATCCACCTCTCAACAATATGAACCAGCTAGTAGTAATAGCACTAGTACGTCATCGGGACCACAAATTACCTATGTCAATTCATCGACAAAAGCTCCGAAAGCTATTGGGCCCTATTCTCAAGGCGTAAAAGCTAATGGTAATTTCTATGTGAGTGGATGTTTAGGAATTGTAGCAGAGGTGAGTGGTTGAATTTGTCATTCGTTTTGTGTTCATGAATTTGTTGAATGATTTTCCTTTTTTGGTGGCGGTATTAATTTCAAGAGTGGAGAGTTGGCAGCCGAAGACACAGTGACTCAAGCAAGACAAGCCCTCGCTAATTTGAAGTATATTTTGGAGGAGGGTGGATGTAGTTTGAAGGATGTTGTGAAAACCACTGTGTATTTGTTAGACATTAATGACTTTCAAGCTGTCAATGAAGTGTATAGCGAATGTAAGTGGGTAAATTATTATTATTATAACAAATTTAATCATGATTACGCTCGTGGGGACAATCTAGATTTCTCTGGAGACAACAAGCCTGCAAGAGTTTGCTATGCCGTCGCAGCACTTCCAAAAAAAGCAAAAGTTGAGATTGAAGCTATTGCAATCTATAAGGAATAATTGACGACTCATAGAATGGACTCTTGAAAACTCTAACTTGCTCCAAACATGTGCTATCGTTTCAATTTCTTTCTTTAAATAACTCACACGGTGATGAATATTGTCACCTAAAGGCTAATTTGCATCTTGGAATATTTTGCCAATAGATTCCAAGAACCCAATAAACACTCCTTTTACACACAAATGATCGCCCTCTCCAACAAAAAAAATGCAAAACAAAATTAAACCCGTCGATCTGTTGACCGATCAATTTCAACAATTAAAGAATCTGAGTGTCAACAAAATACATAACAACTCATCACAAAATGAAAGGAATGAATCATTCGGAGCCATCATTGTAAATGTATCCAAAATTTTGCATGAAAATTCAGCCTATTTGGGAATATTTGCATTTTACGAAGCAAACCGCTTGACATCTTCACAATTTCTTGGCGTTTGCCGATCCTTTGTAAAAACATTGAATCAAGTATCACATTTAGAATTGTGTGGTAATCAGATGGAATGGTTCGTGGCTGAAATGAAGGGCTCCTCCCTTTCACAAGATACAAAACTGATAGTGAACAATTTTTCACACGCTCTCACTCATTTAGATCTCTCCGGAAATTTAATCAAAACGTTTCCTCTTGAATGTCTTTCCATGCCATTGAAATATTTGAATTTGCAAAATAACCATTTGAGCTCATTGGACAATTTAGAGTCGTTGATTTTCAAAAACAACAAGGAATCTTCCAAAATACAGAGAACACTTGTTGAATTGAACCTTTCCAAGAATTTAATTCAGAAAGTACCATTTCAAGTGATCACCATATTCTTTTCGGAATTGACACATTTGGATATCGGCGAGAATCCAATTGTGAGCTTTGAGTTGAGAACATTAACCTCACAGCCAAGATCTGCACATTTATTTGGCAGTGTATCTAACAAAGACAATAGTGATGAGGATTTTTCAAAATTCATTAGTACCTTCTCCAAAGTTTCACACCTTATACTCACAAGTTTGGACGCATCATTATTGGAAAAAACCATTGAAAGGAAAAAATCTTCTCAAACCAAACAATCGAGTTTATTCAATTTTTACAAAAAGAAAGAATTAGAAACTCTATCATCCAGTGGAACCTTCTTTCCATTGGAAATTCTATCATTACATCATCTTCAAGTTTTGGATTTATCAAAAAACAAACATTTACCATTTCATGAACTTGAAAAAATTGAGTCCCCTATTTTGATGAACATTGTGAATATCAATTTGTCGGAATGCTTTTTGGTCGGAAGTGTGAACAAATTATTAAGATTTGCTTCAAAAACGAATTTACAAATTCTCGACCTTTCCTATAATAATTTTTCTCATGTGGACATTCATGAATTTTCTTCTCTCAAATCTTTAAATCTTACCATGAATACAGAGTTATTGTCCAACGATGAAAATATTTACCATATTTTACAAAATTGCAATAAGGAAATGGAACACTTGATACTACAACGAATACACCAAGAAGAGATTGGATTTTTAGATACATTTTACCCAAGTTCCATCAAAAAAAACAAGTTAGATGAAACAACAATTGGAGAGTTTCTATCACGATTGAATGATTTGAAATCATTGACATTAAGTGGATGTTTCATTAAGAAATGTCCTTCTCAACTCAATGGACTACATCACTCACATCTGACCGCTCTTGATTTATCGTTTAATGAGATTTCAGAAATACCTTCTTCGTTGATGACATTGGACTCTCTCACGACACTTGATTTATCACATAATGACATCTCATTGATTAATGTTGATGATTTAGGAATTATACAATTACGAAATCTCACCATCCTTAATTTATCACACAACAACTTGTCACAACTTCCAGTTAAATTCATCATCTCCTTACCCACTATTCAAACCATTTCACTGGAATATAATGCAGAGCTACTCAAATCCATTCCTCAAGAAGTAACAGAAGAGTTCAACAAATGGTCGAACGAACATTCAAAAGTCATATTTCGACGTATATTGATTGAACCCTCGTTGGTCATCAATGGATTATATCTAAGCGGAAACGCGTCTGCTCAAAGCAAACATCAAATGAAGCGTCTTGGTATTACACATGTTCTCAATGTGGCAGAGGGATTGACGACACCATTTCCTTTTGATTTTATCTATAAAAAGGTAGAGTTGGAAGACACACTGGAACAAGACTTGTTTCCTCATTTGGATGAGTGTGTAGATTTTATTGAAGAAGCCCTAAAAAACCATAAGACAGTACTAGTTCACTGTAAAGCAGGTGTCTCTAGGTCCGCAAGTATGGTCATTGCGTATATCATGAAAAAGTATAATCAATCGTACGAGAATGCACTAGAGTTTGTTAAAGAAAGAAGGCCACAAGTTTGTCCCAACACAGCGTTCATTCACCAATTAATGCGATACGAGCAGAAACTTCGAATGGAGTCACAAGGTTCAGCCTATCCCTCTTCGAACAAGTTGGATTTCAACAGTACTATGTAAAATTTGCATATTTTATTTTACAAAATATTGTGGTGAAAGAGTTTATAGTTCAAGAAACTACTCATCACTTGTTTGCACTTTCACAGCTGTTGTTGGATCACCCACCACCTTATTCTTTTTTTCAACTCGTTTTAACAACCTTCTTTGAGGAGGGAGTAAGGATTTCATTCGAGCATCTGAAACCAAAGTAGGAGTGACATTGCTTGAAAATTCAACATCTTCTTGAATGGTGTGATCACTATCTGTGGATAATGAAAAGTGATCATCTTCCTTATCAACATTGTTACTTAATTTCTGAATTCTTGGAGAGGCAGGTTGTTTGGATTGATCCTTTGCAGGTTTGAGAATTAGACTGATATTATCCTCGGATGTGATATGTTTGTGTTGATACTTGGTGTTCTTATCAAGGAGTTGCTTGGGTGAAGAAATGTCATTCATATGTAAAGTTGGTAAATCGGAGAAGGTTAATAAAGGAGATGAGTTGGAATTAATGGAAATGTTGGAAGATGTTTCAGAATCGTCATCGTCATCATCCTCTTCACCATCTGTATCAATTCTGTGTACGTCATTGGTGAAATTCACAATTGTAACTTCAACACTTTTGGAAGCTACTGTTCGATTCTCTTCTTCATGTTTTTCACTGATGCTCTTTCTTATACTTTCATAAGGATCTTTCACTTGAGTGTCACAAACTTTCTTGAGTGAGTTATCAAAGAGTGCAGTAAAGTTTTCAATGAGGAGACATGTCACATAACTCATATGTTTCACATTTTGAGCTAATTGTACTGCATTTTCGAGTCTTGGTCTGAACAAGTTCATACTGAAAATCAAAGCAAGGTTATTGGCATGCATCTTGTTCTTTTCTTCTTGTTGTGCAACTTCATGCAACAACTTTAATAATTCATAGAGTACGACTTGGAAATGAATAGGAACCTTATTGTTGATAAACTGCTTGAGCTTATCAATTTGTTGTTCTTTCACAGTTGGATCATTTTGAATTTGCATTTCTGGACATTGAATAATTTCAGAGAAGGCCTCAAATGTCATTAAAGGTTCTTGCAATTCTCTGATGAATAGCTTTAAAATACCTGCAACACTTGGCACAAAGTAGGACTTGTGTAAATATTCAATTGGTTTTCCCATTTCAATATCTAAAATGAGTTTTTTCATGTATTGTTCATCCGAGTTCACTCGAAAGACACCTTCTTGATCGAGACCATACTCTCGGATCAAATCAAAGAGTTGTTGAATGGATGGAGGAAGACGTAAAATTCCCGAGTCATAATCTTGAATCATTACTTGTTCTAAAGGTGCTCCAAAGATGGTCTTTCGATCTGCTGTAATATGAGGGAATACATGTTTTGGAACTTCAACCACATTACGTGTACCATTGGATTTGGAAGTTTCGATATGAATTTCCTCTTCTTGTTTTTTCACAATATTGTCCAACTTTTCAAAGAGTGCCATTCCAGTACTGAAATAACAATAGTAAGCATAAATAAATGATTTGAGTTGTGAGAAATATTCTCCATCTCGTTTTGCAATTTGAAAATCCAACTCGTTGTGATAATCCGAGTAGGCAGTGTTAAGATTTTTAGCCATTTGTTTAAAGTCCTCTTCAACTTTTTTAGTTCTCTCTACATATTGTGGATCATATTCTCCATTTTCATTGGGCTTGGAAGAGAAACCATCCTTGTCAGGATTCACACGAGGTGTGTCAAGTTTGAAAGATTCATATTCGTTTTTAGCTGATTCATATTTGTTTCTAAATTTGACAACATTCTTTCCGTCTTCTCTTATGGTCGCTGTGGCTTCCTTAAAATCATCGAGTTTTGTCATCTGAGTTTGAGATTGTTGATTAGTTCACCAAAAGAATAAATGTTAGGGCCCGAACACCATATATAGATTTACATGGTCGTCACCACACATATTCAGAATTATAATTTTCACACTCCAGTGCACATTTCCAAACGCTTGATACTTACAGCTTGTGACAAGAGGGTGGATGTTGATTTCAAATTATTTCCAAACTTTCTCAAAGTATCTGACAATTCTCGATTCGATTTGAGTCTACCAGCGCCATCTACAAAGAGTGACGCCACTTCTTGTTCCTTTTCAATCATTTTGAGAGAAGTCTTTTTGAGATCGACCAACTTCTTTTCTGCCTTTTTATAAAACTCCATCGATTCTTGGTGTTCATCATAGATTTGATAAAATTCGGGTACAATTTCTAATGGAGGTTTTAGAGGAGGAACTGAAGAATTGCCGTTTGTATTTTGTAAATTCGAACATGATGATGATTTGGATGTTAACTGTTGTCCGGATGCAGTAGAAGAAGTATTGTTGAGAGCAGGTTGAGAGGAAGAGCTCGCTGATGATTGATTGTTATTGCTCGTCGTGTCGACAGACGATGGAGTTGATCCAGTAACGATGATCGACTTTTCCGTGTTGCTGTTATTCCTTTGAAACCCGAATCGTGTTTTGAGTTTGTTGGAGAAGGCTTGAAGATTGTTGCTACTCATGGATGTTGGTTGAGGGGGTCGCTTGGAGTGTGTGAGAAGAGTCAAAATTTGTATGAGATCGCTGTGTTGAGAGAGTGTTTCTTTGCCTTGTGCTATTTGTTTTATTTGTGAAATTATTGTAGTCACACATCAATCACAAAAAAGGACAGATGACATACATTGTAGCGAAACGAAATTCTCATCACACCAAAAGCATCCTTTCCTTTTGTTGTGGGAAATGAAGATGCAACAACATCGCTGAAGGCAGCCAATCACAAATCCTCATTATTCGCTGCACTGGTTGGTGATTGGTGGCACAACAATGAGCGGATTCGGCAAGCGATGGTGATTACGACAGATCACAACCAAGATTTCTTTGGTTTAAGGCCTAGCATGAACTGCACACAGGGTATATGTTTTAATTGCCTGATTCTTCTCTCTGTTCATATTTCCAAAACTCTTGTACATCGACTAGAAGACCAACTACAGTTGAACCGACCTCTATGCTTTTTACCAAATCCTCAATGGTTATGTTTTTCTTGTCCTTAGGTTTAACCATTGAGTAAATTTCAAACACAATGTCAGCAGTTTTTACGGGGTCTTCAAAAGAATCTTCGGCGAGATCATTTGTTGCATTTGATGATTTGGCGTTCTGCCTTATTTTCTTTAGCATATCTCTAAAGTAATAGTTAATAATGAAGGGGGTTATTCGACCAGTTTTGGAATTGTCTAAAATGTTGAAGAAGTATTTGATAGATTGAACAGTCTTCTTGTTCTCAAATGCCAGCAAAAAGTCGACAAATCCTTTGTAGTCTAGTTTGCCATTCCTGCTACCATATTCTTGAAACATTCTATTGATGAACCCGGTTGTAAGTGAATTGGCATTGAATTTGGAAAACTCATTCTTGCTCAATAACCCGCTTCTAGTAAAATCTAGTTGAATGAACGCTTCGTTCACACTTTTTACAGAAGGTATGGAAAACCAGTTATTCATTTCTTCTTCCTCAGATAAATCGTCGTTTTGCAATTCATTAAACTCTACTAGCTCTTTGCTTCCAAGAAATTCTTCCACACAAACTCGACCGTTGTGGGCATTATGAAAGAACATAAATTTTCTAACACTAGTTTCCACATAAATCTTTCTAAAATTCTTGTCATTCCTTAGTATGGGATTAGTGCTCAATCCCACAAACTGTTCAATTGAATTATCCACAAATCTCTCCAAGTCTTTCTCAGTTAAATAGCCGTCGTTATCTGTGTCATACGACATGAGTATATTTCGATTTTGAATGAGTGACACTTTTCTCAGGATGTGATTGAAAAACACCGGTATGTTTATCCTCCCCATTTCGTCTTTTGGAAGTTTGAGAAATAAAGACGAACTAAAATATTCTTTGGCTTGCTCTTTTGGAAATTGCTTTTTCACTGTTTCATAACCAACAAACGTCAGCTTTTCATTCCCTTCCTCCATGGCTGAATCCTGCTCTAACAAGAGTTCCCACACCTTGTCTAGCTCACTTGACGATAACACTGATTTTTCTCGGCTTGAAATGAAACGTTGCTTTACAACGTCCATGAATAGATTCTGTATTTTATCTCTGTCCGAAGTATTTCCCTTCTTTGAGAAGAAAAATCTCGGAATGAAGTTGAAGGAACGATCTTTTTGAATTGCTTGTTGATGTATTTCATTTTCAATTTCAATCATTGTTTCATATTCTACTTCGGCAGGATCTTGGTTTGAAAATTGGTCATTTGATATATATTGAATCAATCATCAATGCTTACCTGGTATCACTTCCGTGGCCTTCTTCTCTTGTATAAACCCTTTAAGATCCGAGATCAAAGTAGTGATGGGCATTTTGATTTTTTTTTGGTGGTTCAAATGTTGTACATTTTGGCGGTTGAAAATTTTCATCCTAAATAGAAGCATGGCATGTTCAAATATTTCAATTATACTGAGACTTGCGAGACTTACTGAATATACTTTCTTCGACACACATTAATTTCTAGCTTTATTAATGTTAATGGTCGAGACCACAACAATGATAATAATCATAACAACATAGATCATACACGATGCAATAATAAGGCCAAGCCCAACATTTCCCATCTGAACACAAAAATGAATTCGATCGTTCAATTAAGAGAATGTTCGAAAGGAATGCTAATTGCAAAAACAACTTACTGTTCTCGCTTTATGCGAATATTTTGAGCTGTCACGTGTAACAAAGAACAGAAATATCCAAACAAGCGGAATGAAGAATCCAATAATGAATAATAACAAGCATGTATCATCATTCTTTTTCTTGGTATAGTCACTATCATAATGACTATCAAACAAATCATAAAAACGTCAAGTGTCATCATAATTTTTGTTTCGATCCATTCACTTACGGTTGAATAAAACCTGTTGTGGCTGTACTTGTTGTTTGTACTCCAGCAGTTGTTGGTGTGTAATATTGTGGTGGCGGAGTGGAATAGGGTAAATAATTCGGATCTGTTGTGGTAGTGTTGTAATATTGTTGTGGTTGTGGTGGATAGGGAGTAGTGGTGTGTACACTATCGAATTGGGCGTAGGGAGTGTTGTCCTGATGCATTGTTGATGCTGTCAAGAAGTGTTGATGTTTGAATATGTTTGATGATGGTTGTGCTAGAGACTTTGAATTTTTTTCAAATTGAATAATAGTAGAAGTTCAATGTCAGTGCGTTCGATGCCAATAACTACTAGCCTTTGTTTGTTACATGATGTTGGCATCTTCTTGATCATTATTCCAAGACACACAAGTCCTTCAGGAACAACGTTTGAACTTTGAACTTTGCAAACACAAAAAAATGTTGTCGACGACGAATGCCAGGCACGACCTTTCATCACCCACTCAAATACGATCATCATCGTTAACAGGGCCGATGAACCTCTTCATAATGATGGCCATTTCTATTACTCTACTCTTGATCCTATCTTCCTCATCATCCCTAGTGGAAACAGCAATCATTCCACTGGTTATTGGACAAACCAAATACACACTCAATACATCCGAAACTTTTACAATCAGAGAATTGGAGAGCCAACATTCGGAATCGGATACCTATAGCGTTTTATACAACATTCCATTGATTTATCAAAGAAAATCTGATTCCTCTCTTATTTCAATACCTTCCATGATTGCTCTCTTTTCAAACACAAGCAAGGCTTATCTTGTTGTTGATCCATATAATTTTCCATTAAGTGTTTCAAATATTGAAAGTATATCTGGAATGCTTCCTTCATTGTTTAATGAAGACGTGTTTGGAAGTGAGTTCTACATTCGGAAATTATTAGACTGGCAAGGAGTGGATCCATCAGTCACTCCGCAATGCAATTATTTAGCAAACTATGAGACATCTAATTCAGAAGCAGAATATTCGAAAAACTTGTTTTATTGTGATAATTCTGCATTATCCTCACGTCATGTGTTTATTCTTTCTTCAAAATCTGGATATATTCGATCTAAGCATGACAATACATGCTTACAGTATATCGCCAAGACAGATTCCAAGACCAATCAATATATTGTATTTCAATTCCGTTCATGTGAACTATCTCCATTACAATTATTTGGATATACTGGTCAGTACATTTCTGTGAATCAGAATGACAAGGTTTTATTTGTGGCGGATAGGATGCCTACTGTCACACGGATTGTGACTCCTCCTGGATCGATTGATGTTGGACCAGTCAAAGAGTTGAATGCTTATGGTCGTAATCTTCAATATCCTTACAGAGCTTATCAATTTTATTTTGAGCCAACCAATGGATTCAACAAGACAGTCACTATCGATGAAAATGGACCATACTTTTACCCTCCGCTCTCTCTTTCGAATGACACTAATATGTATTATTCTAATTTGGTGACATTTATCAATACGAATTTGAACACAGTGCTACAAACTTCTGTGGTGAATAGGCTCTATGTTGGATATCAAAGACAGAAACGATTACCATTTCCAATTCCACCTGATTCCTTGTTGTACACCTATATTTTCCTTCCAATTGCCGTTTTTATTGGAGGTTTTGTGACAATGTTCTTTTGTGTCATGTCTTGTTGGATATTTGTTTACATTAAGAAAAATTATTGTAAGCCATAAAGCGCTGCACGAGAGCAGTTTGTGCAATCAAATAATATCACAATAGCCGTTGAGATCATGAAAATGATCATTATTGAATGTGATCACTTTTTGAAATTAATGACGCATTACAGAAATAAATTAATAGAGAAATATGTGTTGTTCTGTTGATAATTAATAAACATGTGATCAGATTTAATGGCTGTAGGAGGATTTTAAGAAAATCAATAAATCTTCAATTCCTTCTGTCATTTGTAACACACGCTCCATTTGCTGTTGAATATTTACAAGCTGTGTTTTAATTGTTTTAATATTGCTAGAATCAATTTCTTTTTGCAATTTTAATAATTGTTGGTTCATGTTATGAAACACCTGTTCCTGGGATTGAGCTTTATCTTCAGCCAATATACTTTTTCCGATGAGAGCATTTGTGTTGGATAATATTACATGCCACTGATTTTGCTGATATTCTACAAATGATGTTCCCGGAGTCAAGTCAGGAGGTAAAAGCAGAGGAGTGAAAATCACAGGTGGTGTGCTTTGCATTTTTTTTATTTTGAAATTCACAAATCATTCTGCAATTCGGCAAAGATTGGAATTCAAGGACTTGGTGCTCTGACTTTGAAACCCAACAAAGGATTCGGCACATATTACCACAATATGTATTTTTAATAAGTCACGCTTTTTGTAACATCTTAATACTACATGGACAATCCTCCCACTTGTTGAGAACTGACATCCCACAACTCATCTTGATATTTTTGTTCGTACGTGCCTTTTAGACTCTTTTCCTCTTTCCATTGTGAATAGTATCTCATTCCTTTTTCAATTTGAATATCAAACATATTTTTCCAAAAAAAATATAAAACAAGTGTACCTACCTGTTAGCCCTGCAGTTTGAGGATGAACAGCATGATACACAAGAGCCAAGCTAGCATGTTCAGGACTCTCGAAAAATAAACTTCCAAGCACAGAAACAAAGCCTCCCCACAAACTGTCAAACAGCTTGGTGTTGACCACTCCAGGATGTATTGCTACTACACTGACATCTGATTGAGGTTTCAGTGTATTTTCATTTAATCGTCGTGCCAGTCCATATGCAAATAAAACATTGGCAAGCTTGCTATTTGAATAGGTTTGTTGAGTAGAAAATTGTTGTTTTGCCTCTTCCTTGGATTTAGCCCAGCTCAATAATTGCGCAATATTTCCATATTTGTGAGCCATAGAACTCACAATAACCACTCTCGCAGGAGCACTTTCTTTCAATTTATCCAATAATAAATTCACTAACAGAAAATGTCCCAAATGATTCACTCCATAAGTCATCTCAAATCCTTGTTTTGTTTCATAATATTCATTTGGCCACACTCCAGCATTGCAAACTAGAGCATGAAGTGGAATTTCTTTTTCCAGAAATAATTTTGCACAATTTCTAACAGAATTCAAATCACTGAGATCGAGTGGAATAAATTCCATCATGGCATATTTGTTCGAAGATTTAGAACGAATATTTTCCATCACATGTAAAGTTTTTGATTCGGAGCGACAAGCAAGAATGATGTCCTCCACTTCTTCATCATCCACTGCCATTACAGAAAGACTCAATTTCTTTGGCACAAAAGTTGTCATGGTCACTGGAGCCAGTGAAGGTATGTTTGGTTGATGAAAATTTGTGTCCATGCATTGGGGTTGTTGTAGGCTTAGGATTGCACTGCGTGAAACATTTATTTGAAATGGGATGCCACATCAAGTCTTTGGAGAATTAGAAGTCAATTTTTTGAAGGATCTCTCGCAATTACCAAGTAATTTGAGACTTGCCATTTAGATATCCTTTTGCAAGAGATACTAGTCGGTGGTAATGCAAGAGAGAGATTTCTTTCACCTCGGAACACTTCAAACTACTATAAAAACATCCCTCGTTGGGCGTCATTCTGAATACGAAATCTACAAATTACCAAAGGATCATCATGAATAATAAGAAACGAATCAACGTTTTTACTTCCATTACATCGAACATCTTCATAACAACGCTATTGTTTCTAATTCCCAACCATTCGTTCCGATATTTACTTGCTCAACTGACGCCAGAATACCCTCGAATGCTTCCATCACCTCATGTTGATAAAGTACTGAACCAGTCTCAATTAAACCGAACAGAATCATCTCCAAATGATCGTTGTCATCCTTTTCTCTATGAATTGGGATCTTTCAGCCGGGATAATGTCACCATGATTTCTAAAGGATCATGTCCAGAAGCATGGTCAGTTTTCCCAATTTCTCTTTTCCTTCTTGTGTTTTATATTTTTCTATTTGTGGTGAGTCTTGTTGGCCTCATTTACAAACGAAACAGTGGTCATGTGCGTACAAGGAATCCAGTATTCATGATATTGAACATGATCGCATGCTTCATTTGTGTTTTTATTAATTGTATTAGATTTGTTGTAGGAAGAAACATCTATCCTTGTGGAATTTATTTATTTACGTGGTTTGTGTTGCCCTCACTGATTTGTTTGCCCACTATCTCCAAATGTTTAAGGTTGTTCATGATGCATAAATTGAATGTACAAAAAACGAAAATGATGGAATTAATTAAGAAAACCAATGTCGCCACCAACGCTCAATTAGAAACACTTTCAAAGAAAGACGTCATTGATGAAGAGGAGCATGAGGTCCGCAAGAATGTTGACAACTCCACAGTTGAACATCCTATTTCAATAGATCAAAAAACAGATCCATCCAACATGGACACCAAATCAATTCAAACAAGTGACGATATGCGTTCTCGTTTTGAAAAGACAATGAAAATTTTCTCTTTTGTTGCAAGCTACAAGCTTATCCTTCCCGTCTATATTACTGCTGCGGTATTCAATTTTTTGCTTTTTGTGATATTAGGAGGTTATGAATTCAGTGAAATGGAGAAGAATAATCCTCCAATATTTGCTCGTGACCAAGGAGGACTGTTCACCTTTCATACTGGATGCCGTTCAAGCTGGTCCGTTATTTACGTTCTAGTCTCAAACGTGGCTATTTTTCTGTTTTTGGAAATATTGGCTTTGATTTTAGTTGCTTTCGTTGATAGGGATACTTGGTTTATTAAGAGAGAGGTAAGCGATTGTTTTTATCCGAGGATATCTTAATTGGGCGCTTTTAGGTGTTTATAATGGTTATCATTCAAATAGCAACAGCGGCGACATTCTTCATATGTTTTGCAGTACCTATTATGTCCACTTTAGTTGATTATATTGTTCCATATGGATTAGTTTGGATTGTTGAAAATTGTTTAGAAACATTCATTAACGTAACCCTTCCAGTGTTGTATGCTTTTATATGGGACCATAGAAAAACAAAAATTCGACAAGATTTGATCAATCATACTGCTCTAACATACTTTCTCTCAAAAAGGAAAACTTTCAACACGTTTTTAGATTTTTGCAGACGATCCTTTTGCGTTGAGAATATTCTTTGTTACGAAATGATTTGCTTGTACAAAAAGTCCTCAACCATTAAGAACAGAAAAAAGCTTGCCGTGAACATTTGTGAGACCTTTCTTAAACCAGGAGCAGTTCTTCAGCTTAACTGGTCCAACGTCTCGGCAATTTATCAAGAAATAAGCTGTACTGTGGAATCAGGGGTTATATTAGAGCAAAGCTTGTTTGATGAAGTGCTGTTTGTATGTTTAACCAACATGACTGATGCTTTCGAAAGAATGAAAGCACAAAACGCACAAGTCAAGAGCCACATTACTGAGTGGATGAATTCACATGACCGCTCACAGCAGGTGTTGCAAGTATAGTCCAAGTTCAGGTTTGATCGTCTGTTATTGAAAGCTCGCTCAACAGGTTAATGGTTTGTAATCGTGCCAATTGCAATTTTTGCAGTTGTAAGAACATGTCTTCGTGCTTGTGGTACACAGACTCGGCTGCCTCCTTAAAAAATATAAACGCATGGTTCAACATCTCCAGGAAGCTAGAGTAACGAGATCTAAGCTTGAGGTATTCCGCATTGTGTTCAAGTAAATTTGAAAGACTTGGCTCGGGAGGTATTTCTTGTTTAGATTCTTGAGCTATTTTAGATTCTTTCATCCACTTTCTCCGTATTTCCCTTTTTCGAGATGCTAACTCGTCTTTGTAAATAGCTCTATAATTGTATATTAAATGCTTGCATTGCTGAATTCCCAAAACATGTAGCAAAGTAGATCCCTCCAAAATGTCGTACAGCAAGCATCCAACAAGCTCAAATAGCTCTTTGCAAACTGTACATGTGCTAAGAGATACTCCATTAACTATATTTTGTGCAAGTGCTTGGCAGGAATTTTTGATCATGTTTTGGATATACCCCAAGTAGATGCAATTTGCATCCATCTGGTTTGCTTCATCAAATACAAATGTAGATCTTATAACTTTTGCTCTGTCAATAAAGAATGAAGGTTGTTCATGTCTGGTAAATAATGAGATATTACCGACAAAACACAATTTCTTTGACACACCGAATATTTTGTCGTCCTCTGGAAAAACGATATCATGTTCTTGCAGGTAGTCGTAAACAACAAAGGTGTTTGATCTGTCTTCCAGAGCTGGTAGAATTCTAACAGTATTGGCAGAATACTGAATGTTTTTGGCTGTAATTACTTGATGCAAGGGAAAGTCTTTGAGAATTCTCTTTTCAATAAATATTTCAATATTCTCAAAAGGATACACTCTGTAAATATACTCTTCACTCATTGGTATGGCTTTGTTCTCGCTTTTGTTTAAAACTGACACTAAATAGTATCTGCAATATTTAAATAAACACTCAGTTCCTAATGTTTTTTTTGAGTTAAGAAGTGAAACTTCTGATTGGAGTATTTGAAGAACATTTTCCGAGTTTGGTAATTGACTGTAGTATTCAATCAACCTCTGATAAATTTGATGTGATAAGGTCAAATGTCCTGATTTCAAAAAAAGAGATGCGCTTTGGTGAAGATGTTCAACCATTTTCTCTATTGAACTCTTTGGAATAGATTTCTCGCTGATGACAAAACGATGTGGAACCATCGAGTCTTCAAATAAATGCCATAGATTCTGGGGAACATTTACAATCTTATATCTGGGTTGAAGTAACTTGAGAAGCCCGTCCTCAATAGACAGCACATTTGTAACGAAGAACTCCATCTCGTGAAACGCAGGTCTAGAGACATCAATACCATTGTTTCTAAAGCTTTCATAAATGATACTAGAGTACCATAGTTGGCAATATGCCAGATCAATGACTTGATGAGGACTAATAGTTCTAACATATTCCTCTAAAAATTCCTGTGCGGTCAAGTACTGGCACAATCGTAGTGAAACGTGAATTAGTTGTTGGATGTCACGATCGTTTCTAAGGTGATGAACGGAAAAGTCATATAGTTGCCCAAATGCCTCATGCATTTTGGCTTGCAGTTCACTACTACCGTTTAAGATTAAAAACCATGAAGGAGCCTTCTCATGACTGTACAAATTGTTGCAGTATTCCATCATCTGGCAAGAAGAAGTAGGACTGTTGAAAAGTAATTTTACGTTGTGCCTCAACCCATCCAAATCTTTAGAGTGAGTCTTAATTAAAACTTTGAGAATACTTGCATGGATCTCAAGCGGAGACCCATGAATCAGAAACGAATGAACAGATATCACCCAAATGATAAAGTGAATATATACATTTTCGTTTGAAAAGGACCAAACTTCTACGAATTCATCTACAATATCCTTATGCTCCGATACGAGCTGATGAACGTTACCACTACTAAACTTGTACATTAATTCATCCAAATCATGATGAGAAAGTAAAGAGCTCTTCATCATCTCCAACAACATCTTTGTTATACCTTGATGATCTGTTGAATTTTCTTGTGGCATTGTGGCTTTTGTGATCGATTTCGAGAAATTTTTATGTGCCTAAAGTTGAAAATATAATCAATTTTGGAGCATCCAAATATGCTTTGGGCTTGAGTACCTCCGTTGAAAATTTGTATGGAGACGATTTCGTTCATATCGGTCAGTAGCACATGCTCATACCCTTTTCTATTTTGTTGAAGGATGAATTTGTCATGTTTTTTGAAATTTCTCATCCTTCCACTTTTTAAAAGCTAAAAAAAATCAAGGTCGTTTGTGTTCCATCGCAAAGTAAGTTCACTAGAGAGATAGCCTTCGTCTGTGTCAAACAGCGTTTATTTTATGAATCGGATTATTGTTGGTACTCGTTAAACGAACCTGCTCATCGATTAGAATCATCATGACTGAAGGCAAGCAAGTGGAACATGTAACATACATTGTTGCTGGAAACAAGTTTGAAATCCCATCGAGATATGAAGTGAAGAAGGTGATTGGGCAAGGAGCATATGGTGTTGTTGTGTAAGTGCGTGCAAGGTTTTGTTGTTTTAAAATAATTTTTATGTTTAATGATAACTTTTATGATAACAAATATGATCATCAAATTTAACGTCGCTCAACATGTTGTTTTTTCGTGCGATGATCATACATTTTCAAATTTATATTTTTGGTATAAATCATTACTATTAACTAACCACCCGATCCATTACATGCAGATCTGCGTGGGATAAAGAACGAAATGAAAACGTAGCAATTAAAAAGATTTTCAACATTTTCGAACATGACAGAGAATATCAAAAGAGAATTTTGAGAGAAGTTAAAATTCTTCGTCATTTTGATGCCTGTGAAAATGTCGTTCAATTATATGATTTAATTCTTCCTCCGTCCTTTGAAGAATTCAATGATGTTTATATTGTAATGGAATTTATGGATTCGAACTTGAGACAAATGATTAAATCAAACCAGGAGTTGACAGACCAAAACATTCAATACTTTTTGTATCATTTGCTCAGAGGCTTGAAGACTATCCATTCAGCTAACGTTTTGGTAAGTACTAGAAAATTACTGTGGAATGCTCATTTACATATGAACACTTGAAGCACAGAGATATTAAACCATCTAACATTCTCATTAACGGAGACATGGAAATCAAATATTGTGATTTTGGATTGTCACGTGGAATTGAATCTGATACAAATCCAAAAATGTCAACAACCTATGTTGCAACACGTTGGTATAGAAGTCCAGAATTGTTACTCATGTGGGACCAAGCCGGAAAGGCATTAGATATATGGAGTCTTGGATGCATTTTTGCTGAAATGCTCGACAAGCCACCAAAAAGAAGAGTTCTTTTCCCTGGAAAAAATTATCTCAACCAACTGGATTTGATTCTAGACGTCACAGGAACTCCTCCAGAAGAAGATATCAGAGGATGTGCCAAGGCCAAGAGATACATGTCTGGTTTGCCTCACAAGCCCAAGCAAAATTTCAAAGATATTTTCCCACATGCTAATCCGTTAGCAATTGACTTGCTTGAAAAGATGTTGGCTTTTGACCCATTGAAGAGAATAACAGTTGAAGAGGCTCTTAAACATCCATATTTGGAAACCATGTACGAAGAAGATGATGAAGAAGATGGAGTTGAGCTTTTCTCTTTCAATTGTGACAACGACATGCCACTCGAGAAAATCAAAGAACTTTTGTACGAAGAAATTGTGGACTTCAACAAATGTCATGGTGTTAACCTAAAACCAATTATTTTAAATCAAGTGTTTGAAGTAAAGGAATAACAATTTTAATGGTTGAACATGCTGTCAAAGTAGTTGCACAAGCGATCCACATACTTTTTAAGGGAATTGGGTGGTTGTTGTTCCAACGACCTCTCACCCACGATTGAATCAACAACATCAAAAAACAAAATGCTTTACACAACCTCACGAGCTGCTCTTTCTCCCATCAAGTCGTCGAAAAAGTGGTCCACCCGCACATCAACATTATGCATTTTGTTTACTAATTCAATAAGGACATATTTTCATCACAGATACACTCATTCAGATCCACACCTCCACACCCCTCCTCTCTCCCCATCGTCATCGGAACAAGCCCATCCAAGAAGTCAACAGCAGCTTCTGGATATCATGCATCAAGTGAATTATGTTGCTGAGCACAACCAAAAACTGTTGAGGGAGTTCGAACAATTAAAGAGACAACTGGAAGAAAAAGAGACAAAAAGTTTGTGCTCTTGGATTGATACCAACCCGTTCAAATTCGGAGTGTTATGTGGAACCATAGTGTTCATGATGGTTGTCACTAGGTTAGAGCTGAAGAAGAACAAAATGAAGGTGTCTCAATTAAGGGAAAAATTAAACGAGTTAGCACAGCAGAAGAAGCTAGCAGCATTCAACGGGAGAGGAAATTAGAAACTTCTTGAAATACTCGCGTTCATCCGTTTCAGGCAATGAGGTACTGTCAATAAATGGCATTTCGAATCCATGTTTGAAACAGACTGGTTTTTAATGAATAACAGACAATTGTTATTTCGTCACATAAAATTACACACTAACACCATGATCGACGACTAATCTGGCACACTCGTTTGCTGCCAACTGAAGGTTGTGAGGAGAGTAGACATGTACGTATTTGAATGGGGGAAGAGATCCAGCAGATCTTTTAAAACCAAGGCTTCGTAACAAGATCTTGCATTCCTCAAATGATCCCAATGAAGGTACCTCGACTACTACTGGATAGGTATATATTGTGGAGCTTTCTGTAAGTGAGTCCATGACTTCAACTCCCACCACAATTTCACTTTGGTTACCAAAGGGAAGAGGAGTTATCACCATGTCGTTACTCACATTTTCGTGATGTACTTCCCTTATGCCTTCCTCCAGCTTAAAAAAGTAGGAGAATCGTAGATGATCTGCCCTGCAGTTTTCAATCACGTGAGAAAATTCAGTGTCAAATGCAAAGCCCGAGGTGGGTGTTACGTTAAAGTTACAGTGTCTGGATGATTTAAGGATCTTGAAGGGATGGTCGAACGTGGAACTGGTTAACGAATTGGTATCGGTAACGGTTAAGGTGATGACATAGGTAACGTCTTCCTGAAGATTAAAAACAGGATATACGAGAGTGGTATTGTAATAATCAATAGCAGTCCCGTTAATCGTCCAATTAATCATCAAATCATTGGCAACGACAACCTCAATCATCACATCATCAGTATATTTAATCTCATATGTTTGAGGTGAAACATTTACTACCGTAATATTGGGAGCAAGGTTTTGACTCTCTACCATTTCGGTTGCCATTAAGGAGGCAAATATGAACACAGCAAGCAAAGAAGCAACGAAGTAGGAGGTGGTCATATTTTTTCTAGAAATGATACTGCTATTACTGTAATATCCTTGGCTCAACTCCAACATTTCAATTATTATTTTTCTAATCGCAGCGTTCTCAATTTTTTCACCATCACTTTCTACTACACTTGTAGAAAGTGATGACATCGGAGCCATGAAACCCCAATTACAAAAAAATGTCCAAGCTCGATCTCAGTGATTCCAAAGTGAAACAGGCTCTTGATGATGTTACGAACTCCAAGCTCGTTTATGCTCTCTTGAAACACGAAGGAGTCTCCAACAAGGTCATTGTAGCATCAACCGGAGATGATCTTCGTGATATGATTGATGACTTGAACGATGGAACCATCATGTATGCTTTGATCCGTTTTGTAATTAATGACGCCACCAAGTTTGTTTATGTGGTATGTTGAAGAGTTTTTTTGATCCAACAAAATTTATGTTTTTTAAATCATCACTAATAATTTATAATTATAATATTATCATCTCATAATTGATGAACTGGCCAACACTGCTATCCGCAATTCTTCACTCTTGACAACACCTCTGTTGACCACAAAAATGATGTGTGAAATTTGACGGATGATGACCGATACCTGGCCAACAACACTCTTATTCACCAAACTCAAGGGATGGTGTCCAGAGGGTATCGCCAACCAAATCTTCAAAGGAAAATTCCAAAACTGGAACAAGGACATGGAATTTTATCTGTAAGTTTTAAATGTGAAACTGATCCGAATTTGATTTTCAATTTAAATTTAATGGCATGTCATCTTTTCAATTTCACTAACTTAATTCTCAAACACTTCTTAATATTCTATCTCGTACGTACACAAATAGTAAAGGAAGATATCACTTGTCTATCTATGCTCGCAACGAAGAGGACATTGATGAACAAGCTTGGATTAAAAAGTTGAAAATTAGTGCTGGTTCTTCCTACACTCAAAGTTCCAATGTGAAAGATTTGACAGTTTCACAAGCAAAACAAAACATTGCATCTGCTAAAACTGAGGTCAAGAAAACTGAGGTGGGAATCAATGATAATGAAAGAAACAAATTTTGGCAAGAGGAACAAGAACGTCTCAAGCAACAAGAACAAGACAAGAAAACCCCAGTAACAAGAAATGATTACAAGAAAACAGAAGAAAGAAACCAATTTTGGCAACAACAACAATCGTCCACTTCTTCTTCTGGTGTTGTGAAGAGTTCTGATCGTGTAAATGAAATTCAACAAATGAGATCATCTTCTAACAATTACTGGAAGCAACAACAAGAAGAAAAACCGTCTCAAACAGAAACAAAACCAAAAGAAGTCATTCGTGGTAATAAGGATTTATTCAAAAAGTTTGAGAATTTGAGTGTTCAACAGCAAGAAGAGCAACCAAAACCAAAACCACCAATTTCAACAGGAGCCACCAAAAAACCACCCGTGTTCCAACCACCTCAACAACCACCAAGATTCGACGATGAAGAAGAAGAGGAACAACCTCAACAATATGAAGAAGAATATCAACCATCCTATGGCCAAAGTCATGTTGAGTCCCATGCTGAAGAAGAGGAACAACCTCAACAATATCATCATCAACAAGAGCAATACTATGAAGAGCCTCAACAGCCTCAATATGAGGAGGAACAACCTCAACAATATGAAGAGGAAGAGGCTTCACAGCCACCTTCAAGTTCTGGATTTTCCAAGCCTGCCAAACCAAAAGGGTATGTTTGTTTTGAATATTTGTTTCATTAATCTAATCATCGACACTTTGAATCATTTCTAGATACATGGAAAAGCAAATTGAACAGGGACGTATCTCACCCACAGAAGTCGAGGAACTCACCAAGCCAACTAAACTTCCACCTCCTCCAATTCCAAGTAAACCAAAGAGACAAGAGTTGGTTGCCATTTATGATTTTGAGTAAGTAATTCATAGAAAATGCAATATCTTTTACACATTGTTCTTATTACAACAGAGGCCAAGACGGAGAAGAACTCTCATTCCTCGAAGGAGAAGTTCTCTATTTGGTACAAGACGAAGGAGAATGGTGGTTAGCTGAAAATGCTGCTGGTCAACAAGGATATATTCCTTCCAATTACGTACAAATGCAATAAATGTAATTTAGATTGAAATAATTGGCCAGTGCTAATTCTGTAATGACGTCTTAACTGGATTCTTTTATTAAGATTTGTTTTTTGACAAACTTTTGGCTCAATGAATGTAGGTCAAATTAATCTTACTCATAAACCTCAGCGAATGCAGTGGACGATCTTCCAAATATTTCAGGAGTGTACATTTCTTCTGCTTTTGCAGGTGGAATCACAAAACTTCCAATACTTGTTGCTCTTGCCACATAATTAAATTCATGAATTCCTTCCCATAACAATGATGAAAATGCTTCCACTCTTTCATCACGAATATTGTGATGTTCATACCACGGTTGACGCCACCAACAATAAAATCTTCTTCGATGGTTCCTGTTGGAATGATCATTGTCAGAACCAATTTCAGCAGTCGAAGGCGTTCCTTTCAATTCAGGATTAATGGGTTCCAATCCAGCAGGTAACATGTCGACCAATGCTACATGATATCTTCGACTTGTATTGGTGAGACGAAGTTTCACTCGAACCAATTCACCTGCCTTAAATCTCCAACAATTTCTTTCAGGATCATATTTAACATGTTCTGCATTGGTGACATGTTCATAACTTCTTTCAACTTGAAATCCATATTCAAGTGCATCCATTAAAAGATTTTTTTGTGAATAATCCATTCCAATTCTATAATATAATCTTCCTTCACCTTGTTTAGAAATGATCAGTGTCTTGTTTTGAGAGTTATTGCTTGTTGATGAAGATGATGAGGATGATGATAACAAATTGGTATGAGTATTTGTATGAGTATCCTTCTCAATTAAATAAGACATTGGAATTTTGATCAATTTTTCATCTTTGGAACGTCCAATAAATTCTTGTTCACCACAATAATCGTCACCAAGCCATAATTTTGTTACAAAATTTGGTGTTACACCTTCAAATGTTCTAAAATACGTATTTAACGCAAGTAAAATGAATGAATTCTCTTGAGTATTTCCCCATCTTCCCTTCTTTTTGTGTGCCAATAATCCTTTCACAATTTTTGGAATGATTGTATTTTCAGGAGTAATGGTAATAAGAGCTTCTAAACAAATTCCATCTGTTCTTCGATCTGAATGAAGCATGATCAATTTTGAAGTTTGAACATCTCCATAACTTGTTATAAAGTTTGCTGTTTGTGCTGTTTCATTCACTCTCTTGCATAGAGTTTCAATAATTTCTTTCACTGTTGAATTTGCTGTTTTTGCATAACACAAATACAATGTGGTAGCAATCCATGCCAAATATTCTAAATTTCCATTTCTCACTTGTTTGTATAATTTTTCAGCTAAATCTTTCACTTCTCGATCATCTAATAATGCAGCACAATAGTAAGCATATGCCTTAATAGAACGAATACTCTCTTCAGAATAATTTTGACAGTAATTTTCAATAGTTTTGAGAACATTCAATAATTTTGAAATAGTATTAGAATTCACTGAATATCCTGCTTTCTTTGCTCTTGCCAATGAATGTGCGACATGACATGTCACATATGGTGAAGCTAATGAATGATTATAATAACTCCAATAGGAATAAGCACCAGAGGGATGTTGTCGACTCTCCAATAATTGAATACTCTTTTGAACCAAATCATTGATTTGTGTTTCACTTGGAAGATCAGGAACGTTGAATGCTTGTAAAACATCTTTCAATGCCACAATTGTTAATATTTTGCTTGCCAATTGTTCACAACATTCAAACGGATAAGAATATAAATAAATGAATGCATCAGTCAATGAAGATAAAGCAGTAGAACTTGTGGTGATATTGATACCACCAAATTGAGGATAAACATTCTCAGGTGCACGAATGGGTTGAAATACATTTCCATTGTTATCAACTTCACCATAAGTGGCAAATCCTTCTGTGGTTGCAGGTGTAAAAACTCGAATTTCTTTTTCAACAGCATCACCAAAATTAATTCCTCTATTTGCTATGGAAACTCCAACTTGAAAACGAGCAATTCCAACTTTTTCTGTCATCATTGGAAATCTCAATTCATGTCTACTCATGGCTGGAATTTTAACATTTAATCCTCTCTTTGATTCGTCCAATAATGTCAAATTTGTGAATCGAATGGCAACATTCACATTTAAATCCATAAGAGTTTGATTTTGTAACACACATGTAAATTCAGCACAATCTCCAAAATTCAAAAATCTTGGAAGTGAAGGTCTAATATTCAATGGTAATTGTGCAGTCATTGAACTTTCAGAAATTCCAAAATGACTTTCATCTTTCAAAGCAACTGCAGTAATTCGATACTTGGTTAAATTATCTGGAAGTGTTAAATTCACCGTTGCAATACCATTTTCATCGGTCATTGCTTTTGGACTAAATATTGCAAGTGGATTGAAATTACTTCGGACTGAAATCGAGGAATCTTCTTGAGGGGCATCCATTTCTCCCTCTGTACAATCTGCTAACCTCTGTTTGCATGCACCACAACAACTACAGCATGGGACAGCACAACTCTTCTTACAGCAACACCGTTTCGCACATTCTTTTTCAATCATTCTAGGCGGTTCGTTAAATCTAATGTCATCAAATCTCTTGACAAATACATTGCTTCTCAGAGACCATCTTGAAGTGCAATTACTATTTCTTGAAACAACAAATGTATCAAGTGGATTTGAAATTCGATAACCAGTTAATGAAAGCACAGCTTCATCCACAGCAACAATACACACTTCACTGTTGCGTACGAATTGTTGAGTGAGAGCATCTTTCACAGTGACTTGAATAAATGTGGATGATCCTGGAGTGAGAAATTGTTTTTCAGGTTTCACATCCACTTGTAATTCATGACTCAATTTTGAGACATTAATAGTACAATTTCCAGAGGCAAATGCAGGTTGTTTTGGTTCATTGTTCAAGACATTTCCAACGTGATCTACTCTCGATTCAGATCCACTCATTTCAACCATAATTTTAACATTTGGAATGTGATCTTTTGTAATGATGAATGAAAATTCAGTACAACCATTCGAAGGATCAATTTCAATTGGAATTGGTTTTTCGAAAATTCCATCCATACACATGCTCAATACACCATATAAATGACCATCTAATTGTGATTGTATGAGAATGGTTGCCTTATCTCCAACACTATATTCATTCTTATCTGGAATGAGTAAGAGAGGTTTTTGTTGTAATACTTTTCCAACACGTTCTTCTTTTGCATTCTTTCCACCTGTCACATAAAGTGAACTTGAGCAAGAGTTTTGTAATCCACTTTCAGGATCACGAATTGAAACATGAAAATCATAGGCTCCACCATTTTCAAACTGAATTGGAAATTCTATGGCTGAATCTGAATTGGATTTGAATGTTTTCTTGAGAATTTCAACTTTTTCTTGAACATATTTAAATCCTTTTTTCACATCCACATGTGTGGTTACAGTGAGATCCATATCAATATTTGGAATTAATTCACCATTGATATTTGTGGTCAACAATGATACCATGACAGGTGTGTTTGGCTTTGTGAATTGTTTTCCAAATTTCAATCCACAATAATATTTGCATGGATGTACCACAAACGATGTGCTTGAAGAAATGGTTTGTCTGTTAATATCTTGAACTGTGGATTCAATAGAAATGGAAATAGGTACTTTCTCAATTCGATTACTTTCTTCAAATAGCAATGCAATTTGATGTTCTCCATTCATGTCTGTCATGCCTTGGAAAGTGGTACTGGCTGATAAATTGTTGACACCCAATGAAAAAGAAGGGGTAAGATAGGATCCAAACCAGCTTCCAAATGGTGAAGCCGTACTCTTTCCAAATGAATAACCACTTCTATTGGGTGGAATATAACTGGTCTTATTTTGTCTAATGATATACGAACATGTGCCTCCAGAGATTCCACCACCACTGTAGTATTGAGCACGAGTGGTACACAAAGCAGCAGGACCATTCACCACATAATTTCCAGGTTGAACACTGCAACTTGAATTGAATTCAGGAGTTCGAAATTCTTGAACTTGGAATGAATGAGACATGGATAATGGACTGAAATTGATGGTATGATTTCCTAAATTTGCATTATCAGGAATTTTGAATGTAAAATCAAACGTTCCATTGGATGTGAGAGTGATGCTTCCAGAATGATACTTGCTGGAACGAGAATCGAATATTGTGAATTCAGAGGTCGTGTTGCTATCTTTTGGTATTCCAACACTGTAATTCTTCTTGACTGGATCTCTCAAAATGGTTCTAACAATTCCCTTAATTGAAACTGTTTCTCCAGGTTTATATAAACCTCTGTCATTGAATATTTGATAACTAATTCCAGTGTGTGGATAATGACGACTTAAATAAACATCTGGAATGAAACACTTGTCATTTCCATGGTATGCAATCACTGAACAATTACTATTCAAATTACTATTCCTCTTCATGACTCCAATACCACTCTCTCTATCAGGTGTGCTTGAAATTGAACCACTTTTCACACTGATATTTTCTTTCATGATCGATCCATCCATCAATGAATTGACCCAATAATACAATGTACAATCAGAACTATCATAAATGGCATCAACAGCAAGTTTTGTCACTTGTATCCATGCTTGATGAATAGGTCTATAATTCCATTCTCCTTTCCAACTCGATTTCTCTGGTTCCACAACAATAAATAACTGTCCAATATTTTCTTTTGGATATTGAAGTAAAAGTGATAAATCAATATCTGTATCACATGGTTCATCTTCTTGACCATTTGTATTGATGGTTGCATCCAGAACTTGTTTTCCAGGAAATGTATAATTCGTGTTACTGTATGCATTATAATTGAATACATTTGAATTGTATTCATTGGGTTCCACCTGAAAAACACGACAATGAATGGCTTGTAAATTCATTGTAACCACAGAGAAACTTGGTTTCGTATTCACAGTTGGATCTAAAACCATGACACCACTTTGCAAAGCTTGAAGTGATTGGGCGGCATTTCCAATGTGGAATGTTTTGGACTTGTCACCTGAAAGATGTTGTCCCCAAACATCTTGGAAAGTATTCTCATTAAAGGTGACCTTATAGTTTGTTTTCCCCTTAATTTTTCCACTAATGGTGAGATAATTACCATTTGGATTCAATTCCATTCTTTCAATTTCAGGTTCAACTCTCACTGTATTTTCATCGAATTTTTCAAGATCAATATTATTTGAAAAACTGATCGTTAATGGTTGCATGGGAAGTAGTGATGCTTCATAAGATTGGGTAATTGTAAATGCAGGATAATTCTTTACAATGAAAGAGGATGGTTTTTCAGTGGGTAATGGTCCTTCGAGTCCTTTCACACCTGCTTTAACAGTCACATTCAAACTTTCAATCCTATGATTCAAACTTGTTGAAAAAGTGAACCATAAATGTCTTCCTTTTGGAGAATTTTCTAATTTTGATTTGTAAGAATAATAAATATTTGAAGCTTTCTTTTCGAGATTCAATTCTTTCATGAGTCCCATGATATATTCCTTCACTGAAGGTGTTTCAGATCTTCCATCATTCGAGACAAGTTTCAACATGGGGAGAGAGGTATCGACATTCACAAATGGTAAAACATTCTCAGGGTTAATTTCTTGATCAAATTCCAAATAGAAAATTGGAAATTCATTGAGAGGAAATGAATCTTGATGCTTTGGTAAATAATCTCTCAAATAAAGTTTTGGTGTCTCAAAAGAAAATTTCACATCATGTTTCAATATTCCACCAATTTTTGATTGAGTTCCTGCCTTAATAGTCACATTATATTTCGTAGACATGTCAAAACGATAGAGTGGTTCATAGATGAGTGTTTTCGTTCCCAACCATTTGAATTTTCCTCCATTCTTTGGTAATGGTTCAATATTCACAGGAATGTTTTCATTCGACTCGACATGTTCAACACTTGATATTGAAACCATTGGTTGTGAAAACGTAATACTCCAATATGGAACTGAAGCATCAGAAATTTCACCTTCAGGTAAATATCGAATCACCATTAATTCGGATCCCATCAATTCCTTCTCTTCTTGAATGAGTTCAGCTGGTTTTTCCAAACTCACAGGAGGTGGAAATTCTTGAGCAATGATTTCTGCAGTGATTGGTGCGTGGAGTGATTTTTCTCTGATTCAACAGAGAGATATATGACAACAATCACAAAACAATATTCATCACAACAATCAATTTGATCATCCATTCATGATTCATTGCGTGACACAATAACAACGATCAATAAAATTAATAAATTTAAAAATATGAATTGGATCGATGAAACCATTCTCTCACGTGATGATCAAAACCTACCTCATGAAAAAATCCTTGACATCCGAAGAAGTTGGATCATGTTTGATCTCTGGAATTCTCTTCAACAAGGAATCAATTTCAGCTTCTCCGAGACATGTCACTTCAGCTCTGATGGTGGCGGAATTTGTCTTGCTTTCTTGATCACGACTATCAACACTCTCAGACATCAACAACGCTCCTTTAATATCTTGTGGTAAAGGTTCTCGAACAATGATCTTGATACTTTCATCCATGTGATCACTGGACAAGGATCCATAACTTGGCAAGACTGCCAGCGGTGATATCGGGAACGAAGAATTAAAATTACCAAACATGATTTTTTTTTTACAATTGTTAAGATTCATGCACAACCATCCCAAATCAAATTTGTTTTAGAGGCATGTCACACACGTTTGAATGGGAGAGGTTACACCTACAATACACACACTACAGTTTTAACAAGTCGATGAAATTTTCAGAGAGAGTACGAGAACAGTAGTGATTCCAAGGATTTGAGGAAATGAACGTTAGACATCTTTCCTCAAATGATCATTTCCCAAATCGAGCAACTAACATCTTTTCGTTTCACACAAAATTACTTCCTTTTTGAGAAATTTACTGTTAACATTCTTTAATTTCACACCACTATAAAATTAAGGTGGTCATTTGTTCTTTGGATTCATCAAAAAAACCAACCACACAAAAACACTTCCTAAACTATTCCAACCCAATACACATGCACACAAGAAGTCACGACGTGAAAGACACATCCTCCACTCAATCCCCAGAAGTCAGAGACATGAAACATGGTTACATTGCTGGAGACTCCTCTGAAACTCTTCCAGGTGGTAGAGAGAGAGGTCCTCGTGAACACTTTGAAGAAATTTGCCAAGACGATAATTATGAAGTGGCAAGTCATCACATGAACGTGAGAGGAGATTATACAGTTGTATTCAAACACAAATTTGGAGGAAAGGACCAAACATTCCCTAATATCTCTAAAGAGAAAATTGAGAGTTGTCCATCAAGAATTAAGAATAGAATTCTTAAATAGATCTCACAAAATTCAAGCTCTTTTGTGTAAATAAAAAAGACTCGTGTCCATCAGGAATATCTTTCTTTCAATGTGTTTACTCTTTTGTGTGTGGACCTAAGTACAATCAGAAGGACATGTTTTAGGAATTGCAAATAACACATTTGGATTCTCCACAATCTTTGGGATCATGTCATAGTAATTGGTAGTCTCCCAAACATCAGTGTACGTTTTGAACGTAGTGATACCATAGGCAGAATTACTCAATAACCAACATTCATTGGTATTTTCTTGACGCTCATCCTTAAACACAACATCGGTGAAGGTGTAAAATGGATCTTGGGAATGGGTTAATTGCATGCCTTGATAATTTCCAATACGAATCTTGTTCATGGATGTGTACGAGCTATATGTAAAACAGAATGGAGCAAAGGCATTACCATGCACAAAAGTGGAAGAACAAGTACATTGAGGCGATGATGAATTTGAATTGAATGCGTACGAAATGAGAAGGACTCCTTCTTGAATAGTAATGGTTGTGTACGAATTTTTTTGTCCATTAATGAGAATGGATGTAATATCTTCTCTTGACTTGCGTCGAGATGCATCAAAGTACCGTGTGGAATACTGGGTGGTATTGTAGCCATAAATCAAATAGGAGACAGTGTGAACAGGAGGAAGGCAACATTGAGGTTCCCCTTTCTGGTATGTTTGGGCAGTGTTAAATCGCGCAGCACTACCAAAAGATCTTTGTGGCAAAGAGAAACATACAGTGGCAAAGAGACAACCAATGAATGCAACTAATAGCAATGCAAGAGTGCTTATCTTCATGTTTCAAAGTTTAATCTTTTTTTCTTGTGGTTGGATCCGGTGAATTCCACAACTGTTATTTATTCATTAAGGAATTTGCATCAAACCACCTTCCATTTATTTACCACAGGTAACTCCGTCCCACGCTTGGACAAACTCATGTCAAGATGAAATTTGCAGTTGGTGGATCTCGTAAAATTAATAGTTTGGAAATTGATCCAAATTTGATTAATAACGGCCAGCAAGACGGAGTGAACAAAGATACGAACTGAATAACCAAAGGCGAGCTGTAAAACTGTACATTTGGACTGGTGAGGCAAAACTTTTGCCCCTGCCACCAAATCATCATTCAAAAAATGTTCTTTTCATCCATTCTTCAGCAGCTGAGCAATCAGCAACCGACTGGTATCAACAACGCAACAATGAATATTGGATTTAGAACTCTCGGATTAAATATTCATTTGCAAAACATTCCTTTGGACGAAGGTGCAGAATGTCAGGAAACTTTCTCCGACGTTTATTCAACACAATCCCAACCATCGATGGCTCAACCACAAATTCTTCCTTCATCACCACCTTCAACGGGCAATAGCCTGTTATTCCAACAGATTTTGGCTGCATGCAAACAAACTTCATTCGACAGCAACAAACTTTCATCTATTGAGTCATTAGCTTCCTCGTGCTCGAAAAGCAACTCTTTCCACTCGATCTCTATCCAAGAACTTGGTACCATCTTGGCAAGCTTTGGTTTTGAAGCTAACAAGCTACAGGCAATATCTATCTTGAAAAGATACAATCAACTGGCTGGAATGACTTGTTATGGTGTGGGTGAAGCGTTGAAAAAGTCGTTCACTTTTGATAATTCAAGATGTCAGGCACTGCAAGATTTATTTCATATGATTCATGATAGAGGTCAAAATTATGAACTCGTTCTCAAGGCCTTTGATTTTCGTTCAAATCAAGAACAGGCAAGAAAACTATTATTGTCTTTTCAATAACTTATAATGAAGGATAATACAGTGTGGATCATGAATTCATCCTTGTTACGTCCTTGTTGTCGTGGTGCTATTTTCTTGGTGTAATAGGATCGCTTTCCACAACCTGATTCGTTGGAAGCAGCTCGTGGATGGCTCGTTTTAAATCATCCTTAGTGCATGGCTTTAGCAATACTCGATCGATCAGTCCATGCAACGAAACGGGTGAATGATCATTGTCGTTACATGCACATGGTAAATGATGATGATGACTGCTTGGCAGATCTCTACAACTGCAACATACGTCTCCAGTGACAAGTACAATCTTTGGAGATTGAAACCCATATCGACTTCTAATTTCTTTCGCTGCTGAAAGGCCATCCATATTAGGCATACTTTTGTCAGTGAATATAAGGCGATGTTGTTGAGGATTGAATTGCTGTACTAATTCTTTACCATCACAAACTCCTAATGCATCATAACCAATAGATTTTAACAGTTTGATTAACACTGTTCTGTTAATGGCATTATCTTCAGCAACGATGATTTGTGGAGGAGTGGTATGAGAGTCAGTATGACACGAAGATTGAGAACAAGCATTCATATACTTGTCAATGTATGTTTTTTGAATATCTAACTGTCGTGATAAGGATGGTGGTAATGTCTCCACTGTTGGTGCAAGCAAGTGAGCATGAGGAGGAGCATGATGCAGAGCTGTCGAAGGAGAGTAACCTGAATCTGCAGAGAATGTAGATAGTGATGAGTAAGAATCTTCAGAAGCGTCTGAGTGGACAGTAGCAGTGGTGGTTGGAGAGTTTTCATGACTCTTGTATGTATCAATTTCTTCTTCATGTGCTGCCCCACTTCTTTCAATGGTATAAGTAAGGTAAAACAAGTTCCTTGACCAACTTTGGAATCTACATTAATATTTCCATTCATCAAATGTACATTGTTCTTAACATTTGCCAAACCTAAACCTGTGGATGGAATTGACGCACCTGTACAGAAAGTATGCAGTTGAACGAATGGCTGGAATAATAAATGCATTTGGTTTGAGTCAATTCCTTTTCCATGATCAACCACTTTGAATTCAAACAGAGTACACTGTGGTGACCTACGACGTGAAGAAGAACATTCATCGTTGTTGTTTGTTTCATTCAAATCATAATTGTGTTGTTTCGTATCACAATGTAACTCAACGGTTTGACCTGGCATGGAAGCTTTCACAGCATTACTGATCAAGTTGATAAGACATTGTTGAAGACACGATGGATTACCCTTCACTACCAAGTTCTCAACGTTTTTGCTTGTCACTAACCGAACGAATACGTTTAAGGGTTTGGAATAACCTTTCATCACATTTGCAACAGTTTTTAAGCAAGAATCTAATCTAAATATCTCATCATTATCCGTATTCGAATCGTTAGAGGTTGTTGGAGTTGAATTTGTTGATATTCCATTCAACTTTTGATCAATTTTGGAAAAATTTAAAATATCCTCAATCAAGGTCAAAATGATACCGGAAGCGCTCTCAACATTCTGCAGCAATTCTTTTTGCTCCTCACTGAGGTTGGTGTCCTTAATTAATTCAATACTACCTAGACTTGATAAACACACTGTCCTAAATTCATGTGAAATGTGTGAAATAAATTTTTCTCTCGTTTGTAATTCATTGTTGAGCAACTCGTACTTTCTATTGAGGCACTCTGTAAAAGACATGATATATAAAGAAAAGATCATTGTAGAGAGAGCACAAGGAAATGTCTCCAAGACAACCATGGAACATTCACGAAAAGTTATTGAACGTAATAATACATAGGCAAAAATTTGAAAAAACATGAACCCTAAATAATGGAGGGAAATGTAAAATGGAACAATGATACGCCATATAGAATGTCTCATTCTTGATGTACTTCCAATGATCAAAAGCTTCAATGGTAATAACAAGAGTAAGGGCGTTCTAAACCAATAAAATCTCACTGTGAAAAATACTAAGGATACGATGACCTGCAATCAATGTTGAAAGTCATTGATGCAATATTTGTCATTGTGATAATAATAATTACAACCAACTGGAGGGCTTCTAGGACTTACCTTTGTTAATTGTTGTCTACAATACGAGTCTTGTTGAGAAGTGGCTTCTTTCGACGTCGTAAATTTGTAAGTATACTTGGAGCTTTGTGTTGGACACCACCCATAAAACAATGAGAGTATATTCTGTTTGAGGAATTGTGTCGCTCTTTGAAAACAATTCATCCTATTCGCTGCACTCGGTAAATCCAAGCTAAAAGAATATCCAGAAAACATCATTACTAATAATATCAACGTATTCACACATCCATAATTCACAAACGTGTGTGCACCCACTAAAAAGTAATCAAAAAGTACTCCATATTTCACAATGAACAGTTGTAGGCAAAGAATTCGAACCCACCATTTGGTTTCTTCAGATTGGTCAATTTGTGTCGTTTCCGTTATATCCATTTCAATGTTCTTGCATTCGGTGCGTGAAAATCTTCGTTGTCGTTTTTTCGTCTTGAAAGAAAGTGATTTGGTATGATCCACAAAATCATCCTTACATTGGGTGTGCGGTTGTGTCGTCATGATGATGGTTGGATCATGCTGCTGCTGATGTTGAATCGACATTCGATGTGTTTCGTGTGTGTTTAGAGAAGTAAATGTGTTTGTCGGTTGCTGCTGATATTAACTCCTTGTTCTTCCGTTCTTGAGGAGTTTGTTCGATTGGCCACAACAACTCAAATCAAGGATGGGCGGGTTGCTTTTTTAATTGTTGTTACAACACCATCTCTTGAGAAACATGGTAAACATGCTCTTGATCTATTGTCCAAACAAAACTCAACCACCACAACAGTAAGTGTCTTTTCTGGGCAGTTCTCAACTCTCCTTATGCGATCAATCTCATTGGTTTTACCAGGAAGTTAGTTTTCAATTTGGAATACAAATTTTTGTGTAATACCCACATACTTTTTGGATGCAATGCCACTCTGTCCATACATGTCTCTACCATCAGCTGTTGGTTGGGGATTAAAGCTTTACTCAACAATAAAGCATAGTTTTGGTGTTGAATCAACCTTTCAAATTTGGTGTGTTTCTATTTTGGTAAATAACAACAGAACTCATAAAGAAAATAGCAATTACATTCGAGAAATCTTGATTTGTCTCAAAATGTGATGCGTTGAAGGTGTTGGTTGATCCAATGGATATTCCAGGAAGTATGTTTGTTCGTCATCTTGGAGAAATTCATCATGGTTGAATGTGTCAAGTGCTGTTTTACTTTCTCAATACAACAAATCCATTGGTAGGAATTGGGTTTGATAAATTATTGGTAAATACATTGTCTGGAGTCAGATTGAAAGAGTTGCATTCGGAAATTGCAATAGACGGATGAGAAGTATGTTCAGAAATAGTGTTTTTCGTAATTTCAATAGTTTCACATCCTTTGATGACAATTCCATTCTCTCCATTGGCTGTTATAATATTGTCAGTAATTACTGCTGATGACTCTTTTGCTCTAATTCCAGAAGTTTTGTTCATTTTGATTTGATTTTCTTTCACAAATATCTCTGCATGTCCAATGATACTAATTCCGTCTGAGGCATTACCAAAAATTTCATTTCGTTCAATATGTGCTTTTCCTTGTTCAATGACTACAATTCCTTGTTTTTTACCGTTCCTAATAGTGTTTCCAATGATTTGAGGGTGTGCTAGGCTTTTAACTTCAATGCCAGAGAAACTATTTTCAAAAATTTCATTTCCAGTGATGAGTACTCTAGTATCTGTTAATTGGCCTTTTAAATGAATTCCACTTTGTGAATTGTTTGAAATGATATTGTTCCTGATGGTTGGGAATGAGTTTCTAATTTCAATTCCTGCAAAGCTGTTTTCATAAATCTTGTTGCCTTCAATAACTCCAGAGCAGCCATCCACAAATAATATTCCACAAAGCTTTCCTCTATAAATTTCATTCTCAATAACATCAGCTGTAGAGTTTACCGAAATCTCAATAGATGCAAATTGGTTTTCAAATATCTTGTTGTTTTTGATTGTCACTTTACATTTTTCATGTGCGACAATTCCAGCACTTGCTTGACCGAAAATAGAATTTTCAAATATCTTTACGTCTCTACAGTCATTCGACATTTGAATTCCTAGTCCTTTGTTTCTAATAATTTCATTATTATGGATGGAGCCTGCCGATTGGTTAAGTATTATGGCCTTTCCTGTTTGGCTGGATACTAAACTTCCAGAAAGTTTGAGGGTTGCCTTGTCACATTGAACAGCTGTGGTGTTAAACAAGAATTTGCATTTGTCAATAGTTACGACACTTCCATGCACATCACATGCAATTCCGTTGACATCTTTAAACTCACAGTTAGTGATCTTGAGATTTGTTTCAGAAGAGTTAGAAACAATGTTCGCCTTTCTAAATCTGCAATTTCTAATCTCACAATCACAATTAATGTCAAGTTTTACACCAGTGTCATATTCGTCATTCTTTTTGAAATATAAATTTTCAATCACCACATTTGAATTGCTGATAATCAATGGCGTTTTCGAGAAAATTATAGGACAACCAGTTCCATCAACTTGATCCTCTCCAATAATGTGAATAATTTTGTGACTAAATTTGGAGTCTATTACAACATCTTGTTGTTCTTGATAGAGACCCAATTTCAAGTGAATAATCACCTTTTGTTTAAAAGATTCAGAATTAACTTCATCAAAGTGTAAATTTTCTCCAATTGTCTCAACAAACTGTAACGCTTCAGAAATGGTACAAAAGTCGCCTTTACCATGAATGTCCACAATGATAATATTTTCTTTTGGTGCAATACGAGGAGAAGTGGTTTGATTGCCAAGTGATGGCGTTTGATCAGTCATTTCAGTATCCTCCTCAGGTTGTTTAATTGGCTTTGAGGATGTATTAGGTACCACTGTTACATACTTGGGATGAGGTCGGATGGATTTTAGTGGAAGTTGTTGTCCAATTCCTTCTAAAAATATCTCAGAAAATGATTTCAAGCATTTCCAATATGGAGCGTGTTGTGCAATCACCTGTTTGATTGCAATATTAGTTGCTTTAGAAGGAGGTTTTGATGTTAGAGGTGAAAGAGGGTGGTTAAGCAAGCTTTTGAGTGATGCAGTAGCACAGCTAGCAGTAACATCTGTTTTGTACCCTCCTTCTAATGCTAAAACAAGCTTACCTCCAGCTAATTGTTTTAGCATTGCAATAATATGTTCATAGCCAGTAGGCGTTAGAGACATTCTCTTTCCTAAAATATCTCCTTTTGCAGCGTCAAAACCTGCTGAAACAATCACTAAATCTGGAGCAAACTCATGACATACTGGAATAATAATTTGTCTAAAAATTGCAATGTAATCAGCGTCACCAAAAGTAGCTGTTGGTGATATTTTGAAATCTTTGGGTGGTAAAGGAACATTAAGAGTGAATCCTTCTCCCTTTCCAATACCAACTTCTTCAAGAGATCCTGTTCCAGGGAAGTAACTTTGTTCAAATCTGTGAATTGAAACATAAAGCACAGAAGGATCATCTTCAAAAATTTCTTGAGTACCATTTCCATGATGGATATCAAAATCAATGATGGCCACCTTGTTGACGTTCTTAAACTTTTGAGCAACACGTGCTGCAACTGCAACATTGTTAAAGAAACAAAAACCCATGGGATCTTCAGTTTGAGCATGATGTCCTGGTGGTCGAATGATAGCCATTCCATTGTCCAACTCTCCATTTAAAACTTTCTCTGTCAATTTGATCACTCCTCCTGCAGCAAGTCTTGCAGCCTTTAGACTGAATTGATTGACATGAATATCTTCATTCTTGTACTCATTGTCTGATACAATACCTTGAAGGAGCATGTTACAACTTTCTGTTGGGGTAAATTGGCCTTTAAATTCAAAAAAGTCATTGATATACTGCTCGCTATGGACCAAGCTTAGCTCTTGAGTAGTAACTTCACGAGATTTCATAATTTCACATTCTTCCAATAAATGATTTTCTTGTATCATATTCCAAATGTGACTAATACGAACTGGTGTCTCAGGAATTGGTCCCTCATGTAAACACATTCGTGGATCATACAATAATCCTGTTTTCTTTGCTTGATAGGGTTGCCCATTAAATGTCTCCAAGGTCGGTATTTCTATTGGACCCAACACCAAAAACTTGCTTTCCATACCTGACTCTGCAGATTGAGAGGTGGTCAAAACGGCAGTCATACTTCTTTCACTATCAATGACGGTTAAATTATGTTTGTTTTTTTCAATAAATTCTTGAATGTCAAGTCTTCCACTTAAAAATGAATCAATGTCAATCACTTCTTCATTGTTTTCTGCGGATTGCCTTACAAGTAATACTTTTGAATTATTCTTTTCAACTAAAACCTTTTCACAGTATGTTTTAAGCTGTTCAATTGAATCAAGGTTTAAAAATAAATATTTTCTGTACTGAGAGGTCATTAACGACTCAATGGTCGGATTTTCATACTCCTCTTCGGTTTTTCGCTTTTTGGTTGAGGCATCTTGAGCTCCCAAAACTCTCTTTTGGTTTTGATTTTGGTTGTCTTCTGTGGTTGAAGGTATTGGTACTAATTTCCAGTCACGAGCACATTCAAATAACCAATTTTTGTCCACTCGTTTAATGCCCCATTTAAGAGAGGTTTCATACTTGGGTCCGCTTGGCGTCTTGTACAACAGATGAGTATTTTCTTGGGTCATGTTGCTTGAAAACCTTGCACCCATTGCCGTAATTAAATATTGGAATCTAAGTTTTTCTTTTTTCGAAAATCCAGAAAGAGCAAAGTTCTATTGAAACAACAATTATGAGTGTTAAAATCGCAATGGGTGAAACTTACAAATGATTGCATTTCAGTAATTGGATAATCCTTAACGGGATAGTGGAGAGGGTTTTGAATTTTTCTTCCATGTTTTTCTGTAATAACAAGTGGTTGAACCTTTGAAAAAACAATAATAAATGAATCATTTTCAATTCCTAAAACAAAAACTTACTCCGTGAACTAAAATACAATCATCAAGCCAAAAACTAGAGACAATTGTTTTCTTATCCTCCAATGCCTATTCATATTTAGCGATCGTCACTCTTTTAGAACAAAACATACCTTGAAATAATTTTCTCCTTTTTGTAGACTTGTAAGCAAGTGAGTGATGCTGCTTTTGTAAACGGTGGTCACTTCTCCTCCTAGTTTCTTTATCATTTCTTTGTACAGTTCTGCTTCATTTTCGTCAAAATTGATGGTATCGACAAGAAACACACATCCTTCTAAGAATTCGGGAACCTCTTCTAGATTAATTCCTGCCTCAGAGATGGCATTGGTTGTTCTAGTTTGTGGCCCTTTTCTTCCTAAAGGAGTTGTTCATTAAAGAAAGAGCGAAAGAAATTAAAAAACGATTTTAAATTGAAACTAAAGATATCACTGATTCTTTTTTCACTTACTGGTTGAAGTTGATGTTGTTGACATACAGATGATGATTATTAAAATTTAAGGAATATTTGATGGAGCAAGTCAGAGAGACTCTATGTGATGAATTTTTTCTTCTCGATGGCCAACTACGATAAAGGGTATATTTGTAAGATATTAAACCCAGATTTTCAAAATATTATTATTTCGATAAAATCAGAGATTCAACGACACAATGAAAGGATGGAAATTGTTTCGACACAGACTTAAAGCTTTTCGACTTTGTTGCGAAACAAGATTTCAGAAAAAGAAAAGCGGCAAAATATTTTTTTTGTGCTCATCTTTTCAAACCTCTCACACAAGGAAGCAGTTGTGTTTTTAAATCATTAATGTGTGTATTAATTACACAGTGTACATTTGATCAGTTGAATTTTGAGTGTTTTCTGTTGTTGTTGTTTCACCTTTAACACTTGATTTTCGTCTTTGTGTTATGGCATCTAAATCAACTGTTGGGGAAGTAGTGCTCATAACCGAAGGGTTGGTGATGGTTTCAGAGCCAACCATAATCACTCTTTCTTTTGAGGCATCTTCTAACTTTTCAAACAACACATTCTTGTCTTTGCCACTTGGAGCCTTTCTTGGTGCCCTTTTTGCTTGCTTTGCTCTTCCAATATTTAAATGAACAATTTTACCTTCCTCATTGGTTGCCTCTGTCAAGTTGGATGAATTCGTTGGTGTTGCAAAATAGGCACTAGTTGTGTTGTTGGGAGATGTGACTTGAGGTGATTTTACAGATTGAGATTTTTCAGGAGTAACAACGATGGATGGAGATCCTCTGAAAGCATTACCAGTCATCATTGGCGATGTTTCAATCTTGTCGCTCAAGCGTTTGTCAGATGAAACTGGTTTTAACATGACTGATGAGGGAGAAAAATTTGGTGTGAATACAGATCTACTTCTCAAATGAGGAGGAGCTGTTTTGACTTCTCCCAAATCCAACATTTTGTTGGGTGTGGTGGTTTGTTCTTGATCCACTGCTTTGTCCAAATTGTTGCTATTGGAAGAATGGATATCATCAAGTTTCTTTTCTGCTTCGGCAAGTGGTGATACCATTGATAACACTTTCTTGTGGGTTGTTCCTGCTGTGGGTTTTAACATCATAATTACAGGTGGATGTCCAGAGCCTGATTCTGATCCTCCCAAAATGGCAACATCGTTGCACCAACCTCCCTTAATTTTGCTAGATCTGCAATTAGGCGAAAAATTAATTTCCAATGTCGAATGTTTCTTTTTGAGAGTTTGTGCAAATGATATATAGTCTCTACAAAAAAATGTTATAGATTTGATTTTTGGATTGTCATCGAGTTTGATTTGTAAATGAAATGGCAAACTTGAAATTGAGAACTGGGTAATTTCTGAAAATTTGAATTCATGAGAGCTGTATGCAAAGGATTGTTTTTGAAGTAACATGGTTGATTCTAAATCTGAAAACAATTGATATTTCAAAAAAAAAAGAATGGCCGTTTGTAGGGATGGGATCACAATTTTTGCTTTCGAAAAAAAATAAATATTACTTACAATCATGTTGTTGATTGAGTATGAGAACTTTAAAGTCCACAATGGTTTTGCCTAACATTTGAGCTACAATACCTCCCGTAGCAGGTTTCTTGTTATTGTCATCTACTGAGCCATTCTTGTCTTGTTCCATAGAAACCCTCGCAGGCATTATATCGTTTTGTAGCTGTGAGTTCTTTTCTCCCAATTCAATGGTCTCTAATGCTTTTCCAGCCTGAATGTGATACAATTCTCTCACCAAGTTGTATATCGAAGTTGAAGATTCAATATTCTTGCATTTCAAAGTCACTTGCTCATTGTCAGTGTCAAAAACAAATGTCACCTTCTTCTTGATACATTTTAATGATGAAATATCTTTGTATGAAATATTCAATTTTGGTTTCTTGTTGAGAATTCGGTCTTTACAAATAAATAAAGTAGATTTTGACAGCAGTGATCCGACTTCAAACTCTCCAACAACACAATCATCAACACGAAATTCTTTTCGGAGCTGTTTGTCGAACGCTTCTGGTTCGGGTTGATGTGTTGGGTCACCCCCAACAAGAAAATGATGATCACCATCTCCCATACGGGATTTTGTGAGGTTGACCATGGCCAGTCGTTGAGAGATGTTCTTTCGATGATTGTAGACACAAGAGTGATAATTTCAACAATGTATTTTTTTGATTGACACTTGAATTGGTGATGAAAATTCAGCAAACATCACCAATACCCATTTTTGTCTTCAGGGTGACGAACCGTGCGAAAGTATGAAATGATTAGACGATGAAGCCTTTTAATCACCTCAAACCTAATAATATTTTAAAAAATGTCCCAATCTCAAATATCATCTCAGCTCGAAGGTAATATAGTGTTTGGATCCAACCAAACCTCCATGAGTGCAGGATTACAACCACAAACCTTACCTCAATTCAATTCGCAAGCAACAAATTTCTTAGCCAGATGCTCCTCCGTTTCAAAATTATCTGGCTCTCCCCTAATGAACAAAGCTGTACAGCCAAGCCTTAATGGAAGGTACGTTTTAATTCTTGACTAGTTTTTGGTTATTTCAAACCTCCATAGTCAAGGAAAGAAAAATGTGGTCCAGCTCAACGACGTTTTTAGGGGAAGGCCTGCAGCTGAAAGCAAAAAGTCGTCTCAATCGGCTTCTCAAAAGGACCATCTAATCATACCCCAATGCTTGATACCCTCAAATTCCCTTGTTCAGGACCAAGGAAGCCACTGCTCGAACTCTCCGTCTTGCACTCTGGACAACTTTCTAATTAAATCAAAACAACCTTCAGCAACCCCGTTCATAGTTGAAAAGGAATGGTTACAGTCCAAGCTGAGTAATATCGAGTCCCAAGTGTTGCTATTCGAAAAACGAAGCAACCAAGCTCAAGAAGAAATCTCTTCTAATTTAAAAACCTTGCTTGATAAAGTTCAAGAACCCGATATTTGGCATCAAGAAATGTCAGCTAGTAATGACGAACGACATTGGGAAGTAACTTCAAAAAGTAAGTACTACTACACACAAATCTAACTAAGAAGCTCGATAGTTGCTGAGAGCAAAGGTGTTTTCATAAATTTGTTTTCAGAACTATTTCAAACGATGGAGGCACAAGCACAAGTGATAAAAACTCTTTCAAGTAGCATTCAGGATATTACTAGCATGATAAGTACACTTGTTAGGAAATCCGAAGAGGAAGAAGAATTGGTCAAAAACAAAATTACCAAACAGAAGAAAACATGTCGGAAAAGCTCACAATTTGAAAGAGCAATGCAAAATATTATTCAAGATAAGGCAGTCCGTAAATTAAAGCATAGAAACGAAACAACTGTTGATGATTCTTGGTTTTGTGATGAATTACAATAAACTATGTGTCTTTTTGATAATCATTAAAGTGCACTTCGTAATGCCACAAATCAAAAAATAAGTATTATTTTTGATGTTTGCTTCTCACGCAACACGCGTGCAAGTGGATAACAGCAACAACAACAGCTGCTTGGTGTCTTCTGAAGCAGCTTATGATGGAGGTATTTTAACACCCAGCATGTGTTCTTCCTCCTCATCTCACTCCTCAACAACATCCACAACCTCTAGTGCTACGATGCGCCATGACAACAATACAATAACACATGAAGGATCATCAATGATTAGAAGAGAAGGAGAAAATTTAATATCTCATTCCTCTCTCAAATCAATGTGCATGCAATACATCATACAAAACGTTCATCACTTTTCCAAAGTACCAAGAGGCGTCGTTCAAATCGGAGAAGGGCTTGAAAAGACTTACTTTTATAATGAATATCTCGAGAAATTAGAATGTAAATTTGCAAATCCTCTAACAGCCTCATCACCTACAACCACTACTAGTTCTCCCAATTCATCCATGAAGAATTTCAAAATTCCGAGACAACGAAGCAATTCTCTTTCAGCTAATAGCAGCAGCAATTCAAACAAACCCTCACCCGTCGAATTTTTCATCAACAACCATGCCTTCTACTCTGCTCTTAATGCTTCAAATAATCGTAATGATGATGATAATGATGAAATTTATCCAATTCCTCAATTAACATCTCAATCCATCATCAATGATTTATGCAATAGCAAACAATTGACTTTACCATTCTTAATCAAAATGAGGTACACAGGTTTTAATTGTTTGAATTTATCATTGAATGGACGTGTGAAGGACGAATGGATGATGCTATTGAGAGAACTTCCTCTTGACACCTTGAATTTATCACATTGCCTTTTGACCAATCAAAGTCTCTATTTTTGTAAAGGTAAGTGTGATATTTAACTCAAAATTATCACACGACAATTATGATGTGGCATGTTGAATCATACGATGCATTTATATACACACTTTGAAAAGGTAAAAAACACATCATTCCATGTCCTTCACATTCTCTTGAAAATTCTTCACATAATTATGAAGAACAAGTACTTGATGAAATGGATTCTACCCAGAGTGACTGTGAAGAGCAATCACCAACAAATGAAGATGACGATGCTGATATCAATGATGATGACGATTCTACTCCACCTCCAATAGTAGTTGCTACTGAAAAGAAAACAGTGACATTTGTTTTTGACCAACAAAATCCAAATAGAAAACCTAAAAAGAAAAAGAAGAAACAAGTAGCATCATCGAGCAAACCAGGAAATGATAGCAAAAAAAGTTCTTCCAATGAGAGCAATCATGGAAAAGATGAAAAAAAGAGTTATGGAACCAAAAGTGTTAGTGGATCGACGAGTTCAGGCGGCTCTACAAAAAAGCGTAAAGATGGCTCGATTCAAGTGATCACTCCATATCCTCTTTCGAGAACTTTGACATCATTGAACATGTCCAATATACATGAAATTTCAACGGATGCCTTTAAATTGATACCTCAGCTGTTTCCTAATTTGACTGCATTGTCATTTGAAGGTTGTTCAAATTTCACCAACAAGTGTTTGGAGCAACTTTGTGGAAAAATTTCAAAATCTGATAATTTTCCAGAAAGCTCTAAAACAAAACAACTCCGAAGAAATCTGAAAAAGCTAAATTTAAAACGAACAAAAATTTCCGACGCTGGAGTGAGAAATATTCAAAGCCTCGTGAACTTGGAATACTTAAACCTAGGAGAAAATAAGCAATTGACGAATCATAGTTTTAAGTTTTTTAAAGCTCTCAAAAAACTTTCACATTTAGAATTGTGTGGTAACGAGAGAATGACGGATGAGGGTATTGGAAAATACCTTGGGCGTGGAAATCTGATAGATTTGAAGACTCTTTCAATATCTGGTACATATATGGGAGATGATGTGAAAAATTTTTATCATTTCCCAAATTTAACCTGTTGGAATGCAGCCAACACCAATATTCAAACCATTGAGAATAATTATTGCAACTCATTCGTATTTAATAACTTAACCAAGCTAAACCTGTCGTACTGTAAACTATTGGATGATCATTCAACGAAACATTTTCTAGAGAGTTTGCACCATTTAGTTGATGTAAATTTATCAAATACTTTCCTTGAAGATGATGCCATTAGTGGACTTCTTTCTTCTCGAAAAACTCTGCAAATTTTACACATTAATTCATGCACTCACATCACAGATTGGATATTACAACATGTACTACCAGCCTTTGACAATATTTGTGAACTGGGTTTAAGACATCTGAAACAAGTATCATTTACTAATGGATGGATTTATTTGTTCAAGTCAAATCTTCCAAAATTGGACAAACTGTATTTATCTGCAAGTTTTATTAATCAAAGATTGGACGGTGGAGAAAGAGACTTGTTTTCCGAACTATTTGCTAACTTTTGCCAAACCCTAACAGTACTAGATTTGAGTTGCAATATGAAAGGTCTTGATGATCAGCTTCTTGGGTTGGCACTTTCAAAAATGACCTCTCTTTCATGGTTGGACTTGTCACATTGCGAAAGTCTCACATCAGTCACGATACAGACAATTTCCAAGTATTTAAGACACCATTTAAAACATTTAGCAATTAGCTATTGCCACAAAATTGATGGTTCATCCCTGCCATTACTCCAAAATTGTAAAAGAATAGAAGTGCTTTATATTTCTGGAATTCATAACTTTAAAACCAAACATTTGAGATCACTTTGTGCATTGGAATATTTGTCAGATTTAAGTTTGATGGATTGCAAAAAACTGCAACGAGACGATGGCTGTTCTGAATGTTTAAAGATTTTATCTGAGGCCAAATTTGCAAGGCGTTTGGTGATGCTCAACTTGTATGGTTTATTGATTTGGGAATCAGCTCTTGATTATCTTGTTAGTTTTGATAGCCTAATAACTCTAAGAATGTCCACTCACGTAGAAATGGAGAATATGGATGCTTTGTATTGCATTCCCAATTTGGTTTACTTAAAAACAAAATCTTTGGATTGGTAGCAATAAATAAATAGTGGTGCTGTTGCAAAATAAGAATTGCAGCGTAATTGATCACTGCTGTGTTATTACAGATATGGAAATATTGTAGATGCGTATCCACAAAATTGTTCCAGTATCGTTTTAAACTGCTGATTCAGCTCAGAATCATCAAAGATAACATTGGGTGTAACTTGCTTTGTGATAAGTTGTGCAATTGGCAGGGTTAGGTGTCTGTTTTGGTTAGCTGTAACAAGGTTGATCAGTGTAATAGTTGCCTCTCGAAGCAACTCTTTATCATTAGATAAGCAACCTTGTGAAATAATTTGATTCATGACTTCTATCAGAGAATAATTCTGTACAAGTATTTCGTTAATTTCTTCAAAAGAGCTAATGTTACTCAGCATGTAGCACCACTCCTTGTTCTTGTCATCCAATGAAATGAGTAAATTCATAAGCTCAAATGCTACTGGTTGATCTAACAGGGAAAATAAATTAATACTGCTAAACAAATTTCCAAGTAATCGAACAATTGGCACATTAAGGGCACAATTCTGTAGTTTCAGGTATTTCACACAAATCTGTGCAATTTGAGAAAGCAAATTCTTAGATTGAGATTCGTCATCAAATTGTACAGGTATGGCTGTTAAATATGTTAAAACAAAAAGAAGTTCACGAATACTTTCTACATCTGTTAGTTGTCTTTTCAATAACAAGTAGATGACTGGTTCGTACAAGTTTCCCAAAGAGTTCCAAATCAATTGTTGTGATTCACTTCCTGTGTGATAATGTAATAACTCATTCTTGATAATGTTGGAGACACACCATAGCGTTGTTTTCACAACTTCATTAATTCTGCAAGCTCTAATAATGTTTGCTAGATATGGAACAGCTCCATTTTGTACAATAACTGTGGAAAGAGGAATATTACCTTCATTCATTAATCCAAGGGCAATATTTCCAAGAGCCCAAATACATTGTTCTTGTAAAACAATATCAATGAAAGAGTTAGAAATGATATGTACTAATGTGGGGATACAAAAAGCCACACAATCATCTCTAACTGCAGCAATATTCGTAATACACCATGCAGATTCTAATTGTAATTCCGAATACTTGCTCGTAAGGTGTTGATGAAATATATGAACGAATTGAGGATATGCACTCAAAATATCATTCAATGTTTCTAAAGAGCATTTAGAAAGAATAATTCGGCATTGCTTGATGGCAATCAATTTTTGAGGCAAATTGTTTGATAGTGATTCTAATTGTTCTATGTAAATTCCGATATTATCGACAGCATGATCTTCACTTGTGCCAGAGCAGTTCTCACTTTGTTTTTTTCTTTTTAATTGATTTAATAATTCACTTTTTTTGTTCTTGTATGATTGTCTTTGAATATCAATTCTATGCTGCTTCCGATTAGTGTAGGAAACTTCACTAAGAGTCTTGATAGACCCTTTCTTTCTGAATTCATAATCCTCTTTGTTCATGATGCTGTGCACCTGGTGATGATGAAAAATTTTTTAACGGTCAGGAAAGGCGCAGCAAATAAAAATGTCGGCTTTGGAAACAACCACACCAGCCATGTACTCCAAGTCATTGGCCATGATCGATGATTTAATTTATAAATTACAAAACAACCAATTCATAGCTTCAAGCTCTAAACCATCATCACAATCAACAACAAATTCACAAGGTGCATCAAAACAAAAAGGAAATAACACTGCCTCTTCATCATCAGCAAAACCAAAGGCACAAAAGAAGGATACCACCAACAAGCCTTCGATTCCTTCTTCTCCTTTCCACCAAACCTATATTGTTGTTGCAAGAATTGAAGCTGTTGAAAAGCATCCAGAATCCGAAAAGCTTTACAAGATGACTCTTTCTGTGGGGCAAGGACAACACAAGAATCTTGTGGCTGGATTGAGAAAATTCTATTCCGAGGATCAGCTTTTACATCGAAAAGTATTGGCAATACTTAATTTGAAACCAAAAAAGCTTGCTGGAGTGTTGAGCGAGGCAATGGTGTTGGCAGGTTCTACTGGCTCTGGTGATAATGAAACGGTGAAAGTGTTGGAACCTGCTGACGAGGCTCAAGTTGGTGATCGAGTCATCCTGGAAAAAGATTTTGATTCTGAACAACAACAATGGAAAAGCGCCTATGTGAGCTCTCCAGAAGACCGCTGCTCGCCCAATCAATGGGAAAAGATGGTTAAGGAGCTTTCTGTACTGAATGGTCAACCAAGTTATGCCAAACAAATTTTATGCGTCGCGGGTCAGCAACAAACAATCAAAGTGAAATGCGAATTACCTGATGGAAGTGAAATTCATTAGATTGATTTTGAGCTTTTACACACCTGCGACTATTAAATTATTCTAACCTTATTACATCTTTGCAAAATTGAGATATCACATGGCGTGAAAATGCATTTCCTTGCACAAGCGTGCGTCCTTATTTTCGCCCTTCAAAAAAATCAAAAAATTTGTCCACGACGAAATGATCGACAACAACACAGTCATCACTCTCAACAATGGAACTACCATGCCCTTGCTAGGTCTCGGAACATGGCTCACCAAGTACGTAGCACATTGTTTACTCACGTTCATTATTTAGAAAACATTGTTCTTCTCATCAAACAAAATGATTCTTGAATTCACACACAAGGCCTGGAGAGGCAGAACAAGCCATCAGAACTGCTTTGGAGAATGGTAAGTTTTTGAAGACCCAATCAATGGGCCCTCTGGTTTTGACGAGTTTTGAAATTTGATTTCAATCGCTACTAGGCTATAGACACATTGACGCAGCAGCCATTTATCGCAACGAAAAGGAGATTGGTGAAACCTTGAATGTGCTCATCAATCAAGAAAAGAAGTTCAAGAGAGAAGACATTTACATTACATCCAAGTTGTGGAATACTTTCCATGCAAAAGAACATGTCAGAAAGGCTTGCCTTCAAACTCTCAAGGATTTGAAATTGGACTATCTCGATATGTATTTAATTCATTGGCCATTACCATTTGCATATGTTGGAGATGATATTCAAGTCGATGGAAATTGCTTCCCAAAGGATGAAAATGGAAAAATTAAAACAGCTTCAGTTCCTTTGAGAGAGACATGGGAAGAGATGGAAAAACTTGTTCAAGATGGATTGGTTAAGGTAAGGAGGTTGAAGATCTCTGCTCAGGACGTATTAATATTTTTGTAAACGCGTAATGATATTCTTTATTGATCATTTCATGATGATGGAATGTCAATGAATATCTTTCATGACTATGCATTGACAACAACTCATAGTCCATTGGTGTTTCTAACTTTGATCTTGGACTTATTTACGAGCTCTTGACCTATGCAAAGATAAAACCAGCATGCAATCAAGGTATGTATTTAGAAACCAATTGGTCAATCATCCTCCAATATGGTTCAATATTTTTATTTCAATACAACCAACCCTTCTATTATTATTATTGAAATAATGTAACGCGATGACTCAATGCACCACACATCACACACAACCAACAGTGGAGTGTCATCCTTTCCTTGCACAAAACAATTTAATCAAGGGTCAAAAGGATATTGCTTTGGTTGCCTATAGTCCTTTAGGACACATGTATGAAGGTTCTCCTGCTCATCACAGCAAGATTAAGGAAATTGCTGAGAAACATCACAAGACTCCTGCACAAATCTTACTTCGTTGGAATATTCAAAGAGGATGTGTCGTCATTCCAAAATCAACCAACGACCAAAGAATCATTGAGAATGGCAAAGTCTTTGATTTTGAACTTGATTCTGAAGAGATGGAGGCAATTAATGCTTTGCAAAAAGAAAAGACAGTGAGAACCTGTGATCCTGTCACATTTTGGGATCTTCCTCTTTGGTAATTGTTGTTCATTGGAATACTTGGCAAACGTAAACTCTTATGAGCTTTTATTTATAAACGCAACATCATTCTCTATATCAGCCAATCATCGTTTCGGAAGCTTTTCCTTCGCCATGATTACAATTGTAATCTTCGAAAGAGTGGCTGTTCATTGCAAACAGACCAACTTTCCATTGGCTATCACAAATTTCGATTGCTCATCTTTCAATTTTTAAAGGAAACGGTTACTTTGTTGAATTGGGTCGCACAAAACAATCACACTTCCGAACTCGAGGTCTTGACACTTGTCAACGACCACACTGAGCTATAAAACACTTTCAAAAAAATCATTCAAGCAGTGATTCGTTCCAAACGAGAGTAATTACCTTGAACTGGCGTCTGTGTGTGATTCGTTCCACCTTCAACAACACCACCACCACCAGTATTTCATCCTTCAAAAGACTCAAAGATGTCGGCGACCTTTGGCTCACATTTCTTCTCTCCATTCTTGTGGATAATGATACTTGCGGCGGTATACTTGGTGTTATCATGTTCTTTTTTAAACATGTGTGTATTTGCCATGAACTATACGAAGAGTGAATTCGCAACAGGCTCATGCGGATCTGGATGTTCTACCATTGGTCAAATGTCCTTTGACAGCTCTTCCCAACTTTTGTACACTTCAGGAGGATCTCAAGCCATCCTCAGAGTGAATGTTCCAAGTGGCTCTTCTCCACAATCTTACACACTACTCACCACCAACATTGGATCCACAACTCCAAGATTGGTGACCTATCACAACAATCTCGTGTACTATGGGGACGGAAAACGTGTTTACACCTATGATCTTTTATCTTCAACACGTTCGAGTGATGGCCCCTATACTAACAATGTTGCTGGTCTAACACATGATGGTACTCATCTCGTTTATGGTTTAGCGAGCAAAGGGTTTTACATGGATAGTGCTGCCTCACCTTTTGCCTCTTTATCCCTCGCTGACTCTGACACTATTATTCCAAATCCTATCAACAATAGCCAAGTAAGTAGAGATGATTCATCTGTAAGCATCTGTCCTTATACAAACATGTTTCACACGTCGTAACACAACGCGGTGATGCATCTCGCTTCATCTAACACATGACCATGTTCAGTATTTTTATCAAGATGGATCCAGTATCAAAACAATTGACTCTACGGGCACTGTTATTTCCACCATTTCTGGTGTGAGCCCAAAATTTATGGCCTATTTCAACGGTTTCGTAAGTATCTCAAAATGAATAAGGATGTTGGGTTTTGAAATATTTTTTGTGTGATTGAATGATCGTTTGTGTTGAACTTTCATCAACTATACATTAGATTTATTTTACAGAATCGAACGCAATCAAACGAGTGAACCTCACAGATAACAGCATCACGACTCTAATCTCAATTAGTGGAACCAGTGGTGGTATTTATGTTCATACGACAGGAGACATTTATTTTGGAGAAGGTACAACAATTTACAAAGCATCTCCAACTTGTGATACCAACACCGAGTCATCAAATGCACCTTATTGTGACTGTTTGTCAGGTTATTATCGATCAAGTGACTCTCTTACTTGTGTACCAACATGTTTTGGAATCGTGCAAGGAAATAGTTCAGTGTGTAGTGGCCATGGATCATGTGATGCAGTGGACACTTGTGCTTGTAATTCGAATTGGGGTGGTTTGAATTGTTCCTTACCAAAATGTTTTGGTATTTTACAAAGTAATTCAAGTGTGTGTAATGGAAACGGTTCTTGCAATGCAGTGGATACTTGTATTTGTAACTCGAATTGGGGAGGTTTGAATTGCTCCTTACCAAAATGTTTTGGAATTTTACAAGGTAATTCAAGTGTGTGTAGTGGTCATGGATCATGTCTTGATGTTGATACTTGTGAGTGTACCTCTGGTTGGTATGGTTTAAACTGCTCAATTCCAAGTTGTTATGGTATTTTACAAAACTCATCAAGTGTTTGTAATGGTAATGGGTCTTGTAATGCAGTGGATACTTGTATTTGTAACTCAAATTGGGGAGGTTCGAACTGTTCTCTACCAAAATGTTTTGGTATTTTACAAAGTAATCCCTCAGTTTGCAGTGGTCATGGATCTTGCAATGCAGTTGATACTTGTATGTGTAACTCGAATTGGGGAGGTTTGAATTGTTCTCTACCAAAATGTTTTGGTATTTTACAAAGTAATCCCTCAGTGTGCAGTGGTCATGGAACCTGTAATGATGTTGATACTTGCGTTTGTAACTCGAATTGGGGAGGTTCGAACTGTTCTCTACCAAAATGTTTTGGTATTTTACAAAGTGATCCCTCAGTTTGCAATGGAAATGGATCTTGCAATGCAGTTGATACTTGTACTTGTAACTCGAATTGGGGAGGTTTGAATTGTTCTCTACCAAAATGTTTTGGTATTTTACAAAGTAATCCCTCAGTTTGCAATGGAAATGGAACCTGTAGCGCAGTTGATACTTGTATTTGTTACTCAAATTGGGGAGGTTTGAATTGTTCTCTACCAAAATGTTTTGGAATTTTACAAAGCAATCCAAGTGTGTGCAATGGAAATGGATCTTGCAATGCAGTGGACACTTGTATTTGTAACTCAAATTGGGGTGGTTCTAACTGTTCTCTACCAAAATGTTTTGGTATTTTAAAAAGTAATCCTTCAGTGTGCAGTGGTCATGGAACCTGTAATGATGTTGATACTTGTATTTGTAACTCAAATTGGGGAGGTTTGAATTGTTCTCTACCAAAATGTTTTGGTATTTTACAAAGCAATTCCTCTGTGTGTAGTGGTCATGGATCCTGTAGCGCAGTTGATACTTGTATTTGTAACTCGAATTGGGGAGGATCCAATTGTTCCTTACCAAAGTGTTTTGGAATTTTACAAAGCAATCCTTCAGTGTGTAGTGGTCATGGAACCTGTAATGATGTTGATACTTGTATTTGTAACTCAAATTGGGGAGGTTTGAATTGTTCTCTACCAAAATGTTTTGGTATTTTACAAAGTAATCCAAGTGTGTGCAGTGGAAACGGTTCTTGCAATGCAGTGGACACTTGTATTTGTAACTCGAATTGGGGAGGTTCTAACTGTTCTCTACCAAAATGTTTTGGTATTTTACAAAGTAATCCTTCAGTTTGCAGTGGAAACGGTTCTTGCAATGCAGTGGACACTTGTATTTGTAACTCGAATTGGGGAGGATCCAATTGTTCCTTACCAAAGTGTTTTGGAATTTTACAAAGTAATCCTTCAGTGTGCAGTGGTCATGGTACCTGTAATAATGTTGATACTTGCGTTTGTAACTCAAATTGGGGAGGATCCAATTGTTCCTTACCAAAATGTTTTGGTATTTTACAAAGTAATTCCTCTGTGTGCAGTGGTCATGGTACCTGTGATGCTCCAAATGTTTGTAAATGTTCAGACACTACTCAATGGGGAGGTCAGTTCTGTCAAACTCCAGTTTGTTATGGTATTTTAGCCAATGAAACCTCAACGGTATGCAGTGGAAGAGGAAGCTGTACAGCACCAGGTACTTGTAGTTGTAATACTAATTATTATGGATCAAAATGTGAATTAACTACCTGCAATGGTGTTGCTTCAGACAATTCAGATGTTTGTTATGGACATGGAGTGTGTTCATCCTTTAATAATTGTACTTGTACAACTGGATATGGACCTTCAAACACTTGTCAATACCCAATTTGTGGAGGATTCTTGGCCAATGACACCAGAGTCTGTAATAACTCGCGTGGTATTTGTACTTTACCAGGAAAGTGTTCACCTCTTGATCCTGTCTGTTATGGAAAAGCAAACAATGTCTCTGATGTTTGCAGTGGAAATGGTACTTGCATTGACTGGGATGAATGTTATTGCAACACTAGCTATTATGGAAATGTTTGCCAATTCTGGAAGTGCAATGGCAAAAACTTCAATGACTCGTTGGTGTGTAGTGGACATGGTACATGTGCCTCTGTGAACTATTGCGTCTGCTCCCCTGGATGGTATGGCACCAATTGTGATGTACCCATGTGTGTTGGAAAATTATCAACAGCTTCTGATGTTTGTAATTACAAGAATGGTACATGTACAACACCTGGACCATGTTCATGTTTCACAGGTTACACTGGTTCAGATTGTAGTATACCAATTTGTTATGGAACACCTGGAAGTTCATCTCAAGTGTGTTCTGGAAGAGGTAGTTGTGTCAGTAAGGACAATTGTATCTGTGATCCTGCAAAATACGATGGCACCCAATGTCAAAACTACAAGTGTTATGGAATTTCTCAAACAAATTCAAACGTCTGTAGTGGAAATGGTACATGTATTGGTGTAGATACTTGTAGTTGTTTTGCAAATTATACTGGTTCTAAGTGTGACATTGTCATGTGTTCAGGAAAATCAGCACAAGACTCCTCTGTGTGTAGTGGAAATGGTCAATGTATTGATGTGAATAAGTGTCAATGTAATAGTGGATACTATGGTTCGAATTGTGAATATACCACATGCAATGGTATTGCATCCGATAGTACTGATGTTTGTAATTATAAGAATGGTACTTGTGCTGCCTATAACAAGTGTGTCTGTAATTCTCAATGGACTGGAAATGATTGTGAAATTACCTCTTGTTATGGAACTTTCTCTAATGATAGCTCTGTTTGTAATGGAAATGGTATTTGCCAATTGCCAGACTCATGCGCATGTCGTAATTCCAGCTTTTATGGTGGATCGACATGTCTTCCAAAATGTTTTGGTATTTTAGCAGATGTTACTGGTGTTTGTAGTGGACATGGATCTTGTGATGCTCCGAATGTATGTCGTTGTTCGAGTGGATACCTTTACTCAGATTGTTCTCTGTTTTATGTTCCTGCTTCAGGCATTACCTTACAATTCAATAGCACTACAGCGTATGTGAATGAGGCCTCGACATTACTCACTCTCTCTCTCAGTCATCCAACTTTTGCAGCCACTTATATTGGTAGAACTGTGAGAATTGCCTTTGATTTTGAATTTAATGGACAAGTGACTTCCAATCAAACGTATGATGTTGTTCCATCCTCATCAACAACCAATGTACAATTAATTGCTCCATCATACTCCAATACTGGTTCTCTGAAGGCTTACGTAGTGTTGGTGGATCGTACCACCTCAGTGACCATTTCAGATCGAGTATCATCGAGTGCTGTTGCAATTCAAACTCGACCAAAGCCAAGCGTTGTCACCTCTTCCCCTCGTAATACCGATGGAGGAAATGGCGGAGCTATTGCAGCTGGTGTCATTGTTCCTTTGGTTGTGATTGGAGGTGTTGCTGGTCTCACAGCTACCATTGTCTCAGTGGTTGTTTTTATGAAGAAGAAAGCTGCTGCAGCTGCTGCTCAGGAAATCAGTGCTGCTCAGCATGTGAATGTGGAATTGGCTGAAGGCTTTTAAACTTGTAACTAGTAAATTTATTCAAAATAAATCTCATTACTAAGGAATTTTGAATACATCCAATTGCTCCAATGACTCAGGTCTTGTCACCAATAATTTTATTACATCCAACAGAATTCTTGACACCTTAATGTTTGCTTGGTGGAGGTACAAACACAAAGTTAGATCGCACCGCAATGAATCCGGTTTGATAAGAAACGGTTGGATTTTGCAAAGTCAATCCTTCCACAGTTGGTAATGGGAAGCCACGCTGTAGCAACACATTGCCAATGGGTACTATTCCGTATTGGAATAAAAGGTTAACAACGGATGAAACTAATGAAACATCCAAATCTCCGATTGTGCTATATGCCAAAGTCACATTAGCGTTCTTATAACTTAATGAACCAGTCACATTATTCGCAACAATTTGCACTTGCCAATCTAATAAAGCATTCAAATTGAGGGCAAATGCATTCACGGGACCTGTTGGAAGAATTACTTGGAAAATTGCTTGAGCAATCATGGAAACTTCAACACCCTTTGGTGAAATTGTAAACACTGGTGCTGTTGGCACTGTGAAATCGACTTGTAATTCTCTATTTGGATACTTGTTATATAAAGCAGGAATAAAGAATTGAAGATTTGTGGTATTGAATAGCCACGTAATAGCAGAAGGTAACGTATGTTGTGTTAATAAATAATTTAAAACTCCTGCTTGAGTAAATGCATATCCAACTGAATTCAAAGTATAATCACTAACAAACATTTCCATCATGACATCATTCCCAAGTGAGTTTGGCATATAAGAAGGTTGTCCTGGATATGATTGTTGACCCTTAATAAAACATCTTCCTGCAGTTCCAAGAGTCATATAGGTAGAGGGTGTATAACTAACACTTTGTAAGGTCGAATCAAAAAGTACTCCATACGAAAGTATTGGAATTTGTAAATTCAATGTGGACAATGTATTGCTCAAGACTTCATTCACTGCTGCTGCAACTTGTGTGTTAATAGCATTTTGTGCAGCTTGTTCAATAGAGTTTTTAAAATTATTTAAAAAGATGTTATAGAGCCATGATGCACCTCCATGTAATGATAAATTGAAACTTGTGAATTTCGCATTGAATCCAGAGAGTACAATATTAAAATGAGTAGAATCTTGAATTACAACTTGTACATTAAATGTGATGGCAATGGTAATATCCGCATCTGCAGATCCACTGTCACTAATATGAGGCCATGAATTTTCTCGATAATGCCAATTCTATTCCAGTTGATGTTATATGATCATCATTGGTGTCATTGTTATTTTCACACAACCATCATAATTGTGGATTCAACATATTTCATAATAAATTGTAACACTCTATAACACTTACGCAATTCATGTGTGCTGTTGCTGAGCTAATAGTAACTCCCAATCCTTGAGCATTGACTTGAATTGAAGGTGTTGATAATCCAAGTCCACTCAAAGTAATGCTACTTAAAGTGTAAGTGACATGTCCAATGGGTGTATCTTTGTTATTAAAAGTTTTAATCATCTCGCATTTACAATTGTATTACACAACGGTACCTACCAACTTCACCCTGTACATCAGGAACCGAAATAGGAGCATTCAATTGTTTTTGAATCAGTGGCATCAATTGTTGGGCCATGTAATTCAAGGCTCTTTCTTGAACGCTAGCCTTGATTCCCACAGGTAGCAAGGCATTTGTGTTTTTCATCTTTTGTTGAATGAATATCTTTTGTTGTTGGATCGAAATGGGAAGAGCCTCCACTTGGATCGTCATCATCATCACAAGTATTGCAAGAAAACTCATGGAGAAGGAACACACGATCGTTCCCATATTTCGGAGTTGCAACATTTTTTTCAATGAGAAAATCTTTGACGAAACAGACCAACTTACATACCATCATACACTGAAGCGTTATAAACAAGTGTCAGGACCTCTTATTTCTGTGACCTTGTCTTCAAAAGTAAACAGCATTCGTTGGTGGTTTGAAATAAAGGCGTCCAATCCTTTCCATTTTGAGAATCCACTTGGACGTAGGGTCCAGAACCAATTCAACTCCAATTGCCCAATTTTGAATGCATTTTCAATCTTCTCATTCGTGATTAGTATACTCTTTCTAATATTCATTACAAGTGGAGTTTGTTTATCTAAAGAGAGTCTACACTTGACTGGCGCTATCTCTCAAGACATGCAATGAAAGAGTAATTTGCCACACCAAAAACTTAAAACAAAATCAACCACTACAAGCAGTACCACCACCACTCTTATCGAGAGTATAGGCTTTTACATCATCGTCGTCCATAAAACAGGCAGGCACTCTCTCGTTGAACAATTCTTGGTCAAATCGTGTCAATTGCTTTTTGGCAACCTACGTTGAAGAAGACATTGAGCCTTTTCTTCTTGCTGTAAATATTCATACAAGCATTCCGTACTATTCCATCATCATCATCATGTTCGAGAAAGAAGAGCCGCAAAGCTATCCTCTCAAAAAACGCCGAAGTAGTTTACTTGGCATGATTCCTTCCATGTTGTTAGGACATGTGGCATCATCTTCCGATTTGTTGTCCTCCTCACCCCATGTGTCATCATCTTCGTCTACACCTCTGAATGGAACAATAACAACCAATGTCAATGTATGTATTTGTGGTACTTCCAACACTGGAAAGAAAAGTTTAGTCTCGTATATGGTGAATGGCTATCATAACCCTTCATCATCCATGCAACGATCTGCATTCGACGACTCGACAAGTGACAACAGTAATGATGAAGAAAGCGTCGAATCTTGGTGTGACTCTGCGATGGGTTCTTTTGTATGGAATAATAGCTCTACTTTACATCATCACTCAAGAACAACTTCAAAAGGAGACTTGATCGATGTGGATCCTGATTATGTCAAACAGGTAGACATGAGTAGCTCCGAAAAATTGAAATTGAACTTTTTCATTTTCTCTCATTCCGATACAGAAGTCAGAAGCCGAAATGTATTGGAGAGTGATGTAACTTTTAAGAATATTGTCAAGATTGCACATATTATCATCTATGTATATGATGTCACAAACATGACCTCATTTGAAGCTGTAAAATATTACTATGAGCAAATATTGAATATCATGAGCTCAAATGAATGTTGCGAAAATATGGAGAGTTATAGGTTTTCGTGTTCTCCACAGAGTCCATCTCTTCTTGGGCCATTACTCCAAAGGCATAATATAATAATGAAACCATCAATGGTAATTGGAGCGAAAATTGACCTTGAAGAGGACCGAGTAGTTACTGAAAGTAATATCATGTCACATCAAAGGATTATGAACGGAGTTACCTTTCATGAGTGTTCATGTTTGACAGGAGAAAATGTATTATCTTGCTTTGAGGATTTAAAGTTATTATCAAAACCAAACACATTCTTGTCAAAGCCAACCTCAGACAACGGTAGAAATTCACGACGATCGAGTATAACTCTTTCTTCAAGACAGAGTATGAGTTGCAATAGTTCTCCTAATCTAGATAATACTGCTAACAAACGAGCTAGTCGAATATTTGATTCTGTTAAAAAAGTGGGAGACATGTTTAGAGTGAGGTCCAATTCAATGGCAAGCAACAACACCGAAAGAAAAATTCCTTCAAGTCCAGCATCCTCAAGTGCTCCCACGATCAATGACAAGAGAAGAAGTCAAAGTATTGGCGTTATCATTTCTCAACATGAAAAGAATACAGGCTTTGTTATCAAACCAGAAATCACAACTTTAGAATTGCAAGTAAGCGTTCCAAGCCAAGTAGAGACTTGCAAAGAACCAAAGCAAGAGGTGCGAAAGAGACCCACGAGTTATTCGTGGAAGAATATTTTCAAAAAGAAATAAATCAAAACGACCAATAGTCATGTCAAGTCTGTTTCTTTATAAACTAGTTGATACAAAGGACCTGAGTTGCGCTGACATGCCTTTCTAAACTTCATTAATGAAGAAACAAACTCGAATCCAAACGAGCCATTTCTATAGCTTTTGGAAAACAATTTTAAAGATGTTATCAGTAGTTTGGTGTAATGAACAGTAAAATCTTTCGGTATTTCTTCCCTTTCACAACATTGTAACATTTTGGTTATGTAGTCAAATGTTTTGTCAATACACAGCGAATAATTAAATGAGCAGCACACTGTAAAAAAGTCGAATATCATGTCAATACAGTTAGAAAGGTAACCAAACGAAATAAGCACATCAATATACTTGAGAATAAATTTAGGGTATGCCAAAAATAAATTATCTTCTCTACACTTGACATGAGTGTCAATATAATTCAAACAGTGATGTAGTAAATGGTTTTTAACACTTTTGTAAAGTTCAATTAAATAGACCTGAGTTTCACCATGGTTGGTATCGTGACAATGTTTCAAGTAATCTCCAATAAATTTTAAATATTTCACGTTAAAGGTTTGTTTGAATAATACGCTCAATAATAGGACAGTTAAATGAATATCTTTGTGTACAAATGGTAGTATCATCTTCACCAGACGCTTAATTTTCGTTTTATAACCCAACCAAAGTGCCAGCTCTTCTGCGTCTCCAATATGTTGCTTTTGAATTTTGATGTATGGTAATATAATCTGATCATAAATTTTTGTAATATCAGAAAGTTTTAAATTCTTGACGTCCAATTTTCTTAAATTTGAAATTATTTCATCCTCATTATCAATTTTCTCACCTCTTTCAAAACCGTCAATGTCTTCATTGTAGATATCCATGGGAGTTTCAATAACATTTATAACATCTTCAAATATTGAAAGCTTATTGTTTACATATTGCCCAACAATGGGAAGGAATATTATTGGGCATTCCAATCTGCATGCTAATGGATCCAGCTTTGATTGCCCATCAGTGAGGAATGTTGAAGATGAAGTTACAGGTGGTGTTGTTGATGAGGGAGTCGTAGAAAGACTTGTTTCACTATTCATCGGGATAATATTATCTTTCGAATGACCTGTAATATTGGTACGAATGTTACTGTTACATGAGAGAGAAGAATGAGAAGAAAATCCGCTACTATGTCCGTCATCATCAACGGTTCTCCGATATGCAAAACTGTTATTTGTAATAGGAATCGAATTTGTGATTAAAGTTGGTGACTGTTGTTGAATGTGTTGATTCAAAATTGGAGAAGAAATTGGAGTGATAGAATGAATTCTTTGTTGTTGCGTTTGTGCTTGATATTGGGGAGGAGGACGGAAAACTTGCGGAGTGGTTTTAGATGTATTTGTGATACCATGATTGAAAGAGATTGATGGTGCAAAAGTGCCTGGAGCAAAATGTTGAAATAATCCTTGTACACCACTAGTAGTATTTGTGGAGGAAAGTCTATTGGAATTATTCGCTGTGATGATGATTATAAATTGAGTTGTAATTTTTATTGATACTACTTACGAGGAATAAATCTATGGTTGTTGTTGTTGGGCGAGGTTGTCGTTAAAGTAGGAGGACGAAAAATGTTGTTTGTATCATTCCGAGCATTCAATGAGAACGGCATTCTCCCTGAAGTTCGGAAACTATATTGGCGAGCAGGTTTCGTTCAATATTTTTGTATTCTTTTTTTATTCTTAAAATTGAAAAACGAAAAATTGCGCACCGATACTGCTGGCAATTAATTGCACGCTTTGCTTTTGACATTTTAAAAACAATTGAACATTGAGGATAACAACTCCAAGTCGTCTAAACTTTACCTCCTTCTATTTCCAGTCATGGCAGTCGTTGGTTGTGCCAACAAGGAATAACTTTCATTAGGATCTCCAAATGGACATTTCAATTCAAGCATTCCATGTTCATCCTCTAGTTGCAAGGGCTCATTCTTAATTAATTCATCATAGTTGGAATCACCTTCCATGACACCACATGATCTTCTATATTTCAACCAAAAACCTCGATCAAAGGCTTTCAATAACTGATATTCCTCGGAATTTTCAAATGAAGGATCAACATCCATTAAATCTTGAACAAATAAATCCAAATCTTTGTGTGTTTGGAAAGTGTGTTTCTTTTCAATCATTCTATGGTTCAAGTTTGAGTGTTCTTTAAAGAGAGTATTATACTTGTCTCTGAATTCCTTATTTGTAGTAAACATGACATCTGTTAATCCCTTATTGAAAATGGTTTCTAAATAATCACCAATGGATGTGTTTTCAAATTTGAAGTCTTTAACACCAATTTTTCGAAGCATGAATATGGTAAAATCTTGACAATTGGCAATCTTTTTTTGTAATTTTCTATCATTACTAATACTTCCATAGGAATATTCACGATTCCAACGAGAGACTTCTTCTGAGAGCTAGTTCAACAAGTTGTGTGGTTATGAATAGTATTTCATGAATAGTAATCATAAATACCATGATTATCCATTCATTAATGAATATATGAATATATAAATATATACAAATATATACAACACAATAAATATATAAATATATACAGCACACACACAAAACCAAAAAGAGCATGGAAGCAGAGAGTATTAAAAAAATTTTGTTGACATATAAATGTATGTGTTCATGAGAGTATGTTGCCACACAATGTCACACAAAATTCGAACGAGTAGTACTACTTACAATTTTCAAACAATCTTCCAATTCACTCATGTCATGTATTTCCTTAACTGTAATTGCCAATAAACAAGAAGTTCCTTTCACATCCGATGTTTCACAATATTCTGATTTTACCCAATCAAATTTCAAGTTAGAAATTGTAAAAGCAGTATGAACCCATCCAAATTGACTAAATACATTTACAAAAGTATTCACAGTACTGGCCATTTTGCTTGCCAATTTTGGTTGATTTAAATCAGAAATGATTAATTTGACTTTGAGTGGTTTTTTGAAAATAATTTTGTGACCTTCGTTTTGTTGTGCAAAATAGGAATCCATGGAAAGAATACTGAGAGTACTCTGATCGGAAGAATCTTGATCCTCTGAATGATGATGATGATCATCTTCATGTTGTGACTTCAATGAAGGGTGGTGAAGAGTAGGTTGTGTCCATACTTCAGCAGAATTGAATGATTGTTGTTGTTGAGTGAGAATCATGTCCGAATGGTTGTTGTGTTTGTTGTGGTTGTGGTCATAATCACTACCAGTACTACCAGCACTACTACCATCATCATCATCTTGATCGTCATCATTTTCGTCGTGCTTGTCCTTGTTGTTGTCATGTTCATGATCATTACTACTATTACTCAGTCGACAAGTCGATTGTTCGTCTCGTCGTTTCTTTCGTTCTCGTCGACACTCTTCCACATATTCATTGTAAATCATTTCTTTCACTGCTTTTAACTGCACATTAAAATATCGATAGAAATGATGTGGAGATCCAATTCGAATGGCATGTTTTCTCATGGATAAATCATTGGGTGCATTATTCGCTTGTTGATATCGTTTTTTGATTTTACCATACAATACGTAAATTCCTTCCTTGTATTCATCGGGAACTTCATTCCAAGCTTCAATATCAGAAAATGTTTCATTGGCGAGAATGTGTGTGGATGTTGTTGTGGTTTGATTGGAAATTGATGATGCTACAGTTACAGATTGGGAATCATTGTGTGAAGGTTTAGAAGAATGGTTGTTACTGTTGTTGGAAATGAGGATGGAGTTGGTGGTTGGAGTGTTGGTAGGAGAGTTGATCGTCGACTTTGTGGATGGTTGTTGTGAATTGGCAATTGTATGATGAGGAGAGCCAGAAGTGGTAGTTCCTCCCGAAATTAATGGTTGGGTCGTTTTGGTGTTAGTGATATTAGGTGTTGGAGAATGATTTGGTGACTTCTTTGTGGAATTTGACGGAGAATGAATATTGGCTTCCTCACCATCGTCATCGAATGCTTTGGAGTGAGCTCGTGACTTGAGAACCATATTCCCCATTTTTTTACTTTATGGAAAGGTGATTAGTGACACTACTACCTTGTTTAAAACTGGCTTGTTTTATTGCTCCACCAAGACGGGTTGTTTGTCTACAGATTGTTTTCGACGAGAAGCAACCTTCTTAATGTCGCTTACTTCTTGTTTTGTTTCTTGTACCTTTTTCTTTTCTTTTTTCGTTTTATTCTTTTCCTCTGAGACTTGTTTATCGGATTGTTTCGGGATTCCTTCATTCTTTATCTTTAATAACGTTTGTTCCATGTATTTTGCATCTAGAGTGGTCGAGGAGAGTAAATCTAATAAAATCTCGTTCTTTAATTTCAATAATCTATTTTCTTGTTCCAATTCCTCCATTCGATCCTTAATATTTTTTAAATCTGAGTGGTCTAGCTTGATATATTCTCCTTGATTTATCTCTCCCATGTACTCGAGACCTCCTGTTTCTGCGTTCATCCTAATCATCATCTTACCAAGAGTACATTCAATTGGCGTTTTTCGGGTGGGCAGAGTTTCTGCCTCCATTCCGGTTTTAGATGGTTTGCCAGCGAGATATCTTCGGAGTTTGGTCCAGTTATTCGACATGTTGATATTCATTTCGATAAGAAGGTTTTATGGAGAGTGATTGTTGAGGTGCAAAAGTTGCGGTTTTTTTTCAATTTTGAAAATAATAATAAATTTAACGAATAACGGATCATTGAGAACAAATCTGTAAGTGTTGGCGGGTACTATCAATACAGTTTTTAAGTTACAATATCAGTCACTATCCCTCACTGACATCAGGGAAACGGTGTAAACCAGTGCCAGTGTTTCAAATATTGTGTTGGTATATCGTACCATGTTGATGGTTATTATAAGAACATCGCCTTCTCACGGCAGGTTCAATTTTTAAATTTTAAAATTTAAAAAATGCAGCCACGACACCCATCACCTTCCTTGAACAACACCGTAAACCGTGAGGGAAGTAGACAAATTCATAATCATCATCAATTTCAAACACAAACACCACCACATGATTCAAATAATTACAGACAGCCTACAGATTTAAAACGAAAATTCGATGAAGCTATTGTTCCGAACACCACCACAACAACAACAACTGGTAATACAACGACATCAACCGACGCCACCAGTGAAATGGAAAAAAAGAAAGCAAGATTAGAAGCTTGGAAAAAGAAGAAGGAAATGGGAGCACTTCAAAAACTAGAAGAAGAAAAGAAACAAAAGGTTGTAACCGCAACTCCGATCAGCAACACAAACACTCCTAACACAAAGCCTTTATCATCGGTAGAAATGTTCCAAAAAAAATCGGGTGTGTCTCTCAAATTTAATTCAACAGGAACAAAATCAAAACACGCTCAAGTACCAAACAATTCGTTACTCAATATAATGGAGGATGATGACTTCACTGGCTCATCTTCAAAATCTGCCACCTCCCTTAGCTTCCTTGATGACGATGAGATGATTACGACTAATACCACAATGGAAGACGAGGAGGACGAATTTGAAAAATATATGTCCACCATTCATAATAATTTACAGCAGCAACAGCAGCGTTCAGTGTCTGACAACGGTACGTTAAGTAATAGCAACATCACGGAGTATTCTACTGAAAACAGAAACCAAAAAGGACAAGTCTTATTTTCTGAGGATCTCGACGTAGATATTGATAGCTATTTCATTACAAAAGAGGATACTATTGAAAAAGGTTTTGAAGGATTGTCAGATCTTCAAAAGCAGTCTAAAAAGGATTTAAAGCCTGTAGATCATTCACAAATTGATTACATACCCATTCGTAAAAACTTTTTTATTGTTCCTAAAGAACTTTGCTCCATGACCGAAACAGAAATCAATGAACTCAGAAAGGAGATGGGGAATATTAAAGTTCATGGGCATGATATTCCTCCTCCTGTAAAATCATGGACCCAATGTGGGTTGAATGATGTGATTTTAGGAGTAATAGACTCCCTTGGATATACAAAGCCTTTTGCAATTCAGTCTCAGGCTCTCCCTTGTATCATGAGTGGAAGAAATGTTATTGGTATTGCTAAAACAGGCAGCGGGAAAACTCTAGCATTTGTATTGCCCATGTTAAGACATGTTTTGGATCAACCACCTCTGAAATTTGGAGATGGACCAATTGGCATTGTGATGGCTCCAACCAGAGAACTTGCGATTCAAATTCATGACGAATTGGCTAAATTTGCTGAGCCTCTCCAGTTAAAAACAGCTTGTGTTTATGGAGGTGCTGGAATTGCCGAGCAAATAGCTTTATTGAAAAACGGTGCTCATATTGTGGTTTGTACACCAGGAAGATTAATCGATTTGCTTTGTGCCAATAGAGGCAAAGTAACCAATCTCACCCGTGCATCATTTGTTGTCCTGGATGAAGCTGACAGAATGTTTGATTTGGGATTTGGGCCTCAAGTAATGAGAATTTTGGACAATATCAGACCCGACAGACAACTTGTCATGTTCAGCGCGACATTCCCTCGTCAATTGGAAGCTCTTGCTAAAAAAGTGATGAAAAACTCCATAGAAATTATAGTTGGAGGAAGATCCGTAGCATGTGAGAACATAAAACAATACGTAGAGATTTATAATGATGATTCGACCAAATTTTTACGATTGTTGGAATTACTTGGCAAGTATAACAAACCCAATACGAGCATTCTCATTTTTGTCGACTCACAAAACAGTGCTGGTGATTTATTTAAGGATTTGGCTCTTGCTGGTTATAAGGATTGTATCTGTACTCTGCATGGAGGAATGGATCAAATTGAACGTGATTGCACAATATCCGATTTCAAATCTCAAAAATATAGCATCATGATTGGAACAAGTATTTGCGCTCGTGGACTTGATGTTCCAAGTATTCGTCTAGTTGTAAATTATAATTGTCCTGATCACTACGAAGACTATGTACACAGAGTAGGAAGAACTGGTCGAGCAGGTAGAAAAGGAGTTGCCTATACATTTATTTCTGCTTCAGAGGAAAAGTTTGCTTCTGATCTCATCAAAGCGTTAAAACAATCAAACAATCCAGTTCCAGACGAACTTGTCAAACTCTCTGAGAATTATGTAACGAAAAGAAATCTTGGACTGGTACAAGAAAAGAAAAAATCGAACATGGTACCAGGTTTCGTTGGCAGCGGATTTAAATTTGATGTTCATGAAGAAAACAAGAAATTGGAAGAAAAGAAACAACTTGCACTTTCATATGCCGTTTCCAACAATGATGAGGCAATTCTTGATCAAATCGATTTACCGACTGAAGATGAAATTAAGAAACAAGAAAAGTCCAGTCAAAAGAAAAAAGCAAAGAAAGAAGAGACTGTGGTTGATAAGGCAACCAAAGCAGCTGAAGCTGTTTATAAGGACATTGACAAGAACGATGCAATCACTGAGGAAGAAAAGGCAATTCAACGTGCTCAGCTCTTTGCTGCTGCACTCACAGTTCACACGTCACTCTCAGAAAAGCAAAAAGAAAAACAAATGGCTCAAAAGATGTTGCAAAGTGTTGTCAATGTTGGAGGTCTGTTTCGAACGGAGGTCGAGATTAACGACTGGCCTAGACCAATCCGAATGGAAATTCTCAAAAAGGATGCTCTACACAGTGTGCAACATTTTACGAACACAAAGATCCATGTGAAGGGTACTTTTGTTCCTCCTGAATCACGTCCAAAACCAGGAGAACGAAAACTCTATCTCTCTATCGAAGGAACAAGTGAGGAATCGGTTCAACAAGCACGTTCTCAAATTTTGAACATGTTAGGCGAAGATTCAAGTCTTATGGATCGAAGGCATACAGGACGATTCACCGTGTGAAAATAAACAACGCAACTGGATCTCTGAACACCAAAGTGTCTTGACAGCTTACTAAAAAATTCCTTGTATTGAAACAATAAGAATTTACTGACTCAAATCACCCCAATTTGTACCAGTTAAAATGACAACTGGTGTGGGTACGGACAATTTAAAACATGATTCCATTGATTCCTTGATGATTTGTTTTGCTTGTTCTACTTTCTCGCTCCGCACTTCGAACAAAATTTCATCATGAATCTGCAGCAATAGTCTCATCTCGATTTTTTCAAGTCTTGTTCGATCCCAAACAGTGCGAATTGCTTCTTTAATGATATCTGCAGCTGATCCTTGAATCTTTGAATTGAAACTTTGACGTTTTGTTTTTGCGATTAAGGTACTATCTGGTGACCAAATAGAGGATAAATGTCTAATAATAATTGAGATGAAATGTTAAAATGTGACATTTTTCTGTTGCAATAAAAATATTTACCTTCTCCTTCCTGCTATGGTTGTAACATAGCCATGATTCATAACCTCCTCTTCAATTTCGTTTCTTAGAGCTTCAATTCCCTTAAATCTTTGGAAAAAGTTATATCGATATCTTTTAGCATCTTCAATTCTGTGAGTGCCTGTTTAGCATTGATGAACATGAATCATCCACATTCATAAAACAACTTACTATCAAACAATGCAATCGATAACTTGTCATCTCCCATTCCATATATAATTCCATAAGTTAATGTTTTCATTTGAGATCGTTGTTCATCTGTAACATGATCATAATCAGTTGCAAATAATGCACTTGCCATTTGTTTAAAAATGTCAATACCATCTTGCTGTGAAAATATTTTCAATAAAGTTGCATCTTGACTGAAATGAGCAATGAGACGAACTTCAATTTGTGAAAAATCAGCACTCACTAATATACAATCATCACTTGTTGCTGTAATTGCAGATCTACTATTTATAGTGACTTGTTTTCCTAATTTTTGACTAAAAAAAGACAATGGTTTTGGAAGTGCTTGCAAATTTGGATCTCTTGATGATATTCTTCCTGTGGATGTTGCGTTTTGTTCTTGACTGGAATGAATTAAATATTTTGAACATGTTTTTTCATAGAATACATATTTTTGTTTGTAATCTTGAGTAAATTTAGATGAAATATTTTGTAATTTTCTAAATAATTGAATAGATTCAATAACATAACGATATTGTGGATATTGAATCGATAATTTTCGTAGACAATCCTTATTCGTAGATTTAGCACCTTTTTTACAAGTAAGAGAAGGTGTTTTCATTTGCAAGACATCATATAAGAGATATTGAATATCATTCTTGTTAGTGAGTGTAATCTTTCTTGATCCACATAATTGTTGTAATTCTCTTGTTTGATAGGTTGTTTCATTAGTAACTAAATTAGATAATTCATCAATTTGTTTGACATTACATCCCACTCCATTATATTCCATCGATGCTATAATTGGAATTAAATAACATTCCTTAATAAATGGTTGTGTTAAACCAAGATCCATAATTTGTTGATATAATTTGTTCATACAAGCATAGGACATGTATGAATCATTGGCAAGTATGTTGGATGGATCCATCATGGATGTATGATGATCTGAGAATGTCGAATTCTTTTTCGAATTCTTTTTAGATTTGGTTTGAGAATTCTTGTTCGATGAATTACTCTGTTGAAGAGTACTAGTGGAGTGGTCATTCATGGAATGTACACCATTCTCAATCATGGTATGATACATGTCTGAAATTGTACTTTTAGGTTTGTGTTCTAAACTCGTATCACACATCCAATCCATAATAAGAGGATCAAAACATAGATTATTGAATTCAAAGTATTCATGAGTGTGAGAGGATGGACTGGTGTGATCTCTAATATTACTAGTAGTAGTAGTAGTAGTACTGGTGTGATCTCTAATATTACTAGTAGTATTACTAGTAGTAGTAGAAGTAGTACTCACAGTAGTACTCACAGTATTAGTAGTACTTGGATGAATACTTTGACTATTATTATCACCATTAGCAGTATTAGTAGTACTTGGATGAATAGACTGACTATTATTACCACTACTATTACTATTATTTTGACTACTTTTTGCATGACCACTACTTGTTCCAAATAAATAATCTCCATATAAATATCCTAATTGTTGTTTGATATTAAAACTACATGCAATCATATGTGTCTTGGAGAAGATCATTTCTTGAATTTTCCTTTTTACCATTAAAGTGTATGGACTTGATGGTTCAAATTCAATGAAATAAACATTTTGATCTGAAATGTTAAAATCTGTAATTAATTCTTCATAGGGAAGTAATAATTGACCAGAGTTCATTGTATTCATACCAATAGTCCTTTCATTTCTGTCATGATTCGTCGTTGAATGCATTTCATCATCATTTCTATCAAGATCATTTCTATCAAGATCATTATTCATTGAATGTGAATTGGTAGATGTAGTAGTATGATTATACGTTTTCATTGAAGACCATCCAACAACCATTGCACTAATATTGCTGACTCTTCTAGAAGAACCTGACTTGTCATCTCTTTTCAATGAAAAGTAATACAATGGTTGTTTTGACCATTCTAATATTAATTCATCTAATAAATGACTTGGAGAAATGGTAGATATTTTCTTCACTTTCAATCCTAATGAGGAAGTAAATTCTGTGAATTGTGTTTGAATTTTGGGTTTTTTAAGAGTCTTAGAGAGAAGGTGAGTGTTCCATGTCATTTCATTATTATTGGCAATGTCGGCATGATTGGTGAGGTTACTCAAAGTCTTTGAAACAATATATTGATCGTGTACATCACGAGTAGAGGCATGAGAATTCATGAAATTTCTCTTTTGGTTCTGCATTTTACCTTCGAGATACTTGGGAGGAGGGATAAATTTCTGAGGAGATTTGTTTGTTACTGCTGTAGTAGCGCTGGCAAGAGGTTTAACATGATTCTCAGATGTTGTTAAACCTCTCGTAACAATAGGAGAGTTGTTGGAAGTGAGTGAATGAGTGCCAATGCTCAATGCTGTCACTTGTGGTACGTGTGAAGGTTTGGAATGGACAGTAAGGATGGTTGGAGGTTCAAACTTTACAGTATTTGGCATTATGATCGGATGTCTATTATTATTTTGTATATTATTTTTGTATAATTCACTATGATGTTGAATAGAAGTTCTTGATGGTTGTTGAGCCACGGTACCTATGGTTTGATTTCTATAACTTGGTGGAGGAACAAATTTCAAAGCACTTCTCGTGTTAGTGGTTGTTGTGGTGTTGGTGGTTGTGGCGGTAGTGGTTGGAGTTGTTGTTGTGACACTATTAAAAGTTGTTCTTGAATCATGCAATGAAGAATGATGTTGTAGATTGGTGGATTGTACCTTATTGGTCGTGAATATGTGATTGGAAATACCTCGTGGTGGTGACGATGAGAAGGTTGTTACGACCTTAGGAATATTGTGTGATTCACTAAGGAGAGGTGTCAGCATGCTTAAAGTACAAGCATCATCATCATCATGGTATGGAATGATGATTCTCGAATTTGTTGAATCCTTATTGTTGTTATGGTTCCATGGAGTACTGTGTACTCTTGATCGTACTGGTGGATCAAGCTTGAGAGTTGGTGCATGTTGTTGTTGTTTGATGTTCCTCTCCGTGTTCGTAGATAAATGATTAAGAAGATTATTGTTGTTATTGTTGTTATTGGATGGATCATTGGAAGAGCTCTCCAATGCTTGTTCTTCTTCCAATCCATCCAAAAGAAAGAGATCATCATCCCAATTCAATGATGTTTTGAAAGGTACCAAAGTCTTCGGTTGGTGGCGATGGTTCATCATCATTATTTTGTTTTTTTGAATGGTTCGAGTATTCACTCGAGGTGATTTTCCCTCTCTCCTTGCGCCGTACTTGAGTATCATACTTTAATAATATCGATATCAACAAGAACATTTAATAGATGGTCATTGACGATCATGTTTGTTGGACATTGAGTTTTGCTGGTATCTTGAGCTACAACACGAAACTAATATTAACCATTACTTGGTTACACCCTTTTTGAATTGAACCTACATGTAATTGCTTGAACCAACAACATCTTTCGTTTTGGAAATCAGCCATGCGTCAAAGTACCACTGCAAAAAAATTCACCACATTTCTCTCTCTTCTGCTCCCCACAGATTTTACTCTCACCACCGAGCAGTTGCCCCTACTCCGATCATTTTTGCAAGACTCTAGTAGTTGTCATTACAAGAGACACAACAACAGATTGTACAATTTATTTTGATTGAATTTTACTGATCTTTTCAATAAGATAACTCTACATTTGATTTCGTCCTACACTTATTTCATCAACTGATTTGATCTAGTACAAGTTGTTCTCAACACTCACTTCTCGGAGTATAGACATCATTATGGTCGATCCACACGTATCCTCATCCTCCTCATCATCATCATTGACCAATAATAATCATAACATGAACGTTGGTTCAAGTTGGTTCAATATTGCTGACCATGCCACAACAATGCCGGTTGTTGATTCAACTCATGCCATCTCCGCGGCAACCACGAACTGATGGACACTTACCCTTTCATGCTCACAGCATCGAACAGTGTGATGAATACTCCTCAAGAGCAGCAACAGCAACCACCACAACAACAACATGCATCCTCTCATCACTATTATTTGCATCATGCACTCAACCATACTCCTTCGAATGCAAATGGTCAATTGGACATGACTCATCCACAACAAGCCTTACTACTTTTACAAGAACAACAGCAACAACTTGCCAACATGTTACAACTTGCTTCATTGCAGAATTCTCATCAGAATTCTATTGTAAATACAAATGCATTGAACTTTATCATTCCTCAACAACATGAACAATTATATGAACAACAACAACAACATCAACGCTTCGTCATGCCAACTTCTCACTATAATTCCAATCAGCATGTTCAAGTTCCACCATTGAGTACTGCTACAACAACAACAACAACTACTACTTCTACTACTACTACTACAACTGCCACTGCTAATAACCCTCGCATCTCTTCTCTCATCACTGATGACTTTGATGACATCTTTTTGAGTGGATGTTTTGATGATGATGTTGTGACCGTTGGTACTGTACCAAGTACTCAAGTGGATGGATCAACGAGTCTCCAACAAGTACCACCTTCACACTCTTCTCATCTTTTCACATCATTCAATCAACAACACCCATTAGTATTTCCAGGAGGAGAATTGATGCCTTCCACTCCACTCACAACCTCTCATGCATGGTTAAAAGTAATTCCTGATCAAGATGTCATGTTCTCTAGAAATTATGATTCGTACTTGTCTGTGGTTCAACCTGTCATTACTTCTGCGTGTCATAGGAATGATCATTATGAAATATCACAACACTCACAGCAACCATCACAACAACACTCTCATCTCGTCATGCAACACCCCTCCACTCATGAGAACCATGATCCCATCATGAATTTATTACACCACCACCATAGTGTCATGCCATCCATTCAGAATCATTCCATGGCTGATTCATCATCATTCATGAAACATTCCACGTTGGATCCTACTCGAATGAATACTTCTACTACTACTACTACATATATGAATACTACTGCTAGTCCTCATTCGAAAAGAGGACAAAAGAGAAAGAATGTTCCTTCAAATCATCAAGAAGAGGAATTACATTCAAGTGATTCCACCACTCTTCATCGTGGTGTACTCGACAAGAAAAAGAACAAACCCAATGATCCAATAGTGATTGCCATGAATCAAAATGAAACAGCAGGAACACAGTCCTGTAGTCTATATGAACAAACACAACAACCACAACAACCACAACTACAAACACATTTATTACAACAATCACAACAACCATATCAAACACATACTTTAATTGATGATGATTTATTACAACTCGATCAAGTCTCTGTTCATACGACTTCAACAGATGCCACCAATAACATTATGCATACCATGATGGCTTCATTCTTTCCTCAACCAACTTGTTCAAGTAACCACTTGAATCATATTCATCCTTCCAAGATTCAAATGTCCACAAGTTCACACAATGATCTTGCTTATACTCAACTCAATGCACTCAAACATGTCAATAATTCGATCACTGTTGTATTATTGAATAATGATCCAATTATTGAATGTATTAAATTCACTCCCAAGAAGAAGATGACCTTTGAATTGTTGAGTCTCTTGGAAATTGATCCTACTCTTCTTTCCAATCTCACTCCTAATTCCTATGATATACATTTGGATCAATCTCTACTTCTTCGATATGGTAAGAGAAGTGCTGCTGCTGGTAGTAGTAATGGTCATTCGAATACTACTAATACTACTATGAATTCTACGACTTCAACTACGACTTCAACTAATTCTAATAGTCATGCAGCAACAAATTCTCATCACCATGGTAATACTACTATTGCTACTACAACTACGACTCATGAAAACAAAACAGTGGATCCACCCATTGATCTCTATCAATTATTCCTAACTGCTCAAATTACTGTTGATGGCAAGAATTTAGAAAATATGGATGAATATTTCAAATTCAAAACAGATACCAAGAATGAAAAAACTCTTCATTTCAAAATTGAAGATTTGAATCAAAGTCATGATCATCGATGGAATGAACAAATTGTTGGAACCAAAATCAATGCCAAATTATCATTCAATTTAGAAGTGAAAATGGTCAAACCTATTAAGGGTATTTCAATCAACTTGTTACTATTCCTTCAACAAAAAGTACCAAGTAGTAGTAGTAGTACAATGACGGATTCGTCAGCTTCTGTTGGCCAACAACACGTGTTTTCAGAAATGGATCAACTCTTAAAATGGAATGTTCCAGTACTGGTTCAAGGTTCAAGAAGAAAGAAAAAAACTGAAAAAGATTCTGAACTCAAAGAATGTTTTGGAGAGAGAATGTGGCCACTCGTCGATTTACAAATGGCTCTTCTCAATCGTAAAGGAGCTGAAAATGCAGATACAGAAATGGATCCAGATGAAGATGGATATGGTCTCATGGATGATATTCTAAGAACTCGAAGTGATCAATCTGTATTTCGACCCATTGGTGATTCAATTCTCAATGAAATTGTAAGAGAGGCTGAAAATAATTTGTGTAAAGATTCCAATAATTTACATGCCCTTCGACTCTTTGAAAAGTATTTTCAAACCAAATATGGATCAGGAACTTCTTTGGATATTTTTAATTTGACACGATATTTGGCAGCCAAAACCATCAATCGAGAATACATGTTACCTGATGTGGTTGTAGCAGCAACAGCAACGAGTGCGCACTTGATCAATGGGAGTAGTAGTAGTATGAATTCCCTCAACATGGAAGATGTTGCTGAAAGCCTCATAACACCCTCTGCTGCTGTTCATGCCTCTTCTTCGAATCATTTCATGAGAAATCCACTCAATGATATTCTACCAGAAAATATTACAGAATTAGATTTAACCATTCTATTGAAATTAACATATCTATATTCAAGATATGAACCTATCTTTAAAGCAGATGGATGTAACAATACTGAAAAGATGATCAAATATTGTTGTCAAATTGCAACCAATCCTCAATTTAGTATCAAAACCAAAGTCTTTAGTTTATATCGATTAGCTGAATCAGAATATCTTAAACTCAATATTGAAAAAGGTCGATTGAGTTATCATTCCTTAGAGAAGTGTAATCAATGTTACTTTTTCATTCAAAGATGTTTAAAAGATGAACCAACTTTAACCAAAGGTGAAGTGAGACATATCAAAGCACTTGAAGCATCAGTTCTCAATTTGAAATCTATTTTATTGAGTAATATTCATAATTTGGAACACTTTGCATCGACACCTCATTCACTCTCTGAAGAAGAAATTAATTCCAAATTATTATCTCTGAGAGATATTGTGCAGTACAAACATGCTGCATTCCAAATTAGAGGTCGTTACACACCACGATGTACATCCTTTGCACAAATTTGTAATAACGTGGCAGCAAGTTTGAGAGTTTATTATACGTTATTCAAAATGACACAATCCTACACACCCAAGAGAGCAATTTTAATGCTCAATGTCATTAAAAAGATGCAAAGTAGAGCAGTCACGACACACAAACAAGCCAATCCAAACACTTCTCACTTGGCCTATTCACTCTACAAGTACAATTTAAAGACAACAGAATTATTGATTTTAGAAGAGACTAAATTAGATAATCCCACTGAAACAGATATTGATGATAAAATTGAAAAGGCTGCAGCTGATAAGAGAAAGTGCTATTCCAATTATAGAGCTCTTAAGGATCAATTTTTAGGAATTCAATAATAACATAATCCGAGTCCTCTCCAGTGTTGATAAAATGATTTTTGTGTGTTCAGCTAATTCAAGTGAATTCTCTCCATTGTTGATAAAATGATTTTTGTGTGTTGAAAACAACAGATGTTGTGTTTATAATATTTTAATGATCATTAGAATTGAAGCAAGGCCACCACCAAGATGATCATGATCAACAACACAAGTGATGATGAAAGTCCAGAAGCTCCACTCAATACCTTTGGCATGATCAAATTAGGAACTGGTTGAACACCTGGAACAAATCCTTCAAATTCAGCAACTGTCCACTTGTCATTATTTTGCATACAACTCCAATAATTAGTGAAATAGGATCTACATTTGGTATAAATGGATGATTCTCGATCCACAAATAAAGAATCCATGGCCGATCGAGCCACCAAATTGTAATAACTATTCGCGAGTGGATCTGTCAATGAATTCACAAAGTTATTGTACACACAAATTTGTAAATCCAATTTGTATCCTGGACAATTGTTCGTAGTGACACAAGTACCTTCACCGCTACCATCCTTACAAGCACAATAAGGACAATTGTCATTTGGAGCTGGAGCTGTACATTTTTGAACGGGTGGATTGGCACAATTACCAGTTTGTTGATCACAAAATCCAGTATAGCAATGAGTATTGAGTTCACATCGTTGTCCATTTCCTTGTCCAAACGCACGAATACACTTGGAGACAGAACACACGACCAATGTATTCACCACGGTGTTGGAACCAAAAGTAAATGGCTTGTTGTATCGACAATCGGAATCGGTATTACAAAATTCACCCAATTCTGCGAATGGTAAACATCGACGAGAGGATTTGGCATCGGTCGAACGACATGCATACGCATTGGAACATTCCGTTGTAGAGTCACACAATTCACCATAACCTTTCAATTTCTTACAAATGTATGCAGATTGAGGATCATTGACATCACTCAATTGACAATCACCACTCTTACATTCCTTGTGTGTGGAACATGAAGATCCATCTTCTAAAAGAGCCATACAAGTCTTTAAAGTGGTATTACAAAATGAACGTTCTTCACAAACATTGTAGAGACGAGTCGAGTTATCAAAAGTCGCACATGAATTCCAACTGGAACTGTCTTTTTAGCATAACATGACTTGTAGGGTGTGGATTGAATGGTCACATCGGTATAACATTTCAATGATTCACCAGTATTTTCTTGACACGAAATGACTTGTCCTTCATTGGCCAAGACCACTTCACATCGTTGATCTTTTCGGGCCGTGTTCAACAGAGTAGAAACACACTTGCCTGTCAATAAATCACAACGACCACCCAAACATTGTCCACTCCAACTACACGAATCACCAGCAAGTCTTGAACTTGAATACACACATTTACCATTGGAACAAGTCACAAGTAATTTGGAAGCATAGGTAGAGGTATCATCGTTGGGATTTAATGCACAATCTGCAGAGGTTTGACATGATTTTTGATTCACTACAGAAGTTTGCATATCTGTGGCTTTCTTACATTCCCATGTTGTAGCAGAGGTTCTAGTATTGATGTAACCGAGAGGACACAGATAGGTTGGACTGGTTGGTGTTGAACCAGCATTGGCAGTACAAGTTTGTGCTTGAACCATGTGTTGAGGAGGAAAATTGAGAAGAGTGGTGGTCATGAGAAGGACCATGATGATGAGAAGGTTATTGGCAGAACAAGTCATGGCCATTTTGATTTCCTTTTCAACAACTGTGTAATGATGACGGGATGAGTTGATTCAATAATAATAATAACGGGTGTTACACTCAAGGCTCGTCAAAGTTGTGTTTGACACAGTCTCTATCGTGGTGATGTGTTGTTTTTTTTTAAAGTGATGAGCCTGTTGATCCTGGAGACACGAGCCACACAACGATAATGACAAGTAACAAGCAACGAATTTTCCCTGATACGCCCACTCATTTCATTGGATGACAAGAAAAATTCTGATTTGATGGTTGAGGTGTGTGCGCTCTGATCTGGCACCTCGTTTTCATTTGTGAAAAGCAAGGTCCTTGAATTCAAGAGGAACAGCCCTACAAATCCTTTGCGCAAAAAGGAATTGGAAAGGAGTGTTTCGAATGTGTGAAAGTATGAACGAGCTCAACAACAACTTCTCATTTATCACGACTTTCTCATCATCATTGAATAACCAACTTTTAAAAGAATCATCATTCGACGACGACACATTGTCAGCAACAGCCATTGTCGTCGTCGTCGTCTTGACTTTTATTCTTCTTCTTCTTTGATAATAATTCTTCCATCTCCAATAACTTTCTCTTTAAAAATGAAACATCATCTTCCAAATCTTTCACTCGATTCATTGTCTTTTTCAATAATTCACGTTCTTCTCGAATAGCTCTCTGTAAAACAATTCGATCATCATCTGTTTTACAACATTGACTTGCTGTTTTACCTTGTCTGTTGATACATTCATGTGCAATTCCTTCTCTAATGAGACATTGTATGGTTTTCGTTTTTGATTTTTCGCATGCATAGTGAAGTGCAGTGTTTCCAAAATTGTCTTGACTATTAATGACAACATCCAACACATCAAATTCTTTACATTTTTGTAGCAAGTATTCCATCATTTCATCGGATGCTTCCATAGAAATGGCATGAATGAGTGATCTTCTAAATGCTCTCTCATTGATGGATTTTAATTGTTTTCTTAGAGCATCAGGTCCATAATTTTTCAATATAAAATCACAAATCCATTGAAATCCATTCAAATCATTTGCAATACATGACCAATAGATGGGATGATACTTTTCTTCAGATACATCAAATCCATATTTGGTAATTAAAGTCTCTACGAGAGGAATATTTCTCTTATAGACAGCTAAACTCAATGCATTCATGGGATGATAAATACTGGACTTGTCTTTGACCATACATTTGAGTTTCTTTGAGAGGAATTTGGATGATAATTGTGGATCATTGATCATCCAATCTATAATTCGATAACTGTTGTGCCAAATGGCCAAATAGAAGGCATTCCATTTTCGTTTCACTTCATCGGATAATCTTTCTTCTACAATATTTGTTATTTGGGTCGTTGATGAACTTGTAGGTACAGTCCTCCTATGAGATCGATCTTGTAATACCTCATTAGGAGAAGATTCCATCATTGCATTCATGTGAAGAATAGAAGATTCACTACCATGGGATTCATGATTCACTTGAGATGTATGATTCATCACAACACCACCACCATGAGATGTATGATTCACCTGGGATTCATGATTCATTACAACAACACCACCATCATGAGATGTATGATTCACTTGAGATGTATGATTCATTACAACATCATTCTTTTCATCAGGGTTTACATTCTTTTCACCAATTGCTTGATCATTCAAACGATATAAATGTTTGGCAATCTCTAATTGATCAGTCATACATGCCATGTGGAATGCATTTTGTCTAAATTGATTCGTTGATGAAAGAGATGCACCCATTGAGATTAACCAATCCATAATAGATGTACTTGGAAACATTCTCACACTATTCACAAATATATTCTTGAGACCATCTTTGATTGCACTTTCCATCATCTTGTATTCACTACATTCTACTTTTGATGTACTTTGATGTTGTCTGGTGATACAATAATCACGAACAATCTTGTATTGTTTCACAATGAGTGCAAGAATAGGATCTGATTGAATAAAATCTTCTTCTTTGAAGCAGTGAATCGTATCATTCAGGTGTGATGGTGTGGTGGTGGTAGCAGTGGTGGTATTCATGAGAAGAAGAGAGGTTGTTGTGTTGTGTAAACAAGAAGATGAGCTACTAGTACAAGGACTCGATGCAACAAGATCAGTAGTTGATGTTATACTATTCGCACTACTATTACTACTACTCATCAGTGCGCTTGTGGTTGTCATGGCTGCACTATTCATGGATTGTAACAAATGAGTCTCCTCTTCCATGATGGTGGTATTGGTGGTGGTGTTATTGTTGTTACTCCTATTAATACGATTACCCTCTAACACCATGGTGGTGGTGTTATTATTACTTCCGTTATTACTATAATTAGTGTCGGAAGTAGTAGCCACACTCGTTCCACTACTACTGCCACTGCCACTACTACCACTATTCATGTGAATTTTAGCATCATAGACATTCTTAAATCTTCGATATAAACAGTCAAAGATTGAAACAGAGGTTTCTTTGTCACTTCTTGATTTTCCATGGTGAGTCGAATGAGGAATTGGAAATTTAGTTTGAACAAAGAAGCTTGCAGGAAATTGAGAAAGTAAAAATCTCACTTTCTCAATATTTTCACTATCAATGGCAACCTTCATTTCTCTGATGATTTGTTTAGGGAAATAGGTTTCATTGATTGAGAATCTGAGATGAGGATTTTCATTTAAGAATTCTTGAATTTGATTTTTTAAATCCACATCTTCATGTAATGTTCGATCAGATACATTTTGATTGGTTAAAGGATCAGTGAGTGGCTGTTGCTTTGTATACAATGTTTTCCACCATTGTTCAATACTTTCTCGTTCATAGGTCTTGTCATACATATTCTTAACGGGGGCATACATGATGAGTTTGGAAATTGGACATTGAAAATGGTTAGGAACATCTGGAACATTGGATGGAACTTGTGTGGGAGGATAGATCAATAGAGATTCCAGATCAAGTGTTTTTTTCTGTTGTTGTTGTTGTTGTGAAGGATGTTGGGATGTTGCAGATAGTGCTGATGGTTGTGTGGTAGTTGTCATGCATGAATTCATTGGTAGGGTAGAAGTGGTGTCAATCGTGGTGGTGGTGGTGGTGGTAGTGGCGGTATGAAAAGATGTGGTTGAAGAGACCAGTACTGGAGAGGGTTGAATAGTCATGGAGGGTATTAAAGAGAGATTACTGGACGATGGTGGAATGTTCTCGTTCAGTAAATGTGTGGTGGTTGAAGATTCTTCCCTGATGGAGGACAATGACGTGCGTCGAGTCGTATGGTCAGCATCATCATCACTCATTGTGGATGGATGTGATGAGAGTCGTATCATGACACTACTCTCAGCACTTGTTGAAGGTACTATTGAGGAAAAGGTTTGCGCTGTGTCCACGACCATCGATGTCATGCTTCCACTCTCTTCATCATCATTCATCATTGTTTCATCATTGGTTTGTTGATGAGCGCGTGTATGACTTGTAAACATTTCACCTGAAGATGGAAATAGAAATGGAGAGACTCCAATGACAGACAATGAAGACTGTGAAACGTCAGTATTAGTTGTTACTACTACTCGTGTGGGAGTTGATGTCAATGCTGAAGAGATGGATTCATGAGCAGTGGCTACTGACATTATGGTGTCATCGCTACTCATATCTTCACCATTGTTTGAAAATGATGATGAATCGTCATCAGCGCTACTTGATGTATGGTTACTACTACTGTTGATGATGCTTATGGGATGTTGGCTGGCTGGATCCATTTCTGTTTCTGGATCCATCATCATGACCATCACAGGACTATTGGTTGCTGATGAGAGTGAACTTTCATGTTGTTCTTCGTGTTGTTGTTGAGAAACAAATGAATCTCTATTAGAGCTATTATTCATGTGATTGTTGTTCATTCTACGTGAAATTGGTGTTGCCCTTCGATCATATGAAAATTCTAAATTCAATTGTAAATTTCTACTACTTGTATCGATGGGAGGTAACGAACGGTTGCCTTTGAAGTGTTGTTGAATATTTCCCAATGTTGTTGCTACATTTGTGGCATGAGTGGTAGGAACAGACAAAATCGTTTGATCCTCTGAAGAAGTGTTCATTAATTCATCTTTTTGAAAAACTTGTTGATGACTATTTTCGGTTATTTCTTCTGATGTTTCAACTTGTACTGAATTCAAGTCTTCCTCCATCATTACTGAATCATGCTGAGGTATTTGCAGAATGTCATCGCTGTTGTTGCTGATTTCATCATGAGTAGTACCGTTTCTGTTGAGTTCCTCATTCGAGTTGATATCCTGTTGAATTGTATGTAACATCATTCTTGCTTCTGAATATTCATCATGTCCCATCATTCTAAAAGTTGTCGGTTGATAAAAGCCTCACGAGTGCTTCCGATGTGTCGTTGGTTGTTGCTGGATGACTCTGATGCAATGAATCTCACTCAAGTCAAAAATGCGGTTGCGTAGATTTGACGAGTGTTGAAGTTGCACGTGTTTTTTTCAAAATGAGGCTTCTAAAAATAAAAGACTTCTAGCATGCAGCAAGGAGTTCGTGTTGGGATTACAAGAATGGAAGTGTGGATTTTATTGAGATCCACCTCAACACAGAATAAGATTGGCACACATTTTCTTTTCCTTTAGTCTCTTTAAATAAATTGAAATCAAGATAGAACTGTGCTTGCGTCTCCTTCTGTCAGTGGTGCCAATTACCAATTCGAATCTTGTGTCTTTTTTAATAGAACCAAATTTGATGTCTCATCGAATTAAAACACCATCCAGATCGCGTTGTCAGACCCACTCTTTGTCGTTTGATAAATCTGGGTCCCAATTCTCAGAACATTATATGAGCGATTTAATAAGGCTTAATGTAGGAAAAGGGAGTCTTATTGATAGGGTTGATCCTTCTTCCATTCTTTGCAGATTTGGAAGGCTGTCAAATGAAAGATTCAATTTTTTCCTCAAAACAGGAGGTCTTAAATTATCCTTTGTTACAGATCCTGTAATGGATTCAGAGTGTTATATGACCTGTGGAATTAGCCCATCCTCAGCGGTACGTACTTCACTTTCATTACAGAATCACGAACATGAATATTGCAAGTCAGACCCAAGCCTGATAAACAATGACTGCGGACCTGAAGCAATGATAGTTGTGAAAAGCAAAATGTGGTAATGCGATCTGGAGGTACCAACTACAGATGAAAACAAATTGAATGTTCTTGGAAAGAACTGAAAGTATGAACAAATCCACAACCAAAACATCGCTCTAAAGAGCAATCTAATACCTCAACATCAGCTTGAGAGCTGTTTCCGTCGCAACAACCACACCAGGTTCCATTGAAACTCCACAACCTTATGGAAATGTTTCAAAACATTTGGGATGGATCAGTCCCCACCAGCCAAAATTTGGGATGTTTTAGGTTATTTGGGACGAGTTTGTTTCTCCGACACCTGTTTGTTGGGTCGGAACCATTCTCAAAAAGCCCTCAGCAAACCAAATCATTAGTGGTATCAGTCGCTGCGGTAAACGTTGAAACCCAAGAAAATGTTCGAATACCTTACCTTTGCAAAGCTCACAAATATGTAAGGGAAGTGATATCTCCTTGACCACTGCCTCATGCAATCATAGTACACACCAAATACCACAGATCAAGGTCTACCGTGCCACTGATTGATAAGGTGAAGTAACATGGGAAGTCCATGCGAACAGGATCAATCTTCCATAACTTTTGGGGTGTTCATAATAACAATTTGGGATTGAGATAGAAAACTTTTTAAACAACACCGATTCGTCTGGGATGTTAACATGAGGAGAACCGATTTCAAAAATCCGTTTCAGGTACATTGAGCACAGTATCTCCCTCCTTCCCAACAGTCTTGCACCACAACAACACCCTTCCGTCCTTCCCGTTAGAATTCAACAACTTTTTGTTGTACTAATTTGGCTTTTGCCTTACTTGCCTCTAATTTGCTCAGTGATTTTCTTTAACACCTTTGTCTGAGACTGGCTTTGTTCTTTTTTATCCGTCGTTGAATCGCTCAACGATGTTTTTGTCGCAATAAAGCGATGTTTTTCTCACAGAAAATATTTTATCTCAATTTCTTTTAAAATTTTATTGAGATAACCTTTTTTACTATCACGTTGTTATCCATTTAATGTGGTTTTTCTCAAAGCAACTTGAGTTTTTCATCACGATCTAGTCGGTACAACTGTGCAACAATAACGGTTGTTGGTTGACGATCCATCTCTTAATAAGTGATACTTCCAGGATATCTAACGCGACAGTATCATTCCGTTTGCCACCTTGACACAGTTTCTTGGTAAAACAGCATAGGACTACTCTTAATCGTTCAATGGAAGGTAATTTACAAATTTTGTTTTTACTGGCTTCCACGTATTGTATATAGAAAATGATTAAACAGGCATTATAACTGTTATGTAACTTCAAACAATAATAGATAAATACCAATGGGGTAGCTGCTATCTCTTCTCCATGAAGTATCACTTATAACATATTCAATTTATTTTCATTTCATCCTCGGAAAACCTTAATGAAACCATATGTTCGTTATTCCAAATAACCAAGTACCATATATAACCGATAATAAGTACCAACGACAAAATGAAATTTCTCCACGAAAATGGAGTGTATCGTCAATACGTATTAACATTTTAGAATACAGTCATTTACAAATGGTAAGCGTATTAACGGATAATGAAACCTGATACCATTGTTCGTAAACACCTATTAAACTGATTCAAAGTGTAACCAGTAATGTTAATTCGAGGTAGTGATGTATTGTTTAATACAAGCATCAACAAGTTATCCCAGATAGTAGATGTATACAATGACATTGTACGTTTACAGTGTGGTACTGTTTTACAAGTAAACTGCCTGGTATTGTACAAATTTTGTATTGTTGCTAATATTGGCCTTTCTTTCGTTATGTAACACCGAACAACCGTATTGTTATGATTTGTTTGTTCAGTGAAACACCGATACTATTATGATAGCTTTTTGGTTCTAATATTACTGGTATTTTAACTGTCATTTTCAGATGTCGTGAGCACCAAACGACGGTTATTATGTAGGGAATCAAGTGTTCATTAGATTATGTAACCTTCCATACAGAAAACAGCATGTTGAAACTCAGCAATAAAAAATGTTTAGGCTGCTGCAAGCGTGTTTTGGTGGCTCCGACAAGAAAAGTCGTCGAAATCATGACATGGATGACCAAGAAATTGAAACTGACGAGTTTATGGAAATGAATCATCAACACCCAATCGGAATAAATCATGATGACCACCACCATATGGAAACAATTCAATCCTACGCAAATTCTTCTCCAAACCAACAACAAACCAACAACAACAACTCACAGGCCTATTATTATATAAAAGACAAACATTCCACGATGATGACCTCTCCCAACTACGTGCCATCACCGACCCATATGGATGACATTTCTAACTGTTTCAATCTCTCTCCCATCAAATTAAATCAAAATGTTAAAGAATATACCACTGATGAATACAAACAATTATGGAAACAATTTGGAGATGGACATGTCACACTAGAATATTCAATTATTTTTCATCATGACTCATCCAATACTCCTCCTCCTTGTGAAGAATTCAAATCCTATTTAGATCATACATTGGAATCAAATTTTATTTACACTTTGGCATCTGGAGTGAATCATCATGTCATTACGTTTTATAATTATTGTGAAAGTTTGAATAATATTACTTATTTAATTGAATCTCAAGTCAATTATGATACTCGACTTGCTAAAGTGAGGATAAAATATAGTAGCAATAGTGAATTGACCAATTTTGTAAATCATTTTGAGAAGATTACTGCAAGCTATTTTACAAGAATTAAATAAATTCATAAGAGTTGATATACTCGAGTAATTTTGGAAATAGAGTTCATCAAACCTTTGCAGTTGTCAATACTAATTCATCTTAATCGCTCATTTTAATCATTCATTTTAATCATTCATTTTAATAATTCTTTCAATAATTCTTCTTCGTAGTGTTGTGATTCCATCAACAATTCTTCTGAATCCTTGTTGTTGTTGTGATTTAATTTGAATAACAAGTGATCATAGTATGAATTTCGTAGTTTCATGACATGCGATGAGGTGTTGCTGGTGGTAACTTGTTGAGGATTCAATGTCGTGTCAAGAAGGTGACGACAAGTCAATGAATGAGTAGTGGTAGCATGTGAGTCTTGTTGAGACATGTGCTTATTATTACATTCATCATATATACTACTACTACTACTACCACCACCATTGGCCATTGTTGTTGTTGCTTTTAAATATTCCAATGCTCTCCTCGCTGCTTCATTTTCAGATTCTTTTCGATCCAATCCCTCACCCATTCCTATTTTCATTTGATGAATCCATATGGTAGTGATGTAATATTCATATTGTGGAAGTGGAAGAGATTGTGTTTCATAGAGAGGTAGAGTGTTTGAATAGAGTGATTGTACAAGATGTTGTAATTGATTCTTATAAGGTTGTTGAATAGTTTCAGGATTAATGTATTCAATTCTCTTTTGTAATAAATGTTTGAATATAAATTGATTAGAAATGTCTACAAATGGACAATAAGATTTGAAAGAAGAGGTTATATTTGAATCATATGAAATGTTTGGATCAGTAAAAGTAGTCATATTGGTTGTAGTAGTAGTAGTAGTACTATTAATACTCATTGTATCGGTTGTTGTTGTGGTATTCATCATCATTGAAGCATTCATTGTAGTTGCTGTGGTATTCATTGAAGTATGTTGTATCCAACAACAAGTATTTATAAATCCAAATTGATCTAAATAAATGGCTGCAATGAGTGCTTCAAAGACATCACTCACTAAATCTTTTTCAATCCTTAATAAATGTTGATAGGATGAACGAGTTGTTGTATTAGAATTGAGAGTATTGAAAGTATTGATAGTATTAGAGGTATTGAAAGTATTGATAGTATTGATAGTATTGAAAGTATCAGAGACAAGTATGGATTGCACTTGACCTACATTTTGTCGAATATATTGTAATAATTTCAATGGTTCAGATGCCATTGGTAATGAGAATGTATTATCTACAGTTAAATGCTTGGTTTGTGCCAATTGAGCTTCACTTGCATTGGGAAATCCCATATATAGAAAGATGCAAGTCACAAATTTCAAGATGGCATCTCCTAAGAATTCTAATCGTTCATAATTACACTTGTAAAAAGTATAATCATTAATATGAGAATCTTTGATGATATATTCTGATTTAAATGATGAATGTGTTAATGCTTCTAATAATAGAAATTTGTTATGAAATTCAATTCCCAAGAGAGTTTCAAATTCTTTTAAATGATTCAATACTTGATCATTTAATTTAAATTCTAATAAATAGGGTATTTCAAATGAATGTAGTGCATATTTTTGAAATGTTTTCATCTTTTTAAATTTAGTTTCTATAAATGGTAATATAATAAACTTCTTAACAAATTGAGCACATGTTTGTAATCCTCGATCTAAAAACATTGCTCCAATGACAGCCTCAAGAGTATCTGCAAGTGCTCTCTCACTTTGTATTAAAATATTCTTCTGTCCAGGTGCATACAACATGTAATCAATAATCTTGAGAGAATTCACTGCAACTTGTTGGAGAGTTGAATTTTTAACCATAATACTTCTATGATAAGATAGAAAAGATTCATTTCCTGTTTTGAAATTCTCAAAAAGGAAATGAGAAATGATCATGTCTAGAATGGCATCTCCCAAGAATTCTAAACGTTCAGTTGTGGTATTGGTTGTGGTATAAGTTGTAGTGGTGGTATTAGTATTATTATTAGTATTATTATTATTATTATTATTATTACTATCATTATTAGTGGTATTATTATTATTATTATTATTATCATTATCAGTAAGAGTTGCAGAAATGAAATGATGATTATTGTTCGAACTAGGATGATTATTGGTAGGATGATTAGTAGAATGACTATTACTGGTCGTACTATTATTACCATGACTAGATGTACCACTATTATTATTATTATTATAATTGATATAACGATGACTACTCATATGAGTTAATGCAATTCTCAATAAATCTCTATTTTCAAATTGAATGTTTATGAAATTTTCAAATTCATTCAATGACACATAAACATGTCGAGAAATGGAAATGACATGTGGTATCACTCTTTGATTCAGCAATCGAATAATAGTTTTGATATTCATATCAAGATATGGACACCATAGAGTTAATTCAGGAATGAGAAGAATTTTTCTATGAGTAGTAATAGTTGTATTTTCAGTTGTAGTACTTTCAGTTGTAGTAGTAGTCATATTTCCAGTTGCATTAGTACTCATTGTAGTGATCGATTCATTAAAATAATTCATAATTAATTCATTGGTTTTTCTAAATTCACAATTGGTTACCTTAATGAATGGTTGATATTCATCTTGAATGTCATAATTCCATTGTTTTTGATAAAAATCTTTAAATGAAATGATTGATGTGGATGGTGTGGATAGTGTTGAGAGTACATGTGGTGGTGGTTGTGATGGTGGTGGTTGTGGAGGTTGTGATGATTGTTCATTGTTTTCATCCCTAGTAGTAGTAGTAGTAGTAGTAGTAGTACGAGTATACTCATCAATATTATGAATTTCATCATCTTGATGTCGTTGATTCCATCGATCATGATGACCCTTCTCACCATCCTCATCCTCCTCATTCTCATCCTCATCCTCATCCTCTTCAATCCATTCATGATCAATCAAACTCGCACGTTGTCCCAAAAGGATACCATCATGAATATTCGTTACAAAATCAATCGATTCAATCACATAAGGTACTTGATTGTAACTAGTCATGGCAACTGTAAATTGTAATTCTTTTTCAATATGAGAGAGAATTTGTTGAATCTTGTTGTCATTTCTTTGATTTTCTCTCACATATTTAAATAATTGATTGGATTCAATATGTGGAAAATAAGAATGTAATTTTTGAATGAAATGTTGTTTTAAATTCATCACTTCTTGTTCATGTACATTATATTCTATACCTAGTAATTGATTAAATTCATGAAATGTTAACATGGGTGTATTTTCCCAATAATTTAAAGAATTAGAGTTTGATATTTGATCCAATGGAATCCTTGATCCATCTTTGTGAGTAAATATTGGTAAAATAAATAAATGTTTATAATCTTCAATCATGGAATGAAAAATAGAATAAATGTTCATGTAATTATTTTTATCTTTTCCAATCGTTGATAAATAGTAATTGTGAATATTTACAATAAATTCAACATTGGCAGTGGTTAATTTCTTTTAACAAATATATATTCATTTGAAATGATTTGAAATTTACAAATATATATTCATTTGAAATGATTTGAAATAATTCATTCAACCATATAATATTTCAATTCATTCATTCATATGATATTTCAATTCATTCAACCATGTATTATTTCAATTCATTCAACCATATAATATTTCAATTCATTCAACCATGTATTATTTCAAAATCATCATCATCATCATACTGTAAAATTTGAGTGACTTACCAATGGACATAAATATTTAAATGAACAATCAATTGATAATCCTTCTTTTCTAAAAACATCCAAATCACAAATATCGAATTTAAACAATGATAACATGATAAAACATTGTAATTCTCTTTTGAATCCATATTTGATCAATTGTTCTTGTTGTTCATTCTTCAACTTGTCAATTGGAATGTTAGGAAATAAAAAGGCATATTTCAAAGAAGAACAAGATGAAAATTGTATTTGATAAATGTGATACAATCGATCATTGAATTGATTATTGTTGAGCTGAGTATAATGAGAGAGTGATCGTGTTGTATGATGATGATGATATGAAGCGTCCATGTTGAGTGGTTGTTGTTGTTGTTGTGGTAAAGTCATGTTGTTGTGATTCACTTTTTGAATGAATGAATTTTTTTAGAAAAAGTGCAACACGATGAGAGCCAACTCGTTTTAATATTTGGAGAGAGAGTGAAAACAATATATTTGAAGAGAAAGAGAGTGAACCACCACCACCACCGACTGACACCACATTTCTGTGAAAATTTCACATGTTGAAAACTGTCTACTTGTCTTTGAAAATATCATGCAAATTTTGGCCAAATGTATGATTAGATCCTACCTCCGCCAACCATTGCTACTCCTACTCTACTACTATTAATACTCTCTATATTGGTACTACTATTCCTGTACAGTATCAATACTACTACTACTACTTCAAATTAACACTATATATTGGTACAGTATCAAAACTCCAAATGACTACACATATATATATATATACTACTACTACCCATAGTTTCAAATGACTACATATATATATACTACTTCCATAGTTTCAAATTCGATCAATCTTATTCCAAAATCCATAAGATTCAACTTCTCGACTTGCCATTGGAGCAAATACATAAACACTATTCACATATTTCAAAATATTTTTGAGAGTTTCAACGTTCATGGAATGTTGTCGTGCAAACTCTTGAATGACTTGTTCAATCACTTGTGATTCATTCTTAAATTCCAATTCTCGAACATGATCACATAATCTTCTCAATTCAACATCTCTAAATGTTTCAGGAAATGATTGATTTCTAATTGAATTTGGATTATTGATATGTCCTAAATATGCCATTCTACGAGCGACTTGTTCCTTCTCTTCACTTAAATTTAAATTATTATGATGAGCAAGATAAATTCGATCTTCTTGTTGATCCGAGTGTAATTCTTCAAAGAGTGGACGAGCACGAGCCTTTCCAACAATCTTTTTGTAATCTTCAACACTAGTTTGAGGAATTTCATTCACTTGAACTTGTAATTGAGTAGTGAGAGAATGTAGAGACTGAACAAAATCAATATCCTTTTCTTGACTCACAAGATTCATGTCTTGCGCACGTTCATTTGAGTTTACATTCGTATTTGAGTTTAGATTTGAGTTTACATTCGTGTTTACATTCTCATTGACATTTGAGTTTAGATTCATATTTAGATTCATATTTAGATTCATATTTAGATTTGAATTTAGATTCTCATTGACATTCAAATGGTCTTGAAGATCTTGATGGACACTAGTCTTGTCTTGATTGAGTTTAGATGGACAAGTCAAATCTCTTACTGGAATGGTATTTCCACTCAATTGAATGAGTAATTCTTGTTCAGGAGTTAATAATGGAGAGGTATTTTTCGTATGAAGAGTATCGTCATCATCATTCATCATATCTATATTCTTATCAGCTGCTACTCCTCTCGATATCTTGTATTGTTCTTTCAATTCTTCTTGTTGTAATAATTTTCTATGGTCTAAATTCACTTGATTAATTTCATTCATTTCCATTTCCACTTGTTTTAATCCTTCTTGACCATATTGTGTAACACGATCATTCCATTCTTTCATGACATCATAATCTTCTTTAGAAACATATTTCACATCTTGGTCAGGTAAATCAAAATTCACAATACGAATTTTTCGATTTGAATCTCCAATGGGTTTAGAAGCTTGATGTTGTGCCATGAGTATTATTTGTTGTTGTTGTTGAAAGGAGTCATGATCATTTCGTAACGTGTCATGGTTCCAAGTAGTAGTCATCGTAGTCGTGTCATGATGATGAATATTCCGATGAGCAGCAGTTGAAGTACTATTACTACTACTACTACCACTACTCGAACGAGAGGATGATGTTAATGCGGCACTCCCATGCTTTGAAAGTGTTGTGGTTTTGGTGGTCAGAGAAGAAACCACTTTGGAGATTGAATTTCCACCCATTTTTTAATGATGAGGCCAAAGGAGACAATGGTGATTGGGTGGAGAGAAGGACGAGAGCTTTGAAGAGTTGTTTCTCGCTTTCACGATTGCTCTTGAGAGTTTATTAACCAACAGTTTTCATGTTCTTGGGGATTGACAATCCTTCAATAATCACGACGTCGTGGGGTAGTTTCGAGTAAATTCCGAAGACGCTCGTCTCAAGCCACCCGTTGTAAATTTCAAAACCGCACCCACTCGTCATGCTTTGGCTCCATCAGGTGTGAAAAAAATATTATCATTGATCAACGCGTCAGACTGATTGACTGTGTTCATCCCGCTGCAGCAGTTCGTTCGTTCAAATCTCATCATCATTATCAAATGTCCCAATCCAGTTACAAGAAGGTTGAAAAGCCTCGCAACCAAGAAGTTTCAAGCATTCAAAAGAATGAAATTAGAATTACTGCTCAAGGTCGTAGCAGATCCTACATTTCATATGCTGTAGGCTTACTCGATCCATCTCTTCTTCAAAAAGATGAAGCAAGTACTTCCACTGAAACTCCGCAACAATACGATAGTGTTGTATTGAAGGCTATGGGAAAGGCCATCCAAAAGGCTGTTACCATTGCTGAAGTGTTGAAGAGAAGAGTTGCTGGTTTGCATCAAAACACTTCTATTGAGTCTCAAGAAATTGAAGATCAATACGAACCAAAAGAAGAAGGATTGGATATCGTCACCAAGAAACGTACTGTCAGCTCGATCATTATCAAATTGTCCAAGAAGCCTCTGGATACCAATGCTTTGGGTTACCAACCACCCATTCCTGAAGATCAAGTCACTGCTCCTCAAATCATTTCTGCAAAGAAGGTTCCAGGAGGTGGTGCTGGAAAGAGAAGAAAGAGACGTGTTCGTCGTGGTGGTGCTGCTTCTGCTGGAGGTGCTAAGGCTCAACAGCAAGGTACTACTACTGCTACAACCAAACCATCACAAGGTACTACTACTCCTCAACAACAACAAGGAACCAAACAACAACAACCATCTAGTACTCCTTCACAAGGTACTTCAGCAGGCAATAGAGGAAGAGGTGGTCGTGGTGGTAGAGGTAGAGGAAGAGGTGGTCGCGGTGGAAGAGGACAAGCAAGAAAACAAACTGCAGCAACTAGTCAACAATAACTTAATGTGAATGTGAACATGATTGATGGTGGTTCAAGATTACAAAAACCTATCTCAAACACAATCATCATTGATTCTATTTTACACTCACACCCCAAATAAAGTTTTTTCAATTTACTTGAAGTGTTTGTTGAATGATGAAGAGTGTTTGAAAAAGTTCAATGATGAAAATGTACACAATCTCTCTTTTATGAAGGAATTACTGTCTGGAATGACTCACACATGTCTAGAGAGAGATGTATGGTCATACCAATTAGAAAATTCCAACCACTTTGAGAATGACCAATACAATGGCCACCGTGGCAGCAATTGCCAAAATCACCAATAATAAAATACACAATAAATTTCGTCCCACTTTCGATCTCTTTTCTGCAACCACTAAATTCTCTTTTCCTTTGTTCACATATTGAGCAGTTTCTTCAACTCGATCACCAATCAAGTCTAAATCTTCACCTTGTTTGATAGTTAAATAATGTAATTCTTTGAAAATACTATTAATCTCTCTAATGGATGATTCAACTTCTAATATATCCTTTTCTCTTTCATGTAAAATCTTGGAATTGAATTCAATTTCATTATTTAATCGTTCATCTTCAAGAGAAGATTTCATTAAGAGAGAATCACGTTCAGTTCGATCTGACTCTTCTGAGGATGATGATTGTCGAGTGTTCGTGTAGTGATGATGTTGTTGTTGTTGTAAAATATATTGATTCTTTTTAAATTGTGCCAATGTTTCTTTTTGTTTTTTCAAACACAAGGTCGTTTGTTTTTTATAATTATTTAATATTTGTTCCGTTTGTGAGTTTAACTTGTCAATTTTCACTTTTTGTAAATGTTGTAATTGTTTTTCTTTTTTAAATTGATCCAATGTTAATATATGATGAGAGAGTGTTTCTACTTGATGCGATGATTTTTTAATAATTAAAGAAAGAGATTCTCTAAATTCATGAGTGTCTTTGAGTGTTCCGAGAATATTTTCAGTTGATTTTTGAATGGATGAAGTTGCATTGTTAATTTCGCTTAACAGTTTTTCAATTTCTAGACATGTATTGTCAAATGAATTTTGAAAGTGGTTTTGACTGGAATTACCTAAAGGATACATGCCATCATCATCATCATCTGAATTTTGATAGACTTGAATTACAGTAAAGTCTTTAGAAGGTTGTTGTTTAACCGATGAGAATTGTTTGGATTGTTTTTTGTGTCTTGTTGAATCATGATTGTTGTTCATCTTTGGAAGATTGGAAGCTGTGATTGGTGTGGAATGTACATTTGAAGAGTGATAATTTTGTTGTTGCTGATGTTGTTGCTGAGATTGTTGTTTGGATTCTCGAATGACGTCACGAAAACTCATTTTTTTTTGAAAACGTTTTGATGTTGGGTTTTGCGCGTCCAAAGATTTTTCAAACCATCGAGGTCTGTAAAGATAGTCGTAGTACAAAACACATGACGAAGGCCACACACACAAAACTACATTGATACTTCTGCTATAAAGGAATTGTTTTTAATTCTTCTTTTTGATCGTATCCACTTGATCATGACTTGCTTCATCCTCACCACCATCATGATCCTTCAGAGTAGTTTCCAAATACTTTAAATGACTTGTCCATTTCATATCATCGGAACGTGGAAGATAACCAGTCAACCAAGTCACTAACTTTTCACTACTTCTCCAAAAATTCATGACATGCAATGGATAATTCAACCATCCAGTAGTAATACAATAATAAGTATCAAAAGGAGATTTGTGATGGAAATTATGACTTGTTCTACTCAAAATAATTCCACTCGATTGTAAAAACTTGACAATGGGTGGAACTTGATATTGATGAGACCATTTGTGTATTTGATTGGTAAATGCACCCAACAAAGCAAATGCAGTAAAGTAAAACGACATGAACATGGAATGTCTAAAGAAAATAATTGGAATGATACCCAATACGGTAGCAACAAGACAATTATCTCCATTCGTTTCAATAAAATCATGTTTACACATGGCTGATGGAGCAACATGATGTTCTCTAAAAGAACGAATAAAGGTTTGACCAATGAGAGGAGTTTCCAATGATCCCCATGTGTCTGCAATCCAATGAAGAATTCCACTCACAAAATCAGTGGTAATCATTCCAAGGACAATTCCACCTAAAATGTCCAATAAGAGAGTATTGAGCGGAGTGGTATGGATATTAGAATGATGGATATTAGCATTGGAATTGGGATTGGAATTGGGATTAGCATTGGAATTGATGGAATTGATATTGGAATTGATGGAATTGATATTAGAATGGATCGAATTGTGGTTGAACCAAAGAGGTGCAAAACTTTGATACAAATTCCATGGAAGAATGACACAAAAGTAGAGCAAGACGAAAAAGTATTCCATGGCTCTCTTGGATGAACTGTATCCCGATTTTAAGACTTGTTCTTTTTGTTCTTTCGCTTTGATGAATGAATCATAATCACCGGGAGTGGATGATGATGATACGAGACGATTTGTTTTGGACATGACCTATATTTTGACAAGTGTGTGTGTTAACAACAGTGTGTGATGATTTCTTGAATAATTCAATGTTGTGTGGTGGTAGTGTTGTTGATGTTGTTGATGTGGTGGTGGTGGTGGTGGTGAACGATGTTTGGGTGGCTCACACCGATAGGGTTCCGAAAGAGAATGTATGCGCGCGAGAATGATGAGGCTTTTTTTGTTGGAAATATTCTCTCAAGTGGTTATGCTGCTTCACACAGAATTATAGATGGCACACAAACTTTTTAAATACATAATCACTAAGGCTTTCAACACTCAACTCAATGCATGCAATAATACACAGGCTTGTGGATAGAGACACACTGAGTCGGATACCTGTATTCCCGTATTTATCTCTAAAAATGGAAGTTTTCATCCTTGTCTTTTTATGGGCTCCTATAACACACACACTCAATGGATTCCAAAAACAAAGTATTTATTCAAAGTTTGAGAGGACAATCGAGGGAAGATTGGATGAAGGATTAAAGGAGAGAATGATTTGTTCTTTGGGTGGATTTGATGGCATCATTGAGGGAAGCATGGCAGTTGTTGTTAATGCCGTTGCTGCTGACGAGGAAGAAGGAATTCTTTGAGGAATGGAAGATGGAAGAGGTTGTAATATAATGGGTTGAGTGATGGTCACCATACTCGTTGTTGAACATGGATGAGAGGGTAATTGCAAATAACAACCTCCATTGGAGGTGTGCAAGGACTTGCCATGCATGGAGCATGGAAGAGTTGTGGAGTGATGTCGTACGGCCTCAGAGGAAGGTTTCATACTTCTCTGCATGTGCATGGGTATCATGGTATGAGGTTCATTAAGACTCGTCATAAAGAAGCCAGAGAATTGAGATGAACAATCTTTCATCATATAGTCTTCAATTACAAGTTTGTACTTGTGAAAATCAATTTCTGATAAGAGTGCCTTAAATTTTAAATGATTCAGAGATGGACATGCATCAAAATGTGCTTGATGAATGACTTCATATTGGTTCATGTTATGACTAGTGGCACTACTTGTAGTAGTAGTACCACTACCACCACTACCCGTGCTGAAACTTGTAGTAGTACTCGTACGACTCGTGCTGGAAGTTGTAGTAGCAGTAGTAGTTGCAGTATTGGTAGCAACCAAACCAATATTGGCACAACAACTACCTCTCGATAAAGTGAGTGATGGAAGGAGAGGACAATTTTGAACTTGAATCAATCTCAATTTGGGTGTCTCTAATTGTAAATCATTCTTCACGTTAGGAGCATTTCGCAAAAAGAATTTGGAGAGTGAATCACTATTCACTTTCACATTTTCTAATCGATTCATATTCAATAATTGCATACCCTTAATGCTATGATTGGTAATACACGGAGATACAAGTCCATGACAATGTGAGAGTACCAATGCTTGTAAATTGTGAGCATGATTCATGTATTCACTCAATACATGATCATTCAAATGATTGGCATTGGAAATACTTAAATATTCGACATTGTTAAAAAAGTGGAAGAGTTCAGACATGTGATCACTTGGATATACTGAGAGTGAGATGGCAACCTTTGTGAGCTTTTTCATTCCATTCAAGTGAATATTCTCCAAGATTTTACAATCCGTTAAATTGATACAACTCATATTTGGACAATTCAAATTGAGATTTCTCAAATTCACACATCGAGAGATTTGAAGATTTGACAAGTCTCCAGAATCAATTTTGAGAGTGTGAAGTATTGGATGACTCTCAGATGGAATTTTAAATAGAACAAGCTCTGTCAATTTGGGAGTTTCACACATCTCTAATTCTATTAACTGCTCACATGCATCAATGCTCACTGTAGAGAGTTGAGAGCACTTGTTGAATTTGATTGAAGTCAATTGATCACACATGAACAGTTGAACATTGGTCAAAATCTTTGAAGTCAATGTGAATTGAGTGCTTGTACTTTGTAAATCTAAAATATCTAACTTTTCACAACGATCCAAGGCAGTAATCACTCGATCATTCTGGAAAATATTTAGAGAGGATGATCTCACGACAAAGGATTCAATCATACACGAATCACTCTCAATAATTGGTAAATCTAAATTGGAAATGGATTCGAATCGAATGAGAGAGATCTTTTTACACGCATTGGGACCAATCAATAAATTAGAAAGTTTTTTAACCTTTGAAATGGACAAACTTGAGAGATTTGGATTATTGAGAGCAATGGGTTGAGATAGAATGGTATTCTCAGAACATTCAATTCTGAGAGTTTCAAGATTTTGTAAATCATTCATGACTTGAGAAAGCATGATTGAATTCATATCATTCCAGTTTGAAATCCATAAAAATTTTAACTTGGGAAATGATTTGGTAAATAGAGAAATATGATCCATAGAATCAACGTTGAGAAATCGAATCACCAAGGTCGTCAAATTCCTTGCCGAATTGTCCAGAGAGAGTTGTCTCAATTGATCACTTGAAACAGAGAATCGAGGAGTGTTATGACATTTGAGTGTTTTCAGATTTTTACAATTGCTCAATAAAAAGTGAATATGGTCAAAGGTTACTGCTTTCACATGATCTAAATTTAAATGTTCGAGACGATTAGACAGAGACTCAAGTATTGGTTCAATTTCTACCAAATCCATAGCACTAATATCAACATCAATGAGAGCTCTAAATGTTTGGCTAATTTTGAGTACAGCTTCAGATTTCAATTTACACGTTTGTTGTTGATCCATTAGTATGGAAGGATTCATTGGATTGATTCTATTCATAATTTTAATCCTTTTCAAATGAGTGAAAATAGAGAGAAACGAGTGGAGAGCACATTCATCAATAGAGTGAAGCACTAATTGCTCAAAAGGTGATACTGAATGATACATTCCAAAGACTTGACAATGAAACATGACCAAAGCATGCATGGAAACAAGTTTTGGAAAGATCTTGGTAATGTCTTCAAATTTCCATAACAAGTTACATCGGCTGGTTCGATGGAAGTGTTTTGAGACTTTACCAACATTTCGTAACAACTCAATCTTGGTTAGATACGACATGATTTCAAAGAGAACTTGAGTAGGAAGAATACCAAGAGACCAACAAGTACGTCGAGGTGTTGTTGTCGCTGAGATGTATGATTTCAACTTTTTGTGATGAACCTCAGGATCGGATGATTCAAGTTGAGCACTGATTGGATCAACGGGAGCTGATTTACGTTTTTTGGAATTTTCATCGCGATAGGAGGCTGCGTTATACTGAGCGGAAGACGTGGATGAATAAATGGATGGTATGATCAATAAAGGTTGGTGATGATTCATTTGTGTTGCACCACCTGTAGTCGATGATGTCATGTTGTTTGTTTGAAAATGGATTTGTGGTTGGGAAAGTCTAGTTGTTGGTTGGATACTAGTATTGGTTAGGATGGATGGTAAAGGGGTAGGTGTTGTTGTTGTTGTTGTTGTTGGTTCATAAGAAAGAGAGTGGGCAGAGGAGTTGTCTTCCCGTAACAATCTCATTGTCGGTTGTTGTTGCTGTGTTGGCTGATGATGGCTGTGCTGTGTGGTTGTTGGCCGTTGTTGTTGCTGAAACAACGAGAAAGGTGAAGGCGTCGTCATTTTTTCCATTTGCTTCCAATATGAAAGGGCGCAGTTCGAAGAAGGAGGAGCAAAGATTCCAATTTGAAAAACACTGTTGGAACACAGTTGCGAAGTACCATGACCAGGGCCTAACAGCAGACACCGGCAAAAATCCATTACACCAACAACCAACTTGGTTTCTCTTCCTTTCCAATTTATTTCAGATCGTGTTGCCGTTATATTGATGCAAGCTTTACTACATTTGAAAAACTCGTCAGTAGAACAATTGATGTCGAATGAGTGAAGTATTCCAATACGCGCCAAAACAAAACTGTAAAAAAAATGTCAACGACAACACCTCAGACTTTGTTTGAAGAAGCAAAAGCCTATCTACAAATTACAAATGAACACGGAAAATCAATATACGATATGTTGATTGATATTGTAACATATCTTCAAAATCACAAGAACATGAAAGAAATTAATTTACGATCACTGTTGCAGAACCTTTCGGAAGATAGTTTCAAGTACGGGGAACGAGCTGGATTTGAGGAACTATGGCGACTAGCAAAACCCAACTCAGAGTCGTGTATCAAAGCAAGGGATGTCATTGGCATTCTTTCAAACCACAAAGAGCAAATGGAGCAAGAATTCTCAAAACGAAGAGAGGAGTTGAGGGCAATCAACGCAAAGAAGGACGAAGAAAACAATGAAGAAGCAGCCACAGAAGAAAATCCAGAGGATAAAAACTTTGTGTACAGTAATCCTGATGGATTGTCCAACTTAATTGAGGACTTTTACGCTCTTTCGAATGTTGGAATTTCACTTCCATATGAAGAAATTTCAATGGTTCAGATTGCTCTTAAAACACTGAAAAAATCCAAAAACTTGAACTATGTACGATTCTTTGGAAAGGTTTTTGGAACTCAATCAAATTATTATGTATTTGAGAGCAATTATCATTTTGAAGAAAAGCAACCCGAAGACAATATTCACGAGAGTTCTGGAAAGCCAGGAATTAATAGATTCACTTACTGGGTCTTAAGCTCAAGGAAATCAGAGCATCCTTTCAACTTTGTAAAACTGCCAGATGTCACTCCAGAGCAAATTCAAGTTGCGAGAGAAATTACCAAGCTTTTCACAGGTGATTTAAATAGGGCCATAAATTCATACCCAGTATTCCCAGGAAACGAAGCAAATTATCTTCGAGCTCAAATTGCAAGAATAGTTCATGCATCTACTCTTGCACCAATGGGGTTATTTGAAGAACGAGAGCTCCCTGCGAAAGAAGAAGACGAAGAAGATGAAGAGAATAAGAAGAAACAAGAAATCAAGTTTAAAGAACAACTTCCTCCATTGGTAAAGGTCAAAGAAGGATTTGAGCTCAAAAATCCTGAGGACATGAAATCATTTGAGAATTGGGTTCACCTCTATCCTGGTATTTTAAAGACAGGGTACGTTACTAAAGAGAAGCAGGAAGGCGACGAGTCAGAAGAAGGAGACAAGGATCCAGTGATTCCTTCGTTAAGATCACTTCAAGAGGATGAGCCTCTCAAACGATGTAAAACCGTTCAGCTTGAATCCAAGAAAAAGCAAGAAGAGGAAGAAGAAGAGAATGAGAACGAGGGAGAAAAAGACAAGTTAAAAACTCCATCTTGGAAAGTGGCCATTAGTAATCACAGAAAGCAAACATGTCATCACAAATCGTTTAGAACAGTATTATTAAGCAGTTTAAGGTGGCCAGGAGCTTACTCTTTTTACAGGTTGACAGGACCTACCTGCCATTTTGGTAATGTGTATATTGGGTATGGAGTTAAAAGCTCTGGAATTCCATTTACTCCACAATTCCCTCCAGCTGTGGTTGAAGATTCCAAAGAGCCAGTGGATCAAACAGATCCTAAACCCAATGACGTGAAAAGAATGTTGCAAGGACTTGAGCCTACCTCAGAAGAAACTCCCCAAGAGGCTGAGGACGAAGCACGAAATGGCGACGAGGAAGACGAGGAAGAGCAGTAGTAACTTTGAATTCCCAATTTATTAAAAAAACATTAGACCAGCTTTAAAACTTCTCTGTGCAAAATACAAAGATAATCTGTGTATGATTTGTCGATAGGAGAGGAAGACATACCACTTCCAAACTTGTCTTCAACCATTCGAATAAAGAATGATCCGTCTGTTCCTTCGCTTCCTTCCTTGTAAACGAATATACCACCATGTTGGACACCTTTTAGAATGGATTCTTTCAAGATAAACTTGACTTTGTGAATAAATGGTGCATTTGGTATGGTTAACTGATCATCTTCAGGGTCATCCTTACGATTCAGTAACGAAATAAGAGGTTTGGTAGTTGACAATGAAATGTCTTCCAATCTTGAAACTCCAAATAAATCAACAATCTTATCTTGAGGTGCGTTTCTGCCAATCCAAAACATACATTCATTGCCATCATATAATAAATAAATTCCATTTGAAGAAATGGCTGATGAGCAAGGAGAAATCATTGGAGGGAATGGATATCTGGAGCCATCAAAATCAGTGGTGATTGGTATAATATGATCTGACTCTTCCGTACTACCTTCTTCACTTGCACGGCTAGCACTAATTTCATCACTAAAATCCAAATGATGCAATTCATAAAGTCGAGGGAAGCAAAAGAGCATGACTTGTGCACTTGAAAATTTCATCAACAAATGGAATGCGTGAATTTTCTTATCAAGAGCTACTCTTGTATAACGACAGAACGCAGGTGATTTGGCCAATCCTAAAAAGTATAATGGAAGATATTTCAAAGTTTCGGGTAGAATCAATTGTCCTGCTCCTTGATTGGTTGAACAATTCTTACGATAACATGCTAAAATATTGATCAAACGATCTGTAATCATATCACGAACTGTATCCAATGTATCTCTATTCTGAACCACTTGATGAACAAAAAGTCTTGAAAATAAAGCCAAACATGCTCCAACATCAGATCTTCTGAACAATGTGTTGTAATCCGTACTTGTTTTCAATTTGCATGTTTGAACACGAAGGTATCTCTTACCATCATGGGATGATGTATATACCAATGCAGATTGAATATAGTGATTTCCAGATTCACTTGCATTCAATAAATTACTTTCATCATGTTTAAATTCAACACCAAATGCAGTGTCAGAATCAATAACAGCCAAATCCAAGCTATCCTCTGTTTGTTGGAAAAAGTGTCCAAAATATCTTCGAATTCCAATACCTGAACTAGTTCTAACTTTCAAAACAGCATCATAACCACTCTCTCTTTCAAAGAATCTGTTCATATCTAAAAGGACACGTTCATAATCTCTCTTTTGATTGAAATGATGATACAAGTAGACATGACCACCTGTGGTTTGTGAGGCACTTGCTAAATTGGTTGTTTCTATGAACATCTTTGAGAAGAGGAAAATATCAATACCAATTTGTTTCTTGGCACAAGAGATACCTAAATTCTTCCAAAAACCTAATTCAGGAATGAATATTTCCTTTTCTCTGTCGGTACCATAGAGTTTGAATGGATTTCTTCGTTCCTGTTCAGCTGTAGAGGCATTGGGAGGAAGAGTAAAGTTACCTTGACCCAATGTTGGAACTTTGGAAGTAAAGAGTAAAACTCGACCACCGCTTTCAGAGAGTAATTCTTCAGCACATTTCATTGCACTTCCACATGTATTCTCTGCCGAGTTATCACCGAGATGAGATGCTAATTCATAGAAACGATCAAAGAATTGATTTAAATGTGTTTCATCAGAAACTTGATCGGTTGTTGCTGTGTTAGGATTGTAATTCTTATAAATTAAATCCCCAATAGTAATCATTGATTCTTGATGGATAGGTACAAAACTTTGTTGTAAATCTGCCATAATCATGACTTGAGGATGATTTTGTTTCAAGCCTTCTTCACCATTATTGAAGTTTGACTTTTTAAAATTGTAGAAATGAATATTCTTGGCATAGGTGATGAATGTAATTTTACAATTTCTATATTTGGGTCCATGAATCAATAGAGATGATTTAAGAGCATCAACCACGCTCTTCAATACTCCACCCTCAACAGAATCATGCCCAACATCAATGACATAAACAAAGGTCATTGGTTGTGGTTCTCTTCCATTGTCAAAGAATTGTTTGGTTGCAACAAAATCTACATCACCAATAGAAAGTTCGGGTCTTTGATAAACATCTGTTCTGACACCATAAACATCAGTTGGACAATAATACCAATCAGGTGTGGTATTGGTAAACCCACAAAAGTTACAATGATACTTTTTTCCATTTTCAATAAACTTTACAAATGGATTAATGTAGACTCGACATCGAGAGCATCTTAAAATTTCAAAATTTGAAAAATCAACACAAGGAGTGAAATTAGGTTGATCATGAATATCAAAAGATGCCATTGGTTGTACCATAGCTCCCATCATTAATTGAGAAGAATCTAACAACTTCTTTGTATTTGGAATACAATACAAAGAGGGACGAATACGATTTGGAGAACAAGCACCTTTACAAACAATTCTAGTTCTTCTATCAGCAGGTGGAGGTGGCACATTAAAGTAAGGTGTAATATTTGTCGTATTGGGTTGTTGTTGAATTGCTGTTGCATTGAATGGAAAAGTTGAAGGAAGATTACTTGACTGAGAATATAGTCCAAAAGAGTTTTGTTGTTGTTGTTGTGGATTGGAAAGTGCAAAATTACCCAAGAGTGGAGTGCTTGTACCACCAAAAGCAGTTGGTGTGTTTGGAGTTGGATTGGACCCACCACCAGTCGTTGGTAACATGTAATGTTCCAAAAAGCTTGCTGTTTGATATTCTTGTTTGACATTCACCTCCGGGAAGGGTAATCTTACTGGAGAAGGCATTTGTCTTGGATCAATTTTCTCATTGGTTCGAGCTGGAGTTGTTGTAGTTGAAGTAGTTGCAGTCATCGTAGTCGGTGTTGTAACTTTTTGACCATCTCCTACACTGCTGATCATGGGTGGTGGTGATGAAGAGATGGAAGTCATTGCCGAGTTGAAATTAGTGGGACTGATACTACCCAATCGATTCATTGGATCCACCATGGAACTGGTTAAACTTCCTTGTTGAAGACTTGGAGAGGACGAAGAAGATGAAACAGGAGGAGTAGTAGTATTGTTACTCAACGATGAGTGTTGTTGTTGCTGCTGACTCGACTGCAGCTGATCAAAAGCAAAACTTGTCGGAGGTGGTGCGAGAGAAGTGGTGCTCTTGTTCTGCTGAGCGAGAATTGGATTAAAGAAACCACCAGTGTTGCTGCTGCTGCTGATGGGTGGTGTTGATGATGAGCCTACTACTTGTTGTTGAGTGTTCATGTTCCATTGTGGTTGTAGGTGTGGTTGATAGAAACCTCCTCCTCCAACTGTGTTGTGAGGAGGTTGTTGTTGATAGGGTTGAGAACCGTACTGATTGGGATTGTAAAATTGTTGCTGCTGCTGCTGTCCAACAACAGTGTTGGGTACGTTTGGCGATGTATGAAACGGATGTTGTTGGGACATTTTTTCAAAAATGCTTAAAAAACACGTCATCATCAAGCCACACGAAAAAATGTTCTCATCTGAACGCATGAACACAATTCATTCCGATCAAGAAGAAGAGGATGATCAACCTCTCTCCATTGAAGATTTATATGCGTTAGCAATTGAAATGAAACAAGAAGGAAAACTCAAAATGGCCAAACAATCATGTCTTGAAGGTATTCAAAAATTACGTAATCATATGGATACTACTTCCGAGAAAATGATGTCATCATCCTCTACAACAAGACATTCATCCTCTTGTTCACTGTTATTTTCATTTTATAATTTAATTTCTCAAATTTGTTTGGAATTAAAAGAATATGAAGATGCATTGGATTATAATCAACAGGTGTTGGATCTAGACTCTTTATTTATGGATGCAAGATATAGAATGGGATTTATTTTAATTCAAATGAAAGTATTTGATTTGGCAAAGAACGTCATTGAAGAATCAATGAAATTAAAATTAGAAAATGAAATTGAGGAACAAGTGATGAAAAAGAAATTCTCTAGCTTGTTGGAATTGATTGAAAAGAATGGTAGAGATAAAAAGAATCATCATTCTCATCATTTACATGAAAAGAATCATTCTCACGAAACGACTCATCATTCACATGAAACAAAACATTCTCAATCAACACACAAAATTCTCATTCATTTAATTCGAACATTTTCTCAAAACTTCTTGCAATCATTGATTTCAGAATATTTAATGTCTCAATTATCAACAACAACAACAACACAACATTGCGAACAGAAATCAAAGACTTTCCTTCTTTTACCAAAGTCATTGCATAATCATGAAACCATTACTTCACCTCATATTACCTTTTACCAAGATGTGATCATGCAATGTATGACCATTTATGAAATGTTACACAAATCTGAAACCAATGAAAAGGTTCACTTCATGATCGTGGCCTCTCCATCATTGAATATTGAAGAGTTTAGAGATCATCCTTTTTTGAATCTTGTCCACAGTGGTGTTTCTTTGAATGCTAGTACTTTTTACAATGATATTAAGAGTGATGATCGAATCGTACAAGTTATTGAAGAAAGTAATCTAGCAATTTTGGAGAATTCAACAACGCTTTGTGAAGACATCAAAGCAACCATTCAAACACTCAACACCAACATTTCAATTTTAGATTCAAATCAATCAATACTCCATGATCTGATGATGCATTCAAGCAATACTTTTGATTTTCAGAACGCTGTGGATCATCTTGGTTGGTGGAAGACTCTTTCTCACTCCTCTCCACGTGATCACTACTGCAATATCGTATCATTTGTATTTTGTTCAAGAAAACCATTCAATCTTCAACAGCTCTTACAAAAACTCAATAACAGCAATGGAGAAGAATCAGAACTGTTTTGGGATGTTGTGATTCGTTCGAAAGGATTCATATGGGTCGATAGTGATCACAATTATTTATATGATTGGTCAACAAGTGGTTCCCAATTGAAAGTGGTAAAGAAAACATTGTTCTTAGCTGCGTATCCTCCTGAAACACTTTCCAAAGTATTACCTGAAAGACTTGTAGAAATGAAGAGAATCAACAAGTGGATGGAACCATTTGGTGATAGGAGGCAAGAAATTGCTTTTATTTGTCGAAAAACTTCTCAAGTCGCCGATCCATACCAATTCATTTCTCAATTTCTATCATCCATGACGAAAACTCCTTCCAATGTTAATATTATTAAGTACAACATGTGATGATTCTCAAACACACGAAATAAGAATGTATGCATGGTCATTTCACACCAAATGGTGCAACAAAAGTACCACCTATTTCTTGGCTGCATTCAATCTTTCAATAGCTTTTTCTCTAATTTTTTGGACAGGAAGAGGGAAGTCTTGTTCTATTTGTTTGAGGGATTCCTTAGTAAGCACATACAAATCACAGTACGTGCCAGCTCTCACCGAAGCCATTCTTGTTTGATCCATAATAACACTAATTTCACCAAAGAATTTACCAGCGTCAAGAGTAGCAAGAACTTTGGGCTCTGGATCTTCAGTAACTACTTGGACATATCCTTTCAATATGAAATACATCTCTCGACCAATTTCTCCTTTTTTCACAATTTTTGTTCCTGGTAAAACAACTTGCGGCCGAAGAGCCATGACCATTGATGTTATGAATGTTTTGTTGGCTCCCTCTACTTTAAATAAATCGACTTTTTGGATTAACTCTGCATTCATGGAAAGATAAATTTCAGATTGTAGGTACCAAGGAAGATCTTGCAAGACTTCTGTTTCGTCCCAACCAGATCTTGCTTTCCAAACGAAATGGTAATATCTTTCAATTTTGCCTCTAATGACTTCAGGAATCTTTCTGTACGACATGTATTGTTTTAGAGAGTCAAGTTTTTGTTTTCTTTTCGCTTTTTCTGCATGACTGTCTTCAAGAATGTTACCAACTGCACCGATAACGAGAATCACCAATGCAACTCCAACAATATTGACTGCTTGAGAGAAAATACATTGACTGAGGGTCACAGGCGTCGTTCCTCCATATCCTGTCATTTGAGTTAATACCCAATTAAATCCTCTAATATATCTTGACATGGCAGCTTGAAGGGATCTATCTTCTGTAATGGTTGCCTTTGCTGTCCAAATTCGAACCGTTTGTACAGGATCTGTCATGACAATAATGTACCAACCACAAGCAAGCACATGTGTTGCAATGAAGAAGTAGAACATGTATCTCAGGATTTGAATTCCTGTAATGGAAATAATCTCTACTTGTTGCTCGAACTGACTAAAGTAATCATTGACTCTGACAATCCGAATGCATCTGATCATTCTTGCCCACATTCCCCACTTCAAGTCAGCAATAAGGAGAATGTAATCGATTGGAATGGATGATAGAAAATCAGTGTAGAAGAACAGAGATTTCACATAATTCTTTGCAATGATCTTGGTGTCATAAATGTAAATACCGTCAGTGCCTGAAAGCCTTTTAAAAAAACAAAGAATAAAATCGAAAAGGAGTATTGCATCAACAATGACATCAGGAATCACCCATATTCCAGTCCATAATGGATGATCCACATATGTGTAGACAGCAGCTCTTAACGTTGCAGTCACAAAATTATAACTTGTGGCAAGAAAGCACAAGAATACCCAAAATGTGGCAAATTTGGTTTTTTCTGGTATTGTAAAAGTATCCACAATCTTTGTTTTCCACAGTCTAATTAATTAAATAGTTAAATTAAAGTGTTATATTCAGTACCATACCTTTGAATGGTTTCTTTTCGGGATTCATGTTCCTCTACTTTTAAAAGAATTTGTTTTTCTTTTCCGATTTCCTCCTGTTGAATGTATTTTCAATTCAGATGTCAATATATGAGATTAAACGTTTGAAACAAACCTCTTTCATCCACTTGGGAGGTTTAGGAACGGGTTTTTTATCCGTGGTTGCAGGAGCATTGCTACTAATGGTGGGTGGTTGAGGCTGTGTTGACATTTTTTTAAATTGATCTCAATCATTTGTAAATGCTTTGGCGGGTACTAAAAAAAATGTCAAAATTTGAAACACCACTCACTGTTCGAATGAAGCGTGATATCGTGGAGATCTTTGAAATGTATGATACTGATCATAAGGGTGGTCTTTCAAAATTAGAATTCAAGTTGGCATGTATTTCTCTTCTTGGTTTCAAACCATCAAAATTTGAAAGAAAAGAATTATTTCCGACCACTCAATCAACAGTAAATCGATCATTATTTGTAGAAATTATCAGCAAGAAGATGATGAGAATGGATGAACAGGATAGGATGAGACAAATCTTCAATACATTTGATAAAGAAAGAAAAGGTTACATTAATCTAGAAAATTTAAAAGATGCAGTGAGTTCGGTCCTCAAGTTTGAAAAGACAAACGGAAAAAGAGGCTCTCATTCTCTTTCAAATTTTGCGCTTGAAACCTTGCTGACCGAGTATGATGAAGATCGGGCAAATCGAATCACCTATTCAACCTTTTGCAATTTAATTTTCAAGAAGCACTTGATTTAGAGATCGAACTGATCGGCAACGATGATCCTGTTGTCTGTTTTAAAATAGCAAGATGTGGACACGGAAGCCAAATTACTCGAATTGTGCATGGAATTGACGAACATTGTCCACATCTTGTCTGTTTTTCGATGTTTGGAAAGGAAATTGAGTGTCTGTTGTCTGACAGCAACGTTGTCCCTCCAGACACCAAACGTTTTCTTTGAGAACGAAAAAAAAAATCCTTCATCCACACATTCAACAATTCTTTGCAACAACAATAAGAAACGAAAAAATGGGTAAAAAATCAAAGAAGAACAACAACAAAAAGCAAAAGCAACAAAAGGAGGAGGCGAACAACAATGCCGATACCCAGAGTACCTCTGAAGATGCCACTTCGGAACAAGAAGTGCCACAAACCAATGAAGCCATTCTTGATGATTCCTCAAGTAAGGCTTCAAACGAGCCTGAAGAACAACTACCAGTTGTTGAGTCTTCTTCAGCAAACACAGCAGAAGAGGAAAACAAGTGCTCTACTGAAGCAACACCACAACAAGACTCAGTTGTAGAGCCTGTAAACACTGAGAATGTGTCTTCTGATGCTCATCAAGAGTCCACAAAATCCGAAGAAATCGTTTCTGAAGAAACAACACCTGTTGCCAATGAAGTGTCGTCATCCACAACTGTTGTAGTTCAGGAGACTCCGAACGAGGAAACAAAGACTTTATCAGAAGAAGTAGTAACAGAAGAGAAGAAGGAAGAACCAGCATCAGCTGTTGAAGTCAAAGTGGATGACATCAAGTCCGAAATTGCAGAAGAGGCCAAGCCACAACTGGTTGTTGAAGAAAACCAGCAACAACCTGCTACTACTGTTGAAGAAACCGTACAAGTAGAAGAACAACGAACGTCAGAATCTGTTCCTATCGTGTTGGAAGAACCAAAAATTATCCAAGAGACAACCATTGTTCCTCAAGAACAAGAGCCTACACCAACGACACAAGTAGAATCAGAAAAAATTGAGAACAAAGAAGAACCGACAAACGAAGTCACATCGAATGTCGAACCAGTAACTCAAGTAACTCAGGAAAATAAGGTGGAAGAGATTGTTGAGCAAGTAACAAATGTTGAGATAAAGAAGGAGGAGACTGTTGAAACTACAATTCAAGTGAACTCATCACAGGAAGTCATACCGTCCAAAGACCGCACTACTGTAGTGGAGGAAGTAAAGTCTGTTGAGACTACAGAAGTGCCATTAGAACCTTCTCAAGGTGTTGCAGTTGTGGAAACCAAAGTAGAGGAGCAAAAAGATGTTGAACATTCTGCTCATGTTGATGAAACGATCAAGGTGGAAGAACAAAAAACCGAAGATGTTAAACCTACTGTCGAAGAGCAAGTTGTTCAACCAGCAGTAGAGATAAATAAGGTTGAAGAAAACAAAGCCACTGAAGAACCAAAGCAGGAATTACCGCCTGTTGAAGACACAAAGGTCGAACAATCAAACGCAACAGTTGAAACTTCCAAACCTGTGGAGCAAGAAAAGCCAATGGAAGAGAAACATGAAGTTAAGTCTCAAGAAGAAACACCATCACAGAATCAAATTGTGATTGAAGAGAACAGTCAACCAGTTGAACAAAAAGAGACAACTTCAACAGAAGTTGCTAAACCTGCCACTGTTGAAGAAACCGTCAAAGTGGAAGAGGCAAAAACAGATGTTAAACCTGCTACTGTTGAAGAAACCAAGACAGAAGTCAAAGAAGACGTTAAATCAGTCGAAGAATCAAAAGGTGAAGCTAAGGGAGAGGTCAAGAACGAACCTGTCACAGAAACTGATGCAAAGAAATCCAAACCTGAGGAAAAGAAAAAGAAGTGTATCGTCATGTAAATCATGATGAACACAATTTTGGAGAATGAGTGTCAAGAAAAATGTTAATAATATATTCTTAATCTTCTTTAATGTTATAAGCTTTCACAAGTTGATCGTTGCAACACAGAGCCATCAATCCTACTTCATGCACATTCCAATCCAAATCGTTGACCCAATCTTCCATTTTTTGATTCTTAAAGTTTGAAACTCTTCCACCATAGGATTCAACAACGGATGAAGAGGCTGGCGACTGATTAGATTCTCTCATATCCCATATTCTTAACGTTCGATCGGTGGAGCAGGTTGCTACCAGATGTTGAGTGTGAGGACTCCACTTGGTACCAGTGATGAGTGAGTAATGAATATTGCGCAAATGTGCTTTGGGTCTCGAAGTATTTCTCAAATCGTAGGTCATGAGAGATTGATCAAAACATCCCAATGCGATCGAGTGTTCATCAAAGGCATTCACATCGAACTTCATGGCACATGTTCTATTGTGGACTCGAAATGATTTCACACATGGGTCCTCGTGTTGCCTTAAATCCCATAAACTGACAAACCCGTCACGATCACTTGTATAAAATTGCATGGGAGCATGAGTGTTCCATTGAATATCGTAGACAGGTGGTGCTTGTAAATCTTGTACATTTTCTATTTTTGATTCTTGTTCCTTAATAATTAATTCATGTTTTTTAGTGTGAAAAATTTGAAGTGCTTCGTTAGATTCTTGATTTTCTTGATATAATTTAATTGAAGAGGAATCAAGTGCTCCTGTTATAATCCATTCAAGTGATATTTGATCCCAATCCACATTTGAAATCTTTTCATGATCAAACCATTCTCGATACATACAGTCAATGTTTTTAGTATCAAAAAATCGAAGAACATGATCATCACAAGAGCTCAATAAAACATTTTCATTTCTATGAGACCACAAGACATGATGACATCCAACATTCAGTTGAATTTGATGTTCAATTTCAATATCGTTTTTTGGTAAGAAATCAAGTAGATAGATCACTCCTGAAATGGGTGTATGTCCTGGACGGTTAGAGGTTGCGACTGCTAATCGATTCTCAATAAAAGGACTCCATTCGATGGAATGAGGATTATTGACCACACAAATTCCGACTCCCATTAATGATGTGTGTGTGTGTGAAATAATTATTTATATTCAAGTCAAAGGGTTCAAAAGATTATGGTTTCGGAAGGATGTGTGAGGATGAATTCAATCATGCACCACACACAATACGTGTAACTTAATTTTTTTAAATGTTTAGTGTTATCGACGATTTGGCCACATGTACACACCATTGTTTTTGTGACAAGAAGATACGCTTCGCACGGAATTGTCATGACAAGAAATTAATGCCAAATTTATTCCAATAAATTTAAAGGAAAGGTTTTAACTGTAATTCCAATTGTTTCGTATAAACATCTAAATAATTTACAATATTATTCAACTCATTCACAGAAATATCAATCGAATCTACTTCTTGAAAACAAGTTTGCAAGCTCTCATATAATTGCATCATCTTTTTCAAATTGGCATGAACTCCTTCAGTTTTTTGATTTAAACCTTCATATTTCTTTGTGATGGCTGCATTCATTTGTTGCAATAAAGATAATTCGTTGAATCCAGCTTGCATCTCTCCTTGCAATAATTCAATGAAATTTTCAAACATTTTCTCTGTAAGATCTTCTAATCGGTGTTGTTGATTGGATGATGATTGTACATTTTCGGAAGAGGCCGATGAAGCACTTCTTTCACGATAGGTTGCCAATAAACTGGATGATCGTGTACGGGATGATTCTTGTGGGTGTTGATCAGATTCTAATAGTACTTGAGATGATTGGTTGGTAGAAGCTTCGGATGGCAACGATGAGGCTTCAGCAGGGGACAGTGATGATTCATTGGAAATCATTTTTTATTTCGACAAAGAGGTGTCTTATCAGTTATTGATTTGAATTTATTTTGATTCGAGAGAATTATAGTGGTTCGTTGCATGGTATTACTATTGCAACAGAATTCACAAACTTGTACACACTCTCTTCTAATTAAATGAAAGGTTGGCATAATTGTAAGGAAGTGGTCCATAATCTTTCTTGTAATTCTTCATCAAATGCCAATTTGTTTTCAGACTCGTCTAATTTACAATCAGCGTAATAACAACCACCTTTCAATTGATCCTTTGGTGCCACACATAAATAGATACTTGTTTGAGCACCTTGCCAAGCATCTTTGGTAACAAACCACCAAAAAGGAGCAACAAGAAGGAAATAGAGAGGATTAAGATTGCGCCAGAGTTGAGTTCGAACAACACCAGGATGAAGACTGTAAAAATATGTATGTATCATCAATATATAAATGTTAGATTCAGAAAGAGTTTGAATCAAATTGAAACAATAAGGATCAATGATGATACACAATGATGATATCATCATGTAACCATAACAAATATATATTGAGATCAATAAAAAATCAACTACCAACCTAAATGCACTTGCAAAAGTATTTGGATCTTTTCTCAACTCTTTTTCTAATCTTTTTGTAAAGACCATATTCGCAAATTTTGATCGACCATACCTTTAACCATACCACCATACCACACAACAGATGAATCAGACAATCAATGATGAACACAACAGATGATGAACACAACAGATGATGAACACACACACATACACACACCAAAAAATCATGTACTACTTACAATCGATCCGAAGGAATTTCTTTACCATCTCCCTGGACGGTATTCAATGTAAAAGATGAGAATCCTCTCAATGCATGACGACTCTGATCGACAACAACTTGAGTCTCCTCTCTTCCTTTCACCCAATGTTCACCAGCTCTGGAACTCACATTAATGACTCGACCATTCGATTGTTTGATATCATTTAACAATAAATAAGTTAATAAAAAGTGACCTAAATGATTGGTGCCAAATTGAATTTCCTTAAAATAATCATTTTAAACAAATATTGTGTATTGACCAAAGTTGAATGTGTTCATCACAATATATTCCCAAAATTGAATGTATTCATCACATTGTTGGTGTAAACATTTGTGTGACATATTGTGGTGGATGTTCAACGTTGAATAATGGAACATCAAATTTGTCATTTAAAATTCTTTGAAATATTAAACTAGTACTCACCACTCCTTGTTTAGTAGTAGAATAGGGTGTCATCATGATACCAGCATTATTCAATAATAAATCTACTCGATCATATTGTTCTTTGAATGTCTTGACAAAAGATTTCACACTTTGTAAATCAGATAAATCCAAAGCAATGACTTTTAGAGTTGATGCATTTCGTTTTGGATACTTTTTCAATATTTCTTGTTGAACGATATCGCCATTGGAGACATTTCGAACACCTAAAATCACAGTTGCACCTCTTCAATTGGAAATGGTCATTCATCATCATGACGGAATAATATTTCACAAATGAGTCAATTAAATATTGAAAATATCATTACATGATGATGAAGATTCATTCTGAATGCATTCACCTACCTCGAATATAAATAAGCAGCTGCTTCAAATCCAATGCCACCCAAAGAAGGTCCTGTCACTATTGCAACCTTTCCGTTCAAATTGGTGTGATTTAACAAATTGGATGGAACATATCCACCGTTGAAATATAATTTACCAAGTGTCAGGGCTGCAATGAAAGTAACAATGCCCACAACACCCAACGTGAGAGGTGAAGCAATTGATAAGACCGACTCCAACAGCACATACAGATGTAAGGACATTTTTTTAAGTACGGGATGAATCAGCTTGTGCGACTAGTCCTCTTGAAGATTGAAGGCAGAGGAGGACTAAGGCAAAAATGTGTGACGTTGGGCTTTGAAAAAATAATATGATTACAAACGTGATCATTGTACTGTGTGCACAGTCAAAATTCAAAAGGTAATGCTCCGCCATCACGATGGTTCTCTATCTATTTGGCATCCATCCGAGGTGGTATGGTCGTAGAATTCATTCATTTGAAAAATTGAAACCCTATGAGCTTTAACCTTGGACCAACTCGACGCGCCGTGGCAGCAGTAGTGTTATTCTTCATCTTGGGAACAGTATGTTGCCAACAGAACAGAACACCATCGTCTTCCTTGAAAAATGTATTGATTCTTTCTCTCCCGTATCCAGGTCATGTCCGAGCGCAGGTAGAATTGATGGATACTCTGGCTGCAAAACAGGGTTCATTCATCGGAAATATAACTCTTTTAAATTCCAAGTCTTGCATGGGAAGTGATGAAAGGCTCAAAGAATGGTATTCCCGACAACAGCAACATGATATGAACACAACCATTCCATCACAGGACACTTCTAAAATTCATTTAGCCTTTCTGGATCCAATCAGTAGTAATGATTCAAATGTTTTAAACTTCATAGCCTCTACCATGGAAAGTATTTCAAAATTACCAACGAACGAAGGCTTAGTGCTTGCTTTTCAAAAAGTCATTGCTCCATATGAAAAGTTAATGATTGAGAGTTTAGAAATTGTAGAAATGGATAATTCGAATGCTACCCATTCCACTTCGAATGGAAGAATTTTAAATATCATTCCCTTTGGGGACCGTTTCAAAAGAATTTCTCTGTTAGGATCTCAAAAAGCCTCACTTGCCACAAAAACATTTCTCAGAATTAAGAATGATCCATCACAGACACTCTTTGAACATGTGATTATTGATTTTTCACTGTACGCCATTCAGTCCATTGCAGCTGCAAGTCAAGTTGCGTGCACAAAGCTTTATGTTACCATGCTTCCTCACTCATTGTTCCACTATCCTGCTTTTTCTGCTGATCGGTTGGAGTATTTTACAAATTTTTGGATGCGACTGAAACTTCCTTACGAAATTTTCAAAGATGTTCAAATGTTTTCTGGGATTATGGGTTTACTCGGAGATTACTTTACAACAGATGAAATGTTCTTGAGTGATGTAAAATGTACAAGAATTCAACTTTCAAGTTTGGGATTTGAGTTTGCTTCAGCCAGCTCTCAACAATTGAACACATTCTTGGTAGGCCCTTTTTTAAATGAGCGACAAATTGAAAGCGAGAGACAACAATTACGAGCTCTCTCATTAGACGAAAATCAAAAAGAAAGAGGTTATTTTGGTTTATTAGAATGGACTGAAAAACAACAAGATGTGATGCTAATCATTTTAGGATCTACAATGTTACTGAACGAGCAAGAGTTACACAAATTTTTAATTGCTCTCGACATTTCACTTGGTAGAAATCCACAGCTTTCTATTTTACTTTCATTGGGAGCTCACAATCTTGTCGCCTTTGATGCATTGAAACAAGGTTCAAGCTCTAAAGACCTCATCTCTGCACTAGAGACTAATTCAAGGTTTAGAAAATTGAATGGATTTGTTCCTCAAAAAGGATTATTATCTCTTGAAAAAATCAAGATATTTCTAACTCATTGCGGAGGAAATTCTGTTAATGAGGCTCTTTATTTTGGGAAATTATTGATTGGCGTACCGTCATCTTTCGATCAATTCAGAATCTCTGTGGCTATTAAAGAATTTCAAGTTGGAATTCCACTCTTCACTTCAAAAGAAGAAAGCAAGACATGGAATGTTGAGCAATTGTCCAATGCCATTCAAGAACTATTGTACTCGCCACAATCAAAACATGTCTATGCCTCAAAGGCTCGTCATGTCCGAGCATTGATGAGACATTCTGGAGGAGTTCAAAAAGCAGCAGATATCATTGAAATGATGCTAGAATTGGAAGGAGATTTATCATGGACAACACCTGACAAACATTTAAAGTGGTGGCAATATTATTGGTTAGATATTGTTGGTGTATATTTAAGTTTACTAGGTGTGGTTGTTGGATTGGTGTGGATGGCAATGAAGCGTGTTCTGTGTCAAAAGAGGCCAAAAGTCAAATCAAACTGAAAAGCTCAATATCCGCAACCTGACGATTTTGAAAGTGGTAATAATTTTAATAAAGTTTTGTTAACGAATAAATAAAAATGAATCCTGTTGCAGAATCAACAACAACAACACCCCTCTCAAATACAACGCCTTCTCCGACCCTTACATCCTCGCTAAAGTCACTTTCCAGCTTGTCCCACCCGACAGTTACACGAAGAAGAAGTGACAGCAAGAAAAGATCATCCCACAATCTTAATTGTGAATCTCCAAGTCGGGCAGCTACAGCCAATAGTACGGAGTTAGTTTTTACCACGATTACAGCTCCATCACCTCGACCAGATCATGTCAGTGAGCTTGTACACACAAAGTGTGATGATTCATCAAGGCCCGTTCTTCATTTACCCCCACACTCCAATCACCAACATCTCTCATCATCTAAAGTAAACAGTCCCCTCTCATCACCCAAACAGCCAGCAGAGAACGAAACATTCATCACTCCAACCCTACGTCATCTAACACCAAGCTTAATTGAAAATTATGTTAAGGCAAGAGTAACCAAGCGTGTTCAAAAAACAGAGAACGAAGAAAGAAAACGAAATGTATCCAATGTTGAACAAAAACGAGTCGATCGGTATCTCCATGAATTGAATAGATCTCAATCTGCTTTCGAATTGAATCATGAAATTCCTTCGTTTGATGAAAAGAAAAAACTGATTCGTAAAAATCAAATGTTATTTCAAAAAACAACGGAGAATGTCATCACCAACCATGCCAAGGACAAGAAAATTTCAAATTCTGTTTGTTACAGTGCTGATCGCCCCCATAGATCATCAACACCAACATTATCAACAAGTTCAACGGAGTTCAGAAAATCTACACCTCTACAAAGAAGTCATTCGCAAAGATACAGCATTATTGAAGTAGTGCAAACCCTTAATAATTACTTTGCAAGAAGAAATTCGCTCGGGTCTCTTGAGGATTGCAAGAACCCCTAAGAGAAGCGGGTCGGAAGTGTATCGCAAGAACGTTATCTTGAAGTTGTTCCAGCATATCCTTTAGTGGTACGGGTGGTGGTGGAATGGGTATTGTCTGTGTCGTGGTGATGGTGGTAATCCTCATCGTTGGTGGCATTGTAAGTCGAGTCTGACGTATTGAAATAAGAGCCATTGTTGCCTCTTGTTGTGTTTGGTGTTTGACGATTAAGCATACTGTTGAGAGCATAACCTGCTGCAGCGCCTGCAACAAAGGTAGGTACAGTTCCAAAACTTGTTGTTGAAGATCCAGTGTTGGAACTGTCAGGATAATAGTTTGGATTATAGTTTTCATCGGTTGTGTAGGTAGGATTAACTCCTGGGTAAATGGATGATGTTCCTTGGGGATAGGGTGTGCTGTTTGTTGATGATGAGTAAGAAGCAGCACTGCTATTTGCACCTACTGGGGTGGATCTACGCGATGACTTGGTCAACCAAATAACGGCAACAAGCACTAGAACTATTAAAACAACACCAAAACCACCCAAGCTGGATGGATTGGCTGGCTTTGTTGTTTCGTGGTGGTAATGCTGTTGATTCTGTTGATAGCGATTTGTACGTTTCCTTTGTTGATCTTCACGCGTTCCTTTCCCAGTCAATTCAATAGAAAAAGACAAAGCACACGAGCCACGCAAAACAAATTCATCACCTGCATAGCGATAGCCTTCACAATTAACATCTAAATCAGATCCGAAACGATATTTCTCATCCATTTCTGCTTCACATTTCCATTGGTAAGAAGTGCCATCATAACCCTTGTTTTTGCATTGAATTACGGAAGGAATGTATCCGTCCGGTGTGTATTTGCAGTTCAATTGTGGAAAGGCTCGTGTTCTTCTTGCACTTGTATATTGTCCTTTTCTAAAGGTCAACACTTCAATCTTGGAAAGATGAACAGCATCAGGTCCAAGTTGCTGTTGCAGTGAATGGTGGGCTGAGAACAGTGCTAACAGAAGAAGGAATAGAATGATGGAACACGAGGAGGAAAGCTTCATGATGAATTTTTTAGAATTTTAAAAAGTATGCTGCTGGGGGCCTTATAAAGTACCCAATGACACGTGTGGCCAGAACACGTGTGTCTCAAAGTTCAGTCAAATAATCCTTCGAGAGGAGTGAATTGAATGTCCAGACATCTATGCAAGGCCAAAGAGATAAGGTAAAAATTTTCACCCGCTTTTGTAAATTTACCTTAGGCATAAAAAAATATTTGGTGATGATGGACCAGCAAGAACCTCCTTCCCCTCAACAACAACAAGATCAAAGAGATGAAAGTCCGAGCAGCACTACAAGTAGCCCGAACAATAGTCCAAGTAGTAGCGGTTGGGTGTTGAAGAAGAAATCCATCTTCGGTTCCTTAGAACCAATAACTCAAGTATCGCATGATGATGTAAATGAAATAGATAAGGATGAAGTAATCAGGAGATTACAGCAGGAAGCTGTAGTAGCCAAAGAACAGCAAGCTACCTCTACCGAACAGATGAATTCTCTCTCCGAAAAATTAGCCGACTCATTGGAAGACCTATTCAATGCAGATATAGAGTTAAAGCAGGTAAAAACAGATCTCGAAACCAAAAATGAAGAGCTTGCACATTTTTCTCGTAAAATTGAAGAGAAAGAGCAGCTTGCAGAAACATTGAATCTTGAATTGTTGCAGGCGAAATCGGAGATTGAAAGCCTTAAGGTTGAGCTTTCCATCAACTCTGAAAATCTACGAGTTTGTACAAGCCAAGTTACCAAAAACAACCTTCAAGTAGAAAGTCTTAGCTCTCAAATATCTGAAACTTCCGAAGAATTGAATAGAGCCATCAAAACAGTTTATGTCAAAACCCAGGAAGTTGAAAACCTTAAATCTCAAATTGAGGAGATCTCCAAGCAACTAGCCCAAAAAACACTCGCCCTTGATGAGTCAACAAAGCAACTCCAAGATACTACACAAGCGCTTAACACTCTCAAAGACAACATGCGTACTCTGGAAACCACGTTCCAAGAAACATCAACGACTCTCAACAATACAGTTATTGAGCTTGAATTGCAACGCGAACTTGTTAGTGCACTCTCAAAGAAGCTTGATACTAAGGACGGTGAATTGGCTAGTACTGCTTTTGAGCTAGGCGAGTACAAAGAAAAATATTCCGTTGCACAGCTATCTTTGGAAAAAACATCTCAAGAACTCTCTGAAACCCAAGACCAGCTCCAAGCTGCATCCGAGCGACTATCGCAACTTCAAAAAGCTCTGGAAGACTCAACCTCAAATCTTTCTAAAGCACTCAGCGAGTTAGAGGTTACAAAGGAAGATCTAAAGCAAAAAACGTTGCATCTTGAGTCGAGCCAAAAAGAGTTGGAATATACCTCTTCAGAGTTGTGCACGGTTAACCTGAAACTAGAGCAGGCATCAAATGAAGTGGCAACAGTAACAGAAAAATATAACTCAACATGCCAAACATTAACACAAGTAGGCAAAGAACTTTCAGAAATGAGCGAAAGCTATGCTGTGGCAAACACTTCCCTTTTGCAAGCCCAACAAGAACTATCCCAAATAACTGAGAAATATGAAGAATCAATGGGATGTTTAGAAAAAGTATCTAGAGAACTTTCAGATACAAAGAACGAGCTCAGAGATACCTCCTCACAACTAACGTTTACAAAAGAGCAGTTATTTCAATCAATGGGAGAATTGGAGACGTCATCCATGAAGTTGAATGATTCGTTGAGGGACCTAGAATTTACCAAGGACCAACTTAACCGAACTAAGCAAGAGCTTGATTCTGCTCAAAACGAGCTCAATATCTCTAAAAGTGAATTAATAGAGACAAAGCGAAATTTAACTGAAGCATTAACAACCGTAGACCTATACACAATTGAAATCTCTCAAAAGATTGAACAGCTGACTGACTTGCAGGGGGTTCTGAAAAAAACTTTAGAGTCTCTATCGGAGACAGAAGAAAAGTTCAATAACACTGTCGTTGAATTGAGGAGAAGTGAGGAAAAATATGAACTAAAGGTCAAAGAGTTGCAAGATACAAAGGACATTCTTTGTTCTACAAAGACAGATCTTGACGAAGCAAAGTATCAGCTCTCCACTACCGCCGAAGAGCTTGCGGTAACAAAATTGGATTTAGCAAATGCAACAAAAAATCTTGAGGCAGCAAGAGACGAACTTAAGCAATCTAACTACACCCTTAATTTGACAACTGAAACGTTGAAATCGACACAGGAAGTTCTCGACTCAACTAGAACAACTTTAGACTCTACCAATATCTCGCTTGCCGAGACTCAAAAAATGTTAAAAATTACAACAGAAGAGTTATTAACTAAAACTACCAATTTAGAACAAACAGAAATTGAACTGGTTGATACTAAACGTAATCTACAAAATACAACAGAGCAACTAGAGCAATGTAAGCAAAATTTAGAGTCTACAACACAGACACTTTGTCAAAGCCAGAAAAAGCAACAAGAGACCCAAGATAATCTTGATGTAGTTAAACATGAATTGTCTATCATAAGTGAAGAGCTTGTTATGATTAAAGAAGAGAAAGAAATTGTGTCCAAAAACTTAGAAGAAACGACAGAGATTTTAAAAATCAAAACTGAAGAGCTCTCCTCCACAACGACTGCTCTTCAGTTGTCTCAAACTGCATTGACGTTAAAAATCGATGAGCTTCAAACAATGCAGCAGATGGTCGATGCTACAAATACGGAACTCTCAAATACAAAGAAAGAGCTATTAATGTGCAAATCCAGCCTTAAGCTTGTGAGTACTAATCTCACAAATGCAAAGAATGTTATTGAAACCATTCAACAAGACCTTGCTCATGCCAATGCTTCGTTGAAGACCACCACTGAAGCATTAGACATGACAACTCGACAGCTTACTGAATCTATCGAGTCGCACAATTTTACGCGGACGGAGCTATCAGTTACACAAGAAGCTCTTGTTGAAACAAAAGAAAAGTTGGAAAAAACTAAATTTGAGTTGTCACAAACAACAGACATACTTACAGAAACGCAACTTGCTTTTGAAAGTATAACTAAGGAGAGAAATTTGTTGTCAGAGGCTCATGAAGCCACAAAGAGCGAGCTCTATGCATCAAACCGAGATTTAGAGGATACAAAATTGCTTTTAGAACAAACACAGTTAGAGCTATCTAAGGTCAACGAAGTCTTAAGCATCACTAACGAGAAATTGGTTCTAAAAGAGAAAGAATTGCAAGAGTGTATTGAAGCTCATACTTTCACAAAGAGTGAGCTACTACAGGCTCAAAATAATCTTTCTGACACTAAAGACAAATTAAGCGAAAAATCTGAAGAGCTGGGCAGAACAGAAACGGCTCTGGAAACATACAAAGCAGATCTGAATGAATTAATAGAAAGAAATAATCAGACAACACAGGAGTTAGAGATCACAACCGCACATCTTTCTGAATGCCTAAGTGGGTGGGAAAAAACAAAGATGGAACTGTCTCATGCAAATGAATTATTAGCAAAATTTGAAGAATATCTCGACAAATCATCAAAGGATTTAGCATTAACACATGAGGCCCATAAATCAACAAGAAATGAGCTAGAAGAAACAAAAACTGTGTTGGTGGAAACGAAAGAAAACTTGAGAATTTCACAGGAAAAGATTGAAGAAATTGCAATGTTCTTGAAGGAATCCACAGAGTCTCATAATGCAACCAAAAGCGAGCTTTTGAATATTACTGAATTACTCTCACAAACCAACGATTTATTGAAGGAGAAGTCAGAAGAATTACATCAAACTAGTAAACTTTTAGAAACAGCCAAATCGGACTTCTTGAGAGTAACAGAGGAGCTGGATAAGTCGAAAGCTGAGTCTGACAACTTGAGACACCAGTTGGAGGAAACACTAAAGGGGTGGGAATTGACGAAGTCTGAACTGTCGAAAACTCACGAAACGTTAAATATAATCTCAAGATTACTTAATGACAGTCAAGAAAGATTGGAGGCTTCTACACAAGAAGTAGTGCGCTCAGTGGAGGCTCACAACATCACAAAATTTGAGCTTGAGATGACAACGAAAGCTCTCGTAGACACAAGACAGAATTTAGAGCAAACACAGAGCGAGCTCAAAAGCACAACAGAAACCTTGACCAGTACACAGCTTGAACTGAATGTTGTTTGTCAAAATCTTGGAGATACCATGAAGAGTTTGTTAAAAACAGAAGAAACGCTCGAAAACACAAAGAAAACTCTTGAAAAGACAGAAATGGATCTTGAAATAAGATCGGAAGAAGTATTAACTTTACTTGATACAAAGGCAGAGCTTGAGTCTGCTTTAGAGCAATCAACATCTCTTGTACATTCTAAAGAAGAAGAAGTGTTAGCTCTTTCAGAATCTCTCAAAACCATGACCGAAAAATGCGATGATTTGACTATTAAGTTAGAGAATGCAACCATAAAATTGCAGGAGTCAAATGACAAGTTACAACAAACGCGCTTAGACCTTTCTGAAACAAGACAAGATCTCCACCAAACGAAGGAAACGCTCGCTACCACAACCAACGATCTAGAACACCAATTAACTATGCTTGCTGAAAAAAATCAAACAATCCTGGAACAAGAGTCTACGATACACCAGCTAAGCAAGAAAATAGACGAGCTAGATGAAGAGGTGAAACGGTCACATTGTACAATACAAAGAATTGAAGAACAATCATCTGCCCAGCATAATCTGTTAATTGAAAGACAACAAGTAATTGAAGACCTTGAAGCTGAAAGATTACAACTTCGAAATATTGTGACCCAACACGAAAATTCTATTTCCTCTTTACAATCATTGCTTTCAGAAAGGGATACAATAATAATGGAAAGGGAAGAGGACATTAAAATAAGAACTGAAAAGTTCAACGAGCTATTGCTAGAAAAGACGTTAAAAGACCAAGAGCACGAACTATTAGTTCAAGAATTCAACCAACTTCGCTCAGTATGTGACGAAAAAAAACTCCAATTAGCAAATGCGCAGGTGGTCATCAACAATTGGGTTACAGAAAGTATTTCTCAAAACAATACAATTGATGAGTTACGAGATTTAGTTAAAAGAAAGGAGGACGAATTTTCATGTTTGCAGTTATCAACACAATCTGTTTTACACAAACGCAAAGAGGAGATCAACATCATGGAAATTAAACTGACAGAGGCTAATAATAACATATTATCACTAACAGAAAAAGATCAAGAGAATATGCTTAACATTCGACAGCTCTGGGATAAGATAAAGGAAAGAGATTTGCATATAGAGGATCAAACTCGTGAAATCATTCGTTTAGAGGAGGAAAGAAGACAATCTGACTTCAACTTTAGAAAGGATGTTGAGTTATTAAACAAGATAATAATCGATCTTGAACATGCAGCAAAAGAGAGCGAAAAAGATATTTTCCAGATCAAACAAATCAATAACGATCTAAATCAAAAGAATATTGCCTTAGAGCTGGAGTCCAAACAAATCAAGAATCAATTCCACTCTAAACAAAAGAAAATTGAAGAATTGAGCACCAAGTTGCAAATTGAGTTAAAGAGAAATGAGCGAAATGAAAAGCAAAAATCAAACCTTGTAAGAAATCTTAGAGACCGAACGTTGAACATGACCACAAATCTGGACCAAAAAAACAACTTACTGTTGCAAGATTTAAGTCAAAAGATAGAAGAATTGCAGCAAAAATATGAAGAGGTTGTTGAGCAGAGAAACGAGTTAAAAAAACTGTGTCACGCTTTACAAGGAAACAAGAAGGACGTTCCCAGAATTGCCAAAAACGTTGAAAACAAATCTTTTGCAAATCTTACGTTGAAAGCGTCACAAAAAACACAGCAGTAAAGCTGTCCCCCTTCCTTATAAATTATGCAGTTGATCAACCAATTTGTTTACAAAATTAAAATGACACTCTGTGAATTTTAGCCGACCAAAGAATTTTCAAAAAAATGGGCAAACGAAAAGACAAGTCGCACAAATCATCATCAAAAAAAGTAAAATATGAATACGAAGAAGAGGAAGCAACAGCGACTCTACCCCTCTCTTCTATGCTTGACACGCTCTTGTCAATGTATCCCAATGATTCGGATCACTTGAGGAATTTATTTGCAGATTTAGATGATGGATGTTTGGTTGATATTCGTGAAATTGAAGATCGGTCTGTTCGAAATTTACTAGAAGATATGTTTAATTTGCATTTCCAACTCCTTAAAGACAAAGAGACCAAAGAATATTACAAATCATCATCGTCATCATCATCATTGGTAGAAATATTTGATAAATATTTACAGGAACATCAGTCAAAACATGATTCAAAACCAAAATCATTACTCGAGGCACACATGCTTGAAAAAGCAAACAGCAAATCTGAAAAGGAACGTAGAGATTTAGAACGTAAAGGATTTTTAACATGGGACAGAGACAGAGATATAGAAAACCCAACAACTGCTGTGGATAAGAAGCGTCTTTTGGATGTAGCGAACAATGCTTCGAAATTTTCAAAAAAATTTACCTCAAGAACAGAGACAAAATTCCTCTAAGTCATTTCTCTAGCTAACAATGAATGTCTTGTTGAACAAGCTGAAAATGTGAATGTTTTAGCTAAGGCTGAGGAGGAGACAGAAATTACCCTTTCCAGCTTGTTCAACACGCCACTTACTGAACAAACGTTTACCACTATGTACCTTTCAAAATTTGTCCAACCCTCCCACCTTATTCATTAGTGGCTTCCAGTTCCTATAATTAATTTTTTTTTTCTCGCTTTTCTCTTTTAATAGTTTCCGCCAGCATGTTTGCAATTTCTGATAGCCTCTTATTTAACATTCCACCACTAGTATTGCTGGTACTTCCTAGAAGAGGAATGCTATAAGAAAATTGAACGACATTTTCTCTGGGTTTTTTAAGAAGTACATCAGAGGTCACATTCATAATCGGATCGTAGAACAGTGGAGGAAGATCGTCAGCAGTACCAGTTACTATTGCTTTCTTGGAAGATTTGCTTTTGCTCATGCCTTTTTTTCTATAATTACAATTGTTGCTTACAACATCATCTAAATTCACATTACATACTTGGACGTATTGGATAGTTTTTGTGTGGAATTTGATGATGCATTGATATGTATGGCTTCTAATTTTTCACATTCTTCCATCCAACATTCTTGCTCAAACTTTTCCAATTCTTCCATTTCATCTCTCGTTATCTCCTGTGCAAATTGATAGGAAACATAAAAAACCATTTGATTAACAAGAAATGCAATTTCATACAGCTCAGAGTTCACATCATTCGTAAAATCTCCATCAATAGGCTCCTCTAGAATGACATAGGTTTCATCTTTGACATCACCAACTTGTAACAAATCATAACGTTTGGTGGAGGTGACAGAATAAAACGGACTCCTCGGAATTGTTTTTTTTAATAGGGATAAGGAAGCCCTGTTAGAACGTGCTGCAAGTAATTGTTGTTGTTGAAGCTGTTGCTGTTGTTGTAAAAGTAATTGTTGCTTGATCAACGAACTCATTTTTTTTAATTCAATTGTAAAATTTGGCGCTTTTTCTAAGATAGTTCATCATTATCATTCAGTCAAGATGATCATTGATGGAGTATGGTGTGCTGTCCGAGTACTCGATTTTGTAAAGATTTATTTCTTTTCTCCAGAGAGTGATTGGAGAAAATCCTGAGTGTTGCGCGTGTTCAATTTCAAATACTTTCCAACTGAGTGAGAGGTTGCTGCACCTGGTACATCCCCAGTGCTGACCTTGCTCAGCCCAGAAGGATTCGAAAACCAATGACCAAATTGTTCCTTAGACTCTTCATCACGAGCGGTGTTCTCTGTTGTTGAGACATTGCTAGGGAGCGAAGTGATTACTTGTTGACTCCTTGCTAATTCTCGTTGTATTTTTGCATCTTCAGCGAATGGATTGTAGAACACACTTGTTTTTTCAATGATAACATCTTCGATAGGTCGGTCTTCTTCATCAGTTTTGATCTTTTCAATAAGTTCCAAAACTTTAGATCCTCCAACTAGTCTTCCAAAAACTGTGTGTTTGTTATCCAAATGTGGTACAGGTTTGAATGTAATAAAGAATTGACTAGAATTAGTATTTGGACCTCTATTGGCCATACTCAAAACTCCAAAAGCATCGTGCCGAAGCTTGCCTGAAATTTCATCTTTAAAGTCACTATTCCAAATACTCTTTCCTCCTCTTCCAGTACCTGTGGGATCTCCTCCTTGAATCATAAAACCTTTGATGAGTCTATGAAATTTAATACCATCATAATACTTTCTATTGCACAGTTCAATAAAATTATCACATGTTTGGGGACACAAATATGGATACAACTCAAAATTCAAGTCTCCAAAATTTGTGTGTAGAGAAACGTATGCTTTCTTGTCTTTAAATTGTTTCTTAATTCTGTCGTATTGTGCAAATTTATCTTTCCAATATTGTTCATTTATCTTTTCAGATTCATGGCTTTTGGTTCGAACATTCATTACAGAAGAAGTGAGTGACGAAGCTTTTGTGTCACTGCTTAGCACACCAAAGCTTTTCTCGTCGCCTCTAAGGGCATGACTTTTCAGTTCTTGTTCTTCCTCATTATTTTCTAGCTTTTTCTTTTTTCTTCGTTCCATTTCTTCTAAAACTTTAGAAGTGGAACTATTTAAATTGATATATTCTGATACTTTTTCTAAATTTGAAGATTCTTCTGAAGCTTTTCTCTTCTTTTTTTCTTCTTGAATTTTTTGTTCAACTTGATGATGCATGGTTGTGATATCTCTAGGATTTTTGGGATCTTGAATGGTGATAATGTCATCTTTTGTAAATTCCTCATTCGTCAGCACATCATGCATCACATCACCTTCTATTAAATTTAAATTCTCAATACCATTCCAAGAATATACATTTCCAGTCTTTGCAATGGCAACAATATGAGATTGCTCAGTGAATATTCTATTTGTAGCAGGACAATATGGCTTCCCCTCTTCATTCATTTTAATATGCAATCGTATTAAGTTATTCATTTCTAATGGCTCTCCAGTAATTGGATGAATATGGTGTTTCCGAATCCACGGTAAAATATTTAAAATATCAAACATATATCCATCACGTGTAGCAACTGGTTCACCAGTTATTGGCTGGAATGTTAAGCAGCAATGATAGAAGGGAAGCGATTTTCCGATTTTATGCTCAGCTTCTGCTTTCCTACGAGAAGCTAACTCCGATGATCGAACATACAAATGACCATGCTTTTTAGAATGAGAGGGCATTTTTTTTTCAATGTTTGAAGAAGCCGAGGAGCGTTGTCGTGGAAACGTGTTCAATTTCAATAGGAATGCTTTGAAGAAGAACACATACTTTACTTTGTTGTACACAATTACTTCTTAAGCTTTGAGGCAAAGTTTGGAAGTAAACTTAAAATAATGTCAACTATGAGAGTGTACAGCGCGATAATGAATGGAACTATTAGTGAAATAAAGCAATTTTGAGACTTACCCATTGGTTCAACTTCCTTCTTGGATACAAGATCAAACTCAAAAACAAACAAACAAAAATGCTTATAATGTCAACAATTCAAGAACGTGTAAATGATTCATCCAAAAACAAACCTTGAATGCAGTATTCAAGTGAGCTTCTTCTCCCAACTTTTTAACTTCCTCGAAATGGGAGTGATAAATATGAGCATAGACTCTAAACAATCGTTTGAAAATTTGTTTCACTTCACTCTTAAAATTTGCTGGGAATGGAACATCAGGCGATGGTGGGAATAATGCTTCATTGTTAATCCTAGCTTCAATCCAACCCATCAAAAAGTCCATATATTCAGGAGCTGAAACACGAATTGGTTTTGTGATATTATCCTCAGGATTCATCCACAAATATTCAAATTCTTCATGAATCGTACGATCAATGGTTTTAGGAAATCACACAGATATTTCACATACTAAATATGGTGTTCACACTTACCAGCACCAGCGGACATGACTGGACATGAAGAAGCTGTACAAAACTCTGAAATACTTCCGTACAATAAATTGGTTGTGTTGAAGAAATCGACAGCTGTTGCAATGATGATGACAATAATTTCCCCAATCAATACCATTCGTTGGCTTCTTACTTACTGTGAACAGCTACATCAAGGTTAAGACGGAGAAAGGTGTGATTCCATTGTTGACAGCACACATGAAGTGCACATAATAAAAACATGTATTATGGCTCTATAAAGACAACTGATAACATACCGAGCCAATCATTCAATTCTTCCCCTTGTGGGAGTTTAACAGCTTGACTCAAATCACCACTTCCAAGTGTAGCTATTATTCGTGAACAAGATCATCATTTGACCATACATGGATGATATATAGAAACAGATGATGATGGTTTTTCGCTCGCACACAACATACCTTTTGCTAATTTATGTAACTCCTTTCTCTTTCCTCCGTGTGATTTCTTTGGACGGAAAGTATTGCTATTCTTATTTCCGCTGTTATATTGTTGTTATAATATTGTTATGAGAGATGATGATCAAATTTGAATCATTAATGATCGGTTTTATAATATTGTACAATGTCCAAAAAGCAAATGAAAATAAAGATTTTTGAAGGTGTTGATGAGTTGAGTACATACAATATTCCCAGTATTGGCATATTTTTGTGATGGGTAACTGTGGTAGCTGTCGGGGGAAGTTTGATGATGGTGGTTGGGAGAGACGTTGATGAACATTGATTTGCCTTGGTAAAGAGAGAAGCAAGTTGAAAAAGAGCTGCCAAGAGTAAAAACCACCTCAGTAAATGCATGTTATTCAAAAAAGTTTGAGAATTAGTACAGAGGAAAATCTTGATCGACATTCCTTCTCCATGAATTGACTCCTCCATCAATATTCTTTACGTTTGTGAACCCAAGGTCAAGAAGTGTTTTGGTAGCAGAAACTGAAGCAATCCCTCGTCTACACATGACATAGATTGGATAATCATTGCACATTGTAGCTGAGTTATTGGAACGTTTTGAAATTTCGTCTCTAATCATTTGAACAGATTCTTCCTTACTTAATTGTTTAAGAGGAATATTGATAGCGTGAGGAAGAGCAGCAATGTCGAATTGAATTCTTTCTCTGACATCAAGTAAAATATGATTCTTCAGATTATTCTTTAACACTGATTCATATTCTTGGGCTGTGACTCTATTTTCCGGACTCAGAGCATCTGCAGGTTGAGTCATAATTTTATCCGCACACACCAGAGAGGTTCCTTCTGGTATTAAACTTGTGATTGTAGGATGATCTCCACAAACCTTACAACATGGCTGCCTTCCTCTTATCTTGACAGTTCTAAATGAGCAAGTTTTAGCATTAAATAAAAGCATTTTCTGTACCAAAATTTCACAATGATTCTTCACAGATTCTTCATCATCCATTTGCATTAATAATTTTTGGGCCTCCAAAGCTTGAAGACAGCCAATGATTCCTGGAACCACACCAAGAACACCTCCATCCGAGCAACTGGTTACGGTTGCTGGTGGAGGAGGCTCTGGATACAAGCATCTATAACACGGGCCTTTAACGTTCTTATTTCTGTAATTATAAATTGTTAATTGTCCTTCAAATTTGACAGCGCTTCCACTCACGAGTGGTTTTCCTGCCAATACACATGCATCATTCACTAAATATCTAGTTGTGACATTGTCACTACAATCCATAATTACATCATATTGTTTGACTAACTCCAATCCATTCAATTCGGAGAAGGGCTGATTGTAGCATTCAATATTCACATTTTCGTTCAAAAGTTTACAAGACATTTTTGCAGATAATGTTTTAAGCATTCCTGTACGATGTTCGTTGTGAATAATTTGTCTATGAAGGTTACTAGAATCTACAATATCAAAATCCACAAAACCTAATTTTCCAACACCTGCTGCAGCAAGAAAAAGGGCAGCAGGCGAGCCCAAACCTCCAGCACCCACCAACAAAACACTTCCGTTACATAATTTAGCTTGTCTCTTCACTCCAATTTCTGGCAACAATAAATGTCTACTGAATCTGGCAATTTGGTCATTATTCAACTCCTTGTTCAATTCATTGTAGAGATATGGAAGCTTTTCTTTTAATTGTTCAGCAGTATGGTCAGACTTGACTTCTTCCTTGGTCCTGATTCGATGTTGTTCGTGATTAATTTCCAATCCCGATGCTTTTGCCATTAACTTTTCTTCCAGCTCTCTCACTCTCTCTCTCAAGAGTCTATTCTCTTCTTCGAGTCGATGAAAGGCTTCCACTTGGTTCATGCTCATTTTATTCAATTTCGAAAATGTTGCAATTCCGTTGAACCATCATTGAAATGCGAAATTCTTGAAAAAGGACTTTGAAAAGCGCGTTGACGGTTGTGTAGGTGGCAAGGTTTGGAATGATTTCAGGAATTGTGGTGTGTTTACAACACTCAAGCCTTTCCCATCCTTCATCCCTCAAATGATGACTCGTTTAAAATAGGTGAACAATCTCTGAATCCATGTGATTACATCGTAAACGCTAGACAGTAACTGATGACTTGCAAATACTCAATTTTTAAAAATTCTCCAACAAGCAAGAGAACCTCTTCGTTATTTGAACTTTCCAATCCTTAATTTTCCGATTAGAAAAACAAAAAAAATGCAAAACAACAACAACATGAAGGCTATTTATTCTCTGGCACAATTCATTCGGTTTTGCACGCTCGTGTTTGCCATATGTTTTTATTGTGGTATCATGACGATCGGATTGATACTTTTAACTCCTTTGAAATATTTTGGATTTGGAGATTTGGTTTTTAAGATTTATTGTATGTGGGCCGGAAGAGGATATTGGACGTTTATATTTGTATTGGAACAATTGGATCAGGTTGAGTTGATTTGGTATGGCGACAAAATTCCAAAATATGAGAATAGTATTTGTATCTCGAATCATGTCGCAGATACGGATTTTATATTGATTCAAACATTTGGAATGAGAAAAGGAATGCTCGGACATACAAAATTCATGATGAAGGAAATTATCAAGTAAGTATCATTTCCATGAAACTGAAATTAATTTTCATATTATTAATATTATTCATTTTCATATAACTATCCATTGATAATTGAAAAGATATGTTCCTGGTGTTGGATGGGGATGTTATTTATTAAATCACATTATGATGACTCGTAATTGGACAAAAGACAAGGATTCCATTGCTAAAGTTTTCGGAAATATCAAGAGTCACAAAATACCTGTTTGGATTATTTCATTCCTGGAAGGAACGAGATTCACTCCTCAAAAGTTAGAAGCTTGTAAAAAATTCTGTGAAAAAAAAGGAATTAAGCCGACCGAATATGTATTGACTCCAAGAGTGAAAGGGTTCAAAGCAACTGTCTCTAATTTTGCAGATTCTCACATTGAATACGTCTATGATTTTACTATTGCTTACGAAGATGGACCTGTGTCAATTATGCAGCTCATGAGAAAACCATTTAAAGGAAAGAGAATTCATATTCACGTGCGCCGTATTCCTATCAAGGACATTCCTTATGACGATGATGAAAAGATTGAGAAATGGGTGTATGATTGTTTTTACAGAAAAGATGAAATGCTGAAAGAATTCCAAAAAACCAAGTCTTTCGGCGAGGCTTTACACGAGCCCTATAATTATGAAGATTTCATAACAGAACCTTTGAAACGAATGTCAAAGCTTTAATGTAACATAAAACATGATTTAAGTTATTACAATAGTTATTTATTGTTAATATGACTCAACACTATTTCTGAACAGGTTCACTGGAAGCAACTATTGTTGCAATTGTTTATTTCTTCTTTCTCTTTCTTCGTTGATCGTCAAAGTATGGGTTATTGAGAATGTCCTGAGCTTGAGGTCTGGACAAGTTATCTTTTTCTAACATGGACAATGTAATATCAATCAATTGAGCAGAGTATTCCTGACCTTCTTGCAACTTGGATCTCAACCATTCTTTCACTGCTGCAGGTTCCTTTGCCATATAAATATTGCTGATCGATGTGAAAGTATCTTTGGTCATGATCTGGTAGATGGCTACACCCAAACTGTAAATATCTGTGTTTGCGTAATATTTACCGCCCAAACCAAGTTCAGGTGACATGAACAGTGGAGTTCCTGCATAAGAATTGTTCATCGAGTTATTACTTTGAGCTTTTGCCAAACCAAAATCTGCCAAAACAATTTGAATGAATTCCTCATCGAGATCCTTAATGAAGATGTTACTTGGTTTCACATCACGGTGAATAAGTTTCATTCGACAGTGAATATAATCCAATGCATCACACATTTGATAAATCACTTGTTTGATAATCTTCTCAGAGCAATGGAATTCAGCTGCTGTCAATTTGCTCAAATCACCATGTTCATAAAAGTCCATATCAATCACGAGAATATTACCCTTATCCACAAAGAAGTCATTCACTTTGAGAATATTTGGATGTTCAACGTTCATTAATTGAGTACCTTCTTTCATCATGGTATTCAATTCTTCCATATTTGTAAATTTAATGACTTTGAGAGCTTTCATCTTGTTATTTCTTGTGTCCTCTGCTTTGAAAACTGAACCAAATGCACCTTGTCCAATTCTAATAAAGTTCTTATAACGTGACATGGGATCAAATCCAGTTCCAGAAGATCCAACAGAACTTCCTTGACTCAATGGTTTGAAATTCACACTTTCGTCCGATGGGAAGAAGGAAGCATCAAGTCCAGTTTCATTTCCTAATTCAATTTGAATGGTTCTAGAAGTTGGAACGCTCTCAAGTTCACTCTGAGTCTTCTTTCTACGATACACAATAAAGATTACAACACCAATGACCACCAAAATGACCACAAAGATCAAGACCAATAAAATTGGAACTACAATGGCTGCAATGATACCAGAATTGTCAATGGTTGGACTTGGAGCTCTTTGAGATTGTGCTGGTTGAGGAATATTCATGACCGAAAAGGATGTTAAATGAGTGGTGGCACACATCAAATTATATGTAATGAGTCCAGAGTCATTCTTTAAAATTGTGAAATTGGAGGTTAATCCATCATATTTCCATTGACTTGATACAGAGTCATAATAGAAACAAGTTAAATTAAGACTGGTACCCATACTTGAAGTATTCTGCATAAATGATGCTCCATTAAAGTGTAAATAAATGGGAGAGGACATGGAGAGACCTTTCACACTCACGACACTGCTACCATCCTTAGATAATAAAGAGAGAGAAATGATAGGACTTAATATGGACTTTTCATCGGATGCCGTGTTCACAGAAGAGAGAATATCGACAGAAACACTGGATGCCATTCCATTTTGTGACATTTGAGATGCAAAATTGGGTGGAAATTCAATCAGTGCTTTGGATAAAGAGATTTTCTTTCCATTGAGTTGATTCAATTGTGAAACACTTTCAAAAAGTGCTTGACCTCCCGACAGTTGAAGTGGAATGGAGGAGGGTGTTGATGAATTTCCAGACATGGCATTTACATTTCTAGCCAAAGTTGCAATAGATGCCAATAATTTGGTAAATTCCACAGATTTTGTGCTCCAAATGCCAAACAAGTCTACAATTTCAGTAACTTGATTGGTATCTAACAATAATGACTTGATTGCAGTTGAACAGAATTGATCTGAATGTTTTCCAGCAGCATTCAAGAAGTAATTCAACCAATTGTAAATATTTGTAAGTTGTGCATCAATGCTCGATGGAGATTGAGAATAAAGCATGGTGAATACATTTCTTAACGGTGAAAGAACTAATTGAAGAATCTTTTCATCGACATTAACACCAAGTTCAGGAATACCATTCAATACAGAAATCATATCCATCAATAAAGAAGCAAGAGCATCAGAAGTTGCCTTAGTAATTGATCCAGCTGCTTGTTGATTCACTGAATATTCAAGCAATGAAAATAGACTTGATACGGTCACAGCACTGTCCATTCTCAGAGTTTCATTTCCTCTCCAATTATTGAAACTATAACGAACATAATTCAAAGTATTTGTGAGAGATGAATCTTGAGCAAGCGTTGAAGGTAAATTCAATGAGAGTGATTGTTGCAATTTTGCTATAGATCCACTCGTGTTGATAAGAGTGACAGAAATGGTAATTCCATTGGGAGCATAGGGTAATCGAGTAATGACCCATCGTTTTGGAGTATTCGACAGAACCACCATACGTTTGTTATTGGAATTAGAAAAAACTTCCATCAAATAACTCGATACACTCTCCACATTGTGAATGCAATGAATCACAAATTGGCTTTCATAGGCAATCATTTTAGAAGATGGGTCATAAATTTCACAATAGAATCTTGGTTTGGCATCCATTCGAGTAGAAACTCTTGCATAGGATGTTCCATCTTGATTGGATGCAGTCACTGCAAACGTGTAGGTTGTTTCAGCTTGTAAATAGGCAGCAGGAATGATCAATTTGCTTACTACATTGTTGGTACCATAGATCGCTTCATTAACAGTATTTTCTGTAATAAAACTGCTATTCGATGAATTACCAGACAAGAGATTCGATGTCAATCTCAGTGATCCGCTTTGTAACGTCCATGTCACATTGCATGCAGATTGTGAAGCAATACTTGCAGTTAACACTAAATTTCTACCATAGGGTGAGATTGCTGGTATAGGTTCAATATTAATATTTGGAATGGAAATGGACGAGTTTAACACAGTAAACGTTCCTACAAATGTTCCTGTCACATTTCGATTGTCATTGTTGTTACTACCATCCCCAGCAATGACCAAGGATAGTGCAACCGTGTAGTCACCCGGATTTAAAAATCCTGCTGGAATTCGTAATGAAGGGCTTGTTGAAGTTTGAGAAATAACATCCGCATTAATCAATACATCCTTCACACTCCATTGATAGGTGAATGTTGATGTCGCTGGTGTGAAATTAGAGATGTATGGATCTATTATTTTAACTCCAATGGTAATGTTACTTTCTTGTGAATATGATTTTTCAAGATTGGTCATCACAAGATTAATCTTATCATATGCCTTGTATGAAAGCTTAATAGAGCTAATTGTTGGTACAGTAGCAACACCAATGACAAGAAGCTCACCAGAATAGCTTGAATCAAATACACTGGCAGTAGATGGTTGATAGTTCACAATTCGAATCATTTGAGCTTTTTCATACGAAGATGACAAGGTTGCAAACACACCAAGATAAGCATAACTCATCAAACTACTTGCACCGTTAGGAGCAACCTCAAGAATACATGACTCTCCGACACAATCCAAAAATCTATTTTGATCGACAATGGTAGTATCACTCAAAATATTGTATGAGGGATAAGTCACTCTTGCATATAATATCGAATAAAAACGAGTAGTAAAAGCAGTGGCAAGCCCGTTTTTACCTTCTATTGCCAATGGAAGCTGTCTGTAATACACAGAGCCTGAGAGCTCTGTAAATAACCTACTTGGAATAATAATGATAGGTTTGTCTGCTAAATTGGAGAGATAATTCTGAACAGAAGTCACGCATGGTGTGGACACTGGAGTAGAAGAATCTGAGGAATAACACATCCAAGAAAGTGACACATTTCTGAATGCTTGATAAGTATTTTTAGATGAGGCTCTGACAATGATATCCAAACCAGAAGGATAAGAAGTGAGAGCTAGATCCAAAGTAATAGCGTTTTGTGAAGTTTGTCTTTGAGTATTAGCAGCTGTAGTATCTACTTGTAAAGTGATGTTATAGGGTGTTAATCTTAAAAGATTCATATTGTCAATCTTATTACCATATCCAAGATAGATTTTAAATTCCGATGCATCCCATTTGCATTCAACATTGTTTGGATTTCCTAACAAGGAATAATCTTCTGGGAATAGTTCCAAACAAGATTTTGATGAAATGGAAGGAGCAAGGGATGTTAAGGTCTTCTTGCTTGAATAAATCACAGAAGTTGAGCCATCCAATTGCACACCATGATATTGACAAGTGTTGCCAACAAATCCGTCAAAACAAGTACACTTGTCTAGTTCATAGCATTTTCCTTGAGAAGAGCACACAGAAATGTCAGTACTTTGGAAACCAAAACAACTAGTGACATTACACGTGCTTTTGTCAATGTCGTATCCAAGATTACATTGACATGCATTTGGACCTGTACAAGTACCATGTTTGCTACACACTTCTGAGTTGTTTGATAATAAACCAAAACATATTGGATATTGACAGTACTCTCCTCCATATCCTGTGTTACAATTACATTTGTCTGTGGCTGAACATGTACCTCTTCCACTACAGACCTTTTGCGTATCATCAGCTGGTATTCCAAAACAGACAGGATTGTCACAAAATGTTCCGTTTCTACCAGGTTGACACACACAAACATCTGGTGCAACACACGATCCAAACGAGTAACAAACATTAGTGGAATTAGATGGAATTCCATTGCAACTATGGTATTGACATTGATTACCGTAATACTTGGTTTGTGAAGTTGGTCCAGTTTTACCTTAATATATAGTCAAATTGTCAAATACCAATGGCCATATGAGTTGTAAACTTACATGAACAAACATTTGGTGCGGTACATGTACCGTTTCCTGAGCACACAGTATTAGTATCTGTTTTCACAATTCCAAAACAGTTAAAGTTTTCACAATATTGACCAAAATATTCTGAGGAATTACAAGTACAATTGTTTGGAGAAATACAGTTTCCTCGGCCATTGCAAACACTTGAGCTATTGAATAGAATGTTATCACAGTAGTAAAGATCACAATTCGTTCCACTATATCCAGTTTTACATGAACATGTGTTTGGTGCTGTACAGGTTCCATTTCCATTACAAACAGAGGGAGAATTAAAAGGAATGCCATTGCAGTCATGCATTTCACAATTGTTACCATAATATCCTGGATTACAAGTGCAGTTGTTGTGGGAAGAGCAAGTTCCATGTCCAGAGCAAACACTTGCAGTGTTTGAGTTCACAACTCCATAACAGTAAAAGGTTTCACAATTATTTCCACTATAGTTAGGGATACAACTACAATTATCTGGCTTGTAGCATTGTCCTCTTCCTGAACAAACTCGAGTGTCATTGAATATGACACCATAGCAATTATACAAGGCACACTCTGAAGAATAGTATCCCCAATTGCAATTACATTGATTAGGTCCAATACATGTACCATTTCCACTACAAACAGTTGGATCCACATTACGCTTTTTATAGCATAGTGGTAAACAAGTAGAAAAGTCAGAAGACAATACGTAGGATGTACTATCCACACAAGTAATGATAAGTCTTCGTAGCACTTTGTTCAACGTATCAGTAATTAGAAATTCTGGCTTTGAGCCATGGAATGACATGTCCACAGGATAATTAAACAATGCTTGTGTGACATCGAGATAACCAGGTGCACCTGCCGTTCCATTTCCTGCAATGGTAGTGATTATACCGTGAACATCTACTTTTCTAATTGCATGGTTGTGTCTATCTACAATATAAACTTCTTTTGAAGCAGAATTATAAGTAACACCTTGTGGATAAGTTAAACGAGCTGAAGTGGCTGGACCTTTATCACCACTATATCCTGATTGTCCAACTGTGCCTGCAAAAACGATCATGGTGCCATTTGAAAATAACTTTTGAATGACATGATTATAGACATCAGCAATGAACAAATCTCCTTCAGGTGTGAGTGTCAGTCCCAATGGCCTAAACAATCCATTTGCCACCACAACACTAGTACTCGTCTGTCTGGTCCATTTAATGACCTGACCTCTTCCTTCATCACAAATATAGACGACGGAGTCATCTTTGGCAGCCGCAACACCATGCAATCCTCTATCAGCAATTGGTGAATCTTGATAAACGAAGGACACCATATTTGTTCCTAAATCATACTGCCGTACGACATAGTTATATGAATCTGCAATATAAACATAGTTAGTACCCATGGATAGTTGGGTGGGATTGTTATATTGAGCCAATGATGCTGCCACGTTATTGACAGCAGCTCCTTGTACTCCAGTACCAGTGAAAACTGTACGGACGAGTGTGATTTGATTAATTTTGTAGACATATCCAAGAACGCTTATCAAATAATCGCCATCCGGATGTACCACTGCACCATAGAGAGTGTTCTCCAAGTTGGTCATTACATTGGAGACTTGATAGGCAACTTCCACTTCTCCTGCTGCTCTGACACCAAAAGACGATATTATTGTGCTCGACGATGACGAATAAATTATTAAAATTAAATAGATCATCAAACGGGTGAACACCCGTTCGTTGATGTGATTGAAAAGTGGTTTTTTGGTACGCATATGCAGAAAGAGAGGTTGACTAAACTACACGAGTGTTCAGGTGAATGACAAGGTTTTTACAGCTGAAAGAACCTTGTTGTGGTGTGAATCGGTGAAGGTTTGTGTGAATCGATGTCGTTGTGATCACAATGTGGTCACTCACTCCAGTGGAAGACGCAATGAAAAGTCAAATTTTTCGAGATGGCGATGTGGAATGTGTTTGACAGTTCTGAAAATAGGAAGTCCTGCACACGAATCAAAAAACAGCGGAAAAAATGGCTTTATCGTCGAACACAACGCATCCATACAGGTGAGGATGAGTCTCGGATGTTTTTGACATGACGCAGGTTGTTGCTGAAAACTCAACTTTCCTGCATGAATCCAAAGCACCTCAAAACTTTCTTGCATGAATCCATAAGGAGCGAGAATGTCCATGATTATAATTGATTAATATGATGGTCCGAGATTGAGCCCAAGACTTTGGCCTTGATGGTTCAGTGCAAGAATTGAGAAACGGCATTTTTTAAATCTTCCTTATTGCAAGGCTTTAACAAGATCATATCAATAATACCTCTCTCAATATCATCCGAATGATCTGAAAAGCCATCTCCTGTAAGGAGTATAATGGCAGGAGACTTTTCATGTTTGTTTGAGCATAATTTTCGAATTTCCTGAGCTGCTTGCAAACCATCCATGCCTGGAGGCATGTTGAGATCAGTAATAATCAAACGGTGATAGTTTGGATTGAACCTTTCCAACAATTGCTGGGCATTGCAAACCGCTTCAGCCTCAAATCCAACATTCTTTAACAATCGAATGATGATCATACGATTGATAGCGTTGTCTTCCGCTATAAGGATTTGAGGATGTTCAAGAGTTGTACTATTTCTTCTTCGGTTCTCCTTCTCCGCACTCATGTATTTCTCGACATAGGTTTTTTGAAATTCCATTTGTCTTGATAAATTAGAAATGACAGCGCTTTGAGAAATACTAGTGCTGCGTCTACGTTGCATCAGGCTACCACTACAAGTTGCTGGTACTTCATGTTCTGCATTTGCTTCCTTCTCAACTGACGGTGAGGGTACAACCTTTTCATTGTTAGAGACCACTTGGAATGGAACCATTAAGGTAAAAGTACTTCCTTTCCCGACTTGAGATTGTACACTGATCTTTCCTCCCATAAAGGATACATTATTTCTCACATTACTGTATGAAGAGTCATTCATATATGGGATAAACATTGCCAAATGATTAGGTTAACATGAGACAATCATCAAAAACGAAAAACGTACCTTAATCCGAGACCAGTTCCTGGAATTCCACAATTACTGAAACTGTTCAACTGCACAAACGGTTGGAAGAGCATGTTCAGATATTGTGTTTCAATTCCCTTTCCATGATCAATAACTTTAAACTCAAACCATTGTCGAGAGGATGAACACTTTTTACCCACAACAGGATTCACATGATGATCATTAGTAGTTGTGGCTTGCTTGCTTAGACCACATCTCAAAGTGATGGTCTGGCCTTTCTTTGATGCTTTTGCAGCATTACTGAGCAAATTGATCAAACATTGTTGAAGACTGGATTGACTTCCATGAACCAGCAAGTTCTCACCAATGTCTTCACTCAATTCTAGCTCAACATGTACTTTTAGTGGTTTACAATAACCTCTGATAATGTTATAGATGGTGCGTAAACATGAGGCTAATTCAAAATCTAAGGTCATCATATCTGATTGAGAGTGTCTGCGATTGTTGTTTGGTTGATGTGTGGAAATATTCTCTGTTCTTGCAAAATGTAAGATATCCTCAATCACACTCAAAATCATTCCATTGGAGCATTCCACATTTTCCAAGAGCTCCTTTTGTTCTGCAGTCAAGGAATTGGTGTCCTTCAATAATTCAATACTTCCCAAACTCGATAAGCATACAGTTCTGAACTCGTGTGAAATGTTGGAAATGAACTTTTCTCGTGTTTGCAAGGCGTTGGATAATTGTTCACTGGCAACACTGAGCTGATCTACCTTTCCATTGAGACATTCCGTGAATGAAACAATATACAAAGAAAAGATCAACATGGAAAGTATACATGGAAAACATTCGGATATCAGAGGCATACACTCATTGTACATGAATGAAAATCCATCCATCGTGTTCGAGGAATTTCGAGAATAGTGGACCCACGACAACAGCAATCGATAGAAAATACGTCCCAGATAGTGCGTAACGAAATAGAAAGGAACAATGATTCTCCACAAAGAGTTGTTCATCCTAGAGGTGCTTCCAATAATCATGAGTTTCAAGGGCAGTAACAGCATGGTGTGTGTTTTGAAAAAGAAAAACCGAATGCTGAACAGGAACAGACTTAGAACCACGTTAACGGTCTGTACATTGGAGGTGGTCAACTCGTTGGAAGAACAGAGCCAACGTATAAGAAGTTTTTTGACACTGACAGAGAGTGCATTGAGGATTCTGAATCTCTTGACAACATTTTTAAATAGGTCCACGCTAAACGAGTACCCTGTAAATAGAGTGAGCAAGAGAACAATTGTTTTGCAAACGCCATTGTTCATGAAGGAGTGCAACCCCACAAGAAAGTAATCTAAAAGAACACCATATTTTACAAGAATAAGCTGAACATTTAACATTTGTTTCCATTTCTGGGTATTTGGATTCAACGAAGAAAATTCCGAAAAATCCTTTTCAAAGTGCTGACACTCAGTCATGGAGGATCTTCTTTGGGACTCATCATTCTTTCTAACGGGCAGGTAATTTGATGAAGTGTCTGTGGACAATGTATGTGTGTGGTGATGCATTGTTCCATGTTGGTTGAGCGAAAGGAGTGGCGAGTTGTTGTCAAACATGGATTGTTTTTTTTAAAGTGCTCGAAGGGCTGATTCGCTCAACTCAACGCACTTATGCATCAAAACATTGTGTTAACATTCACCAAAAAGAGTATCCTGTGGGGACAAGACGACGATCATTTGTTCAGAACTGTTTTTGGTGCACCTACATTTTAACACAAGCGTCCAATCTAACATGGAACTTAGATATTAACCGACATGTTATCCCAATCTCGATTGAGGCTCAAACTTGTTAAGCTTCTTAAAAAAGGCAATTAAAAAACGATTCAACACTTTGTTTAAATTCAATCATTCGCTAAAACAGGGAGTTTGGTTTCACACAACAAACAATGAGAGTATCCCATCTGAATTACCATATTTCAATGCAAACGGATTGGTCGTAACAGCTTATCTTTTCTTAATGAAGGACTTTTGATTTTCATACCCCAAGCTTTAAATAGTGCAAGGTTCACCTCGTCTCTGAACACTACACTTCAAAAACGTGTTCCGAGTGTGGTCGTGTGAATTGGCAGCTTGGAGGTAGTCACGTGTTTCAGTGTTCGAATCGAGCGTGTGCCTTTACCCTTGCCCGTGATTGGAATGGCAGTAAGAACATCTTCCTCATGAATCAACACCAATTGAACGAGGAGCCACAAGATTAGCCACCAAAGAAACACAAACAACACGATTACATGGAGATGAACCAGTCACAGAGTGACGACTTGGAAACACTCGACGTGTCCATGTTGAGTGAGTAACGACCACACCAATGTGTGTACAAGAACCACCATCCCTCGCACACTCATGTGTGTGTGTAGGGCTGTAGAGTAGGCAAGCTTTAGCCTCGGCATCGAATATTCCCCTTATAGGGTACTCCCTACATTTGGATGTGAAATAAAGCTGATAGTTGTGCTTCTGAAGGGATGGAACTTGTAAGAATTAAATTGTTGATCAATTTGCTGAGAAGAGAAAATGTTTGCAGTCCATGATGGAGAAAGGAGTGAGCGAGAGAACAGGCTGTTCTTAAAAATTATTCATAATCTTGGAGGCAGCCAAAGAGCGAGCCTTCATTTCTTCTCTTTTGATATTTTTCGAAAAGATTTAAATTTTAGATCAATTTCAATAGATTGGAGATGCATAAGTTTTGAATGGAACATTGCCGAATCATTGGTAGAGCAAAAAGAGCATGCGTTGTTTCTTCTCTCATATTTTGGGATACTATAGCCACAACATTTCCACTGAAATCGATCACAACAACTTACAAAGGGTTAATATGAACAAATTGAATAATAACACAGTGTACTTTATGGTGACGAATGGTATTTCCATTCATGCTCCATTTTCTACAAGCTTTACTTGTTCTTCCATGATCTATATTCAGAAAAGCATTGTAGACTTTCAGTCTCTAAATATCTTTTCGTTTCTCCAATGCTTTGCATATAATTTCTGCTCACCCATTGTTCAACTTTTTTCTCAATTTCGCTATCTGTACTATCCGCATCAAAAATTGTTTCTTTTCCTTCTCGTTCTAGTTTTTTAAGTGTCCTATATATGAGATTAAGGTGTATTGTAATGTCAAATCATGATCGTTTTTTTCGTAGACAAGTGAACAATAACACAAATTTCATCAATATATGATTCCATGGGATTGGTGAATCAATCCATGACTTACTTTTTCACAACATGAGCTGGTTTTGATTCACACCACGCCTCAAATTTCACTTTTTGCTGAGCTGTTTTGAGATTGTTTTTAGATTCTTCCTTAGCATGCATAAATTCATGCAACTCTTGATGTTTACTCTTCACATCCATGTGATTGACCATTTCTCTTTCTGAGGTGAAAATTCCCTTCTTCCATCTTCGTCTTGCTCGATGTGGCACTTGATCCACGTCGGCAACGATGGTCTTTCCTGTTTGAGAAACCACATCTCGGACCGTTTTTCTAAATACTCTCTTCGAATAGGTTCGACTCGCTGTCGTTGAGTATTCATCGCTGTCGTAGGTGCTGGTTCCGAATTTCTTTTTACTTCTTGCCATGATGGTTAACTTTGCGGAAGATGAAGAATTCGATGACAAGAAATGAGATGTGATTTGATCCTTTTTGTTCTATTTTTTGCTTGTCAGATCAAGAAGAGAGACAAACCATTCAAGAATTGCACACGCGGCTCACGACGGATGAATGTTTCCCAAGCTCCATTAAAGTTAAAAATATTTATAAATCTACAACAACAACAACAACACCATCAACTCTCGCATACAACAACCACGATATTGATGATCAGTACTCTTTTGTTAAGCAATTTCAATTTCACACACGACAATATCTTGCTTGTTAGTGGAAAGACGAATGGTGGATTGCATTCTCTTTTCATCCTTTCTCATGTAATTGGTAAAGAACGTACACAATACTGTTGTTCCACCTGTTAAATTCTGTGTATGACTTGCAAAATAATTGGTGGTTGCTTTGTAGATTCCTTTTTGTGCTTTTTTCAACATGTATTCTTCTGGCCCATAACCTTGACGAAAATCTCTTGAAACGTAACCACCCATTCTAGTTCGATTGTGAGCATAGTAAGCATGTTCGCCATGAGGAGATGGTTCTTCGACATGTAAATCAATATCAACATCATTGGTGTCCCAAGCCATTGAGATTCTAATGTCCAAATCAAAATGATGAATCAATCGCTTGTCAATGATTGGTAAATTCTTATCATTTAACAACAAATGATTCATTTCAGTGGCAACTGTTAATTCAATTTCATCAAATCTCATGTCCCATTTTCCTGTAATCACCTTATTAAAGAGTTCCATGGCTTCACTATATTTACCCATTCGTTCCTTCACTAATGCAAGATCTCTGTATGATTGAGGTTCACCAGGTGACAACTTTTTCACTCTCTCAAATACCCATTCAGCCAATTCCAATTCATTGGCTTGATCCAAACGATATCCTACAATACGATACAATTGAGTATTTTCCAATTCCAATTCGGCAATGTTGGATAAAATTCTCACACCCAATTCATTATTCTTTAACTTGGTCAAGAATAAATCGGCCACATCCAAATAAAAAGCAGGAGAATCTTTGAGACTTTCTCGTTGTTTCAAATATTCCTTGTAAGGATTTTTGGAATCAGCAATAGCAGCACAATAAGCCGAGTCAGGAGTCCATGGTTTGATTTTGATGGATCCTGCCACCGATGAAGATCCTTGTTCCTCGTTGCTCTCTTTCTTGTCATCCATAGAAATGAGCGAGTCAACGCTTTCACTCATGCAACATCTGGCACCTGCACATTCTCTTCGACAACAATTTCGAGAGAGAGCACTGCTTCTACAACATTCTCTTTCTATTGTGGAATCACTTGCCAAAGATTTCTTCTTGGAGGTCAATTCGCGTTCCTTGGACACTTTAAAATCAGTTTTGTGCCATGAAACACGTTGGTTCCATTGAGAAATGACACGCTCTAGCTTTTGTTGCTCTCTCTTCTTTTCATCATCTTCTTGTTTTTGTTTCAATTGTTGGAATTGTTGGTATACATCAGTCAGTGTCGCTGGAGGAGTAATATTGTGTTTGAGATATTGATCTAGCGTTTCAAGCACCACAAGTGAAGTATTATCAGTGACAATTCTAAAATCTTGTCCAATCTTACGAATTTCATCCTTAAAGAGATGAGGGAAGGCGGAGAGTGAGTCAATCTTTTGTTGAGCCCACAACAATGGAATAATGGCAGCTGCATCTTGACTGCTCGATACGTCTACTGGTAATTCTAATTCTTGAACTTTGAATACAGAGCTACCATAGCGGAATGAAATTGCAATATTCACTGATTTTTTGTTACACTTCTTGTTGAACTTGCCCAATAGTTTAAACAATTCACCTTCCTTGAGGCTTACTGGTTCATTGGGATAGACCTCTTCCAATTCACTCTCTTCATAGTCAGCCACAGCAAACGACAAGACTGGTTTTCCTACTGCGTTCAACAATTCTTGCTCTGAAATTTCATTGGCATTCAAATAAATACCTCCACTCTTGGTAGCAATATGTTTCAATAATGAAGCATTCACAACAGGGGCAGTATTGATGAAATAAATAGGTTTTTCAAAGCTGCAAGATGGAGTAATCTCATGTCCAATGGTGTGAACACCATTTGTAAAGGCAATGCAATAATCAACGTTCTTACTGATAAGATTCTTGTCTAGTAACAGCATGTTAGATCCTCCATCATAAATTAAATGTTCTTCTGACATTACGAATGAATGAAGTTCCTTTGCAGACTTAAATTCCTTTGTGGATATAATGGAATTGCTGAAAAGAGATAATACGACTGACTTCATTTCAACATTCTCTGCAATGGCTTGTAGAATTTTCACATTCTTGGCATGATGAACTGCTTGACTCATAGAACAATCCCACAAGATTTGAACCTTGTCACCAACTCTAGCTTTGTTTCTCATATCATTGGTCAAGTTAGGAACTGGAATAGATGTCATAAAGTAGCCATCCTCCACGGCAAGTAAAATGTCATTAATACTATCAGATTGTTTGGTTACTGTTAAATTGAATCCAAGCATATTTTCTTTCAAATCTTTTTTGGTCAATGTAAAACGTGCATTGAAGTTTACGCTTGATTCCTTATTCTTACTGGACCATAATAATTCAGAATTGTGGTCTGTCTCTGAGTGACAAGTTTCCATAAATACCTCAGTGTCGTAGCCTTGCAATGATGTTTCATTAAGAGTGAACTCGATTTTACTTTCTGGCCTTAATGAAGCAAAATCAAAATAAGAAAGTGGAATCCAAGCACTTCCCTTCACAACACCCTGATCTGAAACTTGATGGTCGTCATGGGAATGAACTCTTTCTTGAAGCATCATTTGATAGGTCACTTGAATGGTTTTGTCTGTGTTGTAGGGCAATCTATTGAAAGCAATGAAAAACATGAAAATGATTTGTGAGCAAGACATCCAAAAAACGCTCAGTATCATCCACCAACATAATTTGAAGACAATCTGTGAATACTTACGGATAAACTCTTGTTTTAAAACAATTGGATTGAGTCACCTTTTCAATCATTGAAACTTTTCCACCTGATCGCACTTCTTCTTCAAACACTTCTTTTGCCTTCTCTTTTTCTACTGGAACTGCATGAATGAGTTTTCCATTCACTTCCATGGCATAACCAATAAGAGTAGCACCCTCTGGCATTGGTAAAAGTAATTCACCTTCAGTAGTCTTACTATTTGCATTTCTGAAAGTCATGGTTGAAACGACTTGAACGAGAGGATAGGTCACATGGCATTTCACATGATGTTCAACAAGTGGAAGTAATGTCGATGCTTTATCACTGAACTTTTCTCCTGGCAAATGAACAGAGATGAATTTGTCCAATGGAAGATGACGAATACTGTTGGGTACATTGAGAGCAGCAGTAGCGATGGATGGAGAATCTATTGCCACGGTAGAGGATGATGTGTGTTGTTGTGGATCGTTGTTATGGATACACTCCGTGTTATGAACCATGTTGGAATCATCCACGGGAGGAGAGGTATTGCCAGTATTACCTGTAGAGGGAGTGTTGTTGGATGACACTTCGAGTTGAGACAATTCATCATCCACAGCTTTGGATGATTTCTTGCTTCCAAACAGCTTTCCGATCATGGTGTGTTCAGAGATTGATATTTTTTTGAATTGATGGTTTGTTGTGGCTCATGAACTTTTTATTAAACAGACAGGAATGCGAAGAAGGAACATGAAAAAGGAGAAGAATGGAACTTGTCCAGTCTCGTTGCACAAGAGTCTCGCTGCATTTTGAATTAAGGAAAGTGAGTGAGCTTAGGTTGTTAAATCCAATGTTGAGAGTATAAACTTTCGCGCCATAATCTGTTGTTGTATTATTTTAAAAAAATATTTAAAATTTAAAAATGCAAAATGTCATCACAAGAAATTGTTCGGGATCGAAAACCATCAATGATGAGGCCTCTGAAACAAATCATTTCAGTTCCAGATTGTATTAAGGATGAATGCCAACAAAAGAGGGAGAAAATAAGAGCGTTCAACTCAAATACATTAGCAACTCCATCCAAACCCAGTTCCAACCAGATCGCCAGACCATTTTCTTCGACACCATCGGCTCCACCATCGGAACCACTACGATCAACTTGTTCATCTTCGGACCCGACTCGCAGTCCTGTTTCAACAGGGCCTATGAAATCTTTACATATATTGTTCCATTCTAGGTCAAATTCGCATGGCGAAACACAAATACATGACAACATTCTGAACAAATCAAACAAATCTCAACACCAAGTGAGCAACATGAAATCTGAACAAAAAGAAATTCGGCCTAAAACAGAAGCTGACGAGCCATCACTTAATGAGATGGAAAAAATTGCAAAGAATTGGCTTCATTGTCTCAACTTTGATTCCTTGCTGTCGAAAGAGCAACATTCACTGTTAGATGATCCTTTACGGAATGGAACATTTTTTTGTGAACTTGTTGAAACTTTGGAAAGGACAACCTTGAATGAATACTGTCACCAACCAAAGAAAATGAGTGACATCAACAGAAACCTCGACAGCGCTTTTTCAAAGCTCAAGCAAAAAAATATTCCAGCAAAGTATTTATGTTTCTCTAATAAGATTATTCGTGGAGACAAGGAAACAATATGGGGTTTGCTGTATCATATATCAAAGGCATATTCAGAAGCTATTAACAACAAAGAGCAACATTTTTCAAAGAAGGAATTTGTTTTGTACAGTTCAGAAAAGATGCTTGAATTGGAGAAGTCCATTATTTTGTGGCTTCGAAGTTTGGGCATGCTTCCCATTCACAAACCTATACCAGACACGTTCGAAGATATTGACGAAGAAATCAGGAATGGAACTATTTTGTGTGACCTTGTTGGATTTATTCTGGGGGATCCAATTATTGGCGTAACAAGAAATCCAAAAATTCCAACAGCATGCCGCTCCAACATTTTCAAAGCGATAGAGCTGTTGAGGCAACGGAAAAAGATGTGTCAGAAATTCTTGAATGAGGAAGAGATTTTAAATGGTAACAAAAATTATATTCTTGGATTGTTCGAAGATATTAGAAGATATTATGACGGTATTGCAATGCGAACAGAAAAGACTGATACCCCTTATTTGGGTAATTTGCCATCATTTTCTTTTCCAACCTCTTGCATGAACACGGTAACATTTCCCGAGCACAGCACTTCCCCATTTTTGAACCAGACAAAACCAACCTCTAAAACCTCTCTTCTTCGTCAAATGATGAGCTCAACTTTTGTTGACGAGACATCACATGCTCTAATGACAACAGGTCCTACAGAGCTTCAAGCATCAATCCCTACACCAATCACTTCAAAACATTTCACTATTGAGCAAAGATCCTTTCCTGAATCCTTCTTTCCCTCCTCCCAACTTAAATCTGTATTTATTCCTCCACCTAACGAAGTTGACAACACTACCCGTCAAATGATAACAGAAAACTCAACAACTAGAGCCCAAATACTAGATAGAGATGTTCCTTACAAATTAGAATCAAAGATCTCAAAGAACAAACATTCAGATATCAATAATAAAAGAAAGTAAAAACAGTCTCGCTTCTCGTTATTGTAACAACACACAAAACTTTTTCAATCAAAAATTAAATTTGAAAAAATATGTTCCGTGCTCTTCTCACCAAGCCTCTCATTTTCAAGTCGGCAGCTACCTCCTTCATCCAAAGGCCTTCATTCATCGCTAGACACTACTCAGTTGCTGCTCAAGGCTCTTTCTTATCGAGAGATGAAGTTACCGAACGTATCGTCAACGTTCTTAAAAAGCACGAAAAGGTAGACCCAACAAAGGTTTCTGCTACTTCTCATTTCGTAAATGATTTAGGTTTGGATTCATTGGATTCGACTGAAGTAGTCATGGAAGTTGAAAATGAATTTGGAATTGAAATTCCTGACGAGGAAGCATTCAAGTTACAAAGTGTGGAGGATTGTATTAAATACATCAGCTCTAATCCCATGGCTAAATAAATTAATAAGAAATAATATTAAATATTATAAGAACAACACGAATCAACATTATAACAACTCTATCAATACTAATATTGCTGCATTTGGGTAATTGCTCGGAATCCAATAAACTTTAAAGTTTCCTTCCACTGGAAGCCTGATGATGAATATTTACTTTCCGTGATGATCATCATCTAGAGCACGCTGCTGTTATCCGTTGGCTTAGAACCCAATAAAAAATGATTCCCAACTCACAACACAAGAATGACCCAAGCAACAACACTGAAATGATGGCATCATGCTGTGGAGAGACTGCAACAGAAACCCATACATCAAGGAGCACTCCTTTGCCCACTGTTGCAACATGGAAATTACTCGAACAACGACCTGTGGTGGAGTCTAAATGGGTTTCTGTCTATTCGGAACGACTCGATACAGGAGACGGAAAGATCATTGACCCATTCTTTTCCATCAAGTATCAAAACTGGTGTCTTGTGATTGCCATTACCCCCTCCAAACAAGTGCTCGTTAATCAACAGTATCGGAGAGGGTGCAATTGTGTCGCTCGAGAATTTGTTACAGGGGCAAGAGAAGAAAATGAAGAACCCAAAGAAGCTGCCGTTCGTGAATTGTTGGAAGAAGTAAGTGGAATAATTGTTTTTCATCGTTTTTGTAACCCTAACACACTTTAAAAAGACAGGGTACGAGTTGCTGAATGGGGATGTCGATAAAGATGTTGTCCAATTAGGCTCTCCTCTTTACGAGGACGCTAATAGAAACTCGTGTGTTTGTCATGCCTTTGTAGCGATGGTCAAAGAAGAGCCAACTCACAAACAAACTCTAGACCCCTATGGTAAGTTCTTTTTGGTGAAATAATCAGAAAACTTATTCAAGCCTTGACAAGAACAAATTATTGTGTCCAAAGAAAGCCTTAGTCAAGTTAGAAGATGGTGCTTTGATGGAACGATCAAAAGTGGTATGCATATAACGATGTTCTATAGATGCCTCAGTATTTTACATGAGATGGGTATTGTAGACGCTATTCCCATCCTGTTAGGAGATTGCTAATAATCCGTTATTTACAAAAAAGCGCCAAATTTCAAATTAAAAAAATTTGATGATGAACAAAAGACCTCAAAGCGCAAACCTTTTTTCAACACCAAAGGTAGATCCTATTCCGAGTGTTGCCAGATATACAAGCATAGGCCATAGTAATCAAAGGCCCTCCTCTTCATATGGCAGAATTCAAAGAGTGGATGTTGGTCTTTCCACTATTCCTAGATCATTGGATAATCAATCGAAAAGACCTCCTTCAAGAAACTCTAAAATCAGATCTCCCAGCCCATCCTCAAGTAGCAAAGAGTTTTCTTATTTCCGAGGCCAATCCGAACATACGGACAAAATCACAATTCAAGATAGAAAGACTCTAAAACGAATTAAGGAATATCAAAAATCATATCTACCACCTCACACTTGTAACGTTTTCTATCAAAATGGGAGAAACTCAACACGGTCTATACAATGCAAACGCTGTTCAATGACCTTCTCTCAAACCAAGCCCCACCCAAAACAAACATCCAATACTCAAAAGACAGGTGTCGTGAGGCCCAAAAAGGTGACATCAACAAGCCATGAATCAGTAGTTCAATCATGCAAGGAAAACCTGGAAAACATGTTTTTACCTCACACAAACTGTGGAAATAACTGTGGCCCTAAAATTGAAGAAGCAAAAACTTTGCTCAAAGATAACATCAAACAATTGCTATATTTCTACAGAGACGAACAGAATCGCTTGTGCAAATATTCAAAAGAAATTCAGACAGCCTGTAGTGAAGAAGAGCTCAGCCAAGAAACGCACCCATTCGATGGACTTTTTTCAGGAGGTAAAAGAGTTGAGCTATTCGATGATGATGAGTATTTACGTTTGATGAAAGAATATGGTGTTGACTGTGAACCAAGTTGCTTTCAATTTGAGGGATCTTTAAGAAAAAGGTTTTGAGGCTCGACCATGACACAACTTCATCACCACCGCTCCTTTTCTGTTTAAATTATCACAAATCGCCTTCAACGTTCATTCATGTGCAATAAAAATGTGTCCGTTACCCACCATCCTTCCAACCGCGTCTGTTGTCAAAAAGCAACAAGCTGCACCGTCATCATCATTGTTAACAAGCAAACCTCCTCTCTCTACTTCATCACAACCCAATTCTATCATTCCAAACACCCAAAGCAATGGTGGTACCACTAATCATGAACGCAACGTCGTCAAAGCTCATCAAAATATGTCAACAGCAGCAAACAACTCTGCAAACTCATCTTCAACCACCGTCGTTTCAACACAAAACGTAAAACCTACATCACGTGCTGGTAAAGTTTCTGGCATGGTTTCCATGTTCGAACGTCTGTCCGATAATAATAATAATTCATCTTCCACAACTTCTTTCCATCAACAAACGACCAATTTGGTTGCCTATAAAAAACCCACGACAACTAGCGAGAAATTAGCACTCAATGCAGCACTAGTAGAAGAAGAGAAAAAGAAAAGATTTAGAGCTAGAAGCAATTCCTTTGATTTTAATTCACCATCCACAACTCCAACCACTTCGGCTGTGACAGGTGGCAGTACATCACCATTTGGGGATGATCATTCATCACAACAAGCACTCACCACAGATTTTGTTTCTAACCACAATACAACTCTTTCTAACAATCATCAACAAGTAGATGCAACCAAACATGATCCTGCTGTCAAAACTCCGATCGATGAAAATTCTGAAGAAGTAAAAAGAAGATTAATTCGAACTCCATCGATGGTTCAAGGACTCAAGGCAAGATTTGAAAAATTACAAATTAATTTATTGGAACAGTTAAAACAAGAGGAAGAATGGAATCAAAAGAAAAAACAAAGACAGTTGACAGCTCGATCCCATCGTTTGACTGGTGAAGAAATTCACACATTACAACAAAATGTTCACACACAAGATGTCATCCTTTCAAATCAAAACACTACTACTACGAATAGAATGGATGAAAAATTTTCACATCACAACAACCATACAAATCATCACCAGGACCATTTAGATTCATCATTTGATCATGACAGTGTGTCATCATTTTCCGAAGATGACAGTTATGAATATACTGATTCAAGTCATAGAACAACCATTGATTCCACTCTCAGTGATTCACATCATCACTCAACCATTCTCAATTCTTCTTCAACAGTCAATCAAAATATTGATCCAGCTCTTCTTCAAGCAATTATAGAAGAAGAAGAACGTAAACAACAAGTAATTGAAACATTAATGATTTCTCCACCTCCTCAGATTGTTAAGGGACTTCTCTCAACAACTGCTTCAGCAACAAGACAAGCTCAATTTTATCAAGAATTATATGGAGAAACTGCAAGCTCTTCAACACCATCACCAATGGGAGACATTTTAGATCATAGTTCTTCAAATCATAATGTTGAATTTCGATCTTCCTATGATCGATCCATGAATAATGATGATTGGTTAGAAAATCAAATGAATCGACATCAACGATATAATATTTCAGATTTGGATTTACTAACAGCTTATCGACACAAATCTCAATTGTATCAAATTCAAAATCCATCAAATGTCATGATGAATCCTTTCATTCAAGAATCGCAAGTTGTTCTCAGTGGACACAATGTTGAGGATAATGATGAATATATTTATGGTGACGACGGTGAATATGACATGTCAGATGAATACAATGATGACATGATGGATCATTTGCATGAGAGTCATACCACCACAGCCACCACCGCCACTACTACCACCACATCTTTAATGACTGACGATAAACGACTGAGTGTCACGGATGATGTACCTATGCGAAGAAGTAGTGCTGACATGATTGGAGGTGTGATGGAGAAACAAAATGAAGAAGAGTTTTCCAGGTGGGAATGCCAAATGGAAGAATTTGCAAAAACTCTTATTTGCTAATTGTAAAGAAATGTACACTATTCACACACACACACACACGACTCGAGTGAAAACTTGTTGCCATAAATTACCTTTCATGAAAAAAATTATTTACTCTTATCCTTGACAGCTTTCAAAAGTACAATTTTGCACAATCTGGCAAGCAGAGCTGTCAATTGCAATTGTGAATCCACTCCATCTGATATCCTCAAATGACAATCTCCAATTTCCTTAATATATTGAAGCTGAGCATATTCTGGCATGTCAATTGCTCCACTCCTTACAACTTTTGAAATTGTTGAAATAATATCTTGTGAACTGTAGCCGTCAGAAATTAATTTGGAAAGACTTTTTTGTGCATTGATCAAATCACCTTCCAGACAAGCAGCAATTACGCTTTGCACAGCTACAGGATGAGGTTGGTCACACACCTTAAAAACATTGGTTGCATTTACAATTCCAAAACCTTGGAATGTTGCTTGTAAACTATTGATTGCATTTCTCATATCGCCATCAGAAGTGTAAACAATGGATTCTAATCCGTCATCAGATCGGTTGACATGTTCTTTTTCACAAATAATTACTAATCTTGTCACTAATTGTGCATCTGTAAGTCTTTTATATCTTACTAGAGCACATCGTGATTGGATTGGTTCAATAATTTTTGAGCTATCGTTACAAGCGAGAGCAAATCTTGTTGTTGAGCTGTAAATTTCCATAATTCTTCTCATGGCTTGTTGTGCTGCTGATGTCATTGAATCTGCTTCATCTAGAATAACAATTTTATGTCTATTGGGTGGCAAATTTACTTTTTTTTGTGCAAATTGTTTAATTTTGTTTCGGACCACTTCCAAAGTCCTGTCATCGGATGCGTTTAGTTCTAATACAGCTTCTCTGTATATATCTTTTCCTAACAAGGCTCTAGCAAGACACATGATGCTTGTTGTTTTACCAGTACCTGTATTTTGAAAGAAGGTATATCAAACACAAGAACATATTATGTTAGAAAATTGTGAGTGTGCGTTTAGTGTGCGAAGAATTATCATCAAAACACATACCTGGTGGTCCCGAAAGGATGAGATTTGGCATATTTCCTTCCGTAGCAATCACTCTCAGTCTCATCACTGCTTCTTCGTTTCCTACAATGTCATCTAGTTCGAGTGGTCTGTATTTTTCGACCCAAGGCTTGTCCATTTCAAGGACCGACGAGGTTTCTTGTGAATTCTGGAGCATGATCTTTTGTGTGATTTTTTGAATTTATTTTTTAATTTTGCCGTTCTAGCGGGAAGTTGTTTGTCAACACTTTTGCTGACAAAACGAGAAGGGGTTCCATTGGCAATGAGCTCGTCTCGTGGTGTAATGGTAGCATAGTGGACTTTGAATCCATTGACGGAGGTTCGATTCCTCCCGAGACGGAACCAAGGCGAGCAAAAATTTTTAACTGTCCTTCCACTCAGGTTTTAGACTTTTTAACTTTCAGACTTTTTACCGCTCCCAAAACCTAATGAAAGGCATCCTTGTTTATTATATAATCACAACAAAAACTCTTCCAAAGCAATCCTATGGTCAAGAAGATGTTGATCCATTATTTGAGAGGGCCGTAATTACATTTCCAAGGTCAACAAATAATTTACACAGGTTGGCATGAGCGTTTCTCATTCTCTCGTGATTTTGTTCATATGTAGACTGCCACTTGATTCGCTCTTCCTTCTCCTTTTCCAGTTCTTGTTTGATATCGTACAATTGGAATTGGAGATTCTGATTAATCTCTACAACTCTTTCATATTTCTTTTTCAAGTCCTCCAACTCGTTGCTCGAAGTAATAGTGGATTTAGAGAATGTTGCAGAGGAGAAGGTTGGAATCAAACCATCTGTTTGAGAAGAGCAGTTTGTATTCGTCTGATCTTTCTGAAACGATGAAGAGGACAAGGGCTGGCTTTGCATGGACGGAAATTGCATAGGTTGAAAATGGATAGATTGGGGCAACACTGTCCCAGGATCTGTCTGAGGGGATGATGAACCTAAGGGATTCCTCTTCTTCTTACTCTTACAAGAATCGTATGAAGATGATGGCGTCCGTTTCTTCTCGCAAGAGTAGCCTTGCTCACTTGAACGTTGAGACATGTTGTAAAACCAGATAAACCTATTTTTTTTAAAAGTGTTGTAAAAAATACCGCCCGTGCGAAAACAACAGAGAACATTTCGATGATATATTTATGAACACATTATCACTTGACCTCCTCCACTTTAAAACCGTGGAAGGCTTTAAAGTGGTTGGCCAGGCACAAAAAACTTTGCTCGCCTTGGTTCCGTCTCGGGAGGAATCGAACCTCCGTCAATGGATTCAAAGTCCACTATGCTACCATTACACCACGAGACGAGCACAGAAAATAAGAATTTGATTTCATTTTGATTGAACATCCCTGTTATGGTTTGGTAGGACAGATATTTCAAAGGTTAACAACCTCCTCAAGATAAAAATGCTTGACATCGATTCTTCTCCGACGATCGAATCACACAGAGTATCGTCATCACTTCCTTCCAAGAAAACACGAGGGATCGCTTCATCACCCAACATAACTCATTCCTCATCGTTCAGTGAGAGCCCCTCATCCCCATTTGCTTCATCGGAAAATCAAGGATCAAAGAGCAGCATTCAAAACTTTTCCTTTCCAGATTTTCTTCATCGGCAATCAATATTGTGGACATTAATCGCAATGAGTATTGGTTATCTTTTAGGAAAATCGGAACTGGACTTCTCGTGGTTTTTATTATTATTAATAATTATTTATTCAATTTCATCAAGAGTATTCCGAGACTCTTCTCGAACCATTAATGAATTACTTCGACAGAAAAAGTTGAAAGAGTGGAAGCAATGGAGAGAAATGCATCTCCCAAAATATTTAACAAATAGTGGAAAAGAAATACCAACGAGCGAAGAATCTAACAAAACGACATCCGATCAAAACCGAAAAGATGCTACTCTTTCCTGTGTAAATACAATTATTGACCAATTTTGGAGAGGGTTTAATTCTGAATTTATTGTCAAGATGGCCAATGATTGGCTGAAGGAAAATCCTATTGCCTCTAATTTTGATATTCAAGTTTCATTCTTAGACATTGATAACGACAATCCTCCATTTTTTACTTCCATCTATTGTTCCGAAAATACTCCCAAGAGAACAGTGATAGATGCATGCATGGAATATAATGGAGAACTTTTTCTGCAGTGGTTTGTTAAATTATTAATACCAATTCAATTTTTGCTAAAAGACGTGTCAGCAAAAGTTAAATCAAGAGTTGTTATTGAATATTCGGATAACTTAGAAGAGTTTGGTCGAACTATATCCAAGGTGGACGTGTGTTTGATGGAGTATCCGCAGTTTAACGTATCGGTTCAAATGTTTAACTCTCTTGATTTAACTGGGTCAATTCCATCTTTACAAAATCAGCTCAAGCTGGGATTTGAAAAAGCTCTCCTGAAATTTGTTTATCCAAAGTTTATTACTGCATATAAGTATGGAGACGAAGGAAGAAACAGTGGATTGAATTTGGAAATCGATAAAATTGTAGTAGAAGGATTGGAAGAAGAAATCAAAAGCAATTTATTTAACATTAATCAACTGTTAAAAGCCATCAACAAGAGTCATGGAGAAAACAAGGAAAAGATCAAGCTTGAAGTTTGTACCAACATTCTCACTCTTCTTCATCAAGCAAGAGAGCCTGGGAAAATTCCAATTGGTATGACAGATACCATTAGGAATGGCTTTCAAATTCTAAACATGCTCACCTTTGGAGAAATACATAATGATGACAATGCTGTGAATGAGAAAATTATGGAAATACTATTGCAAACAGATAACCTTCTATTTATTGCTGATGTAGTTAGAAAGTGCACTTTGGCGGACGAGCTGGTTATGAACATACTCTTCAAAGTCACAGATCCCAAATTAAAACAACAAGTGAACAAGAGATTCCAAGAGCTAGAGTTGGGAGATATTCTTTTCACAGTTGTTGGAAGGAATGAGAGACCCATGACAACCCACTCACGAGAAAACTTTACAATAAAATGAGGTAAAAATTTTTGTACAACGAAAACGATTGGATGACGGGTGAGAAATATCAAGAAAAAAAACACATCGCACAACCACTGCGAATTCACACTTGTCGTCAACAACAAACATCATCCCCATCATTGTGCTCATTACAACATTTACAGCAGTGTGATTCGTCGACAATAATTTTATAATCATCATCAATATTTATTTTGCGAGCACACACGAGTCGACGACATCTTTCATTAATTCTTTCGTGAGAAATTGGTCATCATCTTCGATTAACATCATCAACTCGTGTCAACAATAGTTCCCAAGTGTGCATCAATATCTCCAATCTAGAAAATACAATAGCTTCCAAATTTATCTTTCACAAGAATTCTCCAAGAACGACGAGTTCGAGCCATGCCTAATAACAACAACAACAACAATACACATTCTGCTCCTCCGAGCAATGAACATGGTGGTCATTCAACACTACTACCAATTGCCACCACTACCACTGGTAATAACACGACAAGTAGCACCACTCCTCCACTTCCGATCAGCAATCCGTCTACGGTTGCGAGAAAGCTATCCAACTCGGGGACAATGCCACCAAGTCTCAATCCGTCTTCTTCTTCTTCGTATTATTCGGTGCCACCTCCATCCACAGTACCCTCCTTGTATGTACCACCTCCTCCACATCATGCTCATCCATCATCATCGTCCTCTGCTTACTATCCTCCTTATCCTTATGCATCCTATTTACCTCCATCATCGATGAGTACGTCCACCACCACAACCGCAACTCCAACAACTCCAACAACAACCACCCCTTCCTCCCAATCAACAGCAACACCATCTAATCCTCTGCTTCCACCGCCACCATCGACCAATGCCTTGTACTATTCACCACATTATCCCTTGTATCCATCGCATCCTCATCAACAACCTCCTCATCCACATTCATTGTTCACTGCTCATCAGCCAATGTATAGCGGAACACCACCAGGGATGGGTAGCGTTGCTCCTTCTTCACATCCAATGTCCTCTCATCATCCAATGCATCATCAGGAAAAACAAAAACAACCATCTACCACAAAAAAGAAGAAAAAATCAAAGAACACTATTACAACATCTCCCGTTGCTATTACAGTCGTCAATTCATCATGTCCAACAGATCCTTGGGATATTTCACGAAAGTCGCTTGAAAAAATTAACCTTATTGAAGGTTTTACTATGGACAGAATTTTACAACATGTTACTATCCCTCCTATGGATAATGATTGTGTGATTTCCGAAAAACAAACAGTGAAAATTGATTCATCACTTAAAAATCAATATTCCTCCCTCAAGCTTCAAGTATGGTTATGTGAGTTGTGTGTAGATAAAATTACAGAAAACATCACAGCTCTAAGATCTCTCTATGATGAAGTGTTGACTGGCTCCAATGACGAAGTATCAGTTCAGGATTTAATCTTTCCAACCACCATTATTTCATCGGGACGAAAAGAATATTTTTTAAGATTTGTTCTGTATGATGCCAAGGACAAGAATACAGAGATTGTTGCTTTTTGTGATACATGTACTTTTGAAATTAGAAGTAAGACGAGATCACCAACACGTGTGCAGATCCAAAATAATCAATCAGTTGCTGCACTGCCTCCCCAACGATCATTGACACTTTCTTCTACAGCCATTGCGACCTCTGAGACACCTTCATCAGCAAGTCAAAGCGTTGGAGAGAAACCTACGTTGGACTTTCTTAAACGATTAATTGCAACAGCGACACTTTCCGAAGATATTAACAGCTGGGATACCTTTATGCATACTCTCAATCAACTCGTAGTCATAGGAGATTCCTCTTTTTTGAATACATCTTCTGGATCTCTCTCTAAGCGAGCCGATTTTTCCGATCACCAAATGACAAAAGAGTTTTTGATGAGAGGGCACAGGAAAACAAATATTTATCCTTATATTGAACAATGTTATCCAGCTTTTGGTCCAGCTCGAGGAGGCATTCAAATTAGTATTAATGTGAAAGATCTTAATATCTATGATGAGGATGATTTAATAGTCACATTTGATGATATTAAGGTGCCAAAAACTGATTTTGTGTCGATTCGACCAAACAAAATTTTGTTATACCTTCCTGCGTTATCATCTAATCACATTCTAGGCAAAGTAGATGTTGCTATTTCTGTGAGAAATGAATTGGAGGACTTTTGTCACGTGCTCTATGATTCATTTGAGTACCTAAGTAATGATGTTTTTGAAAAGAAAAAGTCATCCATACCCACACCAATTGAAAGACCTTCCAGCAACAATAAGAATATTAATCAGGTTTTGATTAGACCTCTCTCAGAAACTAATTCAGTCAATGAGGATCTCTTCACAAAGACTGAACTCTACAACAGTGAAACGACAAAATATGTCACGACTATTTATTTTGAACCAGGATTTCTTAAAGGTAGCCCCTTAGATCCTTCTCAACGATTTATTTGGCTGTTAAGAAAGAGTGATACTTTTGAAAACCTTATTGGTAATCCATCGTCAAAAGAAATCGACTGTGGCGGTGTTTTCTCTATCAAAGACTTGCTTCCTACCGTAAAAGAAGATATTCTAGAAATACCTATTGAAATAGATCGAAAGATATCTACTGAGAAATTTAACTGCACCATGGTTCTTCAATTGTATGACATTATCCAAAAACAGATTCACTACACTTCTAGGCCCTTCTCCATTCTTCAAAAAGCTCCAAAACCAGTAGCATATAGTAGCTTCAATGAAGACGAAAGAGTATTACAACTACTTGAGAAAATCAAAACTCCTCGAGCACGAAAGATGGCCCTACGAGGAGGAGCACTTGATCCCACTTTAAATTATCTGGGTCAAACGAAAACACATATTGCTTGTTTGTCTGGAAATGAAACAGAATTGAAACGAAACTTCCAACCCGCACATCTCACGACTCATGACTTGTTCCTTAGAAATCCACTTCATTTAGCCTTCGCTTCTGGAAATCTTGAAGCAGCCAAATTCTGTATTGAGAACTTGACCACTTCACCACATTTACTTCTTCTCCAGAGAGATTATTATCACAACACTCCTTTCCATTTGGCTCTCAAATTCAATCGTACTCATTTCATGAAGGAAATTTGTTTAGTTCTCAAGACCTATTTGATCAGATATTTGGCTCAACAATCGACTTTTAACACGGAGAATTCTAACACGGCAACTATGGAACCATATACTCCAAAATCCCAGATACCAACAACACAACCAGTGAATTATAAAGCATCATCTCAAAAGAAGAGAAAAACAACGAGTACGGTTACAACCACGAACAGCGCCACACCCCCACCACCCAAGAAAACTAAGCAAGAGGAAGGTTCATCCGATGAGGAAGAGGATGATGTCTTGGTTGTGGAAGAAAATTAAACAAACTGATGTGTGTTGATACTTTGGTTTTTACCTTCTCCAAAGAGATGATGATTGTCGCTGTACTACCCTTTAAAAAATGAGCCAACAAGACACGTGCAAAGTGTTGTATGATTTTAAAGCAGATGGAGAGAATGAATTGAGCGTTTCTAAGGGAGAAATAGTAAGACTGATCAGCATCCATGGAGAATGGATGATGGTCGAAAAGATGACAAAACCATTTCAAAAGGGATACGTTCCAACATTGTACATTAGCGTAAGGAATTCGGGCTCCAATTCCGAATCAAGGACAGCCTCATCTCGGAAATCTTCAAAAAGTAATGTATCGTCCTCCACGACAGGAAAAAAGGACAATCAACACAACTCGTCATCTGTAATTTCAAACACTGAAAAGCAATTGGTTACATCCGATCGGCAATCGACCCCAACACAAGCCTCTAGCGAGGTTGTCGCTTCAACTGCAAATGCTAAAGAAAAGGAGGACCTTATTAAGATCAATGAGCAACAACTGCCAGTAGCCAATTCTACTGTAGCAACGGATAATACAACCACCAACACAACACAACAAAACATTACCCTGCCATCAACAACTGCAACATTTGATTCTTCCTCCGCTCAAGCGACAACAAACGACCCTAAACCAGTAGTTTCAGAACCAACCTCAAAAAGAAGCGTTGCAACTCCATCCCACGTTAAATCTGTTAAACCTACCAAGAACATGTCTTATGCTACAAAAATTGGAAATGAATTCGAAGAGTCCATGTCTGTACTGCATGCGTACGAGGCAAATGAAAAAGTTTTCAAACAAACACTACAACAAAGGGAGGAAGCTTTCAAAAGAATTGAGCAAAAACTGGATAAGATATGCCAGGATGTCAACGAATTTCAACAACGAAATGACCTATTAATTGAAAGGATTAAAAATCTGGATAATAGGATCGAAAATGACAGATTGAGATTGATTGATGGTATATCTGCAGAACCAATAGATTCTGAAATAATGAACGACGCTAAAGCAATCACCAAAACTCCAAATTTTATAGAAAGAAAAAGAAGGACCTTGGCTGCAAATATTCAAACTCCTTTAAACTAAGCAGCTACACGTTATTGGACGTAGCTATGTATTGATGCTTATTGCAGTTTTTAGTAAACAGTGGAGGTGATGCACTGACATCAACTGAAAAATGATGCTTGAGAAACTTTTCTTTTTTCGACGAGTTCAATGTTGTTTCTTGAGATACTTGAATTGGCACTCTGAGCGTCAAGTAATCAATGAAGATTTGTGACTTGTCGTTACAGTCCATAGATTCTACATTTTGAGGTGGTTGTTTTTCCTTAACATCATTTGATATCTCCAACAGGTTCTCCTTTAGAATAGAATTGAATGACTCTTGTACTTTCCATTCTAATATTTCGGCCAGATCGTTTCTCAGTTTCAATCTTTCTGATTTGTCCATTTCTTCCAAAACGTCATGGTGCTGATTCCATCCCTTTACAAACGTTGTTTGCAAGTTGAACGGAGCATACGAGATCGTGTCCAATCCGTGGTGCAGTGTAAAGGGATGTTTATAATCTATTGGATCCCTATTAGTACTTTCAGGTGTCAGATAAAGAACAACGTTTACGTCCATCTCTACATCACCCATATCTTTTGGCAACTCGAATGGTATATTAATTTCCATTTGATGATTTTCAAAGGTGCTCACAAGAAATGGAACAGAATCATATGCTCTGTTTTTTCGCCTAATACTCTTCCAATCGTTGTCCTCGTTAACAATGAAAGCATCTTGTTCAAACTTTTCTGGGTGATGAATATAGGAAATGGCGTTGGTAACAATTTCTCCATCATGATTCTTAAAAATAATGTCAATCATGTTGGAGTGGAGTTTCTCAGCAAATACAAAGTGTTCAGAACTTGAAAATCGTACTGTTAATAAACAACTTCCAGGCATAAATGTTACAGCTTCTGTTACAATAATTCGGCCTGGATTAGGATTTATATCTACTGAACCATTCGAGCGTATGGATACTCGTCGTTCTACGCTTGGAATACCTAACAGGTTGAGATTTTTAGGCTTAATATCTTCTGATTGGCCATTGACAACACTAATTTTTCGTAGCTTGTGATTAACTAATCAGTAGAGTAAATGAAAAAAGTGATCATTCCATTACTTACATGTATCTGAAATAATAAGGTTTGTATCAAGCTTGAGAATGGAATGTGGGTTATTGAATGTTGGCTTGTTTTCATCACTCAGTAATGCATTTCGAAAGCCAATGTCAGAGGATCGATATAATGTAGAGCTCTGAACTGACGCTATGGTATGATCGTTAAAAACACTGTGCTCCACTTGCCTATTAGGGACGATTTTCACTTGTTTCATGAAAAATGGTTCATGGTATGGCTTGAACGCAGATATGGGTGACTCAACATGATAAAAGAAGATACTGTCTTGATGGGCTATTGCTCGTTGCTTCAAAAACAAAAATTCTGGATAAAAACTCCCTGTGTATGGTTGTCGTTGTTCGGAATCCCAATGTTTGAGAGTGGGAAATACGTGTTCAATATACTTCTCAAAATCATGTTTTAGTTGTGAATGTATCATTTCTGGTAACACATCCTCAACTATTCCTGTATCCAAAGGTATTCTCCAAATGTGTGTATAACCTTCTTCTGCAATGTACAGACAATTCTCACTATGGCTCATAAACAAATCTATTGGCCTACTAATAATTTTTGAGCAAGAAACAAAATATATGGGAATGGGCATTGAGTGGTTTTTCTTCCATTCCTTCTCACGCTCCATAATGAATTTCTTTTCAATATACTCTTCAGTTAACATCATTTTAGTATTATCATCTCTGTGTAAGAATGCTGCCACGCTATTCTCTCCACAAGTCATTAGTGGATTGTGGCAGTGTGGTTCTTCCATACTATACGTAGAGGGTTGAATAAAAGTGGATACAAAACCATTATGTAAATCTAAACGTCTAATGGTATTGTTATTAGTGTCGGCAATCAATAAGGCCTCTTGAAGCTTGTCATAAAATATACCTTTGGGCCTGTTAAATCGAGCATCAACTAAATAACCATCCTTAAAGCCTTTTCGACCTTCTCCAAACTGAGAGATGTTGTCCATAACAATTTCAAATAATTTCACATTTCAAATTTGAAAAAGAACTTACAACAGCCTCTATTCCTCCTTCATGATTCATTTGAACAATACGGTTGTGGTACGTGTCGGAGATGAAAATAGAATTTCCGTATTTTTCAATAAAGGTTGGAAATTGAAATATTGTTTGAGGTTGCATGAGACGCTCAATTGGTTTTTCATATTTTTGCCAATCAAAATTCACCATTTGTATGAGACGATTCTTAATCTGTATCGAGTCGAAATCTACAAAATTTAAATTTCATTATAAACGTTATAGGACGCCTACCTTTCTCAAAATTGTGTTTAAACTGCTCATGATTTGAATACTCTCGCATAAATTCTCCCTTTTCGTTGTATAACTGCACAATACTCTTACATTCTTCTGAAATAATGAAAACTGGATATTGGAAATCATGATACAAAATTTTAGATCTCAATAAATCGATATTCTGTTCATGATCAAACCCCAAAATATTCACTCTGCTTTCCAGCACAATCCTGATGTAAGCATTTAATAATGCAAACGTCAATTTTCATTATCAAGTTAACTTACTCGCTGTTCATGATTTTTAGAAAAACATCGCTTGAAAAATCATCCACATTCAAAAAAATAGTTGGTCTTCCTTTTAACTGTTCTGCATTCACAATCGTTCTGGTGTTGAACCACTTATGACTTTCAATCGGAAGGCTTTCAATTAATTTTTCAATGCTACCATTAACAAGAGTTTTTGAAAAACTTCTTTTCACTTCCAAATAGTTTAAATCCAATACTTTTAAATTATTTCTAGTCCACTTTCCCATCATTGATCTCTTGCTGAGAGTATTGTTTGCTCTCCCCGATGAGGCACTGTGCCACAAGCACAGCAACACGCGATGATGTTTCTTCATTTTTTCAATCAAAAAAATTTAGCGAAGCAAAGAGGGGCATTTCATAAAGCTTCAGGCACTGTTTTCACATGACTTCTGGTTTAGTCTATGATCTAGCTAAAGGTTGTTACTTTATGTATGTCTTGTTTGCTCTTTTAACATTAGCCATCAAATTCAACCTGAAGAAATTTCAGGTTTTAACAAATTTCGAGCTCATGGCAGTTTTCCTCAAACCATCTTACAAGATTTTACTTCCCTCAGATATTCAGATGTAGAACATGTAGTTCAATATTTATTATCTCTTCAGAAATAATAGCTGAAATATAATTTTGATTAGAATAGTATATAACGTAGCAAGAGTAAAAACAAGCATACTGCTGCAATGATAATGAATATTTTGTACTTTTTCCAAAATGTTAAATCAGCTAACTCTGCTGCTTGCGTTTTGAATTTTTTAGCACCATCCAGGATTTCGTTACTCATTGCACCCATTTGTTCTAATTGTGCTCCTCGTCCAATAACATCACTGATGTTCTTTTTGATAATTTGATGAACATCTTGCAATTCATCTTTCAATATTTGTAAATTTCGTTTTGTACGTGAATCGGTGTAAACTCTTCGTGTTTTTTGAATAAATGTATCGAATTTCATGAAAGCATATGGCCGTTCTACTTTGTGAACTTCAGTTCCGTACAATTGTTCAAACTCCTTTTTTAATTCATCTAAAAAAGCATATGCTAGTTGAGAGCTGTATGATTTTTCGCATAGGGTCATGTATATTAAACCAGAACTGGTGAGAGTGTGAAAAACCATAGGTCCGCTATCAATACTCATCTTTTCATTAGAGTTTGATCCTAACAATGCTAATTGTTCCAAAATCTTTTTTCGTTGGTTTTTATATTGCTCATAGGGATCGGGTTGAACGTTGTTTGATTTTTTACCATTACTAAATCCCGATTTAGTGATGTTGTCATCCTCTCCATCTTTTTCATCGATAGATTCTGCCAACGGCAGTGAATCCGAAAGGCGAGCAATAAAAGTTAGCTTGAGCATTGTGAGAGGATTCTAGTGTTGTATTTTTTTTAATTGTTGTTATTTCTTTATGGGGAGCATCGAAACGACTGAAGTGTCATGATGACACGTCACGTGCGCCGAGTAGCAGCAGCACCACATCGTCATGACGGTATTGGTGCCAAAATATTTACATCTTAGTTTTTTTCTTAGTGTTTGTTTCTTTGGTTGACTTTTTCCTTTTTTTCTCTGTTGGTTGTTGCTTAGATTCTCCACCATTATGTTTCACACGTTGCTCAGTTGCTGGTTGCTGCGTTTGTTGTTGAGAAGGTGCTTGATGATGGCGGTGGTGATGGTGTGGTTTTTGATGAGTGGTGCTTGACGTGGTATTGCTTCCTTGTTGCATTGTTTGTACATTGGCTAGTGGTTGTTGTTGTTGAGGAGGAAGAGGTTGTTGTGCAACTGCGTTTGGTGGTCGTTGAGCTACGTTTTCAGAATAGATGGGTTGATCTGGATAAATGTAATTCAAGCGTTTGTCACTCCCAAAGCAACTAAAAGTGTCAGCCACATTGGATGGATCATTTGCTTAATACTTACTACATGTATGATACAGGTTTTTGATCAAATAAAGGATGTTTCAAGGCCTCAGCAGCAGTAATTCTTTTGGTAGGATCATAACAAAGCATTCGTTTTAAAAGATCTATTTCAAGAGAATCGCTTGCAAGCTCAGTATGTTGTTCCAAGCTTGGAGGATAGTAAGGAATTTGTGTCATGAGCTTGTAAAATTCCAAATCCTTCATGTCAGGCCAATCGTCCTCACTTGGAGTTCCTAAAATTTTGAATATTGTTTCCAATTGATCTCTTTGAAATGCTTCTTTACTTTCTCGTCCTTCAAAGATTGGTTTTGTTGTCACGAGCTCATTAAAAATACAGCCAAGGCTCCATATATCTACAGCAGGAGTATAATGTTTTGCACCTAGTAATAGCTCAGGCGCTCGATACCAAATTGTTACTACAGGACCATCATCGCTCAGTTTCCTTAATGGATCTTTAAATATTCGTGCCAATCCAAAATCTGCAACCTTGATCACTCCTCGTTCATTGCCTTCATCATGAATCAAAATATTGGCTGGCTTCAAATCTCTATGAATAACCCATGCTCGATGTAAATAATTGAGTCCACACAACATTTGATAGAGCATTGATTTAATGACATTTCTGTCCAATTTCGGAGGTAATCTTCTTGTTTGATTGGCATCCAACGGAATTTGTTTTTTATGATAATTTAACATTTTCTCCAAGTCTAATTTACAATAGGGAGTTACCTGCAAGTGTAAGTCCAAATATATTTGACAACATGTTGGTTGATGAAAGGTTTCACCCAACTGAAGTCCAAAATAACCTACCATATAGAACGAGCCATCACTCTTATCTAGTACAATGTCTTTCACTTTCAAAATATTTTGATGATCAAGCTCTTTCAACAACTAGAAGATTGTCACAAACTCCAATCCTAAAATGACTTACATTAATTTCTCTACATATAGAGAAGGGAATTCCTTCCGACTCTCGAGTCAATTTCAGTTTAAAGCTTTTAACGGCTACCCGATGTGATGATGAAAGTTCTATAACGATCCGATCAGAGTTGTTTTACGTCATGCATCATACACAAAGAAACGTACCTCTAGCTACTCTTACAATCTGCAGTCAGTGTATGAATTGTAACAACCACAATATTTATGAAACAACAAACAACATACTCCATAGGCACCTGTTTGTGAAATTGTCGTTTTAGCTGATTCTCAAATTTTGCCACCACAATTGCTTACCTTCTCCAATCCTTCCGATTGTTTCATACCTCTGATCGAGGGTCTTGTACTTTTTGAATGTCTTCTCCTTCAAACGACTGGTCATCGAATTTATATTTTTTAACGGTTTTTGATTAATCGGGAAAGTACTTTGATGGTTTGGTTTTTACGATCACGTGAATGAAGCTCTCAACAATTTATTTACATCACCTCAACATTTTATGGTACAAAACACAGACCTACCATCCACCTTGAATTCTAAGAACAAGATGGAGAGTGGAGTCTTTAAGAATATTGTAGTCGTTCAAAGTTCGTTCGTCTTGAAGTTGTTTTCCAGAGTAGATGAGCATTTGGTGTTGAGCTTTAATACCTTCCTTCTCTTGAATTTTGTTCTTGACGTGATAGATATTGTCGTCTTGTTCTACGTCCAGAGCAATACTCTTCCGTGAGTCTGAAAATTGCATACATTGTGTCGGTGTTCGGGAGGGGATCGAGAGTGCAATCAGACTTTGCTTCATTTGGCTAATATTTGTACATTAACACGATTGTCATAATGATCAAAACTGGCGAAATAGGTACGTGTATTTTGATTAAGTAGTCGTTATATGATTCTATTTTTCTTGTTGATCAATTGTCAAGCAGATTACACTGAGTTTTCGCATCTAATGCTTTCAGCAGAATCAGCATTCGAATCAAATGCAGCAGTACATGACTGCAACTTTCATGCAATATGCACATTTTGTTAATAAGTCGAACCATGTCCATTACGAACTTTGGCTCATCGACGAATAATAGCCAAATGATCAGCTTTGATTGTCGATGACTATGCTCTCGATCCTCCGGTTGTGTTTTTGTTTTTTGTTGAATTCAAAAGAAACGATTATGGCTCGCTTTTCAGCACAGCCACGAACGTGTCCAGTAACCGCAAGAAGTTTATTTTCTATTTTTCTGCAGAAATTCAAATACTTTACAACAGCACCTTCAAGTCTGAGGTGCCACTGTCTACGGATTGTTCGCCACAATATCGCTTTTTGATCCAAAGTGATTCCGATAATATTGTTCACAGTAATTGGGTTTAAAAACACCGGGTACAATTGAAGAGCAGTACATGACAGGAGTAATGTCTCGATCTCTTTCATAAATTCGATCTTGCCATGCCTCATGAATACTTTGAACCCTTCGAGCCCATTTCTCGTCCGTTTGGGGAGGAATAGTTTGAAGTCCAAGAGACGTTCCAAATTCACGAAATGCTAATCGATATCTTCTTCCGCCACTCGTGTTGTCAAAGTAGTTTTCATTGGTCCATAACTCTTCAAGACATTCTAAGGCAACTTTTTGAATGTGTTGAGACCATTCTTCAGATGAAAACCAGCTAGAAATCCACAAGCTTTCTCCTAAATCCAAAGGATCGTAGCTTGAATAATTCATAAACTTTTTCATCACCATTCGTTCCATTTCGTGAATTTGCTTTTGCAAAACATCACCTTTATCACTAGGATGGAATAAGGAATGGACATTTCTTAATAATTTGTAAGTAACGTAACCATCGAAAGGATCCAAGTTGCCTTCTGATCGTACCACTGGTCTTGATCCATCAATACTAATCTTCCAGTACATTCTCAAATGATGTGGGGATGTTCTATTCATAAAACGATCATGCATGGACTCTGCCATTTCAATCGCCCATCGGTTGTAGAGCTCCTCTCCAGTGATCAGACTCATTCTATTCAGAGCAAACATCCATTTGGTTAGGTAATGAAAGTATTGGCCATCTCCATCCTCGTGATCTTCATTATACTTTTTACCAATTCTTAAACCACCCAACAAGGGATGATCGTCCGACGCATTTCCTTAAGCACACAATTGTCGATGCAAAAGAATGAACATTATAAGAATAACGTACCAAGTCGACGTTGTAACTGTCTGTCCTTTCCTAACACGTTGTGTACTTCATCGATTAAGGCTTTGGCTTGTCTCAAATATTTATCTTGGTTGGTTTCAATGAAGAGAGTTAGGAAATTGCACACGGCAAAAGCATCTGTCCAAAGATATCGTGTTTGTGTTCCGGATTTTAAAGCCTTTGGTGTATACGCCACTTCGTTTGAGAAGGAGCCATAAACATTTTCCATCACTTCAATACACTTCTTCAACATTTTTTGATTTCGTTTTTGACCGATTTCCTTATTTTGTGCATGAATTCACTTGTTTCACATTTGGAATTTTTACAATAGTAGAATTGCTTAATTTGACGAGTTAAAGGTTTAATACTTTACGACCACTTTTTGTTGGTTGGAAGGATTAATGGCGAGTTTTTGTTGCTTAAGCTCTTCTTCTTTGAAACTGTTTTTGAGATTCTTTTTTTGCTCTCTTTTTTGCCTCTTCAATTCCTTTGCCTTTTTCTTTCTTTCTTTTCGCTCTTCTTTTGTTTCGTTCTTGTTTCTTGCCTGACCTAAATTTACAACCTCCTCAAACTCATCTTCTTCAACTTTTTCCTCAGTCATGTCAACTTTTTGTTTTCCGATGACTCCAATAGGTAAACCTGACTTTTGTGACAATTTGATTTGTTTTTTCTTGCGTGGTGCGTCATCAATGACAGATGGATGGTTATAAATGTTTGTGTAACTGGTGAGAATGGTTTCACAGTCCCATCTATTATCTCGTTCAGGGATTGTAATGACCTCCGTTTCACATTTGGATTCCTCTTTTTCAATTCTTTCCATTTGTCTCACTACCATCTTGTATCTTTCTTCTGGGGTCAATTCTCGCATCTTCTCAAAGTCTTCTCTACGGAAAACTTTCACGTCAGGAGGTAATTGTGCTTCAATTTCTTTCAACTCTTCATCCGTAATAGTTGAACTGGTTTTGAATTCACCAGCTCCAAATCTTCTTCTTTGCTCAGTAAAAAAGTCTTCAAGCAAGTCATTCACTCGCTTTGCATCAAATTCTGTATTTTCTCTTAGCTTTGGGTCGTTGTCGTCCAATTCACCAATCTGATCGTCAGCATATGCCGTCTTATAGAAAATGTCAAAATCTTGATCAAATTGTTTTCTGTTTTCTGATTTTGTGAAAATAGGGTCCTCTTCTTCATTCTCTGCATCTTCCCATTCGCCTTCTTCATCTTCTTCATCTTCCCACTCTCCATCTTCATCTTCCCATTCACCATCGTCATCGTCATCTCCTTCGACCACAGTAAATGACACTTTCTTATTAGGTTGCGTACTTGGTTTTTCGTCCTTTTTAGCATCCTTCTTGGTTGTGACAGATGCCTTTGTAGTGGTTGATTTTTTGTTGACATTTCTCTTTGCCTCTTCCTCTTCAATTAAAATCAACTCTTCTTTTGGCAAAAATTTTTTGAGCAATTCTTTTGGCAGTGGCTCATCGTTGTCAAAATTGAAGACTCGAGGTCGTGTTTCATCTTCTTCTTCGTCAATGTAATCGTCATCGTCACCTTCTTCTTCTTCAGCTTCTTGAATTATTAATTCTTGAACAATTTCTCCGAAGAAATCGTCATAATCTTCACCGTATTTGTCCATTGGATTTACCTTTTCTGTTTCATCATTATTTTCGTCTTCTTCTTCCTCTGACTCAGTCTCGCCATCGTTCTCCAAAATCGACTCAATTTCAGTATCTATTTTACCATGAGCATATTTTTCCAATCCATACGCCTTAAAATCTGGTTTAAGCTTGAATGGAATCTTTGAAGCATCTATGTTAGGTAGTTCAGTAGAGCTGCTTGCTGTTTCTTGTTGTGTTTCTTTGATCCCATTAATTAGTGTTTCTAATGTTGGCTTTACTATTTCTTCTTCCTCTTCTTCCAAGTCCTCATAGTCCTCTTCATCATCGTCTTCCTCTTCATTTTGTGCAGGACTTTCCTCATAAAGTATAGATGGTGGTTGATATGTTTCGTTTCCAAAGGCGCTGATAAAGGTACCACCTCCAATCTTTCGGATGTGTTTTGAATAGTCATATCCATCATCGGGAAACAGGCCACCAACCGTCCTTCTTAATCGCTCGTTGCGCTTTTCTTCGGTCTCTTCGGAAACAATTTCTTCCTCAAAATCAAACTCATCATCAAATTCACCATTTTGCATATCCATCAACTTTTGAAGACCAAACATGACCTTTGGTTCCTCTTCTTCGTCCACATCCTCTTCGATAACATCTCCCAATGCTTGCTTCAATTGCTCATATGTTTCTTTGGCTTTTTCCGATTGATGTTGTAGATTTGTCGGAACCCAAACAGTGGTTTTGCCATCAACTCCACCCTGAAAGAGTTTGAATGTGATACCGTTCTTCTTTTGTTCGGTTGATGATTTCTTTTCTCCTTTTCGCTGTTGTTTTGGCATTTTTTTGAACTTCAAATAAAAATTCACACTGTGCAAACACAATAAAGGAACAATAAATTAAGTTATTCTGTATTAATTACTCTTCGGTTTCTTCTTGCTGTTTTTCTTCTTCTGTTACAGGTTGTTTTACAATTGTTGGTCGTTTGAATCTTGAGCCAGGCTTTGCGGAGGATGGAGTATTGGAAGCGTCTTCATCTTTTTCTGTATTTTCTTCAACGTCATCAGTTTTTACCTTTTTTTGCGGCCTATCTTCTACAGCAGTTTCAGAAGTAGATTCAGTGGCTTGAGATGATGAGGCATTAGTTGAAGGAGTTGTGACATCTTGCTGAGCTTCAAAAGCGCTATCGTCTTTTTGGAATTCTTCAATTGTTCTTTTTCCCGTTATCGATTCTACTTTGTCGTCAGAAGTAGCAGACACAGGAGTAGTTTTGTCTTCACTGGAAGAGGAGGCAGCTACATTATTTGAGGAAGTAGCTGGAGACAGAGAGGAAGGTTGTGAAGAGGATGAAGCTTGAAGCTTTTGCATCTTTAGCAATAACGCAGCACGCATTTCTTCTTTTCGTTTTTCATCTGCTTCTTTCTTTCGTGCCTCCTCCTGTTTTTGTTTCTCCAATCGCTCTTCCTCTTTACGTTTTTCTTCAGCCTCCCGTTTGCGGGTCTCTTCTTCTTGTTTTTGTTTTTCTAACCTCTCTTCTTCCTTACGCTTTCTTTCCATTTCCTCTTGTTGCTTTTTTTGATTTTCCTCGTCCTCAGAGGCGGAAGGTTGATGTTCTTGCGATACCACGGGTTTCTTAGGTTCAGATTTTGATCGAGACTCCTCACTTTTGTATCTCTCAATATCACTTTTTGCTTGTTTCAGCTCCAATTCAAGCTTGGAAATTTGTGACTCTAAAGATGAAATTTTCTCTTGCAGCTCTGTATTTTCTTTTGCTAGTCCTTGATTGGTCTCCTTTTGCTTCTTCATGATCGTGAGCATTTTTTCTTTCTTTTCTTTCAGAACGGCTAGCTCTTCATTGACATTTGCTATTTCTGTGTTCAGTCTTGTGATTTCTGATTGTGTTCCTTAACAGAGGTGACTTGCTTTGAGATTTCTTCTTTGGCAGATGAGAGTTGATTAGTAAGATGCTCAATAGTTTCAACCTTTTCCAGTAATTCTTTTTCTAGTCTAGAACTTTCTTGTTTTAGCTTTTCATGAACATCTGGATCTATTTGTTTAAACTTTTCTACCAAGTGTTGTGCCTTGTTCTGATATTTGATAACATCCTCTTGCAAAGACTTAATTTCTTCTTCACGTATTTCTTTCTCTTTTTTCAGTTCGTTGACATGTTGGCTTAATGGTGCCAACTGCTTTCTGGCTTCTTTGAGTTCTTCTCTAGTTTGATCCAGCATGCGGGTAAGCTGTTCATTTTGTTGCCTCAATGCCATGTTGCTTTCCTTGAAAACTTGTACTTGCTCTTGCAAATCTGCTATGATATGGCCAGTACGGTCTTGATCTTTTGACTGTTGTTGATTTTTCTCAATCTCCGTCTTTAGTTCTGTTTGAATTTGAGCAAGCTCTTTGAATGCATGCTCAAGCTTTTGTTTAGTGTTCTTTAGCTCTTGCTCAGCAATGGCAAGCTTTGATTTTAACATTTCTTTTTCTCTTCGAATGAAAGTGATGGTTTCTTGAAGCTCCAATATTTCCTTGGTTTGATCGTTACTACTTGATCCCAGTACAATATCTGTAGATGTTTGTATCTTCTTTAGTTGAATGTTCAATATCTCTACTCGTGAGAATGATAACTCGAGCTGACGTTCCAAATCTTTAACTCGCTTTTCATATTCCTCGGTTTGCTTCATAAGATCTTCATTGTGTTTAGATAAGCTAGCAGTTTTTCGTTCCAATTCCAATTCTAGCGTTTTAACTGTAGATTTTGATTCCTCTATGGCAACATACGCCTTATTCAGCTCTTCTTTGTTTTCTTTAAATGCTTCAATAGTAGCTGCATGACGAATAAGCTCTTGTTCATACTTATCCTGCGCGTCCTTCCAAAATTGAGTATGCCTCCTAAGGTCTTCTTTCAAAATTTCAATTCGTTTTTCGTATGTCTCGGCATTTAACTTATTTTCAGAGTCAACTGTCTCAACCATTTGTTTCTCTTTCTTGGTTTGCTCTGTCATATCATCCAGTTGTTGCTTGATATTGTCAACTTCATCTCTCCTTTGTTTTAATTCCTGCTCATACTCATAAATTTTTTCATTGAGAGCTACTATTTGTTGATTAAGAGAAGATATCTTAGATTCGGAAGAGTGTTTGAGCTTGTCAAATGCGTCTGTCATATCCTTTAAAGCCCTGTCATTAGTTTCAGCAAGTTCTTTCATGGTTTCCAATTTTGCTTTTTCATTTTCGAGAGACTCTTTCAAGTAGACATTTTCGTTTTGTACTTTGGAGAACTGCACTTGTAGTTCGTTAATGTTGGTAGGTGTCGACTCAGATGTGCTTATTCCAATCATTTGCTTTTCTATTAATTTGTTCAAGCGTTCTTCAGCAGCGTTTAACTTTTGCTGAAGGGAAGAGGTCTTGTCAAGTTCAAACTCGTAATTTGTCTTGAGCCTTGTGACTTCATCTCTAAATTTTTGGCACTCCACAGTCTTAACGTCTAGCTTTTCTCTGTGCTCTTGTTCCTTCAGGTCTATTTGAAGTCTGAGCTCTTTTGAAAGTAGTCTTTCATCTTCAAGTGATTGTCTTAATTGAGAAATCTCAATTCTGCAGGTTTCAATTTCTTGTAAAGCTCGTTTCTTATCATTTTCGTCTTTTTGTTCAAGTCCAATTTGTATCTTTTGCAGGCTTGAGTAAAATTCTTCATTACGTGATAAATGTAATTTCAGATTATCAATCTCAAGGATGAGCCTTTCAGAACGCTGTTCATGGTATAGCTTTTCAGATTTGGTTTGGATTAATTCCTTCTCCAAACGTTTGAGTTGTTCGTCCTTGCTTTCATAATTAATTCTTTGTCTATCCATACTGGTTTGTAGGGCATCAATTGTCTTTGTCAAAGAGTCATTAATAGAACGAATACGATTCAATTCTCTCATAGTTGAATCACGCTCTAATGTCATATTCTGCGAGCTATCTTTCAAGAATTCTACCTCTGATGTCAGTCGGGCAATACTTGAGTGAAGTTTGGTAATTTTTTCATTCTTTGCAGCAATTTCATCTTGAAGTAACTTCTTGTCTTTTAGAATCTCTTGTTGAAGCTCTCGTACCTCCTTGAGTTTGAGATGCTCTACAGTCTTAGAATCTTGGCTATCTTTTTGCTGAGGATTTGATACGTTGAAACTGGTAGAGTTTTGGGTACTCTTTTCGTCGAGTAAGGATTTGTACATATCTCGTTGCTTGATTAGCGATTGAATTTTTTCCATTTGTCTTTGGCTCTCTCTTCTTAGATCCTCCACCTGTTTTAGTGCTACTTGAATTTTCTCTTGGAATTCAGTGGCCATAATTTCCTGAGTATGTCTGGCTTCTTCCTCTTTTTGACTTGCCAATTCTCGTATTGTTGTCAACAACTCAACATTTCTCTTTTGCAATTCGTCAATATCAGCAAATGGAACTAATCGTTCGGTTATAACAGCATTGGCATCAAGGCGGGAAGAAGACTCAGAATTGGTGTAACCTTCCTTCAATAATGTTCTAACTTGAAGAGAAAGATCTTGATTCACTTGTTCTGCGGTCTTCAAAGATCTGCGCAACTTCTCAGCTTCAGCTCTTAAATTTATCAGCTCATCCTTGACGGCTTCGGTCTGTTGGATAAGATCTTGCTTTTGTTTTGTCAACATCGTATAAGACGATCGCAGTTGCTCATACTCTTCTCTTTGTGCTTGCATTATTGGAGCTTTTTCCTCCAAGTCTTTCAAAATTCCGGACAGTACCTCATTCAAACGCTTATTTTCATTCTTAGATTTGAGAAGTTCGTCACTGACCTTCACAAATTTAGTGTAAATGTCGCTAGGACTAATTCCCTGAGTGACAAACGTAGAGGCACGAAGTTGAATGTTTTCCTCCAAATCTTTCTGATATTTTCTAATTTCTACTTCAAGAGATTCTATTTTCTCCTTACTTTGCCGTAATTGTTCGTTCATAGACTCTCTTTCCACTTCAAAAGAGCTTTCTTGTCGTTGTTTTGCCTCTTTTACATTCGACAAGCTTTTCTCCAGGTCTTTAATTCGATCTTCTAGATCGTCATGCCTATTTTTATATAAATCAGAGAGTCTTCTTTCATTGGTCAACTCCTCATTAAGCCCATCCAACTCTTGAAGGTGAGAGTTTTTGAGATCACGAATTTCTTCAATCTTTTGTTGAAGTTTGTGATTGTACTCCTTATTTGATTGCTCCAAGCGAGATATCTTTTCATTTAGATTGGTGATAACATCTTCCTTTGTTTTGGTTTGTATTTCTAGCTCGTTCAGCTTCAACATGTACTCTGATTTTAACTTTGTTATTTGCTCTTGCTTTGATGAAAGTTCCGAATTTAACCAAGCATTTTGTTTTTCTAATGATTCTTTTTCTTGTTGAAGTTTTTCAATAGAATACTTTAAAGGTAGTACTGATGTAGATATTTCTTGAATCTTTTCTTCTTGCTCATGTTTAATCTTATATTGTTCATTAATTTTTTGATTGAGTGACTCGATGTGGGCTTACGACTTTAAATAGCAATTTTAACGTGATAAATAAAACATACAATTTAAATCTTCAATCTCCTTTGTCTTTTTCTCGACAGAAGATAGTAATCGGAATTTCTCAGCCTTGAGTTCCTCGTTCACACTGCTAATTTGTTCCAATTCATTTCTTTGTTCATGCCATCGCCTTTCGCTATCTTTGACTTGCTTTGTGAGGTGTTCAATCTGGTCTTGATAATTTTTAGCTTCGGTTTTGTAGTGCTCTATTCGCTCCTTGAGTAATTCATATTCCTCAAGCTTTGAATTTTGTTGTTGCTCGAGTTTGTTCAACAAAGATTCATTTGATAGATGCACTGTTTTCAATTCCTCCCTGCACTCCAAGAGCTCCTCTTCAATTTTAGAAATATATTCCTGAGCCTTTTTTTTGATCATCATGGGATCATTGCCGAATTGCTCGAGCTCCTCGGCTGAGAGAAACGAAAGTTTCATGTTGTCATCATCAGCTGTTTGGGAGCGATCAATCATCGACATTTTTTTATTCAATTTAATTTAATACATCATGATATTATTGAATGGGGATCTTGCAAACAACTCGAACACAATGGCATAATAAGTCTTGGAAGGAATCATTTAGCTTTATCTCCAACAAAGATTATCATTGTGGTGTGATGGTTTTGGTTTTGAGAATGAACGTTCGCCATCTCTCCGTTCGCCGATGCTTCATCCACAAACAAAAAACGAACACGCGTCGCCAACTCCATTTTTCTCAAAAGACGTTAAAATATTCGTCCTATCGCATGATTCGGAAGAGAGCGGAGCCTTCTTCATCATCATCAAGTACTACTTGTGTGTTTACCACTTTATCATAAAAAGAATTGCATGTTTTATCAATTCAGATTTAAATCAACTTTCCATTGCATTTTCAATTAGATTTGTCATTGCAAATCTCTCTCATCCACAACGCAAAGGAAAGTGATCACTGCACACTGAGAACTGGATTCGTAGTCGATACTTCTTCCTCTAAATATTTGTAAATTATTGTTGTGATTCAAAAAATCACAAGAAATTCAACAGTTATTGTACTTTATTTCATCATGAAGCCAATTCCTATTACTAAACCTTTATCTATTAGACAACAACCAATTAATTTCAGTAGTCAAAGTTATCAAGAATGTAATGCCAACGACATTGACGACAACACCTCATTCATGCTTGATCATTGCATCAATGGATCTGTTCCTGCTTCATCAAATTTCAGCACAAAAAAGTCAATCAGCAGTTCATTAACAAAAGATGCAAACGATTTCATGGCAAAGAAAACTCTTTCTCGCCCTCCTCCAATAACTACATCCTCTTCTTCTACCGCTCCCAATTTTGTAAGACCCAATGTACTTTCGCCAACTCTCCAATCCAAACGAAAGTCCGCAAACCTTACCTCTCCCACCCTTTCTCCAAACTTTATACCCTCGAATTCCCTTCAAACTCTGAATAGCAATCCAGACAATGAAAAAATCATGTTAGATTTTTTTCAAGTTTTCCAAAAACAGCAAGCAAAAAGCAATGATGGTTCTGGAGCTTCCTCAACTGATGAAGACGAAGTGTACATGAACATTTTATCTTCTTCACTGTCTGCTCATCAAGATTGGTCGAGAATTATAAATAAGGTTGACAATGCACTGGTCAAGTCTCCCAGTGAAGCATTGGACGACAATGACCGGCAATGTCAAAGTTTTCATTCCATCACTGAGCTTGACAAAAAGAAAGTCAAAAGAAATTGGTTTAGATTTATGAAAATTGAAAGTGATTCTTCTTTTGAAGATGAAGAAAATTCTGACTCAGAAGAAGAATCAGCCAACCACTCTTTGGATAAGAAAGAAATTCTACTCTTATTTTTACTTCAGCATGTTGCTAAAGAATTAAACCCAGACATGTCCTTCTTTTTGAATTTATGCAAGCATTTGGGAAAGCTTGGATATTTCTCAGATAAGATGACTGATGAAAATTTTATCAAAACACTCTGTAAAGATTTCATGCAAGATATAGCGGATATTTTCCCATCCATCGTTGAACACGAAACCTCTAAGGGTAAGATTGTGAGATCCGAAAGTCATGCGTCTTACTTGTCAGAAATTTCACATTCTCCATCATCGTTAAGAGATAATTTTGGTAGTCTGGACGACATTCCTGTATTGGATTCAATGTTCTATAACACTAAGCGACTCGAAGCTGATTATTGTCACTTTCAAAAGCTTGGTAAATCAAAACCTTACTCATCAATAATTAAGGCCACTCATAGAATCGATGGACGGACGTACGCTATTAAGAAAGTCCACTTTCATTTTAAGAACACACTAGAACTTGAACATGTTTATTCATATGTTGTGAATGAAATAACAGCACTTGCAAAGCTTGACCATGAAAATGTTATTAGATTTTATGCTGCTTGGTTTGAGCCATCAAGAGAGCATGAATGTTCTCAACAAAAAGAGAATGAATTTACAACGAGCGATTTGTCTCATGAAGATGCAAGCCCTCTCGTATGGAATGACACTCATATCCACAACATGGATTTGTTAGAACATGATTTTCTGAAAAAATCCCCTCAAACGTTATCATCACGGCTTACCAACTCGATACAATTCGAATCACCAAAAGCACGACCCATTGATATCCATTGTAAAAATAATACCTCCTCACCACCACCCAATATGTCCTATCTTGAATTTGCTCTTGAACGAAAGAAAACACCAAATACTACAAAAAAGACCTATATTGACACAGAAACACAGAACATCACCTCTTCCGTGAAATCAATTCTACATGAAATGTTCAATGTAAACAATCACTTTGAAATGGTTCTATATATTGTTATGCAGCTTTGTGAAGGTACCACTCTTGAAGATTGGCTATCAGAGAAGAAGAAAAACAAGAAACTCCATCACTTGCAAGAAGCTCTACGGTTATTCAAACAGATTTTGAAAGGTGTCTGCCACATTCATGCACATGGCTTGGTACACAAAAATCTTAAACCAAACAATATATTTGTGCTTTCGAATGGAGTTATTAAGATTGCTGACTTTGGTCTAGCAAAATATCTACAAGAATGTCTTCTCAGCCACTGCAAAGATGGTTCCAACAGAAAAAAGTCTTCACAACATTCTGCCGAGCAAAGCTCATTATATTCTAGCCCTGAACAAATTTTTAATTCCAAGTTTGATCAAAAAGGAGACATATTTAGTTTAGGAGTCATATTGTTTGAACTCATTGCACCTTCTTTTATTACAACTACAGAACGAGTTCATGTCCTTACACAACTTAGGAAAAAAGAATTCCCAGAAGAAATGATTAAGAACTTTCCACGAGAAATTGAAATTGTGAAACAATGTTTAGAAAAGCCCAATAACCGACCTACAGCCCAAGAGTTACTTCACAAAATTAGTAGACTCATCAAAGCATACAAGATTGAGGGAAAGTTTTCTAACTCGTCAAAAACAGCCTCTAACTTGCACATGCTGTCCACGCCCAGTTTTCCATCCTACGATACAATTAAAGAAAAGAATAGAATTATTGAGGAGCAGCAAAAGCAAATTGAAATGCTGTTGGAACAACTCAAGAATGTAAATTCAAAATAACATGTTTACTGAGCTTAGTTTCTGTCTCTTCGATTTAGTCATTCTTTGCTTTTCTTGATATAAATTCACAACACAGCACAAATTTGATAATTCTCAACACAATCACCAGAATGACGAAAGCAATCCATGCTGCAACCCCTCCCAAGAAACCCACTACCACCTTCGTTGGATAATATTCACAATCCTTATACTTGTATTCGAGCTGTCCATTCTTGCTTTCAATTTCAAACAAACCAACATTTCCTGCAAAATCACCTTGAACAGATTTCACAGTAATTTCCATTGCTCCTTCCTTGTGTTGATACTTGCATCCAAAGTGATCATGACCATTGAAAATATACTTTGGTTTGAGTTGATCCAAAAGTATTTGTGAAACTCTTGGAGATAACATGTTTTGTTCAATAGGCAATTTCTCTTCTCCTTCTGACCATCGAATATAAGGTCTATCCACACATGCTCCTTTTGGTTTGTGAAGTGGAACATGAATAAACAATACCACTTCCAAATCATCTTTCATTGATTGCTTCATTTTACGCACCTCCTCAACCATGTCCCATGTTGCTCTGAACTCTGCCTTATCTTCAGCTCCATCCAATACCATGGAATTCAAAGTGACGGCAATGACTTTCTTGTTACCCTTCTCTAGAATGATATCTTTCCTATTTTGAACACCAAAAGCGCCAATAAATCTCTGAACTCTAAAGAATGATGCCTCAATACCATAACCAATATCATGATTTCCTGTTAAATTAACCAAATAAGGAAAAGGTAAATTACGTAATGAAGTTTCTGATCGAACATTCTTTTGCAAGTATTCTTCTTCCTTCAAATCTCCACTCCTCAATTGCAACAATCGGTTGATCCATTTAAACAGTCCAGAGAAATTTCTATTATATCTTTCCACTCGAACATCAAATTCCTCATTCGAAACATGTTGTGAAGAAAATAAATCACCAAGCATGTAAATGGTATCAGGTTGAAGAAAATAATGAACATTCTGGAAAATTAATGTGAAATAATAATCGTTGAAATAATTATTTAAAAGTCCGTATTGACCTATATATAGGATTGATGTGAGTAAGTGTGTGAAATTTTATCACGAGAGTGTGAAAAGAAATTCAATTCCAAAACATTCCGTGGATGGATTCGGAAAGAAATCATCATTCCCAGAGTCATTCGAGTTTCGGAATGGAACATGTTGAAAAAAAACATGAGGATCAATGCTACTACTCTTGTTGATCACATACCTTGATGATACACTTTGGTATCTCCCTCCATTTGCGGATCAGCAATTAAAGCAATTCTTCGAGAAGTGGCAGACTTGGATGTTGACCAATGACATGAAAGTGGTGAGAAGACCATGTAGGTTGCCATGTACACGACAGACAAGGTGACGAGAAGAGAACCAAATGCCAAGAATCGAAAACACCAATTGGTGTTGCTGGAAGCACGTTTGGCCATTTTTTTGATTGGTGAAGTGTGTGATCACAAAATACAGTGGTGATGATGCTTGAACTCTCTTCCGATTCACCATTAGCCTGATTTATCTGCTCGGATTTCACATGTCAGCAATAAGGGAGGATCAACAGGTTCCGAAAGAGTACACGTGTCGTTCATCTACAGTTGAAAACAAGTTTATGGATCTTTAAGAAATAAATAATATTCTTGTACATGCGAGTGTGTTGAATGATGAATCTGAATCACAATAATAGTGGTTGTCATGCCTATTATTTATGTTTGTGGTCTTCTTCGTCATCCACAAGGCAAGGATTGTTTACAATCTTTCTACCATTCAATACCAAGAGGAAATAAATAGCAACAGTGATGGCAAGATAGAATATGACAGAGAGTAAACCAGTGGTTAAACTTTCTAAGGGAATTCGAATAATCACGACGAAAATTGACCGAATTCATCCAATGAAAAGATAGTTTGATTGAAGTGTGTATAATAGAAATATGTGTGTTTAGAGACCTCTATTTAAACGTTACATACCCGATGATGGTACTTTGGAAGCGCTGGCTGCAAGCATAAACAATGAAACGAAAAATCCATATTTCAAAACTGAGAAGAAAACGTTTGATTGGTTTTCTTGCTCAAATGGAGATTTTCCTGAAGGCTTGACAATGTACTTTCCTAAAAGCAAGTTGACAGAATCTTGCTTAATTCCGTCCTTGAAGTTATTCAAGTAGTATCTGGTAATAGAGTTCACACCATCGTTCAACAAACCAGACCATGTTCTTGTGCCAGTTCTTGTGAAATCTGCCTTAATGGCACCGGTACCAGCGTAAATAAGACTAATCCGATCACCATGATCAGCCCAAACTATAATTGTAGACATTGTTTGTGAATATGTTGTCAAAATCATACTACTTTTCAATACTTACTGTTCTGGAAGGTATGGTTCAATGCCTTATGGTCAGTAACCTTTTGTTCATTTGGTAACAATTTCAATGAATGCAATTGCTCTGTCAACACAATCTTAGCAAAAACGCTCTGGCAAACGTTAGTTCTATCCAAGCAGTCAATGCAGTTGGAACGAATGATACCGGTTTGTAATTTCAAAATATTACCGTCAGTAGTATTCATATGGAAATATTGGTGTTCCTTCATTAGTGGTTCAACTTGGTCTGTCAATTCAGAAATAGCACTGTAGTTCATTGACTTGCATTTATGGTGGAAATCAAATGCAATGTACTTAATCTTTTCTTTCTTGTTGTAAACATTGCAGAGATTGTGGTATTCATCAGCCAATTTCTTTTCAGAACCCTTTTGATTGACCAAATTAACCATAACAATATTGGAGTAACGATCCAAAATATGGTCGAAATGCTTCTCGAATGGTTTTCCTGAAGACTCTTTCTTCATCACAAAAGGTGGCTTGTATTGAATGTTGGCCTTTTGTGACCAAATCAATGGAATACTACCACGAACTTGAATGAATGAAATAAAGTGGTTACCATACTCCACAATCTGTTCAGTCTCAACAAAGTTTGCAACGTTTCCGAGTATGTCAGCACCTCTGATATTGTATCTTGTTCCGACTCTCTTACAACCCTTTCTCGATAAGAGAGTGAGACTGAAGGTGTTATCACCAACCTTGGCCTCCTTGGTTTCTACGACTGATCGTGATAATTTGGAATTAACAGTTAATTCTCACACAGCTCTCTCTGATAATAACAAGTACTTACATCCACGAATAAGTGGCACAAACCAGCCCTGAGCAGCCTCTCCTTGTCTTGTGAAATCCGATGCCAAATATCCATTCCACAAGAAGTGCTCGTCAGACTGTTACCCATCGGTAAAATTAGTCCAAATTGTTTCACATCAATTAAATTTTCAATAAACAAAAACTTACCTTTTCGCCAACATAATTCATTGATGGTGCCAGTTGGAACCAATTTTGAGTTGATATGGTGGCATCATAGGTGTATGAAAAGTAAAAAGTTCCATCATTCAAAATTGTAGTGAGCAGTTCCAAATATTTGCTCTCATCAACAGAGTGTTGAGGAGAAACTGGTTTTTGATAATATGGGATGATCTTCACCTCGGAAACACAATAGATGGTATGGATCTTATCAATCTTGGCCACAGGTACGCTTTCTTTCACTACAATCAAATAACGTCCAGCCAACAATTGAATAGAACCTAAAACAGCACTCACTCTATGTACAGGTTTAGCGTCTGTCTGTACATCCTTTGAATTCATCAAGCTCAACTTGTTGTTGGAGCGATTGATTTGAAGAGAGGCTTCTTTACCTCGGAGAATAAAATTCTCTGATGTTTCGAGCAAGTCAATGTATTGTTCGCAAACTCTCATTTTTTTCTGAATGATTTTCGAATGAACTGATTCTTGATAGCCAAGGTCGCTATCTCTTCAACACCCATCCATGTTTCAATAAATAATATTAAATTATATCTAACACAGCGAAACAAAGATTCCAAATGCCTATCTATGTGAATATCATGGTCAATTTAAACACTGATTCTTAAAATCAAAAACAACTTTGATTATTTATGAGAAAGCAAAAAATATCTTCATCATGAACGCACAACAGTGGATTGCAAAGCTCGAGAATACCCTACAATATTCTGAAAACCTGTTTCTTTATATTAACAACAAGAAGCTGATCGAAACAGATTTTGCAGGAGATCATGATCGTCTTGCATTCGTTGCTCAAGAATTACTCGACACCAACAAAACACCACAAATCAGACATCAAAGATTGGGCGTATTGTTGAGCATTTCTCATGGTATTCATAAAGACTTGCTGATTAATTTGTTGTTGTCTCCACACTCTACAACCCTTTCTCGATTGATCGCATCACACATTCATTTAATTTTGAATGAAAATGAATTATTGAATTTATTTGATGAAAAGTTTATGCAAATGAGTGAATTCACCAGATTGAATTTAGAAAGATGTATTCGAAAGAATTGTAAAGGATGGATTGTGAATGTCATCAAGAAATTGATGGATCGAGTGCAACCAACGGAATGTGTTCACATGTTAGCTCATTTACCATCCTCAACTCCAGATGACATTATTTTAGATTTATTGAAACAATTGCAACCCATGAGTATCCGAACCTCTGTATTGGTTAAGAAACATCCAACTGTGATCGCCAAATTACTGAGAAGCTATTTAGATGATGTCATTAATTCCTCTCCTAAAAACGTAAGAACAAAACGTGCAAAAAGTCTTCTTTCTTCTCATTCAATCTTGTTCACTCAACTGATCACATACCAAGCAGAAGAAGCTTGGAGAATTGTGAATGAGTATTTGATTGAGCCCAGTTTACAAGAACAATGCCCACCTTTGGATGGTGTTCAGTATTTGGAAGACTCAAAATTTTACAAACTTCCACAATATACAGAAACTCTTCTCAAATGCATTCCATTGCTTGTGGACGTACCATTATTACAAAACAAGTGGAAAATGATGACTGTCAATCAAATTGCAACTATTGGCTTGTGTGTGATTGAAAAGTTCAATAATGTGCCTTCTCAACGTGCCCAATCATTCATCGACTCTTTCTTTGTTGCAGATTCCAATAAGAAAATACAACAACGAAAATTGGTATTCGAAAAGATGTTCTCAAAAGGTTTATCCAAAGAAAAGTTTGCAACTTGGATTTATTCGAATTGTGAAAACGAAACGACACCTCCAGAATATCTCTCTTATTATCCATTTGAAGTCTCTAGTCAAGTTGTGAAAAAATTATATGAAATTAGGAAGAAACAAACTTTTCAAAATGTGAGCGAAGAATCTATTTATTGGAAATATTTTTATGATTTAAATAATGAGGACATGTATAAGCAATTCAAATCAAGCACTTCTCATCCACAACCTGGTGTAAGATCCAAAGTTATTCAAGATTTACTTTTTTGTGCCTTGTACACAGGAGCAAAAGTTAAAGAGACACTCGAATGGTTGGAGACGAGACTCAAGAACGATGAAGATACCTGTCAGAACCTATTCGTTGCCATGAACTATTCTAAACACCTTAATGAATTGATGGTCAATGCATGTAGAGAAAAGGAATGTATGCGCATCTTCATTTCAATTTTTGAAAGTGGAATTACAAGAAAAGCAAATCTGCAGTATTATGTGAGTCAATTTTACTCAACAGTCGTCAGCCAACTTGCAGATCGTTGTGAAGTGCTGAAACTTGTTGTAGAGAGTTGCTTGAACCCCATATTTAGAGAGTCAAACATACACTTTTATACTCCTTTAAAACCAGAAATTCACAAAGATTTGTGGAATGTCATGATGCCTTCGATCAAAAACCAAGTCACATCATTGGGCAGTATCGACATATTCAGCCAATTTATGACCAACGTGATTTCGTTAAAGAAACAAGAGCACGTCAAGAAGGCATTTTCTATATTTTTCAACGAATGGTTCCATGACTGTATCAAAAAAGTTTCATATTTTCACAATATGGAGAATTTGATCGATATTTATATTTTCAAGTTGGATCCTAGTCCTTCAACAATTACCTCCAAAGTTAAACACTTGCTGAGCATTGACAGTCGATTACTAAGCATCCATGCCATTCAGAGGGCTCTGTTAGGTCGAAATACTCACTTTGAAAATAATTTCCTCTTCCAATATCTTCGTGAACATGTCATGACCTCTGAAGAATTTGAAAAGTTAACTCCAGTTTCCTCACAGTCAGTCATGGCCATTGATACACAAACTTGCATTACCTTCCATCCCATTGTACTCCATGGATTGAGACTTTATGAATACTCGACACGAGAGGTAACACAACGACTGTTGAGCACTTTTAAGGATTTACTACAAAAGGTCGTAAAAACTTTAGAAATTGATCGCATTTGCTCTCAACTCTACCTAACTCGTACTTCTCTCGTGAAGAAATCAATCAAGATGTTACGCATGTTATGTGTTGAACAAGATGAAATGAATGATTTTGCTCAATTTTTACAAGAACACATCTTGAAGAGAGATGTTAAACAGGAGGATGATCACGATGCATCCGACGACGTACACGTAGAACCTCCACTCTCCAATCTTGAAGACAATGCTTCTCGTTGTTTGGCTGAATTAGTACAAGTCTTTTCACAAGATCCAACTCAATACTTGGATTGGATTCTAGAAAACATTTGCTCAGAAAATGTACTCTATTATTATTCTGCTCTCTGTAGAATATCTACTTTCATGAATGCACAACTATTTATTGAAAAGTTATGTACTATTTTGAAAGAGAAATTTGACTCTCTCACAATGCAATCCTTACAAGCTCTACCAAAGAACTTTTCAATTTCAGTACAAAAATTATTACTTTCCTTCTTGAAGAATCATGTGGAATATCCAGTGAATCATATCATCACGGAACGAATCTCAAATTTACTCATTGATTTATGGAAGAAACATCTTCACAAAGACGTACAAGTATCCATCGTACAAATAGCACTAAAAGCAGCAAAACATTGCTCCACACCAGATTTATTCTACAAATTCAAGAACACGATATTCCAAGAGGCCATCTCTCATCCATACTCTGAACTAGTTGCTCAACAAGTGACCTATTCCAAATCCAAAAATTTACAAGTCACACGTGATCTCTTTATTTTCAATTTAAATGCTCTCAACCATTCAGATGCAACGATTCAAACAAATGTTTGGCTTCTCATTTCGCATGCAGTTTCCGTATTTGATGTCTCTGCCATTACACCTCATTTCCATCCATTTAATGTTTTTCAAAATTATATCATTTCAGCTGCATTAACATTTAATTTAGCACAAAAACACGACATTTCCAATGCTGCCATTAATGTTTTGTTAAATGAATTGTGTAACAATCCAAGTGAAATTTGTCCATTACTATTCAACAAGATTATTACTCCTCTCTTGAGCGAGGACAAATTCAAAGAACTGGATAATGATACCTACAATGCTACTACTTCAGTATGGGATCGACCTGTCTCTCAACGTGTTCAAAATTTGGCAACATCCATTGCACATGTGTTAACAAGAAAATTTGAGGAAATTCATTCCAATGAAATTTTACAAGAAATTCAAAACAAATTGTTATTGCCATGGATTGAGCTGACCAAGAAGAGTGATGATGACGTATTGGTCATGAATCGACTCCCATATATTCCTTTAATTTCAAGTGTTACCAATTGGAAGAGCAAGGAATCCATTATTGAACATTGTGTGAAACGAATCGCTGATTATTTTAAGGACATTCAAGAGCCTCTTCGCTCTGTATATCTTGTTCAAGTGGCATCAAATGTATCTTCATTCATTTTCCATGGAGATGATCATTCGAATACGATCATTGAGGCCATTTCACAAGTAATTGAAAATTCAAACAGAGAATTCAGTGATCAAGAAATGTTAATTGCATGTGGAATATTGGTATCATTGAAGAATCCCAATGATCGAACGAGAGGCTTGTTGAGAACAGTGAGAGAAAAGCAGAATGCCCTTATTAACATTTTAGCAATGAAATAAATCTCTTGCTCCGAAACGGTTGTCAACCATCAAAGAAAAAATTGTTCGTTCTTTTTGCAACAACCACCGTTTCATCAGTTTCACACACAAGTCTTTCCGAATAAGAATTAACGAATCCCTTCACACTACAGAATTCTGTGTTGTGGTTACCATCAGAATCATCACTACTTTTTTAACTGAAAACACACAGATTTCAATTGAAGAACTCCGTTGTTCTAATACTTTCAAATCCATGCAACAACAACCACCACCATTCAATCACACCATTATTGACGAAGATGATCTAGTGGCATTATTACCACTTACCGAATCTTCATCTAGCATCAACAATAATTCTCAAGTCGTAGGTTCAACCTCGACCACTGTAACAACAACAATGCTCCCAGCTGAGATTCATGACACTTCGTTCAAGCAACAACAACAACAACTTTTAATGGATGAATCCAACAACCCGACGGCTGAGGAAGACACTTTTATCATACCTCGACTTCCTTTGACCGTTACGACTTCCTCCTTTACTTATCGATCATCATCACCAAAGACGTTGTCTGGTATGACAACATCAATGGTGGACAATACCACCATTTCCACTCATTCTTCACAACCAACCATGCAACAACAACGTGTCACTCCAGGTAGTAGCCACACAAAATCGTCATCTTCAGCCACATCTATACATGCAAATTCAGTCAGTACTACTCATTCGACGTCGAGTCCTCTCACACTCATGGTAAAATATGTAAATTCGAATAATGGAAAGGAATTATATAGCACATTAATAAGAATGGAGAAATATCCTGAATCGCTAGAATTCGTTCAACAAGTCACATTGAAAAGGTGGAATGATAAGTGTGAAATTGTGAATACAAATCTACAACCAACAACACACCACCTTAAAACATCTTCTCCATCCTCAATAATCTTAACCGGATCTTCGATTTGGAAAAAGCGAGAAACTCCATTTTCAAGAATAAGAGTTCAATGCACGGATCGATTTAATTCCCGAATTCAACTAGATTTAGATAACACGTTTTTGAAAGATTTTAATCTCAAAGAGAATGATTTGCTGTGGGTTCTTGTTTGATTGTTCCAGTTCCTCACAAGTAGTAGTAGGACCGTTTCGGCTCTCATACAGTTTCTCAATATCTTCGCACGAATTAAAAAGTTCAACTTTTGCTTGAACTGCGCGCCTTTGGGGTCAAATCATTTATGCACGAATGACATTAATTTATGAAATTTATTGTTATTTTATTTATGCAGTAAGGATCAACTTTGGCTTGGCAGCAGCGAATCTTGTCTTGTTTTGCTTTTCAATCTTCTTCTTCTTCCAGATAGGTGGGAACTTAACCTCTGGATCGGAGAAGGTTTGAATGTGAGCTCTCTTAGCCTCTTCGATGAGTCCAGCCTTTCTGACGTGGATAGAGAAGAATCTGGCCATGTGTCTGGAAGCCATCTCATCGTACATTTGCTTAACAGCACCAGAGACGGATGTATCACGGTATTCCTTGTACATGTTTCTAATGTTAGATCTGCTGTTGTATCTAATCCAAACACCAAAGTTCTTGACAGTACCTGGTTGAGCTTCCTTAACTTCCTTCAATGAAACAATTTCACCGTTGGCCTTCTTCAACTTGTTGATTCTGCTCATGAAATACCAGAAACGAGATCTAGCAATGACCTTGTTTGGAGCGAAGATTTGCATTCTGAAGAGTGGTGGTCTCTCAGTTGAGTTTCCTGGAAGCTTTCTAGCAATAATTTCATAATGATGGATTTGAGTCTTGGCTCCAGCGTTGCTGACTTGAGTAGTTTGTTTAGCCATGATGAAATGATGTGGGTTTTTGGCGTATTTTTTTTCAACAAAAATTCCAAAAAATATTAGTCAACCAAAGAGTATGTTTTACAATGCCCCAGAGACTTAAACTTCCTCAAAAATTTAAAAAAACTGCAACCGTTACTGCATTAAAATCTCACCATAAGTTGTTAATTTTAATTGCAAGTGGGTCAGATCTTGTTTCATCTGTGGCATCAATTTACTCAAACATTTTGCTGTTGTTCATTGACTGCACAACCAAAGCAGACACAACCGAAAAAAATGCCTCAAAAAGCACCTTCGTTGAACAGCGTTGTTGAAGTCATTGTTGTGGATGATTCACAAACTCCGACAACCCCTGCAAACCAAAACAACAATTTCAATGCCAATCATGACAACACCAATGTTGAAAAACTACTTGATCCGAGCGTTTTAGAATTATCTCTAGAAAAAGTCATTGATTTAGAAACGGGTGATGATCCGACCCATAAAAAATTTATGGATAAAAGTAATGAAAATATACTAACAGAGAATCAACAAGAAAAATCAAGTCCTGGTATAACAACAAGAAGAATTTCTACTCCAAGTATAATACCCGATGAAACGATCGAGGTGACAAATTCTCAAGAGCATGGAGCTCACATTCATCTAGCCAATCACTGAAATTACAAACAGAACAACCTACAGCCACCAGCGAATTAGTTGATTTATTACAAATGCCCAACTCAACAGTGAACTCTAAACAAACACCTGGAGAATTGGAAAAATTGAACCTTGAGAAGGGAAATAAGAGAAAACCCAAATCTTCAATTGCTTCTATTCCTTCTTCAACCAAGTCTGAAGAGAATTCTAACATTACAATAACATTTTCGAACATTGGAGTTCATGTTATTGAGAAAATTCAAAAATTGCTTGAAGAAGAATATGTGAAAAATGATTCAAAAAAGTCAAAACGAAAATCAAAATCAATCTGTTCTGGAAGCATTGAAGCAAATCCTTTATTTATCACCGAAAAGATTAATTATGATGAGAGATATTTGAAAAATTTAAACATTGAAGTAGAGGATTCATCAGAAGAAGAATCAGCTTTAACCACTAACTCTAACCAAACAAACAAAACATGTTATAATTGCTTAGGGATTGGACATATTCTAGCAGAGTGTCCGTATGAACTAGATTTTGACGAAATTGATAAAAATAGGGATTCATTTAGGAAAAAAGCGACTACTCGAATATTCGAAGCATTTGGGCCAACTCCAAAGCGAAGTGAAAAGAAGTCTCCTCTAGATATCAAGAATTTTGCTGTACGGTTATCAGAAAAAGCAAAAAAGACGACCTCTCGGTCAGTTTTGGCATCATACAAAGGAGAAACTCCTCAGAATAAGATTCATGAGAAAGATATTGGGACTGTGAGTGAAGAATTTCTTTATGGAGGAGCCCCAATTGAAGCCAGTAATTTTGAAGAAAAGAAACAAAAACTATCTAAAGTTTTTACTCGCTTAAAGGAGCATAAAGAATTCGAAAAGAAGAGAAAATTCGATCAATTCTCAACAGACGACCATAACTACATTCACATTCGTGAGTCACAAGAAAAGTCCTCTTCACAAGAAAGGTCAAAAAAGAGTAAAGAACCTTATCACAAGAAAAAGAAACAGTCGTATGACAAGAGTTATGACGACGGTGATAATTTGGAACCTCGGCAGCGTTATCGTTTCAAAGAATTTTTTGGTGAAAGAGATGGCAGACGCAACAATTCTCGTGAAAGTCGATCAACAAATAACACAGATCGATATTACTATGACCATTATGACGATGAATTTGAACGAGGTTTTCACCAAAGAAGATATAACAATGACGACAGCACTCCTCGAACAAATCAGTCCAAGAAAAAAAACGACTCAAAAAATCAATCTTACGCCAAGAAACAAAATTCAAAAAGAAAATAGCGAATTTAACTTGTGTGAACACACGCTTAAAGTTGGTGCAATTAACAGAACCATTTTCATGATATTGTTAGAATAAAAAGAAGCGGTCATATGTTTATTGTTGCTTGTAGATATCAAGCAACTGCCCCAAAAGTTCTGTAAAAACAAGCTTGTCTCCTAAACTACCAAGAAAAATCTGAATTTCTGATTATTTAGAAACTGGATCTCTTCGATTTTAGCGTATAAGGAATCAAATTGATTCTTTGCTTTCATACGGTTATCGAGGAGGTTGGTTGGAGCATATCCAACATCATCAACTGTGAACTCCTTCTTGTGACGTTGTTTAGATATCTTCCAATTATTCCATTTCATCATAAAAAGAATCCATTTTCGTTTGCCCACTTTTTGTAGGGAAAATCATTGGGTTAGCTCCTCATAGTGTTTTATAGTAAGGAACACCAGTAATTCATTTCCACAGTATTTGGAGAAGAGGAATTGTCTAAACATGGCTTGTGATGTATATTCTCAGGAATTTCCTTCAACAGACAAGTCACTGCCAATTCAATACTCTCTCCATTTCGATCCGAACTTTCAAAATAAGGTATTCCTAATGAGTTGGCATAATTCTCATCATGACTTTCAATTTCTTGCATTACAGTCTGATGAACTTGCTCTCAAAATGAATTAATTCAATCAGTCACATTTTGGATTTCCTGACATATAGTAAAATACATTTCACATTGGGAATGCAGAATTCTTTCATCTTGTGGACGCTTTTATATAAATCGTCAAAACTACTTTTCCTAGTTAAATCAAACATGAGAATCACACCATCCGCATTCTTGAAATAGGCAGATGATTCAAAACTACAGCTCCATATAACTCCTTTGACATATTGTCTTCTTTGATTGATAACTATTTTTGAGCACAAACCGAAACCAAAGTCATCGTTTTTGGCGTCACTTGCCAGAAATTTGTCATGTTGCAATCGATACATGAACCTTGATTTTCCTACACGTCTCTCACCAAGTATAATCACTATTATTAAATTCATATGAACAGAATATTCCAATATTTGAAGATCAACATGACAAACCTTTCACCTCATAATCGTAAATATTTGGAAATATTTTCGTTCGTTCTCTCATTTTATGTATGAATCCGTTCATGAGCAGAGAGTGGTCATTATGTTTGTTGGAATGGTTGAATAGGTCATTTTGACAATTGTTGGTAGTCATGATTTCGATCAATTCCGATGAAGAAGAACTTTGAATGACATTTTTGATCATTTTTTTCTTCTTGGAGGAACCAAGGCCAACCTTTACATTCTTATGAAATATAAGATTCATTAAAGAATGAAAGCATTGTTGTGTGGTTAAACAGTGAGCGGTTTAAGGTTTTCCCAATCAAAAAAAATGTTCAAAGGAAATCTTCATAAATATCAACGATCATCAACCGGAGCTCCAAAGACATCACCTCAAGCATCAAATCCACCTGCTGCTCAGCCACCCTTGAATGTTATGGAGGGATTTGTGTGTAGATTTTTGGAAGGATGTGTGAGAGGAATTTGTGATGTTTTTATTGAAACAATTTCTCATCCAGTGTTGGCTGCAGTGTTGCGATATATCAAGTAAGTTCAAATACGAACGCACAAGAGGTTAAATATTTTGAATATATTTTGAATATTTGATCCTTGTTTGAATTTTCGGAACATGAATATTATTTCGTGATGATTTGAATTTTTCTTGCCAACAACATTTCATACTACCCCAATTTAAAATATAATTCCATTAATTTTCAAAATATAATTCGAAATTATTAGAATTATTGGACCGGTCTACGTTCCAAAGATTTATTCTCACTATCGTCATCCTCAACCAAGCCAATAATTGAATAGATCCGAAATAATAATTTATTGTTGTTGTCTCTTACACAAAAAAGCATTCCATCCAAGCGCTATTGTATTTACAAATAAAACCCTATAAATAGGAGGTATCACTAAAGACATGCACGTTTTCCACATGTGAAATAGATGTCAATTTTTAAGAACAAATTGAAATTAATATAAGACTTACAATAATAATTAATAGCTTGAGCAAACGGCCACAATTTCAAACTAACGTCATAAGTGGCTAGAAAATCTTTTTGAAATTTAAATTTTAAGACTTGCCACAACGATTCACCATTCTTTCGAAAATCATCCATGTAAGATGGCGTTTTGGAATCTGGCATGTAATAATCTACAGTCGTATTCACCAGATAAAACGTTGAAATAATTGCAGGTGAGTAAGAAAAAGCCTCTGTCACAACTCGTTTGACAACCGTTCGGGCTCGTTCCTGTGCATTCATGGTAGCTTGCAACGGAAAGGCATGTTCCATGATACGAAACCAATTGTGTAAAATAGGACCCAAGACAATGGTTCCGTACGCGAACATTTTGAGAGACCGAACGAGGGAATGTTGTTGTGTGGTGTTATCATGATGAGAATTGTTTTTAGATGATTTTGCAATCATGTTTTGAGTGATGGCATCACCCAAACAAGTAATGATACCACACGATATCGATTTTGTTTTCACTGGATGCTCAATGAGCAATTCCGAATATCTACGGATCAGAAACATGTTCTTCGGAGATGTAATGTTCAAAGATATCAGTAATCGATTTCTATTGATATCAAGAGGACAGAGACGCTCTCTAATTTTTTTATGTTTGCATTGTTTATCTTTCAGACCATGTGGAGTCCACACGGCACAATCCTCCTCATGCGTTTTTGTGCGATGAGAATCGAACAGGTGGTCAAGTCTTTAGCGAGGGTTTCAGAGCTTATAACATTTTACTAATAATGGTACACGAGTTAATGCAAGTTCATAGAAATGGAGTGCTTATTGATTCTCAGAAGGTGAAAAACTCTGAATTCTTTCTTGATTGGTATCGTCCTGAGTTGAGTGATCTTCTTGTTGATGACAAGGAATTATTTGCTCCTTTCCCTTAATCACATCATACAAGTAGCAAGTTGCACTCAAAAACTCTCTCAACGACAATTGTCGTTGTTCTGAAGAACCTACAATGGGCGCCATTTGCAGTAAGCCTTGAATTAAAGTTTGTGTACCTTCCATTCGATAGCCTCGAATAATTTGCTCCTTTTCAACTTTCATATACCAACACAAGGCTATTAATTCATGTTTGGGTACATGCAACAGATATTCTGAGGTACCACATCCAATTAATTGTCTAATCGTGAACTCCATTCCAAATGCTGTAATTAGAGCCTTCAAAGCCTCTCTGAGACTTGAGTGAGTGTTTGGATTCAAAGAGTTGATGATTGTGTTGCTGCTGCCTAAAGTCATCCATTCGGAAGATGATGCAAGGAATGAAGTGTTGTTGATCATGTTGTTGCGGTGTAGGATGAGAATATCTGAGAGTGGTGCTGTTTCTAGCCTCTGTGTGTGTTTATGTTGGTACGCAACACCTATTTGAATTTGAGTGTTTTTTTTCTCTTGTAAATGACAGTGGAAATGCCGCCTTTCTTCCTTAATCAAGTGCGTCAGAGGTAACAACCACAAGCCTCTTCTTGTCTACAACCATGTTGTAGTGCACGAGTAGCCTTTCATAGAGTTAGAAAGAACTCGTGTTATTCTTCAATAAGGTGAGGGATGTAGTGTGTGCACTTGACCTTGTTTGCCAAATCACAACAAAAACATTGCAGAGACTTCTCGACGTCTAAGGTCAACCCGAGGTGTTTCAAACTGTTTTAGTGTCATGGTATCGTTTTTGGTCAAAGTTTACAATTTCCATATTTGAACTTCTTGGTACTCAGCCAACTTGCGTACACATTTGGCCATCAAAAAAGAGTACACATCTGTGTGCTGTTGTCCACTTGTGTAATGATCATTCACATAGTTGCTGCAATTTCAACAAGTGGAATTCGGGAACATGTTTTCGCTCATAGAGGAAACAACACACTGTGTCAAACAGCAATGCCGAAAATATTATAATGAGAGATTAATCAAAAATGTTTGCCATTCGTTCATTCGTTGTTGCAAATTATAACATCAACCTGTTGAATGGTTGTCATGGTAGAGTGCCTCATGTGAGAGAAGTTTTAAAGCTCTTTCTTGAGGGTCCCTACAATGACAACCATTCACTTTGAATCTGCTATTGCTCTTACTCTGTTTTTCATTTTAGTAATGACCAAGATGGGAGCTTTTCGATGTAATTCAAATATTGCAATGCTTGATCGCTCAAGGGTGGAGTGTTGTTGACTATAGGTTGTTGATGTAACATGCGTGTTGTTTGTGGTTTCAACTTGAGTATTTTAGCCTTCTCGTTCTTTAAGAAAAAGTTATAGACACAAACAGGACATGCTTGATTTGTGTGAAGACTCCTTTCTTCTATCATATTTTGATAATCTTTCAAAATTATTTCTGTTGCAGTGTTCACTATGCTTTTGTTAGTCTCAGAGGGCATGGCTAAAACAAGTTGGTTCACACGGTTTTTGAAATCAATAAGAATATTAGAAGTGAAATTGGACCGTGTATAATGATCTCCACAAGTAAAAACAACAATTCTATCGTCTTGACTTTGCTGTGAAAGTTTTGCAATGTCTGAGTTTGAAACTGTAATATGATTTCTCTTGTAAATGTCTTTCTCCATATTTCTAAGAATTTGTTGTGTGAGATTTCTGATAGATCTTTCTTCATCTCGTTCGTTTCTCTTTACGTTTCTCACATAACTTTGTGTAATTTTGAGATAAAAGTTGTGTGAAAATTTAAGATTCTTTTTGAGCGCTTGAGAATTCACGCTTGAGGTATTTTGTAACAGTAATAATATGGATAGTATGTCTCCTATTACATGTATATTCTTGATACAGTGTTCTTCAAGTTTGGATGTTGGAAACTGCATGTTATAATAGAATGTGAATAATTTTTCAAGTATTTTGAGTTTGGATTCTTCGTCAAGATCATTGGTTTTGTTGGTAAGATATCTGTCAAATATTGTAAAGTAGTATTTCAAAGTGTTGTCAATGATTGATGTCGCATTATCATTGTCTTTGGTATGTTTCATATATTCTGAATAGTTTTCTTTGATTTGCACAAGCTTGCAACACAGAGCATCAATCCACATTTCATCCTTTTCATAAATTAAAGCCAAGACTGACTTATTGTTGAATTTTAAGCAACATGAGACGATGAATTGTTTCCTGTACATGTTATAACATTTCACACACTGCTCTAACTTTTCTTGAGTGTGACTGTAGAGACTATTTGAGGTCAAGTTTGTTACCAAATACCCAGTAGTAGAAGACGTATGATTATCCACAAAAGTATCGGTCAATTTTCGTTTCAATCTTACTAGACACAACATAGCTACTATAAAAATCTCCAAATGTTGCTCTAGATGAATATATGGATAGTGGAAATACCTCGCATATGTTGGCTCTCTTACTAAGCTAGACGCGCTTTGCCTTGTTTCTTTTGAGATATTCGCATTTTCTTCTGGATTAAATCTGTTACAAATTGTGGTGAGAATGGAAATGTCGTCGATATGAGGAAGAAGGTTGATAAGCATGTCGAAAAGTTTGGAGTTGTACTGAATGGCTTCAAGAGAGTCTTCAAAGAATAATTGTTGTTTGATGGGTGAGGAGTTAGCCTGCTGAGATGTGACATCTTGCTTAACTTGTTGTTTTCGTGATTTAAAGTCCATGCTAAAGAAATCATCCGATGGCTCTCTTTGAATGGTCTCGTTCATGAAGGTTTTAAGTCTTATCATACGCATTTGCTCTAAATATTCCAATAAAAATTTGGCTTTAGTATTTGCTGTACAGTGTTGTAGCAACACGCCACAACCAATGCTTTGAGTTAAATAGCCATATTCATTGTCATAAAGATATTTGATACCTCCATTTTCTGAGAGTACAGAAATATAACCTCGCGAAACTAAAAACTGAAGTGTAAATTTCATCAAGTTATGTTTGTGGGCAATTTCCAATATTAGTTCCATGTTAATCAATGAGGAATCTTGCGGGTTACTGAATTTGATATCATTGCAGCAGCAATATTGAACGAGTTGAGAAATCACAGCTTGTGGATTAATATCAGTATTGGTCAATAAAAATTGTCTAAATTGCTTTAAAATTTCCGTGTTAATCTCTGAGGTTGAAATTAATTTTTGCATAAAGCATTCAAACAATAGATTGGAGAGTTGCTTCCGTTTCATTAACGAAATACTGCTAGAATTTTCCAAAACAGATAATAAATATTTAAACGCCTCTTCAGACCTCTCTGCTTGTAGCAATCTATTCACATATTTCACTTCACTGACGTTAGAGAGTTTGTATAGGGTAAATGCAAAATCATAATCTTCCTGTTCAAATCGCTCATCGGCATACTGTTCGTAAAGTGCAAAGAGATCCAACTCAAAGGTTTGTCCAAATTGATCTACCAAATTACCGTCCTTGATGATATTTTGTTTGTTGGAAATAATATATTCAAAAATTCTGAGAGGGGAGTATTTCTGTCGAATCTCATAAATTCCGGTCTGTGTCCAAAAGAATACTCCTTCCATTTCATAGTTATGCTCAGATTTAAATTTTTCTTGATGGGTACAGTCGTCTCGATACAAAAATCCACTCATCATTCCTTTAACCATTTCATTGGTTGGCAATAAAAATTCTTGAAGAACTCCACCATGTTTACGTCCATTATTCATGAGAAGTAGAGATCTACCCATAACAAATAGCCTCTCTTGATATTCCGTATCGTCTGCTGAAGGAGATCCTAGTAGTCCTCTTTTGGAGGCAACTCCTTCACCTCTTTGCAGAGAAAATAGCAGTCGATTGGTTGGATGGACAATACTGGTGGACTCACCAAGGTGGTATTGGAAAAGAGGATATGCTTCATCTCGCTTATTTCTTGATAGTTGTTCTCCAATTTGAGAAATGGTTTGAACGTCAAAAAGAGAAAATATATTTTTCTCCTTGTTTAGGCATGAAATTAAGTGTGATTGTTTTTCTTCAAACCACTTGACGTTCATGTAGCAGGGAGAGCCTTCGTTGTTAAATTGTTCTAATCTTCGAAGCTTGAAAACTTCTGAATCGTTGTGCATTTCTCGTTTCACATCCTTATTGTTTCCACTCACATTTACAACAGAGTTTTGTGTTTGATAATAGTCACAAACATTTCTAAATGTTTGTAAACTGAGATCCAACTGTTCCAAAATTTGTTTGTAATGTGCTCCTTTGCCGCATGTCACCAATGCAAACTTTACAGACTTTTCATCAGAAACAATTTTGATGCTCCTGATGCCATATTTGAAGCCTCCAACAACAGCATCCTCCTTCAACGTGTGTAAATTAAGGAACACCAAAAATCCCTTGTCAGTTCCATAAATTAAATAGTACTTCTTCAATTGATGATTTGAGAACGTGACCCACCATGCACTGCATGTTACTTCTCCATGTTTTACAGGTTGGTACTGCCGCTTCGTTTTTGTATTGGTTGTCACTACAGTTCTTTCAATGGATTCCAGCAGGGACTGAGAACTTGACAAGTGTTGCTGTTGATATTTTTGAATGAGCTGATGCTTCTTGATTGAGCTAGACGAATTTGTAATGACCAGCTCAATATTTTTCATCAAGTTCAAATTTAAGGCTTCTGTTGCCAGTACCGTTGTTGCTTGAGACGCTTCTAAAGGAGATTCCAGCTTGAAAAGAGTGTAATCAAATAGAGATGGAAATTGATTGGAACCTTTTCCTTCATCTCCATCTAGGTTCTTTTTGAAGGGATAACTGTTATCAGAATTGTAAGGGAAGAACAATCTACAAATTGGTACTATATAAACATCAGCATCAGCTGTCATGCAACTCAGCCAGCGTGCGCTTTCATCCATAGCAATGGTTTCGAGCTCAATGCCATTTTCATGGAAGTAACTCAAGCACCTAACAATTGGTGAGCATAATTTGTTGTTCGAATAATCCTCATCTTCATATCGGAAATGAGCATTATTTTGCATGTCATTACTTGTAGAGCCTATGGAAGCAACACTTTCTGTCTCAGATATTTCATCATCATCATGACCCTTCACAATTTTATATTTTTCATCGTCTCTATCAAGATATTTCACTGTACCAAAAAATCTCAGCACTATGACATTATTCGAGCACAAGCTGGCAATGACATTATACAGAGAGTTAGTACCACCTGAAATGACACTCTTGAAAGTTACTGGTTTAGCAACATTGGTATTACTGAGAGAAGGAGAAGAATAATTACTGGAGCTGTCTTGTGATTTTTTCGAGCTTCCACTTCGAGGTGACATCATTGAATTGGTTTTGAGAGCATTACTAAAAAACGACTCATCACCAATTCCGCTTTGTGTATTAGCCAAAATAACAGACATGTCTAGTCCTTGCCCGTTTCCTATACTATCACCTGATGATGATTGTTTATCAAAATCAATATCATTTGTTTTTTTCTCTTTCATGATATATTTGTTCCAAAATGATTGACTCATTGAAATTTCTTCCCATTGAGAAGTATCAATCGTATAATCACTGGAATTCATCGGATAAGTACCAGTTGATAAAGAAATAATTCTTTTTAACGAAAATAATTCATAATTTATGGTACTTGTTTCATGGGCAATGGCTCTGCTATTACTCCGAGCTCTTCCCGAAGCAACCAAATCTAATCTCAACGGTAAAATCATTCCACTGTTCATAATATTAGCTGAATCTAAATAACCACCCTCTACATTATTTCCGATCAATCCTAATTTTTGAGAACTGAGAAGAAGCCTCGATGGGGCTGTGGATGAACGAGGAAAAGGTTGTGGTGATGGAGGCATTATTTTTTCTAATTCTTGTTTAGATTTTTACACACCAACGAATTGTTGAGTTTGTAAATCTTTTAGTTTATGAAATCAATGAAATTGTGAATTGTTGAGCGACACACAATGGACGAGACGCAACCAACTCGCCAACAAACTACCGATTGTCATTTAATTTTGAAAAGTCAAATAAATACAAACGCTGGTTGTTGTGGGTGAGCAAGATCAAATCGTGTTGAACTCACTTCAAATGTCAACAGAATCAAAAAAATGTCAGCCAGTGCCAACAACCACCCAGCAGTGGGCGTATTCTTCACTTCCTTCTTGTCACTGTTCGTTTTACTGTACGTGTTGTTTTCTTATCCATTGACTCTTTTGTTTACGTCAACTAATTTTGAATCAACCATCGTCATGGGATCACTATATCTTTAACATTCCGATATTTATCATCACATTCATCATCATGACACCTCTGAATCATCATATTCATTATCACACAATACGAACAGGTTGATGGGAGGTTTTATTGTTTTATATTATTTCAACAAGACGGTTTGGATGGGTAACAAACTCCCAACAACTTATGTTTATCCGGATGAAATTTTGAATTGGTTCCTGTTCGGAGCAATTTCTGTTGGATGCTGTTGGTTAGCCACTCTCATCGTCGTGTACAAGAATTTGAGATCTTGTTGTACTTATATGAAGAGTGAAAGAGTATAACCTTTGAAGCTTGTATTTTACAATTCAATTAATTGAAACATCCAATGTTTCATCAAAAAAGATCATCAATAGCGTCGGCATACAGATATAACGCCTCTGTAGCATGCTCATTCTCAAATAAATTACGTAATTGCAATCATTATTGGAATTTCAAGGTGGAATGTTCATTATTCAAAAACTTGAAGTGATTTATTTCTTCTTTCTTTCTTCAATTCTCTTCTTGAAAGCCTTCATAGTACGAGGCAAGCCTGTTCCGATTAAGAAATCTCGCAACAATCCAGGAACCCAAATATTGAGCTCCATATTAACTGAATAAGTAGCTTCAACATTACCATTTCCAAGGTCAACCAATTTCCAGTTACCTCTGTTTAATTTGAAAGGGCCATGAGATGTTTCAACCCATCCGAAACCATCATTTCCTTCTTTTTTTAATCGTAGAGTATATTCTGTGTTAATAATTCCACCCACGGAAGCCTTCCAGAAAACATCAAAAGAGCCATCTTCATAAGTCTTGGTTGTTTTTGCTTCCACACATCCTTCAATACTATCATTTGAATAGGATGACGAAATTATATAATGACGAAAAGAACGACGGAAATGAGTTAACGACAAAGATACCAATTTTAAGATTCGGAACAAGTAAATGAATACGCTTACAATTCGCACACAAACTTACAATTCAGTGTACTTTTCACAATCACAAATAACTTCTAAACATTCAATGATGGTTACGCCTTCGAAAATGATTTTTTCGGTTGCTCCTCCACCCAAAGGATTCTCTTCTTTTGTCTCACCGCCCCATAACCAATTCAACATTTTTTTTCTTCGAGCAATGAAAATCGACAGGTTGGACCAAAGGGTTAAAGAAGCGAATAGGAAGCTTAATTGCCTCACTGTTTACTTGTGCGTGAATAAACCCATCTTCCATTTTGGAACGTGAACGTTACCTTGTCAAATGGATAGCTATCTTCGTTATCCTTTCATTTAAACCTGATTCAACTGTTTATTGTCCAATACCGATCTAGGTGTTTTCACATCCATCCTTGCTTTTGAGCAAACGAAAGAGAAAGTCATGTGCATGATCTCCAACGTTGTCTTCTTATGATGGAAGATCTGTACCATCAAACGCGTTGGGTAACTGAAGGATAACAGCCTTCCATCTCACCATAATATTAAATTAAGGAATGATATCTACTTGGTCCTCATATGTAAAGACTTGGAAACATTAGAAAAAGATTTATTCATTCAACTCAACAGCAGTTACATCTTGAGGTTCAACTCAAACGCTGATATTAAGTCATCAGCAAGATCCTTGATGAGAATTGAGCTTTCACTCTCCCTAATACGGAAAATAACAGAATAAAGTTCTGTTGTCATAACTTTTGGATGGTCACACCACTTGTACAGGCTTTGTACTATTTTAAGTTGATCTGATCTAACCTTCTTATCTGAATGAGGTTGAAGTAAAGCGTGCTTTACAACTTTGGTGATAAATTCATGGGATTGACTTAAAGCTTTGCTAAGTTTCACTGAAGTGGAGATTATACTGAGAAGAGGAGATGATACAAATCTAGATGGAGCACTACAAAACATTTCTACAAGCTTGTTGATGTTTTCTGGTTTGGCTAAAACGGTCTCCACGCCTTCCTTGTCCTCGTTCAACCATTTGCTGAGAGATTCCATGGCTTTGAGCTGCCAGTTTTGAACTCCTAACACATTAATATAAAATTCTAACATTTTGTGTTCTTTCAACTCCTTTCTGACACTGGGTACGTTCACTCTTACAATTTCACAAAGCATATCCACAGCAAACGTCTTTAAAATACTGTCATTATTGATTAAGTACTGTATTTCGGGAACAATTCCTGCTTCAACAGCAATAATTTGTCTTTTCTTGTTGAATCGTGTAAGATGGAGCAGAGCGGTAATCATTTGATTTCCAATGTCAGCATCTCTCAATGCCAATGTCTTGACAAGTACAGGAATACCATCTGCTTTCTCAAATGACTCAAATGTTACAGGATAGGTAGCCAAGTTCTTTGTAATAATTGCTATGGTAAGTTTGAATTTTCGTTGAGCTTCTTGATTAATGTCGAGAATAGAAAAGGCTTCAAGGATACGTTTTAGGGAAGCTACTTCGGCAATGTGTGCTCTTACAACAGAGTCCATACTGGAGAAGAGCAAAAGTAGAGAAATGGTCTTATCTAGATATTTCTTGATAGTCTTTTCTTCCATACTTGCTGTGAATTTTCGCACCAAAAGTAATAGTACTTCACTTAGCCGAAGCATCAAACCATTCTTAGCAAATAATCTACAAAAGTCATTTTTAGGAGTTTTGATTGCTTCTTGTGGTAAGTCGAATACTTGTTCAATATTTTCAATTGTTTCAAAAACTAAAGCAAGACCGGTTTCTAATGTATCGTTATCATGTGCCAACAGATCTACAAGAACTCTGATTCCTTGACATCCAATAAACATTCTCACGGTGAAGTGGCTTGTTTTAAAAATACTTCTAATAAAAGAGCCAGCTTGATATCTCACAGCATATGGATAGTTCTTGTGACAAAATTGCATGATGTTCGGTAAAATACCGACCAAACAAAGAGTTTCCTTAAAATGAATATTTTCCTGAATCCAAGCAATGTCGTCATCAGCAATAAATTGATTAATCAATTTCAATGCAGCTTCAATGGTTTTAAACGAGGGAGTATATTGCTGAGACATGGATAGTAATTCCACAAATGGTATTGGAACAAGAGATTTCACTCTACATTTTAACCTAGCAAACTCCGAAAGTAAGAAAATTATTTTGTCACATTGAGATACGAAAAGATCTTCTGTCAATCCATCTTGTTGGAATCTTTCTAACAAAGTAATAAAATCCTTTTCAGGTTTCATAAGCTCATCATCTGCATTCTTATCCATATCGTCAAACGCATCTTCAAATGTGTCTTGGAAAAATGGATCGTCGTCACCAATTTCGTCAACTGGTCTTCCTTGCAGTTTTTGCATTTTAGCAAATAAATCTTCCCCTTTATCATTTTTATCATTATCCCATTCTTCATCTTCATCCCATACTCCATCCTCGTCGTCATCCTCTTTGTATAGAGCCAAATTCTTTTTGGTGGTTGGTCCTCCGAAGAAGGATTGATTTGGGAAGAATTTTTCCTTATTTTCTGGTCTAATGTTTACAACATTAGAAAAAGGATTTTTGTCCTCTTCGTCAGAATCCCCAAATGGATCATCCTTAACTGGTGATTTTAGTTTGTCGCCAATCTTCAATGCTAATCCGTCATCATCTTCACCAAAATCAAAATCATCTTCCTCTTCATCTTCATTATATTTCTTTAACTGAGTGGTTTTCTTTTCTCCTTCCTTATCGGTATTTGTGGAAGGCTTGTTTTGTGTTTGTGCATTCTTTTTGGCTTGAAGAATCCATGGATGTTGTAAAAGTTGTTCTGCAGTTTTTCTTGACCCAGGATGCTTCTTAAAACATTCCATCAAAAAGTCTTCGCATTCACTGGAAATTCCTGAGGGAAGCGGAGGGTGTGGATCTTGAACAATTCTATACAAAGCAGGCATGGCATCCAATGAAAAGTAGGGAGGTTCTCCGTTTAAAAGTTCAATTACGGTGGCTCCCAAACTCCAAATGTCAGAAGCAGGTGTAGAGGGATTCATTTCAATAATCTCAGGTGCCACTATTTCACATTTAGTAAACAGAGTCATCAAAATACTTACTCCAATACGGTGTCCCTACTGGATTATCGTCAACATCAGCCAATGTTGCTGCTACACCACTGTTCAACAGTGTGTAAAATTTAAATGCATTTCCAAATAATACTTACAAGTCTGCCAATTTGATGTCTCCTTCTTTTGTTGTCAAAATGTTTGCTCCTTTGATGTCTCTGTGAATGACACCTTCAGAGTGCAGATATTGCAATCCTTCCAAAACTTGAGCTACATATTTGCAAACTACATTTTCTTTCATGTTACCGTATTTTTGTACAATGTCTAATAGGGATCCTGTTTCCACAAACTCAATCACAATATATAATTTTGTTTTAGAGGGAATATGATCAATATAGCGAACAATTCTATTGTGCTTCAGTTTTTTTAGCAAATTGATTTCGGTCTATGATTGATGTCAACATTTCGTCCGTGTACCATGACAAGTTATTTGAATTAATTCCAAATAATTTGTTATTAACAATTTAACATTCATCAATAAACAATTGTCAGTACATACATGAATGGTTTCAATTTGTTCTTTGGAACATTTCTTAACAGTGACTCTTTTGACAGCAACGAATTCACCCGTATCCATGTTATAGGCTTTATAGACAACACCAAAACCACCCCTACCAAGGGTTTCTCCCAACCTCTGTTTAACGACATTTTAGTGATCTGAATATGAGTCATAACTAGAAACTACTCACATATTTGTTTCCAATAGTTTTTACTTTATCTTTCTTGTCTTTTTTTTTCTTTGATTTCTTTTCCGAACTATCGCTCATCATTTTCAATCATCAATAAATAAATAAAATTGGTCTATAAGAATGATGACGATGATCCGATGATTGTTGTATACTCTATCAGTGATACGTTGCTGATGATGATGACAATGTTGCTGAGCGAGTGTGAGCACCGATGTCCAGTTACCCTTTTGGAGCGGTATTTTTTTTGTTGTGGTTTTTTTTCGATCGCTGAATAAAAAACGACGATGCTTTACATGAGACGACACTTCTTTTTGTGAGCTGAAACTAAGGACGACACTTCTTGATTGTTACATAGAGCAGTGAAAAGAGAGGACGCATCAAAGAGATAATAATATAATAATGTGTCAATGACTTGTGTGTGAGTCCGAAAATAACATTTTTTGGCAAAGAAAGAATGGAACAATGTCATCAGTGTGATATCTTCAACACGTTGGGAATCGAGCACAAACCTATCACAAGGAATCATAACTTTAATGGTGCTTGATTGTGAAGTCATGTAAACGAAAGCATAAATTCCATGGTTCAAGCAGTACTCTTTACAAGGCCATAGATTTCAAAACCTCCCAAGCTCAAATAGTTGTTGGAGCTGCTATTGAGGCCATCTTGTAGAATTCTGAAATATCTGAAATACTCGTTACATTCAACAGGGAATGTCACAGACTGAGATTTGGTGGTTATGGATTGATCGTTGATATGAACCTTGATATCAACAAAAGTGTTTCCATCAATGGATCCTTGGAATCTCCAGTTCCTTAAACACTCTGTATCTCTTGCGGATGTGTGTCGAAGCGTATACGCGGAAGGTAAAATTATTAGTTGCAAAAAGTCAAATGTTATGGTTGTGTTAGCATTGTTGACCAAATTACAAGAGACTGGAGTTCTAGAAATAATGTCATCCTCTACTCCAGCTTCAAAAGTGCTCGAACATGAAATTTTGAGAAGCCCTCTTGTTGTTGGGGACACATAATTCTCAGACAAATATAAGGTTCCCAACCAATAAATAATACCACATTCATCAAAATCGGAAGTGTGAGTGAAAATTCTTGTTGTTCTTGGTTTCAAGAACATTGGACCTTCTTCTTCATCATTAATTTTGTAGGTTCCCTTTTTTTCCAACTTTTTAATACGCTCCAGTAAGGATAGCGCTAAATTCTCTTCCAACACCACATTCGCAATTAATGGCTCCGTTTTTTCTACAATTTTTTGGAGATAAGCATAGGAAAGGAATGGAAATCTAATGGTGTTTGCAATTTTCTGTCGTTGTTCTTCTGTCACATCGTCTCGGTGCTTGAAATAGGACAGAATCACTTCCTAGATTCGATTTGGAAAGTCGTGATACTATTGTTACGAGCATACATGTACATGTGTACTTACAAATGCATTATCTTCTCGTCCAATATATAATTCATCAGATGAAAGCAATTCATAAAATGTTTCAGGCTTGAATTGATAAATGATGGACAGGTTTTTGAGATCATTGAAGTTTAGAGCCAAAATTCTTGTACAAGCAGATATGTGTTCCTTTAAATCATGCTTTTGGCATTGAATAAGATAAAAAGCAGCAGAATCTGGTGTGATGGTTTCAGAAGCTGAAAGAGCGTCAATGCACAATTGAAGCAATTCCACATTTTCTAAAACATTATTCTTTTTACAGTAATCATCGACACATTGACTAATCAATTTGCTTTTGGTGGCTTTAGTACCACTTCCTTTCGCAATATTCTCATGAGCAATAATTCCAAAGAAAACTGTGGTGGACATAAATTTGTTGTGGACTTTACAGATCTCGTCCTACAAAACGAACTTACCTTGTGAAGGTAAATCTGCATATATTAAATTGAACTCGTCATTTAAAGAAACAAAGTGCAAGGCAATGTATGCACATGCCTTCTCCAAAATAGCATCATCATATTGTCTCAATGAAGAGTTTAGAATTTGAAAGACATTTTTCTCGGAAAGGAATTCGTCTAGAAATATCATCACACTTTTTGATAAATCATTACAAATTAATTGATCTGCTGCAACATGTAGTCCTACGATAGAGGTTGCTGGAATTGTAATGTTTCCAGTATATAAATATTCGAGTACCTTCTCAAAAACACCATCCATGTCGTCAAAATGTACATCTACACAATCTCCTGAATCTTTAAATGGGCCAGTAAAAAGACTTTCAAAAAACTGTGATTGGTGCGCTAGAATTATTCTATGACATCTAAAACTTGTATTTGTTGGAACATGATTGACCGTTACGTCAGAGAAGAGATCATTCCGAAAATATTTAGAAAAACCTTGAGTAAATAAGTCTTTGGAAACTAAATGAATTTTGTTTTCAAAGTTGTAGCTGTGATCGAACGCTTTCTCAGTTGTAGTATCCAATAGTGGACTCTCATCATTGAGTGCCTTCTCGGTGTTTGGATCATCAGTTTCCGAGCTCAGTGGGATTTGGGCCATTTTTTGTTGGTGTTCGGATCTTGTTTTTATTCAACGCAGTTTCCTGTTCCTCAATCGGTCTTGGTAGAGGTACTGACACCACAATAGGAGAGGAGAGTGTTTTTCTGTTGAGGAAATGACAGCTTCTTCTTTTTGGGAGAAGGTTGAGTTTTTGATTTGGGGCTATTGTGGCTGTTCGAAGGCGCACTTGGACGCTTTTGTGACGCTTTGCTTTTCGATAAAGGTTGATCAATCACTGCAGTGATTTCCATAACATCATCGCTATCTTGTTCTGAAACATCATGACTGGGATAGGATGGTGGAGATGTATTATTCGGTGATGTAGAGGTTGCGGTCTCTGATGATACTTGTTTGAGATATTTCTCGATCGATCCGCTACCAAAAGTAAGTGATTTTTTCTTGGGAGTGGTAATATCCTCAACACTTCTTGTCAAATGTGTAGATTTCTCTTCTTTTTGACCATTTAGAGCTAGATCGTAATATCTGCTTTCTTTGTCAACAAACTCCACATAAAATCGTCCAAGGTCTTTTTTGCCAAAAGGTACGTAATGTCAACAAATGCTCCTCTCTGCCCAATTCTATGACATCGGTCTTCACACTGGTTTAATAAGGCAGGATTCCAGCTGAGTTCGGCAAAAACAACGTGACTACATGGAACGAAATTCAAGCCACATCCTGCTACATTCATCGAGAGAATTGCGACAAGACAATTCTCAGTAGACCTAAAATGATGAGTTAAACCCTCTCTGTCTTTTGTATCTCCATCGATTCTTATATAGTCAAAGGATATACCTTCATCTTGCAAATCTATATCGATAACATCGTCAAAACTCGATTTCTTGGAAAGAGAGTCAGATCGTTTGTCTTCTTTAAAAGGATCTGCGTCTAAAATATCATCACTGACCTGAGACGAAAATGTCTTGGATAGCTTTGCGAGCTCTATTTTAACCGTCTCTTCAATAGCATCCATCATGCATCGGTGATGTGCAAAAATTAAAAACTTCTCACGTCTTGGTATTAATTTTCGAAGGTACTGCTTGATGCCTTCTATTTTAGCTTCGGCTGTTTTCATGTACTTGGCAACAATGTCTCTGTCTCTCTGAAGTTTTTGCCAATCGTTTCCAAAATATGAACTTTTCTTTTGTTTTCCATTTGACTCTCCAATGGAGCTTAGCTTGTTTAAATGTTCCTCTTTAACCTGCAAATAATATTTTGTCCTTTTCTTTGGTGGTAAATCGCTAAGTACGTCTCGTTTGAGTCTTCTTATCATAATTGTGTTCGAGAGAAGACAAAATAACTCAGAAAGACGGCTTGAACCCTTATAATCCAAATCATTTCTAGGTTGTTGATGTAGTCCACAATATCTGTATCCAAAATCCAGCTTGGTAATCTTGTGATCAGGTAAAATGGCCTTAATTTGACTGTAAAGTTCAATCGGCCTAGACATGCAGCTTGTACCGCTAGCCAAAATCACTCTTTTAGCCCTCTCTATCAAGGGAACAAGGTTTTGTGAACGCTTGCTTGATAAGCTTTTCAGTAAATGAGACTCATCACAAATGATCATACCATTTTTGTTTTCCTTAAACTCGTTTTCGACTATAGATATAACGTTATCTTTGGCAAGTAAATCGTAGGATATGATATTGATAACAGATGTTCCGTCATCAATTTGATTGGAATTATCAATGACATTAATTTGGCTAGATGTTATCAATTCTTCCCTCCCATTAATACACAACCTATTGCCGCCAATCCACTTGAGTATTTCTTTTTTCCAATTTGCCTTAAGTGAGCCTGGACAAACAATCCAAAGCGGCCATTCATTCGAAAAATGACATGCAATCGCGATACATTGAATAGTTTTACCGAGACCCTGAGCAAAATTATTAAAATAAAATTATATAAATTGTACAATACATACCATTTCATCAGCAATCATTATTCTTCCCTGACGCTTAATTCCAAATTCTACACCAGCTTTCTGGAATGGCAGTAATGCCTCTTGAAGCTTTTGAGGAATGCCTTCCCATGTGTCTATGGAATTATTTTGTTTGTTCAAGTTTTGGTACTTTTCGATCAGTTTTTGTACGAAGGAAGGAATCTCTATAATATTGAACTTGGAAGATATTTCGTTTGTGTTCTTGAGAGTTGTTAAAATTGATTTGTAATTTGTGTAGTCATAAAATAAATTCGTCACTCTGGCGTTTGATTCTTCGTCCTCTTCTTTTTTTTCTTCTTTTTGATTTAAGCACTTGTATTGAGATAGAAGTGTTTTAAGTGTTGAAAGAGCAGTTATTGGCACAATGAGTCTGAGAGCAATTGAGTTTTGCATATGCTTAGATTGCATGTCTTCATCAATGGTATCATCTGTATCAAATTGTCGCATTGAAAATTCGTTATTGTCATTCATTTCTAATGTACAAATTTCCATTTCAATTTTTGATTTTTTTGGATCTTTTTCGTCGTTGGTTGTTAAGTCATTGTTTTTCTTGTTGGGATTGACATTAATTAAATGCTCATAGTCAGGTTGATGACCTTTAAACCACTCGAAAAATTTACAGGAATCATTTTGATCAGTACACGACCAAAACAACTTGTTTTGATTCGGTCCTTCCTTTTTCACCTTTAACAGAATTGCATCTAATCCATGCTTGCACTTTGGAATTGAGAGAACAGAAGCACCTCTACTATTTTGACTCCTCGTCCTGTTATCTTGCTGTGATGATGACTCTGCGCTACTTCTCGGAGCATGTTGAAAATTTTGTCTTGATTGATTATTCGCATTACTATTAATTTCTTGACTATTGGATGATGAATTTTGAGAAGAGGAAGCGTCCTCGTAACCACTTCCCCACTTGAAAAATTTACACGTCCGAGTTGAACAGGAAAAGAATGTTCGTCCATGGTTTGGTCCTGGTTTTTTCACTACATTCCGAGAGGCTTGCACGCCACAAGAGCACTGCATTTTTTTTTTGAAAATTGTTCCAGCTTCAGCAAGAAGCACAACATGTTGCCTTTTGTTCCTTTGAAAACGTTGGCGACGCTTCATTTTTGCTATTGAAGGGCGTAAATGTTGTTTATGAATACTGTTATTAAAGTTATTTCTCCATGAAATCAGACAGAATGATTTCATCGTGCAATGACAGTAATCAACGATTACGATGGACGTCTCATTTATCTGAACTCTTTGGATTCCTTTCCATATCCGTAGGCTGGTTTCTAATTTCCATCGCCACGGACACCAGCAAGCACAACAAAAATGATGAAAGAAGCTACAGAGAAGCAAGCGGATTGCTTTTCACCAAACACCACCATGCAAAACAGTAGTGCTGGATCTGCTGTTGGCAAAATTGTTAGCGTTTCGGTTGGAGATCCAATGAAAGAGGGTAAGTACATGAGAGGAGTAGTTGTTCATTGGACAACAGTTCCGAACTGATAATTACATCACATGGGTCGGTTTTGAAAATATATTTCATTAATTTTTTCGTGTGATGATGACATTTACACATTCTTGTGATGATCATGAAATTTGAAACTATGGAATCATCACACGGTTTCTGAATAATGACATCATTAACTCTTGAAATAGGAAAAGGACTAAGCGCAAAAACAACCTATCTCTTACAAACGGAGGTAGCTCTTGCTGGATTTCCGGAGCAGAGGATGATCTATAACTCTCGTAAAAGGTACACCGAATTCAAGTCTTTGTATGATGAATGCAAAAAATTGGTTAATAATCTCAAGTCTTCATTTCCACCCAAGAGTTTTAAAAGTAAGTATTGCTGTTGTAAAGAGGATCATCATCTTTATGAAACTTATTCGTGTACATTTTCTATCGTCTCAGAATTTAACGACAAGCTCATAGAAGAACGACGACAAACTTTTGAGTCAATAATTACTGAGATTGTGGATAATCCTGTACTTTTAAACAATTCGTTACTGAAGAATTTTCTTGCAATACCAACTCATATTCAGCTCGTTCATAAATCACCGGTAATACAAAATCATCATCGTAAATTTAAATTTTCAACAGTATTGAAGGTAGAAGAAATCAAGTTTTCATTTAAACAATTTTTAATAGAAGAACATAATATTGAACCTTTCGAATTTTTAGAATCCATATATCAAATTCAAACCAATGGTAGTATTTTGGTGGATGAGTTTGACAGGCTAGTCATTGAAGAATTTGTGGAGATTGGAAGTGTTAGAGAAATTAATGTTGACAACAAGACAAGAAGTAACCTGTTAACCGACTGGAACAACCTTAAAGAGTCGTTAAATAAGACGTCTATTAATGTTGTTCTGTGGGAGGACCAATTAGAACCACTTTTAGCTCCTGTTTGTAATTCAGTGAAGCTTCATTTGAAAAACGATTCATTTTCTAGATTTTCACAGCTTCATCTTTCTGCATGAAAATAATTGGGACAAGTCTTCTAATTTTGCAATTTTGAGAGCTGCACACAGTGTTTTTTCATGACTTTGGAAGTCTGATGAACAAAATTAATACTAATTGAATTAATTTATGCTGTTTGATTTTTCTTTCTATCCACGTTGACATTCACCTTAATTCGCATGACTTTACCGTTCTTATGATGTGGAATGTTTGGAGTTCCTCCAAGAGACAAGCAAAGATCCTCATAATGATGACAGATCCAGTTCGTTATGCCGGCTTTGCCTCCTTTGAAATCTTCAACTGGAATTTCTTCTAACACTCTCCTTCGAATACGTAGAACCTCGTCTGGTAAATGTCGCAAATATTGAATGGGAACTTTTTCCATTACTGAAGAAGGCAAACGCCTCTCCAACACTTCTCTACTCCAAACCTTGGAGAAGGACTTTTGATCTATCTCTACATGTTCTTGTTTGTGATATCTTCTTGGTAAACGCTTAATATAAGACTTGATGTCTGACGGAGGAAGGGAATAAACATCAGTTGGAATCTTTTCTCTATCTTGTCGATTTAATTCGAAATACTCGAGTGGCAATCGACGCATGTTTTCAACACCAACTTTGTTCAACAGGTCTTTTGAAACATGTGATTTCAAAAAATCTGAGGACCAAACTGAATCCTTGGACGACTCGACAGGTGCTCTCAATGATTCCTTTTCAACTTCATTGCTTCCTTCATTAGAAGGCTCGTTTTCAGCTGGTAATTTGGTAGCATGAGGACCAAAGAAAGGTTTGTAATCTGTTGCAGTGCTTGCAACATCAATGTGATTCTTTCTCAATTCTGTTGGTGTAATGATGTGATGTCCTTGATTGTCTGGTGTGCTTGTTGAACCTTCACTTGTGGCTGTAATTAAATTAACGTCTGGGCTATCATTTTGATGGCTATTACCAGAGATTGCTCTGACTGCTCCTCCTCCTGTAGTCAAGGCAAGACACTTCTCGAACAATGTTTTCGAATAAGGTGTTCCAAGCAAGCCATACAACTTCCAAAATTTGGTCCATTTGACTACTTTGACATTTAGGCCTACTTCAAAACCTAAATCGTCCACTCTATGAGATAGACTAACACATAATTTACAATTTTCAAAAGCGAGCTTGGGGATGAGCCTGTACGAAAAATGTCCTTTCACATAGACACCTGCTCGAGCAACTGGAATTCCAATATTTGCAGAACCACTCACAGAAATAGAAACGAAAGGCTCCAAAGATGCAGATGCTTCAAGCTTATCCACGCAAATACCATACACAAACTCAACCTTTGTGGTCAAAGCAACATTGATATGGAAGGTTACTGGCACAGGACCTACTTGGAATGCTCTCTCAACGTCCACAAGCTTTGGGAAATTCTTCTCAAACAATGGTTTCGAATCACTCATACACACATCAATCATTTGACGAATTTTTGCAGGCAAAATATGAGTGTTGAGAAATGTGGTTTGGAATACTTTGAGGAATATCTTGTCATTCACAGGTTGTTGAGGTCTCTTGGCCAATTCTGCACTAATTTCCAAGAGCACGACCTTCTTCTTGAACAAGTTTGCTTCAACATCCACTCTTCCCATCAACACAAAATCGAAATACTTTTGGTCTTGATTACACACAAAAGTTGTGCCCGAGTAAAACAAGGCCCCGCAGTACAAGTTAATAGAATTACTACCCACAAGCTTCTCAAATGAGAAATGCTTTGCTTTTTGAATGGTTGATAAATCACCTTGTCTTCGAACAAAATCAATCATGTCTGGATTATATAAGCAAATTTGATCTCCTTCAGTGGCGCTGGCTGGTAAGCAAGCTTGTTGGTTTTCGAATTTGGCAGTCCCAAATTTTTCTTTCAGTCGTTCCACTAACCGTTTGACGGCATTGATGGCTGCCATTGCCTTTTCTTTGACCCAATTTGCTGCCTTCTTCAAACCTCTACCGACTGTCTTTGCAGCGTTGCCAATTTTTTGACCAACCTTCTTGAAAGCAGACTTAATTTTGCTGCCAACTTTTCTACGACCAGCTCTGGACGACGCCTTTGCTCTAGCTTTGGACGCTGTCTTTGATTTCACTGCCTTTCGAACGGTTGTTCTTCGAGCGGCTGAGCCGCGTTTTTTGCTTGTGACTGCTTTTGTAGCACTTTTTGCTGTGGCTTTGCGGGCTAGTCTTGGCCTTCCGCTTCTTCCTCTTCTACCAAGAACATTTTGTGCATCGTCTAGGGCCTGCATGTCATCAAGTGACAGTAGAGTAGCCTTGTTTCTCTTGTGGTGTTTTCTGGCACCTCTCTTCTTTGTCACTTTCATGGTTTTGGCCAACTCTTTACCTGCTCTCTCACTACCAACGGTAAAGAGATAGTTCTTAATAGCAGATTTGAGTTCCTCATTCCTTGTTCGGTGATGTAATCGGGACGCATGAACCACGGAGGCACCTGACCTTAAATGCTTCTCTCTTACTGCTTGAGCATTGATGACTGCAGCCTTCACACGTGGGCTGGTGTTTCCAATATTGGACTCGAGAATGGCATTCACTAACTGATCGACGTTGTTGTCATCCTGTAACCTCTTTTCAAGATTTCTAGCAAGTAAAATTTTGATAGAATCTGCTACAGACTTGCTATTGAGGAAGGCAAACAAAATTCTTGGATCAACAGCTTTTCCAGCATTGTTGAGAGCATGGACATAGGTTTCCAACTCAGTGGCCGTTTTAGAAGAGGAAATTCTGGACAAAATTTCCTTGACAATATCTGCTTGAAGTTTCTTATCTTTTAAACGGGATGCTAAATCAGCATACGCCATAAATGCATTCATTTTGATCTGATCTTTCTCTTCTTTTGATTTCTTGCCTAAGCCCTTAATTCCCCTGTTCTTGAGAGATTTCAGGAAGGAGTATACAGCGTTTGTGGGCAATGGGATCACGATGGAGGCATAAATATAGTTGTTGGCAAGCATTGGATGGGATGAAGAGAGAGAAACCAATCGATTTTGAATAGAGGAAGACTTGATCGATGCCACCAAAGATTGAAGACTTTCCATGTAGCTCTTCACTTGGTCTTTCTTTGAACCGCTGGATTTGTTCAATTCAGAAACACCTTTCTTAATTTCTGAGAGTAATATTTTACCTGCCTTCACAGCATACTTTTGTCCATACTTGGCAAGTACATCAAGCTTCTTGTTCATGTCTACTGAGATCGATGCAGGTGTTTGTTTGACACTCTTCAACATGTTCTTGAAGGTTTTGGAGGAGAAACTCTTTCGTTGCAACTTCTTCATTTCTCTTCTGTCTTGCTTAGTGACGGAGAAGGTATTTTCGAATTCAAATTCATTTCCTATTGAGGACTGCTTGCCGTTTTGTCTTAGATTCTTAACAGCTTCTTCGAGAGCCTTGTCTTGTTTTGATGAAACACTGTTTTGCACTCTTTCTAGCTTGATACTTCCAAAGTAAAAAGTTTCAAGATCTGCAGATGCTGCGTCCGGCGCTGTGGATGGAGTTTTATCACGTTTGTAGTTCTTGGTCAGTTTCTCAAACTTCTTGAAGGCCACATGAGGATGTTTGCGAACACCAAATTCCATTTTGACTGTCATTTTACCCTTTTGAATGACATGCTTCTTCAAATTCAGCAGGACCACATGTTTACCTTCATAATGGATTTGTCTCTTGTCGAGAGGTAAGGCAGAAATAAAGTCATCATGAGAGTACTTTTGAGTAATGCTTAATAGGTTTCTTCTTGAATTCTTTCCTTTAATCATTCTTCGTTGGTAGTCCTTAAAGTATTTACCACCAAAGCCATCGGTTTGAGGACGAGACTTTCTACGAGTCTCAGTTGTCAGCAATCTCAAAATACCTTTCTTGACACTTCTCACGTAACGACTCTCAGATTTGTGGAAGATTAGCTTGTGGATGTGTGCACTCTTTGATTGAACCACGATCATGACATTCTTATTCAACTTTTCAGTCAAATCGCTTCTAGTGATCAGTTTGCGATATTTCATTCCCTTGTTCAACCCTTGGTATTGAGCAAAGATTGTATTTCTAAAAGAGACCAACATGATGTTATTCTCAGGGGAAGTAGATCCAAAACAAGTCAACACCAATTGTCCAGAAATAACAGTTTCAGCATTGCCAGCTTTACCCTTTCTGTCGTGAGTAGTCGATGTTTCCTTATGATCACTACCACGTGCGCCAACTAGAGTTGTGGTTTTGAATTTGTACACCAAACTCTTATCAAGAGGACATGAAACAGTGTAAGAGTCAGCTCTATTGGACACTATGTGTTCTCTTGACAAAGCAAGACAACAACTCAGGCTGACTACTAAAAGTACAAATACGAGGCCAAAAGTTAGCCCTCTCCTTGCTGACAGCTGTAGCTTAAGGGAGGGAAGAAGATCAAACATGATTGGTTTTTCTTGTTGTTGGTTGTATGATATCTCATTAAAATTCTGTACTACAACTATTTTGATGCGGAGTGTCGTTTCCATATTGAGATTCCGTACTACAATTCGCTGTTGAATATACCATCTCCCAGCAAGTTATCGTTAATACTACAGATGACGAATACAGCCATGGTTCATAAAGCGTTTGTATGAGGATCCTTGATGTCTATTGGCGCCATGATTAGTCATGTATGAATCACTCAATCTTCCTGCGAATCATCACGCATGTACAGCAAGAGATGACAGCTGCATAATTTAAGAAATTAATTCATTGATTCCAATCCATGAGTTGTAACTTCCCAATTTACTCGAGCAAGTTCAACGTTCTTTTAATAATTATTTCTTCATGATGATAGAAAGATGGTCCCCAATCAAAAACGATTTTTATTGTTGATGAAAAAATGTTGAGCAAAGGCTTTTCTCATCATCACCAGTTCCGACTGGTTTCTCGCACGATTTTTGGAGGTCTCTTCTCTAAAAACAACAGTACAAAATCATTCTTGACTGATGAATATTTGAATTATGCACTCAGTCAAAAGAACAATCAAATATTGATGATGATGAATGACTTGGCAAACTCGCGAAATGGTATCATTAGAAGCTTTCATTCTCATCATGGCTTACAATTTTTCGATTTCAAAAAGGTGAAAGAGACTAAAATTAAAGAACTTTCGGACTCTGAAAAGATGGAACTATTGTCAAAACTCAACCTTGCAGAAGAATTATTCAAAAACATTACAACACAATTGGGTCCCGCATTAGCAACAATGAATGAAAAGCCGGAACAAAAACTTCCCATTGATTTAGTAACTTCCATTTATCAATTAATTAGAATTTGTTTAGAAGTCATTCCTGATGTTCACACACCAGTTTCTAAAGCGAGAGCTTTCTATGAATCCTCTGCAGGAATGGGTATTTTGAATATATGCAAGCAAGCTCAATTATTAGCAGCGAAAGGAATCATGCAAGAATGGGTGGATATGGACTCATTGAAAATGCATGTTCGACCAGAAGAGCTGCGTGCAGGCACAGTGATTTATCCAGAAGGAGTAATCGATGATACATACATATTATTCCAGAGTCAAGAAGCTCAAATTTCATATAGCGCTTATGTTTATCCAGCAGGCGATCTATATCCTTACAATAGATTTAGCCTCATTGCAAGCGCTTACTTTTTGTTCTTGAGATTAAAAGACTGCCCAACCATGGTCAATGCTGACAATCTCATCAACTACGTAAAGGAGGTAGTTAGAGAATATAACAGAGTGAAACAGCTGTACATGTCATCAAAGAAGCCTGAAAAAGATATTGATTACACGACAACTGTAACGTACGATGCACAAAGTAATGCTTACTCATATTTGAAAAAAACATTTACTGAAGATGAATTTGATTGGTTTGAGGATTTGGAAACAAACTTACCAATTCATTTAGGAGCATTTATCAAAGCCTGTGAATTGGTGTCACAAATTGACTCGGTATCTGACAAAACCAAAATAATTACATCATTGGATGATTGCTTGCGAATTAACCCAAACAATCCATATATTTTGCACATGAAAGCCGCATGCTATAGAGCGCTGAACGTGGAGGTTGTGGATCCAAATACGATTGTAGAAAATTATTTGAAAGGAGTAGAGATTTGTGATCAAGCTCTACAAGTAATGAAAAACGCCAAAGTGCATTATTTACAAAAATTGGAAAAAACTCATTTCGAAGAAAATGAAGTTACCTCGCTACCAGAGGATCAACGAGTGAATGATCTAAAATTCTCTCCAATTCATTACTTGAAAGGAGTTCTTTTACATGCCGCTGCTGAATCAGATTTGCCTCCTGAATTTCGTCATCAATACGGGCTGAAATCCTTGGAATGCCTTTCACAAGTGGAATCATTTTCTAGATTACCTCCTGATTTCAATTACTTAGTAACGAAAGCTCAAGCCTACTATGCGTGTGACATGTTTGAACAAACTCTTGGCGTGTTGGCTCCCGTTGAAAAATTCCAAGGACAAGTGGACAATGCATCTATCATTACTGCCATTGTCATTGCTGCCAATGCTATGATTTCTCTAGGGTATGCTGATGTTTGCATGGATAAGCTTGATGAATATATCCAAACATTTAACAATGATCCAAGATTAAGGTTTGAAAAAATTATGTGCAAAGAATTCTTGTCTCGCTCAAAGGATCACTATAGGGAAATTGTTAAGGAGTATCAGGACTTGTTGCAAGAAATACAACATTCGTCTGATCCACACAACCTCACAACTGTCCCCATGATTCAGGCAAGAATGAATTACGTACAAGAAACGATCGATAACCCTGCCTACGCTGAGCGATGGTAAAACAAGGAAAGACCTTAAATGATTATTAAAAACATTTATGGTTTTGGTTGATTCTTGAGCACGAACGAAAATTTCAATTACTTGTTTGTAAGAATTGTGAGTTGGCGTTTCACTTTTGCCACCTTGGTCAATTCGATCGTTTCTCTGATATCTTCACGATGAGGAAATTTGATAAAAAAGCCTTCTTCTAATGGCGTTCCAACTACATTTTGGGTGTGTAGTGAAGGGCAATCAATCACTGTGTTCTTCGTTAAATTATTACTGTTGGTAACTTTCAAAATCTCGAGCTTCTCATGTACTATCTGTGGACTCTTAAGCTTGTAACATTTGATGGCATAAAGCTCTCTCAGTTTTGGAGACTCTGTTAACACTTCAGCTAAAGCCTTATCATTTACAAGCGTTTTCGAAATATCCAAATAATTCAAATTTTTACATTGATACAGCCAAATCTCCTTCAAGCTTGTATTTCCGTCGAGATCTAATTTTTCAAGACTTGGTAGCTTGTGGAAGCTAGATGTTTGAATGTTTGAATTAAAATTACAAAGTATGCTCACAACAGAAGGCAGTTCCTTGAATGCAGGATTTACAAGATGCATACACGTCCTTACTTTCAGTTCCATTAAATTCAATGCACTACCTGAGCAAATATTTTCAATACATGTGTCAACAATATTTGTCGCAGATAAATCCAATGTCTTTAGAGATGAAATGCTGACATCTTTGAATGGCGCTTGTATGGCACTAGCTCCAACTAGATATAACTTTTCTAGGGCTGGACAGCTAGAAACTAGTTGGTTTATAGTTTCGTCATTCACTGCCTTGTTATGACTCAAGTTTAACACTCTCAAATTTTTCAATTCATTCCATTCCATTTTAGGGAAGAAAGAGGCCCATGATATACTGAGAGAGTTGAGATTATTGCATCCCTTGATGGATAAATTGTCACAGTGTTTGCAATTAATAATGGAAAGTTCTCGTAATTGCTTGTCTTCTGGAATCACCAACTCAAAGCTCTTGGTTGATAATCCGCAAGCAAAATGAGAAAAAGCAAAGCTCTTTAACGACGATGGAAGGATTTTCAACAAAAATTGAATTAAATCCATGGAAAAACGCAAAGTGAGATCTACTTTTGAAGCCGATCGCATACCTTCAGCAGGTGCTTCAAAATTCATTGATTGAACTTCTGGAAATCGAATGAGAAATTTTCTAAACAACTTTTGGTGCTTGAGCCAATAGTCACTCTTCATCTTGGACAGGCTCAACTGCTTGATGCTCTTTTCAAATGCTCTATTCCAATCCGATGATACCAAAGAAAGAGCAATTCGTTCTCTCATCCTAAAAAAACTTAATACATGTTCGATACAATCCACGGGCAACGAGCTGTCATGATGAGAAGCGTGAGGTGAGGTGCATGAATGCAAGTCTTCAAAGTGTTCATATTCGTTGTTGCCACAATAATACAAATGGTTATAATTGATCGGGGTGTATTCTTCTTCTTCTTGTTGTATGATTATTTCTTGGTCTTCGACAAGATCATTGATGGAATCTTCTTCTTGTTCCTCATGATTTGTCACTTCGGGATGGTCATGCTGCTGTTGTTCAGACATTTTTTGGAGTGTAAGTATGACTCTTGTGTTTGTTACGGTTGAATAAATGCTCGTGCATGCATCGGAGGAACTAATCATGCATGGGGAACTTGAAGCTCTTTCGCACTGATAGGAACATGTTTGAACGTGGATTGGTGAAAGATAGGTGTGTTGGTAACCAATCGAAAACATTCTTTGAAAGATAGGTGGCATCATGTTCCGAGTTCCTTGAGGTAAAAGTCAACTGAGACAAATCAGGAAAATGTTGCTTGTTGGAAAAACCAAAGTGCTTGTCTGAGGGTGGTTCTCGTTTCATTCGTCACTGTTCTTTGGTGTTGCATGCTCGGAAATTAGCCATTTCCATGCCAATTGATGAACATCACCCTCTTGTGTGTTAAAAACATGGGTCGTTCTGCTGTTTTGTCCTGAGCGTGGGTTGAGTAAAGTGCTTGGTAGATCGTCATTGAAGAAGACCTTGAAAATGGATGATAGGTATAATTTGTTGCATGCTGTGCTACCAGTGGCATTGGCTAATGCTATTTTCTTCAAACTCTCATGCTCTGTACTCGTCAAATCATATTCTCGGAGATGACACTCTGCACGTAGCTGTAACATTGCGTTGAGTATGAAAATTTGAAGGCAAAGTCTTTCATACGATTGCAAATTCTTTGATGTTATCACCTTGCGTGTGTTGTCCTCTAGCATTTGAATAATCAAATTAAGATATTCTGATGTCTTTCATGTGGAGAATTCCAAAAACAATTCACACAAAGATCAATATTTTCGAAAATTTTGGAAGAGTTAGGAAATAAAGCCATGTTGAATTCTGGACGACGTGGCTGTTCAGATGCCTTCAAAATAAATTCTGAAAATTGAGCTTGAGATTTAAGTAAGCTTTGAGTTTCCTCTTCGCTGTCAACATCACTCATGTATGCATTTTCGTCTTCATCATCATACGTTGTAGTGACTAGTGGTAAATCTTCGTTACAGCTCTCCACTATGGATGAGGTTGAATTCTGATTCACAAGGTTGCTTTCATCATTCGTAGCAGTTGTGTTGGTATTAGATAAAATTTCAGTGCCAATGGTTTGGTTGTTATCAAGCGTTTGTTTTGTAATTGTTGATGAATTCGACGATGAATTCAATTGCTGTTGTTCTTGCTGATCTACTTCTGTATCAGCACAATCACTTTCATCTCTCCATGTCATTTCATCAAAATCTAAATCATAGATGGCTCTAAAATATGTTGGATCAAATATTGTTTCATTCATTTGATGTCCGAAAGGAGCAAATAAATCTCTAACATCATCCATATCAGTAGAAAGAGCAGCTTTTGCAAATGTAAAAAATTCAATCATAGAAAGCGAAAAGTATTTGGTGTTAGACTTGATTTTCAATTTTGCACCAAAGTTGGCAATCATTTGTTTCAATCGTTTTGTTTGTAAATGATCAAGACTTTTTCTACCACTGGTTTTAGTAATCCTTTTAAAAAACGAATGCGATTGCTTTAACGCACAAAATGTTGAAGAATGTACATAGTAATGTCTTTCGTGGCGAACCAACACGGCTCCCGATAAGCCAATGTTTGAAGTTCTGGAAGCTTTTCGGATTTTTGGCATTTTTAATTTAAGAGCAACAAGAGATGAGTTTCTTATTAGAAGAAAATTACACAAAAAATGGCGAAACGAGACCATAGTACATTCATAGACTTTCAGACTCTCTCATCACCATTTCAAAATAAGAAACAAAAATTAATTCCAGCCTGTACAAACGGAGATGAAAATGTACAGATGATCCTTGTTGATTTTTCAAGTTCTTTTTTTCATCATGATGAAAATTGTGAGCACACTCGGAATGTAGAATTATTATTGCAAAAGAAATTTTCATGGCAGCAATTGGGAAAAAAGAAATGGCTTTTCAATCGGGAATTCATCTGTTCCAAAAATGCTGCAAGACGATAAGGAATTTGTGTTGGAAATTGTGCGACAGAATGGAATGGCTCTATCATGCGTGGATAAATTTCGAGACGATATAGAAGTTGTGTTAACTGCTGTCAAACAAAATGGTACTGCATTGCAATATGTTACATATGACAGCTCAAGAAATTCGAATTGGTACAAACCAATTGCATTGGAAGCAATCAAACAAAATAAGAAGGCACTTCAATGGGTTCCCAAAGATTTACTTCAAAATCATGATTTCATGTTACAAGTTCTCAAATTAATATTTCCAGAAGAGTTTGAAACCTCATGCTCTATTGATTATTCAAAGAAAGAAATCATGATGAATATTATTCAAGAATTTGGACTTTTACTTGAATTTGTCTCGAGTGAACTCAAAAGTGATCGCGATATTGTTTTACGTGCCGTTAGAACTAATGGTTGTTCATTAACATTTGCATCCAATGACTTGAAGAATGACATAGAAATTGCATTACTTGCTGTTCAACAAGATGGTTGGGCATTACAATATATCTCTTCAGATTTGAAGAGAAACAAACAAGTTGTGATGGCTGCTGTATCTCAAAATGGAAATGCTCTTCGATTCGCAGCAGACGAGTTGAAGAATGATCGAGAAGTGGTATTGACTGCAGTAACTCAAGCAGGATATTCATTGTGTTATGCTTCAAAGGCGATGAAGAAAGACAGACAAGTTGTCTTGACAGCTGTAAAACAAAGTTTTATAGCCATTTATTTTGCAGACGATAAATTGAAAAAAGACGAAGAAATTGTGTTGGAAGCTATCAAGCAAGATCTCACTTTTATACATAATGCCTCAAAGATATTATTGAGAGACAAATCATTCTTGTTGAAGGCAGCAAAGTTTGGAGGTGACACACTTCTGAATTACATACCCAAAGAAATTACAGATGATCATGAATTTATGGTAAAACTTAAAGAAGAAACCAACAGTTGTGTATTTGTTTCCGAGTACAGTGATGAAGAATATCAAGAAAGAATGGAAAACTGTTATTACGGAGTCTATTTGGGTAACATAAGGAATCATTAAGGTGTAGGTGAGTTTATAAGTTGTACGATTTTCGTTCTTTGGAAAATGTATTGGTCAACAACCAAATCTGTGGGAGCGCGAAAAATCACAACAAACAAATTAAAGATTGATTGCAAGCTTTAACGAATTCTTTATTAATAAAATTTATTGTTGTTCGAGAGAGCTAAGTAATGTTTTGATGGAAGGGAGAGGGGTTTGTTGGTTTTGATGAGGTTCTAGTGTCATGCAAGAAGGTATGAGGCTGCTTGGACACAACGTTTCTGGGTAGTGCGAAGGAGAATTCCAAAATGTCGCAATCCGAGTTGGGCGAGAGGCTGAATGGTGTGAAAGTGAGTGACTCATGTAAACTTCATTAGAATGACCTTGTCCTCGATTGAGCATGGCAATACGAGAATGCGGGAAGTTGAATGCTTCTTGTGAATAAGTGAAAGGAGGCAATGCTGGACTAGAGTCAGGATGATGTTGGGTAGTGAGTGTTGTTGTTATTGCATGGTGTGGTTGAGTCGAAGCGCCATGAGTTTCTGTATGTTTCAAAGCTGGAGCATGTTGTTGCTGTGTGTGAACAACATTCGACGAAGAGTAGCAACTGGTCATTTCAAAGTAGTGTGAATTCACACATGCTTCTTGTGCTAAAGGAGGTGCATAAATTTGAGTTGGTAATGGGCAGTCGTGAACATGGTGATGGATGAAGTCAACGTTGTTGTTGTGGTTGCCTTGTTGTTCTTGCTTTCTAATGGACGTAGAAGTCTCTTGAGAATGTGATGGCGATGGTTCTTGTTCATGTTTGTAAACCATACCTTGTTCAAGAAGCTTCTTGACCATGGTTGTGGTGGGGTTGGTTGAACCGGTGCGACGATTCTTCCTATTTTCACTACTGCAAGGAGAGCTCTTGACCACACAAAACTTGGCACTTCTATTTTCCTTATGATTGGGATTATAATTCATAATCTTGATATTCTTTCGCTTTCGTACGAGCGCTGTTTCATGATTCTTCTTTTTAATACCGCTGCTGCTGTGAAAAGGTTTTGAAAGGACACATGAAGAAGACGACGATGAAATGGTCTCTCTTGAAGGAAGAAGACTCGAAGAGGCAGCAATGCTATTACTGCTGTTCTCAACATGCTGGATGGTTGAAAAGACTCTTGGTGAAGATACTTCTTCATTGGATTCATCAGAACAGCACACGGTTGATGTGGCAGAAGTACAACTCGTATTCGTCGTTATGGTCGCATCAGATGCCGACAAATGTTCGTCTTGTTCATTCTTTGATGACCATTTACGAGGTCGGCCTCTCTTTCTCTCTGGACACTCACAACATTGTTCAGGACAACCTCTCCGCACGCATCTAGAACATGGTCTTTGTCTATCACAAGCTTTATGAGCAAGTCTACATGAAAGACATGCCTTATTGTTGAGAGACATGGCAATGGAATGAAATGAACTGTTTGGAAGGTGGTTCAATGAGGTGTTTGGTTGTTGTTGTTGTTGTTGTTGTGGACACCATGAAGGGGACGTAACTTGTGTTTGTTGGTGTGGTTGATACATGTTTGGTGATGATGATGATGGTGTGTTGTGCAAATCCAAATTGAGAAATTTCTAAATCCTGCAAATGTGTTGTGTGAAATGTGGAATAATGACCGAGATAATGTTATTGTCTTCTTGGTAGGAATTGGAGTCAAGAGAGGTAACAATTCAATCCTGGGGAAAATGGGATGAGAACAATGTGTAGTAGAGAGAGTTCAGACTTTCTTTTGAAAATGCTTTCCTCCTCACTCCACAACAATTCTCAACTTCGGCTCTTTTCTCAAGTCTCGAAGAAACTCTTCTCAAAATTTCATATCAAAAACGGAAACTTTTTTCATTAACAACATCTGAAACGGTAAGCGTGAATTTGGAAATGGTGCAGCTTTGCGTGCTTGGACGGTCGTGAAATTCTTTGACTTTGAGGTTGCCTCTTCTGACATGGAAGATTAATTGGTGGAGGAAGGTACTGCAGTAGAGGCAATTCTTGTTCCTTCATAGGAGAAAAGGAAACAAATGTTTATGTCGGAATTCAGATTTGCTATAAACTCTTTTGAACAACAGTATCCTTGGCCGGAGAGTACAGTATTAAAGAAAGGCTCATCATGAAGAAGGAATGAAAATTGTATGGCAGCAAATAGACTTGCAATGAGAGCAACAATTTGAGAAAGAGATAAAGCGGCACAAAATTGAACAGAATCATCAAATTGGAATTTTTGGAAGAGTTAGCATGTGCTGATAACACTCTCACGTGTTAAATTTGCGATTGTTGCTTCTTTTCGGAATTCGTGAGTTGGCTCTTGACACATCCCATTCACATTTTTGAACAAGAATTTCTTTTTCATTCTAAAATGAAATATGAGAATGGAAATGTTTCACCTCTACTCGTGTGAGCACATTCATGAACAGTGAGACCACAGTGGATGTGAATGAATTAAATTACACTATCAATAATTCGAAATAATTTTGCTTGCCTTTTCAAAAGAAATTTAGTTATTGAAAAAAAATGCAGCAACAGACATCAAGCACATCCTCCGATCCTAAAATTGCTTTGGATAAAGTCGCACACAATGACAATGTTGTGTACAAGTGCAAGATTTTTATTTCTCTAGTATTTGGAATTGTTGCTGGAATTTTTGGATTAACCGGCTTATCTGGATTTTTATTTTATATTGTTGTGTCATTGGTAATTTCATCAATCCTGATTGGAATCTGCCTTCCGAGACCATATAGTGTTGAAAACGTGTTTCCAAATTGGACTAATATTATTTTGGGAGGTTTTACCCAAGGACTTTTAACTTATATTTTGTTTTGGACGATATCGTACGACATTGTTTATATTTTCTTTTAAAAGAAATGGTTTATTAAATTTTAATGTTTATTCTATTTAAAATTGAATTAAGAATAGTCACAAGATGAACATTTGAATAGTTATTACATGCATGTGGATTGTCTAGTTGATGGAAACTTTTCAAGACATGGATCTTAATATTCATCCTCACTGTCGTGGTAGGGATCTTCTATCTCGTCACTTGTTTGTCGTTCTGTCAATCTACGTTTCCAGTGAACCAATTGAATAGCAACATTGATTACATATTTGCTATAAATTTTACCGTTCTCTTCATAGGTGATTGGAGCATATAGCTCTTTGCCATAAACAGAGTTACCTGCACATGAGAGAGAATTGTAAGTTGAGCCTCCAATATAAATTGAATCTGAATCATAACTCTCGTTGGCGAACAAAAACCTAACTTTGACATATTCCAATTCATCTCTCAAAATTCCCTCGTTTTCGGAATTGATGTCAAAGCTTAGTAAGGCGAGAAATATTGAGCATTCGTCAGAGGTATCAGCCTTCGTAGACTTTGTTTCTCCTTTAGGATAAAAGCAAATACCCCATTTAAAACCAAACGCTTCAAATGGATCCGAGTAGCAGTCGTCTCCATTTTCAATAGCTCCTGAAGACAATACTGTCACTGTGTGGATCGATAAAGGATGTTGTGCCTTTTGATTGTTCAATATCCATGGTGGAAGCTTTGGATTCAACTCATTTGGAATTGCAAGCTTGATATCTATAATTTTCATGCAAACAACAAACTTGTAAATTTCATATTCTTCAGTTTTGCTGTAATACTTGACATCTCTCTTGTCAAAGAAATCACCATACGAAGATGAAGCCATTTTGTAGTTTTTGGTATAAACTAAATACGACCCAGGAGTGAAGTCATGATTGCACAGCATGTAGTGTAGTTTGATGTGGTCAAAGAGAAGCGATGTCTCTGATGTTGGTTTTGTAGATAGAAGGGTGAGGTAAAGCGAGCACTGTGCAACCTCATTTTCTTCGGGAGAATCGTTTGGTCCAAACTCAAGTGTCCATAAATATCTAAAAGAAAAGTATGAAATAACGACATTCCTTCAAAGTGTGTGACTTACCCAAATGCCTCAAATGCTTCAGATCTGTAGTGTTTGATTAGAACGTGAGAAGGATCCTTGGGAACCTTCACAGTGGCCACATAGGTAAAATGATCTTTGAATTGTGGAGGAATGAACTGTTTAACATTTTCAATAGAATCAATATTTCCAATTTGCATGTTTTCAGGTTGAAGAGAGGCAGCAAAGTTGTCGGTTGGATTCACCCTTTTTGCCATAGCATCCAACGATGTTAAAAACGCAGAATGGCTTCTAAACATTGGCACTTTCATAACATGATGTATGAGATCCAATGTTTTTCCAATATGTGAAAAATATTGAACAAAGCTATCCAAAGTCTGAATTATGTAAAAAGTAGGATAATTATCGAACAAATCAAAAGTGCCATCCAAACAAATATCTATGATTGTCGAAATTAGCTCATCCAATCCACCAGTGTGAGCCACTTCATCAAGTTTGAATATACCATCCATCACTAATTTATATTTCTTGAACCTCAATAAAATCTCGCACGCTTTCGCAAACTCTTGTCCAGTAACGAGAAATTCTAAACATTTGCTGATGCAGGCTAGTGTCTTTTCCTTTTCATCATTGGAGAAATTATGTTCATTTTCCAATAACTCATCAAGGCAATTAAGCACTCGAAGAGTGATGCCATCAATGTCTCCAATATTAATTCCATGCTGTAGAGTATCTAAATAGTTGTAGCACAAAAAGAATAGATTTGGTGCAGATAGATGATCTTTAACGAGGTAAGCTCTAATATAGCAGTGAGCTAAAAATAATTGTCTAGAGCTTGTTAAATCTTTCACCCTCTTCTCTAATCTATTGTAAACATCTACGAGATTTCCATGTAGCCAGTCCTCTTCACATAAATCGTTAAATTCTTGCAACACATCGGTTTCCTCGTTTTCAGTTTCGCTAAAGATGACCGTTATTTGAGGATTTTCTTGCTTGATAATAGAATAGTCAGAATTGGTAATGATATTTGGACAGTGTTTCAAAACTATTACTTCACAATTTGTGAACCGAGTTAAGTGATGCAGAGCATTGTTTGTTATCTGATCAACCTCTTCAAAGAAGATAGATCGTAGTTCATAATCATTCAAAGGAAGCATTTGCTCTACGAATTCATCACAAACCAATTTGCATTCAATAAAGTGGAGATCTCTCAATCTGGTCAGAGAGAGGAGATTTTCAACAAAGCCAGGTTCTAATCCTGTTATATGTGGGCATAGATCAAAGTATAGCTTCTTTAAACTTTCTGGAAAACGAATGTTCTTAAAGCTGTCAATCTTTTCAGAAATGTTGATACGAAGGCTGGTGAGCTTTTTAAATTCGCACAGAATCATTAAATCTTTGATTTTAACTTGGAATAAGCTCAATTTGGTAATATTTGTTCGAGGTATATATGGAATAAGGCCTCCAACCATAGTTGCTCCTGATACTTTCCGCAATGGTAATTCGAGCTTTCCTCCTTTTTGTTCGATAAGCTTTGCTTGAGTCTGGAACTCTCTGAAAATATTCTTGAGAGACCTTTCTGAACCCACAATATCGACTCGAAGCTTTATCAATTTAAGACACTTCTTCAAAAAAGAAAAATCAATGTTCACCATATCAGTAGCAGCGAGAGCCAGAGCTTCCAAAGAACTTCCGATGAGTGATGACAAAAAATCTTGGGAAATAGCAGAGTTAAGACCTTCTATAAATTCAATTCGGGCGAGTTTTGTCAAGCTGGAGGCCAAAGATCTGAGCAAACTCTTGCTTGTCATTTCCAATTTCATGTATGGCTTAAACAACAATGAGAGGCTTGTTAATGTGGTTAAGCTAGCTAATGTTGTGACAAGTGTGTCGATGATGCAATTCTCATTTCCTTGCATAATTAATTTAAGTGTTTCCAAAGATGGAAGTAATCCAAGGTTCTTTTGGCTTGCTACAATCTTAGTGTCTGCATTAAAAATCCAAACTAACGATAAGTACTTGAGATTTTTAAAGGAGTGTGACTTGAAGGTCGAATAAAACTTTCCTCTAAGATGAGTCTCATCATTTTCTTCATCTGTTATATCTATGATTTTAAACTTCTCCAGCTTTGGTAGCCCTTTCAAAAGAGCGCTGATATCCTTGTCTCGTAGATATTCATTGCTAACTGCAACGCTTGTTAAATTTGGGCATTGCTCAATAATACTATTGATATGCTCTGAAACTAATGGGTGGTGAATGGTAAGATGCGTAAGCGACTCGGGAAGCTCTATAGGCAAATGTTGAATTTCTTCCTCGTAATAATCAATTCTTTCAATGTCTCTCAACAATTGTAGCTCTTGCAAGTTCTTAAAGTGTTTAAAATGTGTAAAGAAAGGGAATTCGGTGTTATATAACCGTAATGTTCGAAGAGATTGTGTCAGCACGCTGTTCATCTTTCCCCATGAGCCCAAAAAAGAGCCAGATATATCTTCAACATCTGACAAGTCAAGAGTTTCAATTGGTGTTGTAATTCTTCCCAGATCTGTGAAACCGAAATCTGTTAACGCTAGAGTGGTGACTAAATTGTAATCCTCATAACGAATGTGTCTCAATTTCTTGAGATGAACCAAGAAGTGATCCACAATATTCGAAAATTTACCATTTGATGTTCCTACTCGAATCGCATAGGTTGTTTTGAAATTTCTGAAATAAAACCATACAAGCCTATTTCATCCAAACAAATATTAAATGTATGATTTGTTGCTCTAAATTTCAAAGTGTATTAAAAACTTACTTGGAAAGACTTTTAGTGATGAGCCTAACCTTTAGCAATTGATTGGTAGTAAGAAAGCAGAATAAATGATCAATCCAAACATCATTGGGTACACCCAAAAAGTGATCAATATTATGCAATAATTCCTCTTCGGGATCCTCATGATGGATCATTTGATGATCATTTAAATGCAAAGCTTCAAGTTTACTTTCCATGAAATTGGTAGAATTCAATCCACCATCATCGTCATCTGTCTGCGTTGTTGAATAATTGGCTTCATCAGATTGCTCCGAAGAAGAAGAAACCTGAGTGTGGTCAACCCTCATATGAAGATTCGTCTCTTGTTAATTTTTTAAAAAGAAGACCAATACAAACACACTCAGTGTTGTTGCTTGTTATTCGGACGGAACATGATAAAAACCCTCGTAACATGTAACCACTTGTTGTTTTGAATTTTCAATTTCTTGGCTTTGCTGATCACCGTTGCTTTTCAGTTTCTTATGGATGAAAATGGAAAGCAAAGTGTGAACGAAAGACAATTAAAATTCGGTTCACATTTTCACAGGCATCCAAACGTCAAAGAGTTCACAAAGCGAAAAAAAGAACACAGTTTCGCATACTCATTATCCTTCTTCTTCTTCTTTCCTCACCATCATGATGAGTTTTTCAACAATAATTCGCCATCATCGAAATGTCCTTGCGGTGCCACTTGTCACATCTCTGTTAATTCTATTTGCTCCGAATCTTGTCACGGCTCAAGCAACACTGACTTCAACAGATGTAGATATTGGTTGGACTCTTATTAACGGAGCTCTTGTGATGTGTAAGTAAATTCCTCACCTATGGGATGATGTATTTCAACTCTAAATTTATTAATTTGGCGTCTCATGTGGTGTCAATGTCATATCTTCACACCTCTCAACAGTTATGCAAGCTGGGTATGTAATTTTTTCATTACTCATCTCAACAATACCTTTATAACAACTTCATTCAGATTTGCCTTCTTGGAAGCTGGAAGTATTCGTTCTAAAAACGTTGCCAACATTTTACTAAAAATTGTCATGTCAGTTGCCATTTCAACTATGGCTTGGTTTTGTATTGGTTATGGTTTTGCCTATGGTGATAATCAATTAACAGACACTAGAAATGGATTCTTTGGAAATTCTTCATTTTTCTTATTGGGTGGAGATGAAGCTCAACATGTCTTTTTCTTCCAATGGGCCTTTGCTGCTGTAGCCAGTTCAAGTATGTTTTGGAATTTTTAACCAAAATATTTCACCTTATTTTCATAACATCAACATTGAACAATTTATTATCCTTATTTATATATTATGAATGAACACATAAAAATATGAATTTGACACGTGACAGTTGTGAGTGGAGCTGTAGCTGAAAGAATGAATTTATCTGCCTTCTTTATGTGTTCATTCATTATGACTGCATTCATTTATGCTCCAGTAGCTCATTGGATTTGGTCATCAGCAGGTTGGCTTTCTGGATTCAATAAGACCATGTTCAGAGTTGGAAATGTTGGAGTGACTGATTATGCTGGAGGAATTGTCGTTCACGTATGTATATTTTATGATGATTGATGTTTGTTTAAGAGTATGACTGAATGAATGGTATGAATGAATTATGATTTTGTTATTCACATAATTGATGAAAATGGCGGAATTGAATGACAAATGAACATAATAACACATTATGATCAACAAGTTGGTGGGTGGAGTTTGTGGACTTGTTGGATCCATCATGGTTGGTCCAAGAATTGGTCGATTTGTCAATGGAAGAGCTGTGAAAATTGTTGGACACAACAAGACACTTGTGTTATTGGGAGGTTTAATTTTATGGTTTGGTTGGGTATGTAGATCACAATCAAATGGATGGATGGATGGTTTTAATGGACTTGTATGATTCTTTCATGAACTCTACCAAAATAATAATACTAACAGTATGGTTTTAACAGCGGTTCGACACAAGCTCTTTCTGGAGGAATGTCAACCATTACTGGTTATGCCAGTGCTAATACAACCATTGCAGGTGCTGCTGGTGCCATGATGTGTATGTTGTGGAGTTGTCTCCAAAGTGGTCAGTAAGTAATAATTGTTGTTGTTTTTTGATATGAATATTCATATTTCTAATATTGTTCTAACATTTCATAAAAGATATGATTTGACTGAAAGTTTGAACGGTTGTTTGGCTGGTTGTGTCTCCATTACTCCAGTGTGTGCATTTGTAGAGGGATGGGCTGCAGTATTGATTGGAGCAAGTGGAGCCTTAGTCTATATTGCAAGTAATTGGCTTTTGGAAGCATTGAAAATTGATGATCCTGTTGCAGCTGTACCTGTAAGTAGTAATCGTTGATTCGAGTGTTGAAAATTTGTGTGTGGAATGAAATTTTAAAATCATCAACATGTTCATGTGAATGAAATTTTGAAAATCTTCAACAACATGTTCAGGTTCATGCGTTCTGTGGAGCTTGGGGATTGGTTACTGGTGGATTATTTGCTACTCAAAAACAGTATGTATATCGAATTCAAAGTATCATCTCAATTTTTTTTTCATGAATTTATGTCAAATTATTTCAAAACTACAGAATTGCTCTTTTCTATGGCTTAGATTCAACTATTGAAACTTATGGACTCTTCTACAGTTTGAACTGGGAATTGTTAGGTGTTAATTTATTGGGTATTACAATGGTCACGGTTTGGACTGCCTTCTCCTCTGTAATCATGTTCTTTTTAATTGACATTACCATTGGTTTGAGAGTGCCACCAGAAGACGAATTAATTGGATTAGATCAAAAATATGGTGGAACTGCCTATACTGGTGAAGATATTCACCAATACGGATTTGGAAACTCAGCTTCTGAGAATACCGCTGCAAGAACTGCTTTGAAGACTGCTAGAACTGTGAATTCACACCGAACACAACGTAGTGGTAGATCAGGTGCCTCACGAAGAATGTAAGAGTGTGAAAACATTTATTGAGAACCAAGCTTAAAAATGTTTCCGTAACAATATTATTGTGCATAAAACAAGTTTTTTTTAATGTGTATGTATTGTTGTACATGCAGCTAGTCATCCTCCATTTCATCCTTGAATGAAATTTTAGAGTCACACAATGATTGAGTGTTGGGTTTCCTTAAATTATCCACAAACTTTTTTTCATAACCTGAGGTTCCTCTGAAGTTGTTATACATGACTTCATGCCACAATCCTTTCATATCTAGCATGTCTTCAAAACACTGGCTACTTCCATTGGCACGACAAGCGCGAGCAATATTTGAAAGACCTCTCAAAACATCATTTTTCAATTTCTCGTCACAGATAGAATCGTTTAACAGCAGGTCACTCAATACCTCCAAACACATGTCTCCTTGTTCTATAATGTACAATATTTGATCAAAATTTCCACCATTAATTGCATTTAAAATAGCCCAAATTGCCTCTGATTTGGTGTGGGCGTGAGTGGTTGATGTTTCAATGTGCATTATCAATTTTGGAATAATAGTTGCATCAATCACAGCTTGTATTTGTTCCACGGATCCAGCTGTAATGTTTGAAACGGTCCAACAAGCTTCTTTTCGAATGTTATTCTTTGAATGTGACAGTAGTTGACACAAAATAGATAATGCATTGCAATTAATCACCGTTTGCGTGTATGAATCGTTTCCTGACACAATATTTCCAATTGTTCTCAAAGCAGGTAAAACCACGTTGGCCGAAGAGTGGCCCATCAATTCCACCAAGCGTCTTGTCACATTCGCCTGAAGCGCTCGTTCTATTCCCTCCTTTTCCGCAGTCATAAAAGAAAAAGCCCAACAAACTTCCACCAAAATTTCTTCGTCTGTACTAAACAGCAACTGAGCCAACACAGGAATCGAAGGTGAAATCAAATCAAAATCAGGAAAGGGTTTGCCACGAAACAAATTCGATACTGCCCAAGTGGCATTCCGTAAGATGGACACCTTTGGATTTTCTTCAATAATTTTCAAAAGTGGAGCCAAAATTCCTGCTCTCAGCACCACGTTCCTTGTAGCTGGTCCATCACCAGCAATATTTGCAAGAGCCCAAACAGCTTGATCTTTTACATCATCATTCGGACTTGAAAGTAATTGAATTAACATCGGGACAGCACCAAGTTGAATGAGCAATTGTGTGTGCTCCGAAGATCCTGATGCTATGCCTGTGATCACCCATGCTGATTCAAATTGTAGATGTGGTTCATCATCCTTCATGAGAAATTCAATGAATTTTGGAACGATTCCTAATTGAATGAAATGATCAACAATGGTGCCGTGTTCCCTTGTTTCAAGACTAACGAATTTTCGGAAGAAGCAGGTAGCAGAAAGACGTTTCAATGGGTCTGTGGTGTCCAGTAAGTTCTCTCGTTCTTGATAAGATTGTTGATATCGGAGAAGGATTGTTGGATCCTCAGTTGGGATGTGGTTGGATGCCATTTTTTTGGTTGTTGATTTTTCTTGCAAATTCTAGAACACCGCTCTTATTATGCCCTTTCAAGTCCAAAGCAAGAAATTCATCTTTTTAAATTTTGTACAAACAAAAAAAGAGGAGGTGTTGCTATGAATCAAAACAAATGTTTTACGATCAACGATCGATTAATCCTCACCGTGGAGAGTGCTTCTCATCTTGCCAGCTCGGATTTGAATGGTTATTCGGATCCTTTTGTGGACATTATCTTGAACAAGTATTTGGAGAGAAGAACAAAGGTATATTTTACATTGCAATATTAGGTATAATTCTTTATTATAATTTAAATCTATCTTGTAAGATTATTAAAAAGAATTTAAATCCAATTTGGAATGACACTTTTGTGTTTTATTATATGGTGAATGAAAAAGGACCTGTGACTTTAGATTTTGAAATATATGATTGGGATCGATTCACTCGTAACGTAGGTTTTTGTAAATTTCCAACTCGTTTTGTTACAACAATGCAAAACCATTGTATTTTTTTGTAATGGTGATGAAAGGATTTTCTTGGACGAGCCACTCTTGCGTTGAATCCAGAAACAACAGAGAGAGGGAAAAGTTATTCGGTGGAGCTTCCTTTGAAAGATGCAAAATCAGGGTCTCTCAAAATTCGATATAAGGTCGAATGTTATGAACCCAATAAGGTATTGTCTACGCCTGAAGTACCTTCTCTTTGGCCCGTGACAGATTTCAAGTTTGTTACAGACCAGCCTTTCTCTCAATTTTTCAGACCATGTATACCTAAGGAATTCGTTTTAGTGTCTGGAGACACATATCCTTGCAAGGAAGAATCATTCAATACAGTATTCATGAATCCTCAGAGTGGAGATGTCATCTCAATCACATACCACCATATGGGGCCTCATGTTTCGTTTGTGGAAGCTGAAAAGAAGTTAATGGATGAATATTTGAAGAGTTTGAAGGATGGAGCTTTAAAATCTCCCAATGGAATGTTTGAAATCATTTGTAGAGATGAAGATGTGACCCATAATTTTTCTAAATGCCCATTTACACAGGCATTCGAGAGTCGATGTTTAACGACCTCAGCAGGACAGCATGTGATATGTGTCTGCTTGACCTGTGGCTATGCTTGCCGAGTGTTGATCAATTATGTGTGGATTAGTCATGGTTTTATTCTACCTGAAAGCAAATATTCCACGTTACTACAAGTCGCAACAAGGTCTGAAGTTCAGGCAGATAGCTCAAATATCGAAGAGCCACCAACAATTTTACCTTAAATGCCATACCATTCAACAATGTTTAATATTAGTTAAATATGGTTATCATTGTTGGCCAACAAAGGTCTATTTTGCTTGGCATATTCATCGACAGGTTGGAATGGTTGAGAATAAATTGTTGAAACTGGTGGTTGTGTCACGACAGCAGTATTATTGGCAAAGACATTTCCTGTGGTACCGGTGGTTTGATAACCTTCCATTGGTGTGGCGACAATAAAGGTTTGTGGAGCATGGTTCACATAAACCTCAATACATGGCATGGTTAACAGGAACTTGTAACTGAATGTTTGATAATATCTGTTGTTGGTGGCCACTGCTATTTCATATCTCAATACATATTGAATACCTTGAGAAAAGTAAAAGTTTTGGTTCTCACTTTGCAAATAATCTGCAAGTTCCTTCTTGCACTCCTGATGAATTTGGGTGATCCGAGCCACTCTCTTAAAAGACCATACGACAACTCCAAGAACAATGAAAATAGAGGAAGATGGAAAAACGATCCATACCCACACACCTTGGTCCGGATAGTGAGCATAAGCTGTAAAGTAAATCAAGCATGCGAGACCCACACAGATCATAGATCCCAACATGATGGCGAGGAATGTCTTTAGGAATACCTTGGTATGATTATCATCAATCTTTTCCATGTGCTTCTTCATAATTTGGGAGCATGTTTGAACTGTGGAAAGATGCTTTTGAGGATTCACTCGATTCATTAAAACAATAGGGAACGTGGTATCAAATTCCTCTGATGTCGAATCAAAGGAAATGTTGTATCCAGAGGAAGCATTATTTACAGTTGAAGGGGGAACAGCACTATACAACATGGTAATATAATCTTGTGCAAATAGAATTATTAGCGAACAAAGGCTCTGCTTGAACACAGATCGCAATTTGGTGTTTGGGGAATTTTGTTTTGTTGATGAAAATTCTGAGCTTCATGTTATTTTTATTGTTGGGTGAATTGGAATGGAAGATGAATGGAACAATAACTCCACAACTGGAGAGTGAATCGAAGGTTGTTTATTTGGTAATTTCATCTGCAATGGAAACGGACCACAAGAATATGGGAACCATCTACGTAGACCAAACACACGTGGTTGTTATCCAGAGAACTCAAAGTGACAAAAAAATGAAAGCAAGCCTTCATCTTGTTCAATCTTCACGGGCTATTGTTGCTCAACACCAATTTTTGGATCAGGAATTATTAAATGTTAGCTCATCCTCGGGAACAAGAAATATGTTGGATGTCCTAAATGGAGTCAAGCATGGAGGAAAGGAGATTTTTTTGATGGTGAATGAATCATTCGTCGTGCAAGGATTGGTATCGGAACGAGTTTATAAATTATTATCAAATGATAGCCGTTTATCAAATTCAGAAATTAATTTTGCAGTACAAGAGGAATTTATTAGAAATTTTATGAAGGATAAATTGAGTTTCCGGTTTCCAGTGTCTATAGAAATTAGAATGGTTGAAAAGTCATCAATACCTATTCTCGAACAAGTGATTGTACAACCACTTACATCGGAAAATGTGAACGCTTCATTTATTCGAGAGTGGATTGAGGAGAATGAATTTGATTTTCCATCACTTGTTAAAAAACAGGTATCAACTTTGTCCACAAGATTCCATATTTTCTCTATCACTGATGACATTAACATTGATTTTCAAATTGTAGACACAAAATTGCAACGTCAAGGTATTATTGACAGCGAACGTACAAAATTTATCATCCTCACTGAGCCTGGTGTGGCACTTCACCGAAAACTTCACACATTATCAGGGCTACAAGACATAATGCTAGACAATATTGATGACTCTTTCGATGATATTCTTACCTCAGATTTTATTTGTAACAAAACTGAAAAGTCTGTAGAAATTGAACAAGTTCATCATGTCACAACAAACATTTTATTAAGTATTTTGAAAAATCATTCACCAAATTACGATGTCAATTCTAAAGAAGATCCTCACTCCATGCTTCTAGTTAGTGCTAATTATTTTGCAAAATTGAATTGTATGGACAAAATATGGGGAAGGGTTAACTCCTCACATTCGGTTCTCATAACACTTGTTCATGGAGAAGATTTACCCTATGAAGGGGCAATCATGACCAACGCGTTATATTTTAATCTTGGAAGACCCAACAAGATACAACTTACTTCAAATATTGATGCACCAAAGACTGCTTCAAAGGTTATTCTAACACCAGTTCAAAGTCCAAATCATTTTGGAACCACACTCATTTCTGGTACAGAAGAGGAACAACGAATTGAACAACGGCTTTTTGAAAAACAACTTGATATTTATTTTTCATCAAAATCAAGAGTGTTACGAAAGCATGAGATCATTATGGTAAATAATCCTACCATCTCATTTATCAAATCTGACGACTCGATGCAAGTTCAAGTGCTTGCACAATTAGAAACAGTCAAGAGAATTGATCCCTTGCATGCAGACTATACCTGCTATAGAGTGGATAGCGTAGAAGTTGACACTGAGGAATGCAATGATTCAGTGTTTGTATCTCCTTCCGAAACAACTCTAATAACAAATGCCCAACCATTGAGAGGTTATATTCCTGCAGAAATACCATTAACAGATTACTATGAATTGAATGTTACAAAACAACTTTCGCGATTCATTGAACCAATCATTTCTATTTACAAGCAATTCCCTCAAGGCAATTCAGCACAAAAGAGTCTAGTACAACAGCATTTTCTATTGTATGGAGAGGAGGGATCCGGTAAAACCATTGCCGTTCATTCTGTTTGTGCCAAGTATGGATTTCATTTACTTGAAATTAATGCATTCGAAATTATTAACGAATCTGACTCGATAACAGCTCAAAATCTCTCGCAATGTTTCACTCTTGCAAGACAATGCACTCCATGTATTCTCTATGTGAAACACTTTGAAGCGTTTGATCAGCTAAGTAATAGCAGTAGTGGAGGTGGAGCTAGTGTGAAGCAACATTCAAAAATTAGAATTGTCAAGTGCCTGAAACAATGCCTCAAGCCCAAGAATAATTCTTTTCCATTGATTTTCATTCCTAGTGTTTCCTCATTGGACTTATTGAGTCCTGTTTTTAAGAATTTATTCCTTACTAAAATTGAGGCAAGGAAAAACTTGAACGAAGAAGCAAGAGAACAATTCATCCAAAAAGCAGCAAACATGTCACAAGGCAGTATTTGCAACATTGATATTTCTGCATCTCAGATTGTCAAGCTCACCAGCGGATGCTCCATTTATGATCTCAACAAAATTATTCAAATTTCCAAATCACAAGCAATTACTGAATCCATGAACACTCAAAACGAGCTCCGAAAAGACAATGGAAACTCTTCATCTCATCCTCACGTATATTTATCCACTCTTTCACACAAGCACATTGTTCAAGGAGGACTTAAATGGCATAAAAAGTATGCTGCCTCCGTAAGTGGCAGTAATGTCAGCAGTACGACCAATGTGTCCATTCCCACCGTGAATTGGCAAGATATTGGTGGTTTAGAACATGCTAAACAAGAAATTTTGGACATCATTCAATCACCAATTCAATCTCATAATTTGAAATCAAGAAGTGGTGTGTTGTTATATGGACCTCCTGGTAAGTATTGTTTTTGATGTGGATTGTGAAATATTATTGGAATATTATTGACACAATTTAAAAAGGCTGTGGTAAAACTTTACTTGCAAAGGCTGTAGCGACGGAATGTCAACTGAATTTTATGAGCGTGAAAGGCCCCGAGTTGATTAATATGTATGTCGGAGAAAGTGAACGAAACGTGAGACTCGTTTTTGAAAAAGCTCGACAATGTAAGCCATGCGTGATTTTCTTTGATGAATTAGATGCCTTGGCTCCCAACAGAGGAGCGAGTGGTGACTCTGGAGGTGTGATGGATCGAGTTGTTTCTCAGTTACTTGCTGAGTTGGATGATATTGGTAGCGCCGATGGAGACGAAGAAAGTGACACATCCAATAAGGGAGTGTTTGTCATTGGTGCAACAAACAGACCTGACCTGATTGATCCTGCATTATTAAGGCCTGGTAGATTCGAACGTTTGGTTTATCTTGGCGTTTCAAAATCTCGTGAGGAACAGCTCAAAGTATTGAAAGCTCTCACCAGAAAATTTAGTCTGAAAGATAATGTTGACTTTGAAAAGTTGTTGGAGCAAAGTGGATTCAATCTAACAGGAGCTGATTTTTATGCAATTTGTACAGACGCCTTTATGAACGCTGTCAGTAGAGCTACATCTCAGGGCGATATTTCACAAAAGCAGTCACACCAGATCGTTGTATGTCATGAAGATTTCGAAAAAGCGTTCAAGAACATTACACCATCTGTTTCTGTAGCGGATTTGGAGAGATATGAGTCATTGCAAGGAACATTTAAAAAATAATTATCTGTTGTTGGAACTGATTTACAAATTTCTAGACCCCTTTTTCAAATTGGAATTTTCATCCTCCAATTTGGATATTTTCAATACAAAATTCTTACATTGCTCAAGAAGCTTTTCTGTTTTTTGCTGCTCCTCCCTGTACAATTCTTCCCATTTGCTAGAAGAAGCATATCCTGCAACTTTGGCGATCAAAGTTCTGTTGGCATAAAGTAATTTCTTGTTTTCGATTGATAGTTTAGTATTTTCCTCCAGTAGGGAAGTGTTGTTACCATCAAAATTGCTGAAATGTGAGTTGGCGAGGAGAGTTTGATATTTTTCTTTCCACAAACTAATTTCTTTTTCTAGTTGTGCAGATTTTTCTTTCAACTGCATACAATCTTCCTTATACACAGTATCTCTTAAGTCTGCCTCAGCTTTCAACGTCCTTATTTGTCGACTGAGATTTGAGAATAGCTTTTGGATTTGAGAAAGATCATTCATGTCCACGGTTTTCTCAGTTAGAGATGTTTGAGAAGCAAGCTCATCTTGTAGAAGTCTTATTTTTTTCTCTTTTTCTTCCAAGGTTTCAGTCAACTTTAGGTTCTGTAAAGACAATTCCTGGCGCTCTTGGGCAAAACTTTGTCGTTCCACTTCAAAATGAACTAACATATTTTGTAGGTCCGTGTTACATGCTTGCAGTTGCTCTTTTGACTTTTCCTCAGCTTCTTTTGATTGGGAAAGCGAAATGGACAAAAGGACGATCTTATTTTCCAGATCTGTATTTCTTTGCTCGATAGAACGAACAACGTTCAGCTGTTGCTCTAGTTCTTCCTGTAACGTTGAAATTTTGTGACTTTGCTCTTTGGTCTTGCATTTCAATTCCTCAGTAGCTCTTTGAAACTGCTCGTTTTTCTGTTGTACCTCCTGCTCAATCTTCTCCAATTCTTCTTTATGAATCTGCTTCAATCGTTCGTAATCTCTTTCTCTTTCCTTTTGACCAAATTGAATATCAACCAATTCCTTTGCCTGTTTCTCCAATTCGATTTTAGCTTGTTCCAGCTGTATTACAAGCCGGCTATTCTCTTCAGCCAAGCGGTCTTTTTCTTGGTTAGTTGCATGAGCCTTGTTTTTAATAGCTTCAACCATCTCTAAAGCTTCCTTTGTAATTGGAGCATTCATTGTGGTATTTAGTCGCAGTTGTTCCAATTTAGTATCAAGCGTAGTTATTTTTTGATCTCTCTCAATAATGAAAGCTTTCAACTGACTGATTTCATCTTCTCTTTCTTCGAGCGTTCTTGATAAATTGGAGATCTGTTCTCGTGTGGGTGCTTCATCGAGTAAACTTTGGGTTTTTTCTCGTTTTTCTTTCTCCTCCTGTAAAATCTTTTGGAGTTTCATTTCTGTGGCAGATTGGGCTTCCAATTGCTTCCTTAACTCAGTAAGCGTTCTTTCACATTGTTGGTACTGTTCTTTGCTTGCATCAATCTCGGTCCTATATGATACAATTTCTAATTTACATTTTGACAGCTCTTCTTGAAGAGCTTCTATTTTACAATTTCTTTCCTGTACATTTGTTAGATGTAGCCTGTCTTGTTTATCCATTTCTTGAGATGTTAGATCTGTATTTACACTTTTAGATGTCAAAACTTTCTTTCCTTGCTCAATCGATTTGTGCAAATCAGATATTTGGTTGAGTAAATCGTTCTCTGTTTTTCTTGCCTTCTTATTTACAATTTCAAGTTTCGTCGTTTGTTTCTTAAGTTCTACCTCTAACTTTGCTTTTAGGTCTGTCACTTCTCTAAGATAAGTTAATAGTCCAAAAAATAATTTCTTGTGTATTGCGTATTTCGCAAAATACTCTTTCTCTTGGGCAGTAAATTTTTCGGTGGCCTTTTTCAAATCATGCTCAAAATTCTTTTGACAAGTTTGAACTGAAACGGCATATTCTTTTTCACATTTCTGCCTTATTCCATCAATATGTGTATGATAATGTGTCAAAATATCCTTTAAGTCTTCGTAAAACTTGTTGGTCTCATGTTCGATTTTTGATTTCAGATCGTCACGCTCTTTAGAGTAGTTCTCAACCTTCTGTGCAAGCTCCTCTATTTTGTCTTTATACTTTTTTGAAAGTGCATCTTGATACCTTTTTTGCATTGAAGAGTATTTGAAGTTAAAGTCCTCAATAAAAGCCGCAATTTGTTCCATCTTTTCCTTGTCCATTTTTTCATACTCCATCTGTAATCTTTGTGTACTTTCCTTGAACTCTTGTTTGGCTTTGGAAAACTGCTGCATCAAATCCTCAACTTGGGCATTAGCGTATTCCATTTTAACGTAAACATCATTGTCAATTTTTACGATTTGTTTGGAATCGTCCAGAGTGATCGAAATATCATTTGTTTTGTTGATGGTAGTAAGCAATGTGTTCAGCTCTTCGTTCTTTTGGAACGTTGGTAGCGACGGTGCCAGTGTCTTTTTTCGTCTTCTCTCAAAATCTTTCTTTGGACTGTTCGGAGGACTTAGTAAATCAGTATTAAGGGCAGCAGAAACCTGAGTTTTGATTGGCAAGGGAGTAGTACTGTTACTAGATGAACTTGATCCATCACCACCATGGGACATCAAGGCTTCTAGAATATTAATTTTCGGTTTGGAAGGACTATCATATCCTGCATTTCTCATAGATGTCATCATATCTGCTGATTCCGATCAAATGATGAAGCTACCACTAATTGATGATCCATTCACCAAGCAGAACTGCCAACCGTTGATTTTTTTAACGGGCAAGCCATCATTGAAGCCTCAATGAAACGACCTCACCTGTAATAACCATCATGACTCCCAAAATCGGGCTAGCCCGAAACTTGGTACTCGAGTAATGAGTGTATTTGTATTTCCATCCTTCGGATTTTTGAGCCAGATTCAGTCCAACAGCTTGAAACCTCCAAAAGTTTACGATTTGCAATTTTGAAAATAATAATCGATCAAAAAAATGCCTGGTAGCACCAAACCAACCAGTTCTGCTTCTCCTACAAAGAGAATGCCATCATCGAGCTCTGCATCCAAACCTCCTTCCGCAAAGGGAGAGAAAATGACAGCTAAACAAAGAAAATTATTAGAGCAAAAAAAGAAGGAAGAAGAAGAAAGAGCAAAGAAAGAGGAAGAGGAGAAGCGAAGAAAGGAAGAGGAGGAAGAACGAAAAAGACAAGAGGAGGAAGAGCGAAAGTTAATGGAGGAAAGAAGAAGAAGAGCAGAGGAAGAGCGTAAAAGATTGAACGAGGAGAAGGGAGCATTCGATTCCGAGGTGTTGCCATTTCACCAGGATAAGTTAAAATCTCTTCTTTCCGTTGCCAAGGAAGAGGATGAATGGAAGAAATTTGTCGAGTGTGATAATCTTCCTAAACTTCATGATGACGTAGATATGAACAATTTTGTGTCGTCATGGAGGGATATTAATGAAATGTCACGCAGCAAAGAGCTAAGAAATCTAACTGAAGATTTTGGTCTAATTAAGGACGGAGAAAAAGTATACCGTGAATTGGAATATCTTTTTGTGGAGTCCTTAGCTCGGTCAAACAAGAGTCTTCAGAACCATTGCCAAAAATATTTAACTGAAATCTCTGAATGTATCTTGGCAACTTTAGATGACGCTACTGCACACATTATGCAATATTTTGATAAATTTTTAAGCTCAGATCATGACCAATTTCAAAAAGTAGAGAGAGGAATACAATATGGCATCTGGACGAATATTTCAAAGAATTTGTAAGTACCATTTTCGTGCAGAAAGACTAAGACATTATCAAATCAGAATCCGTTATGTAGATTTTGACAAGATGAGAGTTAACGTGGAGCTGGCTATTAAGGGAATGGGATATCAAGAGATTGCTCTCAGAGTAGTGCATTTGTCTGAAGATATTTTTTCATCCACATCGCCGAATATTCAAGAAGTGACTGTGTTAGGGGGAATATATCTGATTGATTTCTTGCATATTCCTCCACTTGTTCATACGTGTGAGGATTGGAAAATTCGGCAAATCACAGAACTTTCACATCATATCAAACGAAAGCCGTATAATGTCACGAACAATGAGAATCAAGAGGTCGAAGGTCCCCCACCTGCTAAAGTCACAATACCAGCACCTCACGGTTGTTTAATCAGATCCGAAAAACCTCAAGTTGCATGGTGGAATGAGAAAGAGAAAATATGGTCTCGAGATGGCATCACAAATTCCACATACGAGCCAGAAACTGGCTTGATTTCCTTCATGACTACCCATTTGACTTGTCCCTTAGCAGTTGTATATGTAAGTAGCTAGATATTTCAGACCTGTTCAATTTGAGCACATTAAATGTTTCATTAGGAGAACAATCTTGATAAGAGCTTTCATAAATGGGCTCTATTTCCTGTACCACATATCGGGAAGGATATTTGCGTTTTTCAAGCAACTCCAAAAATACTCGAGGGCTCATCCTCTTTGGATGACATTGCAATATTAGTCCACAAAGATAAATGCAGATTAATCTCTCCCTCCAAACCAGAGTTAGAAAAACTCGCCGTCACATGGTCCAATCCTGCTAAATTGTTGTCTGATTTGGCCAAAGCAGGAATTAACTTGATATTTAGATATGAAGAAGATCCATCAAGCACCAGTAGTACTATCAAAAGTATGGAAATGGAGAAAAATGCATACGACGGAATATCTCTCGTGTGCTTGATAACTTCAGTGGCCAACTCGGTATGGAATTATCATCCGTCTGTAAAACGAGAAATTGGAGTCATGAAAGTTCACAAGTCTTTGATAGATCAATCAACCCTAAAGCCGTGTGAGGATATTGACGAGCTAGATTTAGTAGAAATAAGGTATGAAAATAAGTTCAATGCCGACTTGGACGCAAATTGGGACCTCCTCAAATACCAAAAAGAAAAGTGTGGATTTATTTCTAACGAACAACCTGTATCGACTGAAGAAGAAAATAGCATTGTCGATCTTGCCACTGTTTCGGGACTCTCCACACATCACAACTTGTTTTTGGCATTAGAGGAAAGAAACCAAGGCACTCAATTACGGCAGTTGCTTGAAGAGAGCAACGTTCTCACGATCAACAGCGTAAAAACCATTCTGAATTTGTCACGCCCACTTGTATAAACAATTAGAGATCTCTCTGCTCTGTAACCATTCGCTGGAATATTTCCATCTTATTGAAATCTGTTACATTTGGCATCAACCAAGATAAATCTTGGACAAGATGAGAGCTAGCCAAATTACATTTCACTGTGTGGCATGCAATCTCGAATGGGGTTAGCCCTTGACAATTTAATGCATCCAATTTTGCTCCGTAATCAACCAGTATTCGAGCAATAGTTGGAAGCAAGTCAATTTTGTAACACGCAATATGCAATGCAGTGTTTAAATCGTTGTTGACCATGTTTAGCAACTTGGGTTGCTTTGTCAGTAATGCATGATAGAAGGACGGATGTTCAATAGCAGTAATTAATGCACAATGAAGACAGGTATTACCTAACGAATCTGCAAAAAGTAATTGATTTTCGTTGATTTTCTTTTCTAAAATACCTTGCAACACAATTAAGGGTATGCTTGATGATCGCACCATTGTAGAGAACAAATCAACCTCAATATTTGCAATACAGTTATAGACCGCTGCATCAAGAGTAGAAATTGTAAACTTTTCATCCAAAGGCAATTTTTTCTGATAAATGTTTCTCAACATTTGTTTAGTCCTGCTTAGTTCCATCGGTTCAAGATCAACTTGTTTCGTGATTGCTTCTCGTGTTAGATGATTTTTGATAGTGACAGCCGTATATGTTTTGTTAAAAACTTCAGAGAAATAATCCAATTCAACAGCTAAATTCAGAACTACCTCCACCCTATCTACATCGCCTTGAGCAACGGCACTCAAAATCATGAAAAAGAGCTTATTAGCATCAAGTTGTAACATTTGATCCTTGAATAAAGTGTCATGCTTTGGCTTGCTGAAATAAGTAAAAAATAGTGTTAATATCTTCCTACACTCGTCATAGTCAGCATTGTTTGAACAAGTATGCTCTTTTCCGTGTTCGATAGCTGCCAAAATTTCATCAATTTCTTCTTCTCTGACTTGCCCATAAATATGCTGAGCAATATATTTAACAAATAATTGTCTGCTTGCGTTTTCGTAAATTACTTTTGCCGTAAGCAAATCCAGTAAATGCTTCATGCTTTCAACTCTATATGACTGCTGAAGCAGTATTAAGAATAAATTCTCAAGCTCTTTCGTATTTTGGAAAACGTTCCATCCATAGTATAAACAACAAAGCAGTTTTTGACCAATACCATTTGGATTGCCTTGGCCAATATGTAACAAGCTTTCACCACTTTGATTTGCTTTAAAGATCAAATACTCTTCCACGACTCGTGATCCTTCGATGTAGCTAGTATTGTTAGTTAAAATGAGTTTTTTGATAGGAATTGAAAGCTCATTAAGGGCCTTTTGTACAAGGTCCTTTTTTACAGCAATTGGAACTTGTTTTTGATATATCAAATGTAAAATGATGCTGTTGATATGAACGTAAAAGCCAGGTTTTTGTGTGAGTTGTTGAAGATGGTCCCATTTCAATTGAGCAACGTGCATCAGTTTAAGAGTTAATTCGTTATCCAAATCTGTTGATTCGTTTGCTGTTGCTGAGTTCTGAGTAAAAAGTAGATTCTCTAAAATGGGGTCTTCATCTTTTGGCTGTGGTACTGTGTAGGCAGTAGTATTTCTAATGTCCAAAACTAATGGTTTGTGTCCTTCAATTAATATGTTAATCTTATCAAAGGAACATTCATGCCTGTTATGCCATAAATCTCGAATACTTGTGGTGTTAATATCTGAGAGAGCATTGGAAACTGGAGCTAGCTTATCATAATCATTTGAACGTTGACTGAGTAGCATGTTAATGTCACGTAATTGAGGAAAGAAATTTTTTAAGAAAACTAATTCATGTCCAATAGATTTAAATCTAATTTCATAATTCCAAAAGCTAATAGTTTCTACTCTGTTGTCGACATATTTCAAAATCTGTTGTGTCAATTTCTTGGTATATTGTGAGGACAAGGTATGTGAATTGATTAACAGAGATGGTGCTCCAGTTCTTGAATGAGGTCTGCGAAGATGTCTATCGTTGGTCAACATCATGCTCAAATCTTCAATTTTGAAGTTCACAAAGTTCAGGCTAATCCGTTTGTCAGGCCTACATTCTGATTTTTTCAGTAAATCTTGTTCAGTTAAACCTTTTGGAACTGTTTTTCCATTTTCCACAATGATATGCAATAACAAGCTGTTAATTGGATACCATCCCACATTTCCAAATGTTATAGTTTTGAATAACACGATGGTCTCGGCGAAAAAATCGCTGAACAAAGAAGGTAGAACTTTTTTCAACTCAACTCTAAAAATACTGTTCAAATAGAAACAAAGTCTTGGAGTTGGATAGCTTGGAAAGCCTGTATTGAAAGCCGATAAAGAGGAATAATCAAATTCTGATGCTTCTGCCATTCCAATATGTTCATAGTGAGCACAGATCTTTGTTGGATCTGTTATTTCAAGGTTATTGTTTTCAAATTTCACACTAATCTCTTGATTATCTTAAAAATCGATCAACAATAAAATTAATAAAATTGTAGACAATAAACTTACCAGAATCCAAATTTTTAAATTGTTCAATTTTCTTGACGATTGAGGTACTTTCAGAAGAAGTTATCATTTTTCGATATTCTATTACTCTGCGCGATACAGACTGCAAAAGAGTCTCTTCATCAACGTCTAAACGTGCCTCTTGATCAGATTGTTCTGGTGTAAAACTTTCTTCGGTCGAAAGATCAGTATCAGTATCTTCCAGATCCTCGTAAACAGATGCATATCGATTTTTTACGTCTTGACTCTCCAGCCAGTAATGAAACATGCATTTCATGATCGCTCTATGTACTTCTGGATAGATCTCATACATGTTCTCTGAACAGTTAGTGTAGTTACATAAATATTGCTTTTTGGCATTGATAAAACAAAGAAGATATGCAAGCTTGGAAAAAATACCAGTATCATTCATGTTGACGGCGTTGTGATTTGAGACTGTTGACCGTAAAATTTTGTTTAGATCAAGGGTGTCTAAATTTTGCAACATGTATTGTTGCATTTTGCGGTTAAAGTACTTTGAAAGAGTTCTATACTTATGATAGGTCAGAATGGGTTGATCGAGTATACTAGTAGCTGTTATTCTTTGGTCTTGCAGTATCTTCTCTTGAGAGAAATAAATGTCATAACACTTGGGGTTGGCTGCTGGCTGGTTACTGAACGTTGGAATCATCAAAATGACTTTAAACTTGAGCTCATCGTCAAAGTTTTCTCTAATTAATTTGCAAAGAGAATCCACCTTTTCATCACTTGTTTCGAGGTCGGATTTTGGTGCGCTGACTTGGTGCTTTGTGTCTTTGGTTCATGCGTGTTAATGATTAGTATGAAAGAGTTCAATCACAAACAATACATACTTTGAGTCAAATCTTGCATAATCCACATTCTTGCAAGTGGAGTTTTGGTATCATTTTCAGCGGCATCATGATCAAAGTTTGCACTATATTTCAATTTTTTAGTGTTCTAATAATATTTTCATCACAAAGTAAGGAACGTCATGAGTCTCCAAACAGAGAATTGGTCTCCTTTTCATACCACTTACTTTAGGAATGGGTATTGTCCTCCGACTACCGGTAAGATTAGCCTGAGAAATAAACGCATCGTATTTGGTTCTGTCCCTATGCTTTGGACATAACAACTTTTTCTTCTTGTTGTAATACGACAAGTATTGTTCCGTAATTTGATTTTCCGATCCAATTCGATCATGAATAAAATCGAGCCACTCACTCCAACTGTTGAGATGAATTTGAAAAGGCATAATGATGAATATTTTTTTTGCAAAATGAAATGATACATCAAGAACATTCACTTTCAGGCTGGATGTTGTAATGTCAATGTTCCAGGCTTGTTCGATTATTACTGTAGCTCGAAATCAAGGCCGAGAATTTGTAAACGAAAGAAGAAGAATTCAAATAACAATAAATTCAACTCCGAGTCGTTTGAAAGCATTCTCAAACTCCTGATTCTCCGAGTCCAGAAACAAAAAAATGTCTCCACACAACAATCAATGGGCATGTCTATGGATCCTCTTGCTCGTTGCATCTCTCTGTCTGAATGCCCAGACAACATTCGGACATTCCCCAACATTGGCCGATGATTTATTACAAAATTCCATCTATGTTCGCATGGAGACTCAAAATTCAACCAACTTTATGGCAAGCACTTTTTTAACAGGTTCTTCTTCCATGTATCATGCCACACGTAGTATTTCTGTTGAATCTCTCCAAAAACACTATGAATCCAAAGGATGGAAGAGAGTGTCATCTTTCCCTGATCGAATTTCTTCCGCTCAACAAATGGTTCATTTAACCTTTGCATTGAAATCTCAAAATTTGGAATGGCTTTTACAAAAGGCCATGAGTGTGAGTGATCCTTCACATCCCGATCATGAAAATTATTTAAAATTGAGTGAAATTTCACAACTCACAAAACCCTCCTCACAACATGTGGAATTAGTCATGCACTATATTCGAACCATTCCTGGTGCTGTTGTGTTGCACGTGTCAAAACATGAGAATTTTATTTCATGTTTGTTACCAGTGTCATCGGTGAACAAGTATTTGAGAGCAAATATGCAACCATATATGCATCAAGAAAGTAGAACAGTCTTGTATCGATCCATGGATATTGGTTATTCATTACCTTCTGAAATTTCACAAATTGTTTCATTTGTCAGTGGAATTGTTCGATTTCCAAATATGAAACATTTTATGAAATCTAAGAGTTCTTTGAATACTGGTAGCAACATTCCAATTACTCCTCAAGTCATTTGGAAGAGATACAACATTACCATGCCAACCACGATTAATTCACAGAGTTCACAAGCTGTTGCCTCCTTCTTGGGTCAATATTTTAGTTATTCAGACTTGTCCCAATTTCAAGCATCATTTAATTTGGTGAGACAAAGCCCATCTACAATGGGACCTAACGATGAATCAAAACCAGGTGTAGAAGCATCATTGGATGTTCAATATGTAAGTATTTACAATTAATCATGTGTGTAACATTGTTAAAATCTTGACACATGATGAATTTTTCCAGATCATGGGAGTTGGCTACAAAATCAATACACTCATTGTCTCAACACCAGGTATTTCAAACATTACTCAACAAGAACCATTCATTGATTGGATTATTAAACAACAAGAAATTGGAGATTCTTCACCTTGGGTTCATTCTGTAAGCTATGGAGATGACGAAAACACAGTCACCAATGCCTTGGCTTCTCAATTAGATGTTGAGTTTATGAAATTTGCAGCAAGTGGAAGAACAGTAACTATTGCATCTGGAGATGATGGAGCACAATGTAATAACGATGGAACAAAATTCTCACCAACGTATGTATTTCATATAATGTTAATGGTAGCATTCTAAATCATGAAAAATATAATTCTACCATATATGGTATGCACACACATACAGATGGCCAAATACAAGTTGGTAAGTGTGAAATGTGTGCGCAGTGAGCTTTAAAATTTTATAACCTTATTCATAATAATCCAATGATGTGGTGGTGGCTAATTAATAATAATAATTTTCAAAACTCAATGATGTGTGAACATATTTGTGTGTCCCATTAATAATAACAATCGTTGATAATTTATTGAATAATAATAATTAGGTGGGTGACTTCTGTAGGTGCAACTCAACCCTCTGATCAATACTGGGAAGATAGTGTGTACTGGAGTGGTGGTGGCTTCAGTACTCTCTATCAAGCTCCAACATGGCAAAAAGATGCCATTTCACAATATTTGAGTAAGAGTGGAATTCCACCTTCTTCATTCTTTAACGTCCATGGAAGAGGTATGTGAAAACTTTCATTTCTCTTCAACATTCTTTACATTTTTCGTAATGCTTGTTCAAAACATGTATTCTCTATATTTTACAATAACTTTTTCAGCCTATCCTGATGTTGCTGCATTGGGAGTGAATTATCAAGTAGTTGTTGGAGGCATCATGCGTCCTGTAGGTGGTACCAGTGCTGCATGTCCATGTTTTGCAGGAATTGTGAGCTTGATGAATGATGCTCGTTTCAGTGTTGGAAAGAAACCTTTAGGATTTTTGAATATTTACTTGTATCAAACAATGGCACAAACACGTGGAGCTTTCTTTGACATTACTCATGGATACAATGCTGCTGCACCTTGTAATGTTGGATTCCCAGCAACAAGTGGATATGATGCAATCAGTGGTTGGGGTATTCCTAATTTTACCATTTTGAGACAAGTTGCATTGAAAAAGTAAACTGATAATATGATCACTCAGAGAAAAAGCGCTTCTTCTTTGAAAACCAATGATTCAAGATCTTGTATTCCTTTTTTTAATACATTTTGATTAGAAAAAAATGAAGCAGCGTAACTGTACCGTGATGACTCCGAATGAATTTCGAGGTTTGATTCGTTCGGGAGAGTTTCGAAACAACACGTCTGGTTATTGTGAAGGTATGAAACCAAGAGGTGAAATGTTTTTGATCAGTGAACATGATTATTTCTGAAATTATTATCAACAAATTCAATGGATGGTACAACATGTATCTTTTCAACAATAGGATATATTCAAGCAAATCTGGTGATTCTTCCCCAAAAATTTGCAGATGAATTTGAACAATTTTGTAAGCTAAATCATGCACCATGTCCTATTCTTGAAAAATTGCCACCTGGAGAAATTAAACCAAAATTACTAGTTCATGAGGAAAATGAGTGTGACATTCGGAAAGATATTCCAAAATATAGAGTTTATAAGAACGGAGTCTTATTTGAGGAAACGAGTGACATTAGCTCGTATTGGAGAGATGATTTGGTCACTTTTTTGATTGGATGTAGTTTTTCATTTGAAAAAGCGTTGCAACAGAATGGTATTGAAGTACGAAATATCACAGAACACAAAAATGTGTCCATGTATAACACCAATATTATTTGCAAAACGAGCAATGAATTTAAATATCTCAATAGAAAACCAATTCCAATGGTCGTTTCCATGAGACCCATTCCAAAAGATAAGGTGGATTTGGCAGTGAAAATTACAGAACAGTTCACAACCACCCATGGAGGTCCAGTTCATTGTGGTGACCCCAAAGAAATTGGTATTTCAGATTTGAGTAAGTAGTCAAAAGTTGGCACTTTAATCTGCATGCGAAGCTATTCATGAAGATCGAGTAGATTATGGAGAAAGTGTCACTGTTCACGAAGGAGAAATTCCCTGCTGTAAGTAGAAAGTTAAAATTTTGTTAAAATACACAAACCATCACCTATAGTTTGGGCCTGTAAGTTGTACTAATGTTGAACGTTTAGTATTTAATAATTTTATGGAATGTAAAAGGTGGTGTGACTAGTTCAATTGCAGCATTATCTATACAGGAGGCAGATCTTTGTATTACACATGCACCAGGAAATATGTTCATTTCTGATCTGAAAGAGCCAACAATTGTCCTTAATAAAAATTCTCAATAGAATCGTTCACTAATCTTCTGACTTTCTTTTTGTATCCTTCCTTGTCTTCTCTCCATTGCTTGGCAGCGTCCAAGTTTGCTGGTGATTCGTCGTTTGGATTACTCAACATGGAAATGACAGAAATCAAGATGGACTCTACAGAGTGAATTGGCTAGTTGACAATCAATTATGATAAGTTGTAAATAAAGATCAACAGTCAGTCTAGTGTACATACCAACCAACGTTCGCTGGCCTTTTCGTAACCCCATTCATCTTCTCCTGGTGGGTGAAGGATTGAAATACACACTTTACCATCTGAATAAATATTTGGATGCCAGATTGGAGTAGTGAATTGAAGCTTTGGAGGAGAGTTTGGATAATCTTCAGGGAATGTCATGATCGCACGGAACTATGCGTAATGAATTCAATTTCATAAAAGAATTGTGATTGATCAGTAACCATGTTTCTAACTATCGTTGATGATTATTCAAGAAGAAAGCTTACCATTCCTCCTTCGTAAAGTGTTTCCGGTGGGCCAACTAGATGATCCACAAAATTAATCAAAAGAATTACCGGAAAGATTATTAAATTCCGTAAATGAAAACGTAGGCCGAGTGGTCAATGGCCAATCATCAAAACAATAATAATACAACAAAACATCATCAAGTTCCAATCAATATGTAAACTGTTGTTCAATCATACATACTGATCAAAATATCCCATTCGTACAAATTATTTTCATCCTTCAAACCGGCGCTGAAGCCTTCCACTGGATTCTTTTGTAATTCTTTTAATTCCTTTGCCAAACGCAAAGCTGATTGACCTGATTGAGAAGACATGGTTTGTCGATGAAAGTGATGATTCTTACAATTGGTGATGAGTCAACAACAATTAAGCAATTTTTTTGTAAAAAGTTCTGCAAGTCGGTTCCGATCGCTTGCCGTCGTCTTTGTTGTTACCATTAGAAAGCAGAAAACACAAGCTTATGATCATGGCTTCAATCAGTTCTTGTTACAGCAGAACTCTTTCATCATCAAGAACGTTTTGTTCCGCTATTTGAAGTTCAACAAAAAATATTACCACCACACAACACAATGACCAAAGGCAACTCACAAAAAGCTGTGCATCCAAAATCCCGAAAAGCACTCGAGATGAAGAAACAAGGTCTTCATAAAATCAAAAAGAAGGAACAAAAACAAATACGAGAGAACAAAATGACTCCGACATGGAAACGATATAAATTCATTCATGATCAAATATTTGGAGAAGATATCCGAGTGAAGAAAACACATTGTTCTGAAGAAGAAATACATGAATTGATTGAGAAATATTTAAAACATGCAGATGATGAATTTGATAAAAAGCATCCCAAGTTAACTCCTAATTTACGGCTTCAAAAAGAAGCACATCGAGCTCTTTATACTTCTGGCTCAGGTCTCGAATTACCTGACTTGACCAATCCAGATGCTTTTGGAAAGTTTAGAATTTGGAACAAGGAAAAGGAAAGCATGATTGGAATTCCTTCAAAATCATTTAGGAAACCAACAGTTTCTACAGATGCATCATCATCGAATGAAATGCAAAAGTAATATTGATCAATCCACAACAACTACTGATTAAATATGAGAAATGATTTATTTATGCATCTGAACTTGAAGTTTGCCTTTTCTGATTAGTAGCATTTTCGTCAAATAATTTATAATTGGTTGCATTCTGAGGGGAAGCTCCTTTGTCTATACGATTGGATTTCTGATTCTGCCTCTTCTTGGAATAACCTGTGGAAGAACTTGTATACATTGGATAAGCATTTCGATTAACAGGATATGAATACAATTGTGTGTCACCTCCTGAACCGTTGCTTCCATAGTTATTGGAAGTGGATGCAGCCGAGGTCGAATACTTGTAAGGATTGTGTGTTGGAGGATAATAGTAATAGTAATACATGAAAGGTTGTTGAGGTTGCTGCTGCTGAGTACTTGTACCACTGGTTCGTCCATTCTCTTCGGTGCCACCATTATTATTATTGGAAGAGGGAGTTGTGCTATGATACACAGATGAACCATTCGAAGATCCATTCGATGCCACTTGTGAATATAACAAAGGTGTTCCATTTGCTCCATAACCTGCCGAAGCTGGATGTCCATACATGGCTGGTGAAGCTGGTGTGTAGTAATAGATGGCTTCCTCTCCTCCAGATGGACCACTACCACTTGCCTTTCCACTCGTGGATTGACCAGTCGTAGTTGGTGTATATCCGTAAAAAGTGGAAGGATCTCCATAACCCCAAGCAGTGTTCGTAGCCGTGGTTCCCATACTCGACGAGTTGCTGCTTGAAGTTGGTAGCTGAGGAGCATAATAATATCCAGTGGCTACTCCACGTTGATATTGTTGAAGGTATGGATTTGTGAATCGGTAATGAGACGGTGTCGAGTGTCGTCGTTGTCTGGGTCCACTATAATATTGAGAGTAATAATAGTTGGAGGATGGAATTGGGTGAGAATAACTGGATTTCCTTGAATAGGCACCTCCTCCACGTGTGGCGTTTGTATAGGATTCGTTTCCATTCTGTTGCTGTTGCTGTAATTTAGTATCATCATCGGCATATCTCACCACGAGAGGAGTGATCGCTCCCTCAATCAGGAAACTACTTTGCTTAAAGATGGAATCGACAATGGAAATTTGTTCCTGAGAGAGGACACGAGGCTGTGGGTGTTGCTGAGAAGAGTCTGCATGCAGTTCGGAGCTTGCCGTTGCATTCGTCGAAGTGTTTGACGAGTATGTGTGTTCTTTAAATTGAGACCAAATCTTCTCTTGAAGAGGTTGAATGATTTCATTTCTGAACGCATCGACACATTGTTGAGCGGATTCAGCATGAACAAATTTAACAAATCCACATCCTTTCGATGTGTGAATGGTGGTTCTTAATACCACAGTGTCTTGAATTTCTCCGAATGGTTCAAATACTCGAGAGAGTTCTTCTTCAGTGACACTTTTTGGAATATTTCGAATGAAAAGTTTGTTCTCAGGATGAGGTTGACCAAAATCAAACTTTTCATTAAGGGTACTGAGAAAGGTTGAAGAATGCGCCATCACTCCTTCATTACCTCCACCGCTGCTACTACCACTACTACCCGTACCGTTGGAAGATGAATCATTACTTGGAGTATTCTCAAACTCGGAACTAAATGATTCATATTGTTGCTCAGTGAAGGCATATTTCACTCGCATGGGTGTATTGAGCTATATGGGTGTTGATGGGAGAACACACATGCATAGAATATTATTAATTCTGTGAATGAATAAGTAGTAGAAACATTATTACTTACTGGAGGTAACTTAAATCTCTGATTCAATTCCTTAATACACAAATCAGCTCCTTCCCGATCACGGAAACTCACAAAGGCACATCCTCTGGATTTCTGAGTGAATCGATCTCGAATCACTACAATCTCTGCCACCTGTCCGAATTGTGTAAACAAGGGATACAAATTTTCCTCAGAGTACGAATAGGGAATTTGACCAACGAATAATTTAACTGTATTTAAATCCAATCGAGGAGGTTCTCTCTCTACATTGGTATTCTGTTGTTGGATTGTAGAGTCGTTGCTGTTTTCAACAGTGTTGGTTGAGTCTTCAGTAATTTCTTCTTCTGGATATTCCTCAACACTGGATTCACCTTCTCCAATATCGGAAGAACTGGATGAGGTTGTTGATGAAGCATATTCTACAGAAGGAGGTTCAGCTTGCTGCAATTCAGTGGGAGGGCTGTTGCCTTTTAAGTTTGTTTCCGATTGGCTCGGATTTTGGCTCACAGTCGAAGTCGATTGTGTCGTCGTGGTGGTGGTAGTACCAGTATTTGAAACAGTCATTGGAGAGCACTTCACAACGAATGAAAGAGAGAAAGTAGGTTCAATAACAATGTGTTACGAGTGGAATGGTTGAAAGTAACAATTGTTGATCACAATACGACGATAGTACAATACTTCAAACACAAAGGAATAACCCACAAAAAACAAGTAGTAAAGTCAATCTCAGCGAATATACTGCTACTAGTTTTGAAATCTCCAAACTTGAGTGTTTTTTTCAATATGTAAAGATCAAGGCTTGTTCATCTTCCACCATTCTCATAGGAACGCACAGAATCGCAACATTCTGAGGCTAATGTTGAAAATTGGAGAAGAGAATTTGAAGATGTGTTGTCTATTTATTGATTATATCTGTGCTTGTGTTGACCCTAATTGGGATATTTATCGAGGTTGGGATATTGCTGTAATCGAGAACCATAAATATTCGGAAAACTGACATTGCTGGAATGCTTTGCAAGTTGACTAAATACCCATAACCCATTAAGAACTATAAAAGGATGACCTATAGGTGCTTATCAAATTGTACAGTATTTTGCGTACCAGTTGTAAAGAACGGAGTCGCACAAACCCCAAAAGCTTTACAAAATTTTAAAAGAAATTATTATTCCTAGTTCTAATACTTCCTTCTCACACAACTGCATACAAGTTGTGTTGGCTTTCCTTTAAGATTAGATTCTGTTTCATTCGAGAGAGTGTTTGTGAACCAAGGTTCCGAAACCCCGTAAATGGAGTTGGCCCACTAACCTGAGTACGGACCTCATCAAATTTTTTTTGGCGCAACAAAAAATGTCCTCTTATCGTTCCCTTCCTCAGATGCAACGCCTCCTTGTTGTTGCTTTGATTCTGTGTGGTTTAGCCGCAATAGCAACAAATGCCAGCACGATCAATATTCTCAGAGGTAAACCCCAACAACAACAACAACCAATAGGTTCTACATCCGGTAATCAGACTCGTCCAGGAACTTTTGAACGAATTCTCATCGTTAATTTTGAAAATCAGCCTCTCCAACTCACTCTTTTACATGAATACTTTAATTATGTGGCATATAAAGTCGGATCCTTGTTGGGTCAATATTATGCGATTACTCATCCCTCACAACCAAATTATTTATGCCAAATAGCAGGAGATTATTTCGGACATAATTCAGATAGTAACGTGAATGTGAATGCCACCACTTTGGTCGATTTGTTGGAAGCAAAGGTTTGTAGTTATGGTGTTGTTGAATCGTTCATGATTTACATTGTTTTTAAAAATGTGTGATGGTAATTGATTGTATTCATATTCCAGGGATTGACCTGGAAGTCCTATCAAGAAGATTATCCAAAAGCAAACTCTGGTACTGGATCATGTTATGTTGACGCGAATTATCAAAAATTGTACTACAGAAAACACAATCCTTTCATGACTTTTGACAACATTAGAAATAACCCAAATAGATGTCGAAATATTGTGTCTGCAGAGCAGTTGGATATTGACATTGCTTCTGGAAAGCTTCCAAACGTGATGTATTACACTCCAAATATTGATAATGACGGTCATAATACTGGATTGAATTATGCCAACGATTGGTTTGCCAAGTGGTTGCCATCAAAATTGAACAATCCAAATTTCATGAGAGGAACTTTGATTTTTGTCACATTTGATGAAGATGACTACTTGTTCGAAAATCATATTTATGCTGTTGTCATTGGTGACATGGTAAAGACTGGTATTGAAGATAGAAATACTTATAATCACTACTCATTGTTGAGAACTATCGAAGAGAACTTCCAATTAGGAACCCTTGGAAGAAATGATGCTACAGCCAATTCTTTCACTTCATGCTTCAAGAATCAATAAAGTAGCTCAATATTTATTTTTATAATAGGATTAGTTCACTCAGAATGAAATATTTTCAAGTGGAGAGTGGCATGTATTTTAACCATTTCGAAAAGAATGTTCTGGAATTCTTTGAAAAGCTGTCACACGAAATGGGTTTATTGAGATATGAAAATTGTTCGTGAAAATATTCTACAAAATTGGTCTTCTTTTGAATCCGCAAAGACATTTGGTGCTGCTGATAAACACTCTACCAAAAAGGAGATTTAAATCAAAATTGCACCAAACCAAACCAAAATAAAGGATAGCAACTCGAGTGCCACCAAAATAAATGATACTTGATCATGCTGACCGTTACCGCTACTTGGAAGTCCATTCTTCTTTCCACTCTTGACAATGTCCAAAACTCTGTAAGTGAGAGATTGAACACCACTAGCCTTAGTGTCTGTCAATGCTCTTAGATTATTTCTGTTGGAGTACGAACTTTCAATCGTCAAGAAACATCTCTCTACATCATCACGAATGGCAAAAGGAAGTCCAAAATCAAATCCATAGGAGGTATTTGCTGAGAAGGCAACTTGAGCATTGATTCCTCCTGCTCTGACAGCCTGTCCCATCACGAAAATATTATCAGAGAAATCAGCACGAGTAGAATTTCTACAGTCAACCACTGCGGGAATAGCTTGCAATGAAGCAAAGCAACACATAATAACATTGTAAGGAATAACTGTTTGGCCATTAAGCACTGGAATTCCTGGAGCTTCAACTCGAACGAAAATAGTGTCTGTTGGAGAGAATTGAGTTTGAGGTTTTGTGAAACTAGCGTCACCAAATGTTTGAGCACTTGTGCTAAATATTAATTCTTCTTGAATTGGTGGATATGGTACGAGATATTGCAACGTGTAGGCAATACTGTAAGTGTTTTGTGCCACGGTTCGGAATGAAAGAGTGTAGTCTCCGTAAAAGTTGGTTTCACCCGAAATGACATTTGACTGCATGACGATTTGGTAAAAGTAGGATCCATTCACAACTCCAGTGAAGAGAGCATCAGTGACTGTGAAAACACGAGGACCAGTCACGAACCATGAAGTAATATTCTGTGAAACGGTAGTCCAGACTTCCATTCTAATTTCCAATCGGTTCAAGTCATTGACAAAGATTCTCTTTGGTTTCATGAAAATGTTTGGTTGTTCAGTTCCAAAGTTGATTCTTGTAATGGCAAGTGTTAAGGTCAAGATGTAACGTTGTGTGAAGATCACTTCGTAGCACGATTTTTGAACAGTGGTAGATCCTGGTACTTGTGTCAAGTGAACCATATAGTCAGCAAACATGACTGCAACCAAGTCAACAACACCTCCATTAGAGACCCATTGAACGTTTGGATTGGCAATGAAATCATTGAGTGAAAGACGTAATCGATAAGTGTTGTACCATGAAGTAGAAGCGGCCAATGCAAATCCATCTCGAATCAAGTCATTGCTCAAACAAGTGTATTTCGAAGACAAACCAATATTAAAGTTGACCGAGTTGCCTGTGTCAGTAGTGTTGAAGACACCTCCCAATTTAAACATGGTAATACTGAGTGTGACAATAAGGGTGGATGCATCAACAGATGCGTCAAACACTGGACGTGGAGCACCAATAACGTCTCTGTTGAAAGCAGTGAAAGTGACCACAGCTTGAGAGGCAGGACTGGTTACGCCCAATACAGGATCGTAGGCATTGAGAGTGTAGGATGGAATTTGCAAGTTATTGGCATGAACGAAACGAACATATCCCAAATTGACTTGATTCTGTGTGAATTGTGTGACTGGAGTGTATGTATTGTTTCCGTTATTGACTTGGAATTGACCGTTAGCAATGGAGAGAACATTGTATATAATTCGAGGAGGACTTGGAACTCCATTCAATGTGGATTGTAATTCACTGCTCGTAATAGTCACAGCATCACCGTTGAAAAGAGTAATTCGATTCACCGTAATGACAAGCTGAGTCGATTGTGCGTTCGTGAATGAAAGCATCAGCAGGGTAAATAGAAGGCATGTGATTGCCACCCATCCAAGGTGCTTTTGCAAGACCATTTTCAACTTTGAGTAGAAGAATATTATTATTGCTGTTGTGTGAGCAAGAGGGGGTAGTTGCAAAAAGGTAGTATAAGTTCGGCAGTTGGTTGAGAGTTCTGTTAACTTTTTTTGATAGAACCGGCTAGAGTTTTGGAGTATCAGGTAAAATAAATACTAGAGGTCGTGTGCCCTTGATGGTCTCAGGAATGAACGGTTTGGAATGTAATTATAAATAATGAAATGGTCTCTGGTTCGAAGTTTGCTAAATTCGTAAATTGGAAATTTTTGAACTCGTTTTTAAAAGTAATCCTCAATATTTGGAAAAAGCAAAACAAACGAATATTCCTCATAACCAGAATGAATCCATTCATAATATTCTGATCTACAGAACTGTATGCAGATCGCGGTTTTTGGGTGGAATCAAAATGGGCACGTAAACAGATCATCAAAAAGGAATATTGAGAAGTTTTACATTATAATCACATCAATCATTCGTTCTCTACAAGATCACCACTGTTTACATATTCAATGAAATAATAACAATAAGAAAAAGAGTCTTGTTGAGAGTCCTGGACCAAGCCTTTCCTCCTCCGATGATTGGTGTATTCAAACATCAGTTGTTACCATTTTTTGTTTGACAACTTTAAAATTATAATCTCCAGGAAGAAATAAGCAGAAAGTGTCCCGTTTGTAATTATGGAATTGTAAGCAAAGCTGGTTGGTCAAAGACTTGCAACATTCCCAATGTTTAAGCTTGTCAAGTTTGCAATTAACTTGAAATGGATGTGTTGCTTGAGCTGGTTTCTTCTTAGAGACTTCGGGAAACAACCTCAGTTGCAACCTTCAATTTGTTGTCGTTGCATGTAAGTTCACTCCCTGACTCGTTTTCAAGAGTTCTCACATTAATCCTTGCCAGAGGAAGAAGATCCCATGGTTTGGTATCATCCTATCTGGAATGGTTAAGCCGCTTAGAATAGTGTGCGTCACCCAATGTTCAAAATAGATTTTTTCCATAGATTCCAAATGAATTCCAATGGCGATGTTTCAAAAATGTTTCATTATTTTGAAAACAATAATTCATTAAAAAATACTTGCGTGTGTTCATCGGAACCTACTGTGTTGGCTATTATTCGAACAACGTGTTGCTGTTTTGCAGAGTAGAATTAAATCCGTGAACACTTTGTTTTTCTTTTGATTCCGAAAAAAAGACTTTTTCCCATCAACTGCTGCTGAAATCATCTATTTAAGAAAATAATGGATTCTGATTACGACGTTATTTGTAAATTATTGGTCATTGGTGATAGCTCCGTTGGAAAGAGTTGTATGCTGTTGAGGTATAGTGATGATAGGTTTTTAGAGGTGAGTATGATGGATGATGGTATAATTTTAATAATACCATCATGATGATGATTGAGTCATTAGAATCATATGGCCACGTAAGTGATAACTTGTAACAGTCATGTAAAGTAACAATGGTTGCAGTATTGGTGTGGATTTCAAACTGAAAAAAGAGACTGTCGGAAACTACAAGGCAAAAATTCAAATTTGGGATACAGGGTATGTGTTGATAACGATGAAATCATGATGATGATGCTCATAATACCTTTCACGATAAATTAGTAAGCATATTGTATTATAGAGTAGCATAGGAGGATAATTAGTGGAATCAATTACTTGAATCAATCAAACAATATTTATTAACTGACATTAAATTTGGCTCATTCAACAACAGCTGGCCAGGAAAGATTCAGATCAATCACTGCTGGATACTACAAAGGAGCACAGGGAGTTTTAATTGTATATGATGTCACAAATCGAGAATCTTTCGAACATGTAAAGAGCTGGTATGATGAAGTGAAGCAAAACACGCAAGAAGGCGTTTGTATTATTATGTGCGGAAATAAGGCTGACATTGAAAAAGATAGAGTTGTTCCAACTGCAGAAGGAGAAAAACTTGCAAATCAACTTGGTATTGCATTCTTTGAAACATCAGCGAAAACAAGTGATAATATACACATTGCATTTCGAAAACTGATAGAAAGCTGTATAAAAAAACAGGCGTTGGGAAAGAAAAATCTCTCAAGCAGCCCAAATACTACTGCCCTCAATGACAATGAAAAGAAGCCAACAGAGCACGGATGCTGTGGATAAATTTGGATCATTCATCAACCACAATTTCTTCGTTTCAACATTTTTGAACTTGTTGTGAATAACACGATTGTGAATACTTTTTCGAATATACTTTACAATACTTTACATTAATTTACCAATTAGTAGGCATATAAGAGCAATGGTAATAAGAGCTGCAAGAGAATATCCTTCTTTTGCATCAATGTCAGCCGGAGTGGAAATTTGTCGTCCCAAGGATTCAAAAATGGGTCCCTCATTTCTTCTCTTCTGTTGTTGTGCACGCTCTCTCTGCAAAGCTTGCTCAGATTCTCTTAGCTTTACATGTAGCTCATCAATAGTGAGCTCATATTCTTTAATTCGCTGTTCTGACGTCTTGAGCTTGTTAATAATTTGTTCGTACTCTTTCTCTAATCTATTGTATTCCTCTTTATAGAGCTCTTCTAGTCCCTTTGATGCCTCCATTTTTTGACTTGTTTTTTGAGCAACAATCTTCTCAGAAGCACTTTTCAATTCTTGTATCTTTGATGTCTCGTCTTCTGATGAGTCTGATTTTGGTATTGGGCTCTTCTCAATATCAGATAATTCCTCAGTCTCTAAGACACGAGTGCTTTCCGAATTTCTTGGAGATTCAAAAATTGCTTCAGTAATTGGAGAGGTGGCAGACGCACTGTGCACCATAACGTGTTCATTATTGACAGGAGGAGCTTCTGTGGTCGTCGATAGTTGTGGTGGCTTTTCTTCAGTATGAATGGAAAGTTGAGGCTTCTTAGATCCGTTAATTAGTTCTCTCTGTTTTGTCACAGCTTGTGCAAACTGTTCAATAGGAAACCCATCATAAATGTCTACGACACTAATATTTTTCGACACAATCACAGATCCGTCATTTAAAGAAACGACATTAAAATCTACAGAAGGTGGGCTCTCGAAAAGGCATGAAATTTTTTGTTTTACAATTCTCTTTGTATCTGCTTCTTTAAACAATTCATCTACCTTGTCCTCCATTTCTGTTTTATAATACTGAAGAGCAAGTGATTCCACTCGAAATTTGTCTCCCTTCTCATTTTCCGTCACTGGTTTTTGCATTGTTATTTCCACGTGAACTGTTCCATTTGGTGGTGCAATTCCTTTCTTTGGTTTTACGATATACCTATTAGGACATGTAGTTTTGAGCTTGTATGCTGTATATTTATCGGTCCTATTATAAAGAGTGATTAAGCATGTAATGAGTCTTTTTGTAGGAGCTGTACATTTCCAATGGCTCAAACGCTTGTATGTTAAATCTCATAAAAACTTACGAGGAAAGTACAAATGTCCTGGGCTGATAACAAACAAGTCTCCTTGTTTACGGTATATTTTATACAGTTCGCCAGGAGAAAGTGCGTTTTTGCAAGTTTGAATCTTCAGCCCGAGTTGTCCGTTCTCACTCATCGCTTTGATTTGGTCCCATCCCTATAACATAGTTTCATCGAATATTGATTTTTAGTTCCGAGAAAGTTGAGTTTTTTCAAATAATATTCCCAATAGTTTTGAGTCAATGTTTGGTGAGTATTTCGATGATAAGAGTGTTATTCCAAGCAATAGAAAAATCATTAAACAATTATTATGAAATTATGAATTCAATTTTGCAAAATTCTGAGAAACATACTCCTACATATTCGTCATTGAAGAATACATGCGGAGGTCTGTTGGCCTCTCCAAGAATTTTCTTCATAAAAGACTGCAAGTAGGGTTTTCCATCAACTTTGATTTCAGAAATATCTCCTCCCGATTGCTCAATTAATTGTTTAATTTTCGATGTATCACTGTCATTTGAATCTTTTTGACTGAACATGTATATTCTCCCATGATAGTCTTTTGCTGTTGATGATGAAGACTTCTTCAAACCGCTGCCTTTGATTGGAGACCTGCTGCCGAGACTGTTGGGCAAGCTGCTCATTTTTTTCGCTTGTGTTGTAAACTGCACATTTCGGTTTACCAGATTTTTGGACAAAAATTTGTTGAAAAAAATACGCCACAACTCATCACAATCCCGTCATCATGGTACAAAAAGTCAAGGCCTTCGAATTGAGAACCAAGACCAACGATGAACTCAAGAAGCAATTGGACAGCATGAAACAAGAGTTGTTCCAATTGAGAGTCCAAAAGGTTACTGGTGCTTCTGCTGCCAACCTCTTGAACATCAAGGTCATCAGAAAGAACATTGCTAGAATTAAGACTGTCCTCGTTCAAAAACAAAGAGATGAATTAAAGAAGGTCTATGCTAACGCAAAGTTCAAGCCAAAGGACTTGAGAAGCAAACAAACCCGTGCTTTCAGAAGAACTTTGAAGACATACCAATTGAAGAAAAAGTTGTTGAAGACTCAAAAGAAGGAAGCCAACTTCCCAGTCAGACGTTTCGCTGTTACTTTGCAATAAATCCTCAATAAAGAAAATATTTAAAATCATATTTCAAAGGATGCATTCATCTTGTTCCGAATCAATAGGCTTCTATTTCGAAATTCCAATAATAAAAAAATGAGTGCTTTGACAACTTCTCCCTGCTGGAAAATAAACTTCTCTCAGATCATTCAACAAAGAAACGAAGAAGAGAGTAAGCCCTTCCAAAGTTTAGTTCAACAATGTATGTTTTTGATAGCTGTTGGAGAGTTTAGAAAGATTGATCACGTACATACCGATGATTACTCCGAACGATCATCCGTTTAATTTGGCTATTTTGATTGATCACTATTATTATCATTTACAATGAATAATTGGACGTCAATTAATGTATTTAATATTAGATGAGAATTTATGCAATGAATTGAGAAAGACTAAAAAACTTCACCAAACAACCAAGGAAAAGCTCAACTCAATTCAAGTAGAATATGAACACTACAAGGAGGAATATTCTAAATTAAAAACAACCAACTCACCTGGTGTTCCATCTCCTTCCGGAGTAAGCTCTGCAAGAGTTAAAGAATTGGAAGAGAAAGTTTACTGTCTTCAGGAGGAGCTGACATCTGCTTTCAGAGCCAAGGTCGAATCTGCTCAAAGCCTTTTAGACTTGAACAATGAAGTTAAAAGATTGAAATCACAAGAACAAGATCAAAAGTTACAGTAAGTGTTCATAACACTTCGTGCTGGTTGTGTGACGTTGTCATCAATCAAAAACTATTTTATGTTCCATTGAATGATTATAGATACGAAAAGCTCGTAATTGAACTTGAAAACTTGAAAGAATCCAACAGAGGACTAGAAGAAAAATTACAAAAAAAGGAGAGTGCTATTGAGCTATTAAAGAGTGAACGCGACACTCTACTTTCCGAACTCAGAGAAAAGGACAAGCAAGTTGAACAGTTGACAGAGGAAAACAAGAAGATGGTAGAGCGTGTTGTGGATCAAAAGCAAAAACAAGTCGACGCCATGAACCAAGTCAACGAATTATACAAGAGTTTCATGCAACAAAAGCAACAATTACAATTATTGCAGGCGAAATATAAGACTGGAAGTGTTGATTTAACTGGTGTGGACGTGGTAGGAACTGTTTCCTCACCAAATCCAGAGGAAAGGCCTGAAAAGAAAAACGAAAACTCATTTTTTTCATTCCTTGATAAGATCAGAAATGTTGGTAACACTTCTCAAAACGCGTCAAGCTCGAACAACCTTCCTATTTCGATGAACATTAGTACAAGCTCAAGCAGCAGCAATGACCAAACTAAGATACTCATCACTCCTCCAAAAACAATAGTTTCAAAGCAAACCATAGACACACAAATTAATGGTGTCGATTTTTCTGATGATACACACAGTGTTGCAATTGCATGTAGCGACAAAACCATCAGAATTTTCAATTCAAAATCAGGATCATTTACTAACGTGCTTCATGGCTCTACTGATAGCGTCATTAAGGTAAAATTCAGTCTTGTAGGCCAATTAGCACTTGGAGCATGTGCTGACTCCATTTGTAGAATCTGGAACTTGGGAAATGACCGTGTAAAACATACTCTAACAGGTCACACCAAGAAGATCTATGGTGCCGACTTTTCTCCAGATGCCAAAAAAGTAGTGACAGGAGCTCACGATAGAACAATCAAATTTTGGGAACTCCAATTTGGTACATGTGAAAAAACTCTTCTTACCTGCAAGTCCAGTGTCAATGATGTTGAAGTTTCAAGAGGAGGCGACGTTGTTGCTAGTGCTCACTTTGATTCAGCTATAAGATTGTGGGACATGAGAACTTACAAGTCCATTGCTGAAATTGAGCGAGCTCATGATGGCCAACAAGTAACTAGCGTCAGCTTCTCAAAGGATGGAACCAAATTACTTTCTAATGGAAAGGATAACTTGTTAAATATTTATGACACGAGAATGTCTAATAAGGTTTTAGATACATTGAAACATTCTGATTATAAGAACACCATTGTATATAATAAGGCTTGCTTCTCTCCTTGTGGAGAATATTGTGCTGCAGGAGGTACCAACGGAAAGATTTTCATTTGGTCTTTAACTCCCACTTCCACTAAAGCAATGGGCTCCTCTTGCTTGGTAGCGAATGGACATTCTACTTCTGCAACAGGTGTCGTGTGGAATCCTGATGGATCTCAAATTGCAAGCTGTGGATTGGATAAGACCTTATTAATTTATGAATAATAATGATTACTGTTCATACACTTTTATTTTCCCATTTCTTGTTAATAATTGTTCATTCCATGTTGAAAAAGCTGAGTGTTAATGGTCCTAATTGCTCGATCTAGAATGACGGCAGCACTTTGTGAATTTAGGTCTTGTTTCTCTTGTTGGTTCATGTTGTAAATATCCTTTTTATAATTTTTAAAAGCGTCAATGACTTCCATTCTACTCATTCCTTCCGATTTTTTATCCATCACATGCATATAGGATTCCAAAGATGACCTTGATTCATTTTGAAGTAAAATTGGGAGTGAAGATAGTAGCTCACTTTGCACAAATATCGTTCTTAAAATATGAAGTAATTGGTCTGAAAATTCAAAATTTTTTTGATAACCAGCTACAACTCCCTTAATGCCATATCGAGAACATTGCTCTTCCAGGGCTCGTCTTGCACGATCAATGTTTTGTGGATCAGTAGGATTATTTCGTGAGATGGAATCGTTGTGATCAAAAATATTTACAGCCGTCATTGGTGTTGAAACTACTCTATATTTGGGAATTGATGAACTAGAATTTGAAAATTGGGGTTTCATGAGATTTTGAGCAATAAATTGTAAATTATTTGAGTCTTGATATTTTTCTTTCACTGTACGTGCCACTCCTATATATTTTGTTCCTAAATCAAGCCCAATCAAGGGATACGGAGAGAAAGTGCTATTAATGATTTTAGAATTTCGATGTCCTTTTGCTTCACATGCCATTTGATGGTTTGTAAAAAGATAACTCAGAAATTTTGTGCAAGAAGATGTCATCACGAGAGAGGAAAATTGTTTGCTTGCTGTTGCATTCATTGTTAATTGATATCTGGTAATTTTGTACAATAATTTGTTTAGCTTGAATTATATTCCGATGAATAAATAGTGCTAATATTAATAATATTAAAAACGGTTCTTGACAAAAAGATAATAATATTTCAATACACTATTGGGACATAGAAATAATTTGTCTTAATTCTTTTAGTTGGGAATGGCCTTCTGCTAATGCTCGCCTTCCCTTCTCCACGTCCCTATTGTCTTTATATTGAAGAAATCGATCCTTGGCTTGTTGTTTAATTTCTGAACGTGTATCTGCTCTTTGAATTTGTTTAATTTCTTTCAATACTTGACGATATAGTTTGAGAGCTTGTGCTCGGAGAAGAAAATATGAGAGTGGAAGTTGTTCGATGGGTCCTTTGGCAACGACTCTTCGTGTGACCATCAATAATTATTTTTTGGTTGAATTTTTTAATTGATAAATTTTTTACATTTTTAAAATTACACTGCCAATATCATCCAAGCGATAACTTGCTGAATTTGGGAATTTAGTGTTGCAAGCCAGCAAAATCAAACCCACTTTACTGATGATGACTTTTCGGAAGGCTGTGGAGTCCTACTATACTTGTCACTGCATAAATTGAGATACCATCCAATTGTAGAGTGATTGTACGTTTGTTTTTGTAAATGCCTTACTTCAGAATAAGGGATCGTCTTGTTATCAGAAGCGTTGTTAGATTTCTTGGTGACTGTTCTTCGTTTAGGTGAGATAGAGCTTGTAGATATATTGTCATAATTTGGAGATGAGGATGAGGATCGGTTTACACTACTCGAGCCATGTGGAGGAGTGGTTGTATTGTATTTGTTGTTGAGAGTTGGGCTGTGAGTACTCTCATGGAAAATAGGGGAAAGGAGCATTTCAGTGTCATCCATTAAAAGAGTTGGTATCGAGGAGTCAGTCTTATGTGGAGTTGCAAAATTAGTGGTACTGTAAGAAGTGGCTGCTTTCTTATCCTTTGAGGTGTGACTGATGTTAAGAATCGACTGTGTGCTTTCGTTGAGAGATCGAATAATGTCTTGAAATCCAATGGTGTTAAGGTCCTTTGGCGACTCCTTTTTAGGAATTGTAGTGTTTCTTGCTTCATTCTTGATTGGTAGATTATTTTTTTCACTTTCTGAGATGAAGCAGCTTGTCTCTGGGTGCTTTTCAGAACGGTAATGATTTGAGCATGATGGAATACGATCTTGCTCTTCCTCAAGATGGTCTTGCTTTCTATCCTCATCATGTCGTGCAGTGGTTAGCTCTTTCGACTTTTCCACTTGATGGTGGATGGGACTATCTCCTTCAGGCTCCAGAAACTCTAAATTATGAAAGTTCTCCAATTTAATTCCACTTAGCGATGAAATATCATATATGTAATCCTGAGAAGAGTTTAAAAGATCTTCTTCGTCAATTTCATGATTTTCATCCGTTTCTGAATTAACACGGTCATCGTTATGAGAAAGCATTTTCTTTGAAGAATCATGATCAGAAATGTTCTCATCAGAAAATTTTTCTGGAGATGTGCCCTTGTCTTCAAATAATATCATTTGAGGTGTTGGGGTTACCTCAGTATTGTCATCGGTGCTGGTGGCCTCGTCAACAAGATCAAGAGGTGTGCTCAAAACTATTTCATTGTGTGGTGTTGATGAGGGTTCTACAGTAATTATCGGAGTTGAAACGATCAATAACTCTCTAATATGTTGCTTCTCTTGCTCTCCAGGATGAGTGATGTTGTATGAATCATTGACAGGCGTTGACTCATTTGGAGAGCAGCACTGTTCATTATTCAACTCTTGTGCGTCATCCAATGTTTCTGTGACCTCAGGTGGCACAGTCTCCAAAGAAGATACAATTTCAGGCTCGTCCAATGGTTTCGGAGAAAGTTCATGATGAATTTGATCGTTAAATGGATCAACCTTATTGGATATTGAGTCTGAATCGTTATTTTCGTCGTCTTCCTTATCTTCTGCGATATCTAGTGGCTCTTGAGGTAGAGATTCAGCATCTGTTCTAAGGTGGTCTTCTTGAATACTCTTGTCACAAGCCAATAATTGATCGTCCTTAAAGGAATCTCTGTCAATGAGTGAAAGTTCATCTTCTTTTGTTTGCATCACCGTGATCACTGTTTCGGTGACAAACCTATCTGTCTCTTTATCATTATTCTCGTCCTGTTTAACAGCTTCTGCCAATGAGGAGTTTGTTACTTCGTCATTTATGGGCTTTGATACCAGTGGTATAGATGGAGAAAGGTCTGTGATTGGTGATAACTGTTCAGTAATAGTAGAGGATACAGACGACTTTGGTGTGAAATTGTTGATATTATTATTGGGAGAGTTATCATCTTCGGTCTCATAGATGTGATTACTCGTCAGATTGCTTGGCAGAATTTCTGTAGAATTCGCATAATATTCTCTCTTGTCTGGCGTTGTGATCCCTGTATTTTTGGTTTGCACAATGTTAGATTTAAGGCGTCTCCTACTACTCGGTGTCGCCTTTTGAATGGTCTCGTTAAGATGAGGAAAGAATTTCGTTGAAAGATCGTCTCCGTCTTCATCTTCGTGGCTAGAAGAGAAGTGATACCTTCTGTGATTGCTATCTTTGAAAACTCCTCTTGAGATGTCATAGTTGGAATATTCAAGTAAGTGAAAAGGAAAATCATTCACCGGTTTTGAAAGCGTTGGTGTATGATGAAGACCATAGGATGATGGTGATTTACGACGCTTTTCTCGTTGCGATTTTACCACTAACTCCGAAAATCCTAATGTGTTAGGAGATTTAAGCTCATACGAAAACATGGGAAGTTCTTCCCTCAATAATCTTGTACTTTCCTCAATGACATTCTCCAAATCGTCGTCCAAATTCTTTCTCATCATCTTGGAAAGAATGCTTGTGCTAACACTGTCTGTCCTGAAGTGATGATCCCGGAGTGGGCTAGTTTTCTCTCGTTCATGTTTGATCTTTACCAATAGATTTTGAACTTCTTTTAGGTACTCATTCTTGGATGAACGATCATGATGATCCACGTACTCTGACGATGATGAGATATCAACAGCTTCTGAACCTTTAGATTCATTGTGTTTTGGTATTGATAGATCTTTCTGAATTTCGTCTAATTGCTTTCTCCATTCCTCTTCGTCCAGAATTAAATCGGTTATGTATTTTTCACTGTGATTCATGTTGTTGTTACTAGAGAGAGAAGTACTTGTAAATTCATCATCATCCTCATCTAAGGCAGCGGAAATATGAATGGGCTCCATATCATGATGTACATCGGCTGGTGAAGCTTCCATCTCAAGTGTAGAGTCTGTTACTATGGGTCTCTGAAGATGGCTTGCTCTGTTTGCCTCAACATTTGATAATTCAATACTGCCCTTACTACTACTTGTTGCTCGATTTTTCTGTGATGGTGTTTGTGAGGATGCTTGTGCCGAATACTCATTTGCATTATTGGCTCTGGAGGAGTCGGCAGAAGCAGTACTAACTTTCCCATGATGATGTTTCTGGTCTGGCATTTTTATAATACAATGTATTGAAGAATAATATGACCCGTATCAGAATTCAATGAAAAATATATTTGAGTTTGGCAGCAGAAAATCTAGTAGCACAGGCGTCCATAATATTCGACCTTTGAATATTTGTTTTGAAGTTGAGGCCAGTGCACAAGAAATCGATCAGCCAATAAATACATGATTTTACCTGAAACAGAAAGAGATTCCACTCGACACACACTCTCAACGAAAATAATTTTCACTCGCTTAATACCCAAAAACTTGAAATACGAATAGTGTCACTAGTCCTGATACGAAATATTTTGTAATTACTTACTCGAGTGAGGTAAGCAGATAGGCATACTGGTATACATGTTCCTGGGCCATTTACAATGATCTGAATTGATAGAAATTGATATATCAAGATGAATGATTGAATAAAACAAGAGTAATGCAATGCCTTACCAGATCTGGATTAATGGTAATGTTTGTAATAAATGTAGTGTACAGCAATGCCTTAATGGTTGTAAATATTGATGTAAAATATGATTGATGAACTTCTCGACTTCTTGGAATTCTATGAAACGAGAGAGGATGAAACAGTGGTTTATCTTTTAACAAATATCGAACTGATTTTTCACTTCCCTTGTCAGTTTGAGCCAACACAAATTCAAAAGAATACTTGTTGGGATCCAGTGACTGAATCATGTCCATAATTTCTCCAGTATGGCCACCTGATCCGAGTACGACAAGAGTTTTAATTTTTCGTGATGACGATCGTGATGAATCTGCACTGTTATTAATACTTGTATTATTACTCAATTCTTTCTTTAAATGTTTGTTTGAATATTTGATTCTATTCGGAAGCACCTGATAAAGTCGAATCATCAATCCAAACACAAAGAGAGCAGCACCGAACACGAAAACAATCATTTTTTTCTCTTTTGAATTTAATTCAAAGTGTGTATGGTAGTTGTTCAGGACTTTAGACATAATTATGCATCCTTCTTTAATACACCAATAGCCATTTCATTGACCATCTCCATTGCTCTTTCACTGTGACCGAAATAATGGAATTTTTCTGTGGCATCTTTGTGCAAATACTCTTTTAAATAACTTGGACCTCCTAAAGAATTAATTTAATTGAAACGTATCGAGTATGCCATATAACTTGCAAATGTATTCCCTCACCTACCAGGATGTTTCCATATAAATTCCGAGAAGTCAACAATTTTTGAATCGATAACAAGCCAATAATCAGTTTGAATGTCCTCGATCGAAATTTCTGGCAATTGTTGTTGGGACATTTTATTGTTGTTGGGGAGGGACTGCAGAATCGGAATTCAAAATTTTGCCTTATTCATACATGCAGGCCTTATTACTTCCGACGTGTCATACAAGCAACGAACGGTCTGAATATTGGTGCCTCTATAACTTTTCATACAAAACAAGCAATTGGCTTGGTAAAACTCTGACTCTTTATTGTAAAAACAACATGTTGACCCAAAACGAAGCTAACATTCCACGAAGGTTCTGTCGTTGTATCACTCGCTAACATTTTCAATCGTCATCAAAACACGTGTTTCTGTTTGTTTCAAACGTTCAGAGGTCACTTGCAAGGATTATCCAAAGCACAAAAAAAATTGAAGCACTTTATTTTTATCCACTAACAGAAAACAAAATTTTCCTTGTTATTGCTGTTATTTGAAAGCACAACCTTGTCTCTCTGCGAGTAAGAACAACAAGGCATCGGAAGCTTCTCAGAATTCTTTCATCAACACACACATCTTGATAATATTGCTGTATAATCTTGGCAAATTGAAAACTACAGTTGGAGATGTCCAGCAATAACAACAACAGTTTTGATGATTTGTTTGATGATTTCATCAACGAACCTTCGGATACTATCTTACACGAATTGGAGCAAGGATCAGCATTTGATCCTAACATGCAACATGAAACCACTGCCATTCCACAACAAGTGATGGTCGACCCCAACATGAACTTGGTCAATCCATTCCAAATGCAACAACCACAGCAACAATTCGTTGATTTTGGTGCCTTGTCTCAGGGATATGCTCTCTTTGGTGGACTCCCAAGTTACTTTATGCCTGCCATGATTCCACAAACAACCGCCGTTGCTGGCATGTTCCCAATCTTGGCCAACTCAAACGCATTTGCCAGTCCAACCACGAGTAGTTTAAGTCCCAATAGTTCCATCGATTCGATAACTCTTGCCAACTCATCTTCATTCAACGTTGCTGACATGGACAAGCCAATTGTTCTGTTGCCATCATCATCGAGCTTTGAAAGTGTAGATTCTAACTCTACCTCGAGCAGTGCTGGTGCATGTCAAACAACAGCAGTTGAAAAGGAACCTCCAAAGAAAAAGAAGAAGGTGACTACGAGAAAGAAGGCATCTTCAAACAATTCAGGTAACAGCTCTGGATCAGATAGCGAAGAAACAAAAAGAAAGAAGGCGCACAGAAGAAAGCAAGAAGAAATCGATGACGATATGAAACGACTTCAGGATTTGGATAAGCAAACAGAATTGACAGCAGAGCAAAAAGAAGAAAAGAAGAAATTGAGAAATAGATATACAGCAAAGGTGTCCAGAGACAAAAAAAAGAAGGAACTCGAAGATCTCAGAATTGAAAACGATAACCTTCGCAAAGAACGTGACTCTCTTAAAAAGCAATGTGAAGAACATGTTCAGACAATTAATCGTCTCAATCTAGAAGTGAACAGATTGGCACAAATTGTCAACGCTCAAGTGAGACCTAGCAGAACAGCTCTCAAATCCCTGATCGTATTTATTGGTGTATTCGTATTTATTGGATTGTTGGCATTCTTGTCAGGTTCTTACAAGTTCTCATCCACAATGAAATCCAGCGTGCCTGAGCGTGTTGCTGCCAGACGTGTTGCAAGAGGACTTCTCACCATTAATAACACATCTACCGAGCCAAATCAAGCTACCACTACTAGTCCTATTTCTAAATCTGTTCGAGACGTTGTCAATTCAACCCCACACAAAGAACATCAGCAACAACAGCAAAATAATGATCCTCTACATGAGCCAGTTTACGTTGAGAGCACAATGGAAATGGGCGAAATGCTAGACGAATTTAGTGGCGATGGCATGTACACGTATGATGTATTTTATCCAACAAAGATTAAGCGTCATTTTAGAGAATTCCAATCTTTTAATGGACCTCAAAAGCACAACATGTCTGAGGCTTCCCATATCAGAAGTTATGAAAACAATTCTACCTCACCTGCTGACGCAATTCGAAAGCCACCAAAGCCAAAGAGTGTCACATCTCAACGACACAATAATTCCAAGCAAATTTCATCCTTTGTCAGCCCATCTTCACTGAGCAAACACATGGAGGAGAAGAAGCACAAGTATGAAAAAGCCAAGGTCTATGTACCAGACACCAATGGAAAGACAAAGGTCCAACCAAACGAATTACAATTATTCTGCCCTTATTTATACCCTCTCATTGCTGGCATTCCAGACCCTTCTTACGAATTCAACACTAAGGACTTTGATAGCAGCAAGTCGTCTGTGAAGATTCACATTCCAATCCAAATGGTGTGTAACAAGACGAACACTAAGGTGATAAGAATGGCAGAAATCAATGCCGTCAATATTACTTTATCAGAAATCTATTATGAATTTAATGGAGGTGCCTTGACTGAAGTTCAACCACAAACAAGAGTGGCATCAGCTGATGTTTAATTGTACATAAAAACCAAAACATTCTATCCCATTCATTGAGGAATTCTCTTGTATGGCTCTGAGTAGTTGATTGCAAAAAGTCTCTCAATCGATTGAGTTTTATAACACTGTCCATTTAAAAAACGAGAAGAGGGCAGCTGACAGCATGGCCGAAACTGGTAATGTTGTAACCCATCCAACTGAGATTGATAACAAGAACACAGTCGATTGATTCAGTATTTAAAAACCGCCACAACTACTTACTCACAACTTCTCCTAATAATTTCCATTTAACACCTCCAAAGTCTTCCACAATACCAACTCCAATGACTGCACCTACTAGAGCATTGGTGGTTGAGACAGGAATTCCCAACTTGGATGCAATTAATACAAATGAAGCTCCACATAATTGACTTGAAAAACCTTGAGAAGGAACCAATTGTTTCTTATTCAATCCATTTCCAACAGTTTTGATGACTCGTGAACCAAATAAAATTAATCCAACCACAATTCCCACAGCACCAATCAAGAGAATCCAATAAGGAATGAAAGCTCCAATCTGTAAATTTCCTTGAATATACACTGAAAAGATGGCACTGAAAGGACCTTTTCAATTCGACGATTTTTGAATGGTTCATGATTCAATAAAATGTTTTTCAATGATTATATATGGACGCACGTATAATTATTTAAAATGTGAACATGTCACAATATTTTCAAATGATAGCCATGACTTACCCACAGCATTGGAAACATCATTCGCTCCATGTGAAAAACTTGTCAAAGCAGCACAAAAAATCATTAATCCTCTATAAATAATATTCGAATTCTCTTTTTGAGTTTCCAAAGGCATTTCATGAGTTTCAAAATATTGAGTTTTTTCTTCCATTGTTTGTTCATTCATTGCATTCAAAGTAAGATTCTCATGTTGTTGTTGTTGTGGTTCTTCAACATTTTCCATCATTGGAGCGTCTTCTGCATGGGTCGAAGAATATTTCAACTGTGAATTTAATTCTACTTCATGTTGATCCAACAATGGAACGGCGTCGTTGTTGGTTGTTAATTCTTGTTGAGATTGAGAAACTGGCATGTTCGTATTCAATATTTCAATATTGTTTTCAATCGTTCCATCCTGATTCGATAATTCTTGTTGTTTTTGTAGAGCTCTCTTAATGGCTAATTTATGTAATTGTCTCTTAATGAGTGGAATGAGACATGCACAAACAATTCCACAAACAAGACCCACTCCAATGGTGGTTGGAATGGATGCTTCGAGTGGAACCTTGTCGAGATAGAGAGCTGGGGAACCCATGATGAAGAGTGAACCAAAGACCATGGTCACAGTAATTGCTAGATTTTGATGATGAAATGACAAGAATCAATGATGTGTTACAATTATTTGTTAAAATATTAAAAAATAAATAATTATGTAATAATATATATATATAATAATTAAAATATGAAAATAAATAATATGTCATGAATATAAGTATGATTCAAAGATTCAAAAAAAAAATGATGAACAACAAATATTAATATATATATATCCATTCTCACAATGTTCACTCACCCGTAATGAATGGAAAGAAAATTAATGTTCTCTTCTCCACATTTCCTCTCAAAATGACCTTCTTAATAAAAAAATATAACGGAGCCGAAGCCAATCCTCCCAACAATGGACTCACTACCCACGATAAGGCTATCTTTCCAATGCTCATCCATTGAATGGCTTTATATCCTTTTAAGGCAATAACAAAACCAACAATTCCACCTACCACACTGTGAGTGGTAGAGACTGGGAGAGATAAATATGTGGAGAGAATGAGCCATGCGGTTGGTCCTAGCAAGACACACATCATTCCGATCATGTAAATGTTTTCCTCACCAGGTCGGAAGTAACCTTCAACAATGATGCCTTTTCGTAATGTTCCGCTGACGTAATCACCCATGACTTTTTACATGGTGTTCATATGTTCATAAGTTGTAAAGAATGATAATTTTTGTAAGGAGGATCGGAACTATGTAAAACAAATAGATGGATCTGAATCTACTACATACCCATAGCTCCTAAAAATTCAAATATACTTGCAATGACAATGGACCATTTCAAACTCAAAGTTTTGCTTCCCACAATCGTTCCAAATGAATTGGCCACATCGTTGGCTCCCATTCCACATGAGAGTATAAACGAAACAATTCCCGATACAATGACAATCCACAGCATGATGAATAGTATGATTGATTCAATGCAGATTCGTAGAGTAGCAGATGAGCGATTGTTAAAAGATTTTTATGAAAATAATAATCTGTGTAATATCTAAATATGTGAATAACGTTGGTGCTCCTTGGAAAAAAGTATCTTTTGGTAAATAATTTTGAGAAGAAGCAAATTGGAAGGAGTGGTACCTATTGAAAAGTGGGAACAATGCAAAATCGAGTGATGCGTATAAGGTACTGTTTAAATGTATTTTTTTGAATTTTACCTTTGGTCACCACTTCCAATTTGAATCGACGTGAACGAAAACAGCAGACAATTTTGCGAGTTAGGTTTTATTTACAGCCACAAGAGCTCTTGTTCTACTGACGTGTGGAAGGTTAATGGTGTTTTTGCTTGCGTTCGTTCTCTCTCTTTTGAAACTCATCATATTTGTGTTTCAGTTCTGTAAAATCTTGAGGATAATCCTTTGGCAACTGTTTCAACTTGTTCACAATGTCTGGCTTTTCTGCCAACAACTGCTTAATAGCTGCACTCCTCATTCTGATTTTGGAATTGGGCAACAGATAGAACAATTTGGGACATTCCTTGTAATACGAATTGAACCATCCCTTCACTTGCAAGCTCTTACTTTCCAAATAAGCTCTAAAATTGTAGTATGCAACCTCTTGTGTACCGAAGTCAAACTGAGAAAATGGAACGAGAGGTTTAGAGGCATAGTTCACAAATTCTTTGAGAACTACGTCGAAAGGAACTCTGATTTTAGGACAAGGCTTCTTGGTCTTTGGTTTGGAACCTTCTGGATCATTTGAAGATGTTGAGAAGTAGCTTGAATCGTCATCAGACTCTGACTCTTCGTACAGGTCTGAAAGTGCAGTTTGAGGTGGATGGTTCGTATGTGGTTCTTGTGTGGTTGTCGAGCACAATTCCTTATTGTCTCGAAGACGTGAAAGGAGAATCTTCTTCTTCCTGGCACATTTTGGGGTTGGAGTCCTTTGAAGATCATCGTCATCTGAGTCAGGCACTTCTTCTTCTTCTTCTTCAGATTCTGACATATCATTGGATGAGCGGGTGGAAGTTGAAACTCTCTTTGAACGACTGCATTGGGATGCGTCACGGTCAGTGTGTGAATTTTTTGGGTTTTTGGAGACTTTTCTTCGCTCTTAGAAGGTGTGGACGATAAAATTGTCGATGGTTTGTTGGAATTGAGAGTCGAAGACTTTTCGGCAAAATCTGTCTCAGACAACTTTCTCTTTGGAGTTGCTTCTTTGGAGTTGTTCTGTTGGAGTGTTGCATCTTGTTTTGCAGTTGCAGTTGGGTTATTATCTTGGGGTACTGTTTGAGTAGGCAAAGCCATGTTAGAATTCGAGGTTGAATTTGTGTCATGCTTTGGTTCGGAGGTCTCCAAAGGCACATTTGGTGTACATTTGGGCTTGACTTTCTTTAAAACGAATAGGTGGAATAAATCAAACTCATCCAGGCATTTCAATAACAATGGAATTTCTGACATCATGACAGGGTCAGAGAAATTGTCTGTTGCGTAATCTCTAAAACGTGTGAGAACTGTCCCAATTTCCAAAACGACATCTCGAGGGTATTGATTCAAATCGAGAGTTTTGGCGTTAGAGAGAAGCTGTTGAATCTTGGTAATGGTCATTGTCTTGTGTTGATCCATGTGAGTGGCATGTTCATTCTTGAAAAACAAGATGAATTCAGAGAACCATATGTAAATAAATCGGTCAAGCTTTGGACCAGTGAGAGGGCCTGATGTGATGGAAGTGGTATTGTTGGACATGTTTCTGACTGATGATTCAGATAAGTTGTTAGTTTTTTTTTGTTTTATTTTTGTGGCAAAAATCACATGTTGCGTTCTGTGCGTCTTGCTCCAAACAAAATTTTTTGTATGACCATTCTATTCTATGCATTATATGTTTCTTATAAAATAATATGTTGAATGATATGTATTTATTGAGGATGGCAAGAATATAGATATATAATACAAATATTGAGGAGAAGGCAAGAATAAAAAAGATAATAATGAAAGATACAAATAATTCTTGATAGTTGCCAATGGTAACTTTTAAGCTATTCATATTATTAACATCCATTGTCTTATTTTCTTGTACAGCAGGTCATGGGAATTGATATACCATGGCATGGATCATTGATCTCAGTTTATGCAACATCATCATCACACTTATTCCCATCATTTCCTTCCTCAATCAAAAACCGTTTTTTAATAAAAATCAGTCTACAAAAAATCGAGCGCCGTTATTAATAGCGTGTAGAATCCAGAAAGAAAAATCATAACAACACACATCTGCTGCAGATTGCATCAACCGATTGTTCATATCTCTCTGGTGCATCATTTTCGTACACTCTGGTGTACTTGCTTAAGAAGCAGTTGAAAGTTAAAATATAACAACAACAACAACTATATATTAGATCTTTTATATTGCATTTCGATCAACAACAATTGGTTTTGAAATTCACTCTGATCATCAGATAGCTGCGGAATAATCACGTACAAAAGCCTTCATTATTACTCACATCATCACGTGCATTTTGATCTGAAAATAGAAAGAATTATTTTAAAAACAAAATACATCCAACAACATGCTCACCTTGCCAGTAGAGCCAGGCTTCTCTATGGGAAGTTTTATAATTGGAATGCCAATTTCCGAGGCTATTCGGCACTTGAAGCAATATGTGGAGCAAATTAATCGATACCCCAAATCTTCCGAATTAGTGATGGTACAACATTCATCATCCTCCATTTCCTCCTCTCCTAATTCATCATCCACAGAAAATGTACCGTCCTTTTCAATTGTTACACTCGATGAACAAGTGAATGATGTGGAAATTCTGTATAATGAAAAGGAGCCTCTCAATAACGATATTATTGTGAAAATTGTGGAGGAAGATATTGTATTATACTTTGAATCTCAAACACAACGTTTGAAATTGATTCAAATTAATAATGTAACAAAAGTTAAATTGTCCTATAGTGGAACAATATTCAGTGGACCAAGCGTTGATGCTAGTTTTGTAAAGTAAGTGTTTGTGTGAATCATGACAATAATTATTGAACAATTTCTGGATTTGATATTATCAATATAATAATAACAATTTATTCAAACCTAAAAATTATCATTTAATAATAATAATTTTTACTGCAGTATTTACAATGTCTTTGGTCCTACATATCCAGGCGAGTTCGACACAAAATCGAACACCTACATTTTAACCTATCCAGGATTGACATTTGTCTTTCCAATTCCTACCATGTATGCTCATCTCTACAAGGATGGACAAGAAATGCCAATAGAATTTCCCAATAACACCACTCCCATCGCTACCACAATTTATTTATTCCATGGCCATGACTTGAAAAATCCGAAACTACCACCTGTGAAACCTTCCTCCATGAGTGACTTGAATGTGAACTCTACCAACGTTGATGCGAGCCCTACAAGCGCTCAATCCAAGCAGCAAAAAGCATTTTCTGTAAAGTATGAAAATTTTAATGACGAAAAGAAAAACAAATCCAACAAGAAAGCTCTCTCACCACGAGAAGAAGTGAATTACTACTTTGAGCCCATTCAAGTAACTCTTGGAAAAGGTATTGAGCTATTGGATAGAAAAAAAAAGATTAAATTTGGATACACAGCACAGGACGTATTAATGATTCTAGGACCTCCAGACAAAATTTATTACAAAAGAAATGACAAGTTGAAAATTCATGCCATTGGAGCTGGCCACCTCTCGGGACATGTAGTTGGTAATGATAGAAATTTGAACGGAGAAAAAACAGCCAAGCCAAAGGAAAAATTCTTTGAAAATGATGGTGGCATTAGTCTCACTACTTTGATGGCTCCTTCCCTCAAAAACAGAATTAAGCAAAATGTGGGAAATGACTATTTTTATAATTACTTTTCATTGGGATTTGACATTATGTTCGGTGGATCGACTCACACTGTACAGAAAATAATTCTTCATACCAACGTGCCAGGAAGTGTTGATTTTAATGTGTATGTGAAGTGTAATTTTTCTATTGCCACGAATCAATTTGAGGGACAGGAAAACAGAAAGAGAGCATTTATTGGACCCGATGTTAAGTTTTCGACCGTTCAACAATCGCTTGAAGGCACACCGTGTAGCAAACCAATTGTGCATGATCATACTCGAGCAAATAATCCATTTGGCGGAACCAAGTTCTATGCATTCAAAAACTGTATATTCGAAGTCATTAGTCGTAATGATCATGTCAATTCAGTGACTCTTTTCAAGGTAGACAGCTAGTAATAAACGTGCTCTTGATGCCTTAACACGAGATGGTGAATTATATCTGTAAGTGAATTGCCAGTTTGAAATGCTCTCACCAATTTTGAAATCTGAGAAAAATTTGAGAGTACACCTTAATAATAATCACCGTCATCATCGTCTTGTTCGTCGTCATAGTATTGCTCACCATCATCATAATATTGGTTTCCTCCATAGTCATCTTCGTCATAGTATTCGTCATCATCGTCATCCTCTTCTTCGTCAGGATAATCGTTATTTGGATTTCCTGAAGCGTTAGAGTCTTCAGAGTCATATTCGTCGTCATTGTCAAATAATCCATCATCCAATGTGTTTTCGAGCCATAATTGATCATCAAAACTTTCAAATCTCAAAACTGCGTTTGCATGAGGTTGTTCGTCATCATCTTGCATGTCATTGGTTGTTTCAACAGTGTAGTAATCAATTTCAAAATCGTCGTCCTCTGCTTGTTCAAGTTTTCTCAATTCTTCAAGTGAATCATTTCCGTAAGCTTGCTTTAATAGAGACTCATAAGGAGAGAGCAATTCCTCAGTGGTTTTCTTTTCTTTTGCTTGAACAAACCCAAATTCCACAATTTCCTTATCACCTTCTCGTCTCTTCTCGTTAATTCTAAGCAAACGTTTTTGTTTGAGCGATTCTTGATGACTCTTTAATCGATCGGTTGTTTTAGATTTGCTGTCAATCGTGGCGATTTGTTTCAACGAAGCAGAGTGAGTTTCTTGTTTTTTCTTTTGATTACTTTCATCTTTTAACAAGGTAAATTTGAAGAGTGACACATTAGGACTAATTGAAAAATCATGATCCTTCTTTTTCTTTGATGACTCTCCTGATAGATTGGTATTAGCCAAATGCTTTTCCAAATCCGAAATTTTAGTCTTCTTCGTTTGTTGAATCGAAGGAATATAAAATGTTTCAATCGGCTCCTCATTTCTTTTTCTTTTAATGCAAAAAACTTTTGAAAGGCCATCATTATGTTCTGGAAGGACCGTAGTAGTACTTGGTTGTAATGGTTCCTGTTGTTGTTTTCTTTTCTGTGCTGATTTGGCTTTAATTCTTTTCGGATGGTCTTGTTCCAAGGTTGTTGAAGAAGACTCTGACGAAGTGTATTGATAAGAAGCTATGGGTGGACATGCAAAAGGTGTTGGTTTTGAATAATCAATTTCTTGTCTGTACTTTAACCAAAAAGACATGTCGTCGAGTGTGAGTCCCGGAGGCATCTTGATGGTACTGTTACTAGTACTACTCGTATTGAAATGATTGGATGATGATCCTGTTCTCAATTTAGAATCCAATGTATCAAAGAGATGATTTAAAGCTTGAGCCTTTTCTTCAAATTTTGGTTGTTGTTGTTGTTGTTCTGATGATGATTGTCCATTTACTTCCGACATGGTCTTAGTGTCCTGATCCTTTCCGAAACTTTCAGAGGTTTGAAGCATTTTTTTTTAAATTTCTTCCTCTTCATCAACTTCAACGCGTTCGTGTTCTTTTCATTCTTGAGATGAAACTTGGATGTCACCTTAGTTGACGAATAGAAGAACCAGATGAAAATTTTCTTTATGAAATAATTTATTTTCACCTTAAATTGAACTAATTTCAAATGAATTCAAATGGAACACTGTTGAATCATTCCATTGTTTCCTTAATTTTGGGTCTTTCCAACTGTTTAATCACTCGACATGGATTTCCAGCTGCCACCACATAGGGCGGAACATCTCGTGTCACCACCGATCCACTTCCGATGGTACTTCCTTCTCCGATGGTCACTCCCGGATTGACAATCGCTCCACCTCCAATCCAAACATAATCTCCAATCGTAATGGGCTTTCCATACTCCATTCCACTTTGTGTTCGTTCGATTGGATCTGTGGGATGAGTAGCCGTATAAATTTGAACATTTGGACCAAACATGACATTCTCTCCGATTCGAATTTCACACACATCCAACATGCAACAATTAAAATTGGCATAAAAGTTTTTTCCATAATAAATATTCGAGCCATAATCGCATCGGAATGGAGGTTCAATGTAAGAATTCTCACCGTGATGGCCCATAAATGTTCGACAAAGCGCTTCTCGGAATTCAGAAGGAGATTCTTGTTGTTCCGAAAGGTTGTTGAAGGGATGTAAGAATTCTTGACGACATTGACGACGAGCCTGTACGAGAGAAGGATCCATGGCATTGTACATTTCACCTGCGAGCATTCGTTGCCATTGTTCGGAGGTTGGTTTTGCAACTTGTGAAGTTGTTTCTTGTTGTTGATGTTGTTGTGGATTCATTTTGTTTTGAAAACAATCTTATAGAGATGGAAAGAGAATGAAACAAGGTTTGTCAATGTCGTGTTCCCTTAGACCATACACGTGTTTTTTTAGTGTTCCATTTGGTTTACAATGTACGTCTAAAACAAGCATTCAACTCAAACACTGCGTGTAGACTTTCCCAAATACTTGGCCACTGCAGCAATGATCAATGGACGACCATATACCACTTGATTCGCCACTGCAGTTGGAATCCATCCATTCGCTGAAGCTTGTCCCTTAAACACCACTTGTAAATCTCCATGTTCCGTTTCCACGAGTTCATGATACGAAAAGATGTTCGTTCCACGAACGCCGTGCGATGTCGCCAAATCAGAAGTGTAGGAACCATCGACAGAGGTAGTTACCACGATGTAACGATTTGAAGAGACTTGATCATCATGATGGATGTGTAAACAAATGATGAAATCTCGATCACTCACCATCATGTCTTTTTGATCATCATTTCAACAAGATTTTCATCCACAGCTATTGTGATTATTCTATCGAGAAATAATTCAAGAAAACTTACTGGGAGAAGCACCAATGTAATACCGAATGGAATAATGACCATCTTGATCTTCAAAAGAATCCAATTCCACATATTCTTTTGCTTTTGGATCTAATAACACCCAAGTCTTTAACTCGGTGGTTTGAATGACTTGTAAATATTCGGCAGCTGTGCACTTTTCAATCACGAGTTGACCCATCACCACTGTTCCATTGGGATCTTCACAACTACTAATGACGACGTGATCTTTTTGTTCGTAGAATTTGAATTTGTCTGGAGTGAAACTTTGTGCAAGAGTGAGAGCTTGTTGCCACTTTTGTTTGATCTCTTGTTTGTTCATCTAGGAATTAATGAGAAAGAAATGTTTTTTTAAAACATGGAATCATCAAAGAATTCAAGCTGGTTCGTGTGCGGATTGATTTTTGCAAAGTAAGGAAAGAATGCGCTCCGTCCTCGGGTAACCTCCAGTACATCATTCCCGAGATGGTTTCGCAAAGTGCGGATCCTTTCCATGTTTAATAATTGTTGTATTTTATGATACAATGGAGTGTTATTTCATTTCTGCCAATTCAAAGAGATCCATTCTCTGGAATGTTGGCGTACTTAACACACTCATATCCATTTCCTTTTTGTTTTGTGAAAAGTTTGAAAATGGAGAGGGTGTGGCTGCAAGTTCATCCAAAGTTTTTGCATAATGTGGAGTGGGTTGTGGAGAAGCATGATGATGCTTGAATGGTTTCTTCGTGGGTTGTTGAAAACTTGTGGTTGATGGCACACTCATGGATTGGCTGTTGTGGTGATTTGAAAGTAAGGCGAGGGGTTTTCTCGAAGCAGTAGTAGTGGCATTGGAGTGTTGTTGGTAGGGTTTGTTAGGTGTTGAATGGAATGCTTTTTCAAGAGTGGTCTTGACAACGCCAACGTTCTCATTGTTGATGTGTGAACTACTACTTGTAGAGGCAGGGACCACATTCAAGGATGATGGAATGTAAGGGTTGTTGACGAGTACTGCATTCGAATTGATGTTGGAAGTGTTGGGAGCTGTAAAGGTGTTAACAACCCTAAGAGTTGGCTTTGTTGGAATGCAAGCTGGTTTCACTTGTTCTTGAGATAGTTGTGGTTGGAACAATGTACGATCATTGGCTGTCTGCAAGTTGGCATGGTTGAATGCCGTCACAGCAGTGGCTGGTGGTTCATTCACCGAAACCTCAGATGAATTCAAAGCCTCCTCCTCTCCTCCGTGTTGAGACTCATTCATGCTTGGACTTCCATAGCTTAGTTGACGTGTTGGAGTTTCTTGCTCAGTATTCGATTTTGGTGAAATGGTTGCATAGCTGGAATCAATTCTGGTCGAGGCAGTCTTCGATGAGGCGCTCAATGGTGGTTTTTCCGGTTCTCTAGCAGCACTGTAGTTGGATACGGATGAACACACGCTTTTCACATCGTCTTCACGAGCGTCCATGACGGCAGAGACGTTTGTAATTTGAGATGAATTGACCGAACTTCCTCCTAATACAGCTGTAATTCCCTTCTCCTTACCAAGCAGTTGTGACCGTTGTTCTTGATTTCTCTTTAAGGCTTTGACTAGAATTTTTAGTTTGTTGTTGTCCTTTTCCATGTTGTCAATGTATTCTTTAAGATTAGAGATTTCAGTATCTTTTTCTTGAATTTCTCTTCGAAGAGTTTCCAATTGTTGTAAGAGAGTCTTTTGCATAATCTTCTTGTTTTCTCCTTGGTTTGTGATTTGCTGCTCCAACTTGTTCAAATGGTCTTCTTTCAGCCTCAACGCTTCTTCCTTTTCCATCAATTTGAATTGTAGTTCCTTTTGTGAGTTAAGAATTGCATCCTTTTCGCCATTCAGTTGAGTGAGTTGTGAAATTCTCTCTTTCAATCGATTACATAATTCCTCTTCAGAGCTCTTTCTCTCTTCCTTTAGTAGTTTTATGACCTCTTCAAGCTCCTTTGTTTTGAGGGTCATTGTGTCTGACATTTCCCTCATTTGCACATTTTCAGATTTTAACTCGTTCAATTGTTTTTGATATTTAAAGTTCATGTCTGCAAAGGTATCAAGTTGCTCTCGAAGAGAACCAGTTTCATTTTCTGATGATTGCTTCAAGTCATCAAATCTTTTTTCTGCTTGCTCTCGCAATTCTCTCTCGTTGGCATAATCCTTCTCCAATATTTGAAATTGAGATCGGACGGACTCCAATTCTTTGCGTGTTTTTACAAGTTCTGAATCAGATCTTTTGAGAAGTGACGCCTTTTCCTTTAACATCTCAGAAACATTCTTGAGAGCAGACAATTCCTTATTTTGATTATCCACTAGAGACATGAGGTTTTCTTTTTGCATCTCCAACTCGGCAATTTCTTGTTTTTTAATTTCCAATTCATTCTCGAATGATTCCTTTTCCGAATGAAGTTGTTCCATCTCTGCTTGTACTCTCTGAAATTCCTCTCGGAGCTTTTGATTTTCGAGTTGATAGGCTCCAAAGTTATAGAATTGTTGAGCATCTTGTCCCGAAGCCAACTCGAGCGCTGTTTCTAAAGTTCGAATTTCTTGTTGTTGTTGTGTTATGATATTCGAGAGTTGAGTGTTGGTTCCTTCCAATATCTCGTTTCTCTCTTTGAGAGCGAGAACCTTCTTCTCAATAGATCCCTGTTGTATCAGGATATTTTGAATGAACGATCATGGCAATGTTTGTACAAATCAATTCCGACAAGTATTAGCAATGTAAAGAGCATGATGAGAGTTCCTTAGTAACAAGGCTTACCTTCTTATTAGTGGGCTTTGAGTTTGCTTGCATTTTTTTTATTTTAAATTTAATTTTAAACGTTTTACGTTGGCGGGAAAAATTTAGGGCATACCATCTTTCATAGTTGAATTGAAAGCGAAATGTTCTAGAGCTTCATAATCATTGTCGAAAGTTTCCGCCTGCATCTCAAGTCAAATGATCACAGTGACCAAAAAGAATTATGTTTTTCTGATCTTTCACAACGTCAAACATCTAATCAAAAAGATTAAAGGAATTTGAAGATGTTCCACAACTGCTACTACTACTGCTGCTACTACTGTTTCTGAATGGGAAAGATAGGACCCCTCCGCCACTTGATTGATTTGAGCTACTCACACTTGTCTGGGAGTGTGGAGAAGTTGATGTTTGTACTGGTGGTTGAGGTTGCTGCTGTGGTTGAGGGAACGGATAGGCCGTTCCAACTCCACTACCATACATGGATGGATAATTGAACCCAAATGGATTATAAATCACATTGATGTTTGGTGCTACATTATAACCTCCCAGGAATGAAGGAACTCCACCCCAATTGCTTTGTGAACCAACAGGTGGTCGATTCCAAGCGTCATTGTTGGAGGAAGTGCTTGTTGTTGACTGTGCTGAACCAAAGATAGAGTCAAACACAGAAGGTGTTGAGCTCTGTGCTGTATTGGGTGTGGTGGTATTCTTGGGAGGTGAGCTTAAAATTTTGCTCATCAAGGTTGATTTCTCAATGAGAGGTGAGCTCATTCCATTGTTGGTGGGTGTGGACATTCTTTGATTGAACAAGTGATCATTGTTGTCATAGGCATTCATTCTAAATGGAGATTCTATGAAATTGCTATGCAAGAGTGGGCTTGTCACATTAAGCTTTGCCAACGATGATGGACTTTCGTTTTTAGTCTCGGGAAGAGCGGTGTCTGATTGCCAAATGTTATTAGTGCCAGTGGTAGAAATTTGTGTAGTTGAAGGTGGTGGAGTCATGCTTTGGACAGGTCGATCCTTCTGGTGAGAGACGTCTGTCATGTCATCATCATTGAGGATGAGATCATCACCATTGTTTAACTCGGCCAAAATGTCACCATTTAACATGATACTTTCATCGTCATCTTCAATGGGATTGGTCGAGAACGTTTTGCTCTTCTCGTGATAAAATAGTGGAATGAGTGTGTCGTTCACAAGTTCATTCTTTTGCTTGTCAAATAATTGAACAAGGGATTGTTTGAGAGCAGAATTCTCATTTCTAGTTGTAAAGGTTCCAAGATTACCATTCAAGGGACTATATCCTAACACTTCTGTGTAGAATGTATTTTCCTCTGTATGCTTTGATAGCTCCTCATCGTTAACAATTCTCGAAAATAAATGGCAAATTACTTGACACAAGTTCTCGTTTTCATGCAAATATTTTGCTCTGTTTTGAAGGAAATATTCAATATAGAGAACGAGTGAGGCATAAATATCCTCATAAGATGTAATTTGTTGGTTGTCACAATAAATATCGACCAATTTAGCAAAGAACATCTCATTGAATACCTTTGAATAGAAGGAAGAGTTACTTTTCTGATCAACAAATAAATTCATAATGGTGGCTTTCAACAAATAATTAGTGTCATTTCTTGGAATCTCATTGAAGCAATCGTTAATAATTAATGTCGCATTATCATCTTCTAACTCCGGTATTGGGGTTATTTGTTGAAATAACTTGCCATGCAAAGTCAGCAAGTGATAACTACTCCTTCCTTGCATTTTTGGAACATTATTCTTGAATAACAAAATAATATTATCCTTGGTGCATGAAAATGGTCTATGGATGGAACCTAAACTTCTGTAATATCTATAAAGTGCAAGGAAAATATCATTGTTATATGTAGAAATAACAGCTAATTGATTCCAAGCATTTCCAAAATCTCTTGAAAGTTGTAGGGCCTTATTGTAGTACTTTTCACTTTTTAAGAAATCAGCGGGTTTGTTGTTCAACAATAGAGCTTTGTAGCGAAATAAATCTCCACGTTGAATGAGCACCTTTTCCTTTTGAAACAATTCTGTTAATTTCTTGTAAAATTCTTTGTATTCGTCAAGTCCAGTGTTGAGAAATTTGAGATAGATGTCCTTTCTTTCTTTCAAGATTGTGTTTCTTCGGAACAAATCGATGACTCTGTAGTAAAACATTCTCCAAATATGAGAAATGACGTCATGTGTTTTGTCGTACTCTGGATCCTGAAGAGTGATATTGTGATATTGCTCAATACAACGTTTTCTAACACTACAAAAATCTAGCATGGTGTCGGTTGGCACATTCACTCCCTCAATGCTCTCGATAATATTCTCCACTTTTCCTTCATCCGACAAGAATTGAAGATATCGTTCTTCAATTTGTTTAATGATAGCCAGCTGAGGATGGGTTTTGCTTTTTTCATTTCCCGATGATGCTGTTGCCGATTTTGATGCAGGATTGATCAATATTTTGGGAGCAAATTCGGTTGTATTGTTCCAATGTGATGATCTGGTTGGAAGATGATTCGACAATTTTGCTCTCTCATTAATGTTGTGGTTATTATTGTTCTTGTTGTTTGATTGTTGATTGTTTATCGTCGGACTATATCCTCGTTGCTGATTGGTATTGTTACTCAAGGATTTTGCGTTTGATGCCGATAACGGCAAGTCGCTTTTTCCTCCTCGAGCAGAATTTTGTCCAGCATGAACCACCATCTTTCGATTGGAAGCAGCACTGGAACCCGAACGCGGAGGAAGCGATTGGGCTGTTGGCATATTTTTTAAATCTATTTTTATGATTGAAAATTATTTTTTATGAAGTCATTCATTGCGAAGAACTCTGCAACATGTCCAATACGTCAACGATGACTGTATTCCATTCTTTGATGTCTTGTGTCGAGGAAAATTTCATGTGAATATCTCCAATGCTTGTGTTAGAGATGGATAGGATATATTCAGAGTCGTTCTTGATGAGAGTGGATTGGGTGGAGAGTGAGATGAGCTGTGGAGTGATGGATTTGATGGTCTTATAAATCTTAATTTGGGGGGTTTTGTATCCAATGACCAGCCATCGCTTTTTCCACACATCCTGACTAGAGTTCTGGATAGAGAAGATGTCACATATGCCATCAGAACCATTTGAAAAAAGATAATACTTACAGAACTTTTCGACAGAATGAAAACTTGGCCGCATTTCACCATTTCACTACCGATAATTTCCTCTTCGTCATCCAGAGAATCATTTAAGGTTTTTTGCTGCTTCTTGAATCCCCCTTTTAGTGGTACTACAACCTTTCCTCCATGGAGGGATGATGCTGATAGGCCATTCTTGATAGGGTCTGTTGTATTGGTGAGAATTTGCAAATCTTGATCTGTGTCACCTACAACTTGTCTCGATTGTGAATTTCCTTTTAAAAAGGCTTCAAGCTCATTCTTGATACTTTTGTTTTGTTCTTCCAACATTTGAACGTAATCCTTGAGTTCTTGGGCTGAAAAGTTAATTTCGAGTTCGCTGACATCTTTTTCTGAAATTTTAGAAAGGGCATCATACTGTATTTCTTGTTCGCTTAGTTGCTGCCCGGATAGAATTTGGTCCATGTAATCACGAATCTCGCTCGATGCATTCGCAACCATCTCTTGGATTTCGCTTCTATCCATTTTAATCCTCATTAATTCGTCCAACACAATGTCAACCGCTTTGGAGTACTTTCCAGTGTTGTCTATATCAGAAATTGATTCCAACCGAACTTCTGGGTTATTTAAATCCATTGGAGTGCTACCAATCAAAGTTGGTGAAGTTGATACTTGCTGATTAGAAATTTGCTGTTTGAGAAGTTGGTTATCAGATTGCAATTCTGAGCATTGTTTCTTGTACTCAACTAGCTCTGATATAAGGGATGAAGTCTTTTCGCCCATCGCAATATTTAGCTGCTCGTGCTTTCCTTTCATCAAATCTAACTCTCTCCTTAATTTTAAAATTTCTAGGTTGAGAGCTTCGATGCTGTCGTCTTTTTGTTGTGCTTGTTTTAAGAGCAAATTGTTGGCAAAGCTTAATTTTTCGTAATTCGTGTGTGAAGCTTTAAGTGTAACTAACTCAGCTTCTAACTGTATGTTCTTTGTTTTAAGACCAATAATTTCATTTCTTGCCAATGTCAATTGCTTTTTGTATTCTGTGTCACTTGTTTCAAAATTCACCTTTGGCTTGTTTTTAATACTATTTGCAGTTAACCCAAACCTCAGGGTGGAAATTGTTTCATCTTCGTTTAAATTGCTCGGCGAACAATTAATCATTAATGTAGTTCTTGTATTTCCACCTAATGCGTCTTGTAATAGTTTTGTCAATTTACTTTCTCTATAAGGGATATGAGGCTACGCAATTATTGCTTATCAACAGAAAATTCTGAAAAATGACACCACTTACATTTTTTTCTGTAAGAGCACTGATGACCTTTGCTAGGGTTGCTAAGCTTTTGTTGATGGTTTTTGCCTCTTCCAACCGTAAGCCAGTGGCTTCAGTCTTACAAACTTTTTCCTATCAACTCGGTAAATAATAAAACTCATTTCAAAAGTTGTACTTACACTACCAGCCAAATCTACAAGATAAAGCTTGGAGCTTATTTTTTGACCTTTCTTAGTGTCATGCTGTGTCACTGTAACAGAAAAGATCGTGTGACTTCTGCTACTATCTCTATTCATTTCTAAATGGATGGTAATCATTAATCATCACTACAATCAAAACCTACTCGTAGACGATATTTTTTTGTTTTTGCAGCCAATTTTCATTAGGCGTAACACTTCTTCCTCACTTGAAACATATAATTCAGACAAATCCTCCACATAAAAAGTCTTTTCGCTCGTGTCTTCCTTCACAGCCAAATTTTGTTTTGAGGCTGAAAACATAAACCGATTCACCTCAAAATGTATAATGTCACTAACACTTACGCTCAAATAAATCAAAAATCTTCTCCATATAAATTTCAAAAAATGATACTTTTACAGTAAATTCAATATTTTCCGGAGACTGGTCGATCGCTTCGAATAGTGTACAAACAATCCTAGGTGCAATTCCACGTTCTTCCTGTAAATTTAAAGTTATTGTTGTTGTCAAAATAAATTCTGAATATTAAGTGATGCAAGCAATAAAACGTACACTGTACGGATCTTTCGGAAGGTTCATCATGCTGTATGTTTTTCCTGACGAGGTTTGTCCATAAGCGAATATGGTACAGTTATAACCCTTGATAATATCATCAATGAGAGGTCTTCCTACCGTTTCAAACACTTCCGATTGAGATGTTCCTGCACCAAACACCTCATCATAAGAGAAGGTCAAGCCTTTGCTCGTTACTACAACGTTCTCTTGATCGGGTACATCCAAACACATTTTCCCTCCACTTTCCATCTCCAACAGTGGTCTCACCCTGCAAACCACTCGAACCTTACTTCCTTGAAGAGATATGCTCGAAGTTGGCGTCGGAAACATGTTGCTGCTCGTCGAGCCGGAACCAAACGAGGAGGCAACACTCGACAATGATGTATTCAACATTTTTTCTAAGGATTGGGATGGTGGTGTCATCTCATTTCAAAATTTCATCTCTCTACTGTCGATCTAATGATTCATTGGTTCAACCTCCTGGATCAGTCATGAATGAAGGCCTTGGTTCAACACCATGTCTGATCACACTCAAAGATATTCGTGTTTCTTTCTTTCTTCTGATTTGATGTGTTGGGTCCATTGTTTTTGAAGAGCTTGTTGTTGTGAGTACAATTTTGCCAGTCGCTCGCTTCTTTCTTTCTCTGTTTCTAAAGGAGGCATGACCACGACGTAATCAATGGACAGAATGAAACAAGCAGCTTCAGTGGCTGACTGAAACACGTTTCTCTTCACACTGCACGGTTCTAATACGGTGCTATTTCTGAGCTCTTGAGGAATGTCTCGAATGAAAGATTTTCCTGTGGACTCCTCTATTTTACAAATAGCAGAGGGTAACAAATTCATAATTGCGTTCTTGTACAAGTTAAGGCCATAGTATTGGTATGATTCTCCTTTTTCATGGAGAGAGGATAAGGTGTCAATGACCTTTGAAGCATTTAGTCCTGCATTATCACACAAGATAAACACCAACTCCTCCAATGCTGTTGCGTAGTGTCTCAAACCTTCAATGATAGAAAGTGCTTGCTCATTAGTTGTTGATAATGAGCACTCGTTACAATACTGTTTCAGACAAGTTTTTAGATAGAGTTCTGTGGCTCCTCCTCCAAGATGGCAAACTGGAACATGAACAATATTCTCAAGAATACACAGAGCGTCATGCATACTTCGCTTTGCTTCTTCTAAAATATTTTCCTCTCCTCGAAGTACTACTGTAATTCTTTCATCACTGCCAACACACTGAAGACCAGAAAGAACACAATAAAAATCTTCTCCAATGCATTTCTCTTCGAAGAGATTACATGATCCATATACAGGGAGAATTTCATGTGTAGAGTTTAGCAGCGTTTCTAAATCTTCCAGTGATGAAATGATTACTCCTCCAAGAGATTTTACAATACTATTGAGTGTTGCTTCATCAATTCGTCCAATTGACGTCAAGCCATGCTGAGTAAAGTATTGAGTAGCAATGTCTCCAATGGTTTGAAGATTTAACACAATATCGCAGCCTGTCTTCACAATTGTCTCCAGCTTTTTGTTTAACAATTCCCATTCAGTTTCCATAAAATTATGATATGAGCTAGGATCATTAATAACAATTCTAGCAAATTCTTTTTGTTGTTTAAGCTCTAACTCATGGTTCAAGATTAAAATTTTTGGGTTCTCGATTCGTTTTTGTTGTTGTTCATAGCCGGCATAGTAAAAAGTTCGCTTAAAACAAATCCCATTTAGTAAAAATGAATCTTGAATTGAACCTCCTGGAATTCCGCAAAACAATAAATTACGTCGTGTGAAGAGATGTTGTTCCGATCTGTTACTAGCTTCTTTTCTCTGTTGAATTTTTCTTAATTGCACATATGCATCAACTAGTAATTGTGAAAAGAAAAAGCTCATATTTTTTAACACCTTGCTGTTGAACGGAATTTTAACTATTTCTACAAGCACATTAATAGCTTGCTCAGATATCTCGGACAAGTCGAGGCATAATTCAATTTGTGACAATTTTCTAGTAATAAATTGATGCCCTAGCTAGCAGCAAGATATAGAAAAATTGAATTCAATTCCAAAAACTCACCCTAAAGCTTTGAATAATACTATGTGGACTGAGCCCTAAAGACATTAGTCGTCTTGCCTGTTTCAGCAAGGCGCATGTTAATAACACCACGCTCGTAGTGCCATCCCCAACTTGTGAATCCTGTGTTTCACTAATGTTCACCAGTAAGTCAATCACAGGCTCCGTACTGAACGCCCATCGTATGGTTTCATCTTTGGACATTTTACCCGGATTACTTAATTCCGAATTCTTTTTGATTTTCTTTTTTAAATATTTCAAAATCGTTGCACCGTCATTGGAAATGATAATTTGTCCAGTTTCACTCTCACAAAATAATTTATCTCTTCCAAATGGCCCATACGTGGTTTTTAGAATGTTTCCGATGGTGAGAGCAGCTTCAATATTGTCCAGAACCACCGTGGTACCACTTTTTCCACCAGCAATCACGGCTTGTGGATTTTGCATTTTTTTTATGATGACGCTTACCTTGTTTTACTAATGAGTAAGCCAATATTAAAGAATATTATTACATGTTTGGTGATTCCAAGAACAAAGATTGCAGATTCGCAAAGGCTAAGGTCCATAAAACGTTAAAAAAAATGCCTTACTTGTACAGCAACAGATCGAGAAGCAGAGAGGAAGATGATGATGATGAGGATGAAGAAAATGAAGAGGACGAAGATATTGAGGAGGACGCTCAGCAGGAGGTCGATGATCAAGAAGAAGAAAATGAGGATCATCATAACGAGGAACACTTAGAGCAGGATCAAGATGAAGGTGAGGTGGAAGAAGAGCTGGATCAAGACAGGGAGGAAGAAGGGCATACTGAAAATCAGGAGGATGAAGAACAAGAGTTTGATGAAAAGCTTGAGGAGATGAAAGAGTTGGAAAGTGAAGTATTGAATGCGATAGATAGTGTTCCGACTTTATATTCTCAGCTAAAAACAAATCATATCACTATTGTAGCTCAGTCTTTAATTCACGGAACACACATTGATGATCTTAATGAGCTTACAGAGCATTATGATACTCTTTCTGATGCTTTATCTAAATTGGTTGCTTTTAATTATCAAGAGTTTAACAAATCCATCAGAAATTTCTCCGACATTTTGGCAGAGCTGACTGAATCACAGAAGAAAATCCAACAATTAAGAAACGAAGTTAGAAACACAAAATCTTGTCTTACTTCCCATGCAATAGACCTTTCCTCGCTATACACGAATTACCTTCAACATTCTGAGTATCTAAGAATTCTTAATATTATTCACCAAGTCAAAGAGGTACCAGAAAAAATAGCGTTCCTTATTGAAAAAAAACACTTTTCAAACGCTATCAAGCTCATTCAACGAAGTTGCTCGTTTCTCAAAAACAGTGAGGAGTTGAAATTCATCAAAGGACTCGAGGAAATTAGGAGTCAAATCAAAAATTACGAGAAAAAATTGCCCGAGTTGATGATAAATGTTCTCACCACACACTTGTACAGCGTGGACGTAGAAAAGTGCAAAGTTGATGCTAACAACATCATATCTTTCAAGGAGACAAATATTCAACCAAACCATCAAAGACCTGCGTCCATCAACAACGAAATAATTCGAAAGGAAATTGATAGACATGAATATAATCGGAAACTTGGAAGAGCAATCTCTTATGAAAATGAATTTGGAGTCTATGCGAAAACTCCCAATCTATTCGATTTTGATGTTGGCACGGATCTGTCATTTGATCCCGAGCAAGACAGCAATTATTTCTTGTCCATGCTAATTGACGGATTGGATACGTTAGGCAAGCTTTCCCTTCTTCAATCAAGAATGGTTCATAGCTTGCAATTTGACATTAGATCTCTTATAGAGAAACACATTCTTGATTTTGTCTCTCAGATGAATGAAACGAGCGTTGGTTCAAAAAGCAAACCCGACCCTTCCAAAGACCATCACAAAATAACCAATTCAAATCGCTTGCGAGAAGTTCCTTTTATTACTGCAATGATACAAGGGAAAACTCTGCAAAAGTTGTTTCAGAAAATATTTGACAACATTGTTAATCTCTTGAAAAAATATAATTTCATGATTGGAATAATGGAGCTGAGAGCTGCCAGCCTTGATTTTAGCAGTTTGTCACAAAGTAGTGACTTAATTGCAACTCCTTTGGATATCAAAGTTTCCAAACCCGTTTTGACAAAGATTAAGGAAGCAGTCAAACAAAAATTAGAACATTTGAAAAGCGCCAATCCCAAATCAAATGCCAAGGAAGTTCACAAATTGTATGCCACAACGCTTGAAGAATTGTTGAGCAACTTTTTGCAAACTAAATTAGAGGAAGATTTGTATGTACGAGATATTATCTCGCTGTTTGAGAATCAAATAGTCCTCAAAACAACACGACAAAACCTATCAGCAATCGAAACCGTAAAGGAAAAATTTGTACATTTAATAACGGAAACTGTCTCTGATTCCTCATGTCCACACACCTTCACGGCAACCTATGTATGGAAGACTGCTCAAGAGGAAATCAAAACGGTGCTGCGAGATTTATTTGGCCTCTCAAACATGTCTCTTTTAGGCGCTCCTGAAAAATCTAATAGCACTGATTCAACAAAGACCAAAGATTCGGGGGTTCCCACAAGCATAGATGATTTTTCTGTTTCTTTCAAGTATTCAAATAATATCGACGTTTATGAGCACTTGCAAGAAGAAAAGACAATAGATTCAAGCTCTATTATTTCTACTGCTCTTTCACGCCATTTTATACTTTCACCATATAACTTGCTTTGGGCTTACAAAGAAGTCATAGATTTCATTGAAAAGTGTAACAGCATTATTTTTGATGAGTCAGAATCGTCATCATCATCATCATCTGAATATACATCTCTTAAAGAATTTTGCGATGAGACAGTACGGCATTTTCTCTTGTCAATTGTTAGAAATGATTATAGAACAAAAATTAGCGAGCTTTTCAGGAAACATTCACATGCTTTCAGTAGTGTACACTTAAAGGATTTTAAAGTCCATGCTACCATTTTGAATACATTTGGTGCGACAAAGACTGTTTTTTACGGGTCTATGTGCTGCCTTAGATGGATTTATGAAACAATCAGCATCGCTAGAACAATTCCTGTTCAAAAACCAGATTTTTATGGAGTAGTAGAGCAACTGTTAAAGAGATATTTAGATGAAAACACTACATTTTTCGATTTAGCAATTTCTACAAGTTATTGTCAACAGATTTTGAAACAGTGTAGAGAAGTCTTACCATTTCTGATTAGCGAAGCTTTATTTGTCAGAGCACAACAATGGCGACCTCAGCAACTAAAACAGCCTCAGACTGATGTTGATCATATTCGAAGACTCTTTGAACAACACGTAGACGTTCCAATAAGAAATTTAGTTTTCGATCCATCTCGAAAGTCACACATCATTGACCGTACAAGTGGCTTTATTTCACTTGCAACGTTGAACAATACATTGGAATGGGTCTTGGAGAATATTTACAAGTTTCACTATGAAATTGTCCAAAATTTACCCTCATCCACAAAAATTCCACAACATAATAACGCGAAAACCAAACCACGAAGGCTATTAACCAACCCAAACACAGTGGTTGCCCTGTTGGCTAATTCAAGTTTTCAGATTGTGAAACATTTGGAAGATTATTATGACAAGATTGTTTCGATATATAATGACTGCTTACTTGCAATTAAGATTGATCTTCGAATACGATGCTTTTATTACATTGATAGAGGGTTTAGCGAGAACATCAAAGAAGCTGCCTATGATTGTGAAGAACAAATTGATTTACCGGAATCTTTTGTGGAAGAATTTAATAAGGATATGCATGGTATTCATAGAGCACTAAGTACTCATCTTTCAGAAGACAAGATGACCTATGTATTCGGAGGATTGGGCAAGTTTGTGTCCGATCTGTTAATTGGCACTCTTGTTTCACATTGTACTTCGAGCAAAGAGCCAACAATACCAAATTTCTCCAAGGTTGGTGTGGAAATTATGAAAAGAAATATTACAGCACTTCAGCAACAAATAAGCGCCATCACGCAAAAGCATGAACAGCATTTCAATTTTGCACTTGAATTTTACAATTTGCTGCTTTTGGAAAAGATTCAACTTTTGTATCATGTTAAATCAGTGACGAGATTTACCAAGCAACAATATCTAGCCGCTTTCAGAATCATCACTAGGAATCTTAGTGAAGAGGAGCGTAAAAAAGCTGAGAAAGACTTTGAAACAACTTTCCACAGAGCAACGATGGAAAGAAAGTCTGCGTCCTCTGCTTTGAAACTTGCTGGCAATGAAGATCAGTAATTCTGGTTGATTGCGATAATATGTTGAAGAATGGTCAGACAAATTGCTCACCTTTATCTTTACCTATGTACATAAATTACATCATAAATTAAATTTAATAGTATTAAGGACTGGTGGTGTAAAGTTGTTTTTTGGAGTTCACTTGCTCATTCAAAGTAATCGGCGGCATATTCCGGTTCTTGTTCTTTTTGTGTCAAAGTTTTCGAGTTTGGATCAAAAATGGTGGAATGATAAGTTGGAAGAGCTTTTTGTTGCAGTTTCTCACATTCGTCTGTGAAAAAGTGAAATTGAGCAAGAATTTCTTCTTTGAGTGTTCCTCTTGGGAAAACTTTTGTGAAAAATTCATGTTTCAGCAATTCACTTGCTTTTGGTCGTTGACTTGGATCTCTGTTGATATACATAATTATTGGATGCATCCATGTGAGATGACAGGTTTAGAACCTCATATTTCAAAAACACAACTACTTACTCTTTAAGACATTGAAGTAACAAATCTTTCAACTCGTTGGATACTGTTAATTCAGGAATAATCTTCTCTTGTAATAAGTGAAGATTCTTAAGAATAAAGTCAATCAAGCGGTATTCGCTGTATAGAGCTTCATTATCTGTTTCAGCGCTATCTGAGCTATCCGAGAGAATGCTTTTCCTAAATTCACGTTCCAACAAACATCAGGAGCGTGAGATCGTTTGTATGTTGGGTCTCCTCGAAGCATTTCAGGGCTGCAAAATGTTAAAGTTCCGACAACAGAATTCCTTGTTTGAGAAAATGTTTGACCTTTCTGAATTACTTTAGCTTCTCCAAAATCTGCAATTTTTATCAAATTGCCTGCCAAAAGGAAATTGTCACACTTCAAATCTCTGTGATATACATGTGTAGGTAAGTCTTCATGAATGTATACTAAAGCAGAAAAAAGTTGTTTGGCGTAGTCTTGTATGACATCTTCGGTGAGGCCTTTTCCAATTCGTTTCATAACGCTCTTCAGCGATCCTCCAAGCATTAATTCCATCATGATGTAGAAAAATTCTCCATGCTCATGATATCCATAACATTTGACAATGTTTGGATGATCCAGAGATTGCATGACTTGTATTTCTTTTTCAATTTTTTCCTTATATTCTTTTTGCTGTAAATATATTTGGAATAGGCAATGATGAAGCAGTAGAATGATTCATGCGATTACATTGTAAATGTTGACACAGCCGCAATGCAGTAAGTAACATGCGTTAAAAAGTAATAATAGTTGGATCATCGTTGACAAAGTATTATAGCCATCATGGTAACATGCCACAACAACATACCCCTTTAGAAACGTGAATCTTCTTGACAGCAAACGTCTTGGAATGAATTCTGTCATAAACCATTTTTACCTCACCAAAAGCTCCTGACCCAATACTTTCATTTCAATCCATCCCATCTGATCCTCGAACGATACCGTCGCTTGCTTGTTCTCTTCTAACCGTAATTTTACAGGTTTTGCTGACAGTTTTTGTTTGCACTTTTTAATATGATCCACGGACTCTGCAACAATATATTCGTCTACCCTCGGATCCAGCACGTCAAGTCTGACATTTGTATTTTGATCAATCTTATATATTGATTTGCACTTGTTGATAGCATCATCCAATGTTCCTCGTAAATTAATTTTGGTTATTCTATTCATATCTTTATATGCCACTAAACATTCCAATTCTTTTGGTGCTTTTACGGAGGCCTCTTCCGGCTCATCAATGACTCGAATCGTATCAAGAACTCTCTCAACGTCTTCTTCGCTGATTGGAGTTGGTGGTGATTTTCCTGATGAAGGAAATTGCGTTGGTGTTGAGCCGGCACTACCCGGCGATGTAATTGCTGTAGAGCCATGTTGTTGTTGTTGATGATGATGATGTCCGTTATGACCACTAGCAGCAGTATTACTACTCATCACGACGTGTCCCATATTACTCGTGCTACTGTTTGCACCTCCGGGACTTGTTAACGATGGAGAATTTACCGATGGTACTTTAAACTCTGGATCAAACACTCGAATATCTACATCATCCGCATCATTGGACGTGCTTTGTACCATGATGGTTTTATCTTTGGAAGATATATGAAAGAAGGGAAGACGAAATTTAGAGCCAGAACTTTTCTTGGTCATTTTTTTTTTTTCAACTGTGTGATGTTCATTCCACCTCAACAACAAACGCGAGTCCTCCAAACGTATGAGACTGATATGATTCATCACTATATATTCGATGGTCAAAAGATGCAGCAGCAGTTCTAAGGTAAGGACGAATCGAGCAAGGACAATTGATCAACATCTATGGAATTTCTTCAATTATTCATTGGATTGTTGGTTTGAGGGGGTTTACATATGAGGATGATGGTTCTTCTTTTTCTTTGGGATAGTAAAATTGATGAGCTTGTCGTATAGTGTCCATGATTTGCATGACTGAAAGTGTTTCATGATGTGGCATGATCGGGCTCTCTATTTTCTGTTCTCGCCACAATTCTAAAACATGCTTAATTTCATAGAAAAAGCCAGATCCTTCTTGATAATCATTTTCTTTTGGAAATTCATAGGTACGAGTGGATCCTTGTTTGATCACGGAAAAACTAGTGGGTCTGTGAAAACTATTGTGGACTTGAATAATACCATCACTGCCACAAATTTCTAAAATTCTTGAAAATTCATTGACAAAACTGCAATGAAACGTGGCATAGATGGGTTGGGAATTGTTGTAACCACTACTATCGAATCTCTCAAATTCAATCAAAGCACTGCATTGAGTATCGGTTCCAGTTTGTGAATCGATATTCATGAATGATTGAATTTTTGAAACTTTTCCACAACCAATTCCATTCACAATTTGAATGATGGATGAAATGCAATAAACTCCACAATCCAATAAAGATCCTCCTCCACTTTCCAACTTGTACAATCGATGATCTTTTGATGGTTGACGTTTAGCTCCAACAAATCCCAAGCTCACATTGATGTGAGTAATTTGACCAATTTCTCCATTTTTGATGAGTTTCATCATTTCTTGATTGGCTGGGAAAAATCTTGTCCACTATGATTTCAACATGTATTTAAATGTGAATTTCAATGATTTTCAGATGTAGTTGTTTCATCAAACACATACCATTCCTTCCATGAGAAATAAATTCTTTTGTTTTGCTAATTCAATCAATTCAGAAGCTTCTTTTGCATTGATTGTGAATGCCTTTTCACATAACACATTCTTACCATGTCTATGAGGAATGAATGTACACAATTATTAACACAGTGACAGATTTTTTAAACAGAATATCCGAAAATTAAATTCACATGTAACGCCCATTATTCCAAATGTCAAAATCATTGGTCATGACAATACCAATTCAAACTTTCCAGTAATATTCTAAAACAATGACTTACTCTAATGCCATTTTACAATGTTCATAATGAAGATAGTGTGGAGATGCAATATATACTATATCAATGGAATCATCATTGAAAAATTGTTCATAATCATCATAGGCTTTAATTTGATGTAATATTGAAGATGAATCCATTTCCGAGTTGCCATTCTTCTCTTTGGATGTCGTATTGCCAATAGTTGAGAAATGATTGGCAAATTGTTGTGCCTTTTCCAACTCTCTGGAAACAACAGCAACGACTTGAATTTGATGTTTCGGAAAGCCGTAATTGTTTTTGAGAAGCGATTCGGTGAAGGTGTAGGCGATCGCTCCTGTTGAGAAAATGCCAAATCGTAATAAATTATGAACGGTGGGGTCTGTCGTCGATAGATTTAAAGTTGACATTTTTTTTTTGTAAATTTAACTTTCTATTTCTTTGCGAAATTAAGAGTGACACAGAGCGCGTTTAACTCCAGCTAAAATTTGCAGGCCATGTGTCATTTTAATTTTGTAAAGATTTTAATTAGAATACGATCATATCAAAACAAAAAACGGATTGAGCAGTACTATCATTATCGGAACCAATAACCGAGGGACCTTACCGTCTTTCCGTATTTTGGATACCTCCTCACTGAAAAATGTTTCACCTTAATAAAAAAAATGAGAAGTATTTGTTTTATTTATCCCGTGGATGGCTGGAGGTACCATCTTGGAGAACGATTGTATTCCATGCAACGGCATAATGAACGACTCAGGGTACAGGGAGGACAAGGAACGAGGAGCGACGCATGGAATAGGTATGAAAGTGAAATAAAAACAAAGGCTGCTGCTTGGGGTGTTGTTGAAGAGGAATTTACCGAATCATTTCCTCGGTCGTTGGTGGAGGAATGTCGTTGTTTTAAAGATGAATAACAAGGAAAAGGAATTTGGCCAAAGATAAAACAGTGCAGCTACATTTCATTGTTCATTAGAGTTTTTGTTAGCGAACAACGGGCTGCAAGAGAGATTTTCCTTAGTGATGTTTAATAAACAATTATTTGTAGCTGACACGTGAATGAAACACCACATAAATATTGGTTCGTCATTATACGTTGCGTTACGTTGAATTGCCACTACCAGGGCCATAGGATTGGATTGAAGGCCCGTTCCCCTCGCGTCACATGATCGACAACGCTAGCTCACAAATATTTCTTTCACCTACTAACCACAACTCTTTCATTCAGTAGCCCATAAAAAGGGTTCAACAAATATATCGTCCTTATGAGTACAACGGTCGTTGT